CCCCCCCCCCCCGAAAATCAATCAACCAGCTTCGCCTAGTATTACCTGCTTGCACACGATCAGTCAACACACCAGTATAGTAAGTTCCTTTTTGCTAAGTAAGGGTATCTAGATATACATGGAGACGCTAGACAAGTGATGGATCAACTGAGTAATCGAAAGCTTTTCGAACACCATTGTTCTGTAAACAACCGCGACAGTGTTTGCAATACTAGAAGGGCATCGAGTATGGTTCTTCTCTCTGCACTTGTAGTCATACTGCTGCTTGTGGTCCATCCCAATTGATTCATATCCTTCCCAAGATTGTCTACTAGCTCCGTATATAGTATTTGAAACAAATATTGGCGGCAATTTTGATGACGAGGCGCAGGCCTCCAGCGAACGGTCTACTCACAATGACTACATATATGAGAAGCGTCTGTCCTGCTCATTCATTGTAGATCCTCGATTGCTTCTTCCTATACGGCAAGGTATGCGGGCAGAGGTTCATGTCCGGAATTCCCACGTGATCTCTTAGCCGAATCGAGCTAGATCCAGACATATTTCTCGAGGTGTCTCACGTAGAAGCTAGATTGATGTTCTTTTGCAACAAATAAAGTCTTCATATTATCTAAACAACATATCTCTACAGCTCTGAGCTCTTTGGGTTACTCAACCAGACAGTTGGGACCCGTGGCACCTGCGGACTTAGGCGTACTAATCCTTTGACATCTCTTCGATCAGTTGTTCCTCCAGTGAGTCTTCTCATGCCAGATCGGAATCCAGCCCGTAATCCTACTGCAGAAGGAGCTCGAGAATTGCTACTGTGGACCGACAGAGCATCGTCGGATGTGGTCATGCGCGATATCGAGAGATCATCGTCAGAGAAAGGCTCATCGCCAGTATCTTCTTCAGATTGAAGATCGGTGATCACCCGAGGCATGTGGTGCACCGCAGCCATAGGCGAGGTTACCGACCTCGCATGAAGTGCGGGCCTGATCGCCCCTGCAGCAGGGTTGGAAGCAAATGCACCAGGGTTCATGACGACTGGTTCGCGAGCCAGAGCAAACCTTGTGTCTGAAAAGCCATTTTGAAAAGACGTTACCGAAGCGTTCCGTCTGAGCGACTTGTGCAGGATGGGAAGTGTTTGCTGTTCGTAGACATTCTCGCGGTTTTCGACTGACCCTCGAGATGCTTCTCTAGGGGTCACAGGTTTTCGATCGTCGAAGAAGTCATCCAGACTGTCGAGTTTCAACACTAATTCGCTCATGCTACCGTCAGCGCGTATCGAATCCGACATTGCTGTCGCCGAGCGTTGGTCGAAGTAGGATCCGTATTGATCTTCTGTCGTGAAAGCGACGTCGGGTGTACTGGTGATCTCTGCGCCGTCGGCGAGGGTCGTGTCCAGACAAGTGTAGTATACAGCCATGACGTTTTTCCTCGCCCTCTCGGCCTGAATGGCTGGCATTGGTATTGACCAGCCAGACTCCTCAGGTATGCCGTATAGACTCTTGGTGCTATCGTACTCTTTGCGTGTTGCACGCGTCGAGTGCGATCCTGCCATGCTCATACGCAGGTGCTTGTTATCAAGGGGTGTGCCGGTGACAGACATGATATTGTCCAGCACATCAAGAGCTTGTTGGCAGTAGCTGGTCTGCAGTAAACGCAGAAGGGGTGAGATTAGATCAGGGCCTTGGGAAACGATCTCCGGCCTCCTCATATCAATTTGTGGAATTAGAACACACAGCAGCTGCATTATCGTGACTCGGAACCATGGGGTTTGGTTGTTGAGCAAGCCAATCAGGAAGATCAAGCTCTGATACTCCATGGCGGGGAACCAGGCGGCTCTTGCTGCAGCGACGACTTGGGTCAAGAAGTCGTTCGCATTGCGATATCTTTGATTCGCAAACCCACTCAATGCGAGAGCCAGATCAGGTAGTTGCTGCGCTTCGGCCACGCCAGCAAGAGAGTCTGCCGACTCGAAGCATGTTTGTTCGTTGCTGTCATCTTCGAAGCAGTGCAGATAACGAGGCAGATTTGCAAGGAGTGTGAAGAGGAGACGATTGTCGCCACCAATCAGACTGCTGGAAGGTAGTTTGATCATTCTTCCGAGCATTTCCAGGGTGCGATCGAGACAGGCATTGGACCTCAACCCCTTGTAGACCAACGGCTGAAGACCCTCGAATTCTCCATCCCATTTGGCAGGTTTGTTCTCGTTGAAAAGCTTGATGACAGCAGGATCACTAAGATCGAGCTTGTCCAATAGTCGATCTAGCATTGAAAGACTCGCTTGGAACTCCTGCTCGAAGATGGTATCCAGACAAGCACTGGTGGTCCAGAATAATTGAGGGTACTGAATCAAGTCCTCGGGTTCAAGAGCGCCGATGATGGTCCTTAGCGTGATCAATATCTCTTGAGAGAAGGTCAAGCAGTCATTCTCGTCATCGGCAATGGTGTTTGTTAGACGAGCGAGCATGTCTGCCATCATCTGCCTATCAAGCGAGTCAATGATGCAGCGGAAGATCTGGAACGAGCGACATGCTACGTGACGCACTGCACAAGTCGTCGCCCAGACCAGACTCATCCTTGCCCAATCCCTGCGAATGTTGTCGCCAGTTCTGATATCGTCATACGAGAAGCTGAGTACCCGGACGACTTCCTCAATGACAAAAACCATGGGTTCAGGGACACCGTTAGAATTGCTGTTGAGTCCTTTGTTATCGGTCTCCTCATAAGACCACACAACCTTGGGATCGTGTTGCCTGATTGATTCGATCAAATCCTCTATGCCTTGTTTACTTGGTCCTGTGTGCTCTGGTCCAATCTGTGAAATTACAAGCTCGTGGATCATATGTACCAGCATCTCCCTTGCCTGATCTTGTACCAATGGCGTGTAGTGGTCCCATTGAACCACAACTACTTGTAGCAGGAGAGGTATCTTGTTCTTGGGGAGCTGTACGGGAGAAACTACAAGGTCGACAAGGAGCATTAATGCCAGCTGACCAAGGGACAACCCAGACTGTCGGTTTCCAATAGGTAATACTTGCGCGAGATCTGCAATATATGGTAGATTTGTCGGGTCTTGAGGTATTGACGGTGGTGGTCGCTTCTCGGCGATCATGGCTTTAGGAGTGATCTGCAGCAAGAGGAACTCAATCACCTTCAGACCAGCTGCTGTCGTGGAAAGGAAGACAACAATTTGTTTTGCATAGTCGACAAAGTTTTGTTCCCTGCGGTCTAGGCATATCGCAATAATGAAGTCTAGGACCACCTGTACGTTTCCTCCATATGGACCAGTAGCAAGAGCCTGCCAGAGTGCTTGTATCTCGTTATGTAAAACACTACTGCTTCGCGCCGTGATCTCAAAGAGATTCACCATCAACATGTATGAACTAGCGGTAGGTCCTCCACTCGGGAGTAATTGCAGCTCGACGGTCTGTATCCATGGCAGCATGGCTGCGACCATGTTGCGCTGATGATCGGGTACAAGACCTCCAAAGTATCTGGTAAACTCCGAGAAAACGTGGAACGCCATGTCTGCATGTTGCTTTGCTAGCCTGCGAGAAATTTCGAATTGTGCCAGTTTGTAGACTGCAGTCGTCTTGTCAGAAATACTGATATCCAGATCTTGTAGTTTAGAGTTTCTGCCTAGGCGTTCCTCTAAAGTTCTCAACAGACGGGCAGACTTCATGCGAATCTCGCTATTCTCGTTTCCAAGGGTGTACAAGGCGGCGCTCAAGATCTTCCAAAAAGGTATCTTGTCATCGACCGCGTCTGTCAAAACTTGGGTAGCAACAGTGAAGTAGCTGAAAAGGGCCTTCGGGTTCTTAGCATGATAGCACTCTTCGATCGAGTGAGACAAGAGGAAACTGTGCTCACTGTTGTGAGTTAACAGATTCTTAAGTGCCCGACGACCTGTTGCATGGGTCCTATCACTCGCTGAATCGAAGATGGCATCTATCCATTTGAGCATGCGACGAACATCAAACTGCATAGTAATCTGGCCGTCGGTGGAGACCATGACCGGTCCCGCACAGAGTGATGCCATAGCGCTGAGAGCTGCTGTTCGCAGGTCTTTCTTCTCGATCTCCAGCTTTGCTGTAACATTCCCACGATTGCGAGAATCCTGTTCTTGGTCCAAGATTGACTTCCTCATATGGTTTTCCTTCTGTCTTATTTGTGTCTGGTTTGGGGAAAACCCGCACCAGTCTTCCATCATGGAGAAAGCGGCTTTTCGTGCGTGGAACGGCATCCAACGTATGGGATCCTTGGTTTTGTGTATGCCTTCATACAACACCTCAACGAGCCCGCAGTAGTAGGTGCGTAATTTCTGGAAGTCCCACTGGTTTTGTACATCTTCGTCGTTGAGAAAAATGCGAAGATCCTTAGTGAAACTGACGAGATTTTGCAGTATCCATTCGTCATTGTAAACGTCGGTCTCCACCAGACAATGAGATGTGAGCTGGTAGAGATGGGTGAGCTCAGTACGCAGGGAGTCACTCCGCCTGCTTCGTCGAGGACTATTTAAAGATCGCTGGTGTAACATAAGCCATTGTCTAGCATCTTCGCTACAGATGGATACCGATGGTTGAAGGGCTTCTAGCAAGGGTCGAAAGAGATTGGTGTTAATCGCGCCCAGTCCATGGACAGCTGCCTCCCGAACTCCTGGGTGTATGGCAGACAAAAACGGAACGACTTTCGCGAACAATTCGTAAGCAGATCCAATCTTCTCTTGGTTGATTGAGGAGGCTTTGGAGCCTTTGCGCGAGTGCTGGAAGCTTTCTCTCGGGACGGGAGGTTGTTGCGAGCCACCAGTGTTAGTGAGGGTTGTACATGCAAAGATCAGGTGGAGCTTCCATTGTTCAATCGTGACCTCAGGAGGACTAAAGGCAGTTCTTCCTACCATGCGTTGTGAGAAAGCCGTCTCCAAAGCAGCATATGTGTTGGCTCTCGGTCCTTCGGCCAAGGTGCTGATAATCCTGTGAGCATGTGAGAGGCGCGCACAGACTATATCTCTGGTCAAGAGTACAGCTTGAGGACATATTTGCGAGCTGAGACGTATCAAATTGGGAAAAGCTTTCGACCAAAGAGCCAAGTCGTGGACAGTTTCGCTGCTGCAAAGTTCCACAAGAGTGTTGTTCATGTTGCTTTTCCTGAGGCCCTTCTGCAAACGACTGCGTTCGGCTAGTGAGAGTTTCTCGTCATTTACGTCGATGACTTGCTGTGAACTGCCTTCCAGAACGCTGATGATACGTGTGGAAGGCTGACCCAGAGCTGTATCAAACTTGGTGATGAGGCTGAGGACCCTGACGGCATACGCTCGAACGTGCCGCGACGGCGAGCACAGGAAGAACAGCCCATGCGATTCGATTTCATCTACATGAGCAAACACCCTTGAACGATTCAGGTCAGAAGGCATGCCACGAGCATACTCATCATCGTGAAGATCTGGTGATGCCATTTGAGGCTGTGATTTGAGTTCCTCAATCCATATCTCTAACAGTTCGACATAAAGGCGCAAAGTGCTTTCTATGTGGCCGTGTCCCAGGAGACTACCAGCAGAGACAGTGGCGTAGCGATCGTCGAAGTTGAATATAAAGCGGGCAAATCCGATCGTTACCAGTTGAGCATGCGATTGACGGGCGATAGATTTAAGAGATTGCGCGGATGATGAGGCGATGTGGTTTTGTACATGCGCGGTGCCTGTACATAGCAAATTGATAAGGTTCTTCAAAGGGATCTGAGGAGATAGGCATCGAGGAAGTGCTTGGACTGCGACGTGAAGGAGATCGTAGAAGTTCTGCCGAACTTCAGGTGAATTGAATAACTCGTCCCTCCGACTGAAACTGAAGGCATCCGCCATTGGTGTCTTAGGTATAGTCTGAGCAGAGAACTTCTCGTCAAGGACCTTCTGTCCGCCAAACGTCTCATCGCAGATAATGGTAATCTCACCCAGAATCTTACAGAACTTGACATATGACTCCTTTGCGACATCGCCAAAGTCAGCCGTCATGACGGGCTTGGACAACCGTTCAACCTTGGCCCCATTGACGGGAACTTGGGTTTGAGACAACGAGCGTCTGTGCGAATTGGGCGATCTTGAGAATGGATCGGTAAGAGCATCGCACTCGAAGCTGACAGGGAATGGCGGTTGATCACCTTTCTCTAAATCAGACATGATTGCAAGGAAAGCACGAATTGCAATCACCATCTTCTCGGGGTCGAGGTTCTCGATCCGACGATCCCTGCCAGTGATTATGACATCTGCGTTCATCAGAGGGAATATAATGGATCGGAAGCACAGGTCCTGATGCTTGAAACCAATAATGCGGATGAGCTGGATCAAAGGGTCGGCAATGGAGGGTTCGGTAGAGAGCAGTGACTTCTTGCCCGTCATAAAAACCATCCGGATTATATCGTCGAGTTTCTTGAATGTTGTAAGCTGGCCTTCAGAAGCTCTGTAGAGGTACACCCAAACCAGGCGGCACAATGCTTTGAGAGCATGGCCCCGAGTGGTGCGTTCCTTCAACTTCGGTTGTAGTTGGTGAAGGGCAGTCGGAAGCCACTGTTGCTGGAATACATCATTGGGCGACACGCAGATAGTCACAGCAAATATAGGAAATGCCTGCGCCCAATGCTTGGGTTTTGCGAGCAGCTGATTTAGTCTGATTTTGAGAATGTCCAAGACCTGCCTCCACTTGGGCGAGTTAAGTTCAGTGGTAGCCTTACTGGCGACCGGCAGCAGTAGATCTTCAAATAGCTGGCAATATGCATACTTGACCGGTTTACCATGTACGCCTGCGAAGAAGCCTGCCAGAAGATTAAGCAGGTCGCAGGACTTATCCCATGCGGTTTCGGGCTGCGTTTGTATTTTGAGCCAACGCATGCTATGCACAAGCAGAGCTGTATGATTCTCGAGATCTTTATCAGCATTACCTTTGATGGACAAGCGTCTCTGTGCGGCCTCCAGATCCGAGACGTATCGATCGGCAACCTTGTCAAAGCGCAAATTACCCATGACACCCAATAACTGGCCGAACATGTTCCATTGTGATTGTTTGAGAGCCGAATACGCGAGAGCCTCGGAGTCAAAGTTACGTAACTGGCCATAGATGACATCCTCAAGCCTCTCAGCAATGTCGTTGGTCAAGGCAGCCAACGTGCACTGGGATATGACTTGCGTGAGTACACGACAAAGGATATACACGGAAATTGCTGAGCGCCGTTCTCCTTGACGCAGATTCTGCTCGAGAGCAATAATGGTAGCAGGGTCGGTATGAGAAGGTAGCGAGGCAGAACTGCCATTTGTACTGACTTGAGACAGATCGGCACGACGAACAGTGGCAGAACCATTGGTCGATTGGGCACGAGCAGCCTGCAGCTGAGTATGGATCGGTGTCAACTCGTCACTCTTGGATTTGCGCCAGATCATGAGGGCATCAATCAGAGGCTTCGGGCGCGGGCGCACAATGTGGCCAAGAGCCTTTATCAGCTGGTCAAAGGCGTGGTCTGCGCCAGGGCCACAGATGGCTTCAACTCTAATCAAAGCATCGTCACGCTCAGAGACACAACGATTAATTTTGTCATTGGCCTCGCTGATGAACTCGTTCAACAAGTGGTGAAGGGCATATTCTCCGACAGTGGTGGGCTCTTGTTGGTGGTGTTGGCGTGATCGCGAGCGATGATGGCGGTGATTGTGGTGGTGATGATGATGTAGATGAGACTCATGTTCGCGCTTGATACGGCCGCTGTGCATGCGTTCGAGACGGCGTATTGGTACCTGGTCGGCAGGGGCATTTAACGTCGAGGATGAAGGGCTTTGGCGCAAAGTTGGGCCATCCTTTGGTGCTTGGGCGAGGATGATGCCTGGACTGATGGGGCTGGCACCTGTGGAGGAGACATGGCTCGGATTGCGCGAGTGCTGGTAGCCGTGGACAATGGACGTCTGGCGGTGGTGACCATAGGAAACGGAGTTCTTGCGCTCGACAGAGTCAGATTGGGCGGCAGGCGTGTGTGCACGCGAAGAGGGAGCGCGCGAGGCGGCACTGGGGGCTCTACCCCTGGTGGTTGAAGGGGGAGCAGAGGACGAGGCCGAAGTGTTTATGGCCTCCAAGCTCTCGCCCGGGTCGTGCAGCGAGGGCGAGGCATTTTGGGGAGTGTTCATTGCGCGTCTAGCTGCAGCGCCATGGGCGAGCCTGGTGCCGCTCCTGCGCAGGCGGTGGATCCGAGAAAACGAGACGGGGCACGGCGAGAGGGGCAGGCGACGGGTTGTATTTTTTCCAGACGAAGAGTTTGAGGGGTGCAGTCGTCGAGCAGACCTTGAATCTTTGCGAGCAGCACGCTCCTCGTACTGTAGGACCAAGATGACCCTAGAATGCACAGAGTGTGGGGTTTGCAGACAGCCACAGCCAGCAGCAGCAACCTCTCAAGCCCTCTCCCACCAGCCTGGCTCGCTGTGCACATGGCCATTTACTTGATACATACGACTACATTTGAACGCTGCACTCTTGTCGCTGACGGCCACTGTACTTGTACCGTGCCGGAACAGTTGGTGTTGGTTCTGAAGCTGTCTCATCACTGTGCCATATACCCACCGTGCACTCTTTATTGCCCACTCACATGTCTTGCTCTCTTGTCCAAGTGCCGATGTTACAATATGCGTGTGGAAACCTAGCCGGCACCGGCACAGCGTGGAGCCGAAGCAGAAGCGGCAGCAGCAGCAGAAACAGAAACAGAAACAGAAGCACGGAATTCGGCCGTTCGAAACACTCGTCCATTCCGGTTGCTGGCCGTCATCTGCATGATGCGGACATGAAAGACTGCTGAGCATAATAATCATGCCACTCATAATAATCCCGAGCCCCTTAGCCCACCCAACACTCTTGTACATTGGCCATCTCGCTAGACTGTCTAGTTTCTGAAGTCTGCCAGCTTTCCTTTTTGCCTTTTTCCATCGTAAGCTTGGTCTTGGTGTCCTTGTCCACTCTGCTGTCTTTGCCGGTCTTTTGGTCCGTTGCGCGGTCCTCTCGATAAGCCCGCCCCGCACCCGCTGCCAGTGGACACCTAGGTAACTTTACTCTTCGTCCTGCAAGTCTTCGCCTCTTCTCTCGTCCACGTCCAACTCTGCTCCGGCCACCTGTCGACAACATGGCCCAACTCGACACTCTCGACATTGTCGTCCTGGCTGCCCTCCTCCTGGGCACTATCGCCTACTTCACAAAGGGGACCTATTGGGCCGTCGCCAAAGACCCCTATGCCGGCTCTCTCGCAAACGGTGCTGCCGCCAAGGCTGGCAAGACTCGGGACATTCTTGAAAAGATGGATGAGACCGGCAAGAACTGTGTCATTTTCTATGGTTCGCAGACTGGCACTGCCGAAGACTATGCCTCGCGTCTGGCAAAAGAGGGCTCCTCTCGCTTCGGCTTGAAGACCATGACAGCCGATCTCGAGGAATACGACTTTGAGAACCTCGATTCCTTCCCCGAAGACAAGGTTGCCATGTTTGTCCTGGCCACCTACGGCGAGGGCGAGCCTACCGACAACGCTGTCGAGTTCTACGAGTTTATCAGCGGCGAGGAAGTTTCCTTCAGCCAGGGAGGCGGCATCTCCGAGAAGCCTCTGAGCAACTTCAAGTACGTCGCTTTCGGTCTCGGCAACAACACCTACGAGCACTACAACTCCATGGTTCGCAACGTTACCAAGTTCCTCGACAGGCTTGGTGCAAACAGAATCGGCACTGCTGGTGAAGGTGACGACGGTGCCGGCACTATGGAGGAGGACTTCCTGGCCTGGAAGGAGCCCATGTGGAAGGATCTAGCTGCATCCATGCATTTGCAGGAGCGTGAGGCTGTATACGAACCCGTCCTTGAAGTCACTGAAAAGCCAGACATGGACGCCGAGTCGGACGATGTTTATCTGGGAGAGCCTAACAAGAACCACCTGGAGGGCAAGCAAAAGGGCCCTTTCAATGCCCACAACCCCTACATCGCACCCATCGCCGAGTCCAAGGAACTTTTCACCGTCAAGGACAGAAATTGTCTGCACATGGAAATCGACATCAGCGGCTCCAATCTCTCTTACACCACCGGCGACCACATTGCCATTTGGCCTACCAACGCTGGAAAGGAGGTCGATCGTTTCTTGAACATCCTCGGCCTTGCTGAAAAGCGCCATATGGTCATTTCTGTCAAAGGTTTGGATGCCACAGCCAAGATTCCTTTCCCCTCTCCTACCACTTATGATGCTGTCGTCCGCTACCATATGGAAATCTGTGCCCCAATTTCGAGACAGTTCATTTCGACTCTTGCGCCCTTCTCGCCCAATGACAACATTAAGGCCGAAATGACCAAGATGGGCAATGACAGGGATTATTTCCATGAGCAGGTCGCTGCTCGTAACTACAACCTCGCCCAGCTTCTTGAGTTCCTGTCTCAAGGCCAGACATGGGATAAGGTACCTTTTACCATCTTCATTGAAGGCCTCCACAAGATCCAACCCCGCTACTACTCCATTTCCTCGTCTTCCTTGGTCCAAAAGAACAAGATTTCTATTACTGCCGTTGTCGAGTCTGTTGAAATTCCAGGAGCATCACACGTGCTTAAGGGTGTCACTACCAATTACTTGCTAGCTCTCAAGCAGAAGCAACACGGTGACCCTAACCCTGACCCCCATGGACTGAACTACGCCATTACTGGTCCCAGAAACAAATACGACGGCATTCATGTGCCTGTCCACGTCCGTCACTCCAACTTCAAGCTTCCTTCAGACCCGTCTAAGCCCATCATCATGATCGGTCCAGGTACTGGTGTTGCGCCATTCCGTGGTTTTGTCCAAGAGCGCGCCAAGCAGGCACGCGATGGTGAGACAGTCGGTAAAACCATGCTGTTCTTTGGTTGCCGAAAGAAGTCAGAGGACTTCATTTATGCGGATGAGTGGGAGGTATGTTAAAGTGACCTCCGTGAGGAAATTGCAGAAATAACTGACGGTTACACAGGCGTACAAGAACGATATGGGTGACAGCTTTGAGATGTTGACCGCCTTCTCTCGTGAAGGCGCTCAAAAAGTTTACGTGCAGCACCTTCTCAAGCAGCGCGCCGCCGAAATCGACAGACTTCTGCAGCAAAAGGCTTACTTCTATGTCTGCGGCGATGCAGCGAACATGGCACGTGAGGTGAACACTGTTCTGGGCCAAATCATTGCCGAACAAAGAGGGATTTCAGAATCCAAGGCAGAGGACATTGTCAAGGCCATGCGCAACAGCAACGCCTACCAAGAAGACGTGTGGTCATGAGGGAAAACGCGGATGTTTTCCATTCTGTTCCATTGAATTGTTTTTACGCGTCACTTTTGCATGATCAAGCGATGGTCGGTTTGGATAAGTTGATAGAATACACCTGTGTCATAATCTTCATCCTCAACAGAATAATTGTGATGTATCAAAAGAGGCCGTGACAGGTGCGCGGCTTATGCAGATGCAACTCCCCGGAATGCAGAGTCTTCCCGCTAACCCGGTTGTCCTGTCGCAACTGAGGTCATGATTGCTGTAACAAAGAGGAGATGTGGTTGATTCGCTCGTATCTGTCACCCAGGTCCAGGTTCATCAAGACTCCGGTGGACAACAGCCGACGCGCAATGACCTCCTGACGTCGGCTGCTCCTGTGGACTCCCTGAGCCCTCAGAGTGCATCGCCATTCCAACCATGCTGTTCGTCAGAATATTCCGTGCCTCTTGCAAGACTTGTTATGCAACAGCGGGCTTCCGGCAGTGGATCCCGCTTCGAATTCGAGACAAACGGGCCCCTCTTGGTGCGACCTGAAGCCGTGACACCACGGCTCCAAATCGACTGTCTAACTGCTTTAGCCTGCGGGTTTGCACAGATATTTGCAGGATCAGTCTCTTGCCATAAGCCGACCATCGTATCAGCTGTCCACAAAAATGATGCCGAACGACAAACAGATGCGAGATGCTGAGTCCAGCATGGTTTATCCTCCCTTGCCTGTGTCTCATTGTCGACTGTTGTTCAATGGGCCTGTATGGACGTGATTTAGGACTGCTGCATGACAGTGAAGTATCTGCCTGCCCACAGCGCAGTTGCTTTGCACACTATCATATTAGAATTCGTGAAGACGGCAAGCAGCAAAGGATCAGACTGTGAGTAAAGACGGTCACCCTAAATTGTCAAGGAGGACGAGTCCGTAAAGCTGCCCCTGTCCGCGGACCTGCGCATACTGCAATCGAGCAGTAGAGCTTTGGCATGCAGTGTGGTTGGTGCAGGTTGTGTAGCCGGAAGATTTCAAGGTGGTTCGCAGCAGCATCCACACATTCGGTTCGGCTTGCATATCCAAAACATTGCTCGTCCTCAAGGCTCATCTTGGTCATCCAGACATCAGATAAAAAAGAGCAAACCTTCCCGCCGTACCTGCATTCGAGTTTCTTTGGACGACATTGACTTGAACCCATGCGCGGCGCACCTTTGCATTGCTATCTTGGATTCTGACATACATTTTTTCGCCATCTCTCTCTTTTCTTTTTGGCTTGCGTCAGTCATCGCTCTGATATTCCTCACCTACGCATCGAATATTAGATTGGTTGTTGTACATGCTAATCCGTCGGTGCTGCTCTTACGCATACCTTCCTCTCTCGATTCAGTACGTAACGACATCTATGCTCCTTCTTCTACGTGCGCCACCCCACCGAAGCACATGCAAATCTGAGCGGCTCCTGCCTCAACCACGGCCATACACACACAGCCTGAAGGAAAGAACGAGCCAAAGATTGCCACACCCAATCCGGTGCGCACTGCACTTTTTCCATCTCTTCCTCCTCTTCCTCAACCTCTTTCTCGTCTTACCATCACACTCTTCCTCCCCAGTCTTCTTGACAATCATCATCTCCCATCTTCTTCATCTCTTGTATTCTGTCCGCCGCGGCGCTACATTGATAGCATAGCTTCTGTGCTCATCAACCTTTTTGTCCGATAGATACAACGCATTACACCTTGTTATCAACCCCTTCGGCTCGAAGCACTCGTCCATCAGTCTGTCTTCGGTCTACTCAAGTAAGTCATCAAGCACACCTCATTCGTTGCAACCTCTAACTCAAGTTTCGTTCAGCACGTCAAGCATGGCCGATACTCAAAGTCAGCGTGGCAACAACTACACCCGCGGCGGTCAGCGTGGTTCAGGCTATGGCCAAGCCTTGATTCGCAACAGCAACACCAGCTACCACAGCGGTTACGGTACTCAACAAGGCCACACTGCTGCCAACATGGCGGCACTGACTCATGGTCTTCAAGGCATGAACCTCCACGATGCGACCTACTCGAACCAGTCTAAGGCCGCCGTCATGGCTGCCACTGGCCACCAATTCAACGGCCTGCCTATGCCCGCTGCTCTCTGGGGTGCGACCAATCATCTCATGTTCTCCGGAGGTCACTCTTACCCTGCTGCAGTCCATCAGCACAACCCTGGCCTCTATACTCCCATGGCTGCTCAGTACATCCCTCACGGCTATCATCAGCAGCAGCATGACAACAGCCCCATGTCGCAGACTTGGACACCCAGCCACACAACTGGCGACGTCCCAACCCTCATCACTCCACGCCGGGACTCCATCTCATCGAACGAGAACGACGCTCCTGGCACTCCGTCATACGCTGGCTATCCCACCTATCATTCGGTCCCTGGAGTTGCAATCGTCAATCGTTCTCCAACTGGCATGTACACGCAGAGCTCCCCTTCTCCTACTCAGGTCCTCGCTCCCTATGGCATGCCTTTGTCGAAGATGGCTGAGCACCGCAGCATCTCTCCAAGCCTTCACATGCTTGTAAACAAGGAGCCACCCATCCCTCAGGCAATTCCAGCCCCCAGCTCTCCCTTGAAACCCCTTGACAGAGCTCTGGAGAACATTCGCGGTGAGACAAATGTCTACATCCGTGGCCTCCATCCCGAGACAACCGATGAGATGCTTGAAGGCTGGGGCAAGCGCTTCGGAGACATTCGCAGCTCCAAGTCGATCATTGATCACTCCACGGGCCTTTGCAAGGGGTAAGTCTGACAAGTCACTCATCTTGGCTAGACTGTGCTAACATTGGTTCTTATAGCTTTGGCTTCGTCAAGTACCACAATTACGAGGACGCCGAGAACTGTATCCGCGGCTTTCATTACCTGGGCTATGAAGTTAGCTTTGCCAGAGTATGTTCCTCATTGACCAATCCGCCATGACATCCGTTGACCATTGATCCAGGAATCTTTCTACTCTAAACTCAAGACGTTCGCTGATGAGGGTAACACCAACCTCTACGTTTCCAATCTGCCCAAGTCTTTGAATGAGCACGAGCTTGCATCTGTGTTCACACCTCACAAAGTCTGCTCGGCCAGAATCCTTCGCGACAAGAATGGTACTTGTCGTGGAGTCGGCTTTGCTCGGTGAGTTGTTCTGCTGCCCCATCAACCTTGACTTCAATCTGACAACCTTTCCAGTTTCGAGTCCAGAACGGTCTGCGAGGAAGTCATCAAGAAGTTCAACAACTACAAAGTCAACGTCGCAGGTGAAGAGTACACGATTCAGATCCGCTTTGCCGACACTCAGGAGCAGAAGCAGCTCAAGCAGCAGACAGCCGCCGCTCGCCAATTCCGCTCTGCCGAGTACGAGTATGCTACCCAGGCTCACAAGGCTGGTTACTCCTCCAGCCGTGGCTCATACGCCTCCAACAACGAGTTTGAGACGTACATGACAACCAGGTCAGCTTCTTGACAAGACTCATCGTCAGTGTCAGCTAACACGTTTGCTACAGTGTGCCTATCCAGAACCAGCGCTGGTCTCAGTCCGCCCTTCGCAACATGTCAGGCCGCGCTCCTCTTGCTGCTTTGCCCTCCGGCAACAACATCCAGTACCCTGTCGCCCAGACCAACGGAGGCGCCAACTCGGAGAACCAGCCTCCTGCTCGCACCGACCTTGCTGACACCAAGTCCGCCACCAACTCCTCGCCAGCAATCGCTCGCGGCGACCAGACTGCCGTTGAGTCGACCACTTCGGATGACCAGATCTCTTGATTGGTTGCTTTACATACCATCATCGACGACTGATGGTTCAATGAATGCTTCCTTGCCGTGAAGGAATGCGGGTTTCACAGCACAACTTGTCACTTTCTTATCTTGCAGCATGTTCCGACACGACACAGATACACAGCATCTCTTCTCCACGCTCATGACGTCTTGCTAGTCTATCATCCATGGCTCACCCGCCACGCTCAGCATTTCCTTTGCCTTGTATTCGCAGCGCCACTCAGGCAGTATGACATACTGCACACACACACAGCTTCCGATCCAGTGTTTGCCGGTGCTACATTGCCTTTCGATCGACCATTGCCATTGCTGTTCTGTTTCCTTTTGTCTTTGCTGTCTTTTTCAGTTTTTTCTTTTTCAGCTGTCATAAGTAATGAATGAGATGCTTCGTTGCACGAGATATGAATCAATGCACAATATCTGCTAGGAGGACGAGATTGACCGACGAGCTTGCTTGTAACGAGTATGGGATATTATGGCTGGAGTCTAAAAGTAGATAATCACAATGCAATCAATTGTCAGCATATCTTTCCTACATCATCGTGTCATGGTACCATTTATGTCAAAGGCACTCTTCAACTTGTGCGAGAGGGTTTTCGTAGTCACCATACAAGTCACCACAGTGTCAAGACACCACTTTACGAGAAGTCGGACAGTCTGTGACGATGGCAAGTCAAGATACAGTGCTGCTGGCCGGAGCCTATTGTGCTACAAACTGGATCAATGTACTCATTTCTTGGAGAAGAAAGACATTATGTTTCCTTGACCCTTTGGAGCAGCCTTCTTGGTCTTTGCGGTGGTGGGCGCGACCGATACCTTTGCCTTCTTGGGCGCAGGCTCTTCTTCTGAGAAGGACTCCCAAGCGGCTTCTTCTCGCGTCACTACATTCTTGGTCAGCGCAAGATCATTTTGGCTCCGGAGTCTGATACATACCAAGATAGCCCTCTTCGTCCTGGACCGTCTTCTTCTTCATCACTCTTCTCTTGCCCCTGCGGCGACCATCGGATACGGTGACAGTTTCTTCAGGTTCTTCTTTCGTCTGTGCTTCTGGCTTGGAATCAGGTTCGTCCTCCGCACTTTCTGGGGCTTCTGCTGGAGCAGCCTTGGTCGGTGCATCGGTCATTGGTTCGTCTAGATCATGTTAGCCAGTCTTGTAGCACACAAGTACGGGGCGAAATATCTTACCCTCCATGTCCATCATACGGCGAAGTTCATCCTCTCTTTCTTTCTTTGATTTACCTCCAGCCTCGGTAATTGCGCCTTCATCGAGCATAGCAGCGTCTTCATCGTCAGCCTCTTCATCGGACAACTCGTGCATGGCTTCTAGGATATCTGTCAGCTCTTATAACAACCTTCAGTCATCACAGTACTGACCATCCTCCTTCGCGGCCGAATCTAGACCAGGTGAAGGTTCGGCGGAGCTCTCAGTCGCCTGGCTTAGAGTCTTCGGCTTGGCTTTAGCGAATGCTTTGAACAAGCTCGATCCTTCACGTTTGAGAGGTGCAGTCTTCGTAGCAGCAGATTTGGCAGAAGCTTGAGTCGATGCCTGTGATGAATCGGGAGTAGATTTGGCCGAATTTGTAGTGTCCTTCGAGACGTCTTTCTTGGCGGCAGGTCTGCTGGAAGAAAACATGGACTTGGCTGCCTTTGTGTCGGTATTCGAAAGTGTGGCCTTTTGTGCCGGGGGTTGTTTCTGGTGATGCTGATTGCGCATAGAGCGACGCTGGACAGGATTGTATCAGTGGCCCGGTGCTTTGAATGATCGAGTGAGATATTCACCTTTACTTGAGGGTTCTGAATGACACCATATTGCTTGTACGTTTCGAGCAGGTCTTCATTGATCGCTGCAGCCATGATGGCTCGATTGCAGTCGGTCAAGATATGCAGGTCCTGCCTGAGATTAGCGGCTGGCCTGCGATGGAAAGAGATCTGAGTTTATGATACATTGATCTTGCTGGGCTGAATGCTGTAGACGTGTATTGACAAGACGTGGTCGAAAGTAGATCTGGCGCCTGTATGGACGTCAGAGAATATGTCTACGGCCGCAGCTGGACTAAGCAGACTAACTTTCAAGATTGTCCTCGCCTACCAGAAGCAACGATGTAGCTTGGTAAGCGGTGGGGCTTTGATGAGCAGGACTGGTGTGTAGAGTCTTGTCTGATGCATCTTGGCTCTCGAGGGTATCGTTTTCGGCTTGTTGTGGTCGAAGAGATTGAGTTCCGGTGATGAGATATGTGGCGTGTAACGAATTGGGCTGCTTGTTGTTCTGGGAGCGATGGAAGTCGTAGAGCATCTGTTTGGCAAGGTTGCTGTGGACTCGAAGTGCTCGACTCAAGGTGCGGTAGCTGACCTGTTCCTCTGGGGTTAGAAAGCAGTCGTAGACAAGCAGGGTAGCTCGACTTACAGTCTGTCCATCGTTCAGCACGTTGGCCGAAAGGTATCCGATGTAATCATTGGCCATCGTGTCGCATGTACTTCTGTTGGACTACGTCAAAGAGCGAGCTCATGGCACTCGTCAGGGTTGACGCGACGCGTAAAGTGGCTTGGCAGTGCCTTCTTCCTCTAGCCTCCCTTCCTCCTTCTTCAACCTCAGTCTTTGATGTCGCATAATCTGAGTCAAAGCTATAATGTGTCTGAACATCGCCTTTGACAAGTCTCATGCCTACTTGTCTCTCGGCATGACCTGGCGCATCTTGTGTCTCGAGACCGCATACTTGTCTTTGCTGCGACACGCTATGTACCACTGGCCTACTTTCGCGACCAACGTCTTTAATATCTAGGCGTGCTTGATGTGCTTTCAAGACTACATGCTGTCATGCGTCTCTCCAGCCTTCTGCCTGTGCTCGAGACATGGACTAGGACATGACAAAAAGTATGAGACTTCGCCATTGAATAAGTTTCTGTGTCTTTCGGTATATATTCTCGCAGTATCCATCAAGGAGCTGCACATCTTACAGCATATCACCACAACAAAACCATGATAGCCACATTCTCCGACTTCCTTACTGTCCTCGACCAGATGGCCTTGGTGCCTGCCGAGTTGCAAGCCAGCCTAGACTCGTCTGCTCTAACTCCGAGTCAGGCCGAAGTGCTGCGTCAGATCGCAACTCATTTCCTTGAACCAGAAGGTCTGCCCCAATCTGGGTCTTCTGTTCGACCAGTACCAGCATCGCTTGATCCCTGGAGAACTTTTCATCGCTGCAACCACCTCGTGCTCGATCCCGTGTACCATAAGATTCTAATCTCGGGCCCGCAACATTTTGTCGATTCTTATCGAGATGCGACAGTCTACGACGGCGTTATGTTAGCATCCAGAGCTGCAGAGCATCAGTCTGTGAAACGACTACGCGAGCTCTTGATTTCGCTAGCGTTATTCGACATTGGCAGAGATCGCTTCTCACGTTTCTCTGGGAATAAATTGTCAGATCGTATGAAGGACGAACTTCAGTCGCTATTTCCTGAGGGAGATGTGATCGAGCAGTACAAGGCAGGCAAAAATCTGACCCACCTCTGCGAAAAGTTTGGCCTGGGTTGCGTATTGTACCTGGCCAACCTCCTCTCCAAGGACTTGTAAGTTGTTGAGTTCGGTATGCTGTGTGACTGAGCCAGCTGACAGATGACACAGCTTGTGCAAGAAATTTACTGCCAGTGGACGATACCACGATGGCGCCATCGATCACCTCAACACATTACACTTACAACAGGTAGCCAGAGAGAGCGGAGCCAACGACTTCGTCGAGAAGGCTAAGGCTCTGTCGTTGATGTACCTGAAGATGAGGACGAGCCAGTGTTGAGGGTTCATGAGAGTACCGCTTGAAGTGCAGTGTGAGCATCCCATCCTGCGCATACAAATTACACGGTCCACGGAGTTTATTAAACAGGTACAGGGGGCGTTTTGGTCTATCGGTATGGAGTGGAGAATGCAAACAAACGTAGTTTGAACTTGGATTATTGTCATTAGGGGTATAAAACTTTCAACTCTCTGAAGTAATGGGTATCAATGCGTCCCCTGGTCGTAACTGGAGTGATTCGTGTCGCTCTTGTGGTGTATCCATGAATGATCGTGAATGCCGAGAAAGGTATGATGGAATCAGAAGAGTGCGGGAGCGAGCGATGTGCCGCTGAGCTGTATGAAAAGTAGCGGGAGAGTGCCATGATGTTCCGAGATTGATCGACTGAAGAGTGGGCGTCGTGTTCGTTGCTGGTACCGTGTCGATGTCAGGAAAGATCTTGGTTGACTCTCGAACTGCTTTCGTGCTCGCTCCCGCTCACTAGACCGCACTAGTCGTTCTGCGGCGACCGCCTCCACCTCTACCGCAGGTGAGGCAAGAGATGATGATGTCGAAGACGGCGACGACTCCGTTGATGATGGCCTTGAGGATGGCACCGATTCCATTAACGACAGCCATCAAGGCAGCGCCGATAGCGCGGAACACCGAGGTAATCTGAGGTTCAATTAGTTAACTGCCATGATCAACATTGGAGCGCGACGACTTACACAAGATACGACGGCACCCATTGTGTTGTATGTGAGCTTGTGCTGTGTATGTGGATTGTCGGCCAAAGGTAGGCTGAAAAGGACGAGTTGAGTGTGATGTGTTTGTTTTGTTGCAGGTAAGCGAGGAATGTGAGAAGGAGTTGATGATAGATTTAGTGAAATGTGAAACTGCAGGAGCACTTATATCTTCAAGCTGCACGCTCGGTGTGACCATGATATCACACACCTTCTTTCCATGCTAATATCAGAAAGCAGGAAATAATCTCAGCTGCCCAGCGACCAAGGCATCCGATGATATGGATGGCAGGGGATATCCTCAGGCCTGTTCTCGATCTGGCAATAATCTACACGATGCCAGTCTGACCCTTACCTCATAAATCTAACGCGCCATGCAGACTTTGCGGTCTTAGACTCAATGCGGCTCTAAAGGTGCAACAACAAGCGGCTGTCGACATCAGTCCGTTTGAAGGGGGATACAAAAGCAGGGACAGAGGCTCAAAACTTGGAAGATCTACAGTATTTTTGACAGGTGCTAGCGGAAATTAGACGCACCGCCACCTGAACTATGTCATAATCAGCCACTGCACGACGTCCAGCCACTGTCGTCTTGCATGGCTTGTGGCTCCTCTTTTTTGCTGTATAGGTCATAGGCAGAGTCATTTGCACATCTATTGCATCAACTACGGTACCGCTTACTATCATGGTGACGGACGCGTGGCCATGGTCTCGTATATCCCTGCAGAATGTCGTTCGTGAATCGTGAGTATGGGTAGAGCAGTGACGCGCTGCCAAGTCTATCACCGATGACCAACATCTCCTCTAAGAGATTTGACAGAAGACGATATGGTGTGATCATGATGTACAAACAGTTCGAGTTCTTCTTGCTCTGCTTGAGAGGTGATGAAATCGTCCACCTTTTGTTGGATTCAGCTTCGATCGCCTATCACGCACGTTCAGATGTTTGATTTTTGCTCGTTTGCCAATCCAGCCATAGTCGACGTCTGGTGAAAGGAAGAAGAAACAAATTGGCGCCTGACTCCTTCCACGACACAACAGCCGCCTGATATACGGTTACATGAGCAAAGATAACAAGGCCGAACTGGTCATACAAATGATTGCCTTGTAGAAACACCTTACTCCTTAAGATGTAGAAGATATTTTCCTTGTTCAGTTGTCAGGTATGTGACCCTGGTATCTTCAGCTTTCTTGGCAACGTGACCCGCTCGATGGAGGCAGAACAGAGGCAGGATTAGGCAACGATGGGAATGGCCCCAGTGCCGTCCAATCCAAGTTCACGATCAAGACAAGAGCGAAGGCGTGTAGCGCTGTTCAGGAAGAGCATTGATAGAGCAGTTCAAAAAGTTGTCGTGGTGATGGACTGACGTATCAAGAAATTCAGCGTTAGCCGAGACACCGCCCACACGCTGGAATAGAGAAACGCACGGGCCAAGGACGAAGCAGAGCAGCAATTGAGAGAAGACGACGACAGCAACGAGGCCCAATCGCTGAATACCACCAATCCCACCCTCTGCTCCCCCTCACGTGAGTCTTGCTCGTCGCTGCTCTATTCGCTCGCTCCTGACAAGTCGCCCGCCTGATAGATACTACTCGATTGTAGCCATGGATCAAGCAAAGCTCCAGCGTCTTCAAAATGCCGTGCGCATTGGTATGAACTCTCGCCATTCTGTGAATCGAGTGCCCTGCTAACCTGTACCGCAGGGTAAGCTCCGAATTTTTGCGAACTCATCGAATGCGCGCGCCGAGACTAATTTAATCCGCAAACAGTGGCAAGGGTACTCCCAGAAGAAAGGTCAAGAAGGTCAACAGATCCGGCGGTGGTGACGACAAGAAGCTCCAGGCTGCTCTCAAGAAGATGAACGTTCAGCCCATCCCTGCCATTGAGGAGGTCAACATGTTCAAGTCGGACGGCAACGTCATCCACTTCGCTGCCCCCAAGGGTGAGTTGCTGTCCCCGCCAGCCTCGTCTCACCATCTCAAATATTGACACGTGCCCACCATAGTCCACGCTGCCATTCCCTCCAACACTTTCGCCATCTACGGCAACGGTGAGGACAAGGAGCTGACCGAGCTCGTCCCCGGCATTCTCAACCAGCTCGGCCCCGACTCGCTCGCTTCCCTCCGCAAGCTCGCCGAGAGCTACCAGAGCATGCAGAAGGGCGTCGAGGGCGAGGACAAGAAGGAGGACGACGATGACATTCCCGACCTCGTCGAGGGCGAGAACTTCGAGGGCAAGGCCGACGTCGAGTAAACATCGCCAAACACAACAACCCTCATGCAATAAAAGCAAAAATCAACTTGTCAATCGCATTTCACTCTTGTCGCCCCCACGTCTGCCATTCCACGCAGCACTATCGGTCACCGTCATTCTGCTTCAGCTATGATTTGGCATCCGCCAAGGTTGACTGTACGCGATTTCGTCGTCTCATGAATGCACGATCCTAACCCTTTGAAAAGCTCGGCGGCAGTTGACCAAGGACAAAATCACCGGGTCTATCTATTCCGTATATGCTTTGATGAAACGCAAAATCCATGTTCATATGGCTGTTCTTCACTTGTAATCATGTCTTCTGTGTCTCAGTACATGCTCCTGCTATGCTACTGGAATCAAGGTAAATATGCTCTGTATGACAATCTGATGCTCTCGTGAGACGTGCTCAAATATCATTCGAACATCTTGCTCAACTGCTTCAAGTATTGGAACCAAGGGTGAATAGACGTGTCTATCATGAACATATGCCTCGACAATTTGATCATTCAACCCTTGAAGTTGTAGGAAGTATGCAACTGTTTTGAAGCAACAAGTTTGCCATACGAGTGACTAGACGGAACTACTGTACTTCATCAAGCTCAATGCTTTTAGCATATGCTTTCGAAGCTCGATAAATAATTCTAGCCCACAGCATAAGGCTCACGAAAGCGCCTTGGCACATTGACTACACTCTCACTCTTGGAACATAACTTCCTTATGCACCTCGTCCTCGGAAACTCGTAAATGATGAGCGTCCGCCCACCAACAGGCGACGCATGCCTCTCTTTGACTTGCCGACTAACTTGTCCAAGATTCAGTCCAGATGATGCGCTGCCCATCAATGTTCGTCCAGCCCACAACGCCGGCTATGTCAGCACAAAGTTGTGCATTCACCCACTATCCACCACAAATCCATCAATTCATACCGAATCTTTCTCTTTCTTTTTCCAATGCATACAACAACCAAAAAGAAGTCTTCAGACGTGCTCAAAAAGCAAAAAGAACGACGCCTGCAGGACTCGAACCTGCGCTCCCGAAGGAATTAGATTTCTAGTCTAACGCTATAACCACTCAGCCAAAGCGCCTAGCCGATATTCGGTGAGATGAGTAGCGCTTCAGTCAGCTGCAATATATACATGTCCAAAACAAGTTCTTCCATCGCAAGTGCAACCTTGCTAGAGAACATCACTTTCTCCAAAAACTATCCTCTCACACTCGAATCTTCATTCAAAAGCCGTGTATCGGCTGGGCGCTTTGACCGAGTGGTCATAGCGTTAGGGAACGAGAGTAAAGGAAGTGAACGGAAATCCTCGTTATGAATTTGCTTTGTGGTAAACAGGATTGAACTCCTGGTATGGCAAGTAAAGAACGTTGTTGCTGTTGTGTTTCTCTTTATCACCGACCTGACTTCCCTCCTCTATGTGACATATCTCTACTAGCACCAGTGTCCATGACCCCAGGTGACTGCATATTCCTTCCATCACTGTTTCTTGATTCTCTGCCCCTTGGTCAGCATCAAACACCGGAACAGAAACTCAGGTCCTCTCACTTCTTGGGAGTATCAAGGCTTGCTGGTCTCCTCCTCGAAATCGACGTCGAGAACGTCAGCTTTTCCGTCGGGCTCTTGACAGTAGATGATACGAATGGTGTGACCATGCTTCAACGTAACCTATCACTATGGTTCACCACTTGCATTTTAACGAGTCCGAGATCTCTTGACATACCTCATTGGGGGTCTCTTCAGGGTCCAGCCAGCGGCAGCCTTCCTCCCACCAGTAGCCTGCTCCTCCTGCCATGATGGTGCCGAATCTGGCCTTGATGCGCATGCTCTCCCAGTTGATGTCGAAGGGCATGCTGGAGGTAGGATCGGAGTTGTCGCTAAGGATGCGGATAGTGATGAGAGGGCCGAGGGGATGGTTGGGCTCAGGGTCTGGAGAAGGTTTGGGCATGATGTAGTCTTCTTCGGTACGATCGGTTCTGTGGAGGATGTATGCACTAGCCATGTTTGCTAGAGGTTTGAGAAAGGTGTCTTGCTGAGGAGATACGGATTGGTTGAAGTGTCGGGTTGGTGTCGTGAGATGAGAGGTGTTTTATATGTCCCCATCGTCGAGAGATGGCGATAGAATATGCCGGAAGGCAATCACGAAAAGACAAACCCAACGTGTAGACAATCGTTCTACACACTACTTCAGCAAAGCTCTCCTGCATGCTTACCCCTGTGAACCTCTTTAAAAGTGTACTGGTGAATCAGCAATCAACAAACATAAATGACAAAGATGTGGCATGATGTATATCTTTGTTGCAAAACGCCGAGAAAGGAGATATCACAACAGCAAGATGTTATTCATAGACCTGCTGTGCCAAACAAACACTGCTGCAGAAGCAACGTTCATCTCTTGGGCTGAAGAGATCAATGAATGCTTACCATCCTTGTATGCTAAAACATGTAAGCGTTTAGCTATGAAAATACACAATGGTACTAGAATTTGGACAGTGTCCACTGAGAAGCGACAACTCATCGACTGTTAGTGGACACACTGTCATTTTCGAGAAAGTTTTGCCTTTTTGCAGTGTACACCCTACTTTTCGCTGGACCTGGAGTAAGGGGAACTTAAAGACTTCAGCACACGGGGCGGCATGGAGATTTCGCGTGATCGGAGCCGTGAAGAAGCTCTCACATGAAAGGATGGTATATGTTTGTCGCGTTCCCATTAGCATTGGCCACAAGTCGTTGTTCACTACAGAAGAGGGTTCACACTAGGTCTTCGTAATTCCAGACTCAAACCCTGCTGACTGCAACATCTACATCCTTACCCTTCAAGCTGTCAGTGTCTCCATGCTCTGAAGCGACCTCGCTCTCTTGTACTGCGTCACCATGCAGTGTCTCTGCGAAGAGCTTCCTCTTCGGCATCAGATATCTGACATCCACAAATCTCAGCACACAGGTCATGCAAATGACCACAAGCCACAGGCTCAATGCAGTCTGCCATCCACATCTATAGTAGGGCGCTTCCTTAGCAGGCCAGATCAGGATACCAGACCATGCCGAGACAGCATAATAGCCAGCGACACTGGCACCGACGATAAGCGATCGAGCCTCAGGGTCTTGTGGTATGAGTTCGGAGAGCCAAGAGAAGATCAGTGGTGCTGTGCCGAGGGAGAGGTAGGAGATGAAGTAACTGGCGTAAGCAGCAGAGACAGGCACGTCGTTGGGGTTGCGTGTCCAGAATATCATGATGATTGCGGGGATCAACCCGATGAGGGCCTGGGTGATGATCAAAGTCCAGCGTGTGCGTAGGGTGTCGGAGAGAATGGCCCAAATCCAGACGAAAGTAACGGCGATGCCACCTCCTGCAATGGGAATAACATTCACCTCCTCGGTAGACCTAAATATGTCAGCGCGACTCCGAACTTCACGGAACATGGTTGACATACCAGCGCTTTGATCCATCCGGTCTGGTGAGAGCTTTCAGAAATAGGTTAAAGTATTGATAGCCTCCTTGGGCATGAACGGTAGCGATGTACAAAGCGGCGATAAAGTATAAAGTCCAGCCAGAGAAGGCACGTTTAGTACCCGCCCAGGACAGCTTCTTCGGCTCTGCTCTCCCATGACGGGCCAGACGTTCCATGGCAAGTTCTGCATCTACTTTCTTGAACCAGAAAGCCCTAGGATTGGGATTGTTGGGTACGTCTGGCAACATGAAGAAGCCCAAGATACCCCACACCACAGTCATGATTGCATCTGAGAATGTGTCAGTACTAAGTGTCTTCCAAGAGCATCGTGCAAGGCACTTACTGATCACAAAGAGCCAGCGCCAGCCAGACAGCCCTTTGCCTTCGAGTGTAGCTATGATAGCAGCCTGCAACGCACCAGACATCATATAGCCCAATGTCTGACAAGATTGATAAAAGCCCATTCTTTTCGCAAGCTCCATAGGTGTATACCAATGCATGAGTAAAGTCATCATGCCAGGCCATGCGCTGCTTTCACACAGCCCTAATAATACTCTCAATACATAGACTTGCTTCGCGTTCTTCGTTAATGCCATCAGGCCTGTGATGACACCCCAGGTGATCTCAAGACCAGTAAGCCAGTAGCTTGGCCGGACGTATGTCATGATAGCTTGCGACGGTATAAGCATGAGGCAGTAGGAGATGTTGAAGTATGTGGTGAAGTAGTTGAGCTCATTTCCATAGAGGTTCAGGTCCTCTTTCATGCCACTGATGATCTTGTTAGAGACAGTAAGCGTCGAGAGATGCATCATTGATACCTGACGTATGCATTGTTGATGTTTTGCTGATCAAGATACCTAGATTCTGTCAGTCTGACAGCCCCTTACGATATCGATAAAGGCTGAGACTTACTTGATGACTTGACTGATACAACCGAAGGTAAGAAGAAACAGATCTAGCCTCCTGACCAATGCTTTCTCCTCTGCAGATCGATGCTCCAGCTGTATAGCCGGCTTTGCCTTTCTAAACATAGTTGATAAGCCCATCTCGTTCTTGTCAGAGCGACCTCATTTAACGAAATAAAATGTGGATCAAAGTGAAGAGAATGCAGAAATACTCAAAAAACACAATGAAATCAAGAGGATGTTATGAACCTTTTTGACAAAGCACTATCACGCTGTCTTGTAGATTGTAGCAGAGGAGTGATAGGCGAAGCATCATCCGAGCCACAAGGATCCTGATAAGACATGGCTGTCCTTGTGATGCCACATATCACGTCCGTGAGGTTACTTTGCCTCGTGGTAGTTGAATAACTTGGCAGTATCTTTGCATCGGGAGGAAGAGGGGTGGTTGCATGGTGGAAGATTAAGCTGTCTTGGCAAAGGTGCGATCGCCACTATCCCACCAATCAACCTTTATCGCCGACTGAACAACATCTCCTTCGAGTTCTTCGGCCACCGGGCAAGCGAAGATAGGCATCTGATAAGCTACAAGGTGGCCGTGACATGTCGGTTGTATAGTCGTGAGATTGCAAAGAAGGATATGTGATATTAGGAAGCCAGCTTGTACCAACAACGACATCTGTCAAAGTCTCGAAGCAAACAACCATAGTACAAAAGACCTCTCTGTCTTTCAACAGTTCAGTTCACGAAAAGAGCATTGCATGAAGAAGAGCCCGACGAGATGCCGTCTGCACAACCTGCTACTCCTCCCGCCACACCTCCCGGCTTGGAGCCCTCTCTCCCTCTACCTTCACCATGTCTATCCTACTGGCACAAAACCACTCGCGGCTTTCTCCAACTCAATGCTAACAAGGACGCACTTCCACCAGAGACAGTGGACTACACAATAGTTGGCTCAGGCATCTCAGGAGCCTTAACAGCCTTCTCTCTCATCGACTCCGGCATTCCCGGCAACAGGATCTTGATACTTGAAGCTAGAGAAGCAGTATCAGGAGCCAGCGGCAGAAACGCAGGACACGTTCGTCCTGATGCTTTCCGAGGTTATGCGGCGTACGCAGCAGTCCATGGCCCCGAGCAAGCAAAGAAAATCATCATAGAGGAGAGGAAAGTGCTGGATGCTGTCGATGAGTTTGTGCGCCGACATGACGTTCCGTGCGATTTCGACCTTACGACTACGTTTGATGTGTGCTTGACGCCTGAATTTGCTGCGTATGAGGCACAAAGCTACGAGGCGTATAAGGCGGCTGGAGGAGATGTGTCGCATGTACAATTCTACGAGGGCGAGGAGGCCAAGGAAAGGACAAGAGTTCCTGAGGCGGTTGCTGCGTACGAGTGGCCTGCTGGATCTAGTCATCCTGCCAAGTTGGCACAATGGCTACTGAACAGTGTCATTGAGAAGGGGGCACAGCTATGGACGCATTGTCCTGCCGTTGCGGTAACTAAATCGGAGCGTTCAGGATATCGATGGGATGTACGCACGCCGCGAGGAACGATCGCAACGAACATGGTTGTGCATAGCACCAACGCATACGCGGCAGCATTGCTTCCTCACCTAAATGGCTACATAACGCCCAACCGAGCACAAGCGCATTCGCTCGTACCCCCATCTGCCTTCAGCGCAGAAAACGCCTTTACCAGCACCATGTCGCTCAGATATAGCCTTCACCATTTCTACTCGGTAATTCAGAGAAAGGGCGATGGAACTATAGTCCTCGGTGTCTCCAGATCGAACCCCGAGCTGAGCGCAGAAACATTAGCGGTGCGAGAGAGCTTCGACGACGGTGCTTTCAACCAAGAGATTGTGGATGACGCATTGAAGCGTTTTGTGATCATGTTTCCAGAGTATAGAGCGGAGACTGAGCGCCATGGCGAAGGACTAGATCACGCGTGGACTGGAATCATTGCCATGACTCCTGATTCGGTGCCATATGTTGGCGCTATCGAAGAGTTGCCTGGACAATATATCTGTGCTGGTTTTAATGGACATGGGTAAGTGGTTACAAATGCTTTTCGAGGAATGGTCACTGACAAGTCCTAGCATGGCGAGGATCTTTACGTGTGCGCCAGGTTTAGCCAAACTAATGCTGGGCGGCTCATGGGAGGATACAGGTCTGCCAGAATGTTTCCAGTACGGCAAGGAGAGGCTGATCAAAGCTGCGCGCAAAGGACAGAAAGGGAGTGTTTGGTAGCCTAGGTAGTAGTCATATTGAGGTACCCAAGGCGTGCACATACATCTGAGCGTCTTTCATACGTCCCGTGTGCTAAAGACAGTCACAATCTTGCATTCTTCAACCTTGAGGTCTCCAAAGCTTCTGTTTTGCTTATCCCATGTTTATGGCAAAATGTTAGTTCTGACAGGCGCATCAAATGGGAAAAGTCGCGTGGAAGAGTGTTAGGCAGGGCTACAGTTTCATGCTTTTGTGGCACTCGTGCTGTTCTTAAAGTGTGAAAAGCTGAAAACAAGATGTCATGATTTGTGTGGTTCAAAGAGACGCGCTTTGCGATTGGTATTTTGTACAAGGAAAAAAAGCAGACGCTCGGTTCTTAGTTATGTGCCTGGGTCTTGGGGGTGTGGGTATCGCGCTCGTAGTAAGACCATTGGCCCTGGTTGGGCGACTCCTCGAGATCCTCCCAGACCTGGCTCTTGTACATTTCGTCGACGAGGTTGGATTCGGCCTCTGCAACGAGGATGATCTCCTCAATCAGGCCAGCCTGGATTTGTTGCTCAATGGAGTTGACCCTATCAGAAAGAATTAGTGGGTGTCGGACAGATTGGGCTCAATTCAACTCACTGCTCGGCGGTAAGAGGAGGCTCGGGCTCAATGCGAGGAATCATCTCGTTGTCTGCTTGAGGGTCTGCGACGAAAGAGTGCTCTTGGTGGGCCTTGTGCGAACGGATTCTGGGACCCTCGGGCTCCTGCTTTTGAATAGGCTCATCCTCGTAGTCCTCAGACTCCATACCCTTCAGGGCAGTCTCGTTGTAGACAATGTTGATCTCGTTCTTGCTCGAGGACGAAGCAATTGAACGGAAGGCGTTGGGGTGGGCTTCGACGACGCTCTTGACGCGAGATTGCCATTCTTCCAGACCCTCAGGTTTGACGGACTCGACGATTGACAGACGGTGCTTGGTAAGAGCTTCGACAGATTGGCGGTAGACGGAGTGTTCAGGGAACTGCTTCAGCTTGTCCAGAGTCGAGTTGTAGAGGTAGAGGAGGGTGGAGCGAGGGGCGGCATGGGTCAAGACACCAGTCAGACCAGTAGGGGCGCCAGGAGTGAGGAAGCGCGAGGCTTGAGCAAGCAGTCGGGAAGAGGCTCTCATTGTGGCGTGGTGGTTGTGTGCAACGAATGGAGATTGTAGCTAATCTTCAATTCAAGACGTCAAGACCCGACGCCCGCGCAGGCCATGCCATGGCTCGTCCGCTGCAGTTGCTGACCACGGCCGAGCAAACAGGGCAAACAGCGCCAAGCAGCCTCCGCAGTCTGGGGCCTGGGCATTGATCCGATTAATCTGTCTCCTATTATTGACTTTGGCCTTGGAGCTCCTGCTAGCTGTGGCTCTGACCTTGGATTCCATAGACTGTCGCTCTTTTGCCTGGTACCCGGTCCTGTTCTGCAGACTCGGATCCCTTCCGTTATCGCACCTGCCCTAAGCCGAGCAGACTGTCTTCCTCCGACATACATATCGTGCTCAATCACCTACCCCGGCCTCGAGTGCCTGCGGGCCTCCCACCATCATGCGCTCCTTTCTCATTTCACCTCTGATCGCCTTGTCTTTCGCTGCCTCTGTCTTTGCTGCTCCGCCGATTCAGAACGATGCCCCCGCTCTTCCGCCGCCGAACTTCGCTCGTGACGCCGCCCTAAACGTAGCGAGAGATGCGCCCGATGCTCCAGCCTCACCTGCAAAAGATCCTGAGGTAAAGGGCGAAACAAATAAGGATCCCGTCACCGACGGTGCAGACTCTGGTCCCAAAGGCACTGTCTTCAACGGTGTCAATGTCCCTCCGATCACCGAATTGAGTGGAACCACCCTCGACCAGGACATCTCCAAGGGCACCTGGCTCGTCGAGTTCTTCTCTCCATACTGCCACCACTGCAAGTCCTTTGCCCCGACATGGCAGACCCTCCATGAATTTTACTACACCTCCGACCCTCTACCCGCTTCCAAGGACTCGCCCGACTCTCTCAACTCCTTTACTCGCTTCTACGATTTCAAGTTCGCCAAGCTCGACTGTGTTGCCTTTGGTTCTGCCTGCTCGGATAAGAATATCAACTCGTTCCCCACTGTTGTACAATTCAAGGATGGCAAAGAGGTGGATCGTAAGGTTGGTGCCTTGCCCATGAAAGATGAGGTCAAGTGGATAGAAACTATGCTCGAGGCCATCAAACCTGGCTCAAGACAAAAGGACGGTCCCAAGCTTCCTAAAGTCGGAGCCACCTCTTCGCCAGATTTCAAGGGTGCTGCCGTCATCGGTCCTGCCAAGGAAGCTGATGCTATCGCTGAAGCTACCAAGTCTACTACTTTCTCAACCTCGACCAAATCTCTGCTCAAGGCCACCAAGATTGCAAAGGAAACTGCCAACCCTGCTGGAACTTCCGTCCCTCTGACTGCCGAAACCTTCCAGCAAAAGGTCACGACCACCCACGATCCCTGGTTTATCAAGTTCTACGCACCCTGGTGTCATCACTGCCAAGCCATGGCCCCTAGCTGGCACGCCATGGCTCGCGACATGAAGAACAAGTTGAACATTGGCGAGGTCAATTGTGAGGTTGAGCGTCGCCTCTGTAAGGATGTCAATGTCAAGGGTTATCCCACTTTGATTTACTTCCAGGCCGGTGAGCGAATTGAGTATGAAGGACTTCGTGGTCTCGGAGACCTTATCAGCTATGCAAACAAGGCTGTCTCGGCTGGTGACGGTGTAGTTGATGTCGATGCTGCTGCTTTCGAGGCCCTCGAGAAGGAAGAGGAGGTCATTTTCCTCTACTTTTATGACCACGCAACCACCAGCGAGGACTTCCAAGCTCTCGAGCGATTGTTGCTGAGTCTGATCGGTCACGCCAAGCTGGTCAAGACCAAAGATCCCGCTCTTTCTGCGAGATACAAGATTTCCACCTGGCCTCGATTGATAGTGTCTAGGGATGGTAAACCCACTTACTACACGCCCTTGTCTCCTAGAGACATGCGCGACTTCCGCAAGGTCCTCGGATGGATGCAAGCCAATTGGCTGCCCATTGTGCCTGAGCTGACATCTTCAAACGCTCGCGATATTATGGATCACAGACTCGTTGTGTTGGCTATCTTGAGCCGCGAGCGTAAGGAAGACTTCGTTATCGCAAAGCGTGAACTCAAGAGCGCTGCCCTGGAGTGGATCGACAAGGAGATCCAGGCCTTCCAATTAGAAAGACAAGAGCTTCGCGATGCCAAGCAGCTGCGTATCGAAGAGGCCGAGGACCGCAACGATCAGCGTGGACTGCGGGCAGCCAAGCAAATCAGAATTGACATGAACGAGATCGACCGAAAAGAAGTCGGATTCGCTTGGGTTGATGGTGTGTTCTGGGAGCGTTGGCTCAAGACAACATTCGGAATTGATGTCAAGGATGGAGAGAAGGTTGTCATCAACGACGAAGATGTGAGTTTTGGTTGGATTGAAGTTGAGTGGGATAGACTTACTGACTATGTGATGACAGAACCAACGTTACTGGGATCTTACATCGACTGGCAACCCAATCGTGCCGTCTCGAGTGTCAATTCTTGAGACACTACCTAAAGTAGTTGCATCCCCGCCAAAGATTAGCCCTAAGCATAAGAACTCGTTCTTTGGGCATCTGATTTGGACAGTGCGCAGCGGCATGTCTGCTCACCCGTTGATAACATTGGGGCTGATAATCGGCATGCTTGTTGGATTCAGCATCTGGGGCAGAGGACTGATTAGAAGAGGAAAGGCGTTTGGTAACACGGGGTCTTTCTTCACAGTGGGAGGCAACGAGAAGGACGGACTATTAGGTGGAGCAGCGACTGGAGGCAAGGTGGATTGAAGTTGGACAAGATTTCACTGTTTCTACTTTTTCAAAAAGGATAATAGCCTGTTCCGAGTCACGGATTTACGCCATGTCGCTATTTATATCAAGTCTGGTCACGACGGTGCTGCGGAGTGGAATGCGGAGGGCGTCTTGGCGAACCCCCGAAGGTCGGAGCCTCGGACGATGCGAGCAATTGGAGAAGGGATTAGACATTCTACGCAGCACTCGGGATATCTGTGCGCAGCATGATGAGAGGTCAATTACAGTGGTCTCGAGCACAGGCAGTGCGGAGGACTGGCCAGTTCCACGCGCGTCCAACTCTACGGCAGTTCCAGCAAGTCCGCCATGCATCAAGCGAGCTCAAGCAAGAGGTCGCTCGCAACGAGAAGATTGGAGATGCCCGCTCTGGCCTCAGCCGCGTCAAGAACCTGCTTCTTGGAACCACCATAACCGCTGTCCTCGCCTTTGGATACCTCTATGTCACCGACACACGCGCGACCTTCCACCAATGGCTTGTGCCGCGTGTCTTGCGCACCCTTTTCCCCGACGCCGAGGATGCCCACAAGATCAGCAACAAGACGCTCAAGGCTCTGTATTCTGTCGGTCTACATCCCCGTGAAAGAGGCAACCCAGATGTCAATGGAGACTTGAAGGTCGACGTCTTTGGACATGTCCTGGACAATCCCATCGGAACATCTGCTGGTCTGGACAAGAACGCCGATATCCCCGATGTCGTCCTCGGCTTCGGTGCTGGTATCGTCGAGGTTGGTGGTATTACTCCTCGACCACAGGAGGGTAACCCCAAGCCCCGTGTCTGGAGAATTCCTTCGCAGAACGCCCTCATCAACCGCTACGGTCTCAACTCCGAGGGTGCTGATAGTGTTGCTACCCGTCTTCGCCAACGACTGCGCGAGTTCGCTTACGCTCTCGGTCTTGGCCTTGACCCTGTGGCCGAGCAATCTGTTCTGGATGGCTATGCTGGCGTGCCCCCTGGCAGTCAGATGCCCGGCCGTCTGCTCGCTGTTCAGATCGCAAAGATGAAGGAGACCCCCGACAACGACATTGATGCCATTGCCCAAGATTACGTCTATTGTGTCAACCAGCTCGCCAAATATGCTGATATCCTTGTTGTCAACGTCTCGTCTCCAAACACTCCTGGTCTTCGCAACTTGCAGCAGGCTGCTCCATTGACCAAGATTCTGACTGCCGTCGTTGATGCTGCTCAAGCTGCTGATCGCAAGACAAAGCCTGCCGTCATGGTCAAAGTCTCTCCCGATGAAGACAGCGAGGAGCAAGTCAGCGGTATCTGTGGTGCTGTCTGGGCCAGTGGCGTTGATGGTATTATTGTTGGCAACACTACCAAGAAGCGCCCTGACGCCCTGCCCGCCGGTTACCTTCTCCCACAGAATGAGCAAAGTATCATGCTCGAGACTGGTGGTTACTCTGGTCCCCAATTGTTCGAGCGCACAGTCGCCCTGGTCAAGAAGTACAGAGCAACCCTTGACAAGGGACCTAATGAGGCCAAGCCCGAGCCCAAGAAGATCGAAGCACCTAAGCAACCAGAGAAGTCCGAGTTCCAGCTTGAGACAGAAGCTATGAGAGAAAAGATTAAACAACAACTGCAACAGAAGTCGGATACTACTCAGAGTGCTGCTCCCAACAGCTTGGACGCTGAGACTAAGGCCTCGATCGAATCAAGTGTGGAACGCGATCTCAAGAACCTGAAACCAAAGACCGAAGGCGCCGACAAGGATAGCCGCGATCAATCCATCATCCAGATTCCTGAGCGTCATATTCCGGCATCTGTCTCTTCATCCTCCAACACCACCACAGCCGCAGAAACGAAAGCCGCCTTCTCAGCCGTCGAACCAGCCCTAGGCGCTGCTCCCGACGCTGCCCAGAAGATGCTGTCCTCCGGCTCTGCTTCCTCAGCAGTATCAACAACACCTGCCAAGAGCTCCACACCAGCCTCCCTCAACACCAACAAAGAAAAAGTCATTTTCGCAACCGGTGGTATTACGAATGGCAAACAAGCCCTGGAAGTCTTGAACGCAGGTGCCAGTGTTGCCATGGTGTATACAGCAATGGTATATGGAGGTGCGGGCACCATCACTAGGATCAAGCAGGAGATGAGAGAAGAGATCCATGGGTTGTCACGTCAATTGCCTTCTTCTGCTCCTCGTGAGGAGAGGTAAGATTGACAGAGTTTAGATATCAGGAGCTGCTTTGTATAGTTTTAGAAACTTGAGGCATTGATGCGATGCTTTATGAAAAAGTTTCGCCCCCTTTTTACTTGAGCCTTCTCATCAATAGTGCCCTTTTCCCGTGCTAAAGACTGTCGCGGTGTAGCTGAAGAACAACGAAGTGCTTCTCAGAAATTGTGGCTTCAAGAGAGAACGCTGGTGAAGGCTGTCTCCATGGATAGACGCATATCCAAAATGCTACCTTGGAACAGATCATCCACGAGATTGTGACAGCCTTCAATGCTCATAGTGGGTGCTTCTAGTATCTACCATGTCCTGTCAATGCCCCAGTTTTGATAGCAATGTAAAGTGGTCTTGAAGCATTGACAGGACGATCACCACAAATGTCAAGACGCAGTCTCAAATACTCACCCACGTGCTATACTGTCTCTGCTCACGTCGTATTCGTAGATCACCCCATCCTCTGCGCACAAACAAGTGCAAGAAGATAAGAAGCACAGGGAAGATAACATTCTGATCAGTCCGTGCACTTGGTGTCTGACTCGAAGATACGAGAAAAGACCTGACATGTCGATCTATGTCTCAAGTGCATGACTCTCTGAAGCTTTGGTGTGGTAGAGAACTCATGCGTTATGGAATTGACATCTGATCAGCGTGGTTGACAGCACGGATGGAACTCTGATTGATGTCTTGGAATATAGGGATCCAAGACAGATGTTTGGAAGGAGCGACAGGGTGTGAGTCGATCATATCAATCTTATCCGGACAGAAGGGATGATGGCGGTGTACTTATCATGGCCGAGTTCTACGCGATGGCCAAGTGCATGGATGTCGCTTGCAGATCAGAGATGAGGAAGCGGAAGTGACAGAGAGCTGGGGCAAGAACGATTTGAAGCGAACTGTCAAAAGCTGAACAACAATCTTCACCAGATAAGGCAGTAGAGAAAAACACATTGATTGCGATCGTCAAAGTCATTATTAGATAAAATTGAAACCAAAGTAGTCTGTGGTAGTGACGGTGGTGGGGTATAAGATAAAACAAAATGAAGTGAAACAGAACAGCTCAAAACAGACAACGCCAACCTGACAGCCGTGTCTTGGTCTCATACGAGATGTCTCTCCTTGGGACTTGAAGCAGATGAACTTGGGTCCACCACCGACATGTCTATCTCGGACTCCGTGGGAGTTAACTCGTGTGTGACGATGGTAGTCATGACTCTGATGCGTCCGTCCTCGGGCTCGTCATCTATAAGCGTCATGCCGTTTTCGCTCTCATCGCTGAGTCGCGTCTTGTTCTTGATGGTGTCCATCTCGATCTTGTGTGATAGTCCTCGGGCTGTGCCATTCTGGGTTTCTAGACCTTGTACCCAGTCTGCTTTGGCAGCGTGTGATGTAATGGCGAACTTGGCGAAGCCACTTGTGTCGTTGTTTGTACGCGACTTTGTTTTGCGAGAAGGAAGGTATCGGTGGTTGGAGTCCGGATTTGAGCTGGAGGAAAAGATGCGAGGGAAGAAGCGTGTAATCGTTTTGCGAAGCATAGGTAGGCAGGCAGCAACGATAGAAAAGTTACATTCCAATGAGGACCAGTATGCTGCAGGAGTATTGTCCCAGGTGATGTCGGTGGAGACGGAGATGTCGTAGAGTGCTTTTAATCGAAGGATAGATGTCAAGCAGACAAAGAGTCCCAAGCAGAACACAGCAATGAGTGCATATCTCTGCTTGCGTGGAAGCTTGAGCCGGTTAAGAACAGGAACGGGCATCAAGCATATCACTACATCGGTAATGATATTGATGGACGCATTGGCGAACCACACCCCCAGACGGCTTAGACAATGGCCGCCGATGCTGCGATCCCAGAAGTAGGCCACTGGTGTACACATGAATGCCGTGCTGAATACAGACCACAATCCATAGACAATGATGACACCAATAGAACCAGTGATGACGCGCTGAATACCAGAGCCGACGAAGACACGTCGATACTGAAGCAGAATGGAGATCTTGGTCAAGCACAAGCTGGCTTGGTAAACAGGGACACTGGCCCAGAATGCCTTAAAGACGTGTCAGGACACAACTTCTTGAGTAATTTGGATGTACTAACCTTGTTTAGTTCTCTCAATTCTTGTGGTGACACAGTTGAATAATGTCGACCTAGGTAAAGTGTCAGAATTGTACCACTTCTAAATGTGTTGACCAAAAGTTCGTACCTTGCCCGTGCTGCACTTCGACACAGATGAGAGCTGTGAGGGCGACAGATAGTGCAAAAGCAACGAGCACAACATAGTCCTCGGCTCCAATGTTGCGTACAATTAAACCTCTCGTGAACATTCTCAAGGTGAGTACAACAAAAGCGATAGAAGTTGAGACAATAGCCACAATGACGCCTGTAGAGCCTCTCGACCCATGTTCTGCGTGGTCAGTCGTCATCCTGGAAGTTGACTGCTCTTCGCGAGCGAGTTGGTGGTTCTAGATGGCCAGTGGTAGGAGAAACTCAAAACAAAAGGAACGGCGCGAGCGTGGAGAGCGAAAGTGATTATAGTATGGAAAGGTGTTCGAGATTAGAGAACGACAACAAGAACCGGGACTCGGCTCTTTAACAGTACCGGTAGATAGGAAAAACGAAGAAGACTGCAGAAGAGATAGATTGCACCCCTTAGGGAGGATGGGAGTACATATTGCTGCATATGCAGGCAGCACACCTGCCACGAGGTGATCGACGTTCGAGGGATCAGCTCTTTAACGGAATAGACGGCGCACTCGACCCACGCCAGTATCAATCCTTGAGCAAGTGTGGACCTTCCTGCTGAATTAGAAGTAGCACGATCATGAAAGATATTGCCCTTTGAGGAATAGTAAAGTAGCGGGGCTCGACGGGCAAACGGTTCGTGCACTGTTCATCTGCACAAGGGCGACCGGGTTGGTGGAGGGCGTGGTGGATTATGAGGAGGATAGCCGCTGCTAGCGGACTTGTTCAGTCCACAGCGTAGTCAATCCACCATCCCACATCACATTGTTGCGTCGCACGGATACCTGATTGTAGATGATTTTGATCAGTGTGCGGGCTGGAATGAGAACAAATGGTTTCGAGGCTTTGGAACAAAACTCGCAATCGTAAAAATGGTTGTTTCTCCTTGCTACGTCGAGCTGGTTCGGGGTCAGACGAAGGATGAACTAGCATGAATCGGCAGAATCAGGCAAAATACCTGTTCTCTCAACGGCCGAGCATGCTAGGGCACCGAGTGGTGTTGAGCTTGGAGGCCTCAAGGACGGCTCGGCCAGCTGTATGGCGACATGATACCCTTTCTTTAGACCATGTTTCAGGATCGAAGGTCCAAATGTGAGGCCACCCGCCAGCGACGCATGCGAATGATCCCATATACCGGATCATATGGTCGCTAGATACTTCGCAGGACTCAACGTGTTTGGTCAATGGAAAGAACAGAAGCTGGATTCATGCTGTTCACAACTCATGTGAAGTTTCAGCAAAGAAAAATACGAGTCGCGCGACAATCATACGAGCGCAGGGACTCTCGGATCCGCGGGCTACCGGCCGCGAGGGTTTTGAGCTGAACAGTTCCGAGATTTGACAAGATCTTGGCAAGACAGAACCATCTTTTGCTCATGCTGGTCAGCATCTTGCATGATGGGGTCCATCCACACCCACAGGAAAGAGCATAAAAACTTTTGACCTGACACAACGGCCAACGAGATCCGAGGTGACAATAATGGTCCGGCACATGCCTCGGTTTTTAGAGTTCAACAACCACTCGGCAGGTGTCTTCCGGCTCTGAAAGTGGGGTGGACAATGACGAGCGTATCGGGTAACCTTGGCAATGCTGGACAGCAAGACGCACCTTCTATCTGGTTCCTGACGCGCGACAATCTGGACTGCTAACGAACATCGGGAAGGAACAATCACCATGTCGCTCGAGTCGCACTATCCTTCCAACTGTCCATTCTGTCGTATCAGCGAAGCGTATCCTGCTTCATCCGGCAACCCAATACCCTCGGCTCCTGATCCAACCCTCGTTGATCCCAATGCCTTTGTTATCTTATCCTCTGATCATGTCCTTGCCTTTCTGGACATTCTGCCAATGACCACTGGACATGTCCTGCTCACCACACGCGTGCACCACGAGAAACTCAGTGAAGTGCCCATTGGCCCTACTGCCCAGGCCCTAGGCTACTGGATGCCGCTCATGTCAAGAGCTCTTGCGAAAACACTCGATGTCGAGGACTGGAACGTCGTGCAGAACAACGGAATTCGTGCCGCCCAGGTCGTGCCCCATGTACATTTCCACTTCATTCCTAGATTCCCAGAAGGCCGTCGCCCACCGTCCAAGAAGACCAAGGGCGACACGTTCGAGATCAAGAGCTGGAAGATGTTTGGTCGAGGCCAGAGAGAAGAGCTAGATGAGGAAGAGGCCGTCGTCTTGGCCCAGAAGATTCGCGACGCCTTGAAACGAGAGGTTGAGGCTCTGGAAAAGGATACCGTCAAGTTGTGATCGACAAGTGCTGTATCTGACACACTACGCATTGGACAAGTTGAGCACTCTTGTTCCTCGGGACATCTTCGAAAAGACAAACAGCATTTTCGAATGCAATTCTTGACCACTCGATCGAGAAAGAACATCTCTCGAAGTCAATCAGATTCACCTTCGGTTTGACTTGCTCCTTCACCAGCCCAACAAGCTGCCTACCAGAGTGATGGTGTATCCCTTGCTGCTGTGATGCATTCCGCCGTCCCGAGCAAAGAGGTTGTCGGTAACAATGACAACTTCGCCAGACTCGACCATATGGTATCTTGGCCTCAATGGTTGAAAACAAAGTGCTTTGCTCTGCAATTTTGCGACAGTTCCTGAAGAACTCGACACCAAGCTCCAAGAAAGCTGCGCTGGGCAGTGTGCTCGCAGCGAGGTTGCGTCAATGACAAAGCCCGCTATTTCTCGTCGCTTTCTTTCTTTGCTGACTCTGTTAGACATATGGCTATGCAGAGAATATCGGACAGTATATTCTGTTATATGTAGTCATTTGCTGCTCAGTCAATGTCATTCTCAGAAATCATCCTCTTCCTCTCCTTCTTCACTCATGTCATTGTAGGAGTCATATTGGTCAGGAAGCGAGTCTGCATCTGGGTCATCTTCATCATCTTCGTTATCCTCAAGCTCGCCTCTCCTATACAACACAACTCCAGCCTCTTTAGCAACAATCTTCCTCCTCGCTCCTTCATCTCTCTACCATGCATGTGTGAACCGAGTCAATCGTGTCCGAATAGCTCGGAGGTACTGACGGGAGAAGCGCTCTAGTCATTGCTGTAGCCAGATCAAAAGGTAGTCGTTAGTGCAACAATTCTATGAGCTTGAATCCCTGAACTGGAAAGTAAAAGCAAACAATTCTTGAGTAATTGCTCATGCCCTCGACTGCTAATGCTTTCAATATTTGACGAATATACTTTGAATCATACCTTGTCGGCAATTCCATTTGCCTTGGTGCAGCTCAAGAGCTGGCAGCACACGCCACTCACGTCGATGTTCAATCCAACGTCTGCTAAGGTCTGTCATCCTCTCCTTTAGCTTCCAAATCGGTCTGCCTCAGAATCTCCACTACACCTTGTCCAGTTGACGTGTTGACTTCTTGTCCATCTTTGCCAACAAGAACAGCGTGCGGCTGGCCATCGTCGCCAGGATTCAGGGTGTTTCTGAGGTGGCCCACGAACTTGAAGTGCACAGACGTCGTGCAGAGCCAGCGGATGCGAAACGGTGGTGAACAGGGCCACTTGAGCTTTTGGCAGAAGAGTGGCTGGGGGACTGTTGGAGAGGGTGGGCTTGTCATGACAGCCTATGGAGCAACTAAGTTAGATGTGTCAGGTCTTGAACAGAGATGGTGCTTACAGCGCCTTGGAAAGCCATGCTCTTGTTGACGCTGAAGAGCAATACAACGGAGCGACAAGTATGGAAGGCATCGGTCAAGAGGCGTGTGTTCTTTTCCTGGGTGGCCCAAACGCCATCCCTTTGCGCATCGATGACATTTTGCATGTTCCAGGATTTGATCATGAAGAACCGTTCATCGGCGGCTGCTTGAGTATCTGGGTTAGCGAGTATGTTCTGGATACATGCATGCTTCCGATAAAGTTGGAATAACAATAGTAATAGTGGGTAAAACAGAAAAGCATTTATTTTCATTGGGCATGTGTTGAATATCCCCAAGAGTCCTCGCTATAAAAAATGCTAATCATGTTGCGAGAAGGGCTTCTAAACCTTCTAAATGAACGCCGAGTTGTGCTTCGATCATGTATTCGTAAAAAGACCAGATGTGAAACAGTTTCATCTGTTGAATCTGGCTCTAGGGCCGGGACGCATGTACCCACATTTGTTGCTCGAGTAGCCACCTTGGCCGATGGGTTGTTCATTAACATCTGAGAACGAGGTAGAGTTCCATCCATGAGTGCGGGTGGACCATTGTTCAGGAGATCTGGGAGCGGTCCAAGACTCGCGACGACCGAAGGGACTGTCATTAGGACGGAAGGCCTGACCACGAACAGAAATTGACTGGTGAGTGGGAGAGGCATCCGGACCGGCGCGTCGATGATAGTCGGATCTATCAGATCTGTCGTTGGCATAGTGGGATCTGTTCTCAGTCAGCCAGCTGTAAATGGAGCTGTCCTGATCTTGCGAGTCTCGGCGGGTCGATTTACCTCTGATCGGAACCACGTCTGGGAGCACTGGCGGAGAGAGGCTTGTCGAATAGATCATCTCTGCGCACAGCGCGACCAGAAGTGTTCAGACGGCTCAATTTCTCACGATTATTGTTGACTGGCACAGATGGGGAGCGAGGGCGTTTGGCGCCAGCTGAGGCAGGCTGAGATGAAGCAGGGCTGGCCTTGGTTAAGGGAACGGACTGCTCATCGGTTGAAGCTGAAGCAGGAGGAGGGGGAGGCGGCATGTACGCAGTCGAGACGACGCGCATGTAGTCCCTGGTGCTAGAGTCGTTAGCCGTAGCAGCCTCTTGACGTTCAAGTTCGGCAAATTCAAGCTCTAGAGCACGTTTCTTCTCTTCAAGTGCGGCACGCATCTTGTACGTCTTGAGCTTCTGTTCACGGAAAGAAGTGTCATGAAAACCAGTGATTGTCAGCCAAAGATCGACGTCCTTGAAGTACTCATCCTCTCTCTCCTTGGGGAGCTTGGTGGTAGCCAAGCTAAGATTACGCTTGTGGAGAGGTCCACTAGACAAGGGATGGAGGGGCTTGGTGGCCTTGGTATGCTGATTAGGAGTTGCATCGGCATTCTTACTCTGAGGAGACTTCTGCTCGGGCACAGGAGAGGCGACGTCGAATTTCTGCTTGGTCAGACCATTGGCTGTGTTCTGCTGTTCATTAGAAGATCCAGGGGACTTAAGAGTCGACGAAGACTTGTCAGCGTTTGAAGTGGATTGTTCAGCAGTATTAATTCTGTTGTGCGAGACAGCAGGTGACAAGGCAGGCTTATTTTCAGCCAGATTGGTATCCAAGATTGGTTTGAGTATAGATTCTGTTGTGTTGGACTGCTTCATTGGGGCAGTTTTCTTTTGGCTCTTGACATCGGATTGCGAGACTGCCTCGGCGATGAGAGCATCAACTGAGTTTGATTGGCTCAAAATTGATGCAACGGTCGGTCTGTTGTGTTTAGATTGAGTTGTCTGTATGCTGGCCTTATTCTTGGTCAAAGCAGTGTTTTGAGGGACAGCGGGACTTTGAGGACGAGATTGTGATTCGGTCTTGATAGAGACAAGGTTGAGATTGCTGGCAGGGTTCGAGACGTCCTTAACGGGGGTAGCCTGACGGTTGGCAAGCAGCTTTGCGCGCAGCTCATGCAGTTTGGCTGTATTGACTTTGGCAGTAGTAATGTTGGCAGGTGGACTGAAACCATTGGCTGCTTGTATTGTCTGCATGTGATTGGCCTTGTTGGATGTGCTGAGAGTTGGCTGCTGTGACATCTTGAGTCAGAAAGCGATCTATAGCTCGGATGAGAAGAGGGAGGGAGGGAGAGATGAAAGATCTCACCGCGTTGGCCATAGTTGCGGGTTGAGACAAATCAGCTTCGTAAAAGTCCATGTCGTCGTCAACTTCAGAACTTGTATTGTTGTCGGCGCCGTAGCCACCAGACGAATACATATCCCTATCGCTCTTACGAGCTGGGCTGGGTGTAGGCCAGTCTTCTTCTTCTTCTTCTCCGTCCTCGTACTCGGTGTGTGAGTGAGAGAAGGTAGGAGAAACGGAATGTTTACTCAGAGTAGGCCTGCGCAGGTGGATTGGAGACAAGAGCACGGGCCTCGAGAATGGAGCGGCACGGCCCTTGCCGTTAGCCCCACCAGTCACAACGGCGTTACCCATGGTTGTGTCGATGGAGTTGGTCGCCTTGTCTTTGCGTGTGTACAAAAGTCGTTGTAAGAGAAGCGGAATTCTTCTTGAGAAAGCCTCATCCAGGCTTGCTGAGCGCTGACCGTCTGACGCCGCTCGCTCGTCTCGGCGTTATGCTGCCTTGACCTCGTGTGTGGACTGCAGTCTGCTTCTCGGTTCGCGATCGTTCATGGCATGACAAACTCTCTACCACCTGCTCCTTCGCTATCTGAAATACGTAAAGACTTACAGATGACTGCGGACCCTCACTGCTTCTAGTTTAGTTCTTTGACTTTTCTCCCTCCCTGTCTACTAGAGTATGTAAAACGTATAGCTACAGAAATGCACAATAGTAATACGAAACGAGATGGTTTCCATTGGAAGGCAATAAGTTAGCGAATCTCTATGGACATGATTCTGCTTCCCGAGACAGTTGTGCAGTTTTACAGTCTATATTTCACTCTTACTTGTAGTTAAAGTACGATGAAAGTTGCAGACTTTAGTATACGTGGAGGGAGCATCATAAAGAAACATTGTCACGAAGCAAGATCTATTCTATGTGAGAGTTCGCTAAATTGAGATCAACTGGGCTATATACTCTACTCCAAAATCGCATAACAGGAACGAAAAGTTGTGACTTTAGATTCTAAAATTCTTGACCCAATGTCCAACAACGATCCTGCCTTCATCGAAGCCCCAGCGATTCGTCCTTACAACAATGGCTGCATGTGTATGCCGAACTTTGCTGATATGGACAGGATACTTTGTGAAGCCCACGCCATCCAAACCTTCAATCATATAGAATTGATCTGACGTAAGGGCGAGCGTGGGAAACTTCTCTTGCCCTTTGAATTTGCTGCCAGTGTGCTCAGCCTTGGAGAGATCGTCTTCGTCCTCAGACGTGGGAGTTGGTAAGTAGTCCTGCCCCTGGTCAGAGTTAAGGTGTTCATAAACGCGTTCCTCAATATTCTGGGCTTCTTCGAGAAGTGGATTGGTTCGGTAGCGCTCGATCCCAAAAGCGGCACCACCAGATTCGTGTAGACGAACACGCTGTGCTGATCTAATTGTTTGGATTCCGCTATTGATAAGGAAGAGCATGCTACCGACAGGAATGAGGACGGCCAGCAGGAGATAGAATGGAACGGCTGTAAGAGTGGACCAGCTTGTAGCTCTTAAACGGGCCCAAAAACCAAGCGGCGCTCGGAGCTTTGGACGAACAGGCTCATCTGGCCGCAGTAAAACACCATCGAAGCCAGGCAAAGGTTGCAGATCGACAGCGTCGAGGTTCACAAAAGGATCCTTGTAGGTTATACAGCTGGTGTAGTATGGAACACTACGATCATTGATGATATTGGAATAGAGGGTGCGGTGCGTGAACTTAGCCAGACCGCGAACGAAGACACTGTTTGGATCTGCCAGCACTGTCAAGAGCGGACGGCCGGTATCACGGAAGGAATCAACGGTAAAGAGTTGGCGACCAGAGGTGCTCAATGTGCGAGGACCGAGGATATTCCAGAGATAATTGTGCGGACCAAGAAGAGGCGATCGCACGCCTAGATGGGGTGTGGCGAAGGTGGTGAAGTTGACGGGCTGTATGCGGTCGAAGTAGCCCTTGGAGTACAGCAGACCGACGACATAACGGGCAACCAGGCCGCCTAACGAGTAGCCGACAATGCTTATCTTTGTGATCTTTCTGCCATCCTTTTCGAGTATCTTGATCTCTTCCTCAATCTCGTTCGTGGTACGCTCCCCCCCTAATTCAATGCCATCGTAGGTGAAGTTGTTCGAGTTGCTCTTGGTGACGAGGACGTGTAGCTTGTCTTTTGAGTGCTCGGCTTGCAGCGACGTGGCGAGATTTTTCAAGTGTTTCGGATTGCCCCAAAGTCTGTACGGCAGCCATGTCAGTTCGATGACACGAAAGGAGTAAGGAAAAAGAAGAGAGTCTACCCGTGGATCAAGATACATAGATGATCAGCCATACCTCTTTCTGTCTCAGGGACCTCTGTGTTCCAACGAGACTGTATTTCTTCCTGTACTGCTATGAGAGCTGTACGCCCATGGTCCTTGAACGATTCGAAAGACATGTGCAGAGTGCAACAAGGAAAAGAAACAATTCAGCTGCCTGAGTCCTTCCTTCGCGGTTGATGATGACGTCGCTCTCGGCGCTTGCGAAAGTCCGACGGGGTTTCTGTCTGCGCTTGCCGTGCCTGGACAAGTCCATTTGTGAAAGCATTATCAAGTCGATGGCTTCTGATCCGGAGAAGCGAAGAGCATCATTAAGATACTCTTGCCTAATCTCTGACTTGCATTGGGAGGGCTGCCAGCCTACCGCCGTTTGTTGCGTCGCTTCAGAGTGTGGAAGCTGCTCTCGGCATCTGCTCCTTCTCTGGCTCGAGTAAATTATTTGTTCACCAGCCTCTTTCCTAACACGGTCATGATCTGAACCACTTCACACTCACTTCATTCAGGTAACATGTTTGCATCTTTTGAGTGTGTTCCGACCACTAAATCCTGTCATTAAAAGTCCATCTGCCCTCGTTTGGCGTCCATTGAGATACCATGTTTTCAACCACTGGTCTTTTCAAAGGCATACCATGTCCTGAAGGCGAGAGGTGCAACATAATCCACTGCATCTTCTCCCATGAGTTAAGACCTCAGGCCGTTGCTGTCTCTGATCAGGGTGCAAGCAAAAAGAGAAAACTGTCTGAAGAAACTGACACAAAAGCGCCTGTCACTGCTGTCACCATCTCAGCGGGCAACACAACCAATCGCCCTGCGACCAATGGATTCACTACCATAAACCCACAGAGACTTGCGACAACGGCCTCAGTACCGCCTAAGATCCCTAAGACTCTACAGAGACCAGTGAGCCCGCCTCCTAAGCCACCCGTCGCCTCGTCAAAACCAATTCCTACAAAATCTGCTGCCAAAGAATCTCTTAATCCTCGAATGATTCCTAATGACCCTGCTGGACATGCGAAACGAACTTTGTTCCTCAAGCATCTCCATACTCAAATGGAACGCTTGAACGACGAAGTAGCCAAGAGTTCGCATGCAAAGAAGGCGAGTCTGACTATGACACCTGATGAGTTAATCAGGGTTGCTTTGGATGAAGAGGAAAAGACGGCGCGAGAGAACCACAAGATCTACGCCAACGTCATCAAAATGCGTGTTGCAGCCCTCAAAAAGATGACCGTAGACGAATGGATTGCTCACGTAATCGCAACCATCCGAGTCGACCTGCAGGAAACCCAAGCCAAGCTGCCACCTCCTATTGACACCGGATTGCCTCTGGATCAGGAGCACACCGTACTTCCTCATCTGATCACCGATCAGACCAATCTGGCAAAGCACGGCTATGTGCCTACACCACCAACTGATGAAGAGATCGCCGAGGCCAAAGCTGGCGTGACGGCCTCTCTCAATTACGAGGTATGCGATCGTTGTAAATCTCGCTTCAGAGTTTTCGAAGAGCGCAGAGAGGAAGACGGTGCCCTGACAACAAACGGACCATGCACATACCATTGGGCTAAGCCATTCACACCTCGTCGTGAGAAGACGGACGCCATCAAAGGTCCAAAGGAGGCTATATACCCCTGTTGTCAAGAACCTCAAGGCACCCCAGGTTGTACGCAATGCGAGACGCATGTCTTTAAAGTCAGCGAAGGCAAGAGACTGGCATCTATCCTACCTTTTATACATACACCAGAGAACCCCAAACCTGCTAAAGGACCTGATGGTAAGTCACCGAATGCTGTCACTTTTGATTGCGAGATGGGCTACACTGTCTTCGGCCTCGAGCTTATCCGCCTGACCGCTGTCTCTTGGCCTGAAGGTCATTCTCTGATTGATGTCCTTGTTCGTCCGCAAGGCACCATCCTCGATCTCAACACCCGCTGGTCGGGTGTGACGCCGGAAATGTACAGTTCTGCCGTTCCATACGAGGAAAAGATGGCCATGGATGCGCTTTTACCACCTCCACCACCTGGCAAAGCTACCTCTCTTCCCCTCGATAGTCCTGCCAACGGTCCACTACCCATTGTCTCAGGCCCCGCCGCCGCGAGGGACCTCCTATGCTCTTTTCTCACGCCTAACACTCCCCTCATCGGTCATGGTATCGAAAACGATCTTAACGTCACTCGACTGTGTCACCCAACCATCATCGACACTATTATCCTATTCCCCCATCCTCGTGGTCTGCCCTTCCGCTTTGGCCTCAAGATGCTTACCAAACGCCACCTCGGTCATGACATCCAGATGGGTGGAGCCTCTGGCCACGATTCTCTCGAAGACGCACGCGCCACTGGCGATTTGGTTCGCTTTGCAGTCGGACAGAGGTTTAAGAGACTGCACAGGGAGGGATGGATGTTGAACGATGGTGTTCTCATGCCACCTCTTCCTGGTGGTCCACCTCCTATGGAAGAAACAAAGGCTCTGGGCGCTGGATCAGGGGTCAAGAGACAGAGAATCGAGGTCGAGCAGCAAGGTCCAACCAAGAAACTTAGGGAGTGATGACAGGAACCTGCACTGCACGAAACCTGAGGAATGAGAAATATTTGCTAGGCAGGCAGAAGTTTGAGAGAGATGGAACAAAGTGGTTGCTGCAAGAAGTAGATCGCTTCTATTTGCTGAGTATACCAAAGTCGAGACATGATATCCTCAGATTGAGGGTACAAATGCGCTTATTCACAGTAACATAATCGGCCAAGATGAAAAAGACAAATCAGTCCGAGAGAAAAGAACTCGTTGTTGTTTCCTCTACATCACATATAATTCTGGGCTTCGAAATCTTGTGCGGTGACACCACGGAAGTGAACCCATAACTCTCTCATCAAAAGATCATTCCTGATTCTGTACAGGCAATAGAAGCGAACGTAAAGAATAGAAAAAGAACAACCATCTATACAACCCCCAGCCCCTCATAAACCCCCCGATCATAATCGTCCTCCAAACATTTCATACAACAACATGGTATTTTCGTGAAAAGAGAAGAAAAGGAAACAGCTTAGTGGTGACGTCCAGCCTTCAACTCAGCCAAGTGACGACGAACCTTGCCGGCAGCGAGCTTGGCCTTGACCTCAGCGGCTTGCTCGTCAGCAGCCTCCTTGTAAGCGACAGCGGCGGCGTAGCGTGCGTTCTTGGTTGCCGAGGCAGGAGCTTTGCCCTTGCGGTGGAGTGCTGACACAGAAGTGGTAGACGAGGACTTTGTGGAAGAAGAGGCGGGCTTGCTTGAGGTGGCGAGGGTGGTTGCGGATTTAGTGGACGAGGTCTTGGAGCTGCTGCTGCTGTGGCTGGTGCTGGAGCTGCTGCTCTTGGAAGACGAAGCAGCAGAGGTAGAAGAAGTAACAGAAGAGGAAGCACCAGAGACGGAACCACCATCGGGACCAGTGTAGGCATTGTTGGTGCAGCTGGAAAGACCGCTGCAGCTCTGGTAGATGGACAGGGCACTGCCACCACCACAGTACTCGGTGCTGTCACCAGCGCAGGGGGTGAAGCAGTTGCCGAGAATGCCGGTCTGAGGTGCGCGATCAGAAGGAAGCGAGTTGCCACAGTAGCACTGGGATGCGTACTCAAGACCTGCGTAGCTGTATCCCTTGCCCGAACAGAAGGAAATGCAGGATTCGATAGTCATGGAATTGCTGCTGGTCGAAGCGGCGGTGAAGGTGCGGCTGCCAACGTTGTCGGTACCGCAGCCAACATACTGCCACTTAAGCGACGAAGTGACATCCTTGAAGTACTGCTGGTAGGCACCGATGGTAGCGACCTTGCTGTTGGTGTTGGCGCAGGTCTGAACAGAAGCCTCGCCGGGACCCTTCTGGACGGGGTTGCAGCCAGGAAGAGCCTCAAGCAAGCCAGTAACCTGCTCGTCAATCTGAGGAGGAATGATACAAGCTTGACTCTCCTGGGTAGTAAACAAATCATTGGCGATGACAGGGCAGTCAGACAGAAGACCGCTGTCGTTGGTGCACTCCTCGATAGCGCTCTGAAGAGTAGGAACGTCCCAACCGTTGATGAAGTCACCGTGGAACCCGTAGCCAGTAGGGTCGCCCATAGCAAAGACGAAAGGCTGGCCGCTGCCATACCACTGGTTGCTGAAGTCACCGGTGTTGTAGTTAACCTCAAAGAAGATGGAGATCAAGTGGACAGGGTGGCTGCTGGGGCAGCTGCCGCTGTCGTAGCTACCGCCAACGGGGTACGACATGTGAGACTTGTGGTCAGCGGAATCAAGGTTGACACCATCCCAGCACGAAGGGAAGAAGACCTGGGCACGGAGACCATCGGGGCAGTTCTTGGTAGGAAGACCATCGCTAGTGCTGGAGCCGCCAGCGTAGTCGAGGCAGACGAAACTAACGGCCTCCGATGCGAAGTCGTTAGTGTGGTTGCGCTTGAAGGGGTCACCAGCGACCATGCGGAAGCCCTCGGGGAAGGCCTGGAGCTTGTCGTTGTTGGGACCACCACGCTGGAGATAGTAGACGGTCATACCGCCATAAACACCAGTACCATCGCCGGACTGGTGGACACTCTCGAACGATCCGTTCTGGTGCTGGAAGTAGAGCAGAGGGGTCCAATAGTTCGAAAGATCCGCCTTGATGGGGCAAGAAGAGCAGTCCGAAGAACGAGCATCGGCGTAGTCCATGTCAAACTTAAAGCCATTACCACCGGAAATGGTGTGAGTGTGGCCGGAGACTTGTCCAGGGGAGATGATGGGGTCGGCACGCTCGGTGACAATACGACCAGGGCAGGGCATACGGAAGAAAGCAGCAGCAGGTGCGGCGAGGGCGGCAGCCAGGCCGAGAATCTTGGTGGAAGTGTACATCTTGAATCTAGATACTGGGACTGGAGTCGAAGACGGAAATTGAGGATATCAAATCCTGAGAGAGGAAAGGTAGAAGGAGTGAATGAAAGGAAGTGTTGAATGAATGAATAGCCCAAGCAAGGACTTTGGTCAAAGAAAGAATAGGTCACAGACCTAGAAGGTATAACGAAGACAAGAGATGATCGGAATAGATGAGTTCAAGACTAGGGGAACATGGCTGAATACATATAGGAGTAGAGTAGGTGAGAAGGGCGCACTTTGAGTTTCAGGCCTTGAGCCGTGCCCTACAGGGAAGGTGAGGAGTGGCATGCGGCGGGAAAAAAGTGACAGCGTGGATCTCAGAAATTGCAGGGAGTCCAGAGCGCCAGCAGCGCCATTCCCGCTGCATGGTATCCACTTGCCTAGGTGCAGCGATCAGATGTGCCTGGGAACCGCCGCCACGTTTCCGAGAGCATGAGAAACCACAGTTTGGCGCTGACTCCAGCTTGACCAGATGATTGTTTCACATCTACGCCATACCGTTCAAAAACCGCTTTCTTTCATGTGTTCGACAAGCTGGAATTGATGTTGTGTTTGCCCAGCGGAGAAAAGGGGCATGGCAACCAAGGAGGAAAGAACAAACGTTACAGTAGCGAGCTAGCGAGAAGCCGAGAGTGTGGAGTTTGGCTTACCGCCGCATCTCTGGATTCTGGTTCTTCATTTCCCATCACAACTGCCAGCTGCGGTCGATTCGAGAAGCTGCAGAGTGCATGCAGACCCGGAGAGCCAGGGTGCATGTCGTTCGTCGGGCGGACATGCCATCTGGTTTTTGCTTTCGCAGTCAACGCGTGGATTTTTGCTTCGTGGTGGGCCTTCAAGAGATGAAGCTCCCCACCTCCTTCACCACAACCGATTATTCGTACGCGAGTGGCAGCTAGATCTACGGAAGATCAGCCAGATGAGCTTAAAGTCTGGCCGAGTCAAGATAGGCTTCGATTGCGCACATCACCAAGCACAGCAGAGGCGTCTTTGGATGTGGCGCAGGTACGAGTAAACCGGAGCCGAATATCCTTTGCCTCGTCAACATCGCCAAACATGTCCTCATGGGAGAGCTTCGAGTGCTGGCATGCATTCACCTTTACCGGGGACGGCAAGTTGTGTTCGCGTGGTGTGGTGTTAAGATTCAAGGTACCAAACGCATCAGCATGGGGATGGCGTGGCTAGCGCAGGAACAAGGCCGAAGAAGGCGCATCTCGAAACACACTAACCCCTGTTGCTCCTGCTACACCTGCTGTACATTGCTACACGGCAAGCATTGGGGAGCTGAAAAGAAGCACCTTTTTCACCTATCCTGCTCTAGTCTGCTCGTTGTTTTTCACTTTTCTCTTGCTCCACCAACCAGCAAACACTAACAAAGACAACCGTCTCCTCGGCGAATTATAGTCAACACACAGCCCACAGCCTGTGCTTCCAAGAAATCCTAAACACACGATTGCGTGTAGAACCCGACTCGTCATTCGGCAACAGATCAGAACTGTCATGCAGTTCAAGTCTGTCGACCATGCGCTCACAGCATCTGCCACCCGTCGAGGCGCCTTCGACGCGCCTGCTATTACTCAAAGCATCAAGGATGTGGCTATCCAAGAGACGGAAACATGCAAAAGCCGCCGAGCGTAAAGAGCCCTGCTGCATATGTAAATTCGGACAAATGGACCAATAGGAAGATGCATCATGCACGCATTTTGTCCCGCCCGCATTTTCTACCCCCGGAGTAAGCGACTCGTGTTCTGCGTTCTAGCTCCTTGACCTGCACTACGAAGAAGGAGGAAGAGAGGCTTCACAAAAATGGCATCGACATATCTCCGTCATTACTGCACATAATCGACCGCGACTCGGCCGACCCATTTGAAAGCTGCTTCTCGAGCAACAGTGGATTGGTGATTGTAAAGAGACTTTGCAGCATGTACTCATATGACCAGAACAAGGCTCCACTCCACCATGATTCGGGTGGGACTCCTTGCACGTCGGTAAGCGTTGGACCTGAGGCGCTTGTGGTGGGAGAGCCTGAGTCAACAGAGCCATCGTTCGCAGATTGGACATGCTGCGTTTCGAAATTCACCGGCTTGAACATTGGTCACCCTAGGCGAGGCGAGCAAGGTACAGTACACATGGCGCAACTGCTTGTACCAGCTGTCAGCCGGATTATAGGAGCATTATTATGAGCTATCCGATCGAGATTGACTTTCCCTTCGGCATCAGGTGCATTGCAAATGTCATGAGATCGGGTAGAAAGGCCGCAAGGCGTGCAGGTAATATCATTGGTATCTTGTTCAAACGTCTAAAGCACAGCGTCTTGATTGGGCCGTTGGTTTTTGTCGTAAATCATATCTACTTGAGGGCCTTCTTGGCGAAGTTGGGCAAGACAAAGGCGGCCTCGTGGATCTCCTTGTTGTAGTACTTGCAGAGCTTCTCCTCCTCGGCCTCGGACCACTGGCGCACAGGCTTCTTGAGGTTGCGGTTGGCGTCAAGGCAGCAGACCATGAAGCCGATCTGGCCAGAGGGGTAGGTGGGGATGGTGGTGTAGGCGTACTCGACGTTGGGGAAGACCTGCTTGCAGTCCTGCTTGAGCTTGGTGATCAAGGGGAGGTGGAGCCACTGGTTCTCGGCTTTACAAACAGTCAGCAACTTCTGCTCTTGTGAAAGAAAGAGTGACAACGCAAAGAGTGATGGAAAACAAATCAGGGGACAAGGAAAGGATGCTTACAACCTTGGGTAGTAATGACACCGCCCTCTCTCAGGGCACCCTTCAACAGCTCAAAGTAGGGCTTCTGGAACAGAGCCTCGGCGGGACCCTCAGGGTCGGAGCTGTCGGTGATGATAACATCGAACTCGCCCTTCTTGTCGTCAAGGAACTTGAAGCCGTCACCGACGTGGGTGGTGACGTTGGGGTGCTGGTAACCAACAGCCATACCGGGGAGGTACTTCTTGGAGAGACGGATGACGGCCTCGTCAATGTCGCAGAGGACGGCCTCCTCGACACACTCGTGCTTGACGACCTCACGGAGGACACCACCGTCACCACCACCGATGACGAGGACCTTCTTGGGGTTGGGGTGCGAGTTCATGGCCAGGTGGGTGATCATCTCCTGGTACGAGAACTCGTCACGCTCGGTGCACTGGATGACATTGTCGAGGACAAGGACCATGCCGTAGTCGGTCGACTCGAAGATGAGGACATCCTGGTACTTGGACTTTTCGTGGTGGACGACCTGGTTGACCTTGAGGGTCATGGCCTGGCCGGGCCACATGTCCGAGATCTCGCGGAACCAGCCATCTGCCTTTTGTATGAGCCTCCATTCTCTTTCAATTGCAATGTGGAGGAGCTCTAGCTACCCTTGATGGTGGGGTGAGTGATTTCGCTCATTTTTGTGGTAGGGGGTTTTGAAAGGATGGAAATAGGAGCTTTCGAGGTTCGTGAATACGCCGGTAGTCTTCTACAGGCGATGTGAGCAATACGAGAAGCAATGGTGACGAGCAGCGTCGAGGTGTCGTAGATAGCAAAATTTCGCTTCGCTGCCCGCAATCGCAGGGCACTGACCAAGTATTTGCGGGGACTGGGGACCTGACTGTCCTTGCATTTTTACTTTTATTCTTATTTTTCTCTCAGATGCTGACCTGTCTGTCGACATTGATTGCTGCGTCCCTAGCCTGCACGTTGAATGCAAGCTGATAAAGAGTGCTTGATTATCATTGTTGTCTTGATTGCAGCCCAGTATACAGAACAGGCAGCTGCGTCGGACTCTCCTCCACTTGCCGACTTCACTGCCGCCTGGAACGCGAATTGAGCCTCTCGTGAGAGTCTGCTGCCTGCCTCATCAGATCTGCCAAGCACAGCGACAGGTAGAAGATAGATGAGCTAATGCTGCGATATATAGTGGGAATTCCGCGGTGTGTCTCTGGTGATTGTGATGGTGGGCAGGCCTATTCACAGTGTGACGACAGTCGTCACTGATTTGCCGATTATCCTTTTTGACGTAGCCATCGTCAACTTCGACTCCTAACGTGACCGCCATCTCTCTTCGCACCTATAACATGGCAGAAGTTGGCACTCGAGACAAAAACGTGGACTGGTACCAAGCCGAGCTAGAGGATGTGAACCCTCAGGCTCGGTCAGTCCTTGAAACATACTGCAAGATACCCTCGGATGAGGTCGTGCCGCATGTCTTGAGAATCGTGAGTATCCCTCAATATCATCCGAAGAACAAAACAATTTTATGTAGCGATTGGTTACAAGACACGTACTACTCGTATTTGCTGACAAGCGACAAGCGCGAGAAAGCATGGGAAGTCTTTCCATATCCGTGCATCGGCGGATTTCGCTTTCTGGACATGCCCTTGGCTGGCTTCGATACATACCCTGAAATCGTTAGCAGACTCAAATCTGGCAACGACAAATACCTCGATCTGGGCTGCTGCTTCGGACAAGATATCCGCAGATTGGTTGCTGATGAAGTTTCTGACGAAGCCTTGATCGGCAGTGACCTTCATCAAGGATTCTTGGATCTCGGCTATGATCTGTTCAAGGACAAGGACAGGCTGCGAGCCAAGTTTATCGCTGCAGATGTCTTCGAGGCTCAATCAGAGCTTACACCTCTGGAAGGAAACATTGACATTATTCACGCATCGTCTTTCTTCCATCTGTTTGGGTGGGAAGGACAGAAACAGATTGCAAGACGCGTTGTCCAGCTTCTCAAGCCAAAGAAAGACTCGCTCCTGGTTGGACGTCAGGTGGGTAACATCAGGGCTCACGAAGAAGAATCATCTGCCAGCGGAAGCGGCAACATGTTTTTGCAAAACATCGAATCGTGGAAGCAAATGTGGAAGGAGATTGGTGAGGAAACAGGCACGCAATGGAAGGTCGAGGCTACCTTGGAAGAGTGGCCTTTGGCGCACAATATAAAATCATGGCACAGGGAGGGAACCAAGAGAATATTCTTTTCGGTCAGAAGACTTTAGAATGCACATCCGATTGGTGGTTTTACGACTAGATAACGGTGAGGAACTCGGAGCGAAGCAGAGCAGCACGAGCTGGCTGCGACGAAGAAGACTGGCTACGATTAACACTCTCCTTGTACGCATACACGGGTAGACTAAATTCCATCGCTTTTGACATGGTCACATTGCTCAACGTACAGTTCTTGGCAAGACCACGCGTCGTAGATTCTCTATTGCAGTGGATGATAGGTCATCTCTCAGTGAAACATTTGCTGCTTTGTCTCTCAAGCCCGATGTGCCATGCTATGAGGCATGCATACCATATTTAGCACACGAACAAAACTTGTTCCCCAGCCGTAGCCCAGCGCGTCGTCAGCCAACAGGTAAGAGGATCTAGAAGGGTCCATATCGTGAATGTCAGAGGAGTCAGTGAAGTCATATGGTCCCAGCCACTCGCTAGACAGGGTCCAACAGCTTCAGCCACATGAAGTCATTGGCTTCACATGCGATCGAAAGTTGGATCGGCCATCATAACAATCAGTCCATGAACATTTATTTAAACCTGTGTACATCCCCAAGAACACTCACACAATACACATCTACTCTTTTCGCAATTCAATCTTCGAAACAACCTCAACCACAACACCCCGCCTCAAAACACTAAGAACATGTCTGACAAGAACACCTCCACTCTCCAGTCGTACATCGACTCTGCCTCGGGCGCCGCTCAGTCTGCTCTCGGCTCCATCATTGGCAGCAACGCCGACAAGGTATGCTAAGACACCTTCACTGCTGATCAATAAGACACTAACACAAGGACAGACCGCTGGCGAGAACAAGAAGGCCGAAGCCGACCTCAAGAACGACGCCTCGCACGCCGGAGCCAACGTCGGCGGCTACAGCGTCTCCGCCTCAGGTGTCGCTCAGAACGACCCCGACCGTAGCGCCGGCTCGTGGAACCAGACCCTGGGCTCCGGCAAGGAAGCCCTTGGTAACATGCTCGGCAACGAGTCTCTGAAGCAGCAGGGTGCTCAGCAGAACCAGGAGGGCAAGGAGCAAGAGGCCAAGGGCCAACTCAACGACCTGGGCTCTGGTATCGCCGACCGCGTCTCTGGCACTGTCGGTGGTGCTCTTGCTGGCATCACTGGCAACCGCGCTGATCAGGCCAAGTAAGTAAGACAAGGGTACAAATAGAGCAGGTCAACAGCCACCAGATGGCTTCTCGACTGCTGATGTGCCATTCTCACGTCAGGAACATGCTAACTGTACCTTTTCTTCTAGGTACCAGGCCCAGCACGACCAGGGCAAGACTCAGCAGCGTGGTGTTGAGGCCGACCTCGACAAGCAGGCCAGAGCTTAAGTGTTTCGGATCACACAAGTGCGCATAATCACCAGCAACACCAGTACACACATGAATTGGGATGGGAAGGATGCTTTTTGGGATGATACCACCGCTGCGATAGCCATGATTAAGACGAATTCACGACATTTCACCTTCTATCGTTCGTTCGCCTGTGCCACTGCAGTAACTAGAAGTCTATGGATACAGGCATTTCCTCGTGTGGAGAAAGTGGAGAAAGTACTCATTTGGAACGCTGCGAGACTCATTCTTGTTAGTAACACTACATCTTGAACTTTCCTCACGGATATTGGCAGGCTTAACTCGTGCTCAACATCTCACAACGATTCGCATATGGCGCAACATGCGAAACCAGAGTACCTCTTCACATACTTCTGAGACGGAAAGCACTCTGTACACGCAACAGTATCTAGGCCCGAAGCTTCAGAGCATTGCATCTGTGGCGTGGTCTGGTCGTCTCCGACCCCGGAGTTCTCACCATAAACTTCAAACCTCGGCAATCAAATCAGCCAAAAACGGGACATGGGGAAGAGAACAAATAGCAGGGACTGTACCTCTAAGTAGAATAGTTACTTACACACGCATTGGCCTCCTTGGGCACGAGTATATCATTTCTTCTTTCTTTGATTGTCATCTTTTTCTTTTGCATCTGTCATCTCAGTGGATTGTAAAGTTGGAGTTGACAAAACTGCCAATTGCTCATCTGGGGCTCACGCCAGGGATATAAGTACCCACCTATTTCACAGAAAATTCTGGATCCAAGGCAGAGTTAAATCACCTGAATCATGCCTCTCCTCGAAGACAAACAACCCAAAATCATCATCGCCGGAGCTGGAATTGGCGGTCTCACCACCGCACTATCCTTACACGCAGCAGGCTTCACAGATATCCACATCTTCGAGGCTGCTTCAAACCTCACAACCCTAGGTGTGGGCATCAATGTTCAACCCTCAGCCGTCTTGATCCTGAGGAACCTTGGTCTTTTACCTGCACTGAAATCAACAGCCATTGAAACCAAGGAACTGAACTTTTACAACCGCCATGGAGATTCCATTTTGAGCGAACCCAGAGGCGAGAGTGCTGGTTACTCTGTACCTCAATTCAGTATCCATCGTGGTGAATTCCAGATTTTGTTGTTGGATGCTGTTAAAGAACGTGTTGGCGCTCATCGCGTGCACCTAAGTCATGCCTTAGCAAGTTTCGAGCAGGACGAGAGTCTGCAAGGAGATAGTCCCTCTGGAACAATCACAGCACGCTTTGTACGCAAGGGCGACTTGGCTCTGCAACCAGAGATTCCAGAAATGACGGGCGATGTTTTGATTGCAGCTGATGGCATCAACAGCGTGGCTCGCAAACTGCTATACCCTGATGAAGGTCCACCTCGTTTTTCTGGTCGTATCCTCTGGCGTGGGTGTCACGAACAAGACCCTTACTTGACTGGAGCATCAATGGTTTGGGCAGGTCATGCGGATCAGAAATTCATCGCGTACCCTATCTCAGGTACTTCGATGCGCAAAGGCAAGAGTTTGGTGAACTGGATCGCCGAGTTGCGTGTTCGTGACAAGGATGATCCGGATCTTACTCCTCCTCCGGTAGACTGGACAAACACAGTGCCTAAGTCGAAGTTCGAAGGACCGTTCCAGGAGTGGCGTTGCGGTGGTTTGAGCATGAAACAACTCATCGACGACACAGAGAAGGTCTACGAGTTCCCCATGAGCGACCGTGATCCTGTGGACCGCTGGAGCTTTGGCAGACTGACGCTCTTGGGTGATGCCGCACATGCCATGTACCCGATTGGAAGCAACGGCGCGTCACAAGCCATCATTGACGCCGAAGCGCTCACCAACTGCCTGACCAACAACCCCCGAAACATATCTCTGGCTCTCGAACAATACCAAGCTATCCGTCTGCCACCAACCGCCAAGATCGTCATGGCGAACAGAGCCAACGGCCCCGATCATGTTCTCCAGCTCGCTCACGAACGTGCTCCTGATGGGTTCAAGGATATCTATGATGTGATTCCCAAAGAGGAGTTGGAAGGTGTGGGCAAGCAATACAAGTTGATTGCTGGCTTTGAGATGGATGCTGTGAACAGAAAGGCGCAAGAGACGGAAGGAGTGGCCGAGAAGGCAGGGCTGAAGAGTCCCGTCAAGTGGACTGTGACTGGCAAGAGCGGATGAAAAGTGTTTGTCATGTTAGCAAGTTTCACTTCACTGTAAAACACAAAAGTCAATCACTTTATCAAGCAGTCATGCTTGTTGTTACTTATTCCTACGGATGGTCTTCTCAAGCACCAGCGGTACGATGGTGTAGTCGGAAACAGTGTTGCAGGTCGCCTTAGACCACCTCACTGCGACTGACTGAACTGTCAGGTTGTTGGTTCGATTCCGACGTGGGCCACCACTGGTCTTTTTGCACTTTTTGCACTGATCACTCTATACTTGCTCCACTGTCTTCGACACGAATGTTCTCTTTGAAGGGGCTATGACCCGTCTTGCATACACAGTAGCACAGAAGGAAATCCATACATATTGACATTCAATGAGAACCATGGATACATTTGAGAAAAAGAATGTATGAGAAAAACAAAGAGCTACGAAAACCAAACTCAATCACCAGGCAATGGCTCGAACTGAAAACAAACACACATTATATGCTCATCAAATCACAATCTCCGTATCCAATCTTCCAGCTCTGGGCTGTCTCATTCCCCAAAGATCAGATACACGTCTCAAACTCCATCCAGTCTGCTTGCCCTTCTTGATGGGCTGAGGAGCGCGCTGGAAACCTTCCTCAGAGGTGCTGTTATGGTTATGCTTTCCGCCTTTCGGAGGCAGAATGTCATCCTTGACGACAAACATCCATTGTTGCGGTTTCTCAAACACACCAGTACTGGCAGTGGCATTGTCAGGCTTGGCTTGCCATTCTTTGACTGGCTGTAAATCCTTAAAATCGGAAGACTTCGAGAACATCTTTGTCACATCAACCACGAGCTTCTTGTAGAAGTCGGCGGACTTGACCCAGCCACCATTGCGCTGGTAGGCGGCCTTCAGAAGCTTGACTTGCTGGAAAGCCGTATCAGCATTGACGGTGTCGGTGGTGCGCTCCTCGCCATCATCGCCGGAGACGATGAGCTGCAAGATCTCCTCGTGCACGTTGAGAGCCTCGCCGTGCAAGTTTGCAGCAGTGTACAGCTGAGAAAGTAGGTTAGACATTTTGAGAGTGTGAGGGTGAAGTCCACCAAGAACACGACGCAGGTTGTAGGCAATATCTTCGGCAAGGTGAATGGCACGGTGAGAGTGTCCCTTGTCGGATGCTAAATGACGTGATACAACGAGACGCTCTCCAAGATTGATCATTGTGTCTTCACTCCAGTTCTTCTGACCTGAGCGAGATTTCCAAAGAGACTCCAGAATGATGTCGAGCTCTTTGTAGTTTTCCTGCTCACCGAGCAGCTCAACTAGATCATTGAGCTCGTGATCGTGCAGTTGCAGGAAATTAATCTCCAAGGTCTTGCATGCATTCAAGACTTCAGTCATGATTTCTCTTGAAGCTTGTAACATCTTAGTGTGGATCTCGGCCTGGATGTTCTCCTTCATGGTCAAGTATTTGGCCAGCTTGAATCCATAGCCAATCAGACCGGCTTGCTGGTAGCCGCCTTGAGTCATCACGAACTGGAACGTACAGTATGCCACCTCGATTGCTTCCTGGTGCTTGCCACTTGAAACAAGTGCTTCGATTCTATGGTCGCCAGCAATAGATGCGGCCCTAGCAGCTTGAATGTCATAAGCATCAGCAGATCCAATGTGAATTAGAAGTGCTGTCAGGAAGACCTTGATCATTTCCGGTCTTGTCTTCAGAGCATTGCCGATCTGCTTGTTGAAGATCTCGAAGACGTGTTGATCGAGCTCCTCGATGTCGTCATGACGCAAACGGTCGTGCCAGAAATGTCTGAGGTGAGCACTGCGCAGAAGGAGTTGCTCTGTCTTGACTTGAGTGGTCAGGCATCGATGATAGTTATTGAACAACACAGACTCGGTCAGCCAATCTGCCATCACCTCAGAGTAGTTGTGTCCAGAAGAGCCCTTGAGCACCAGTTCGAAGGTGACGAGGAAAACAAAGGCAACACGACCGATTGACTTGTCAAGCTTAAAGCCGGTCTTTACGTCTGCGTGACCTGTAATGACTTGACGTCTGGCAGCCCGGACAAGCTGGAGACCGTAAGCGTGGTAGCCACAGGTGATGTACATGGCACCGATAGTGTTTGCCGCTTCGAAAAGTACCTGAGATCTTTGTTCCTTGGTGATAATTTCGATAGTGTTCTCTTGAAGCATACGAACAATAATTTGTTCGTCTTCTGTTGTCTTCTTGGTTTTGTAGCGCATCGAGACAAGTTCGCTGAGAATAGACAGAGTCTCGGAGTGTGCACATCCGTGGATACTCTTGAGCTGTTGAAGTCTTTCTTGCAGCACTGCAATGGCTTTCTCGGTTGTCTCTGCTGACGAGATGCCCTTACGGTGTACATGTACATAGGCTTCGGTCATACGACTCTTCACCATCGACATGGTCTTTTCATCAATCACGACCTTGCTGTTCTTAGTGGTTGTGATAATTTCCTCGTAAGCGGCAACAGCTTCGACCTTAGTCGACTCATCCTCCATGAGAACCGAAGCATATTCGATCCTGGCACGAATAGCGACCGAAGATGAGGCGCCGAACTTCGTTATACATATGTCTCGGTACTGCTGGGCGACCAAAGCCAAGAGCTTATGATCTGCTTTGCCATTGCTCCTGTTATGGTGCTTCAAGACGTAGGAATATCTGATGTACAACAGCTCGACGTAATTCTCGTCATAGTCGTACTCCTTTGTCTGTGTGGTAAGGAGATTCCAAAGGACGTCACAAACGATTCTGAGCTCAACCCAGTTGCTCTCATCGTAGTAGATCTGGCTGAGTCTCTTGTAAGCTTTGAAAGAGAGCTTGTAGTTGGACGTTCCAATGATCTCGACAATCTCACGGTAGTAGTCTTCGGGGTAACCGTGACCATGCTCAAGGGTCAAATCACCCAGGAAATACAAAAGACCGATTATTCGCTCGTGAGATTTTCCTAGGTGTCTGCGATACTCGAGCAGTAGATCTTTATGAAGCTCTACCAGAGCTCTCCATCTCTTGTGCTCTGTATAGTTCTGGACTATGATCTCGAGGATGGTACTTCTGCGCTTATCATCGATGCTGCAAGAACTTCGTACTGCTTGCCAGAGCTGGAGGTAAACCGCCAAGCTCTCTGAGTGGCGCTTGCTTCTTGTGTAGCACTTTCCAAGTTCAAGAGCAAACTCGATGGACTCATCGGCGTAGTCGTTAGGCAAGCACACTCCACCTCCCCAAGAGCCAGTGAAGTGCATGAGATCAAGCGTTCTCATTAGAAGGCTGATGGCCTCTGACCAGTTTTCTTGCTTCATGTGCATATGAATAGCGGATCTAGCGACTTTGATAGTCTCGTGGGACAAGGTAGTCGTCGAAGAGCTGAACATTCTGCGGACGACACTCTGCATCTCGTCGGTTGACTCGCTTCTGAATGAAGAAGATGAGTGCTTCTCTGAGGTCTCTTGAATAACCTTGATCATGGTGTCCTCGCATTCACGAGCATAGCTACTCTCGTGCTTGCCGACAGCCTTGAAGAAGCTTGAAACGCGCTCGAATACAGAGATTGACAAGTTGTGAAGCTCCAGAGATCTCATCAGTTTACCAATGATCATCAGTTGCTGATAGAAAGCCTCAGATTCGCAGCCGAAGTGCTTGTGTTCGGACCACAAAACGATAAGTATGTTTTTCGCTTCTTCTTTTCGTTGCTGCCTTGTTAAAAAGTGAACGTATTCAACGGCCACTTGAAGCATGCTAATGCGAGTCTCAACATCGTGCGAGTGGTGACCCCTGCACAAACTTAACAGGCGCGTCCACAGTGTGACGTAGAGTTCCTCGGCTTCGTAGAACTCTTTACGATGCTCGCAGCCCTGTGCGAGCTTCAAAAACATCTGGATTCTTGCAAGATTCCAAACGACAGCGCTGTCTTCGCCCACGGAGAAGATATCATAACGATATTGTTCAATACCCCCATGATTGTGATCAGCTTTCAAGACCACCATGAGTTTGCCTGAGATCTCTCTCTCAAAGTCAGAACCCTCGCCGTACTTCTTGATAATGACGGTACGAAGTTCTTTCCAGCACACTGCTGCGTGGTCTTCTTCGTGAATCGAAACGTACATCTCAGCTAGAGTCTTGGTGAAGCGAATGACAACTTCACTCGTCTCTCCATGAGTTTCCTTGTAAGCTGTGATGATGAATTTAAGCATTTCCTCTCTGAAAGTCACAAGTTCCGTACGACTGGTAAAAGTCATCGAGTCTGTGATGGTCAGGAAAGTCTCAGTCAGAGTGACTGTAATGCGATTATGTTTTGGCAACACGTGCTGGCAAATTCGTGAAGCTCGAACAAAGTAGGGTGCAGCTGTGTCCAGGGTTGAGTACATATGGTACACATAAGCGCAGGTGATAGAGGTCTGCAGTGTCGCAACATGCTTGTCTTGGAAGACTTCAGAACGGATGCGCAGGGCAAGCTCGTGCACAGGCAGCAGCTCAGTGGTTGGGAACTGTGCATCCCAGCATGTCCACTCCAGCAACGGCAGCAATGGAGTAGTCGGGAAGGCGGCCTTAACATCATTCGAGAGACCCAAGGTACCAGTTGGCTTGTATAAGGTGGACTGCCGGAAATGAATTGTCCAGTTGCGTACAGCATACTCCAACAGATCGTGTTCGGTGAACAAACGCTCCACATCACCTTGGGGCAAAGGCTCAAGAGAGACATCATGAGGCTTGGACAAACAGACCTTGCTATAGATAAGAAGCCTCAAGGTCAGGTTCGTGTGAGCTTCTTTATAGGAAAGGAGCTTCTCTCCGGTGGTCTGCAGGGCGATGAAATACTCTCGTATGGCAGGGTGCAAGAATTTCACCAACCCTGCGTTGTTGGGACGTAACAATCCAGATGTCTTCGCAAACTTGCTCTCAAGGTCTATTTCACGACGTGTGTTCGTCTTCTTCTGAAGGTCGACTTGAAGAACGTCGTAGAGCTCGTCGACAGACAGTGGACGCTCAGTCACCATCATGAATGAGATCAAGAGCTTCACATCACTATCAGCAAGATTATCATCCTTGAAAACACGATATTTGATGATCTCGTCAAGTGTGCTTTTGAGGTCTTTGAAGTTCTTATCCAAGTCTTCTGGCGACTTTGAGAGCTTGAGGTCATCGGCAGCTAGCAGCAACCAGAGGAAATTACCCTTTGCTTTCTTGGCTAAGTCCTCCAAGAACTTTTGTCGGTCTGTGTCATTCTTTTTATGGTAAGCTACGCAGTCTCGTAGCTTATGCTTGGCAATGTGTTGGATATCATCGTGAACATGATCGGGCTGTATCTCAAATGTCTTCCAGATCTTGTCATTCTCAGGCAAAGTTTTAGACCTTGAGAGGATGATGGATTTGAGAGAACGGTGAGAAGTCGAGAGTTTCGACATACGCTCACAGACCTGCTTCTTGTTGTCACGGAGCTGGTCCAGGCCGTCGATGATGATCATAGTAGGCTCAGAGGAGTCAGGGAAGGCTGCATCGATGGCATTCCACAGATGATGCTCCATGTCCACAGCGCTTTTGCTGTTGTAGGCCTGGACGATAGCTTCGAACATGCGGACGTTACCCAGGCGAAGGTCCATCAGCTGTAGTGCCAAGCTCTTTGCCAGAGCCAGCGATGTGGTCTCGCTTGGAATGTCTGAGTCAAACGAGAACATCACAGTACTGTGCGTCTTCTGACCCAAGCGACGTTGCAGTCTCTCCTGAATCCAGCTGGAAAGCACTGACTTTCCACATCCGGGAGGACCGGTGATGGCGAGTATTTTCTCATCTCCACAAGAAAAATCGTACAGTGTTTTCTGAAACCATTCACATGTGTACTCATCGTACTGGGATGCATAGGTAAGGGACTTGGCGGGTATGCTTCGAAGAAGAAAGGCCCTCTGGTCGAGCCACTTGCGGACTTCATGCACTTCTCTGACTGCATCGCCGCCAAGGGCGTGGCTCCAGATATGATTCATGATGCTAGTTAAGATTAGTGTTAAGCTATGAGAAACCCATCATTAAACGTACCGATTTTTGCGGTTCTCAAAGTTGTTGAGAGGCTCTCGGAAGAGGGAAGTAAAATCGAGGGTAACAGCACCATGCGAGAGGCCGCGGACAGACCCTTGATAATGAGATGCCACATCAAAAACCAGATAATGAATGTCGCGGAAAGCTCTGCTGACGTCCTCTCGGACATCGGTGCTCAAGCTCAGCTGTGTTTGATGCGATGCTAGAAACGACAAAGACAGACCAAGCTTGTAGAAAACCGAGAAGGTTGTATTGAGAGCGCTAGCATTAGCTTCTCCGAGTTCAACAATGCTGCGGAGCAATGTATAAATCTGTTTTGTTGCATACTGGCTCTCAGGGACGAATGACTCAATCTTCTTAGCATAGTTGTCAATCTGCAGAGCATAAAACTCAGCCCAGCGGAGGACTCTGTCCCAGAGGCTGCCGCGGCATGGCATAGAGCTCAGACGCTCTCGGGCGATATAGTCTGAGAATGTTTCGATGTTCATGTTGCCCATCAACGAAGCATCAATTGTGTCAAAGTCTCTGAGGATTCTTGCCTCCATGTGCATGACATGGCTGTCCTGGTTGCGCATAAGTGAGCCATTGTTGGAGAATGGTTGGTAAGCGATTGAGCTAGAATCGAGGCGGCGATTGAGTATTCCACTGCTAGCCGGACTCTGGGGAGATGGTTCATCAGCTGCAGAGTCTTTACGCTTCTTTGCAACCATGAGATTGTCCAGAGCGGGTGTTTGGTATTGGTAATCCATGTTGTGTTCGTTGATAGATTGGATTTCTGTAGGTACAGCAGATTGGAAGCTGGGGACGCGGTCTAACACCAAGGCCGCAGATCAGTATGGGGATTTCTGATATTTGAATCACGGGAAAGAATTGAACCACACATGTACATACTCAAGGGATTTGTCCGTAGACCAAGCATGCTCCAAAACGAATAGAATGAAGAGAAGCAACCACAGCAGCAGCAACGGGAAGTCTGTTCACTTAAACCACGAGTCCTTCCTTGTCGCGGCATACGACATCATTGAGTTGACAAGAAAAAAGAGCGGGGATCTTTTAGCATTTGATATGCTTGATGACTCCATCGAGCTGAGTGGGGATCCCTCACCAATCTCATAGTAGCTGTACAACGGTTAGCTGACGGCTGAACTGATTTGCTCCAAACGGATACCAGTAACACGCAGGGGCATACTACGCGCGTATTCAGCTTCCACTAGGCAGAATATGCACTGTCTGAGAGACGGTCCAGTCTCGACAAGGCAAATGGGGGTTCAATGTCTGGCAAAGCTGTCACTGATCGATGAAATCGATCAAGCACCATTTTCCTCAGTCATGTCTTGATGTTCATACACCGCAATATTTTGACTTTGAGACGAAGACGTTAGTCTTTCGGTTTTGCTTTGTTTGGTACCCACGAGGTGCGGCCCGCCATGGAAAGATTTACGGCGTTGGATCGTAGACCCGACTAGAGAAGACTGCCATGACCATGATTTCGTCCGTATGAAGATGGATGGTATAAGATGACAATCCAGTCCCTTGTGGCTTGAGCTAATGCATGTCCCTTAGGCCTGCTTCTCGAATGTCAAATAATTCCTGGGGCAAGTGGCAGGCTACAAAAGTTTAGGAGTGTCTGCTTGATCGTGGTTGCCGTCTGGTACGAACGGGGCGGGCCAGGCGGGGTACCCGATGGTCTGAGAGCTTGTCGTTCTAACGTTTGCTGCTGATCGCAATTGTGTCCATATACCCGAACGAGACCACGCAGCCAGGATCGAGTCCAATTCAATTCACACATCTCAAAGCAGTACTCGGAATATGAACTATGGTTTGTTAGCTCGGTTATGGCAAGGGTTATTTGGGACTCATGTCGCTGCAGTAGAACGCGCAAGACCGAGATCTACGTAGCAGGTGGGGCTGGGGCTGGCTGATCGCGACAGCTAGAGCTTGAACGTGCATTGCACTTCAGCTCGCCATAACACAGAGCACGCGGCAGATTCCCAATTCCATACGTGACTGACCTATGGGATTGTCGTGTTGGAAAATCTCGCGCTCACTCAAGACTTTGGATCCGGTCTCTCGCTGCCTCCGAGGATCATATGAGCCTCTCTACGGAGAAGCACATCGTGGAGCGAGGATCGTGTCGCTGTGCTCGACTGCATGAATGTATGCATGCATGAGCTAGTCTTGTCCCAAAAGAGCTCTGGATCTGGAGAGCGATGGCTCCACCTCCCCGAAAAGGGCCATGCACCGAATGCTTCAATCAGAATTCTGCAACAACGTTGGTCTAAGACGGGCATCCTTGCTATGCGAGTCGGTGACTGCTTTGCTGAGACACAAGACGATGGTCTCAAGACAACCCACAAGAGAGACACCATTCGCAGCTGCTTTCAATATTTCATCCATTCAGGAAGTTGGTCAAGAAGATGCGACCAACGCGTGGATATGGAATGGAGATTCTGTGCACTGATCTCGTGGTGTTGGCTAGAGGATAGCTGGACGCGACGGATCTCAGCGGATGACGGTCTTCTCTACACTGACGTCCATTTGACACGATCTGCCTCTCGGCCTGATCAGCATAGCTGTAGACCTGGTTTGCTGGTTGAACAATGTCGGACTCTAAACGAGCACACTTTGCCCCAGAGTTGTGGAAACAACATGCCCAGCAGCGTGGTCAATCCATTGGAGACTGCCGAATATCTGCTAATGCGAAGATCTGCGGACGTAAGATCTGATGTGCAGTCCCCTATTGAGCCGCTCTGTCCGTTTTACGAGCCTCTTCAACATGGAGCGAGCGAATTAAGCGAAGGTGATCAATCGTCCAGGGTGGCCTTGTAATTCGACGCGAGTAGCGTCTCTACTACTAATGTCAAACAATCCCAAGATGAAAACCGGTAGTGTTCGCTCATGTCAAGTAGGTATTGACGGAGCTTATTCCGCACAATTTGATCATTCACGTCTGTCTGCCTTTTTGTCGCTTATACGTCCTACAGTGTCAGAAGGCAGCCCCTGTAAGACCTCTTGATCGTTCCTGGAGTCAAATCGGCGATTGGAAATTGCTAGGCCGAGTCACGATGGATATGTCGCTGCTCCGGAAAGAGGTATAGTCAAGAGAGTGACGACAGCGTTGGGTGAGCAGTCAAGGTCCTGTGATCGAGATCTGGCACTCCACAAGCACTGAATAATGGGTCGAGGTCCGATCATCTCCATCAGTAGAAACCACAACTTTGTGTGCTTCTAGCATCATCCGAGTTCTTGCACGTCGCAAGTGCTTGGTGACAAACACACGTAAACTGCCAAAATCATATCTCAGTGCGATACGGGCTTGACTATACGTCATTTTGGGGCTGCTGGTTGAGTAACCCTGTCTTGAGGCTACATTCATGCTTACAGGTTTTACCAAAGCTTGAAAAGATATTTAATCTCCAAAGTATTGATTCGGCCTTAAGATAGCGAATTATACTGTGTTCACATGTAAAGATAGCCTGTTTGGGGTTGCAGATGAATATAGATGATCATTATCAATGGATGGTTGGTTTGCTGTCACGATGCCGTGTGCGACGGCAAGGCTGCACGGAGAAGATCGATGAACGGTCTGAAGTAGGGACAGCACATCAAGATTGGTAAACTGCTTATCCTGCGTTTGTGTGAGAACCTTGTCCCCCCTTCGTATAAGTTGTATACACCCGATAAAGTACATGGCTGTTGCCAACAGATTGACACTGTATGTAAGCTGCATGCATAAGAGTTGTGTCATGATGTGCGAGTATCGCTTCCGAGTCAGGGTGGCACCATCGCCAGTGATCTCAATCCAGAACAAAGAAAGATTGTCTTCGAAGAAGGCAAAAGATGATGCAAGCATTCATATGCTTATATAATAGAGATTATAGCCTTGTGACGGAGCCATGAAAAAATGGTTGTAACCCTTCGTTGTGATATCGCGAGGCCATTGATCTTTTCACAACCATGAGAAGGCACGAATCAACGGACACAATAAGTTAGTGTCGGGGTGTGGTTCATGGAGTCTCCATGGCATGTGTTAGCAATGCTACTATGATGCGTCTCCTGTTGCGTCGCTTCTTTCTTCTTTGCTCCTTGTAACAGGCCAATCTGAAACATCGCAGACTCACCCACATCTTCTTATAGACGCGCAATGGCGTTGACTACGAAACGCGCAGGGCTGGCTCCTGGGTTCAAGAGGTGTAAGTGACGAATCTCTTCGACTGTGCACTCATCGTTGAAGACCCCTGTGCGAATAAACGGCGCGTCTAAAGGCTGCTGTGACCTTGGTTTGCGCATAACTTACGAACGTCCTTGTACTTTTGTGTATTCTAGCATGCCTGACTCTCAGATAGTGACTCCTATGAAGTCTCTAAGCATCGCAATCTCGACTGCATGGAAGCCTGTCTTACCCACGCCTACTTTCGATGCCATTCTCACGCAATCAAGATTTCAGAGTAACAAGGCAAAGATCCAAGAACTCTCGGCCAACGAAGGTCAGAAACTCCTCGCGGACCTTCGTATGCACCGCCCTGTCTCTCCTCACCTCGGCATCTACAAATGGAACATGGGCTCAATCATGTCGTCCATGATGCGCATCACAGGCGTCGCCTACTCGAGCTCCTTCTATCTTTTTGGCCTTGCCTACCTCGTTTCACATTATCTTGGCTGGGACCTGTCTTCTGCTAATATCGCTGCTGCTTTTGCTTCCATGCCTAAGCCGCAAAGTCGATTATCAAGTTTGCTGTCGCTTGGCCTGTCATCTTGCACTCCTTCAATGGTATGCGTCATTTGACATGGAATAGGGCCAAGGGCTTCAATAACAATTTCATCCAGAGGACGGGTTGGGCAGCGATCTGTGCGACCACCTTGGGCGCGGGCTACATGGTCTTTTTGATGTCATGATCGCTTGAGTCTGGTCCAAGAATAAAGCGATCAAGTTCGCGCACTGTTACTGCTGAAGGGTACCAACAAATGTGAAAAAGACGAGATAGAAACACGGTTGGGACGTTTGAATGAGCACACCAATCTGAACATCGTTCGCCAGTCCCAGAAGTGACCAAGAAGTAACTTCAAACATGGCCATGTCTGTAGCATTTTTTGTCCTGCGCCCTCTGCGAAGAGCGCTCTTCCTTCGCCAATCTACATGGCCGTGTTGTAAACACAGATAACGAGGGCAAGGAAATTACTTACCGTCGCAAGTCCATTTAGCGCAGGGCCAGGCGGCGCTGCAGTCCATAGAGAGCCTTCCCATTCGCCTTTAGCCGCTTAGACAGGACCATGTTCTAAGATCAGATCCGTAGGAACAAGGCAGATCTACTCTGCTTTTCATGAATTCCAGTAGTTGTAAAGCGAACAGCACGAGTCGGAGGTTGTGAAGCCTGCAGGAATCCTTGACCAAGCATAGACTGTGGAAGCAGATACAGCATTGAGTCTTGCTTACCTACCTACCAGGTCCACAGAAGAAAGATAGCGTCTACCAAGCGTCCAGGAGCCATGCCTAGATCTCAGATCCCGATTGCCTTTTCGGCAGAGAATCTTTGCCCTTTCAAGGAAGCACAATCGTTCTGACTCAATGAGACGGTCCAGTACGGCTCAGTATAGGGTGCTTCCGTCCTGTAGGTAATCGTCGTCATCCTCCCTCATGTTGACGCATAGTTGCAGATGTTAGCCAGATCGATCCCAGTGATGAACAACCAGGCACCGGTGCTGCAATTGGATCGAATTTGTCCAGAGCCAGTATGACGCAGTGCTTTGAAGTTCCCTTGCAAGACAACAAAGATACTGAACTCCGAGGAAGAAAGTGGGATTCGGTCGCTGGCGCGCAAGGATGGCCGCACACACTTCGAAAGCATCAAACTTTCTCTCGTCGATATAGCCCTCTGCAGTTTTTGACGATGAGTCCAGATGCAGCGCCAGGACGACCATGATGGGCTAGGACGGATCACCGTAGACCTCAGCCTCGCTCAGCCAAGCCGAATGGCGACAAAGCGCCCAGTGCAATGACTTTAAATACCATAGGACAACGGCGCAGTCGAGGACTCCGCGAAGGATGCTATTCGTAGGCAGGCTCTGTAGACCTTGGTAGGAAGATGAAACTGTTGAGCATGTATGATTTTGCTGGAGAGAACCAGATCAAGTTCAATTCACCCCACTCCACGGTGTCCACTAAGGAGGCCATGGTGCGACGTGCAGAAACACTGAGTCCAAAGTTTGGCCGCAAATGCAGGTTGCGCAATCTGATGAATCGAAGGCATCCGAATTGACATGTAGTGCCCTGGTACTGTATTACAGCGAAGTCATAACTTATATGTGTTGATGCACAAAGGTTGGCTGAAGAAACTTGAAGAAAGAGCTGTTGGCAGAGATGGCGCGCCGGCATCCCTAATCGAGCAGGCGGTGAGGCTTCCGCCACTGGTAGGAAGGAGCTCCTGAAACTCGTCCTGAAACTTGTCCATCAGGACCTCGGATGATACCTCAAGTTAACACGGGTCAAGTATATGGTGCAGAGACAGTCCAATCTCCGTCGGCGCTCAACACTCTCTGCATGGACGAATGGATGTTAAAGAGCAATATGAACCCTGGTCGCCTGTCGGTGTCTGTGTCAATGCTCTCGGCTAGCAGTGACCGCCGCCACGAACTACCGACTGACGCACAGAACTCTCGATGAACCCTGACTCCTCGAGATTCCGCATCCGGTGGTTCACGCCTGTCACTGTTGCAAGACCTGAACGTGTCGCTTGTCTCTCGTTGCTGCAATCGATCTGATCGACTCATGCCTAGCCCGTGCCTTCTCAAAACTGCAAATCTTCTCTCCATTCGATGATACGCACGGCCATAAAGTCGGCAACAAGCTCTGGTCAGTGGTTTGTTAAACCCTATGGCGTGTCTGGTCCATCGAACTCTACCCGCACACGACTCTGTCGCTGAGAACAGGCGGCAATCCATTTCAGCCATGCTCGTACACTTTTCCTCGAGTCAACGCAGACCGACACACTGTGGTCTGTAGATCGCCAACTCGGATATACACCGCTGTTCACCACTGCATGTTTGCTCTACCACTTTTCCAGACGAGCTCTCGCAGCTTGCTGTGGTATCCAGCTTTTGGAAGTTCTTGCAGTTGCTGGCAACGTTGGCCATTCACCTGATGTTATTTTGTCTCGTGGCTATAATTGATTGAGTACTATATACCCTGACGATCCCTGAGTCGCGACTCACGACCCTTGACTCGAGCCTCGCTACCAAGTTCTTTATGGAGAAGGTCTGTTGTTGAGACGAACACAAGCTTTCAATCATCATTGGCCTTTGCGACTACACGGCGCCGTCGGCCTAGGTTCGCGATTGTCAGAAACGTGTGCTTCACCTATACAAAGGTGGCAAGGCTTCCGCAGGCAGATTTATCGTCGAATGGAGGCGGTGGTCTTCTAGTCGTCTTCTATCTATCGGTGATGCCCAAACATATCGTCTCGAGTCAACAGCTATCATTTGACCATGTTGTCGTGCGGACGACTGACCATGGGATGCCTAGATTGACTTGTGTCAACACTCATTTCACGTTTCTTTGAGGCCCCTGGCTCAACTCTATAACACCATATTGGACCGAGTTTCGGTTCTTGTTTCCGTGCAAAGATAAGTGGAGAGGCCAAGATGATCGGGGTAGGCAAACGTGTGACATCCCGAACATCTGGACCGCTAGCACATATTCTAAAGAGGCTATACTACTGTTCAGACGCCAACTAAACTAATCTGGACCTCGGGCTTAATCAAGTGTAGAGACCAACAAGCAACGACGAAAATTGACTGCAGATCAGTGTGGGCACCGAAAAATCTCTCGACTTACATATCGAATCATGGCAGTCAGGGTAGGTAACCGAGGGCAATTATAAAGGGAGCACTTGATCCCTCCACAACTATCGTGTTAAGCTTAACATCTTCAAACCTTCAGCTCGATCACATTCGTCAACTGTACAAAGATGTCCTCCACAGCCACCGACGTGAACCGTCCTTCAGCAGATGCTGTCTTTGAGAAGTCACACAACCACAACCTCAACATCACCTCTTCTCACAATGGCATGACTATCTCGCCTGAGCTGTTCGAGAAGCTGTACCTCACCCCTAAGACTCCCCGCCATGGCAACAACATCAAGCGCTTCGCCAATGCGGTGCCCATGGGTTTCACTGGCTTCGTCATCTCGACCTTCACCTTCTCCATGATCCTGATGGGCTTCGCTGGTACTAGCAGTCTTGCTGGTGTTGTCGGTATCTTCTTCTTCACTGGTCCTGTTCTTCTCGGTCTCGCTGCCATCTTTGAGTGGATTCAGGGCAACTTCTTTACCGTAAGCCGGACAATGTTGATGATACATGCTCGAGATACTGATTATCCTGCAGATGAACTCCCTTTCGCTTTTCTGTGTCTTCTGGCTCTCATTCGGCATGATCCAACTCCCTTCTCTCGGCATCGCTGCATCCTACTCACCTACTGGTAATGCTGCCGAAGGTGCCGCCAGCCCCGACTACAACAACGCCATTGCTCTCTACCTTATCGTCTGGGGCTTTGCTTTCGTTACATACTTCATCTTCTCGCTCAAGACCAACGCCATCTTCGCTGGTATCTTTGGTGTCGCCGCCATTGCCGTCTACGTTCTTGCTGGTGCTTACTTCAAGGTTGGCACTGGTGACTACGCCATGGCTGGTAACCTTCAAATCGTAAGTTGACTCTCTGCTCTTGGTATAGTTGTGATCATAGCTAACACTTCTGCAGGCTGGTGGTGCTCTTCTGTTCGTTGTCGCTGCGTTGGGTTGGTACATTACCTTCGTCATCATGGCTGCTGAGATGCGTCTGGGCATTAACTTCCCTGTCGGTGATCTTAGCCACCTCTGGCCTGCCACCGACGTTGAGTTGACCGAGATCGAGAAGCAGGCTTAGATCTGGCATCCCTCAACGCGTTGATGTTTGTGTGAAGGAATGATAATAGTGCTTCCATGTACGCCTTGCAGTCTTGGTTCTTGTCACGATAGTTTGCAAGCGATATACCCACGTCGAATTAGCTTATTGCTTCTAATGTCAGTCATGTATCCTGTTATGGAAAGATTGCAATTGTTTTGAAATCAGGCTTGCTTTCATTTCATCATTGGGTATCATGTGCTGCCATATCTGAATGGCCTTGGGCAGTGACAAAGGAAAAGAAAAAGCAGGTCGTTATCATCACCCCTCCCGCCACATTCGGCGTGTCTCGAAGCCGTTGTAGAATATTTTCCCTCTCTCCATTGTCCATGCTGGTGTCTCTCTCAGCTGTGGAAAGGCACAGTGCTGTTCGGTATCAACGGTCTGGCTGAACGATGATGAAACCAGCTCCTGCAGGAACGCCGACGTACGGGAAGCTCTTGTGAATACCGCTGTTGACGAATGCGTTGTATGTGTCGGGTGGAAAGTTCTTGAAGGTGTTGAACGGATAATGTGTAGAAGAAGGCAGAGACATGAGCAAGGAAGCCCAAGCAGAGAAGCTGGAGAACCAGCATGATGAAGACGTGGAAGTTCTTTGAGGTCGCCATGTTGGAGGAGGCGAGCAGATGCCAGACTGTTGGTTGAGGAGAGGAAGGAAGAGAAGCAGCGAAGCGATCGTGTCGCTCGAATACCATCGAGCGGAAAATCCGTCTTCTCATTCAGAGCAGTGATCAGTGATGTCCGACTTCTCACTTAGATCGATGAACAGTGAACTCTAGAGGTCGCGGAGCGCGTTTAATGCGGACCTACAGACAGATCATTCGCTACCTACCGTGCATCGGATCGAAACAATGCCTATGTAGCTATTCACAGGCTCTTAGATGTGTGACCGATATTAGACTTCATCTCACATGTTCTTTGGATGAGCATTCACTTGCGCGAGAACATACAAAATCGAAATACCAACCATTCTCGAACTGTGGCTCCGTCAATAAACGATGAGCACGGCCATACTGTGCATGTTCATGAGTGACACAGAACCGGCGAATGAGAGAGCTATGTCTCTATAAGTGCCAGAGTCAAGTGACCGCAACCATTCAATTCTCTTCTGGGCGACGAGTAGTCGATAGTGAGAATTCACCCGTGTCATATCTCTTTGATAGTCAGCAATTGTCCGTTTGTTGTTATAAGGTCAATGCCAAGAATTTCTGGCGCGTCCGACCACTTTCACGTGCGGTAGTCGTTGCAAGTACTACTCACCAGCCAGTCGAGTTTGCTTGCTCATGCGACACTAGAAACAGCGCATTGCGACACGTCCCTTCAATTTCAAAAGCCTGCGACTTCTATCAACTCTCCTTCGACAACACAGCCATCACATCTGAACAATGTTTCTGTTCTCCTTGTCATACCTCCTGCTCACCTTGCTCAGTCTAAGCACCGTGGCGCACTCATGTCGCCCCTCGGTTTGGGCTGTCGGACTCAGAGGCGACCAGACGCTTGACAATCATCTTCGCATCGTAGGCCGCCCAATCACCGTCCGAGAACACAGACTGGACATCAACGGATACACAACTTCCATTCCGGACGACAACAAGGCGTTGCTCGAAGCAATCCGCAAGGACCCCAGCGTTGGTTTTGTGGTCAAAGTTCCTCAAGACTATTTCCAAAAATTCGACCAGTTCATCAAAGTTGGTTGGGATGAGGATGATCGCGACCTTTACCACCATATGCTACGACCGACGTATCAATGGGGTCGATTGCAGAGCCGAGACCCAGAAAACATCGAGTCGGGAGGCAGGTAAGTGGTTCAAGGAAACATTGGTTGAGGACAAACGTTTGACTGGGCCTTTGCACCAGGAGAATACCGCTGGAGTGGATTCTTAAACTGGAAGAGGGCTACAGCCTTGATGTTCACATCAACCTCGTTACCCAATTCAACCCGAACTCGGTATCGATTGTACCAGAACTTTCCAAGAACACTTACTATCTCAAATTCAAGTCAGAAGAACAAGAAAGGAAGTCCTTGCCAATGATTCGCGGTGATCCTCGTGTTGAGGATATCTGGCCCAGTCGTTGTTACCAGAATGGGATCAGAGACTTGATCAGAATAGACGGAGAGGATATTCAAGACGGAGAAGATGGCTGTGTCTTTCGTCTAGGTTATCGTCAGTGGTACAAGGTATGTACTCGAGCTTGGATGTATTGGCAGCAGTTCTGACACATCTTGTCGATAGGAGCCGATTGTCACTATACCAAGCAAGCCTTCGACGATGACACTTCATCCAAAGATACGCAGCATGCGTTCCGAGGCACTCAAAACCTACTCACAACGTCGTCCACAGACACCTACTCCAGCTCCGACTGTGCACTCCTGGGAAGCAAAACTTGCAAAGGACAGGGAGGAACAAGTGCAAAGATGGATGCTTGAGCATGAGATGTGGAAGAAGCAGGCACGATATCATCAGTCACAACAGCTTCAAAGGCTTGCAAGAATGAAGGACGATGACAAGAGAAAAGGTATCAGGAGAGATGGTGCTTGCATGAGACATGGGAGGTGAAAGGTGAAAGCGGTGTCTAAATCTTGGCGTCGGACAGGGTGAGGTGGGGCAGGTGCGGTCGAGATGAGACGGTGCGCGCACGAAAAGTGAGTCAAGTTGTTGCGCTGTTGCACCTTCCTGTCGCATTCAGTTACCGCCTGTCGCAATACAAAAATTGTCATTCCTTTCTCGCTACATATAATTCCACGCGACCAAGACTACGCCAGCAACAACAATGTCCGAAGGCATCGTCGAGGGCGCCCAGCCCCAGCAGAAGCCCGCTGCCGACGCAAAGGGTGCGCTCATGCCCAATGAGTTCCAATTCGCATAGTCAGCTGCTGACGCTTTGTCTTTACAGAGCAAAAGGACCAGAAGAAGGCACAGAAGTCCCAGGCCAAGCAAAAGAAGGAGCCCAAGGTCGCACAGGGCGGTGGAAAGAAGAAGATGGAGGGCGCTGCTCTGATCGGTATCGATGTGGCCAAGGAGGACGACCTTTCCGAATGGTACCAGCAGGTCATCACCAAGGGCGAGATGCTCGAATTTACCGACGTCCCCGGCTGCTACATCTACGAACCCGGTTCCTACGGCATCTACGAGCGCATCCAGGACTTCTTCAACGCTCGTATCAGAAAGATGGGTGTCCGCAACTGCTACTTCCCCCTGTTCATCTCCGAGGCCAACTTGCAGCGTGAGAAGGATCACATCGAGGGTTTCGCTGCTGAGGTCGCTTGGGTTACTGAGGGTGGTAAGAACAAGCTGGAGAAGAAGCTCGCCGTTCGTCCCACATCAGAGACTGCCATGTATGGCTACTTCTCAAAGAAGATTCGCTCTCACCGCGATCTTCCCCTCAAGCTCAACCAGTGGAACAACGTCGTCCGTTGGGAGTTCAAGCACCCCATGCCCTTCATCCGTTCGCGCGAGTTCTTGTGGCAGGAGGGTCACACCGCTCACATGACTGAGGAGGATGCTGGCAAGGAGGTTCTCCAGATTCTCGACTACTACGAGGCTATCTACCATGAGTTGTTGGCTGTTCCTGTCGTCAAGGGTCGCAAGACCGTTGCTGAGCAGTTCCCCGGTGCCCACTACACCACCACCGTCGAAGGTTTCATCCCCTCAACAGGCCGCGGTATCCAGGCTGGTACCTCTCACTGCTTGGGTCAGCACTTCGCCAAGATGTTCGACATCACCGTCGAGGACCCCCACGCTAAGGAAGGCGAGAAGAAGGAGAAGTTGCACGTCTGGCAAAACTCATGGGGTCTCACTACCCGTTCCATCGGTATCATGATTCTTACCCACGGTGACAACAAGGGTCTGGTCATTCCTCCCCGCGTCGCTGAGATCCAGGCTATCATCGTTCCCGTCGGTATCACCGCAAAGACCACCCCTGAGGAACGCGAGAAGCACTACGCTGAGACCAACGCCATCAAGGAGGTTCTGCTCGAGGCCGGCGTCCGCGCCGAGACAGACATGCGCGACGACCAGAGCCCCGGCTGGAAATTCAACCATTGGGAACTCAAGGGTGTTCCCCTCCGTATCGAGTTCGGCCCCAAGGACAGCGCCAAGCACGTCGTCACCGTCGCCCGCCGTGACCAGCTCGCCGCCGGCAAGAGCGAGATCCCCATCGCCGACCTCGGCAAGGACGTCCCTGCCCTGCTCGAGACCATCCAGGGCGACATGTTCCGCAAGGCTTCTGACGAGTTCCGCGAGCACCGCAAGATCATCACAAAGTGGGAGGACTTTGTCCCTGCCCTCAACACAAAGAACACCTGTATCATTCCCCACTGCTTGGTTCCCGACTGCGAGGACGAGATCAAGGAGCTCAGTTCGGGCAAGATCGAGGGTCAGGAGGTTGATGCTCGTGCTCCCTCTATGGGTGCCAAGTCGTTGTGCATTCCCTTCGACCAGCCCGCCGAGGGACTCGTCCACGGCGAGACTAAGTGCACCAACCCCAAGTGTGAGCGCAAGGCTGAGAAGTGGGTCATGTTCGGTCGCAGCTACTAAGCGCACAGCTTGCTGTTGAACTCGAACGTTGATCGCTTGAAAACAAAAAACATGATTGGAAGCGCTATGCATGAATTGGGAGCTCATAACCTTTTTTTACTTTTCGCAATGAAATATGACATCAAACGCTAATGACTTTTCACCACTCCAAAACTGACGTGAAAGACATGAATATGGTATCAAATAAAGATGCCGGCTTGTCTCAAGCTAAACTCCATTTTGTAATACCTCGACTGATTACTTCTAACCTCTAAGACCAGCAAAGTAGAATTGCTGCAGAGCAGCCGAAGCCATAGGGACAGGGTATTTTAAGGCCCTTGCCTTCTCAACGGCAGCCTCCAATCTCCTTCTGACATCCTCGGCAGCAGCACATGATGCCAAACTCCAATCATCCTTCTCCAACATGGCAGGAATGTGCTTGGTGTACATGTCACACCAACCAGCAGCCTTTGAGATGATCTCACACATGAGCTTACGATCCATTTCTAGGTGCTTGCAGAAAGCCATTGCTTCTACACTGGCTGCGAGGTGGACACCAGCGAGCAGGTCGTTGACGGTGTCGGCGCTGACTTGGTGGTTCGAGTGCATCTTGACGTCTGCGGTGGAGTTTTCCTTGACTAGCGAGGGCGAGGATGAGGGGATGTACATGGTGACCAGCTTTGCATCGTCGTCTCTGAGGAGACCTGCTTGCAGACCTTGCAGATAGCATTGCTCGGCACAGTCGGCGAGGGGTGTGGGGAAGTAGCCTGAGCGAGCGGTGGCTGTAACAATGCCGGCGTCCTTGAGAATGATGCCTAGGGCTGAAAGAGGCGACCAGTCGTCTGCAAGCATGTGAGGTGCGCGGTTCTCGAACATGAAGGATGTTCCATCGTTGGCCTTGACGTGTTCGTATACTTTTTGGGTGTTGAGGCCGACGGTGGCAGCAAGACCCATGGCTTCCGAGGCGAGGATGATATTCGTGGCGGCGAGCAATTGGTGAATGGTCTTGACTTTTGTGCCGCTGCTGATGCCGCCCTGGATGCGGTAAAGGTTACCAGACATAGTGTTGAGGATGTCCTTTGATGCCTCGACATCTTCCTCCTTGCCGGCGGCGAAGATAGAGAGGGTACCGTTTGCAGCACGGATAGTGCCTCCGGACACGGGGCAGTCGAGGAGCTTGACATCTGATCTGCCGGCATCGTCCAGCTTTTGTCTCAGTTCGTGCAAGTAGGCAGGAGGAGTTGTTGACAGCAGGATAACAGTCTTGTTCTGGCCAAGTCCCTTGATGGCCGGGTGGTCACCGTCAAAGAGGGCAGAGCTGGTTTGGTGGTGGTTGGCGACCATGATGCAGAGGTACTCGACATCTGTGGCAGTCTCTTGTTGTGTCTTTGCTGCCTTGCCGCCTTCCTTGACCAGAGCATCAACTAGCGGTTGTGCCAAATCGAAACCCTTGACATTGTATCCCTCTCTTGCAAGGTTGATGGCCACACCACCTCCCATAGCACCAAGGCCAATGAAACCAACATCTTTCAGACCCATCGTGTATGTTATGTCTTGGTTGTTCTTTTCGTGCTAGCTGTGATTATGATCACTTTCTCCAGATGGTGAACAGTGAGCTTTCGGATAGGAGGTAGAATTAGTTGCGTATGCAGTAGAAAGACAACAGAAAAGTATTGCCTCGAGAATATAAAGGGCGTGACGGCATTAAACATGTGTTCGGGAAAGTGGTCGCGGGGTATTTTCCAAACCCCCACCGGAAAGAAGTGCGATCCCCGTCTTTGACTGCCGCCAGATTCGGCGGCTGTTTGACCGTCGGACTTTAGCCGTTTCGGTCTTCACTTCTAGATGCTGTTTGGAAAGAAGGCCGAGTCGACGGCTTGCCAGCTTGAGTAATGGGAGTACTACGCCCTTCGGCATCTGCCTCGGAGATGTACACCGGACAAAGGGTTCAACACGCCGAGAGACAACCATCGAGATAGATCAAAGTGTATGTTCCGAGCAACGTCTGCTGACCATAATATGTAAACACTGTCCGACTTGGATCTCTATACACGGTTCCGGAGACCAAAACATTAAGCAGAAGAGGAATGAAACAGCAAAACAAATCCCCTCTGTTCAGGCATAGCCTGTTGGAGGGGAGAAAGCCACCAGTTTACTGGTTTCATTTCGATAAGAGCATTGCAGCTCTGATGATTCGATGGCGAGAATCGAACTCGAGACCCCAGTAGTGAGGCCAACATATAGTTGGCGCACAATCACTGGGCCACCACCGCCTGGCGATAAAGCGATGGGGATAGGTAGGTGGCTGTCTTTCTGGTATATATGGGTGACTAGTGATTGTAGTGGTCTCAGTCATAAGCCGATGTGGCTTGAGATGATCCTATCTGCTCTGCGCATGTGGATGAGAAATCTCATCTAAATGTCACGCGCAGCTCTTGAAGACCTCCGCATACGACTCTTGTCCATTCCGGTAGCCCACGTTCTTATGGTTCTTCGATGGATGCCCTTTTTCATGCTCTTTTCGCGTCCAGTAGCGTTAGGAGTGAGATCACACCTTCGATGATTCGATCCGCTCTGCCAGTGATGACTTGTCCTTCCTTCAAGCCGTCTGAATCCTTGCCGTGCCATTCCAACGCTCTGGAGTATTCCAATAATGAATCTCTGGCATCTCGTGCATCTTTAGTATCATCTGCCTTGTATGTGCCCTCTATGCGGCCTCTTCAAGCAGCTTTGACACTGATCTTGGTAATCTCAGCATCCATATCTTTTCCACTCTTCATATTCTGAGTCGACATCAAACCGCCAGGAATCAAGAACACAACGTCCTCTCTAGGTCCCGAAGAAGTCTTTGTATCCTCAAACTGGCTCTTGTCGAGTGAGTACGCGACACTCAATTCACATCGACCGCACTTGTGGAAGTAGCGCTTTTCGAAACCGTCTTCGCAGCGGATGACAGTAGGCTTGGCATCGGTGGTGGTGTTGGCTAGCGATGCGTAATGGGAAGTTGATGAGGTTGAAGAGAGGTCGGGGAGAGGGAGGATGTGCGATGAGTCTGAGGTTCGAGTCTTGAGGCTTTCGAGGGTCGATGTACTGGCTAGAACGAGCTGCGTGCATATACAGTGATAGGTGTGTATTGTCATCTCGGGCGACGACATGTTTGAGTCTGGAAGTTGATTCTTGATGGGTGGTTTATAACTTTGAAGCTCACGGATTGAAAGTACATGGAACGCGCCAAGACAGTACGTCACCCTGTCACGACCTAGTCACGTCTTCCTCCAACACCTAACCATTGGAAGCGGCGTGGAGGAAGGAAACAGAAGTTCCTAGATCCAAAGACAGAAACAAATTGACTCAGAAGCAAAGGGCAAGTGGCCAAAGCTGAAGATGCTTCGAGTCAACAATCGAACAAGGACAAGATCACTGGAGCACAAAAGCGGAAATTAGTGTTCTTCGCATACATGCCGGCACTCAGAAAACTTGTAACTCAAGTGAACTAGGAATTTCAAATTGGAAAGTGGAAGAGGATGTAGCAGAGGAAATGGCAGGAAAAGAACCCCTGAGTCTTACATACAGAGCCACAGCTGAGGACTTCGGCAGGTTATTGAATTCTCAAATACTATAGAAGATCGGCCCCTATGGTCAAACAAGCATCTATATGGAAGCTCTCAAGCATCTTCTTCGTCTCCATTCTTCGGGATCCTTCCTTCTGCCTTCTCAGGCAAAAATCTTATCGTCACAAACAAGAAGAAGGACATGATGATCATGATCAACCAAACCAAATACCCATTGAGGATCTGACCCTTGACACCTGTGGCAAACAGACTAGCAAACAAGCCTGGTGCTATGGCACGGATACCCGCTACCAGACTTAGAGCCAATGCATTCATGGTTCCCAGCACAGCAGGCGATGGTGAGATATTGTTGACGCACAGCTGGACGCAAGTGAACGCCATACTCGCACTACTGCCAATCACCATAAAGACAGGCAAGATAATCCAGAAAGGGGTTGTGACGCCATGTCTAAGCGCAAACTGAAGAATAGGGTTGCCTATGTAGCCGATGGGGAAGACCCAGCCGCTGTATCGCAAGACGCCGCCGGTTCCCCAACGCCTTTGCATTGGTGGGAAGACGAAAAGCAACCAGATTGCTTGCGAGATTCCAGCGAGACCTAGGAAGAGTGATATTTGAATAGGTGAGAAGCCAAAGCCACCGAGTGGGATGCTAGTAAACCAGAAGACGGGAAGGACAGCAGTGTTGGCCAGACCTTGGAGTGAGACGAAGCACCAAAGGAAGAGGGTGAATGCGACACCTGGTTGTTGTAATAATTTCCAAGTCGACATGGGTGGTTCTGCAGGCTTTCCACTGCTGTCTTTTGCGGATTCGAGAGTCTGCAAGATTGCAATGTTAGCTGATACTTTGAAGAACTACGAGCGTCCGTGTGAACTCACTTCTTTGAGATAAAATGCTGAAATCACAGCAGCACTGAAGCCAAACAAGCTGGCGACTATATTTGGTAGAGCATATGGATATTCCTCAAAGAACCAAATGCCTCCAAAAACACGAGGATATTGTGTTGCGGGAGTAGACAGAGCGCCACCTTCAATCAGACATTAGCTCCATGTAAGCACAGATAATCTGAGTTATAACATACCAATGACTGGGCCTAGGAAGATACCCACGTTACCAGCAAATGCGAACAGACTGAACGCTCTTGCTTGAGTTTTGAAAGTCGAGTTCTCCGATAACATAGTTCTAACGGTACTAGCATGTGGGTCAGGATGCTAACCCTTGTGATGCATCAAATGGGGTACCTACACAATAGTGCCTGAGAAGACTCCAGCAAGACAACGGAAAAGGATCATCTGCCAAATAGATTTGCTGACTCCGAACAAGCATGTCATGATCGAAACACCGATAACAGAGTAGACAAGAACAGGCTTGCGACCATACCTGTCTGAGGCGCGACCCCACGAGATCATGAAGATCATCTGCGTGAGGGAGAAAAGAGATTCCTAGGAGACAGTTGTTAGTATATCACAGTCCTATAGCCCAGAACTGTAGTTCTGTAGCATCTCATAGTTTGATGCATGTCTAGCATTTGGATGGGCTTGAATACAACTTACAATCAAACCGCTGTAGAAGCCAACATCCTCTTCTTCAACGCCTCCAACTTCCTGGATCATTTGGTTGATGAAAGGGAAGATGGAGAAGAAGGCGATGGGCTCAACAAGTCTAGCATAACACAGGAGCATGATCTGTCCCATAGGCAAAGGCTTGTCTTCATCTTCATCTCGGGTCTCCTGTTCCTCCTCAACAGTGGTCGTACCACCGATCTTGTTGATGTCCAGTGTTTCCGAGTCCGCTTGGGTTATTGGATTTTCTGCTGATGCTGCCAATAAAGGTGTCGTCTCAGAAGCATGCGCTCTGGCTGACGCTGGGTTCGGGTGTGTATGAGTTGCCTCGCCTCCTGAAGCCACTATAAAGGCATCTTTAATGTTGCTTCCAGACATGATTATCGTTGGGTCGAAACGGTCAAAATTGAGTTATCGCACAAGCGATCAGGGTTATCTCGTAGCCAACAGCCTTTGGTATGGTTGTTCCTCGCACTTATATGTCGTGTGGAACAAGCGAAAGTACTGCGATTCTTTTGTACCTATGCCTTAAATGCGACAATGCTGGCAAGGCATCAACCAGCACACGAATGCAACTTGAAGGTTATGATAAGGAAAAGGATGTTGCCAATATTCACACGAAGAATTGTAGAACCGATCAGATTAATTAAATCCTTGTCCCGAAAAGACCGAGTTCTCTCTATCTTCGGCAAACATTCACACCGACATACACAATAGGAAGGTGACACGGAAGGATTGAACGAAGGAAGAAACTTGGTCTGTGCGGTGGGGTTCTGACAAGACCCTCTTGAATTCTGTACATATGCTGACCACCATGTTATATGCTTCGATATGATATTTCAAGCGTTGGAGAATCTCAGAGCATGTTTAAGACCGATCCCGTTCTGCAAACGAGTGAGATGATATTCAACAGTGGCAGCATGCTGACTGATGCCTGCTACAAAGGGTATCTATATGAATGTGATTAAAGGTTTCTACAGCATCATGAAGGACTTTTCATCAGTCGGCAACAGTCTTTGTTGCCTCTGTCTCATCTGCAGCATCTGCTTCGGCGACCTCTGCAGGCTCAGGAGCGGCTTCGTCCTTCGCTACAATAGCAGGCTCTTTTGCTGATGCATCGTTTTGTTCGGTCTCGGTCTTGGGCTCTGACTTCGCCTCTGTGTCTTTCGTCTCTTCTTGCTTGGCTGCCTCATCCGACTCTACCTCGACAGGCGGTGCTGACTCTGTGGTCGATTCCTCAGATGCGGCAGGGGCGGAAGCAGTATCTTCTGGTGAATCTGAAGTGCTGGCAGCCGAAGCTACATCGGCATACGAAGGAGGATCACTTGACGGGTATTCACTGGTCTCGCTCTTAGCTTCCGATTCGGCGTCTAATGTGGGTTGTGAATTGGAAGCTTCTCCAGCATCATTCTCGGTGTTGGCGGTCGGCTCTTGTTCTTCAGATTGCGACTTTTCAAGTTGCTCTACAGCAGAATCTTCTGCATAAGGTGGAGGATCTTCGGCGGGTATCTCTTGCTCTTTCTCCTGGTCCTGTTCTTCTTGGTGAGGGGGTTCTTCGCCGTGGCGGGCAGTGTCGACTCGTGTGAGTAAGAGAGGACCGTGTCCAGTAGGCTGTTCGCCGTCTTCATCCTCTTCAACCTCTTCGTGAATGACAGTCGAAACAGACACGGAACGGTCGTGGCTCATTGTGTGTCTGTGTCTTTTTGTGGTGTTTCCAGTGGCAAGTGTTATGTTTCCAGCAGGCTCGGAATCAGCAGGATCTCTCTGTAGGATGCTCGGAGAAGCACGAGTAGCAATGGGAGTGGTCTCGATACCCTCTGCCTCGGGAGGAATGGTGTAATTGTCTTCGGGGATCAAGCGGTACTCATCGCAGACAGTCTTGAACAGCAAGTACAAGCCCGTCTTTGATTCTACCCTCCAAAAGACATCTCTGTGAGAGAACCAAGCGTGGGCAAAGATACGATATACACGGCGGAAGACTTCGGTCATTTTACGGATTTGTGCTTGGGCCGAGAGCGTCTCAGTGCCCAGGCCGAGTCTGCTGGGGAACAACTTGGTCGATGTCAGAGCGGTGGCGCACCAATCGAGGGTGTGACAGCAGTAGTCAATGGCGCAACAGGACTTGGGAGGTTCGTGGGCGGCGCAGAGGTACTGCCATTCGCTTGCGCGCATCTCGGGACATGTGGCAGCGGAACAGGGAGGATCATCGGCGAAGAGACCGCAGGCCATCATGTTTGCTTTCTGAGTGAGGAAGCGACACAACTCGTACAACCAGATTCCTCGGTCGACACCAGGCGGTGGTTGGGCTAGCGATTGGGCTGTGGCTTTGTCTATGGCGATACGGCATGATTGAGTGTGTTCGTTGTGCAGAGCTTTGAGATGCTCGGTCAGTTGGAAGGCCGAATCGATCTAGACACGGTCTCGTCAGCTGTTGTTGTTTGTTTGTGGGAGGTGGACGGGTCAACACACTTGGTGGAGTTCGACTAGCGGAGGACCCTCTTGCATATCCTCAGCCCTTGTGCCGGGCCTTATCCTCCTCGAAGCGTCCATGTCGGCCTTGTGTGAAGCTCCCAGCATCCTCTCTTCGCTGTCGAGACCTGCGCTGGGTGAGATCTGGTCTTCAGCGATAGGCGGCGGGCTTGGTAGCCTCGGAGAACTGGAAGGAGAGGCCATTGTGACTCTGACAAACTGTTCCACTCTGCTCAGAAGGAAAAGAAAGGCCGTCTCCCTGCGCGAATGGAGACGAGCATGTGATCAAGAAAGTGTTTGTGTCCGTATAGACATTCGTCGGTCGCGACTTGTCCGGCGCGCAGCTCGGCCGCATCCGACCCGAAGCCCCACGTCATCTCTAGATATATTCCATCCACTGTTTTTGTCTTGCTCTCCATCACGACCAATCATGAATTCTGATATCGACTTTGACGACGATGGTCCGCCGATGCTGGTTGCTGCTGACCAGCCAGACGATACCGAGAACCTCTCTGCTGAAGTTGATGACATGAGCTTGACCAGAGTTCCCATCACAATCATCACAGGTATGCAGCATGCAGCTCTAGTTTTCGAAGCTCGAACCAAGCCAATGTCATGTAGGTTATCTGGGTGCTGGTAAAACCACTCTCATGAACTACATCTTGAACGAACGTCATGGAAAGAAGATTGCTGTCATTCTGAACGGTATGTGTCAATTCATATCTTTTGCTCCTTCACGACTAAGGCTCTGACAGTATGAACTTCAAACAGAATTCGGTGATTCTGCAGACATCGAAAAGAGCTTGACTGTCAGCCAAGAAGGTCAACAAGTCGAAGAGTGGCTCGAATTGGCCAATGGCTGTCTATGCTGCTCTGTCAAGGACTCTGGTGTGGCCGCCATTGAATCCCTCATGGAGAAACGCGGAGCTTTTGACTACATCTTACTGGAGACAACAGGTCTGGCTGATCCTGGAAACTTAGCTCCTCTCTTCTGGGTTGACGATGGTCTGGGTAGCACCATCTACCTCGACGGCATCGTCACACTGGTAGATGCGAAAAACATTATTCGCTGCTTGTCTGAACCAACTCCGGACGAGACCCAAATGGATGGTACAGAGCATGCTCACGGCCCTCACCTTAGCACTGCGCATCTACAAATTTCGCACGCAGATGTCATTGTCATCAACAAAGCAGATCTGGTCTCCGAAGCTGAGCTCGACCAAGTCAAGGCCAGAATCTCTTCCATCAATGCCCTAGCAAAGATCAATGTCACAGAACACAGCAAGGTTCCAGCTCTAGAAGGTGTTTTGCTGGACCTTCACGCTTATGACAAGGTAGATGCCGACAGTATTGATTTTGCCAGCAAAGGTCACAGCCATCTAGACCCCGCCATTTCGACAACAACACTAACATTACCGCCTTTATCGTCAGCTCAGTTGGAGAAGCTGGATACATTTTTGCGAAATATTCTATGGACACGCTTCTTCATCTCACACCCGGAAGCCGAGGGTGTGTCTGTCGAGTCTGCAGGCTCAAGACCTGAGATTCACCGTACAAAGGGACGTCTTGTGATGCAAGAAGGTGGAGTCAAGCTTCTGCAGGGCGTACGAGAGGTTTTCGAGTTCATAGATGCTGCAGATGTCAGTACATCTGGCACTAGCGGATCTGCTGATAGAGGCAACAGCAAGATTGTCTTTATCGGTCGCAATTTGGTCCCTGCAGCCTTGCAGAAGAGTCTTGAGGATGCTGTCTTGAACTAGCACACCTCCACAGTATCTTGTCGGCTTGAGTCGTCAGGCACACTTTACTCGTACTGTGAACTGGCACGGACAGCTTGGCTTACGCACACGATGTTGGAAGCGAGTTGGGTGAGTATGTAGATGCATATTGTATTTACAGATTAAACACTCCAACCTTATGCTTGAGCTATTGAGTGCCTACTGTAGCTCAATTGCCTCAACTTTGCGCTGCTTGTTGACTACCAGTCGCAGCTGTTTGCCAGTTTCTTGGAAAATGCCCTTGCGAAGCACATCTGTGTAGAGCTCGTAGGCTGGATAATCTATGCACCGTTAGTCAGTAAAGAATGCTTGGAAGCAAATTTTGTCCACGAGTAACTTACAGCCATTGACAAACTCAATCACCTGCTTGTCTTTCATACCAGTGCCCTTTGCCTCTCGCAAGGCACGCTCTTGCTGCAAGCGCCATTCGTAAACGAAAAGCGTATCAGCAGCATCAATAAAGATCAAGGCACCGAAGTAGCTAGCAGATGTCAGTAGAGATCACATTCGACATGACCTTCGCAACATACTCAGTCAAAGCATCATACTGTCTCAATGCTTCATTGACAAATGACACATGCTCCAATTCCATGGAAGCAAGCCTTCCGTGATAGGCTTCCTTATCAAAAATCCTCGCTGCCTTTGCATCCTCCCATTTAGCCACCAACTCCTTGTCGCTTAGACTCCTAAAGCCCACACACCAGCCCTCAAAGATCACTACCTCGACTGGCGGTTCGCCGTCCTTGTTGACCACTTCCCAAGTCCCAGGATCTGTGCGATCTCCTTGGCCATGGTGGAGGGATTTATCGTAGGAAGGAATGCGGATGTTTGGTTTGCGGGCTGCGAGTTGGGCGAAAACCTCTTTGCCGAGTGGTATGTCATGAGTCGAGGGTTGACCGCGGTGTTGAATTAGTGGGTTCCTAGGCTGTGACTTCGCGAGCGCTTTTTGGTCTGAGTGAGAAAGGTAGAGATCATCAATTGAGAGGATTACGGTGGGGAGATTATGAGGAGGCGAAGTCAGGGTCTGATAGAGGGCTGAGACCTGTTGGTGCTTAGGTTAGACCCAATATGTACGGTGTAGGTTGTCATTGTAGAGAGCCCAGAAAGGGGAACTATCCAAGATAAGTAGTGGAGACAGGAGAGGAGGTGATCAAGGTCAAAATTCATGAGTTTCTAGTCTATCTGGAAAGAATTGATGTACTTACCAGAGTGGTCTTGCCAGCACCTTGTATTCCGTTCAGACCGATGAAAAATGGCGGAGCATCAGTGCCTTCTTTCTTGTAATAGTCACAATGTGCCTTAATCTTATCGAGGATAAACGGTATGCAGTGCTCGGACTTATCGTCAACTATTTCAACAGCCATTTTGTCGTCAAGTTGTCGACACCTGTGCAAATCGATATGATGGTTGTCAGGCTGCAAGAGATAACATCCCCACCGCGGACAAACACTCTACCGGATCGGTGACGTCTTGGCACAGACGAGCAGATGATACGAAGCCTTCAATCTCAAGCCCCATATCGCCTTGGACATCTTGCTGAAGTCATTGTGAGTCTGAGTAATCGATGACATGCATGCTACAATTGTGCATTCATATGCAAGGCTTCTCACATGAATGTGGCCATGACAAGTCCCCCGATTGTTCTTTCTCCAGACCATTTCATCATCATCCCCCGCACTGTCGGCAGCTGGCATGTGAAAGGAGCGAAACAAAGCAAACAGACCTCGAGACCATTTTAGTGTTCTTCGAACGCGAGCCAAGGCCTGGGCGAGCGCTGTTTCTAGATGCGGTAACCGAGGAAGCGACGCATGCCGTTCCAGGACTTCTTTACACGGTTCAAATGGCCGTAGTGTGGCTATCCGGCTACCGTGGAGCTACCGTGGGCCGAGGCATGTCAACGACCGACGAAGCTGGAGATCATGAGTGCTGTCTCTGCTCAGCTTTATGTAGACTTGTCCCTCGAGTCGTTTCTTTTTCTCCCCCACTCATCTTTCGGGATATCTCAATTTTGTAATCCCACAAAACATGGCACACAACTCATACGGTCTCGCAGGGACTGAGGTCTCGTCAAAGCCGCTTCGCTTCGATGGCCAGACAGTCGTTGTTACTGGCGCTGGCGGTGGCCTCGGTAAGGCATATGCTCTGTTCTTTGCTTCTCGCGGTGCCAACGTCGTTGTAAACGATCTTGGTGGCTCTTTTAAGGGTGAGGGCAAATCATCAAAGGTCAGTGAATTCTGTAAGATGCGATTGCGGGACATATCTGACGGTTCGAGACAGGCCGCAGATGTAGTGGTCGAGGAGATCAAGGCAGCTGGAGGCAATGCCGTTGCCAACTACGACTCTGTCGAGGATGGTGACAAGATCATCGACACGGCCATCAAGGCCTTTGGCAGAATCGATGTTCTCATCAACAATGCCGGCATTCTTAGAGATATCAGCTTCAAGAACATGAAGGACGATGATTGGGACCTGATCATGAAGGTTCACGTTAGAGGTGCATACAAGTGTGCCAGAGCGGCATGGCCCCATTTCAGAAAGCAAAAGTACGGCAGAGTCATCAACACAGCGTCCGCAGCTGGTCTGTTTGGTAGCTTCGGTCAGACCAACTACTCTGGTAAGCCTCGATTTGCAGACTACCTGGAACTCGGCTAACACAGTCCAGCTGCCAAACTTGCACAGGTCGGTTTTACTGAGACACTCGCAAAGGAGGGCATCAAGTACAACATCCTCGCCAATGTCATCGCACCTATCGCCGCATCTAGAATGACACAGACTGTCATGCCCCCGGATGTCCTCGAGAACCTAAAGCCTGAGTGGGTTGTCCCCTTGGTTGCAGTCCTTGTACACCCCTCAAACACACAAGAGACGGGAAGCATTTTCGAATGCGGTGGTGGTCATATGGCAAAGCTCCGCTGGGAGAGAGCCAAGGGTGCTCTGCTGCGTGCAGACGACAGCTACACCCCCGGTGCATTGCTCACCAAGTGGGATGGCGTCAACGACTTCAGCAAGCCCAGCTACCCTACCGGAGTTGCAAACTTCATGGAGCTGCTCGAGGAGGCTCAAAAGCTACCAGCAAACCCTCCAGCCAAGAACCCCGATTTCAAGGGCAAGGTCGCTCTTATCACTGGTGGTGGTGCTGGTCTGGGTCGCATCTACTGCTTGCAGTTCGCAAAGTACGGCGCAAAGGTCGTTGTCAACGACTTGATGAACCCCGACGACGTCGTGCAGGAGATCCAGAAGCTCGGTGGTGAAGCTGTCGGTGTCAAGGCTTCGGCAGAAGATGGCGATGCAGTTGTCAAGGCCGCCATTGATGCTTATGGTCGCATTGATATCATTATCAACAACGCAGGTATCCTGCGCGACAAGGCCTTCGCCAACATGGACGACAAGCAATTCGACCAGGTCCTCGATGTTCACTTGAGAGGAACCTACAAGGTCACCAAGGCTGCATGGCCTTACTTCCTGAAGCAAAAGTACGGCAGAGTCGTCAACACTACCAGCACCAGTGGTATTTACGGCAACTTCGGGCAAGCCAACTACGCCGCCGCCAAGTGCGGTATTCTCGGTTTCTCCAGAGCTCTTGCTAGAGAAGGTCAGAAGTACAACATCCTGGTCAACACCATTGCACCAAACGCTGGTACAAACATGACCCGTACCATCATGCCCGAGGAGATGGTTCAGGCCTTCAAGCCTGACTATGTTGCTCCTCTCGTCGTGCTCCTCAGCTCCGACATGGTGCCCAAGCCTGGCACTGGCGCTCTGTACGAGGTCGGTTCCGGCTGGGCTGCACAGACTCGCTGGCAGCGAACTGGTGGTCACGGCTTCCCTGTTGATGTCCAGCTGACTCCTGAGCATGTTCTTGGACAGTGGAAGAGAATCACCGACTTCAGTGACGGTCGCGCTGATCACCCCGCTGATGGCAATGATGGCTTGAAGTCAATCATGGCCAACATGCAGAACAAGAGCTCTGGTTCTAAGCCTGCTCAAAAGGAGGGTGGCAAGAACGGCGATTACCTCGCAAACATTGAAAAGGCCAAGAAGATTGAAACTCAGGGTACTGAGTTCAAGTACGACGAGAGAGATGTCATCCTCTACAACCTTGGTCTGGGAGCCAAGCGCACCGACCTACCTTTGGTTTATGAGGGTGATGACAACTTCCAGGTTATTCCAACCTTTGGTGTCATCCCTCCTTTCAACGCAACTCCTCCTTTCTCCTTCGATGACATTGTACCCAACTTCTCACCTAACATGCTTCTCCACGGAGAACAGTTCCTGGAGATCAAGACATTCCCCATCCCCACTGAGGCCACTCTGGTAGCATACCCCAAGCTGGTTGAAGTTGTTGACAAGGGTAACGCTGGTGTCGTAACATACGGTTCCACCACCAAGGACAAGAACACAGGCAAGGAGCTGTTCTACAACGAGTCAACCGTCTTCATCCGCGGTTCAGGTGGTTTCGGTGGCCCCAAGAAGGGTACTGACAGAGGCGCCGCAACTCGTACCTACAAGGCTCCTGAGCGTAAGCCAGACGCCGTGGTCGAGGAGAAGACCAGCGAAGATCAAGCCGCCATCTACCGCTTGTCTGGTGACCGCAACCCATTGCACATTGACCCTGAGTTCTCCAAGGTCGGCGGCTTCAAGACTCCCATTCTTCACGGCCTCTGCTTCTTCGGCATTGCTGGTAAGGCTGTGCTGCAGACATTTGGCGAGTTCAAGAACGTCAAGGTCAGATTTGCTGGTGTTGTCCTGCCAGGACAAACCCTTGTTACCGAGATGTGGAAGGAAGGCAACGTTGTTGTCTTCCAAACAAAGGTCAAGGAGACCGGCAAGCTCTGCATTTCTGGAGCCGGAGCTGAATTGCGCAATGCCGCATCAAAGAGCAAACTGTAATGGATGTCGTGATCAAAGTATTGTAGTATTCTAGCGTTATCTCTGAATGTCATCATGAACTCTCATCATCAACAAATCTTGGTACTGCGTATGTATGATAGTGTTCATAAGGGTGGCATCGTATCCGGCAACCGGCACTGCTATGCAATACGTGGTTGTAGATCAAAGATAGTGGCTGTCAGCACAGTTGTCACTGTGTACTTGTACCATTGACCGGGAACATCACTTGAGTCTAGCATCTTCATGCAGAGTCTATTCTATCTATGGAGCTATACGGCATACCAAGAATCTAGCAGCAAGGATTCTTCTCAGCATCATGTATGAGTCAGCTGGAGTTGCATGGCAAACCAAGCATTTGCTGGGTTGCGACTATTGATAGCCACGACACAAAACCGTCAAACGACGGATACCACGCATTTCGCCAAAATGGCTAGCAAGTTTCACGGTTTTTCTCCTACAAGAATGACTCGATGAGATGGAAGTTTTGAAACATGAAGCAACCCGTTTCATCAGCTGAGCTGTCTCGTCTCATCCCCCACGCAAGCTGTGGTGAGACCATCATGGTATAGAAGCAAGGCGAAGCGTGGTGAAGGATTCCTCGAACGACAGGGATTCCTGGTCCTCGTGACAAGTGGCCCGCGCTTCTTCAGATAGCTTAGGACCAGGTGCGCCGCCTCGGCCCGCCCAAGGCAGATCTTTCTTGTCCCCGACAAAACCCTTTTTCTAAAAAGAGATGCTGCCACCACACAACATGCAAATCAAACTCAAAAAGAGGCTTCCACATCCCGGTGCGCCCACAAAAGGTGTTCATCAGCTTTATCGATTGTTGTTGTTGTCCGGGTCGATGCTTTGTTAGAAAGCTTGATTCGAGAGCTTGGATTGATGTGCCGCTCATCTCATTTCCACCTACCCCTGCAAGATAGATCTGGGGAGCACTTTGACATATATTGCTGTCCACCAGGAGGCCCGATTGGCATGTGCTAATCTTTATTTCCACCCTGCTTGGCGGTCTCGTAATTTTTGTTTGCTTGGTTCGCCACACGCTGGTTGTTTAAGTCTCTTGCTCCTAACCAATGGTGTGGTGACATTCGTATCCACCATTCCATTTTTGAATCCCACGTTCCACGCTGTATGAGTCGAACCTTCAGCCGAGGCGGCTTGGCTAGGCCCATATTCACGAATGCCCCGCCGCTGGGCCGTCGCGCATTATAAAAGTGGAAAGAGTACAGGCAGAGATAGGTTGATAGCAGCCACGGGCCAATTTCCTCCTGCGTTACTTTAAAGCTGGTTTTTCCCTCTCGCGTCTGGCACGGAAAAGACTCCCTTTCACCTAATACATTCCATCATCTCGGCCTGCATCGACGTTGAAAGCAAGAAAACATAAAACGTGCGTTCCCCGGACTTTCGCTAGACGAAGGAGCATATCGCATACCGCAACCTCACTCGTGGTAGTTTGCTACTTGGGACATCTCGTGATTTTTGTTTATCACCTGGACTACCTGGACCTTATAACTGCTTCTTGACAGCAACGTCTCTGCTCCGGTCATTGCTATTGGTTGCTTGACTGAAACAATATCAACATCTGGAATACTGGATACGGCCAACGGCATTGTTTTTGCTATCTAACGGTCGTTAATTTCGGTCACAACTGCGCAACCTGTTTACCATCACTGATCTGGGCTGGCCATCAGAGAACCAAAAGTTCAATCCAGCAAACACCCTTTTTCTTTTATCAAAGCAAACGTTTTTCGAAAGGTTTACCCCCTTTGGTGCGAAACTACTTTGGATTCTCCTACATATTTACCAACTGTTGCCGCCCTCCGAACAAATCCTTCTCCCTGCATACCTTCCAAGAAATCGATCCCTCTCATACCCCCGAAATTCTCCGTTGTCTACCTGCAGCACACTGACACAATCATCGTTATCGAAGATGCTCTCCCGTGTTCTATTTACTGTGGCTGTTGCCGCTTCTACCGCCATGGCTGTGGCTCTTCCTAAGGAAATCACTCTCCCTCAGGAAGTCGTGCCTCAGGCAGTCGTTGCTTCTTTGGACGAGGTCGAGTCTAACCCATGGACACTCGTCTCTCCTGATGGCACATGTGGTGGTGACACCAAGTACACGTGCGCTGGCTCTCGCTTCGGTGACTGCTGTAACACATACGGATTCTGGTAAGCTTAATCTGTTATTTTGCCATACAAGTTCTTATCCTAACGGCTATCACAGCGGTGTTACAGATGCTTTCTGCGGTGCAGACTGCTTCAACTTGGCTGGACTTTGCGACGCCGACCTGCAAAACAACAACGTCGTCAGCCGCCCCAAGGCCACACACGTACCCTGGAAGCCTACTGTGCACCACGACCCTCACTTCAAGCCCTCTTACGTGATTGACAATGGCGAAAGAGCTCCTAACCAAGTCTGGTCATGATCACTGGGAATTCCCTATCAGCTGCTTCATTTCCCCAAAGTTCTTGAACGATCCACTACGACTTTTACACACATGAACCAAACGACCCTGGGACTGCTCTTTTTTCTTTCTGGATTCTGCACGCAAATGTCAAATCTTTCTTCCCTTCCAGCGAGGCGTTTCTAAAAGGTCGACATCCTCCCCTCCAAAGAAGAGGGTCTGAGGCAAAAATCAACTTCACTTCTTATACATCTTTTTCGCCCTGGCTGGACTGCCTATCAGGGTTTCTTGTTTCTTTTGTTCTTTTGACTTCTTGTTGTCTGCGATCCTCTATTGGGATTTGCAATCTGCGTTCTACATCTATCGCTCACTGGTTGTGTATAATGTGTTTCTATTTATTACTTCAAGGCATCTAGCTGCCTTTTTTTCTCATATACCCCCTTTACATTCTTAGCAGATACACTAAATCTACTATCAACATCAACAATTACTATTGTCCAGCACTCCATCATCAAACCCATCCCTTGGTTTCATATCCCTGTCACACCACGTGCACATGTGCTTCAAAAACTCCGTCATCGCTGTTTAGAGGAGGCTCCTTCATAAAAATGCCATTGTTTCAGCTTTCTGACGATCCCCCGGGAAATGTCGTGGTTTCATGCGCATGACTTGCATACCTCGAGTTTCACAATTTCGCTTTCTGCGATGCAACGAGGTGAGTAGGTCACACGAGCTTAATTGTTACTATTCTGTGACGTAGCTTTCCTGGGTATGTATGGTTCATTAGATAGATGAAGTTTGAGATGGAGTTTGTCAGGTGCCATGATGACCCATGATTGTTTCGGCCGAACAGGTGTCGTAGAAAGAATACGCAGCAGAGGGCAAGATCCTAGACCGTGGTTACGCTTTCTGATGTGATTGCTTCCTCAGCTGTGCTTGTCGAGCAAGAGCACCGATGGATTGATACTGTGCAAGGGAAAGTGTGCAGGACGGTGCAGCCGCGATCCGACCGAGAAGTAAACAGAAGGCGCAACAAGCCAGAGTGAGCACATGAGAGAAGCGGTAGGAGCGACCCACAATGAGAGACAGTGTAGAAGAAAAGATATAAAATTGTACAGTAGAAATTTGCTGCACCTTGCTTCTTTCTTTTCGCTATCTGAGAAGTAAAAACAACACAAAAGGCTTTGTTACAGACGACAAAATTCGAAAAAAGAACGCCACACCTTGCAGAAACCCCAATTCCCCTATCCTGATGAACATAAAAACAAAAGACCGGCCTTGTGCCCCATTGCTCAACGCATAGCCTGAGCGATTCTGCCTCTCAGAATGTCAACAGCTTGTTGGTTTGCCGCATCCAGGTCTTGGCTTCCAGCAAGACTGGTAAGGAGTTCGTCGATACCAGCGGCACTGTCGTCGCTACCGAAGAGGACGCTGTCGCCGTGGCGTTCGCTTTCACGTAGCCAGGCTTGGATTAGGTAGATGAGGTCAGCGGCAAGGATGCGACGGTGTCTGCCAACGAAAGGTTGCTCGTTGGTGTAGTACATTTGTTCAACAACGGGTACCAGCACTGAGGGACGGATATCGAGCTCGAGGAAGGTATCCATAACCCACATTGGTGAAGCAGCGTTGTTCTGGAACTCAAGGGCATAGCGGAGGAGCATTGGCAGCAAGATGGGGATGGGGAAGGTAGCCTCTGCGGCATGTAAGCGTTGGCCGAGCGAGCGCACCTTCAGCGCTACTGCCTCGAATGGTTGCATCTGGTCGCTGTTCTCTGCTTCCTGGTGCACTTGCTCGATGAGCAGTTGCCAGGTCGACTGAATGTCTGCAGGGTTGCGGTGGTCGGCGCAGTGGTAGATGAGAATGCAGATATCGTAGTAACCTGCTTGGTCGGCATACTGATTGAACAACTCGGCGACCTCTAGGATCTGGCCATCGAGTGCCTTCAACACTTGAGGTCGACGTTGCTCTGTCAGACGTGAATCTGACTTCATAAGTTGCAGGATGTCGTCCTGAATGTTGCCCACTTCGAGGAGATCGGTGATTTCGCGGAGCAGTTGTTGTCTACCTTGTGCGGCATCAAGCAAGGAAACGGTGCGAATCGAGGCATTGGTTCTTGCACGGCTGAGGTAACCAATGCGTTGCTCGAGATTGAGGTCAAAGCCACTCTTAGCAAGCAGTAGTTGTACTGAAGCAGCTTCGAGGAAGTTGTTGTGGTGGGCGTAGTAACGCCAGAGCAGGTCTGCATGGTCGGGATTCTTGTCCATGCGTCTGCGTAGGTAGCTGATAACATATGGCGAGCTGAGTTCCAGAAGTCTGTCATTCCAGCCTTGGCCCATGTACCAATCATACAAGTTGTTCTGGAAAACTTCATCTTCCGAGTTGTTGATGATTTCATACGCCTCAGATTGTCTCTTGGCAGTGACGGAAAAGGCACCATCGGGGTTTGCCTCAGCTGTTTGCTCGAGAGACACAATGACTTGGTGAATTAAATCGTAGCATTGCTTTCTGCCTTCGAACGCCGTCTGTCGTGGGTCATCTTCAGGGCAGTCATCCCTTAGCCAAGAGAGGGCACGGTTTGCACGATCAGACTCGTGTGCGACGGTAAGAGCGAGCTGGATGGCACCAGCATAGAAGGACATAGGAATGTATTGCGAGACAGCCCACTCGAGATGCTCCATAGAGAGCGAGCCAGCCACCTTTTGGAAGAGTCGCAAACTCTCGTTCAGCAATCTACGACTTGCTTCAGATGTGGGTCCAGCTTCGGATGCTCTCTTGACTTGCTCTTGAGCCTTGAAGATGACAACATCATCAGCGCTGCAGAAGCTGCCACAGCGTCTTCTCAAGGCTTCAGCTACTGTGTCAACATTAGACCCATTAGTGATGTTACGGTTCACAATAGCCTTGACAAGCTCTTTGGCCAGGTTTCTGCCGTCAGGTGAGCAGAAAAGACCCTCATATGTGAGCTGTCTGGCACGCTCGCGAGAACCTTCGGGGAGAGATAGGATGATTTCATCGACCTTTTCGTCAAAAAGAACAAGCACAAAGGCAATGCCTTCAATAATGCTCGAGATGAGTTGAATGAGGGCATTCATGGCGCGATGTTCACCTTGCAAAGACAGTTCGTCTTGTTTGTTGGCAACGCGTCCCAATGATTCAGGTCCAGACAGACCTTCGATGGAGCTTTTGTTCTTGTTCAAGAACTCTTGCAACGAGTTGAGGGCTCGTTGAATATTTTGCAGCTTGGTCAGTGCTACAGTCGATGTGACTACGAGTCCACCAACAGGTGTGGTCGTTTGTGTCAGCACTGGAGCCCTCCAGATAGATCGCACCAGGCGAGTAATGTATAGTGCCATGCCGTCATGTCTAGGAGAGGGGCGGACATTGTCAATTGCGGGAGTGTTGTTATCCAAGACAGAATTTTCGTTGAGCATGGGCTTGCCTCCTTGAGTGATGAAGGCTTCTCTTGCGAAATCAACAATGTCTGGTTCTGTAATGTTGGTGATGCGAGCATCGGCGTTGCCATCGGAAGCTTCGCCACAAGCAACAGCGAGGGCGGTAGCAGCAGTCTCAGTGCGACCATAGTTGCGGATGAATTTTTTCACCTGGCCATCACGGCCTTCGGCATCACCGCCGTAACGAGCAAGAGAGGCAAAGATGTCGACCAGTCTGCGACGACGCATAATTTGCACACCAGTACTAGTAAGAACAGCGATTTCAGTAGGAGATTGATCGAATTGAACCGCGAGTTCATTGGCGAAACCCAGAGGCGTGGAGGCTGCGGCAAAAGGTGGGCTGACCAAACCAATACCTTGGGAGGGGTAAGGAAGTTCGAGGAACATGCCAATCTCGGGGAACAGAGTGGCATGGCTGGCGTCGCGAGGCATTTTGATGCGACCAGAGTCAGGAGCGGTGAAGAAGATGGAGTCTCTGTGGGGATCTTGTGGGTTTGGTACGACCCAACATGAGTAACCAGGGGCATATCTAACGCCAGCCTTTGTGTTAGCGAGGAAGCGAGTGTTGGTATCCAAGGTTGAAGGGTTGGAAGCATAAGGACCGAGCGAAGTGGATGTTGACTGAGGTTGCTGAGGCTGAGGAGCAGCAGTTTCGCCATCTTTTGGAGGGAATTTGATGTGGTGGACCTGCATGCTGGTCGGGGCGGAAGAAGAAGAACTGCCATAGAAGGCACCCGAGGTAGCACTCAGGAAGATACGGCAGCCGGTGCTGGTCAGAGCCTGCAGACTGAGTCTGTTGGTCTCTTGTGCCGAAATTGGGCTGATGGAGACGAGTGAGGTATTGCGTGCAAGAAGATCGGAGCTGGGTACCATGTGGGCAATTTGGGCCAAGAGGCTGGTGAAGGGACGTGACAAGGCCAGATCAAGGACGTTGTTTGGCTTCATGTGGTAGACGCGAATGGTCGAAGATGACGAGAGCGTGTAGAGCAGATCGCGCGAGTCATCAACGACCATCTGCTTGATGTGTTCCTGCTCTGAACGAGCGCCAAAAGGCAACAGCTGGAAGGCAGATGTGATGCCCGAGTTTGTGTGGTTGATCTTGGAACACCGGCTGGCGAACCATCGTTCCTCTTGCTGGTAAGTGAGCTCCCATACATCGGTAGCCTGGTTTCCGCCGAAAAAGATGCGCCCAGTCTTGTCCGACGACTCGATGTAGCTGATAGCAGTGCCCTTGACGGGTACTTTCATGTTGGTCGAGTAGAGCTGGACAGCCCAGCCACCGTGTGCAGATCGAGCGGCTGCCAGACCGATGAGTAGGATCTCAGCGTGGGTTGCGACAACCAGCAAGTGTGTGATGGACTCGATGAAGACGCCCTTGCGCGGCTTGACCAGCTTGACGGCCGTGATGGCATTGGTCTGGTCCTCGAAGCCAATGAGCTCGGGGTTTGGATGTGTGTAGTCCCAGAGGTATAGCGACGAGTCAATAACGATGAAAGCGTGATTGAGCTCGGCGAAGAGACCAAGATGTGTCGAGACTTGGGCCATGTTCGCCTGTTCGAAGATTTGCTCGGGGATATCATAGCTGCGAGTGCGCTGGAAGGGTTGCCAGGCGTTGTTGAAGGTAGTATCGTAATCGTTCGAGATGCCCTGACCGACGTAGTTGTCGAGGGCTGGGTACTGAGCCTCGCTCTGAAGGGCTTCATTGACGGTACGAGCGGCGCGCTCGATGGGCGCAAGGGTATCTTGAGTAGCAGTGGCAGGTCTTTGAGTGGGCGCATCGCGTGAAGCGACCTGACCAGTGCGGTATCCAGCCAAAGTAGCGGCAGCATTGGAGCGGAAAGGTTGTTGCGCCATCTGCCCTGAACTGCCAGGTCTACCAGGGGCTGGAGTGTTGAAGAAGGCGCCTGGCAGAGGACGCTGTGGCGTCGGTTGTGGTGCTGCCAGAGCCATTGTTGATAGGAAAGAGCTGGTCTAAAGAGAACCTGAACTTGTAGCGACCTTGAAATGCTCGCGAGCATCGACAAAGCTTTGGCGACGCAGACGCGCCGACCTGCACGGACCTTTGGATGCTGTCACTCGTCAAACACGTCCAAGTCCATAACCATCGTCGACCAACACCTTGTCTCGAGAAAACAATGCCCATATGTATCGAGTGTCGGTACCCCGTAAGCAGCCTGTACACTACATACAGTAAGGCCGATGATCGTACATTGGGAAAGGGTGTTCGTTTGACTCAGTGCCCGCGGTGCAAGCGTTTTGCAGACAAATATGTCGAGCATGATTTTGTTGTTCTATTCATCGATCTGGTCTTGATTAAGCCGCAGGTAGGTCTTTGTGTTCTCTGTTTCTCCTGCTAGCCATCTTCGTCTTTCTTTGTCTCGATTTGTTTCCAAGTCTTCTTGAAACCCGATTCTCAAATTGTCCCGTCAACACCATTCTAAACGCGACCAAGAGATGCTTTACCCAACACCAGTACTGATATACACGGACAGGTCTACAGACATCTTTTGTTCAACCGCCTGGGTCGAGAAGATGGTCGCTTCAATGTACGTCTTAGTATCCCACGTCGACGAATCAATACTCATGGCTGCAGCCCTCCATAATACGTTTGGGCGTCTTGCTCCTTCTGTTCGACGTTTACTTGACTTGGGCGCGTATTGAAGAAGCTATGCCCTCTTCTTCAGCCACAGATGCTATCTCCATGCCAACCCCATCAGATCCATTTGCTCATCTCACGAGTAATGCTACGGGGTCGAGCGACTCGAGTACATCAGGTCTACTTCCTTCTTCTTACCTCCTTAGCGAGCAGCCTATCATCCTGCAATACGTCTTCTTCCTTTTACTATGCGCGCTGGAGACTATCTCGTTTCACCTCCCGATTCGCACTGTCTTATCTCTGCGCTTACCTCGACCACTATCTTACCTCATACCTCACTACCCCCATCCTGCTGTCATAAGCACGGCACTGCTGGTGTCAAGCTTTACAAAGCTCTTTCCGCTGTTGTTGCTGATCTGGAAGTATGACCTACCGAGTAGCGCGAGTGCTGTCTCGTGGGCTGTCATCATCAACAATGTTGCCGCCCTGGAGATCTTGCTTGAGTGTGGAGTCATCAGAGCTGTGATACTGGCGGCAGTCGGTGCTGTGTGTCGAGCAGGTGTTGGATGGGTGAGTCTTGTAATAGCTTTGCATGTTTTGCTTTCACTAATGACAATGCAGGGTATCCTGAGAGCTGCCGGTGTTGGATCGGGTGTGGCAGCTGCTGGTGTCGTCGAAACGGGCGATCTGATTGAGTTGTGGAAACGACTCGCACTCCATGTGGGTATAGGGCAATAAGCACAGGTATGAACAGTACACATGTCCCACAGATTGCAGTATCAGAAACAAGGGCTGCCATGTGGCAGGCCCATTACGAGTGATATGTCACAGTGTATCTCCCAGTAAACTCAAGCAACGCCAATGCCATGTAGAATGTTGAAACAAGTCCTGCTGCTGCGTGCAGCTTCTCTCTTCACATCTTTCTCCTCCTGTGTCGTCCCTGCGTCTAATCTCTGTGGACGTATTCGGGTCTCAGGTCGCTTCGCTGGGGTTGGATGAGGGGGTGCCACTGGGCGAGGAAGGTGATAGCTATGCGATCGGTCAGTTAGGTATGTTCCTAGCGAGGAGAGTGATGTATACATACCCCACATGAGGTAACAGCTCCAGGCCGAGAGAATGAGGGTTGAACGCCAGACACTGTTGACGCACCATTAGCCTTGCGCTCTTCACACGACATGGGCCTTGTTGACTCTGTCGCAAAGCCGCACCAGCAGTTCAAGTAGAGTAGCGACTTACGTTTGTGTCTCGCCCTTGGGACTGGCGAACCAGGACACGGCGCAGAAGGCCAAGATGAACAGGAGGCCGACCAGAAGACTCCACCTGCGCGTATATTGTCAGCTACCATTGCAGGAATTCAAGTCTATCTGGAAGCGATTCCCAACGTACCCGTTAGCCATGTTGATGTTGAGTATATGGACAAGGAGATGGTCGTCCCGCAATTGTTCGCCGTCGCGGTTGGTTGCCCAAAGGGTCGGCGTCATCGCACCGAAGCCTTGGCGGTTGTCACTTCCATCAATCATCACAACTCTCCTCTAACGAACATCGCAACTTCAGTTGGTTCATAAGAAATCATAGACTTTGGCCATTTGCCTTCGAGTGTAATAGTCGCATGCTCAACACATCTCAACATATTAGCTGTTACAAGAGCAGGACAATATCTTTGCACGCCCATGGCGCATTAGCCACGACCATTCTACAATGATCATAGTTCTACACCAAGCAAGCATCTTCCATCCACAAATTTCCCCTCAGGCGCTCGATGGATTCAAGGCCGTTAGTCATGCATCAAAATCCGCCTTGTCAAGTGAATTGGCGCAGTCAACAGATAGAACACCCACGACAAAATCAACACAGGCACTGCTGTCAGATCCATCTCAATCCTCCTCGATTGATCTTTCCCAAGAATTCTGGCCGCAATGACAAGATTAACACAACAGGTAGCACTTATTGTGTGCCACCAAAGCGATGCCACTTCTAGCGCCGTAAACACATTTGGCTGCGTGAAATATACCCGCAAAGATTTTTCCATCGAGCAGTACCTCATGTTTCTTATGCAGAGGAACATGACAAGATGGAGCAAAACAATTAGTCCAAGACAGGCGCCTCCTTTGCAAGCTTTCGCAACCCAAGATCCGGGCATTGGTACATAAGGTGTTGGGTCGTCAGCAAGTGCTCTTGCTGGATCAACAGGTCGTTGATGGAGTTTCGGTGCATCGAGATCTGGAACTCCTTTGACCAGCATGATCAAGTATAGACTAATGCAGAAGCACAGGAATGCCAGAGTGCAGAAGATCAGAATCGCGGTGAGGTTTGATACATGTGCGAGGGGTCCAGCTTTGGTCAGGCATTGTCGTCCGGCTCCAGCAGCACTGCCAGCTGATAGTAGAATGCGGCTTGACGACCGAGCCATTGTTTTGAAGTGCAAAGTCTGAATCGAATGTGTGATAAGGGACTTGAACAGAAAACAGAGTGAGGAATATTTGCTGGCTGCTTGTAAGAATATCTCGGGAAGACCTTTCATCTGATTATGAGCGCCATGGCCTTTTCCCACCAAACTTCGATTTTCACCGAACCTCACCCCCTCGTATTCAGACCAGGCTACTGGTTTACATGGCTGTCCGCGAAGGAGCGCTTCTTTCACCGTTTCAAAGACACGGGGCAATGAAAGCCGAGGATTGTTTACCTTACAACAGACTGTCTCGTCGATCTCTACGACTGTCTACTGTTGGCAGAACGATGTACATGGACAACAAAGTTCGTACTCTATTGCGTCAAGCTTTTTATAGTGCACTAAGAACATTCTTGTCTATTGCTTGTTTCGTACTTTGCATAGGAGATGCATGGAGTATAATCACGGTATGAAGCTAAGCGAGATTGTGCGCCCTCAGATACTTTCGACCAATACTGACTCCTCCGAATGGCACCTCGAGGTGTCTCAACTGGCAAATAGCCACGGAATTCAATACCGTGGCCTGGACTCTCTCCAATTCTCAAAGTGCATAACGGACGCTTGCGCACGGACACGATGACCATAGCACAAAGACACGTATATGTGTCTGTGAGCACACTTCACGAACCAACAGACCCTAAAGGGGAAAGCGGAGATACTGCAGTCCCGTCGTCTGCTCCAATGAGCGATATATCCTGCACAAAGTGTTTACGTGCGAAGGATTCCAACCAGCCAGTGCTGAAAGCCACATCAATCCAGAGCCCATCCAGGATACAGAAGGATCAAGGTGAGGTTTGGCGATGATATCGCTTACAAGAGGAAGGCCAGGTTGAGCGGCCTGAGCAAGCCCAGGACTGCTGTATAAATAGGCGTTGATGGTCCTCCGTCCAGCAGACTCATCAGACAACTGCCTCTTCGCGCGAGTTCTCCCTGCATATCATGGCATCCAAGATCTGTTCTCTCCTGCTCGGCTTGACCGTGCTTGGTCACCAATTCCAAGCTTCCGCAATGCCATTGAATTCTTCCACGGCCACTTCTCCCCTTCACGACAATGGCCCGGACAACTATGGTGTCTACATCTGGATCTCGAACGTGACTTCCACAGTCTTCGGTCAGGATGCCACAGACTTTGACTACCATCTAGCTGGAGAGTCTGCCCCAGGAGTCGAGGCCGTCCATTCCTTCGCTGCAGCTTTCAACGCCAACGACGACGATGCCATTCTCACCACATTCTTGAATGCCACCATGGCCGGCACCATGACTGCCGAACAAGCTGCAGACAGAGCTTGGCTTTGCCAGGAACTCAGCGGCGACATGGCCTCTACGACGCAGTCCTGCGATGGCGTTGACCTGACCGAGCCCGCCGCCCTCGAAAAGCGCGGCCGAGGCAGATTCGGCTGGATCGTTTCCGGCGCTCACATCTCGAGCAAGTTCGCCATGGAAATCCTGCAGCGATCGCTCGAGTCCCGAATCTATGATAGTTTCAGTCAGTCGCCGCGTTCATGGTGCAATGCCGTGAATGGAGTCACGGCTTGCTTGTCTTGGTCTGCGGTCGAGAACTGGCAGCACAATTATGCTGTTACGCTGATGAGTGATGCGATGAGCTATGTGGACTTCAACCATTTTAGTGCTCAGGCGAACAGAGCTATTAACGGCCGTAAGAGGGGTGCTGCCGATGTGTGTTTGAGCAACCGTGCGGATGGATGCACCTGATTAATCTGTTGAGCTAGGTCACAAAGTCGAGCGGTGGAAAGGATTCAGGGTAGTTGGGAGTTAGTAGGAAGAAGAATAAGGATATGAAGACAAGCATGCGTATGAGCAAGAGATTGCCCATCAGGGGTTGACTGCAAGCTAGGCATTACATACAGAAATTGATGGTAACCTGGTAACTTAAGTTGAGCAGTCTCGTGATCAAGACAGCCCATATTCATTGTCCTGAGAGCCGAACGACAACACTGCTTGACAGCGGCGCGGCAGTTCACGACCATTTCCGATCATCGAGGTAGTTCAACACGATACATGCTCACCACAACCATGAAACAACACGGCCACACAGGAAGCAGTCAGGACACATCATGCTTGTCTCTTTTTATAGCCTACGAGCGATTTCCGGTGAAAAACACAATTCGGACACCTCGTTATCTGAGCTTCTCCACGATGTCACTACGACCCTGGCTTTCCTATGTTTCTTGAGTCACGAGTGTCGACCCATCCTTCTTTTCCTGTTACTTGATCGACTCATACATTATACCACCGCATCGGCCTGCTTGACCACACATGGCCATCTCTCCACTTTCCTGGCAACCACGTCGATGCCCCGAAGTAAAGGGTCAAACCATATCCCTCCCCCAACCTTTTTAGAAGGATGTGAGACTTTTAGCACGAATGATCCTGAGCCAATAAGACTGACCAGAGTGTCATACGCAATCTGAAGTTTGCGAGAAGACACACCATTTCGACAGCACTCATTCAAGGACAAATCTCTCATCGACACACACGGCCTAAGACTATACATGACCCGAAGATGGCTTTGAATGGAGATCAATATACTGCCAATCCGACATCAACTCCATCCAGAACTCGCAAATCGCAAGATTGACCGGTTCCCGGATAGGCGAGATGGCCGAGCGGTCTAAGGCGCCAGCTTAAGGTTAATCCAATACGCTGGTCCGAAAGGGCGTGGGTTCAGATCCCACTCTCGTCAACATCCTTTTGCTTTTGGGCTCTACATCCCTGCTTTTGATGGAAGAGAAAGCAATGGGTGAAATGTCGGCTCGAAATTTTGCTGGACTCGAAGTTTGGATGGCTCTTTTTCTCCAGCTTCTGAGTGCGAAGCATGGCTGCATAACCTGGCTTGGCACGCTTGTGCTCATGCATAACTTCCTTGACACCACCTCCTAAACAACGACACGAGCTCTACACCACACAGACACTCAATGCTACAGAGATAGCGTCATCCATATACAAGCTGGTATATACAACAGGGCATGCTGTTGCTAGGATAACCTGCCGAGTCGGGTCGTCTACTGCCTAACAATAATATAGAAGTTGTCGTTGGCCTGGATGAAGAGCAGTGCGATAAGTTCGAAAGAGATGAGATGTGGGCAAGATATGCTACGATATGCTAGTTGATTCAAGACATCTTCTAAAGGAAGCCATCTTGAGAAAGAAGTAGAGGCACAGAATACAGTAACATCAGACAATCTTGTCAAGAGTATGACTACAGCCTCGGATAGGTCTACAACCAACAACATTCTTTAGATTTGTCCTATGTCGCCTCAAGCAAAGAGGAACAAAGTACTGGGTACAAGCCATGTAAACTTTGTCTAGTCTCTCATAGCTTTATCTAGATTCACAATTTACAAACCCCTACGAGAATCATTTCTTCAACTTGCCATCCATGCTCTCTGAGTCTCTCTGCAGAGTTGATCATCACAATCATGTAGCATGGCTTGGCTGGTCTGGCAGAAACTAAAGTATTGTTGACCTCGTGGTTCTGTACACCATCTAGGCATTGGGGAAGCTGAGCAGTAAATGGTGCCTCTACCCATGCTCGAAGCTGTGCTGGGACAGTATCGGGGTTCTAGGCTCGATAGATGAAGGCGGAACTCGATCGGAGAAGCAAAAGTCTCGGGTAGCGATCGAAGGACTTGGTCAATAAACACTGAAGCCGCATCGGTAAATAGCTCAGTTGACGAAGAAGCTACGGGTGGGACCATCCTTCTGATCTCAGCAGGCAGCATAGACGCACACGCAGTCATGGACATGAACCAGAGATTTGAGCTGTTAGAAAAGCTTGGGAAAATCTTAAACTTTTTTTCATTGAAATGTATTTGGTACAGCAGATACAGCAACTAGGTCGGCTATTTGACAGACTCCATCTCGGGACCTCTGCCAGCCAGCTCTCTGGCAATCATCATCTCAGACTTTGAGAGTCCCAGGTTACCTGCATACTCGCCAAAGGTGACGACAATCTCGTGCAAACCATCGCGCAGAACTTTCAACAACTCTTCAACTTCTGGAACGTTGCGATTGCCATCAAAGTCCACGTCTGTCCAATGTGGTGGCAAGTTTCGGATGAAAAGTTGAATCTGTTGTGTGGTAATGATGAGAGTGCGCACGATAGTTGAGATGTCTTTTTGCACTTGGCCAAGGTTGTCTTCCTTTAGACTGGCAACGGCAAGACCACAGACTGCTTGTACAGCGTTGGTGATGATGGCGCTAGTGCTGAAAGGTACACCAAAGACAGTCGCATTGACGCGACGAGCAAATGATTGACGGAAAGGTATTCCGAGTGGCGTCCTGATGAGCCAGGAGATCAGACCATTAGCATTGTCAACCATTCCGGCTCGACCGAGTTGTTGCTGCTGCTCCTTGGTCAAGATACGATCGGCGCCATACTCGAGCAGTTTTTGTGCTCGTGGGCTGACGGGATTTGTGGCGCCGTGGGACTGGCCGTAAGATCTGGCGACCAAGCCAACAGAGCTTTCGAAGGCTTGCAGGCCAGTCGCAGGTGGCGGAGGTGCCATGAAAATAGCATCCTCTCTGACAGGGCGCGATGAGATCTTGGGCAGAGTTTGAAGCGGCTGAGGAGGTTGCTCAGGAGCGTGAGCGACAGCTCCTTGCGAGTCTTGGATACGCTGAATGACAGATTGGATCTCGATCAAGCAAGTGCCAGAGATCTGAGACCAAGTAGATTCACCCTTTCTGTCAAGCTCGGCGAACAGAGTTTTTCTACGTTCCTCAAATTTCTTAGTGATCATGGCAAGCTCCCAGAAAGCCATGGTTTTGGGGATCTCTTTCTTTGCTTTCAGTCCAGCGATCAAGCTACCATTGGGATCTTTTGAGTCTGCGGTCAGAGGCTTGTCCTTCTTGACAGGTTCTTGAGCAGTGTAGATGGTGAAGGCACGACTGGAAAGCTCCCACAAGGCAACCAGAAGCATGGCAGACCAGAGGAAGCGTGCAATGAGAGAGACAGGGTCGGTAAGACCTGATGGTCTTGTGGATTTGGGCAAGAAGAACAGAGTACGGCCGATCTTGAACGCGAGGGCCCATGCGAAGTTTCTCCAGACGGCGAAGTAGACGAAGGGACCGAACAAGCAAGTGAGACTGACAACCTTCACAGTGTGGCCTAGGATGATTTTAAGCTCGTCTCTTAGCTGCATGACTGGCGAGTTCTTGGCTGGAGATTGCGGTAGACGAATCAGGTCGTAGTCCTTGTAGAGATGGATGGCAGATTGGGCCAGAGCAAGGAAGAGGAACTGGGAACGGAGGAGGATAGGGCGCTCGTTCAACTTGGGACGTTCATAGGATCTGCAAGAGTCAGCGCATAGGCAAAAGGAGCGAGACTTGAGAGACATACCTGCCAGGGTCGATCCATGCAAGATTGGCATCTTTGGCAGTGGTGAAGATGTAGAGCTCTGCAAAGAGGAAGGCAGAAAGAGAATACCAGAAGCAGGTAAGGACAGTGCTCTTGGACACAAGATAGCTCCAGAAAGACTCGAAGGGCGAGGTGGTAGTTCGCGGACCAAAGTGCAATTGAGCAACTCGGAGGACAAAGATGGACAGCGACGAGATGAAGAGGAAGAGAGTGCGGATGCCAGCAGGACCAAGAGGGAACCAAGACCAGAACAGGCTGGGGCTAGCCATGGGAATTGAGATGAGCCAGCATGCTGCAAGTCCGATCAGAGCAGCACTGGTAAACCTTCTGTGCAAGGACGGAGTGAGGAAGTCGCGGTATGGACGAGGCAAGGGCGCCGCCTTGACAGGAGCGGGCGGGTTCATGGCGACTCGCACCACTGACAAGAAGGGAATCAAGTCTTTGACTTTTGTTGATGGCAGAGCTGCAACCAGACAAAACACAAAAGAGAAGCTGCACATGCACGCGCCAAGCAAACACCGTTTCGCGGGCAGTCGCGACCAGGTCGACGTCACCCTGCCGGCCAGGCCAGGCCCCGTTCCTCCCTCAACTCTCTCCGCATTCCGTACACCACACGACGACTACCGCCGACGCTTGTGCAACCATCCCAGGCACCGACTTTGTAGAACCACATTTGTTTCGTGACTGCCGACTCGACAAGACTCTACACCTCTAACCTCAGACGATCATGTCCTTCCAAGACTCGCCCAACCTCGAAGGCAAGACAAAGCGCTGCCTATCTCCCAACCGCCTGCCTGCTCTAACACCTTGACAGCCCAGCCCACCACATGGCGCCGCTCCGATGACCCCGAATACCAGGATGATCCCGAGTTCAACTCCTTCACTACCGACCTTTCCGATCGCTTGTTCTCCCTCACCGCAAACATCTCGCGTCTGTCCAGCCAAGTCGCTCTACTCGGTACCAAGCGCGAGACGGATCGCGTGCGCGAAAGAGTCCAGGACCTCCTCGAAGAGACGTCTGCAAGCTTCAAAGACATTGGTGATGGTTTGAAAAAGGTTCAGGCCTGGCACGATTTGGGTGTATGTTCAATCTTGTCCCAGCGCGTCAGCCCTCCTACTGACACAACCATAGCCTGCCCAAAAGTACACCCAAGGAAAGTTGAACCAGGAGTTCAAGGCTTCCTTGACCGAATTCCAAAGCCTGCAACGAACTGCCCTCGAAAAGCAACGCGCCTCTGCCACCGCCGCCCGTACAGCTCTCGAAGAGTCTGGTTCCCCAACAGTCGAGCGATCGCAACAACAACTACAGCAGCAACAGCAACAAGAACAGCTGCGTCTGGCAGATCAGTCAGAGGTCGACTTCCAGGAGTCTTTGATCGTCGAGCGTGAGGCCGAGATTCGTAACATCGAGCAGTCCGTGGGCGAGCTCAATGAATTGTTTAGAGATGTCGCTCATATGGTCCACGACCAAGGCGGTCAACTCGACATTATTAGCAATAATGTCACGAGTACCAGAGACGACACTCAGGGCGCCGACCGCGAGCTGCGCACCGCCAGCAGACATCAAAAGAACGCCAGGAACAAGATGTGTTGTTTATTGTTGATCCTCGCCGTCATCCTGACTGTTGTCATTGTTGCTGCTGTTGCTGGTTAGATCTCCTGTTACGCTCTAGACTCGCCTCGTTTACCTCTCCGTTCACCCGCCCTTTTTGTCTAACTTCCACCACTTCTCTACTATACCCTTCCGCTTTCTCTAGTTTCCCGGTCATCTGTATATACAGCCATCACATCGCAATTTGTCTACTCAATGTTTAGTCTACCATTGTTCACACCTCCCGTGTTCCCAAACTCTGCTGCTTTAGGAAAACAGTCCATCAAGCATGAACCTGTTAAGGATAACTGAAAATTGCAGTGATCAGCAACGTTTGTTCCTATTCCCAAACCTTGACCTCCACCAATCCAGAAGCGAAAAAGTGCCTCCTCGATTCATCCAGTGTAACATCGTATTCCTCTATCAACCGCAAAGCTTCAAATCCTGTTTGATCGTGTATATGGGTCGGCAGTTCAAAACTCCATGTGTGTTATGGATATCTTCGAAACTCGGCCGTAATCCTGCGAAGCCACGCAAACGATTGCATGCAAGTCTTTTGCGTCAAGTAATTCTATGCGAAGTTGAGAACATAACTTTGATTTATGCTTCCGGGAGTTGATTCACGATTGTCCTTTGCGTGATCCTCCCTCGTGGGTTTCACGCTTCCCTATGAAATGTGTGGATTCTCGGCCGGCATCGGTCCAGATGCTTGTCCATGAAACGCGGGCTTTTTCGTGAGGCTCTTGGTGGATGTAGTTGCCTCTTTTGCTTATGGAGTTTGGGAGCCATGACTTTGGGAACCCGCAAGGCATTGATGTCGTGACGAGTACTGAGCCCTATGTTTGAACAGTATTATATAGCAGCTCAAAAGAACGCTTGTGGATAGATTCAAAAGAGGCAAGCCACGACCGAGCTGTGTTGCACCAATCATCAGGGCATGTAGCCCTAGGACTATCATTGGCATTATCTCGTTGATAGGGCACGAGGTGTGCACACCCACAAGCAGAGTCTTACGTATGCTATTCAGAGGTTCGCACTTTGTCCGCATTGGTCTGAAAAAGAGCCGCTGCATTGTGCCATTCAACTTGTTACCAACAGATCTTCTGTAACTCGATTTTCTTGATTGTAAAGCAGGGCATAGTCCGCACCGCTCTTCTCTCCGATAGTGACAGCAAACATAGAGTTTCGAGGGTATACGACGACACTCTAGCCATAGACATTGGCGAATCATACAGCTTATCGGCTCGCCAGACTTAACAAAGATCCACTTGGGCAAAGAGACTTGGTGCAAGCTTTCTTTGACAGCGCGAGCAAACGGTATGGCCCCACATCTATACAAACACTGGAAGACGGGATATAGTTATATCCCTGCTATACTATCGCTCTACCTTATGAGAAACACCCTCTTAGCAGTAGGCGACGTGAACCTTGCTGCTACACTATTCTTTGCGAGGAAGGCAACTGTGCTCGTGACCGATGATGTTTCTGCTCACCGCCCACACACCCCCATGTCGATAGAGTGTGATAGACATGGCAAATGATTCATGAAGCGAGGTTGGTAGAAGAAATGGAAAGACGACAGCTTTCTCGGAGATAAATGAATAGCCGGTGCACTGCCATTGATCGATCAACACACGCAACCCACCTCGAAAGGTGGACAGTCCACCCACTTTATCCAAAACATGCAAATGCAGTAACGTTATTGGGTGGGCGTGTGGCCCACTTCAGCCTTTCTTCTTTGCTGTTCAAAGAACAGTCAGAAGTTCAGCTCACCGCCCGGTTAAAGTGATTCAACTGACCACCGCTGATAAGTGCGCATGTTCATGTAACGACGTTTGACGTTTGGCGTTCCAATTGTTCATGATGTGATGCGTACTGTATGCAAGCGAAGATCTCGTGGCTATGGAAAGATGGTAGATCCGATCGCTTGCCCGCAAAGAGAACCAATGACTGTTGCCTGCATTCGTTTTTCCGACCTCGATTCTATGGTTGGACTGTTATCGCGGGCTTACTTCGAAGTTGGTCGTTTCGTGGTTGATGTGCTTTATCAATTCTCGGGACATCCAAACAAGTCACGGTGAAGTGATCGACTGCCTGTTCCACGCCTTGGTCCTTGCATGAATCATTTTTCTGGATCAGAGAGGATGGGACGGTCGCTTCCTTCTGCTGCACGTGGGTGTCGATCTTTCTGGTTCGTTTAGCGGCGCATGCACTTTTTCTTTTGGTTAGAAAGAGCAGACGATCGATATCTGCAGGATCGTTATCTTTCTGCGTGTGGATGCATCGTAGTTCGTTATGTACATCATCTCGTGTTTGTTTCTTTTCGTCAGTCGTGCTTCCCTTCGAAGTTCGCGTCATGCCATGGTTCGGATTGCGCCTGCCCTCGCGGATCTCTTGCGTGTTCTTCTGATTTTCAGACCGCAGCATGATGGGATCATCAGCACGTATGTGCCTCGCCATGTTGTATATTGCGGTGAATCACTCAACTATGCGCCAGACATGGTTCCCCTCTAACCGAGGTTTGAGTCGTAGAAAGTGCTGCTAGTGACTGGGTGAGCGGGTAAGACGGCTATTGCGGAAGGCGCAGAGAAATACCGGAGATGTTTCCAAAAGAGTCCTGCATGGTCGCAAGACTGCGACACCACAAACGACAAAGCGCGAGTCGCAGCAAACCATGCGTGAATTATCATATAGAAGCAAAGTCTACAATGGCTATCCCATGGATGGCATTCAGCGTGCAAGTGCAGCCAGACATCTCGTATCGCTGTGTATTACGCGTACAATCTATTATAATCCTTACTCACCTTCGATATGGGACACATCATAAGCACAGAGTGAGTTCGCGTCCGCTGGATAGTGCGAGGCTCGCAGCCTGCTTGTTCTGCACTTGGCACATTTGCGATTTGCTGCAATCCTTGAACAGATGGACGCGTGGATGCGCTCATGATCTAGCACTGTATGACTGCATCACGTTACGGAAAAGACGTCGTCCGCGATAGATGAATTCAAGCCTCAAATCACCAGATTCTGGACGAGGCTGCGGACGAGCACATCCGTACATCCACTGCTCAGTCTCGGTTGGCCCGGAAGCTGGAATCAAGCCCTGGGTCTCCGTCAGAAAATTCAACAGCAACCAGGGACGCTCCAACTGCAGTGGCGTCAACGAGTCGTCAAGCGCGAAGTCGACTCAGACCATGTTGACAAGCAAAGGCAGAATATGACGGTGGCTGCAGGTGTTGGGAGAATCTGTGGAAATTTGGGAAGCCACCCCGGATGGCGCCTCCATTCTCGCCAGTTTCAACCCTAAAAGAGCGCCAGAAGCTCTGTGGAACAGGGATGGAAGCTTTGTCGAATCAATTTAGCATTCCAGGCCTTCTAGAACAGCAGCCAAGCAGTCCAAGCTGGACCGAGATGAAGTGAGAAGCAAAACTCCCTTCGATATATTGGATGGTGATGTCAAGTACAATAGTGGTCGGACCATCGTGGCTTGATAGTCTGGCGTAACTGCTGTGACTTCTCCGAGCTTCGCTTCGTGTTCTAGTCGATTTCCTCTTTCTTCTCTGGCCTCTATTTACCCTCTATTGGCTCGGATGGCTCGGGCTCATACCAAGTTTCAGTGGTATAGAAGGAATTGACGTAAGGGATGAATATTTCGTGAAACGGACTGCCGAACTCAGTTTTATTTGTCGCTGTCACAGCTACGAGGCAAGTCCGAGGCAAGAATTAGCATCCACGGCGCACTTGAGGGCGGTCAAACACGCATTGACTCTTTGTTGCCCTCTTTTTGCGGGCGTGTCATTGACTCGTACCTGCGGGCAATTGTCGGACGAACCGTAGTCTGTGGTCTACCACGCGATTGCCACGTGCGAGTACAAGCCACATGCGTGTTTGACCGCTTCGAGTTCCTAGTGTTCCTCATCTACTCCAACCACCATTCGCAGTCCCGGTGAGAGTCATGTTGCCATTTGTCCATAATTCCGTGAGACGACTCAGCAAACGCGCTTAGTATGATCGCCCTGTAGCGGTGAGCGGTGACAGACGTACTATCCTCGATTAGTGTCCACGTGCTGAATCAGACTGGGGTCAGAATACGGGGCTTGTTCGGACTGTTGGCAGGATGTTAAGAACATGAGTGGGAAAGTCAGGTCGGTGATCCCATACGGCTCTGACCATTGAATTTGCACTCCTAATGGCCGCCGGCTTCATACTCCTGCTTCATCCACTCACGAGTTTGCCTCAAGGGTAGGGCCAGAGAAACTGGGTTTCAACGGTTGGCCATAAAACTCAGTCGACGGTGAGTCCGAGCGCTTGGAGAATGAGTAAAAGGAGAAATGATTGGATGAGCATCAAAATTTTGAGTAACCTTAGCAAACATAAATCTTGGCTCTATGTTTGGTGTAAGAGAGGTGCCTCGGAGAACTGGACTTTTAGGCGTTGGCCGAAATCTAGCACAAAAATGGTAACCTGTTGCGACGCTGGAGTTTTTTTCTTTTTCAATTATGGTAAGAATGTGGATTTTGATGCATCACATTGTCAGCATGTTCAAACGGAAGTCGCAGCCACGTTTGCCAATGCTTCGAGTGTAAGAACCAGATTCAGATCGGTGAATGACGGAAAGGTCAAATTGCAGATGCAGATCTCCGCCTGTCAACCGTGTGATCTCCACGGAACAACCAATTCTCTGGAGCCATTATCCTTCGCGTGGCAGCAGTGCTCGTGATCCTGCAGCTGCGCGATTTGAAACGGTAGCCACCATGCGAAAGAAGCATGTCTGTCGACCAAACAGCTATAAGAATTGATCGCTACCATGAGTCTTGGACGCAAGGCTGTCAAAGTGGCTGCACCCCAGTCATGGATTGATGTAAATTTGGGCAGAGCTCTCCCCACGTTCATGCTCCGAGTCTGACCGCTTGGTGACCAGTCACAATTTTGCTTGTGTTCTCAACGACGAAATGGCCATCCCTCGGCCTCGGCTCCCATGCATACGCTTTCGGCAATGCGCTTACGCTTTGGTCTCTTTTCTCCGGCAGTGCCACATGGACATGATCTGCTCGAACTCTGTCAATCGACTCGCGACGAAGGAATATATCTAGCGCTCATCAATTCATATTGGTCAGCAGTGACGAAAGGTCATAGGCGTAGTTCTTGCGGCCAAGAAGTGAACCAGAACTAAGCTTAGATATGCCTTACGAACCCGTCATACTATTCTCATTCCCGCGATATTGAACGTCGCATATTGCACCGCCTGGTTGGGCGGTCACGCCAGCAGTCTGATGGCAGATACGAGGATTCGTCCAATCCTCACAGATGTCTGAATATGATGCCCGAGGCAAGCCGCCAGCAAGGGAACATTGCCTGCCAACACTTGTTGATGATCTCGGCAAAGAATGGTACACCTAGTTCAGGTAACCACAGAAGGCAGTGTACATAGGTACTTTGCTGAGGGCGCTGAGAACCGTTCACTTGCTTTAGGTCAATCGAGATCCGCACATGTCGTTTGTTGTGCGTCTGCAAGGGGATTGGTCTGTTTGGCTGTTAGGATCGTATTTTATTTTCGAGAATTTCCGTATCGAGACGTTAGAAGTTAGTGCGGCTGTCGAGTCAGGGTAGAGTGGCGCTGAATAGTGATTAAGATGGAAAAGGATAACGGAGCGGAGCCTTGCCGCGAGTTGTGTGTTGCCTTTTCTTGGCCGTCATCTCAACGACGAAATGTTGAAGTTGGTGGCTTCTTGTACAGGAAGAGCTTCAGGAATGTGTTGAGAAAGGCATCAAAGTCGTCTCACGGTACAGTACATGGTGCATGAAACCAGGAAAGCAGGCGCTCTACAGAGATCCCTGCCCAGACGGGCAAGAAAAGGCAGGATTCTTTGATCGACAGCTGCAACACGCTAAGCGACACGTGCGTGTGGGAACCTTTTCCTCGCACGATTCAAGCAAATCAAGCGGGCTGCAGGCGTGGCGGATGACTCGAGACGCCATACGATCTAGTGAAGGATGGATACATGCATGAGGGTGCCTGGGCATACGACGCACAGGAGCGGGCAGGTGGAAGAGCGCACGACGAGCGGACGCACGTGGAACAAACAGCAATTTTGCACGATCGGCGACGGGCGACAGACGGGCAAACCAAAGCAGAGCAGAGAAGGGTGCTAGAAGGTTGCAGCATGCGGTGAAGAAACGAAGGCGGCGAGCGAGATACGTGCGTAGGGCCGAGCGAACAGCAACAGGAAAGGGCACGGTGCGAGGAAGGGAAGAATTAGCTGTAGCCGTTTTGGCAACAGTCGGTGTTAGTGGGCAACGGGTGGATAATGAACAATAGTTGATGAGGCATTGCGCACGCGGTGCTTAGAGGTAGCGTGGCCGCCCCTCCGTGCTGGTCTAACGGCGCTATCCACGGAAAGGGGAAGGTTGATCAAACCCCTGCTACCACGCGAGCAGGGCGCCGGCTAGCTGATCTCATGGGTCCGAAAATTGACACATGAAGCGGCGCTGGTGGAATTCTTAGCTCGGGCTAGCATGGTCGTACCCACAGTACTTGAAACTTGAAAGGCCTTACGATATCCAGGCCACCGAGCCGTGCAATGCCTCATCCAACCCCGTCCAGCACTTATCCTCCTGCATCCACCACTCACGCGCCCTCACAGCAGTCCTCGTCGCCGTCAAAACTGACTACCCCCGTGCCCGACGAGCTGTGCGTGCGAAACAGTGAACTCTCGCCACGTGAACAGCGGACCAAGCACGACAGCCTTACCACATCAGACTCGGCAAGCCGATCTGCCGGCGTCATAACCACCAACTTGCACCATCCCGGTCCATCACCCGCCGTCGCTGCTGCTGCTGCTGCATCTCAGCGTCAACCCTCGCAACATCTTCGCTTGACTTCGCTGGGCCGTATTGCTCCTGCTCGCGAGTCTCTCGAATCCCCCACACGTTCTTCGTTCCGCCTGTCGCAGGAGTCGTTATCTTCGCTCGACTATCACCCGCGACGCCCCGGCCTTGACGACAAGCGAATTTCACTGAACACTTTTCTCGCAGCCACCACTCCTCCCTGGTCTGCAGAAGAAACCAGCGCCAGACAAAAGATGCACCAAACTTCGTCTCGTCTGTTGCGTCAGACCGACGATGACCGTCCTTTCACAAGAGTAAGCCCACCTCCGCCATTGTTTCTCCATACGTCCCCACTCACCTTGATCTTCCGTAGGATCTGAAGGATCTCTTCTCGACATTGATGGTCAGTCTGCCACTGACTCCCCACCGCGTCCGTTTCACAAAGGTTGAGCACACCTTCACCACCGATGAAGCTCTGACCAACCTTGGTTCGCTCAAATTCTCCCAATCCAACCGCATGCCCGACCCGAAAGACCCCTCCAGAATTGTCACCACGACAACTACGACAACTTTCTCCATGGCCAAGGAGATGGCTCGCACAGTTTGCAACAGATTCTCTGAAGCAAGGTTTGTCGAGTCGTTGGATGGCAAGACAGACTTTAGTTCAAGGAGTTCCGTTTGGCAATTGACCCCAAAGGGTATGCGCGTTCTCACTCGCTTCTGCCAACGCAACGGCATCCACCAACGCCATGTCAACGAGCTGCTGGACTCGCCCCGTAACACCATGCAACTCGTTATCCTCGAACGTGTCCCTGAAAATGATAACATCAACATTGACCGCGGCACTATTGAGGTTGTTTTCAGAAGATTTTGTGGAGAGGAAGGCCCCAACCTCAAGAGCACTGCCACAGCCGACTCGGAATCGATTCATGACTATGCAACTGGTCTAGTTGGGGTGCACATGATGAGATCCCGCAAGCAGTTCGAGAAGGACACTCCCTATATGTTCACTGGCAAGTCGGCTCTTGATTGGTTGATGGATTGCTGCATGGTCGTAAACAGAAAGGAGGCTTGCGATATCGCCCAGCAGTTCATGGTACATCAACTCATTGTCAATCTGACTGAAGAGCGCAACACGCCTGCTGCCTCCCGCTTCCAACCCCTCAAAACATCGCATTACGGTGTTACCGAGAAGGGAATGAGGATCGCAGGCTGGGTCAGAAGTACCAATGGTTCCATCAACGGCGAAGCTGTCGTCGTCAAGCTCCCCGCTGGTGTCGCTCGCGACTCCAACACCACCAGAATGTCACAAATCATTCACGATCCTGCACAACGTCTGGTCTTCCGCGAGTTCTTGCAAGAAACTCATTGTGAGGAAAATCTTACCTTCTATCTTGAAGTCAGAAGCTTCTTGCTAGACTACAACTCTGCCAAGCGTTCAGTTCCTGCTCCTCGTCTGGATTTGATTCGCGAAACACTGGCTTCGGCATACAGTAAGCTCATCTCACTAGTATCCTATATCCACATCTAGCTGACCCTTTTAGGCCTGTACAATGCTTTCCTTGCTCCTGGTTCGCCGTGTGAGCTCAACATTGACCACAATCTGCGTAATGCTCTTGCTAGCCGCATGACCCGCGCTGTAGGAGAGGACACCGAGATGATTGCTAGCTTGGACGAGGTCGCCACTCTCTTCGATCAGGCTCAGACCAGTGTCTTCAAGCTCATGGCCAGCGTAAGTCGTGCAGTACTCGGTGGAAAAAAAAAAAAAAAACGTTTGCTAACAATCTACAGGACTCCGTCCCCAAGTTCAGCAGAGACCCCAAGTACATTCGAATGCTCGAGAATCGTACCAACTATGATCAGATGAATGCAGCTTTCTCGGCCGCATCAGTCTCATAAAAGATATCGGCTGGCATTGGCCATATCTAACAGCCCCTATCTCGCCACCTTCAGCGTCCATTTTCTCAGCAATCTTGGTCACACTAGAAGGCGACCGTCATGCAAGATGAAACATGGCAAGTCGACGTAATCACCTCGTCGTACATAGACACGACGCAATATGTGCCTCGATGTATCATTCACAGTCACGCTGCGCACGATCAGGCGTGTCAGCTTTGGATACAATTTTTCCGAGGACGGTACCTGAATAATCCTACCAAACAGATGCCGCGTCCGAAGCGCATCGTGTGGCTCTTCCGATTTCGTGGACTTCAAAGTCCACAGTGTATTTTTTTTTCTGGTCTTCCCATCCGGGTCAAGGCATTACAGGCGTTTCGGGGTGCATAGCAGATGGGCGTTCTTTTCTGCTTTTGTTTTTGGAAACATCATCACTGCACAAGGGGAACGACAAGTAATTCGACGTTGCTTTTTCTTTTTCGTTTGGATGACTTTTTCCTTTTTCCTTTGTTTCACATTTCTTGTTCCACTTTGCTATCCTTGCATTTAGCAGCTACAGCAATGGCGGCAAAGCGAAGGGCGGCTCTTTGACGACTAACCGATTGCATGGAGGATACGTCTCGAGGAAGGACATGGATGCGAGCGCGCAGCTGCGCAACGGCACGTACTGTAGAAGTAACAATAGCTGATGCCACCATATGATACCTTACGTTTATAAGCACTCTTGTCTCACAATTAGTGGAATCGCAATACAAGGCTACGCGGTAAAAGGGACGAACAAGGTTAGATTGATTTTGTCGCGTGGCATCCATGAGGTGAAGGGGCTCATTTGCACGCCGAGGAGGGCGCGTTTCCAAACGCCAACGCGTCTTCCTGTCAATTCGCCGACAACAGTATTATCGAAACACACGCAGACTTGGATTTTTGGAGAGAATCAACAAGCACGTCAGTGCCAGCTGCAGTTGCTTCTAGAAGATACTATCGATTTTAGCACAAGTCATGGGCGTTCCGCCAGGTGTAAGTCATGGTTCATTCATTGCATGTTTGTACAGGACATTTTCCTCTAACGCGTTTCATAGTCGCAAGTAGCTCCACTTCCGAGCAATCTACCCTTTCGACTCGTCTCAAAGACGATTGGGTCCGGCGCATATGCATCGTGCGTACTCGGCTTGAATCTATACTAGACGTCGCTGACATTAGTCATCAACAGCATCCGCAAGGCGGTTCCCAAAGACAAGCCGAAGCCCGTCATCGCCGTCAAGTTCATCAACAAAGAGCACGCCTTTAGAGTAGGTCGACTACGACCCAAGCAGATTGAGCTCGAGATCAGTCTGCATCGCCAAGTGTCGGGCCACGCCAACATTATCCGTTTCCTATCGCATGGTGATGATCAGTCATGGATCTGGATCGCCATGGAATTGGCAGAGGGCGGCGACCTGTTTGACAAGATCGAGGCCGACGAAGGTGTAGGCGAGGACATTGCCCACTTTTATTTCAAGCAGCTCGTCAATGCCATCTCCTGGTGTCACGGCAAAGGCGTGGCGCATAGAGACATCAAGCCTGAGAACATGCTGCTGACGGCGAATGGCGACTTGAAGCTAGCCGACTTTGGCCTTGCAACAAACTTCCTCAATCTCAAGACCGGAGACACCAAAATGTGCGGTCTGGTCTGTGGAAGTCCACCTTACATTGCCCCCGAAATTATCCAGGTCGGTCACGCAAATCAAAAGAGGAAGCATGGCGAAGACAAGTTTGGCTACTGTCCCAACATTTCGGATATTTGGAGCTGCGCCATCGTGCTGTTTGTACTGTTGGTGGGCAACACTCCTTGGGATCAACCCGAGCCACGCAAGAGTGAGGAATTCTACCATTTTTGCGAGACACAAGGACGCCCTGAGGACGAGCTGTGGGAAAAGATACCCTCTGAGGCACTGAGTCTGCTTCGAGGTATGCTCAAGGTTGACGTACTCGAACGCTTCAAGCTGGACGATATCCGCATCCATTCATGGTACACGCGTCCAAACAAGTTTATGAATTCAAAAGGCACCGTCTCGGACTCGGTCAGTCTGGCTACCAACATGATTGAGCGCCTACACATCGACTTTACCACCGTTCCTGATTCGTCCCAGAGCCAGGAGCCACCTAAACAGGTCGAGTCGCAGCCTGCACCTGCTCTTATTTCCACCCAGCCCGTCACGCCAGCCTTTGACCAACCCTTCGATTGGGAAGCTCCACCACGTTTGGCAGGACTCACGGCTTCTCAGCCCGTAACCGCACACGACTCTTCTCGCGTTGCCGTCACTCACGACCTCATCGCCGCTCAGCTCTCCCAAGAACCGCACATGACCCAGTTCAGTCAAAACCACAGCGTGCCTCTATCTTTGACACAGAACGCGCGACGCTTCCGTGACATCGTACCCGCACAATCTCTTGCACGCTTCTACTCCTACCAGGCCCTGCCTCAGCTGTTGGGCACAGTACGCAGCGCCCTGCACACACTAAACGTGCCCATTCACGCCGCTACCGCCGCCGACGACAAGGCCAAACAAGCCTACATACGCATCCGCATGAGCGATGGTCGCAAGCAAGGACTCAGCGGTAACGTGGTCCTCGAGTCCATCACCGAAGACGGCCTTGTGGAGGTCAGATTCGTCAAAGCAAAGGGCGATCCACTCGAATGGCGTAGGTTGTTCAAGCGGGTTGCTGTGCTGTGTCGCGATGCGATTCTCATGCCTAGAGAGTAAGATGTTCCTCTCGCTGTCACAGTGACTTGGTCGAATCTTTCTTGTGGCTTCTTTTTGAGGCTTTTCAAACTTCTTCTTTGCGCAGTTGCGAGTTTCTTTTCCAGGCGGACTTCAGCTTTTCTTTGATTCAGATGGTCGCCTCTTCTTCCTTCTGTTCCTTCCTTCTTCAGGCCCAGAGATGTTTTCTCATTTCTTTTTTGGGACACACCTCTTGGTTTTTCTCTTTTCCACTGTCACGTCTACCATTGCCAAAGAATCATGAGCACACTGTTTAATCTTTTCTTTCTTCTTTTGTTTTTCTCACTTCTTCTTGAAAAAGAATGGGGTCATGAATGGATTTATGAGTTTTTTTTTTTTTTTTTTTTTCGTTCTGAGAATGGGATCATGAGAAAGAAAATTCAGAGAGGATAACATCTCGAGAAACGGAAAAGGAAGTAGTATTATACCCCCCTTTCATATGCAAATTTTAAACGGTTCATTGTCCTTGGATCTCCTGCTCCTGTTTGTGAAAGTGTTGCTTGATCTTGTTGATAAAAACGATTGAGATGAACGATGTCGGTGTCTGTGCAGACAGCAGAGAAACGAGGTATCAAGATCTAAGGTCTATAGCACAGATTTACGGTCAGTGACAGGAATGAATCAGAACACTTGTCTTGTACATGAAGACAGTGGCAGATAGGGACCATAGCCAAGCACATGAATGAAGTCTAGAAGAAGTGCAATGAGACAGAGACAAGGTCAGGAGAGAAGCACAAAGACCAATCCTGCAAATCACCCGAGCGAAAACAGATAGATATAAAGTTTTTGGTTTGTTATAGTCACTAACTATGTGACCTGAAGCTATGTATGTAGTGTCTAAAGACATATGGATATCGAAACAGGAGTCGGATGACCAAAGGAGGGTATGTAAAGACAAAAAGGTCAGAAAAAACAAAATCCCAATCGCTTGCTCGCTTCGCTTTCATTATAAAAGACAAGTCCAAAAGAAGAAATCGTGTCAAGAAGGATAGAAAGAAGAGGATCCCAAGGAACACCTGTTGATGCATTTTTGAAGACACCCAGGAGAATCAACAAGCTTATTAAAAGTTGGACGCTGTGTTGATCGGGCCGCTTCCTCCATGGTAGCGGGCTAGCGGAGGTTCGTTCTTTTCAGTCATGAGGCTTTCATGGGGCTGAGGACCCATGTCGTCGTCATCCATTCTGGGACCACTTGCACGACGGCGACCCCACATGCGCCACGCAACGAGAGCAAGACCGCCGAGAAGAATGGCACCACCGACACCTCCAACGACACCTCCGATAATCTTCTTACTAGAAGTGGAAAGACCGCCGCCACTGCTACCGCTGCTGCCGTTGTCGTTCAACGAAGGCGAGATGGTTGCAGTTGCATAGCCAGTAGTTGATGCAACGACCTCCTCAGTAGGGACAGCAGTGGTAAGAGTACTGCCGCCGGTGACTGTAACAATAGTGGTTGTGTAGTGGCGAGTCGACGAAGAAACAAGGGCGGAGGTTATCGTGGTAGCCTTGCTCACGGTCGAGCGGTTGATAGTGGTAGCAGCGGTTCCGGAGCCGATGACGACAATTTCAGAAGAGGTTGTCTTAGACGACTTGCTGGACGATGTCTTGGTGCCCGAAGAAGAGGATGCGTCGGACGAGGAAGCAGAAGAATCTGACGAAGCAGCTGAAGAAGAACCGGCAGCTGTCTTGCTGGCGGAACTACGATCTGCAGAGGAAGAGGGAGCAGCAGAGCTGGTAGTGTCGACGACGGCAGAGGTGGCGGATGAAGACGGAGCCTCGGAAGAGGTGGCGGGCTCGCTGGTAGGAGTGGTTTGAGTGGTCGAGGAAGGAGCCTGGGTGGTAGTAGTAGGTGTGTCTGAAGTGGTAGGAGTGGTCGATGTCGTTGGCGCTTCACTGGTTGTGGTGGGCGAGGTAGTCGTGGCAGGCTCTGTCGAAGATGTGGTGGGAGCAGCCGACGAGGTGGATACGTCAACGACGGACGAGGATGTCGGCGGCGTGGTGGTGGATGCGCTGCTGCCTCCCGTACCAACAAGGGAGTTCTGACGCTTCATCCATGGCAAGTTGTCGGCGTCGACTGTGGAAAAAACCATGATGAGGGCAAATAGTAGAGCGATAAGGCTCGGTGAGCGCGCCATTGTATGCGACATGCAGAAACGTCGGTAGCTGCAAAATATAGGAGCTGCGAATCGAACAAATGAAAAATCTCTATCCAAGTGATTGCCTAGAAGTTAGGCGGTGGTAGGATGCTGAAATGGCGGATCGCAAGAGCCGTTGGGGAGCTGGCAACGGTCGTGTGCGTGCGAGAGGCTAGATATAGTAGTGATGGCGTGGCCAGCAATAAGGGGCTTCTCTGTACAAGACGCAATGCGAGACGCGTTAGAGATGTCAAAACGAGTGGAAGAAAGTGAAAGGTCGGAGAAGAACAGCAAGGGAAAGACAAAAAGCAAGAGCGTATGTACGGTACGAGCGGGAAGGTACGTGCAAATAGTGGCCGTGAGAAGCGACGATGATGTTCGGCAGCCCTCTCTGCCAATTCTGTCACCAGCAGGCCAAGCCTACGCAGCCTGCGCGTGAGAAAGGCTAATGTTAGAATATCCGCCGCAAGCCATTCCCCTCCAGGCTAGTTGCCGTCACGGAACCCTTGTTGACTTTGAATCCTCCATCGGCCTCGCCTGTCGATCTCAGGTTACGCACACCTTCGCCATGTCATCTTGGCCACAAACACGAGCGACGTTGCTTTACAGTAGAAACAACCTTTGTAGCGGCTCGCAATTCGATCCTCTGAACCAAGCAATAATGCGTCGATCAAGACTGCTTGGATGACTATATCCTGCCAATCAAGAGAACGAGGGTCTTTCTGCCCCCACTCTCGGAACATTTTCCTGCCGCAGGAACCTGAAGGGACCAAAGTCCACTTTTGTTCCTGGACCAAACTCTCCGCAGCAACACGACCCTCCACACGCCTCGCACATCTAGAGCTGACGCCAGCCTACCTTCAAAACATCCACTCGTCTCAGATTCACGAGCATGTTTGGTTGAATTTTGGATGACTACTCCTGCATTTGCTCAACTGAGCTATTCGTACATAATTTCGTTCAAGTCGTCTCGTCTTCATGGGTATCTCATCGTCAAATATTTCTTCTCAACCTCCTGTTCGTTGTGCTTCTAATAAGTACGCGTGTAATGCGAACCTTTGCCATCAGTTCCGTTCATTCTACGGGTTCCTGCTCCCTGCAACAGCATTGTCAGCCATTACATGTTACATATTTGACTGCATCTGTCGGGACTTACCTTGACGCCGGGCTTGCCTGTGACGGTGCCCTTGAGGTTCATCATAGCACCACTGACTTTGTCGCCAACTGTTGGCTTGCGCTTTTGTACTCTTGTGGTTCCAGTTGTACCTGTGGTGCGATGGCCTGTCGTATGCCTTGTACTGGATCCCACGCCTCTGCTAGTAGTGGCTGCAGAACCAGTATGGTGGCTGGTGTGGGGACCGGATTCCTTTTTGGTGGTCGTTGTCGTGTGACTTCCAGTGATTGGGTTCGTCGAGTGCTTAGTCGTAGTCGTGACGGTGCGATTATTGCCCTTCAGGCGTCCCAAGAGAGATGGCTTGCTGGCTGTGGTGGTGTTTGCTGATCTTGTGAATGCCATGATTGGAATAATGCTTGAAAAATGATTTGATCGGTATAGGTGAAATGTCTCAAGGTAAGTTGTGGATGGTTATGGATGGCTTCGGACGAGCAGTCGCGAGCACGCTTGATATATGCGATGCAAAGAGATAGACCACCCCTGTAGAGGATGACGAGCCAGCCACATGACAGTATAGGACATATCTTACAAACTGGATTCTGATCAAGTTGGTGTAGCAAGCCATGCATGGCACGTCATTTTGTAGATCTGTCTATAGAGAAAATAAGCTTGGCTATGGCAAAGGCCTATGTGATAGGCTAAAATATCTTTGAACTCGCTCGCGTCGACATCAGAAGTTGGCATTAATCTTGTACAGTCGTCCATGGCCAAGTTGGATACCAGCAGATCCCACGTCACCGCCAATCTGTCATGCATGCTTGGAAAGACGCGCTCACAGCGACAGGAATTGTGAGTTGTGAACAAACATCAATCGTGCTATGAGTAGGTAAACGTCTATTCTGTGTTTGATCCGTGGCTTCTGGAAAAGAAATTTGCATTGTGTTATAGAGTAATGCACTATGACTTTGATGTTGGTCCACTTCAACGTATGTTGCTCTACAGTGTTCTCAACGCTGGAGACTATCATCAGACCTTATGCTACGCGACCATCAATATTCTACATGATCAAATATACCAACTATCGACTGAATTCGTAGCATAGAACGAGGCGACATCAATCAACAGCAAACATGGAAAACTCGCCATTATCGCGCTTACCCCTTGAGCTCCGCGAACAAATTCTAGACTATCTCATGCCCACAGACATCAAGCACATCACCAACTACACGAAACAAAACGCCAGTATCAGCTCGCTTGGCCCTGTCAAAGACATGATGATCGCACTAGCTCGTCGCCATACTTTTGCAGCCAGCTGCCGCGAACTTCAACACCTAGGCTTACGTCTGGATCTACGGCGTACAGAATTCATCTGGGAGTGTTGTCTTCCTCTGTCATCGCCGAGTATCCACAAAGATATTCGGAACCAGAGTGACGATATCGGTCTTGTCTTTCATACTTTGCCAGAGCTACATTCACAGGGATTTGTTGATAGTGTCCGCGGTTTGGGTGCTGTCGTCTCAGACGATTACCTACATCGCGAAAGCTTGACTACAAACGAGGTTCCAGATGCTCAAAGACAGGAAAATTGGACCAACGCCCCCCTCGAAATCATGAATATGTACGATAGAGCTATGTACATCGCTTCACGCCTACGCATCGAACAATGTCAGAGGGAACTCGGACATCACCAACTCTTCTACCGGCACAGCTACCGCTTACAAGCCTTTACCGATGGAAATGCTGCCAGACCCATCAAGAAAGCCCTGAGAAAGACCTGGAAGCGCGATACGGTAGAGATCACCATCGACCTGCTTCATGAAGAAACTTCGCTCCAACGAATGAGAGCAGCCATATCACTACTCGACATCGAGCACATTGAGAAAATGGAAGCTATCCAGATAGAGATTGATCGACAAGTGCCACTATCTTCAGTGGGAAGTGATGCTGGACTCGATCGTGAAAGGTCCATATATGTTCAGTTCCTTCGCGACATGGATGTCAAATATTCTCGATGGAAACAGCGAATTGAGAAGTTTCATGAAGGGCTGATTGAAGTGGTAATGCTGGGCTATCGAAGCAATTACTGTGACGTCGAAAACAGTATGAAACAACTGCGAGCAGGGCTCGAACAGACTGCACCGCAAGACTGGACAGGCGACCAATCGGTCGAGGCGGTTGTTGATATGATCAAGGCAACGAAGCTCCATGATATTGAACCAAGTCAGCATACCAGAACTAACTAAGACCAAACCTCGTGAACCCAAGAACCTATAACTGAGCTCGTGATTGTCATCAAAAGTAATTCACAACACCTTGTTCTCCAAAGTTCGGCATCCAAAACCCTGTCAAGTCATAGCCCATACGCCAGTATCTCAGCCCCTTCCAATATAGGTGTGGATATGCCTCATCTTGAGGATCGTCGCGTGTTGAATCATTCCCACCAGCGGCTAGATAGATAAACATTATAACACCAAATTTGCCCTCGGAAATTCTGTTGTGCAGTATGGCTAAATCGAAGACCAGAGGCTTGGTCATCCTTGTGTGAGTTGTGTCCGCGCCTTATGATGGTCGCAGCGAGTGCTCAGGGTAACCATCAACAAGGAGTATGCGATATCGAAGGCCTGTGTCGTAGCGGCTTTACGCCCCAACAACCATTTAGAGTATGCTTCCGACCGAGTCCTTCGTGGTGCACACCATGATCAGCAGAAGCCGAAGTTCTTCTCGGATAAGATTCTGATCTCTTGATTCAAGGCGAAGCATTTCATGAGCATCAAGAACTTGGCAATTAGCCGCCTTAGTCTCCTGCTTGGTGTGGTATAACTCTGAGCTTCCCCCAAAGATTTTGCTCTTACTAACCGATAACGGTCTGCCAGCCATTCTCGTGCATGACATCGAGCCAGAAGACGCTATCGTCACCAATATCAAATCGGCGCCAGACTTCCTTTATAAGCTTGATGATCATGAACACAGGCTTCGAAGGCAACCGCATGGAGAGCTCTTCCAGCCTGGTCGTGGCAAGCTCTCTCGCACGCAAAACATTAAGCGAGAATGCTGTCGTAGGTCCAGACAACTGAAGTTCAGCGGACGCTGTCAATATAATAAGTAGTTGAAGTGGTCGTGTACCAGAAGTCGGTGGAATGCTGCCAATCAAGTCCAGCATGATATGTCGTGCTAGTGACACCAACCATGCCTTCGGGTCATGAGGATCATGGTGGAGAAGCGTCCCGCAAAAGGGGAAGAAAAACTGACTCGTAGTTCCAGTGGTATCAGCATTCTTAAGCAGTCGATTGCGCAATATGTTAGGGAAGACTCGATAGATCTCCAGCAGAGCTGAGCAACGAGTCGACTCTGCAACCATGATGAAATCGAGCTTGCCCGTAAGTTGATCTTGCACGTCCACAAGGTCGTCAATGGCTGGCCAGCGGATATTGAGTAGTTCTTCCTCGAACTCCATGGCTGCAGTGATGATTTTGGTGGGATCAACGTGCTCGCTTGTTGCTCCATATGAGAGTGGCGACGATATAGCTCGGTAGTTCCGGACAAGTCGGCCGACCTCAGCGAAGAGGACTTGTGCTCTGGGGCCTACACCCGTCCAGGGGTGCGGCATCACCTTCGTGCCTATCGTTCGGGCCTCATTGTAATGTGTCTCGTCGCTGGGTCTCTCCCGGCCCAAAGTAATAGGTTCTTTGTGCACAAAAGCAACACACATTTCCCAATAAATGAGGGCTTCGGCAAAGAATTGATCGTTTCTTGTCATCTCCTCTGTCTGGGTACCCTTCTCTCGAAGCAGCCTGGGGTATATTAGCCCTCTTGCGGCATTGAGGTGGGCCATCCCTAAATCATTGGCCTCATGCCATGGCGAGCTCATACCCAACAGCAGTACTGTGAGCAGAAGTCTATCGTCTACTTGCTGGTTGACATGTGCTAGCTGTAGCTCGTGTTGCAAGCATTCATATGCTTTCCGTTGCATTTGCAACCCCTGGACTTCCATCCCTGGGTTATGGTTGGCCAAGTGTGCAGCTGCCATGCTTTGGATTGCGTAGAAGATCGAGTTGGAACTATCCCACAGCTTTCCTATCACGGTGCGGAACGGATTGAGTTTCGAGTCGAATGAGGAGTATAGGACGCAGATATCGCGGAAGTAATGTTCAACTAGACCTGTGCTATCGTTCTGGAGAGATCGCGATATGGTAGGAGTGGCCATGCGATAGTAAGCCCGAAGCAATGACTTCCATTGAGCCATTTCCTCTGGGCTGTTGTGACGTTGCTGCCGTAGTGTTTGGATCTCATTACTGACTGCTGTGTTCTCATTGATCTGGTTGACTGGCTGATCAGGAACATACGAGACCATGGCTTGCTCGTGTCCACCATCAGGATAGCCTGACCATTGTTGCGGCCAAGGGCAACAAGGTCCTTGTGGTTCTAGTCCTGCAATATTCTGAGGTTGTGGGACGTATGACACTAATGTGGGATGCGCCGTTTCTTCAGAGACTTCTCGGTAGCCATCATAACTTTCTGCTGGCTCTTCATTAGAGAGAGTGGACACTTGGCCGAACGTTACCGGATCGATAGATGAGAAATGATATTCCACGGAAGGATGAAATGTCTTTTGGCTGTCGGGTTCATCAGGCTGCAAGACTTCATACTTCGTCGACCACTTGAGAGCCTTTCTATAACCGGGACAATCATAGCCGCGCTTGGTGCAGTTGTCGCAAGCCTTGTACAGAAAAGTGTCAGCCACTCTTGTCAAATCGATAGGGAATCATCTTGGCACCGCGGGCAACCATTGACCGCCACTGGCCTGCTTGTGACATGTGTCTGAACAAGACAATCGAGGCAGATGGTGATTTGTGTTGCAAGCTCATCTGATAAAAACTCACCGGCCGTGTCTCATCGCATTTTAGCTGTCATCTACACGTTAGTTTATTCAAAATGGAAGGAAGTCGAGCGGCACGTAAGATGATCATGCCCTCCCGTGCCACTCACTCTCTTGATCTTGCAGACTTGACAACCGTTGCGGCTCTTTGCTGTTCTTCTAGGATTCTTCTCCACGCCTCCAGATCCGGAGGCAGTGGCCGATGTCGGTTTCGACTGTGGCATTCGCGGTAGCCTGATATAGATACTGAGTTGTGTGTCTCTAGTGTTGAAGAGTGTTGGAAGCCGTCAGCTTACGTGGAGCAGTTCAGTGACTGACTCGCCATAAGGTGCCCCAGGTTGACTCGAGAGGCATTTTCGAGCATAACTGGTCAGACGGCGGGCGAGACCTAGGTTTATGGGGTCCTCCGGGGCTTGCTTTGGGTCGAGGCTTCCTATCGGCCCGGGGTCGGCAGTAGGCAACCGATGGTGGGGATCAGAAGGATTTTGTACTGTTGCTTGTACCAACGTCTACCAATTTTCCCGGCTACACCGAGGCAGCTGAGCTGCAAGTACAATCAAAGGCTGGTTCACAAGCCTTGTTCTGCTGCCGCGCGCTCTATAGTGGAAGTTGTATCTACATGAATTGATGTTGGGACCTTCACATGGCTTCTCAAGCCAAAGCAACTTTACCTACCTCCTTCAAGGCAGACATTACGTCAGCACCTAGGTACATCCAGAGTTCTTCCTACCCATACGCATCACCATTGTTGCTGCGAGAGTCAACGGTTCGGAAGGACTGCCTATATGGGAACTTTGGACCTCGCGAAGTCAATTTGAATTATTCAGGCACGGGACAGTACTGCATGAATTCTGTGGATTTCACGCGAGCCATTGACCAGATCTATCGCATTTCTCCTTATCGTTGGGACAGCATGAGCTAACGGGAGTGGTTATTGGGTGAATCTTGGAGCTGGACATGGGCCCAAACGGCTAAACTTGATAAGTTCGACTGTGTCGTCTTTTTGGCACATGGCAAAATCTACTCCTCGATAGTCTTGACGCAATCCCATCCTCCCTTGAGGCTTTCTTTCCACAAGCTGACTCTGTTATCACCACCACTGACAGCCAGGACGTTACCGCTCAGACTCCAGCTAACACGCCAGACAACAGCATCGAACTTGAGCTCTGTGCTCTGCCAGCTTGACGAATTGGCTGGGTCGGCGTTTGCTTGACACGTCCAAATGCGCACAGTTCTGTCCTGCGAGGCCGAGGCAATGTATGACTTTGAGAGTGGGGTGGGTGACCATGCAACATCGCGAACCCAATCTGAGTGACCGGCAAGAGTGCACATGTTGTTGTATGACTGGGTCTGAGGGTTGAAGTCCCAAAGCTTGACTAAGTTGTCGCTACCGCCGGTGACGAAGCGGCGCAGAGGTTGTGGTTGGGATTGGGGAGTTTGGGCAGCAGCGAGCTGTGCGGGAAGAAGCGAGGGGCTCCATGAGACGGCATTGACGCCCATAGCGTGTGCTGGGAAGATGGAGTGGGAGAAGGAATTGTCGCTGAAGGTGATGACGGAGACGGAGCCGTCGGACGAGGCACAAGCCAGGTGGCAGCCGGGCTCTGGCGGTGACCAGGCGATCAGGTTGACGCTGGCGGTGTGAAGAGTGAAGTCGTAGATGCGCTGCCATTGGTTGTTTTGCTCGCGCCAGACAAAGATCTTGCCGTCGTAGGATGAAGAAGCTAGGATGGTGCCGTACTTGGGGTGTGCCTGAGCAAGCAAGAGGTCAACAAGAGTAGATTGTGCGTGTATGAAAAGGGCGACTCACCCATGAGACACACCAAACAGCGCCGTCATGTCTGCAGAAAGAGGTCAGATTTGCGACAGGAGCTCTCTGTCAACAGACACATACCCCTTGAGCGTGTCTACCAAGCGGTGTGAATCTCCCTCAACCTCGAAGATCTTGATTGTCTTGTCGGATGAGCAGGTTGCCAAGCGACGTCCATAGTAGTCGAGAACAGCATCGTGCTGATCGAGAGTCAATAAAAGCAAGCTTGCGCCAGGGTGCATTAGGGGAGCATACAATCATATCATCGTGACCGGAATTCGAGATAACTTGAGCCTGCGAATATGTTGTCAGCTATCTCTCTGTAGTGGATGTGCAAGATGACCAAAGCGAACGTACCATGTTTGGCTGTGTGATGTGCAAAGTAAAGTGGATATATTATTATGGTCGGGTCGCGGTATTGCCAGCTATGCGCTCACTCTCCGCCGCGTTGGCGCGGAGCTGGAGGAAGGAGCGGACACCTTGCCAAGTCTGCGCTCCGCTCTAGCGGATGCCCGCCGCTACTTCCGTCTTTGGGCTTATCGCCGAGGCCGATTCCACCTCGGCTCAAGATTGCCGCACGCGCCCAGGGCGGTTTGCATGTGCATGTGAAGTGCTTGAGTCCTGAATCTTGACCAGCATGGCATCACAGACGCTGCTTTCTGCTTCTTTGCCCATCTAGTCAACAACCATGTCCGACGCTCTCTGTGGGCCCTCGAATGCTGTTCAGAACCTGGCCAAGCACTCGTCGGTTGACCGCACTCTGCAGCAAGACCGCCTGGTCTCACGACAATCGCCCTCTCAAGTACTTTGAAGCGCTTTTTGAAGGTTTCTTGACCTCAATGCTAACACTCCGTAGGGGTTTCGCTCGTATGATCCAAATGTCGCATCACTAGATCCAGAATTCGAAGCCTTCCAAAATGCTCAAGGCCCTAGCCTTGCAGGTCCTTCATGGGCTGCTTCTTCGCTGAACAACCTTCACGCACGACCGCCACCTTTTCAGTCAGTTTCTCCTGCTCCGTCGGCGTCCTGGACTCAGGATTTCAACCGCTTGTCTATCTCGTCTCCGCAACAACCGCAATTCCAACCAGCCCCTCAAGCCTGGCACAATCACTTTGCCCAAAATGCACAACAGTCTGCTGCTCTGCACGCTCCTTCTTCTCAGATACAACCACCGTCTGCCCGCTTCCAACCTTCGCTCGCTTTCAATCACATGTACTCCGCTCCGCAATACGCCTCTCAACCTCAGTCCTTCCAGCAACAGCAACAACAACACCTACCTCAAGACCACTTTGACGAAGCTGCTTTCGAAGCTGCTTTTGATGCCGCTTTGCAGGATGCTGCCATAGAACAGGACTCTTCCATGCACGAACATGAACAACTTGACTCCTTCGACTTCGACTCGTTCCTCCCAGACATATACCCGCACCTCCCCCTATTTCGTCTCGCGCTAGCCGATGCTTTGGTCACGAATACGGACGAGTCCCTCCATCGAGCTGCCAAGGTCGTCAGCCTCCTCATCCACCACCCTCAGATTATGAATCCTGTCGATGCTATGCTCTTTCGACCCTTGTTATCTGCCTTGAACGATCCTAAACGCACCTTGTTTTCTGAAAGATATGGCTATGAGCCTGCTTTGAACGAAATGTTAGATGGTCTTGCTCAACAGACTGAAAACAGCCAGGTCAACATAGATGCTTCGACTGAGCAACTGCTTGCCTCGTACGCGGATTTGCTTTGGCAAAGGAATGAGTCGAACCACTTGCAGCCTACAAAAGTTCCGCGTTCTGCTGATAATGCTTACTGGCTCGAACACTTTTTCCGTGAGGAGGATCCTAACTCTGCTCTGAACGTCACACAACACTCTGCAAGACTTTTGACAGAAAGTTTTGATCGCCAAGTCATATCGAATCCCAACTCCCAGGCTTTGAGCCGAGTACTGGATATGGAGTATGAGGTTTACTCTAAGCGACCGGCCCTTTCAGCTTTCTCCGCGCAGCAACCCACGTCTGCTCAGGAGCGGGAGGCCACATTATTCAACATGATGGAACACATTCTAACTACTCCAGAGGTTGTTGAAGCTCTGGACGCGACGGCTCCACAAACATTCGAGGATTATCAACATCAATTACGTGTGTTGGAGCAGCGGTCTCGAGTGGGTCATGTCGTTCCACAAGTGGCAAGCGCAACAGAGCAAGAGCACGCTGGAGATTCTGCCATGCAAACTTCGAGGGAGCTCAATGCGACAGAAGACCTACTTGAATCCGTATTTGAGGCCGGACTGTCAGAAGACATGTTGAACGAACAAGCAGAGCGGCAGCGTCAAGAACAGAGAGAGTTGGATCGGCAGAATGATGACGAGTTGGCACAGACCGCAGCCAATCTACTCGAGCGTGTTTCTGATAACCAGACCTCAAAGTTCAAGAACAGTGCCTTCCTTGGGCTCATGAGGCAGCTTGCAGATCGTGAAATCAGAGTCGAAGGAGACAAAATGGTCCCTGTGAGTATAGCTAAGCTGCAACAAGTCAATTAACATACTCTTCTTGGTACAACTGCTAACAAGGCTTCATTAGACCAACACACATAACGATCTCAGCAATAACCATACCTCCGAGATGGTAGATAAGGATGGACAAGAAGTTGTTTCTCTTCTCAACCAGCCTGGCTCAATGATGGATCAAGGTAAGCATCAGCTCTTTCTCGCAAATGTCGGACTTCGACCTGACTCACTATCAAGATCCTGAATTCATGATGACAAGCCCTTTTGCATCTGCCGATGATTACTGAATAATGCTCTGATGATCCGATGTCCTTCAGATCGCAAAAGATACTGAATGTGTTCAACCCAGGTCGCAAAGCCAATGCACACTCGTATACTGCTGGGTGTTTCTTCAAGAATGACATGCAAGTGGAAGGACTCGCGTAACGATATGCAGGATGCTCGACGCGATCGCCTAGTACTACACTCGAGAAGCGGTCGACCAAAGCACTCACGTCTTGTCTTCTTGAGAACGCTTTGTGTTTATACCTCTCTAGCCACATATGGGGCAGACTTTACCTCTCTGATATGCGGGGAGGCAGAACTGGGGTGTCGGGTCTCGATATCCCGAGGACCGAGAGGCTTCTTGTCCTTTTAGCAGAGCGAGTCTCGAAAGAACCAATATTTTTCGTTTGAGATACCCTGACGACTTTTGAATGTCGTTCTGGAGGTCTGCTATGACCTGGAAGTATTTCTTCGTGTTTAGATTATTCGTCAATAACATGGTAGACATATAAAATGCCACTTAGAGAGGTTGTCATATGCCGCGACATTTCTCCGCACTTTAGCCCTCATTATCAACCGGCCTATCGGGCCGTATGCGAGCAGTCATAGTCGACTCAGCATTCTTACTTCACTTCTTTCTCTGAACATAACCTAGCAAAGCACAATCATGTCCAAACCTAAGGTTCTATACCTCGGCGAGGTTGTCCTGTATGTCTCAAGCTGTTTCGTGTCCTATCTTCGCACTACTGACATCAGCGCAGTGCTCACGAGAAGTGGGAGCAATTGACCCAAATGGCAGAGATCATAACTCCTAAAGCCACAAACAGAGAAGAGTTCATTGCCGAGTGCAAGAGTGGACGCTTCGACGATGTGATCGCTGCATACAGAACTTTCCCATCCGTCAGCATCACAGGCATCTTTGACGAGGAACTGGTGCAAGCAACTCCTAAGAGCTGGCGTTTCCTTGCACACAATGGCGCTGGATATGATCAAATAGACGCCCATGCCTGCGCTGCTAGAGACCCGCCACTTCTAGTCTCTAATATTCCTACTATTGCTGATGATAGCACTGCTGATACGGCCGTGTTCTTGATTCTTGGTGCTCTACGCAACCTCAATCCTTCCATGCAGGCTTTGCGTGAGGGCAAGTGGAAGGGCTCACCTCCTCCTGCTCTTGGTCATGATCCTCAGGGCAAGACCTTGGGTATCCTTGGTATGGGAGGCATTGGCAGGAACTTGAAGTTGAAAATGGATGTCTTTGGCATGAAGGCTATCTACCACAACAGAAGAAAGCTGAGCAGTGAAGACGCAGCTGGCGCCGAATACGTAAGCTTCGACGAACTGCTTGCGAGATCCGATGTCTTGAGCTTGAACCTGCCTTTGAACGTAAGTTTGGAAGTTCTCTCTGAAAGAAATTCACAATTCTGATGTTTTGAAACAGCCCAAAACACGTCACATTATTTCGACCGCCGAGTTTGCAAAGATGAAGAAGGGAGTGGTGATTGTGAATACAGCTCGCGGACCTGTCATGGATGAGGACGCATTGGTCAAAGCCCTGGACTCTGGCCATGTGGCTTCCTGCGGCTTGGATGTGTTTGAGGAAGAGCCTAAGGTTCACGAAGGTCTCATTCGCAACCCCAAGTGTGTCTTGGTGCCGCACATGGGCACATGGTGCGTGGAAACGCAGACTAGGATGGAGGAGTGGACTATTGGCAATGTGATGGAGGCTGTCACCAAGGGGAAACTCGTTAGTCCTGTACCAGAACACATGGATTTGCAATAGAAGGATATAGTAAATTGTATGAGAATCAATCATCCAGAAGTCTCGCATCACGTAACGATTCGTCTTGCAGAGCCTCGGTAGAGCTGTGCCGAGTGAGAGAGCACTTGCAACCCCGGATTGCAAGTTTCATGTGCGAGCAGGACGAAAGAGGAAAGTTTGTCCGTGTTTATGTTTTTGTTTACTTTGGTCAAAATTGTTTCAAGAAAAAAGTTCTGGAAGGTCGGCTTCGTCAAGCGGATTTCGAAGTCGCGCCATGTCTTTGTCAAATGTCTCTATCAGTCGGACTTTCAACCACAACACAAGATAGTAGCTCAAAGCAGTATGACGATCCCGATGAGAGTCGCTGATGACGCCGTTGCGTGATTCGTTTGATTAGATGCATGAAGATAGTGGCACGGGCCTGGATTGACCAAGATTGATTGGACGCAAGCGAGCAGGTCTAGCAAGGTGGGCTTGATGGTGGGGAAAGTCGAGTAAAGACATGGTGCATAGCGGCGTGGATCTGTCTAGCAATGCGACATTTATTAACGAAACAGCGCGAGAGCCAGACAGGTGTTTAAGAATGGACAGCTACATGTGCCAAACGAGGTACATGGCTTGACTGCACCTGGGCATACAGCACCAGGCCTCCCGCCGTTGCTTCACCGCTGCCACAAGACTAATAACACCCCGCAGTGCTGCCATGCTTCTCTCGTGACTAAGTAGCGCATAATATTTCTAATGTCTAGTTTCCGATCTGCCTTCTTGATCCTTGTCGCTCCCCAAGGGCTCTGCAACTAGGACAGGCGGCCAACATGCTGTCGACGCTGCTGAGGCCAAGGAAGAGGCGCGCAGACAAGTCGCCCTTCTCGAGCCCCTTTAACAGTTCGCCTCTGGCTGCGCGCAATGACTACGACCAGATCGACGACAATGAAGACGCAGACGATTATGACGAAGACGACGACGGCGGCGAAGATGACCTGGACGCACCGCTGTTGCCCATCTTCTCGGCCGCACACTTAGGTTTTTTCTATCGACCTCTGTGTTCGAGAGAGCTGTGCTGATTTCACACAACAGACAAGCTGCCCTTGTACAACATTACCCACTCCTGTCGCATTCTGATAGTGCAGAAATGCGAGACTACTCTCACTTGGGACCAACTGCGATCGCCCCAAGTCTCTCAGTTCTTGGTCAAACCCATCCAATCGCAAATCCGCAAAGATCACTTCAATCGAGCGACCATCTGCGCTCTCATTGCAAACTGTTTGCAGTTCCAGAAAGAGGCACAACAAGATGCAGGAAATGCCGGTGTGAGCAAGACAAGGGCAATGGTCTCGGAATTGCTGGCCATTCGCCTGCTGAAGGACTTTAATCTTCGCGAATTGATTGATGCCCTGAGCTACGACTTCAACCCACTTGAAGGGTTCGACGCTCCCGAGGGAGGCGCTCAGTTGAGGCAGTACAACAGGTCTGCGCGTATTTCAACCGTCGAGATCGCCATTCGTGCTCAGGCTAAGCGCTTCCTCGCCCACCCGCTGGTCGTACAACAGCTCGAGGCCATCTGGGCAGGAAGCATCGTCTTTCACTCAGCCGCCGACAACCTCCACCGCAAGCCGCCTACACCTCCTCCGACCAGAGGACGAAGTGGCTATGGCACAATTGTAAACAACTCTGACCCACAGCCAGCATCCACCAACAACTCACAACCTACCCTTAGACGAAGCGTCACCCTCTACAACCCTAAGGATGCTTCGCTGTTCAAGCTGTCTCGCCTTAGGGTACCTCGCTACAGACAGCTGTTCTCTACCATCTCTTTCGCCATCATGCTAGGCTTGTTCTTGGCTGTCTTGGTTGATCGTTCTACTGAGATTACTCCACTTGAGATTATTTTCTGGTTTTGGAGTGCTGGATACATGCTCGATGAACTCGTTGGTTTCTCCGAGCAAGGCTTCGGTCTTTACATTATGAGTGTGTGGAACGCTTTCGACTTGGGTATCTTGCTTTGCTTCTTCGCCTACTACGTACTCCGCCTCTACGGTATCTTGATACCTGCTGCACGCAAGCATTATACTGCGCACATGGCTTACGATGTTCTGGCATCTACTGCTGTACTGCTGTTTCCACGTGCATTCAACGTCTTGGATCATTACAAGTACTTTTCTCAACTGCTCATCGCTTTCCGTCTCATGGTTCAGGACATGATTGCTCTCCTGGTGCTCATATTCATTGCCTGTAGTGGTTTCTTTGTTGCATTCACGCTATCATTCAGCGAAGAGAAGGCAGAAGCGTCCAAGGTTGCATATGCATTGTGAGTCGATCAACACCTAATGTATTCGCAATTTCTAACGGAAACAGATTCCAGCTGACCATGGGTTTCACTCCCGCCGCCTGGGATCTCTGGCCAAAGTACAACCTCTTAGGCAAAGCCGTCTTGGTTGGCTTTCTCTTCCTCTGTCACTTCCTCATTGTGACAATTCTCATCACTGTTCTGACAAACTCGTTCATGGCTATCGTCCAAAATGCCAATGAGGAGCATCAGTTCCTCTTTGCTGTCAACACTATCTCTATGGTCAAGTCGGACGCTCTATTCTCATACATCCCGCCCACGAATCTGTTTGGTTGGGTAGTGTCGCCAATGCGCTACCTTATTCCATTCCGAAAATTTGTCAGATTCAACAGAACCATCATCAAAATCACACACCTCCCGATGTTGTTCGCCATATTCACTTATGAACGCTTGTTCCTTGTGCGCAACGCGTACACTCCTATGGATCTTGTCGAGCAAAAGGCACCTAGAAGAGGTCGTCTACCAGCCTTCACCATGAAGAATGCAGGTCCTTTCAGCCCTGGCACTCGTCTTCGTGAACCGTCCATTGTTTCTTTCCACAAAGACCGTGCCTTGGAGGAAGTCTTCCGCCGACCATTCGACATGACAACAAGGACGATATCTCAGCACTCGAACCCCGACCAACGAAAAGCGACTGTTGTAGACAATTGGATGCAAGATATGGGTGATGAGGGAGGTGCAAGTCCTCCAATGGAACAGCCACGCTCTGTCTTGGAGAGACTGGAGAACCGCAGACCAGGCATCCGTCGCGCTCATACGTCCGCCAACAGGACTGCTACAATCAAGCGCGACTTTTCCACGGCTTCCAGATCTGTCTTGTCTGACCCCGAAGATCTTGCTTCCACAATCTTCCCGAGACCTACACCAATGCGCATTGAGGAAGAGACTGATCTGGAGATGGAACGCGAGGATATGCCTCAAGAGACGGATGCTGATGGTGATGACGAGCTTCTGACCAACGACGGTGATAACATTACAGCCACTGGTTATGACCGAACGCCGACGGGCACTCCAGATCTTATCGAGAGGAAAGATCCGTCTCCAGACAAACCCAAAGCAAAGGACTATTTCGAGGGAGCGGACTTCCAGACTGCAAGTTCTGTTCCAAACGCTACGAGAGCACGCCTCATGAGTGGGGAGCACAAACGTGAGGGTCACCGCCGTGATGTGTCGCACGGTACTATGGTCTTCTCGCCGATTGTGGAGCAGGGATACACATCATCTGCCTCTGAACACGTACCCAAGCGCCCTACCACATCCAAACAGAACAGCGGCAGTTCAACACCGTTGGCCCCAATAACATCTCAGTCCAGTGGTCGTAAGACACCACGTACGACCAACCCCAGCAGGGTACGTCCCAACATGCCCAATCGACTCGCACAATATACTGCACCCAACATACGCTTCGATCGTTTCGGCGACTCGACACGTCGTGCAAACAGGCAGCCATCTTTCAATGCTCTCGCCCTTGACTTGGCATCCGACTTTGGCGATCATCACCGTCGTGAAATGACTCCAGAGCCGTTGTCGCCAGGCTATCAACCTAGCATCCCAGCAAGCTTCAGTGAGCAGATGCTCCGCGAACGTGAAATGGCTCTGGACAAGGAACGTCGCCGTCAAGAACAGCGGCGTCGTAGCCAAGAGGAAGAAAAGGGCATGGTGGGCAGAATCATGCTGACACGCATGAACACACTCGAGGAAGGTTTCCGAGAAATTCTTCGCGAGGTGCGTGACTTGGCACATGTCTCGCGTGGGACTAGTGACGCGGGTTTGTCAGGTATGGTCAATTCAAGGTCGTCGTTGGTGGTGCCGGCGTCGTCAGATCAGTCTAGACCAAAGACTCCTGTTAGCAGATCAGGAGGTGCGAGCGAGAGAGCTAGGAGTCCCAGAAAGGGCAAAGGCAAGAACAAGAGCAAGGGCAAAAACTCTACCAACGGCGGCAGCAGTGAAGCTGACCCGGTCAGTCCTTTGACTGTGCAAGAAGGTCCATCTCAGGCCACAAGCCCAATGATGCTGGATGAGCCTGAGACGCCCGCTACTGTCAGAGCATTGTCCACACACGCTGAGGAAGAACCCAACAATGATCAAAATGACACCGGAAAAGAGTAGAGTAAATTGTACTTTGGTTCTCTAGACATGGAGTACATATGGTAGAGAAGTGATAAGACGAACCAGATGTAAACTATAGTCCACGGCGGCATAATTGCTTATTAATGCAAGTGCGATTCAAAGCAAATTTCACGTTCAGCGTGAAGACGATTGTGTAGTACAGCAGTCCACATTGATGTTCATGATGCAAAGGCATGGTGACTTTTCAGTGATCAGGTTTCACCAGCATGAACCAGGTCAGGGTCGTACCTGCAGCATATTTCTGTCGGCCTGTTGTGAGCAGTAGTGATTAGCATAGAGTTGCGCTAGGTTCAGCATTGCATGGTGTGATCAGAACATGGTTGACAATCTGTACTTCGTGATGTCGTGATGCAGCAGCTTAAGCTATCCGAGTAAGGAAATGCCTGTTAATCGCTGAGATAGAGTATTAGTGTCGAAACCAAGAACATGAAACCGCTACAAAGTCCTTGATATGACAAGCGATCACACAGAGATCTGGCCAAACTATAACTGTAGACAAGAACATGCACACGCACAATAGCCAAAGAGAAGCACAGTATTGTTAGGAAAGAGGTGGTGTAGAGCTGCAAGTTGAGTGAGTGCCAAGGCCATGGCTGCCGCGCTCAAACAGGTTGACTCAGTTGCTTTCGCTTCCTACTTTCTGGAAGGCTCGCTCGCTTACTCCCATTCTTTTGACCATCGTCGCTTCAGCCCCCCGAACTGAAGCAGTTGTCTCGAGTGTTAAGCGAGCTCGCAACCTGCCAAGCCACATCATTGGCCCGAGGCTTGCGGCGCGACTGACGTGTGTCTTGTTGATTGCTCGTTGAATAGATTCGGCTCGGCTGAGTCGATTGGAGGCGCGCCTTGGGTAGCTTCGAGGAATCGAGGAACCATGGCAGAAGACAATACAGATGCCGTGCTGCGGCTGCAGTCACATCAGTCGCTTCCACCACCGCCGCCGCCGGCTCTTAGGGACGCCCGAGACGACGCGCCGCAGGAACGTGACCAGACATCGACGCCGCATAGCGACCAACACCCCGTACAGCCCCCAGCAGTCCCGGTCAACGCGTCGGAACAACCACATATCAATCAGCAAGAGAGCAGTCAGCGCCCGGCTGTGCCAACACAAGACGCGTCGGCTGTGTCTGATCCGGCGCAAAGCCACGTCTCGCAGCATTCGACGCCGACCCTGCCGCCTATGAACTACCAGCATCATCCTACGGCGCATACCCCGGCACCCGTCTCTGCCACAGCGCCAGTCCATGCCCAGAACGGTCACCACCCGCAACATCACCAACCTCCACCACCACAACATCTTCCTCATCCCGCGCCGGCGCACATCACCAATGGAACACCTTCCCAATACCCACCACATGGTCATGCTCCCCCACCGCCAAATTACACATACCCTTCAGAAGCAGGCATGCAACAAGCTTCACCGAACATGCAGTCCAACGGAGGGCCCGTTAATGGCTACGCACCTCACATGGGCTACCAGGTACCAGTTGGAACACCGCACCTAAATGCAAATCAGCTTCCAGGAACACGACACAAGAAGGAGATCAAGCGTCGTACAAAAACTGGCTGTTTGACATGCCGCAAACGAAGGATAAAATGTGACGAAGGTCATCCTGCCTGTCGCAACTGCCAGAAGAGCAAGCGAGAGTGTCTAGGCTACGATCCCATCTTCAAGTCTCAAGCCTCGCCGCCGACCATTCAACCCGCTCCAGGCATCTTCCCTCCACAACAACCTCAGCAGCAGCAGCAGCAGCCGCAACAGCAGCAAGCCAAGCATGAGCCACAGATGCCTCCGGAACGTTATGCGAATGTTCCTCAGGGATACATGCCTGCAGCGAGTGCCGGATACTCACCTGCTACAGCCATGCAACCGCCAGTTGATTTTGGTGCCCAAATCGATCCTGCCTTGGGCCCTGCGAACTCGGCAGTGGCTCCTCCTCCTGTACAACAACAACCACCTCCTCCACCGCCGCCGCCGCCACACGAAGAATACACAACTAGTCTACACCCACAACGAACTGGTATCTTGAAGTCTTGCATCTCTGAGTCTGTTCTTTGCTAATATGTCGTAGTACGTCTTGTTACGATGGAGTCACTATGCAGCCTTGACAACATCCCGCCAACACTGCCCCCACACAATCCTAATCCTCTTGCGTCGCATGAGATGGAACAGATCCGTCTCATGTATCTTGCAGAATACGCTTCTGGACTGGATCGTTTCTTCGAAACCACCTGGTACACGGATCATGGCTTCAATCTTGTCGCCGGAAACCACGACCTGTTACGTTATTTCATGTACTGCATCGAGCGCTTCTCACATGCTCAGAATGGCGGTGGCTCACACGGTCTCACATCTTTGGAAGCTCGCCTCGTCTGGCAACTGGGCTGTCTGCCTCGTGCTATTCCCTCAAACGCGACTTCTCCATACCTGAATAATCTTCTTCAACGTCTAGCCATAGTAGAAAACCTACTTTGCGGCACTTTCTTGGATCCTAACATGGTTCCCATACAACCCCCAGCCAACCCCCCGGATCCAAAACTTGTCGAACAATACACTCAATATCTGCAAGATGCCTTCTGGCACCAGCTAGGTCGCTTTGTCAGCATTCACGACGACATCATCTCACCTGATGCGGCACAACAGATCGCTACAGCTCTTGCAGCTATGCGCAATATACTTTCCATGCTCGAGAACCGTGACGTCCTTTACTCGATGGCTATTGCTCGTCATTTTGGTGGTCGTATGGTTGACTATATCGAGAGCAAGATCCTGGTTTCGAAGAGTGCGGAGCCAGATGATCCTATTGCAAAACTTGCCGTTGCAATGAATTTCATTCGTGACGAAGACTCTCAAGGCACTACACAAGTTGTACAGAGGTTGTGTGGTATGTGCAGAAGGAGTTGGCAGCTGCAACGGCAGAATACACAGCCTGCATAGAGTGCGATCTGGGTACTTCCTCTGCGTTAGAGAAGGATGACCGTGTTTTGTGCATTCGTTTTTCATGATACCATGCCTTCGCGATATTACATAGGCTTCTGCTGTTCATCTCAGACATTACGTCCCGTATCTGCCTTCTTGCAGACGTTCTTTTCCATTTCTTTCAAACTGATCCTCTTTTCGTCTGTGTCTTGAATTGCAATGTGCGGGTATGACCAGCCTTGACTGTGACTCTGCGGGTCTCACTATATGTTCTATAAAAAGCTCAAAGATCAATATTATGAGTCCACAGTCCGTTATGTCAGACCAACACGAGACTGGTCGTGTGTCCAAGACGTAGATCAACCGGTGACCTGCCGGTCAGGGCCGAGAGTAACCACTTGAAAGGACAACAGGGTTTGCTTGTTTGACACATGGTCAAACAAATAAGACTGGTAGTTCACGTTTGACCTAGCAGTGGATCTACTTTCCGTATACAGTCATAGGGTTTGCTAACAACAAGACAAGCCAGTGAGGTGTCACACGGACGGAGATTTGAAGGTCATCGTCATCGTCGTCCTTGTTCAAATCGCAAGGATTCAAACAAAGGATAGGATTCTCGTATCCATGGTCAACCGTTCATCCTCCTGATAGCGCATTTCCAACATCACAAGTGGGCTCGGAAATGAAGAGGGGTTTATGATGTTGTTGCGGAGGTCGAGAATCTAAGGACTGTTTGATGGCTCTGGCGGAGTCGTGGCAATTGCGGATCCCTCCTGTTCTTTGTTGGCCAGGGACCAGGCAGCGTCTTCCCCTGTCCCCCGCATGCACATCGAGTCAACGACCGAATGTCGATGGAACTTTCAAGGAGATGATCGCGAGTCAAACTGGTAAACAAAGATGTCATGGTGCACCCAAAATACTGCTCATGTTGCAATAGCGCATCTGCTTCGATAGCTCGAGCGCGATCAAGGTTGTCGGTGCGATTTGCCCTCCCGTATTCGCCTTCAACTTACCAAGGCTTTCGCTCCCTGATGGGACACAACGGTTGCATGTTTGTTTGATATTAGACCGTTGCAGCCATGAAAAGGCTCTGGACGAGTTGGGAGTGCGCCGCAAGCCATAGCGTCTTTCTCCAGGAAACTACAGTGGGCATTGTCAATCGCAGGCAGAGTTCTCACAGGCGTCTCTCGAAGAATCACAATTTTCGTCAACTGCACTCGAGTCTGCTCACAGGATATGCAGCATCTAGAATTTTCCATGCTGCTACAAAACAATGCCAATCCAACAGTCATTCAGGCACAGCAACGCTTCGCTTCGTTTAGCGTCAGGAGAACTCTATCCGGATTGGCTGCGCTTCCAACGTCTTTCGATGTCTGGCATCATGGGGAGGTGACCTTCGCCCTTTGACAACATGGATCCTCCGCCAACGAGAGTTCAACCGTCTAGCCTGCTATGGATATGCTTGTTTCCATGTTATCGTTGCAAGATGAGCCAAGTAACGGTGCTGCTGCCCGGTAAGGAGGAGATTGCTCTGCCAGAGGCAACTGCACCGTTGCAAGCACAAGCAACAGAGTACGTGGAGGGTAAGTGGCCTCCCCAAAGGGTAAGAAACCTGTATATAAGGCACTATCACTTCCCAGCCATCCAATTCTTTTTCATCATCACAGCATATCAGAAAGACAACAGCTCCTCACCAGCCTATCCAGTCACCTAATTATAATACTCAGGCTTCAGCCGTCCATTCTTTGAACAACCACAACACTCGCTACCAATAATATCCTAATTATTACCCCCTTCAAACCAACAAAAATGCCTTCCATCAGCAACATCGTCGCCGCCATGGCCTTCACTGCCGGTATGGCCTCTGCCATCCCCCAGTACCAGAACGTCAGCAGCTCTGCTCCCATTGCCTCTGCCAGCAAGAACTCCAGCTCTTCTGCCAGCGCTTCCAAGACCTCGTCTGCCTCTGGCATGGCCACTCTCCCCGCTCTTGCTGAGTCTGCCTTCTGCCCCAAGCTCAACGGTGCTCTCGTTGGCGACTTCTTGATTGAGTGCGGCACCACCCACTTCGGTACCATCCTCTCCGTTGGCAACGGCACCGTCGCTGTCGCCAAGCGTGCTGTCTACACCTCTCTCGGTGACTGCATCAACCTCTGTGAGGAGACCACCTCCTGTGTTGGTACTGCCTTCAACACTGCCGCCAGAACCTGCACCCTCTACTCTGAGGTCGGCCAGGCTGTCGCTGCTGACAACACTGACTTCGCCGTCTTGACCAACCCCAACGGTACCCCCGTCCCCGCTGGCGGTTCCGCTACCAGCACCGTCTTCTCGACCCAGGTCGTTACCATCTCCAGCTGTGCTCCTATCGTCACCAACTGCCCCCTCAAGAACGGACAGTCCGTTATCACCCAGGTATGCAGTGTTCCCACAACCAACATTTGATCTCCTGCTAATTTTCCCAGGTTGTTCCCGTCACCTCCACTGAGTACATCTGCCCCGCTGCCACAACCGTGCCAGCTTCAGCTGTCGCCTGTGGCTGTGCTGCCGTCCCCGTTACTGTTACTCAGTACGCTCCTTCTTCTGGCTCCATGGTCCCCGTCCAGACTGTCGTTGTCAACAGCCCTGTCCCCACTGCCACCCAGCTTACTACCATCGTTTGCACCAGCTGTGCTAAGCCCACTGCTGCCATGAACAACGGCTCTGGCAACATGGGCGGTGCCATCACCTCCACCGTCACTGTCTGCAACAGCGGCAAGTGCTCTGCTGTCGCCACCACCATGGCCGTTGCCTCTGCCACCACCTCCCAGATGGCCGTCTACACTGGTGCCGCCGACTCCGTCAAGGCCGGTTTCGCCCTTGTCCTTGCCGGTGCTGCCCTTGTCCTCTAAGCATTTCCACCAACTTCTCTTTGAAGGGGGCTTGAATGATCCGATGTTATTACTAATCCAGAAAAAAACACTTTAAAAACGAACAAAAAAGATCTAGCCTTTACTTGGCTGATGACCATCCTGGGTTTATACTTACTTGGCAAGTATTTGCACAGGACTGGACTGATGGGGAGCTGTCAATGATAGACAAGGAACTGATCTCTTTCTGATTTACGCTGCTGTTTGATCTCTCTTCTAGAGAGATACGGGGATGAGTGTTGGTGGTTTGGTGGTTAGTTTTTCTGATTTTTGATTTCAACTTTCTTGATTTTTGTACAAGAGTCATTGCAATCTACAAAATCTTTGTTCACAAAAAAACACATGCTTGCCTCTGCTTTTCGCTCAATCGTGATGGTACTTAGTGCTCAAGGATATAACCACTATGGTTTGACACAACAACTGCCACAAACGAATTCCTTCGAACCATTGAAAGTATATCAAAGCCACCAAAAGACACATCGCAAGATCTCTTACCTTATGGTTTCGTAAAAGAGGAGTGTGACGACCGTTTGCGGGATCAATTTATCAAATGTAACGTCTGCATGGTCGTCTGAAACTCCCTCGGACGATGGATGGATGGTTCGAGCAATGAAGCCGAGCAAGCATCTTTTGCCTGTGCTATTCCCGGCTGTCGAACGAGCATTTGATCGAGTCATTGTAATGCCGCGTTCGCACGATGATAACAGTCAGTTAAATGAGCGGCGGCTAAATGATGGCAGGAGCTTTTGGTGTCTTGAGGTCCTTTCCTCTCAGGCTGTTCGAAATGGAGGAGCGCTCATCCTCACGATGAAAAGGCTTTTCAAGAGCTCATCGCTTGTTGACAGTCTAGTATAGATAGTATCCAGAGGTAGTGAATTCAATTGTCTCTCTCTGCCTTGAATTGATCGCAACAATGACTTTCGACACCAGAAGATCAATCAATGATGTTTTTATGCGCACTTGAAAGAAAGGAAGCAGCACCAGTGTCAACCAACATTGGAAAGATTCATTTCTGGACATTCAACGGACTTGTTTATGCTCCTGCTGTGGTTGACGACTCAAGATAGTGAGCAACTAGTATGATTAGCCCAGGGGAGGCATGAGTTGTCAAAGCCGCTTAGTGGTCAAGCGAACATACTTCTTTGCCGATCTTATGGATAGACCAATTCCTTCTTAATCAACGGGGGCATGATAAGTCATCGAAACTTATATTTGCCTCTCGAGCATGGGTTTGGCCACAAATAATAGTTTACATGACGGTCCAGCGGAGGAGCTAAAGAGTTGCCCTTTGAACGCGCTTTGCAGCACATCGAGATTCAATCAAGAGTACGGATGTCACATAGCGACTTGACATGAAAGATAGCAGCAGCATTATGAGTAGAAAGATAGTCAGTCTTGTAGCGATTCAGTATAGGCCACTGCATCTAGGGTGTTCATCGAGTGTCCTCTGTGATGGTGATGATGGGTATGACCAGGGTCACTCGAGCAGCCACGAGACTTGTACGGATATCTCTCTCTGAAAAGTCTCAAGACTGAGACTCCTCTCCCTTCGCAGCTACAGAACCATCATACACTGCTATAATGCACGATTTATTGTTGGCCATGAGTCTAACCCTTGATGTGAGACTCACCGTAACCATGATCTCTTTGTAAACGTATTGTGCAATTATCTAACTACACAATAGCAGCCTACCACATGGAGAGGCGGATTTGCTTCTCGAACACTTTATATAGTATTCTGAAGTGCAATCAAATTTGCGAGTATCCTGAACACGATCGACAATAAGCATCTTGTGACATGTGACGACTTAAACATTTCTACGGCCGAAGGATCCGAATGGACGAAGATCATCTAGGACGCTTCGTTCAGCATAGCCTCAAGCGTCATACCACGATGGCGATCAATGAAAGCTTGTATCCGTTGCTTATATAGTCACTGTCCCTCTCCCCAGTCTTCTCCGGTAGCGGTCCCGAGCATCAACACCAGTATCTTTATCACCAACCACAATATCAATATTGTTGAGAAACACCATCACTATGTCAGGTTTCGCAATCAACGGCGTCTACCCAGAGTTCAAGGGAGAAACGCCTTACATGCCTGAAGACTTTGCAGACCAGTATCCCAACGATCCTGAGAGACAAAAACAAGCAGCCGATCGCAAAAATCAAGCCATGGCTCAAGGAAAGGAGAAGAAGTCGCACCCTTCATTTGCACAAACGGCGAAAGGATTGTTCAAGAAGAAGAGTCATGGTGGGAGTGAAGAGATCGAGCTTGTGAATGAGCAGGCTAAGTGACAAGGTAATATTCAGATACCTTCTAAAGGTGATCAAGCGATGCTGAGAACCTTCTTTATAGGTCGTTCAAGCGTCACTGAGGGCTGTGTTCATGAGTAAATTGTTAAGAATATTTATACAGATATCATGATAGATACAACATGGTAGCGAAAAAGACCCAAAACTCCAGGCTTTTTCCTCAATTATATTACAAAGAGTCAATGAATCTACTCTCCAATGTTAGGCGGACGGCCATCAGCCGCTCTCGTGCTCTCAGGAACAAAGTCTGTGCCTGAAACATCGTGGATACCGTGAGTAGCAGTGGCAGGAGGTACCTGCATGTTCTCGACACGGCGTTCGCTCTCCATTCCAGCAGCATCTGCCTTCTTAATGCCACGAGCGCCGGAGGTCAGAGCGAGGGCATCTGCGGTGACGAGTTCCTCGTTCTCAGGGGGTGTCCAGCTCGAACTCTTCCAGGGCTTGACGTGGAGGATGTACATGGTGTCAATTTCTTCCAGAGTACGTCCTTGATGTTCACAGAGGAAGAAGTAGGCTACGAATGCGCCTGCAAAGTTACAGGCAGCGAAAACGTAGCCGTAGCGGTAGTCGATATCGGCGGTGATAAATGAGGTAAAGAATCTAGGTTCATGTTAGCAAAATATGAATATAGATGATGGAATAGGACTTCCTTACGCAATCAAGAAGTTCCAGATCTTTTGGGGTGTTAGCATGGTTCTAGAAATACACTTTGAGTGTACTTACCCAGTTGGAAGCTGTGGCGATACCCATGGCCTTTGCGCGGTAGCGGGTGGGATAAAGCTCTCCCACAACACACCATACGATCGGAGCCCAGGTAGTAGCGTATCCTGCAATGAACAGGCAGGCGAAGACGATCATTACTGTACCAGCAGTGTGTGTGTTTTTACCTGCATGGAGTTCGAAATGTCCAACACTAGCAAAGACCATAAACATTATAAACATCCAGAAGCCACCAAAGATGAGAGCTTTGCGACGTCCAACGTTCTCGACGACCCAGAGACCGCCAAAGGTGCAGACGAAGTTGACAGCACCGAGAATCGTGGCTGTAACGAAGCTGTCGCTGATGCCGACTGAGTCGAAGATGGACGTTCCATAGTAGAAGAAGAAGTTGGCACCAGTCAACTGCTGGAGCATTTGTAGACCAGCTCCAAGAAGAACACGGTATGTCATGCGAGGACCAGTAAAGACTTCGTACCAGGGGTGGTGGCCACCTTGTTGCTCGACATCAAACTGTAAATCAAAGCGTTAGCGTGTTTTTCGTCATATAGAAACGCTTGTGACGATACCTTAGCCTTGATCTCTCTCAGCTCCCTGTTAACAGCCGAGTGGTTCTGTGAGGTTCCGTAAACACCGGCGATAGTTTCTCTAGCCTTTTCAACATTTCCTCGGCGGTAAACCCAGCGAGGACTTTCCGGGAGTAGCCAGATGCCTGTAGCCATAACGACAGACCAAACGAAGCCAATGCCCATAGTGATACGCCACGAAGCAGGTCCATTAATGTTCTTGGTACCGAGGTTGATAGCATCTGCGACCAGGATACCAAGAGTGATGAAAAGCTGATAACAAGACACCATGCTACCGCGGATGTTCTTAGGGGCAGTTTCCTATCAAGCAAATTAGCATAATGCTGCTGTGTCGCATGTCAATAGGTCAACTTACACTCATGTACATAGGAGTCAAGACGGAAAGTGCACCGACACCAAGTCCAGCGACCCATCTGCCAATTGCAATCTGGTACCAGTGGTGCGTTGATGTCATCTGTACGATCATACCAATCCAGAAGACGATGTTGCCAATCAGGATACACATCCGGCGTCCAAGCCTATCGGCGATGGGCGCAGCAATGATAGCTCCGAGTAGAGTACCGATAGACAACAGGCCAACAATTGTACCTTCTCTCGAGGAAGAGAATGCTCCATTCTCACCGAAGCGGTCTAAGAAGTCTCTCATTTCGAGGAAACCAGAGATCTGGATATCAATTTGATCAGCAAAATTCTATGTGCATCTGCAATCTGACTGCTTACCTGACCAGTATCATAACCAAAGATCATACCACCAAGGGAAACGATCAAGACCATAGCAATGACTTTGAAGTTGTAGATATGTGTAGGTCCATCATCCTCCATTCCTTTTTCTGTGGTGTCCATGGTTCGCTGAGCAGTTGTTGGCGGTGTCGTCGTACCGCTGTGGAAGGAGGCATCGTCCTCCTTGTCCTTCTTACTGAACAAACCCATGTTGGCGGCTAAGGGCTATACCAACGCGGAGAAGGTTTGGGGTTGCTGTGTGGGATATCACAAAATGTGGAAAAGGACCGAAAAGTTGTATGCGGAGCATTCGTGGAGAACTGAGGATATATATTTCGAAGACGATCTTCATGAATTTTCTTTACTCAATAATCATCATCTCGCAGGACCCGCGAACTGAGGTCATACCGTCTCAGGGCCAACGATACGACCTTCGGAATGCAACTAAACCGGGTACCTTGAGCATCCTTCGCGAGACCCGTGATCGATATTTCGTCGGCCGAGCACATCTTTTAGCCAGGACTTACCAATTCTCCGCCGTGAACTGTATTTTCTAGACACAGCACGATGTCATTGACAATATGCGACGTCATGGCTGGGAACTTTTGAAGAGACCTCGTGCCGTGCACGAGGACCCGGCCATATCCCATTGGTCGGCATCCCGACGAAACGATCGGATCACGGGCTTGGCTTTTGCAGGGCTGCAGAAGCAGAATAACTTTCTACCAACCTTCTCTCTGCGTCATCATAAATCAATACTTTACTGTTGTACACAGGAACAACGACTATGCGCCAGAGCTGAAGGCATTTGCTTGCACAGCAAAGTCTCTCGATTGATGCGCGCAGAGAGGAAACTGCCCCACTTCTCTTGAGGTGAACCATGGAGAGCGTTGTGGAGAGGGCGTGGGAACTTCAGTGGAGACTCCTCCAGTCCTCAAGCGAAAATCTCACCGCGCAAAGAGATCGGCTTGAACTCGTATCAAAAGCTTTATATCAGCCGATCACCTTGCCCAACGGACTTCGTGAGATGCCTTGTTGGACAACTCGGCAAGCCGGCCACATCCACGTCCTACGCGCAACGACAACTGATTAAGCATCCGACCGAAGAACACTGCCACAGACCGGCTAAGAGATCCGAGTTCTATCGGAAGCCGAATGCGGGTACTTGAGATGCGGCAGTTGTATCTGCCTCCAGGAGTACCTTCAGACGTCTTGACATATGACGAACAATCAGCACTGCACAGACTCTGCCCACGTAAGCACGGTTTTAGGGCAAGACGGTGAGATATCGACCTGTTCTGAACCCAAACACTCTGAGACTACCTAGGTCCTCATGCACTCAAACATGTAAGGTGTATACCATGGGAATACACAATATCACCAGGACCCAGAACAGCGTCCGATAGAAAGCGATGATTGATCAGCTCTGTGGATACGCCACTGCTTCTAAGATTATTTTTGTAGTGTACACTTCGCTCCCTGCTGTAGCTGAAGCACGGTGGAAGTTGTAGGCTTTCGAGATATGGAAAAGAAGTGATGGTCATCATGAATGTCACTGACCGCCATATATCTAGTTTGGTATTTCGTCAACACTCCGGACATCCTCCGACTTTGAGACGTTGATCTTGTCTCTAGTATTTTTGCTATGTGGATAGACGTCCTTCCTCAAGCGATTGATGCCTCCTAAAGGTCTATGTGCGGCTAAACCCCTCCACGCATCCAAGGACATATGATCCTCCCAATAGACCCGTCGTTCCTGACTGAAGCTGTTTTGCGCAGGGAAAGTAATGATACCTAGGGATTGATAAGGACTTGTAGCCTCATCCCACACCACACTTCCATCCTCAGTAGGATGATGAGCTGGATCGGTCCCAAGTTGGATCTACATATTGTGAGTCAATACTCTGCTTTGTTTCACGGGCGAACTTTCTCACCTTGAACTCGTATTTGGCTTCTTTGCCACCAAAGTAGTCGAACAACCAGTCCGACAATACACACGATGGGTCATCGTTCTTGACTTTGTCAACGGCTGCTTTCTGAGCCTCTAGCACAGGAAAAAGAGCCATATGTCCGTAGTATCTGCCAAATCGGAATGCTGACTGGGTGTACATGGAATGAGATATGATGTTGGTGTTCGGAAGCATATAAGGGGCATGCTGCTTCACCAGATCCGTTCTCATCTTCAAATGTCTGCCCAAGGCTGCAGGATCGTCAAAGTACTTCTCGCGCAGACTCATGATGTCTAGAGTCGTGTCGATGTCTGTCAGTTCAATGCTAGGAGCATTGTTGAAAAAGAAATCCTGTGTATTGACAGAGTCGTCGACGCCTTCCAATCGAGGTCCAATGACACCAAAGACTTTCAGACCTAAACCGCGAGGACCAGCTTCCTGGTCACGTTGAAGAAGATACGGTTCATTTGCATATCTTGCGGCAATATCATAGGTCTTGCCTGGCTCTGCAAAAATGCCTTGACGAAGATGCTCTGGCAGATCTTCGTGGACTTGCAGCGTACCCTTGACAATACCCTGCGTCTTGACATGGGTTGCTCTGAATGCTTTCCTGTGGAGATCGAAGTTGTGCTTTTGCATACGCGCCATGACCTCTTTGATACGCTGTACTTTCTCTTGCTCGTCTGGCTTGATGGTTTCTACACCTTCAGCGTCCCAGGCAAGGTAGGCGTCATTGGGTGGTGCGCTGGACAGACTACGCTTGACGTCGGTCCAAGCTGAGCTCACAGTCTCCTTCAATGCTTCTGTCATGGTTGATTATAGTATATGTGGACTGAGTAAGGAGCCTCACAGGCAGGTCCCACGGAGTTCATTCCTTTTGATGGAATATCTATCACCGTACGTCATCGAAACGGTAGCTGCCGGAACTGCCCAGCTGTATGAAATATGTCGCGTATGCAAATGCAAAAATGAAGCTTCAAGATTTGCGTCTCGTTGACGAAAATCGCGTTGTCGTTCTCCGTCGGCGGTCCGTTATATTTCAAGGAGGTCTGGTGGTGTATAGACGAATCATCTCTCATGAGATGCGAACCGAAGTAACAGATTTGGAACGCTTAGAATGAAGTGCTCCTACCACAACACAGATTGTTGAATTTCTGCTTCTGAACGTGAATAGAACTCGCATATCGGTCATGGGTTGGTTCATTAGCAACCAAGTTGTGCACTGGTCGAAGCACAGGGCCGTTACCGACAGACTGGGTCTCCTAGAAGCTCTTACGGCCGAGTACGTACGGCCGACACGTATATTCGACTCTTCCTATATCCCATCAACCATGTTCATCTAGTGCCTGTACACCTAGATCATATAGTGCTGTTGAGCACTCAGCTTGCAACGGCAATACCTCTGGATACCTTGGTACATGCAGATGGAGACAGCTCTGAAGAGTTGACGTGATACCGTTGGACGACCTCAAAATTTGGGACACTAAAAGCCAGAAACGCGTTTTGCTAGGCTGTGTGCAGGCTTGCTGTGAAAGACTTTTTTTCTGAGGCGACCAGTTCGCTATTGCAGGGTGACAAAGATTGTCTGAGTACTACTTGTAGGACAGAGCAGAATGTAAGCAAAGAGATACGTTTGGCAGAACGTTCTGACGCCAGCTGGATTCGTGTTGTTTGCCCTATCTGAATGTGATTCTTCTCGTGGACGGTTTGGCGAACGACCCGACAGAGTGGTAGCTTTGATGATGAATGTTTCTAGAGCATCTGCAAGGGTGACGCATCTTTCAGCTGATTCCGAGATCAGCACGAAGTTCTTCGGAGGTCAGAGCATTCGGCATGTTCTCCCTTTCGATGTCGCTACACCATGCTCATATGAGCCCGTAATTGCTCTCGAACCGCCTCACATATCTACGAAAGTATGGCCTTCCTATGGCCTCCTCCAGGCGGTATGGGTCGACGTGTCAGTTTGTGACGAATCTAGCAAAGCTCACATCCCAGGCCAAACAGACTTGTCCAGTCGCGCCCCTCGATGGAAGACCAACTCCGAGTTCTTTCGAACTGAGAAGACTTAAGAGCGGCCTGTCAACCTGGCCTACGACCTCGAGTACGCTTCCGTACAATGACGACAATCTGCTCCATCGATCAGGCCTTCGGACGTCTATGCCCAATCAACTGGAGGAGGAAGACGTCTGCTAGGATCGGGAATATATGAGGAGCCTCCATTGTCAACTCGATTTTGCCCCCTCTCGTTCCTTTGCCCCCAGACGGCAAACCTGCGACACTGATTAGTCAAGGCCCATCTATGGACCCGCCGGTACACTTACAATGGGATGTAGAGTTGCAGATTCGTGTCTGACATCTCCCTTTCACAACCAGCAATCAGCTCTTCGAAGTCGACTTCTTGCATTCCAGCCCGACGACAGTGCCATATACCCAAAGACCTTAGAGTTTGCAAAGCTATCCGCTTCATATCCCTGCCTATCTCCCTCAAGCGAGGGTCTTGGTGCCATTCCCCGACAGGCAGCTGCTTAGGTTCCATGGATATGTTGACAAATCCGGCGTTGGCCATGTACCTCGACAATTCCGTTCCAACTCTTGGATCTTTGTTGTGCCTTTCCAAGGCCTGACTATAGATGTTCCACCATCTTGGAAGATATTGCAAAGGTCTTCCACTACGCGATTGGACATGGAAATGAGCTTCGAGCATCTGAAGCCAGCCGCCTCTTCTCAATCGGTCGTGGAGGTCTTGTACATACGCCCCCCATCTGGTTGAATCGATACTGTCTGCAAGGAAGCGTGAGTTGACAAGGTCATACTTGTCTCTGGCAAGTTCTTCCTGATCGTAGCGAAAGGCGACGTTGAGGTTCCATATTTTCTTCACCACTCCGGGCGACGATCCTTCGGTATGGAAGATGTCGACAGCGACTACCTTTCAGCAGGTTAGACGAGCTTAGTGTGAAGACACGACTCCATCGCTATCATGGCTTACCTGGCATGCAAAGTCATCGTCCTCGGAGCTAGACGATCCTGGCCCTAGCTCTGATTTTTCCATCACCTCTTCGGCCCATTCAATGCCACTGCCACTCCCACAGTCTAGTACAAATTCCGGAGTCAAGTCGGTTGGCAGAAAAAGACGTCTTTCGAACAGTCGAGCGATGATGTCGTAGAAGTCGGCTTGTCGGTTGAGTTCATCCTTTCAACAAGTCAGCCTTTGCGATCGCAAGACCGTGACAGCCTGCAACCCCTGAACTGCTCTGCAACTTCGTGGTCTTGTCTTATCATGTCTCTTCGGGATTTCCATGAACAACACAGTCCAGCTTGCCCTCTAGTGGACTTCTGCTGATACGCAGTCGCGTTGGGATATCGGTATTGCAAGCAGAAGATTATCCTGTACCATATGATACCCACTGTCAGGCTTTGGAAGCCCATTGATCACTCACATCATCAATAGGTACACAGCGTATACCATGCTGAACTGAGAAAGCTAAGAAGTCTCTGCCGTATTCGTGCACTGAGGCACCACTCCGAGGTTGAGGCTGGGAGTTGGAAGTCATGCTGCTGTAACTATGTGACAACCCGACTGTGCTTCGTCACCTCTCAAGAGGGAGAAAAAGGTCCGTTCACGTTGTCCGGATATGCCAAAGTCAGTGCAAGAATCGAGTCAAGTCGCAACCTCAAGTGTGAACTTTTGGCAGCGACGAAGGATGAACAATTGGCAACTTATCAAGGTTGGCAACGCAGTGACACACGTTCACAAAACTCCTGCCAATTTACTTGTCCGATGCGAACGCTGTGCCTCGGGGTGCAAAGCCTATGTTTCCGAGGAAGTGCAAGACAAGCCGACGAACGTTGTGCGTTATTGCCATAGAGAAATTACACTCAACAGCGGAGCCACTTCAATATGATTCAGGCGACTTGCTCGGCTATCACAAAGCCTGACCCTCTGGTCGTGTGCGGAGCTGCTGACATGATCTTCCCACAGCCGACAAGCATTGACATCTGAAGACAACATTCGAGTCGCTTTGCCAGGATGAGCATGCCTATGTGGCATCTAAGTTTGATATGTTTGTTTTGCTGATCTGTATTGCATGGGCAAGCAGGTCGATGAGAGAACGCCATGCAAGCACGTACTCGTGGCTGTACCCACTTCGGAGCGATCAATCTACAGGTGGTACCTGGAGACATGTCAAGACAACCTTGTTTGGAGCCGGTACCGTCATCAATTTAGCATGTGTGCTGCAAGCGTCATGTGGCTGTCAGTACGCAACATCCTTCAGACTTCTACTCAGAGCACGGTACGTTGCATAGTGACCATCCTACTGGTCAATCAGACAGTCGCCCTGCGTACTCTAACAGTCGTCCAATGAGCAGCACGTCGCAGTGTTGCTCCGAACTCCTGCAATCCAAACACATGGTGTAGCACTGTTGATTGTAACCACCCGCAGCTGTCAAGTATATGCTTGCTGTGCTCTGAGAAGATAGCGCAAGCAGGGGCCTCCAGCTACTGGTCGCTCAGCCAGATTTTCGCACAAACCTTGGGTCCGGTCCTTCACCGACTCCATGGTTGCGGTGCTTGCAATGCGCTTCTGCCGTTTCCCATGAGAAGACACGGGAAGATCTCCCTCACACACACACACACACACACACACTACACATCGCACTATCGAGGACTTTGAACGGCAAGAACCCGTCTGCGCTTGTCTCCTTCCCTTTTCATCCAGTCATGGATCGCACTCTGGAAGTCGAAGAAGGATCCCGCACTGGTCAGTGCGCCGGATGAACGTCTGGTCTTGATCAGTAAACACGACGCATATTTCTAACCTCCGGGTACTGCCATATCGACACTCTGACGGAGACGTCTAACGTAGACTGTTGAGCTTTGACCCTTGTGTTCACGGTAGAGAATTCAAGTTGCACGTTCTCTGGTCGACACGTGGAATACCCCTTGCGGATGCGAACAAGTAAAGCCTTCCGTTCCCATCACGGCGACACCCGTTTATACCATTGCTTACGGAGTACAGGAGCACGGTGTTACTCTAGGTAGCAAATTAGTAGGCCGGTGATTACCGGGCAAGAATGCTTGTGTATCAACCGCCAGTAAAGTTCACAATGTGACGCATACCTAGCCTGAGGCCAAGTATGAGTATCCACCTATTTAGTCCAAAGTATCATAAGGAATGCCCTACGCAGCAGCCACTTTGCTAGATGGCATAGCTTTATATTGAATCCGCATTGGCAAAATGGCAGGTATGCTTGCAATCATGACCGATTTGATAGCTAGCCTAGCGAAGTTGTGATTAGGTCATGAAGGCTCAAGGGCTATCGCGCTTAACAGCTTATGCATGCACTGATTCCAAATTTTTCAATACACCTTCACCGCAACTCTTCTTTATACTTTGACTTCGGAGTAGGACCGTCAATTAGCTTGCCGCAGCTTTGTGTCGTGCGACGGCTAAGTTGGACATGCATTTTGACAACAACAATTGAGCTCATTGCGTTCTCGCTGTACATTGCAGTATGTGCTCTGCAAATTCTCTCAGCTCAGATGCTTGAATCTAAAGGTAATAACCATCTGGCTGTTATCGAAAGCATGTATGAAGCACTATCAGGATGGCCACAGTCCGGATGCAATACGCGTATGCAGCCGGTCAAACGCAACAAAGTGACTAGTCAGCGCAGGGAAACCATGACAGCTGCCTCGTGGCTGCACACCAATTCGCGCCCTGAGATCGAACCTTCCACCCTTCGACTACAAGCTTCATAATCTTCGACCGACATTCGCGCCTTTGAGTTTCCCGGTTAGCAGCAAACAGTGGCCAACAAGTCTCGAGACCGACTTCAGAAACAACCAGATCGCGTCCTTGACCGCACGAGAAGCACACAAAGCTCCATACACATCCGATTCGGACATGGTCAGCGAGGGAAGACATCCACACCGATGCCATCACTACGCATAGTGGAACATACACTAGATGATGGCTGCATGAGACTTCTGTCACGTTGTGGTTCCTTCAAGCAGGATCGCACGCTCAATCAATCAAAAGAGGTGGTCACGATCTAGCAGCCCAAAAACACAAATAAATCATTTTAGTCCTTGAGAGCGACAAGTGAACAACCGGACAGATTGTCCGTGACTGCATGAACGAGAGTGCGCGCTGTTCAGAACATAGCATGCCTACGCTCTCGACCCAAGCGACTAAGATTGATTCACCCCTCCTATGAGTGCTGTCGCGACAATTAGACCTACAGAGAGTTTTGAACACAATCGACAATGATCGATGGACGTCCGTGGATATGCACTGTATCTTGTTCCGAGTCCGGGTCCCGACCATCAAAAGGGTCCAATCGGAAGGCTCGTCTCTGATATCACGGCCGTGATTTCTGAAAATGGTCCATAAAGAGTATCATATCCGATAGCTTATAATCCACGATACCTGTTCGAGGTTCGAGTGGCTACAAAAATAGTGAAATTGGACGAGACTCTATGATGAGGGCTGCAGGTAATTTATACCTTGACTACTGTATGCATGTACTATCTCGCACTATCAGGCCGAGCGAGTCATCTTGAGTGCATTAAGAATCCTTCCTAGGCTAGATAGACTCGCCGTATAATCTTGGTCGTCATACAGTAGCACAATAGTCCGACGAGGTCTAAAAAGCATATCCAGTGCAGTGCATATCAATACTTCAAGCCTCGTTCTGCTCGAGAAAAGCTGTTCATATATGCAAGCCATGCCAGATGCATGACAGTTGCCAATGCGATTTCCCAAAAGAGAAGGGAAACATCAAGGTGATGCATCCGGCTCGATTTAGAAGAGGTCCAAGCTCAAGCTCCGGTCGAGCCGAACGTTTATCACCGAGGAATCTTCTTCGTTCTCGTACTCCGTTCATGCCTATTGACAAGAGGTATTTGGTTCAAAAGTCTTCGGTCTTATCGGGCAAGCCATGTTGCAAGATCAGGTACCTGGTGTGTTGGCTGAAGCAAGCATGACGAACATGACTCCCAGCAGGAAGCTGCCTTGTCAAAAGCGGATAACGATAACACAGGAAGCTTGCTCTATCTTCTCACGGAGCCTCAATGATAGAACAGAGCTGTTGATCCGGCTAAAATTTGCGTTGGGGCTCAAGATGGTCCTATTAGTGAGCCAAGACCTGTTCAGCAAGTAGTGAGATCGTGATGCGAAATGTGTCGTTCAAGCGTCACCATTCGTTGCAGTGATGTCACGCTTAATTACATCACGTAGAACCACCCACTGCAGCTATATCTTTTGCTCCCTGAGCTGCAGATCTGTTTTCACACATCAACTTTGACAGCTACTTTTGAAAAACTAACTGTCTCAAATCAATCATCATGTCTGAAGGCCAGTTTAAGCAGGGTATGTGCCTTGTCCTCGAGAGCGGGGAAGCACAACAACTGACAACAAAAAGGATTCGAGATCCCCGTCGACCACCAGAAGCCTCCTGGTCTCCAGAAGGAGCAGAAGGGTCCTGATCCCGTGAACGAGCACCTTCCCACCGAAGATGGCGGCTTCCAGCTCTACAAGGCCGCCGGCAAGCTGGAGGGCAAGAAGGCCATCATCACTGGAGGCGACTCCGGTATTGGCCGTGCCATTGCTATTCTCTTCGCCATGGAGGGCGCCGACAGCTTGATCGCCTACCTTGAGGTCGAGGAGGCGGATGCTCAGGAGACCAAGAAGAAGGTCGAGTCGTACGGCCGCAAGTGTCACTTGCTCCAGGTCGACCTCAAGAAGAAGGAGGAATGCCAGAAGGTTGTCGACACTGCCCTCGAGAAGATGGGCGCCATCAACATCCTTGTCAACAACGCCGCCTACCAGAACATGGTCGAGGACATCAAGGATCTCACCGAGGAGCAATGGTAACTTTTCACTGCCAACATTCTAAGACACTATCCACTAACAAACTCACTGGGAATTCACGTTTAACACCAATATCCACCCCTTCTTCTACCTCTCCAAGTACTCTCTTCCTCACATGAAGAAGGGAGACACCATTATCAACAACGCTTCCATCAACGCTTACATCGGCCGCCCAGACCTCCTTGGTGCGTTCAACGTCAATTACGTTGCTTGATTATCCTTACTGACATGGATCGACTAGACTACACTTCAACCAAGGGTGCCATCATTTCGTTCACTCGTGGTCTTCACAACCAGTACGTCGGCCGCGGTATTCGCGTGAACGCCGTCGCTCCCGGACCTGTCTGGACTCCTCTGATCCCTGCAACTATGAACGAGAAGGCTCAATCAGAATTCACCTCACCATTGGGCCGTCCTTCGCAGCCTTCGGAGATCGCCACCTGCTTCGTCTTCCTTGCGTGCGCTGACAGCTCGTCCATCTCTGGACAGACCCTCCACCCCAACGGCGGTGTTGTCGTCAACGGATAAGTGTATCGGCACACAATCCTCTTTGCTGAAAAGCAATGCGTCGAACAGAAGCAGACACGAGCATGGAAAAACAGCATTTGCTATGACCTAGTTTTAATGAGTTCATGAGAATGAGACAGCATCATAATTCAAGCATTCGTCTCCAAATCAAACCATTCTTGCTTTTTCGTACTCAGACTTCTGTGATAGATATGGGCAACACTACACTTGTAGTATGCTTAAATTTTCCTTGCTGTCGCTATCAACATTCTTTTGCGGTTTTATGACTGTCGTTGCACCTTCTTCCCCGTGTGCAAAAAGGCTGTAACGCGTGTAGCTGTAAGAAGGAATATATCCGCTAAGAGACGGCATCTCTACATCTCTCTTTGGCCATGTGACTTCTTCTAAAAATAACTATACCTTTCTACATTATAGCGGTGCTCTTTGCTATAGTCAGAGCATCATAGAATTACATGCTTTAGCATATATGGGGTTTGATTGTTCGATGATATAAGTATTTACTACACTTATGCTTGTAGCATTTATCCTGGTATGCGGCAATAGATAGCGAATCTAACCCTAATCAAATCTTGTCAAACCCGGCTACTATGAGCGGAAAGGAAGAGAGGGGGTTGTATTGACAGATCGACCGTCTCTTACAGTATTCGAAGATCGATGCCTGCTGCAATTTTTCTACTACTTGTGGTGACTACACTAACGCGTGTCTCATAGTCACTTCAAAATCGCCTTGACAAGCAAGGCAGGCAAGAAGACAATCAACTACAAATTTGGACCACGAAACATAGAACACAGGGTACTTGTAAACATTGATGGCCATGAGCTTCTAGAATGTAATTATATCCGAACAAATGAAACGCAGCGATGGTATCTTCCTTTGCACATGAACGCCTTTGATGACTTCTATTCTTCTTCCATTCTATCTTTGTCCATGTTGTATTAGATGGCAACGACGATCAGTGTCGTGCTTGCCTGTTTTGGACACTCAAGATCGAGTGGCTTGTTGTTGCTCGCTTGTGGAAAAAGAGCTGTGTGGTTGTACAGGGATTTATTTGGGCCGAACTCTTTTTGGACAAAAACTTGTCTCCTCAATCGGATTGTGAGTCGCGATGCTGAGAATTAACTTTTGACGAGGGTGGGAGATGCTGCTCGGTAGCCCACGTCTTGTTGATGACCTGATGTCTATGTGTCGAGACTGAAGTAGACTGAAGGCACTCATAGTGGTGTGAGTTTGTGGCTCTCTGGCTCTGGAAGACAGAATCATGTGTCTCTGGTGGGTCACGTATGTGGTGCTGTTTCCTTGACTTGACCGAACATTGATCTTGTTGGATTTTGGACTAGTCTCCTCGTCGAATGCGTAAGCACACGAGACTGGTCAAATGCATGATCGTTCGTGGAATCAGAGGCGTCTGTAGAGAGCTGATGAGAGAACATCTTCGTGAAAAATCAGAATATCAATTATCCATCTATCAGAATCAAAACGGTCGGGAGCTCTGTGGCCACCTGGTATTCTGTGCCTTCTCCAAATCCTGAGTCGAGATGGAGATTTCAGTCCAGCCTCGAGAGTCATCGTCTGCTGATGAATCAAAAGTACGGAACCCATCGCCAGGACGAGATCTAGACAAAGGCAGTCCCTTGAGTTGAATATCCGGCACCATCGAAGGAGTTTTTCTGCTGCCGTGACCACGGCTGCCCTGAGAATAAGATACCGACTTTGCCCCTTCAAGACACTTCTTGAACAGTGGTCTGAGGGTTGCGAAATTGACGGCGGCGATACCAAGACCAGGTTCGAAGACACTGTAAAGGGCGAACTTTGCGCTTTGCTTGAAGAAGTGTTTTCCAGGACGAATACCTTCGACGTAGCCGAATCGAATAAGCGAAACAATGCTCCCTGCTGCTCCCAACGCGAGCAACAGATATGCCCAAAACTTTGTGATGCGGGGCATGCTGAGTTTCCAGATGGTGAGGATAGGTAGCAGAGCCATGATCCAGTCTGTCGCTGCATTTAGAGCGGTGTGCACATAGGTGGCAGGAATAACAACTCCCGTGACTGATATGCATTTGTTTTCGACAGTGTGTATGAGGTATTCTTTTGGGTCTCCGCAGCCAAAGGTGATGATGCCGAAGTAGACTAGGCCGAAGACGGTGCTGACGGCCATGCAGATGTAGATGACTATTCTCTGCCAGGGTTCAATGATGATGCGTAGGAAAAAGAAGCCCAAAGAGATCTTCAAGAAGACTCCAGTGATGGCGTAGGATCCGGAAAAGGCGATAATATCCTTGGGTAGAGATCAATAGCTGCAGATTGGCAGGTCTGGACTTGGAATACTTACTGTGACCAGGGTAGAGATGCCACTGACGTTGTTGTACTTTTGTGGTTGCAGTTCCATCCGAGTAACATTTATGATATACCCGCATTGTACTGTAAAGGCTGTCTGTTGGTGTTCTTGTCAGCATGGTTCAGAAGCATTTCCCGAGGTGCCGCAACCAGCCAGTACCTACAATAGCAAGTATGATGGTCCAATCGTCCCTTCCAAAAGATCTCATCATGAAGCTGCGAACGTAGATTCGCAGAACTGCTGAGACCCATGCAATTGCCAAGATGGCTACTGAGCCTGTAAAGAGAGATTGGGGTACCGTGCCCAGATTGTCCAGAGTTGGGACCTGATCCATGGTGATATAGCAAAACTAATTGTGACGTTCTTCAAGGCGGTGCTCGAGCATAGAAGGCGATGTAAGATATGCGGTGGAGGTTCTTGGGGGCTCCAGCTATCTCATGGCCTTTACTGTATCGTTCACAGTCGACAGAGAGCAGGATTCAGGCCTGTCGTCGGGCTTGGCTTGAGGAGATAGCGGTGAGTGTATAGATCAATGCAGAGAAGGACGCAAACCTGGGGGACGTGCCAGACCTACATATGTACATTCTATGCTGCGCAGTATGTGCACAGATCAGAACCTTGAAGGCCTACCTCAGCAGACCTAAACATGGATCGACACAAGATAGGCATGACTAGACATTTGTTTCCTTCAAAACCCTACCTTGTTGTTGACGCACGCCACGAGTCGCAGGTGCTGTGTCCTGAGTGTACTCCGAAACGCCGTTATGGTGGAAAGCTGAGTTTAACTCTAAAAAGTCATGTTGTAGCATGAAACTCTAGCATCGGCTGTGTGAGCCCTCCTTCGTACAGGCAAGCCAAGCAAGATATCACAAGGTATCTTCAAATCTTAATCTCGCACATGGTGTGCACAACTACTAGTTGTAAATTGAGAGTGGCTGGAAGATCAGTCGATCCCAGAAGAAAGCAGCATTTTTCTTAAGCCTTGAGGCTCTACAATGCCGTGAGATACCGGTACTCGAGTACATCTGCAAAGTTTCGGGAAGAAGGGTTCGAAAACGACCGGACGTTCGTGTTCCAACATTCGGATGAACAGTGGTCATTCTGACATGTACTCGCCTGACTCCTGAGCGGATCTTCTCCGACTCAAGCAATTCCCTGGGCACCTCCGTGCACAAAGCCATCAACAACGCATTCATCGAGTGAGCCGCTCCAAGGGCATTGAAAAGCGGTTCACCAAGACTGACCATGTGGACTGCAGTGACATTAAAACTCACAAAATACTCCACCCAGTCAAGATCTTGGCGATAACTGGCGCAATGATAATTTCATCTCACTTCTCGGCACGTCGATGATGTGGGATTGCTATCTGTAAATAGAAGTGTTATATCGCAGAGAACTGAGAAGAGGTGCCTACTCATCACACGGATCTCGGAGCCTCATCTCCGGGAGCTGGAGGTGTGCCATCTCCACGTGCTGAGGACACTCACAATTTAACGATCAACTTTCTCTGGTAGTGACGTATCACTGCGTATGGAGGTGGAACAGAAAGACACAATTGCTTCTCGACCAGATGTCGGTCCGTAAAGCTATTCCAAGGTACCTAACCTTCTTTCTGCATTGCAGTGGCATGCAGAAACTTTGTGCAGCCGTATTCGAGTTCGAATTCGCATTCGTCTTGACTCTGTCAGAGTCTACAGCACACCATGAGGAAAGAGTCTTTGGTCGTCGGGGCTGGAAGTGAGATTGAGACTCTGCACTGTGCAATGGCTTGCTTGTACCCGTCGATCGTGCACAGAGCAACCAAATCTCTTGGAAAGATGATCTGCGCGGGCAGGGCAGAAAATCTGGAGATAAGAGCGATCGAATGGTATTGATTGATATGAGGCTTGGATCATCACAAAGCATGGAATTTGACGGCTATGCAAGGAACCAGAGAAGGAAGGATTCACAATGAGGCTTGCAACCCACGTGGATGCCCAAATCTTGATTGAGTCAGGGGCGGGGGAGACTGTATGAGCCAAGGAAGGTTGATCGAAGAGATAAGATGACACAGAGTTTCGTGTGCAGAGGAGGCATCTGGAATGTTTCAAGAATGTTGGAGCGACTGTCGACATGTTTCTGCTGTTCATCAATCAAAGCTTGCTCGATAGATGGCTCGGAGAGATTGCTAGTTCTCCATGTCTACGGCAGACCTCCCAGAACGCACACAACTATCCCTGATGAACCCCTCTCTATACATTCGGAAGATGCCCGAGACCCTTGAATCATGTCAGATCCTCCAGACCAAACCTTTCAGCCCCTAATGTTAAAAGACTCCCGCAATGCAATGTAAATAATGACTTCCGTTGCGCCACCTCAAAGTTTGGGTTTCACGGCCTCGGACGCAAGGGCGGATGCTTCCTTGTTCAACTCCACTCTACCCGTCCGTTCTGGGCCGCCTTCACCAAAGAAGATAACTTCGATAGTCAGGTCATCACGATATCTGCGCGAGTATGGGCTGGGCAGAGTGAGTAGCGCGGATAGTGTGTCTGTATCCTTGCCGCCAAGGGCATTGCGTGCTAGGTGCGTGGCGGCATTCTTGTCTTCAACAACGAAGCGCTGGAACTCAGGGTCGTTGACACCCCATTGTTGCTGACGAATAGGAGCACGCTGTCCCGTAGCATCCTCTCCGCGTGCAGCACCCTCGACGTTGAGAGCAGAAGCTGTCTTGTTGGAACCGAACCACGACTTGAGCCAGGACTGGTTCTGCTGAGGAGCAGTGTGAGCTTGTTGATCGAGCCACATTCCAACCAGACCGACGACCTCTTCATTTGTAAGCATCTCCCACAGGCCATCTGTGGCCATAACAACAAAGTCACCCTTCTCAGGTTGGACCTTCGTGGTGGTGATGACAGGCTCGGCAGTGACGTATGGAGGGGTCTTCAAATACTTTGAATAGGAGCGAGTGAAGAAGTTCTTTCTCAGGAGATCTTGCGTCTCCTTGGACCACTTGTAAACCGCATCTCCGAATGCACGGCTAGGCTCAAGGCCGCCGAGGATACGACCGTTGTGGGTAACGTAGGGTTCATTGGGGTGCTCCTTGCGCAGACGGGCATTTTCTGAATCAGTTCCACCGGTCTGGTCGACGGAAAGGGCAGTTGCAGTCCACTTGCCGCTAGCGCCACGACGGCCAAGGACGGCACGCGAGTCGCCAGTGCAAGCAACGCGGAGCTCCTTTGTGCGACTATCGTAGAAAGAAAGCAACGCGCATGAGCCAGAGAGTGCAGGAGCAAGAAGCTCGGCAGCCAATGACCTTGACTTGGCAGTCTGGACTTTCTTGACGCTCTCGTGAGTGATCTCGTAATCGAGCAGAGTGAAACCCTTCTTAATGGCGGCGTCGACAGCATCAGGAGGAGGAGGCTTCAAAGATGAATTGGCGGTGGCAGCTGTGTAGGTTGTGTTCAATTCGCGAGCGACATAGGAAATGAGGGTCTGGCGGAGTTTGGCAGATGTGGTCCAGCCACTATTGTTTGAGGTTAGCAAGCGGCGGCAGATGTGAGATAGCTGGAGAGACGTACGCATGACCGTCAAAGACACCCCAGAACATCCAGTCACTGCCTTCGGATTGACCAGAAACCGACTCGGGAACGTGGATGATCTTCTCGGCGTGGTCGTCCTCAATGGGGTCATTGCTGGGAATCTGGACAACGTCGTAACGGACAACACCAGAACCTCGGCCAACCAGATAAGACTCTTGGTTGGTGCGGAGCTTCTGGGTTGCCTGCTCTGCAGTCAACATTTCAAGGACCTTGCGACCGTAGTCGTCCGTCTCCTTGTGCAAAGGTTGGTTATCAGGGATGACACTGGTATAGAGAGCGCCTTGCTCGACTATGAGGGCGCGGCGCACAGCATCGGCGACTTCTTCAGACACGGGACCAGTAGCACCAGGAGCAGGAGGAGAGGCGTAGTTGGTAGACGAAGCAGAGTGAGCGGGGGTCGAAGAGGAAGACTGGCGGTACTGGTATAGGGCAGCACCTCCGACAGCAACAGCACCGACGGCTAGGGAAACACGGCGGAAGCGCATGGACGAGGGGGAGGACGAGGAGCGGGTGGCTAGCGAGCGATGGAAGACGACATTGCCGGCGACTTTGGAGCGAGAGACGTTGGGGCGGCGGACTGCACGCAAGTTCTGAACGACAGCACGACGCATTTGAACAGGATGCGAATGTCGCAACGAGGATGCGACGAAGGCAGTCGAGTCTGGAGTCTGGGGAGGGGGGACCTAGACCTAGACCTAGCCCGAGCGAGTGTCTGAATCGCTGCCCGTTTGCTAAGTTTGTCACACACGAAGCAGTGAAAGATTACAACTTGAACAAGAAGTGAGCTTGTATCCACTACTGTTGTTCGAATTCCACGTTCAGCAGGACCTCCTTTGATCTTGTCTCAACTAATCACAATCCTGAATCACAACAGCCGAAAAACACTCTATCTTCTGATGGGAGTCTTGATGCGAGAGTGACAAAGTTTGGCACATGCTCAGCAATCTTGAATACGTCACCGATCTGACGTGAAGCACAAGATCATTTGACAATCGTCATTGTCTACACGAAACAATCTGTGCATACCAACCATGTCGTCAAGAGCACTGAGAAAGGCCCAGCGCGAACGCGAAGAGCAGGAGCAGTTGCGAAAGCTCCAGGAGGAGCAACAAGACCAAGATGACGAGTCTGACGAGGAAGAAGCTCCTGCTGCTGCGCCCTCCAAGCAGAGTCTGTTTGCCATGTTGAACCAGGACGAGGCTGAAGACGACGATGAAGATGACGATAAGCAACCCGAAGAAGCAGAGTCAGAAGATGAAGCCGAAAAGCCCACCCAGCCTACCCAGCCAGCACCGAAATCTACCAAGTCCAAGAAGAAAAAGAAGAAGGCAAAGAAGGCCCAGTCCACCACTGCTACCTCATCCAAGCAAGACGCATCGCTCGACGACATCGACCTCGCCCTGAAATCGCTGAGCACAAAGGCATCTGGTTCTGCCACTCCTACGAACACCGCCGATCCTAGCACTACCGAAGTCTGCCGACTACTTTCTGTCGATACATCCTCGCTCCATGCCGCCAACGAGATGCGCAGATTCTTTGGCCGTGCCGCACTCGAAGGCGACCATGATGACGACAATGCTGGTGGACGTAGAAGAAACCGTGGAGGTGCCCAACAGGCTGGCTTAGCTGCTGCTCTGGGCAGAAGACCTGGTCAAGGTGGAAGGAGCGATGGTCTCGCTGCTCTCAGTCGCCGTCGCAACATCTTCATTCAGGGAAAGGAAGAGTGGCCCGTCGCGACTAGCGGTGGTCTCGGCATGGAAGTCATTGAAAAGAGGTCAGACGGCACTGTCGAATATGCCTTTGTCCACAACCGCACATACCAAGATGTTCAGGGCCAATTCGAGACTTGTGTGGCCTCGATGGATCCCCAGCGTATGGTTCTCCTACTTCAACACAACCCCTATCACATCAGCACCTTGCTGCAGGTCTCAGAAATCGCAAAGCAAGAGCGCGATCACACCACTTCTGGCGATCTACTAGAGCGTGCTCTCTTCTCCTTCGGCCGTGCTGTTCATTCTACCTTCTCTACCAATCTTCAGCAAGGCAAGGCCCGTCTCGATTTCCGCCGTCCTGAGAACCGCGAATTCTGGTTGGCCGCCTGTCGTTACATTTCCAACCTGGGCATGCGCTCGACCTGGCGAACCGTCTACGAGTGGTCCAAGCTATTGCTCAGTCTAGACCCTGAAAGCGATCCTTACTGCATCAGTCTCGTTATTGATCAATACGCTATCCGTGGACGTCAACCTCAAAACTTCTTAGACCTTGTCAACAACCCCATCTTCACATCCAAGTGGAAACACTTGCCCAACGTCCAACTCAGTCGCGCTCTGGCTCTGATCAAAGTAGGTGATGCTGCTAAGGGCAAGCAATCTCTCTATACCGCAGTCAGTCGATTCCCTTGGGTGGTTGCTCGCCTCTTCCAAGAGCTCAATCTCGACCCTCCACCTAGCGTATGGGGCAAATCCCCACGCACCGACAGCGAAAAACTGCATTCGGAGGTTTATGCCACACGCGCAAAGGACCTGTGGAATACCCCTGAGGCCAGCGAACTCCTTGTCGAAGTCAGCTCGGCAGTAAGCAGTGAGATCCCCGATCCGCCTGTGGTAGACAGAGATATCACTCTGAATGAAGGCAGGCATGTATTGATGAGCGACACACCCGCACTCATTGCATTGCTACCTCGCTCCATCACCGCCAAAGTGACCTCGGCCTCTGACCCCTTACCGCCTCCTGACAACATCTCCACCTACACGCCTACCTCAGCTATGTCACATCGTGCTGCACAGCAACCCTCTGGCGCTTTAGGCGGTGCAGCAGAGAGCCTCCGCGAACTCCAAGGCCTCTACCGTTTCTTCTCCGAACTATTCCCATGGTTCAATCCTACAGGTGAAGGCGAAGAACGCCCTCAACCCAACGAAGAAGAAATTGAACGCCGTATCGCTGAAAGTGGTGTTCCTGAAGAGGTTATTGTTCAACGCACACAGCGCTTGATGGAGTTGCAGCAGAGGTTGATTTCTATTGGTGGGCCTGAGCCTGAGGTCGAGGCTGCTCCTGGAAATGAGTTCGCTGCTACTGTGGAAGATGCGGAGGAGGACGAGTAATCGTTTTCGGTCAGGATCAAAAGTATGACTGTATGATAGATAGGTTGTGTATATTAAGCTCCCCATGTGAAATACCCTTGAAGTATATCTATAACAATACACAGTACTTTCGAACAGCGAATAGCGTCCATTGAGAGTCATTCATATGACGCCTCTCTCTGGACAGGCCCCCGAGCCGAACAATATCGTGCATTTCAGCAGCTCATACATCACTCAGTTCCCAGTCTGGAGCAACCGACTTTGGCGCAAATAGGATTCCTGCCCGTAAAGGCTTCTCGTCGCGATCTTACCTGGAAAACTCATTCTGAATTCCGACTAAACGCGTGACGCGAAGGAGAACAACCGCACCGTCTTCTTCCAAACTCCCTATTTATGCTATTGGCATGGTCACACTTCATCTAGAATGGTCCTGCGCATCCCAATAGCTTGTGATTTCCCTACGGCTTATGACAGCAGAGCGGCAATCTCATAATTGTGACGGGCTTGGGCACATGAGAGGTTGAGAAACAGGATTTGCGGTAGACTGCAACCAATTATTGTATCATCGAGCATTTCGGGTGGTGGCTTTGCTGGTCTCGGCGCGGGATGCAAGAGTCGGCAGAGGACAGCTCCTTCCGCAATTTCTCTGTCGTCTCGTGGAGTCTTTTGCATGCACTGCAGACTCTCTCCGATGGAAACAACAAGTTTCTGACGAACAAAGCGACGAGAGCAACAAGTCGACGGCCTTTCAAGATTCAGAAAGGTCTTGAGGAAATCGAACAGGGTCATTGGGTGGAGAAGGCAATTTAGACGACAGCACGCGACAGGAAGAGGACAACGTGCCCCGAAGCTCAGACAAAAGTGCTGCTCTTGTTGACGCCAGCCGACTGCGACAGGAATAAATACATTTCTTCCACACGGCCTTCCAGAACTCCAGGTCGTCGCGCACGCGCCGAGCAGACAACCCCGGACGAAACAGGCGAAGTCAGTCCAGAACTCAGACAGCCTGTCAGGACGCAAAGGGCGGTCAGAGGCATCCGGCGGCAGAAAGAGTTCAAGCCACCACTTTGTATGCGCTGCTTGGTCACAACATCTCCTTCGAGTCTTCTCCGACCCTTCCGGACCCCCATACACGCTGGTTGAGCGTGTGGCCTGGACGCGCCCATGTGGTACATCACGCGCATCCTGTCGGCGCTCCTGTTTTTGTTCAGCGTCGTTTTCACCATCCCGCTGGCCTTTGATGTCGGTGGCCGAACCTGCGGCCTCGCCTTTTCCCTCTCGCTGAGCGCCTTCTACTTCTTCTACTCTGCGCTACGACTTGCTACGCCCGATAGCTCCAGACTCCGCTATGCCCTCGTCAACATCATCGCTGCCTCGCAGTGGATCGTCATTCCGACCCTAATGATCTGGAGTCTCAACAAGTTTTCGATCGACTCGGACGCGAGCGCATGGGTGGAAAAGACATTCAGTGGAAAGAGAGCGCAGCACGATACATTCTATGCATGGGTCTTTGGTAGTGACGGCCTGGTGCAGTCTCTCACCATCGGCGGCTGGGACAAACTACTGCGCTGGTCGACGCCCGTCTTCCAGTTGAGCGAAGGCTTCTGCAGTCTGCTCGTCATTCAGGCTGCAGGTCAAATCACAAGATATCTGGTGAACCGTGAAGGAGGTGATGGTTGGATGATTGGACTGCTGATCACTTCTGCCTCGATTATATCAAGCTCGGTCTACTTCCTTTGGAGAATCACCACTTTCCCGGAGCTCGGTAATGTCGATGCTATCCTGATCGGCGTTGCTATCACCTGTGCCTTCTTCCTGTGTGTTTGGGGAATCGGCAGCGGTAAGGGTAATCCTGTCGAAAGCTCGCTGCTTGTAAGTCACAGTCCATCTTTCTCTTCCCCGTCTAGCATACTGACTATTACCAGTTTGCCTATATCACTCTGTGCATCTACCAGATCTTTACCGACTACCAACCCTCGAATCCGTCACAGCCCGTTGCAGTTCCTGCCGAGCCGGATTTCCCTCCATTGCCTCCGATCATCATGGCATCCTACTCAACTTTGATGCACGCCCTTTCTACTCTGCCGTCTACCATTCACACGTCTTTCAATTTTCTGTTCGCAGCCATCATGACAATCACCCCCTCCGTCATCATCTCGCTGGCTTACCGCCTCTTCGTTATGTACGCCTCTGCCCGTATCATCCCGGCTGTGCGCGAATCTGGAGCTCGTGCGCTTTCACAAGAGCCATCTCTGGAAGACAGCGATGGCGTCGGTCAGGTCCTCGGATTCCTCAGCTATTTCAGCCCAAGTATCCTGATTGCTGTATACACCAGTCTCTTGATGCAACATTTTGCTTCGGCTTCTGCCGATCATCCTGGAGAATGGTGGACCAGTCAAGGTGGAGATGCAGGCAGCAACGTCTGGAGGTGGGCAAACTTAGCTGGTACCATGGCACTCTACGCAGTCGAGTTATACCTGGGCAAGGGCCATGACGACAGTAGCCTCACAAGTCACTGGAAGATTGACTGAGAGGTTGAAGATTGTATACGCAGGCGACACATGGAGCCACAACTGAAGAACAGCCAGTGATGATCACAACCAAGTCAACCACTCACTAGGCACAAGCTGGGCACGATGAGGTGCCCTGCGAAGACTAGTCTTTTCACGGACTATAAGGGACGATGAGGGCCCTGATCAGACCACAGCAAGGACTCAAAAAGAGACTTGGATAGAATGCCAGCGGATGAAAAGAGTCCGAATAGAGGCAGGCCCTTGACAACAAAAGCGACGCGGGACGTATGGATGCTTTCTTTAGCAATCCAGATTTGTTATTCTGAACAGCAGCGAAGCTCTTTTCTATATTCCTCTTGTCCTTAATTTTCCATCACAGCAAAAAGCTGAATCAGATACCACTTCATTCTTAGCAATACAAAACCAATGCATCGTAAGAAAGATCAAGGACCACAGCACATGACTTTTGCGTAAAAAGGCAAGCGCAGCCGAGGACGTATGCATGCATGATGCTGATCGCTGTGAGTTTAGGTCTACGTCACTGCTGATCATCAACGTGGGACAGCTATTACTGTTTTTGCATGAACAGCTCTCTCAACCTTCAAGAAACACATTTCAGACCCTTTTGTCTTTGATATACCTGCGATCGACGGTTTGCATTTGCCCAACAGAATAATACATCAATTTGTTCTACGACTACACTTCAAAGCACACACAAGATGGCTGAGACTCACCACTTTCATGCCCACAAGCTCTTCAGCATGAAGGGCCAAGTGGCTGTCGTGACCGGAGGTGGCTCAGGCATTGGTTTGATGATTACTCAGGCTCTTACTGCAAATGGTACGATATTCCTGCGCAACGTCCAAAGGCTTGACTGACTCCCACTAGGCGCAAAGGTCTATGTCGTCGGCAGAAGTAAGTGTCATCCACAACAATGACGCAAACCAACCAATGCTGACATGTATCAAAGACCTCGAGAAGCTCCAGACTGCCAGCAAGGAGCACGAACCTGATCACGGAGAGATCATCCCGTATGTCCTATTCCAGCAAGATTTATCACGAAGACATTACTGATCACGCGACCAGTATTGGAGATATCGATGTTACCAAGAAGGCCGATCTTGAGAAACTGGTCAAGCAGATCGAGGAGAAGGAGAAGTGTATCCACCTGCTTGGTAGGTTTCGTTTCGTGATATAAGCTTGCCGAGTCTAACGGGGTGTTATAGTCGCCAATGCTGGTGTTCCTGGACCTAAGGCAGAGCCTGACAAGGAGGATGCTGGAGAGCTCAAGGACAAGCTGTGGCAGGGTGAGTCTGTCGAGGAGTGGAACGACACATACTCTACCGATGTCACATCGGTCTACTTTACCACCGTCGCCTTCTTGCCTTTGCTGCAGGCTGCTGTCGAGCCTAAGGGTTCTGGAGAGAAGTTCAGCGCATCCGTTATCACCACTTCGAGTATGAGCGGTATCATGCGTCACGCTCAAGGACACTTCGCGTACGTCAAAACTCTTTCCGATGCTAGGATACAAGCTGATCACCATTTTCCACAGCTACAACGCAGCCAAGGGTGCAACAGTGCATCTGACCAAGCTGATGTCTGCCGAATTCATGAAGGTCGGCGTTAGAGTCAACAGCATTGCTCCTGGATACTTCCCCAGCGAAATGACAGCCAAGAGCTCCGACGACAGACAGAAGAGCGATCTGCCTCCTGAGAAGGTCGCTGACAAGGGCCATGTGCCTCAGATGCGCGGCGGACGTGACGAAGAAATGGGCATGCTCGCATTGCTACTTGCAAAGAACACTTACATCAATGGCGAAGTGATTGCTATTGATGGAGGCGTCCTTAACATGCTGGCCGGACGTTAAACAAGTACCGTGGGCCTTGTGGCAAGAGTGGTCATGAGGCTAGATAAGGAGAACAGTACCTACAACGACAACGTTAACGACAACGAAATGATGATGACCCTTGAAACGCAGCCATGGGCATGTCAAGCTATTGAGAGATGGAAGCATTCAACAGCATGGAAGCAGCTTTTAATAGCAGCTTGAGAATCAAAAAGTAGCCATCAGAATGCACAGAAATTATTAGGCAATGTCAAATGCCTCTCCGTATGCTAAAATCTATAACGCGTGTAGCTGTAAAAATGCGCAACACTACCAAGAATCAGAGTAGTGTCCACGGAGAAGCAACGAGTGCTAGACTCTCTGTAGACATGGCTATGATTCAGAAAGATACTGTGCCTTTTCATATCGTGAATTCTTCTCTCTACGTAGTCGGAGGACGATTGATTAAGTTGGAAGTCACAAGCTCTGGCTCACGGGGTAAAAGGTGTGTTTGGAAAGCGGGTTGAAAGTTTGGAAGGCAATCAATCCCCCCGCCCGTTTCAAACGTTCGGCCGCGAAGGTTGTCGTCTCGCTTTGGATCGGATCAGGGCAACGCCTCGTGGACCTGCGTGGCATGGGATTACTGTGTCTCAGATGGTTCAATAACACACCCTTTCGCCATCGCTAGTGACTTCATCTCAATCTCCCGGATGCTCGGTCTGGATACCCTCGTGCCCCGTGCCCACATACACCTGTCGATGCGAGAGTGGAACGCCGTGCCCGACCAGATACGCTGAACTGCTTTTTGCGTCCAATCCCGGCTGTGACGACTGCCACTGTTCTAGCTCATCCGCACGTCTGGCTGGAATGAAGTCAAGAAGCAATTCAGCTTTGTCGCCGCCATCGCTGTCGCGCACCTCGAACAAGTGCACACTCGAGACGCATCTGATCCCGTGCCTGACGCCCAACCCCCACCTCTCCTGACACCCACGGTCGAAACATTGCACACACACCTCAACTAGACACGCTCGCCGCCATGCCGGCCATTGCCCAGCGCCCTCAGTCGGCCTATGGCCCTCCCAGGTCCTCGGTCGAGTCCGACAGCGGCAGCGAACGATTCACATCCGCCCTCGAACGACGAGCCAGCTACCAACCGCAATCCTCTCTCAAGCCGCCCGGTCAGGCTAGACAGCCGAGTTGGGAGAAGATGCCAAAAGATGGGACTGTACAAAGGGCTGCTGGTGAGGTTACCGGCCTGAAAGACTACGTAAGACAAAATCTGCCACGCTTGAAACATAGTGTTCGGCCACAGAGCTGACAGAAGCTCGCAGCAACTGGGTGACTGTCTCGGCAAGGGTGCCTTTGGCAGTGTATACCGCGCCTTGAACTGGGGTACGGGTGAAACTGTCGCTATCAAGCAAGTCAAATTGGCAGATCTGCCAAAAGGCCAGTCTCGCGCTATCATGGTATCGTTATAATCCCGACCTATATGCTTACCTTCAGCCACAGGTGTTGACTTAAGCCTGCAGATGGAAATTGATCTGCTCAAGAACCTTAACCACCCAAATATCGTAAAGTACAATGGCTTTGTCAAGTCGACTGAATCACTGTACATCATTCTTGAGTACGCCATCCACTTACTATTACTGCCAACCTCTTGCTTACCCGCTCAGATATTGCGAAAATGGTTCGTTGCATTCTATCTGCAAGAACTTCGGCAAGTTTCCTGAGAACCTTGTTGCCCTATACATGACGCAAGTTCTTAATGGTCTGCTATACCTTCACGAGCAGGGTGTTATCCACCGAGACATCAAGGGAGCGAACATCCTCACCACCAAAGAAGGTTTGGTCAAGTTGGCAGATTTTGGTGTTGCGACGAGGAAGGATACTGGTCTGCATGAGAGTAGTGTAGTCGGTACACCTTATTGGATGGCTCCCGAGGTCATCGAGCTGTCTGGTGCTACCACTGCTTCAGATATTTGGAGTCTTGGATGTACTGTCATTGAGCTGCTCGATGGAAGGCCCCCATACCACAAGTTGCAACCTATGCCTGCCTTGTTCCGCATCGTCAACGATGACCATCCACCGCTACCCGAAGGAGCTTCGCCGGTATTGAATAATCTTTGCTGCTCTGTGTAAATCTTGCTGACATCATGCAGGCCGTTCGCGACTTCCTCATGCAGTGTTTCCAAAAAGATCCTAACCTCAGAGTCACAGCCAAGAAACTATTAAAACACCCCTGGATTCTCAGTGGGAGACGCTCCGATCAACCCGTCGCAAAACCAACACAGTACGACGAAGCTGTAAAGAGTGTCCAACAGTGGAACGAAGCACTCAAATCGCCACAAAATACATCCTCGAGGCGCTCCTCATCCAGACCACTCTCTTTGAGCCCCGTGCCTCCAAGACCCGATGTTGGTACACATCTAAGGACACCCGGCATCAACAAAAGCGGCTTGGCTTTGGTACATAGAGCAAACGACACCAAACCATATCAATCACCTGAAAACGACGCCAAAGACAATTGGGATGATGACTTTGCGACTTCCATCGGCAATGCTGCTTTGCAGCTGCCGCATCTGAAACCTCACGACAACTTTGCCGGCATGTTATCGTCAGACAAACTAAAGCAGTATGCCACTTTCGATATCAACGCCGAGGAGGAAGAGGGGGACAATTGGGACGACAACTTCGAAGGAGATCTTACAGTGAGAAGTCCGATGGAAGTGATCCGGGGCGATCCAATGGAGACCGTGCGACCCTTCTTCCCACCGAGAGCCAACACCTTTGATATGAAGCATACCGCGCCTACAAGAAACCCAGGACCCCACACGCTACGACATGCACAAAAGTCCCTGGAAAAAACCGATAAAGACAGCTCATCACGAACACAGATCCTTCGACCAGCGCACAAATCCACAAAATCCGAGCCGAAACCCACAGAAGCTCCAGTGCGCCCATCACTAATGTACCGAGAAAACTCTACTGAAGATTATTCTGACCTGCTTGGACCGGACAATGACTCGGCCTTCCGTCAAAAGCTTGCGGCACTCACTGTGCGAAGTGACGACTCGTTCGCGTCGAAATTGTTCCACCCCTCAGACCTCAAGAGCTTGCCCCGACCAAGTTCACGCATGGGTAACATGCGCCGACCATCCCCTCAGATTCATGATGCTGCTGCTATGCGCAGAACACGTTCTGAAGTGGAGATACAAAAGTATGCCGAGGACCCTGAGGACGAAGACTTTTCGGACATATTTGGCAAAGAAGATGGACAGCAAATACCGCAACCTGAGAGCGAGAGTGGATCTGAAATCGGCACGCTCATGCTCAACTCAAAGCTATCAACTAACTCATGGCTTGGAGACGAAGAAGACGAGGATGACCCGTTCGCACAACTCGAAGAAGGCTTTGACGAGATGGACTTGGAGACCAATATTGCTCGAGACAAATTTGCTCGTCTGGTCACGCTCGTTGAGGGACTTGTCGGATCGCTCAAGGTCTCTCAACCTGAAGATTATCTGCAAGATATTGTGGATCAACTGTTTCAAGTACTGTGGGAATCTCCTGAGGTCAAGACCGTAGTCATGTCTTCCCACGGCATGTTGCCCATTCTGGAAATCTTGGAGACATGTAACCGTCCGACAACCATCCTCAGGCTACTGCAAATTGTCAATCTGATCATCATGGACAATGTCGAGATCCAAGAGAATCTGTGTTTTGTTGGCGGCATCCCAATCATCACACGATTCGCGCAAAAGAGATACAGCAGCGACATCAGACTGGAAGCTGCGGCCTTCGTGAGACAGATGTATCAGACCAGCACGCTCACTCTGCAGATGTTCGTCAGTTGTGGTGGCTTGAATGTCCTAGTCGAATTCCTTGAGGAGGACTACGAGGCAGAGAGAGACCTTGTTTTGATTGGAGTCAATGGTGTCTGGAGCGTGTTTGAACTGCAAGGCCCAACACCGAAGAACGATTTCTGTCGAATCTTTTCGCGCAGCTCAGTCTTGTACCCGCTATCTCTGGTGCTCAACCGAGTATTGGAAGAAGAGGGTGAGCTTGCCGAGCTTGTTGAGGGACGCATTGTCAACATCTTTGTCTTGTTCTCGCAGGCCGAAAACCATGTCAAAGAGGCTGTCGCTGATCGTATGGTCTTGAAGCGTGTGTTGAAGGACTTGAAACGCATGTCACCTCAGCATCAGATCACCATGCTCAAGTTCATCAAGAATTTGTCCATGCTTGCAACCACACTCGACGCTTTGCAAAACTCAAATGCCATCGAGGTCTTGACTGATCTGCTCAATGCTAGCATGAAGGTCCCTCACTTCCGCGAAATCTCCAACCAGGTTTTGAACATCATGTACAACCTTTGCAGGTTGAGCAAGACAAGACAAGAAGACGCCGCATTGAATGGTGTCATCCCTCTCCTGCAGCGAATCGTTAAGACCGAGCGCCCACTGAAGGAGTTTGCATTGCCCATCTTGTGTGATATGGCACACTCTGGCAAGGTTGGAAGAAAGATACTGTGGCAGAACAAGGGACTGCAATTCTACGTCAGTCTGCTTGCAGATCAATATTGGCAAGTCACAGCTTTGGATGCCATTTTCGTCTGGTAAGTGATGCAAATTCTAGAGTGGCCTACAATTTTCACTAACAATACTCAGGTTACAAGAAGAGACCGCTAAGGTAGAAGAACACCTCCTTAAAGATGACAGCTTTTCTCAGGCAATTATCAATTGCTTCAACCATAGCAAAGCTGACAGCTTCGAAAATTTCCTTGAGCCTCTGCAGAAGCTTCTGCGCCTCAGTCCTCCCATCGCCAGCTCTCTCATTCATCCAGATCTTTTCCTACGCACGGCTCAAAAGCTTCGCACGAAGAAAGCTTTGGTTCGTCTCAACTTGCTAAGAATCATCCGCAGTATCTGCGACTCTAGTGACGAAGACGGCGCACTCATTCACACATTCGGATTACACCCCATCATCGCCGAGACTGCTAAGCACGACCCGGCCATTCTGGTACGCGAGATGGCATCGGATCTGATCAAGTCATCTGAATTACACGTCTCACGGGCTGTTCACAATGCTCGTGTTGGCGAAGTCAACAGTCGTCGTCAACTTCGTCGTTCAAGCTCATCCACGATGGTACCTACTGGCAATTCTCTCCCTCCTACACCAACGACCGATCGCATGCCAGGTCGTATAAGCAGCTACTTCGATCCTACGGCGGACTTACAACGGCCCTTTTCACGCGGTGCTACCGGCATGGCGTCACCATATCGTCCCATCAGTCGTGACGGAGGTTCTGGTGGATCATCAACAGGTTGGAGCGCATCCGGATTTCTAGCGTCGCCAACAGCTATCCCTCCTGTTCCCGGACTCGTCGCTATCGACCGTCCTGGCACCAACAACATTAATAACCTTGTTTCCAAGTCTCGCCTGCCCCGTACCAACCACTCACGAGGCACCTCTGGCGCGCGCCTCAGCCTCGTTACTGCCGAAGGCCGAACCTCGCGTCCTGGCTCTCGCAGTGGTCTGAGTAGTAACGACAGAAGCGAAAACCTGACCCCAAAGAGTGCTGCTCCTCCTGCACACGGTCATACTAGAACGCCCAGTCGGTTCGGTCACCATCATCAGCTTTCTGCGCCGTCCGCGAGTATAGGTAATGTCAGGCCATCGCGCGGTCGACGTACGACCAGCTCCGGTAGCAATGCTGGTGTTGGAGGAAACTAGAAGTTTTCTGATTCGGCGCTGGACTATTGCGATCCGTTTGTGGAGGAAGATGAGTGAACATACGCCACTCACAAACAAGACATCTTTCGGGTGTCGTCTTCACTCCTTGACCAACCATACATTTTCTTTTTTCTACATTTTTGTTTGTTATCTGCATACACAAGGCGTCCCTGGGGTTTAGCGGGTTCGTTCTTTCCTGTCCTTTGCCTGCAAGAACTGCATATACATAACCACTCCTCCCATTTCCAGCATAGCCGTGGCGTTTGTTTCACTAAGGGGCAAGAGGAGGACAAAGATCTCTAGGTTCTTCATAGGGAAGGCCTGGAATCACATTCGGTCTAGAAATTGCAATACATCTTATCAATTGATTATTACAGTTGTGATTTGCAACTTTCTCTATTGAGTCCCTGTTGCTTGGCTGTTAATATTTCGTTGTTGCTTGGTAGCGCGCTTGGAAAGGAAGGGACGTTGTCGGGCAGGTGCATCTCAGTATCGAGACACAGCTGGGACGTGATGTCATGCCAACATGAAGACATCACACTATACACTCTCAACATGAGCTTGACAGTGATCAGAGAAGATGTTGCATTTCGCAAGATTATTACTCTTGTTTGAATCTTGAGTTGCCACTCTCGGTCGCCAGAAGATATCGCTGCAGGCATCACCCTGCTCATATCACCAACGACCTTTTCCTTATCTATCATCAAAGGTCCTGGTGTGCTGCCTATTCTCTGTTGAACATCGCAACAGTGTCAATAGATACAAACGTAACGATGCGCTAAAAACTCTCGGAAAGAAGTGAAGTCGATACAAGGTGTAGACTATGCTCAGATGAACATTGGCATAAGAGAGCCACAGACAATGTGTACAATTAAGGTGTTGGGTGGATATGGCTTCAGAGAGGTTTGAGAGTAGATACTTGAGGTCAACGAAGGTAAACAGCAAAGAGGTTTCTCAAGACGTTTTGAGTGTCAGTAATAAGCATCACTTACAAGCAAGTGCAGACAGAGTCGACAAAAAGCTCAATACCACACAGAGATCACAGCGGAGTAAGTAGCAGAGATTCGAAAAGAGACAAGGACCGCAATGCGATGCAACATTAAAAATTTGTGATTTCTGAATTTCTAAAATCTTTCTTTTTTGCTTCGGAAAAAGAAGATCTCTAATACATCGTCGAAACAACAAAAAACTCCACACATCGCTCAATCGCTAGAGAGAAAAGAGAAAATCCAAAGACCAAAGACCAATGTCCTATCCAAATGGACATGTCGACTGAAGAAGGGGGTCGATCCTGATGTGAAAAGACCAGGAACGGGATGAAAGGCGTGAGAACAACTGCAAGATGCAAATAAAAGGCGGAGAGAAGAGGGGGTATAGTACGGCAAGCCACAAGGCATCGAAGCAAGAGCGTAGCTACGAGGAAGAAGGATGGGGTATTGGGGTATAACGAGTCTGGCGTTCAAGTTGGCTGTGTTGAGTAAAGCGAGCGTAATCGGAGAAAGGTTCAAAAAACAGAAAATGCAAAAGGACAGCATATGCAAGAATGAGTTGCAGGCAGTGAAGGGTGGGTAGATCGGTTCCAATCGAGGTATCATGCAGTGGTTTCTTCGTCAACGCTCAGACCCATCATGGAAGGTATAGGCTTGCGCTTTGTGCGTGTCTGTGGGCGAGGCAGACCTTGTACTGCTCTGGGCTCCTTCATGAGTGTGGTGTCCAGCTTCGCCGGGATTCTACTAACGACCTGGCGATAGTCACCAGGGAAACGAGAGTTTGGTGCTGCAGTCGAGGCGGAACGCCACAAGTGTTCTGAAGTGTCGAACAACCAAGAGGTGTTGTGCTTGGAGAAGATGGAGCCACGACCCCTGTTCCGCTTGGCGAGGATGATTTCGTCGAACAGCTTGATGGACGGATTCTCGGCACGAGTGGATTCGCGCTCGTGTATGAATTCATTGAACATCTGCGTTTCGCGCATCATAGTAATGTATTCAGTCGCCTCGCCGGGTACACTGCGGATGAATTGATCCATGTTGAAGTGATACACCATGCCTGCTTTTCTGCGCTCACCCGAAGCAGGATGCATGAAGCGACGGTAAGTGTAGAGCAGCGAGGCAAAGCAGCGGACGAACACAGCACGTACAGCCTCAGGGCGGAATGCGAGGGGACAGACGACCGAGATCTGGTGAAGACAGCGTGGGTGTACGTTGGTGTTGCATCCACCACAGCGATAGACGCCATCCTCGCATTTCTCGTCGCAAATGCTGCAGTACATCTTGTCTTCGCGTGGACGCCAGACCAAGCAATGACCCTCAACCCATTTGGTAGTTTCGGTGTCTCGTGGACAAGAAGGTTGAATTGCGGCTGGCATGATGGTAGAAGCGGCGAGAGTAGAAGGTGCATAGACTGATGGTGCGTACCCAGCAGAGTTCGCTAGAGTCGATGTTGACATGCTGCTGTTATGGCTGATGAAGGGTTGAGTGCTGTTAGCGGCACTGGGTCTTCGGAGGTTTGCCATACGATCGAAACCGAAGGAAGAGTTGCGCCTGCTCGCTACATCGAAATGTGCAGAACGCTTCTCACGCAGCGAAGTCTGCATGCTATAGCCCGAATCATTCCTAGAGACAGGCGTTGTGGGGAAGGTCTGCGACAATGGGGATGGAATGGTGGGAGATGGCGGAGATCGGGTAGATGAGGATCGGCGGTCTTCTCTTGTGGTTGAGCTTGTTGATGGGCGGTCGCTTCCTCGCGAAGTAGTTCTGAAGTTGAGGAAGGCGTTAAGGACAATGGCGCGGTTTTGCGTAGGCACTTGAATTTCCGAAAAAGCAGCAGAGTTTGCACCAACCAAAGATGCCAGACTTGAGGGAACGGCTCTTTGACTGTAAATCTGAGGGTTCTCTGAAGCGAAGGCGTCGTTCGGGAATGTCTCAATGGCATACGAGGGAGGACCCACGGGCACGCCGTAGCGTGTGTGATGGGGTGCGACTACCTGCAACGAAGCGATGAGCTTCCTGCGTTGTTGACGAGGCAGGAGCGTTGGTCTGGCCGTGCTTTCGATGATGTCCTGATCCAAATCCACGAGGACAAAATCGTCATCAGGGAACTCAAGATTTTCGTATCTTCGCTCCACACCAACGATGTAAGGGCAGGGGGCTTCGAGAGCCTGGATTAGTCGTGCTGGCAAAACAGGGATAAAAACTCCGGCCCACTTCAATGGGTATAATAGACTGGTAATGGCAGCGCTTGCAAGATGGAGCATAGATGTGTGCGATGAGAGCAAGATTATGCGTGATTCTGACAAGACGTACTCGAACAAGGTGATGATGTTGTTCAAGGAGAGTGCTCGGAAAAGAGCGTAGATGTCGGTGTTTCGTGAGCCAGGGATTTCATTTTCGGCCTCTTTCCTGGCATACAAGCGCAGTTCACGAATTGCGACTTCAATCTGGGTGCTGGACGACATAGGACTTGGAGCTTCAACGCACAAGTTCACAACGTATCGTTCGAGCGGCTGCCACATGCCGATCTTGGGGGAACTTGGAGGCACGCGAAGCACAGCGCCGTTTGTCATGGGTGTAACAATGGCCTTAAGCCACTCTTTCCAGAAACTTGTCATGGCGCCATCTTTGCCGAGCACACCGTAGCATCGAGGAATCCAGAAGCCACTCTCGCCATCGGTCAGACCCTCAATCTTGGAGGCAGCTCCGTGTCGTACTGGGCGCAGCAGATCGGCCATGAGAGAAATCTTTTCCTCGACAGCACTGATCTGCTCATCGAGCGTTTCTCTCTCAGCAGAACCTTGAGCAGCATTAGGCAGTTCGGCGAGCAATCTCGAGAGTTTTGCTCTTTCTCCCGCCAGGCGTTCTCCCAAGCTACTAGCCAATTCCCTCTCTTCATCGCTCATGTTGGCTTTCCGCCATGCCTCGCATTGTCGCTCAAGCTCGACCGATGCTGACTCGTTCAAGGGCATCCATACCGTGACACAAATGGCATGCAGCTTAGAGCCGTCTCCAGTCGTCATGGCAAAGCCGTGCCAGGTGGATCGTGGTCGCTCATCGGACGAGACGACTACAACATCGTTTGGAAAGGCAAACATGGGAACGTAATCGGGAAAAGGGCATCGTCGCTTCATCTCGTCATCTTGGGCTTTTGGGGGGTATCTGTCTAGCAGAACTGGTTCGTATCGTCGTTTCAGGGGATGCATGTCGGGGGAGGCTTTGAAAGGTTTCGGCGTAGGGATGACAGAGTTGTAGCCACTCAAGCGTTTGGACGTGCGTGTAGAAGCTAGCGAGGTTCGGTCAGCCGATTGACTTGTCGAGGTGCCAAAATACTCACGCTGCCTTGACAGTGAGACCGAGGGCTGTCTCTTCATGCTGTTCATAGTCGACAAGCGCCTCCTTAGGCCATTGATTCCACCCTTCTGTGCCGCCGCATTGTTTGATGCATCCTCTGAGCTTGTGATGCGGAGTGTTCTCGGTCTGGGCTTTGGTGTTCGCGATGTTTGCGGCACAACTGCTCCTGCTTGCACTTGTATTTCCTCCAGGAAGTTCTCTCTCTCCGAAGCAAACTTGCGAAGTGCGATCTCGAAATCTTCGTCGCTGAGGCCAGGCGTTTCTGTTTGCAGACCTTTGATGGTAGCACTGCTGCGATTGCTGGGCGATGGTTTGAAGTCACTGGGGCCGATGACACTGCTAATGCTCTTGCGCGCTTCCCAGCTGTAGCGTGAAGATCCCCTCTTGGTCCTATCTGTGTTGGGCGAGCCTGGTGTCGAAGGTCTCGGCGAAGTGACACTGTCTGTCTCGAGGGCAATGTCTTCCTCAATCGTCTCGTCTACCGGCGGGGGAGAAGCGGCAGCATGTTCGCGTTCGTCGTAGATCTGGGTCGACTCTATGCCGGATATGAAGAAGTAATCAGCCAGCGGCACCGAGGTGGATTCCTTCGTTGGCGCCATATGTAAGTAATTATGCTGAGTTGTTGTGGTTGTGTGGTGGTGTGGTATATTATTCCATTGATCGAAGGGATGTGTTGCGGGAAAGTCGGAATATCCAAAAGGAGTGACTATGATGCTTCAGATTCCAGGGGGTGCGCGATGGTTCGTGACGGACAACGGTTGTTGTGAGGAGAAAAGTTAAGGTTAGCTTTGTTGAGCGGGAATCTGGGATGCTCGCAGGAAAGCTGGCAGTGGCTTGTGAAAGCAGCAGCAACAGCAATAGCAACGCAACAGCGACAGCAAAAGGCAAAAGATAAAGGAGCGAGCAAGCGGAGTGTAGATGCTAATATCCAGGCTGCGAGCAAAAAGGCGAACGAAACTCCTGACGATCGCTTGACGTGGTTTGCAGGCCGTCAAACGGTGTCCGTTTCGAAAAAAGGTCGAGCAGGTGTGGCAGTTGTGGGAGCGCAAGGCACGACGGTTTCCCTGAATGCCGGGTGGTTTATGCTGCCCGCCCGCTGTCCACGACAAGAACTAATTATTCTGAGCCCATCAATCCCTCCATCAAGCCTCCAGAGCACAAGCCAAGGGAACAGGAGGGTTCGGCCTGTCTGTGCGTACTTGGCCACTGGAACGGAACTCCTTTGGCTAGAGATACGACTCAACCCTGACGCCGTGTTCGATTCCTGATAGATTGCAGACGCGTCCAAGAGAGACCACCTACAACGACCATGACTCTCAACCCACTTCCTAAGCGCGCGCGCGCTGTAGCGAGCGAGCCTTTCTTTTCTTGCTACACACCCTCCACCTGAGCACTCAAATCCTGATACAAGTATAGTAACCTCGCGTCGCGAGCCCGTGTCCCGAACCTGTCCAGCACTTTAGTTTTCTCCTGTGTTTTGGCCAGGCCAAGCGGACGGGCTGACTACGAATACGGCATTTTAAGTGGTCCTCTTCCCCATTTCGGTCAGACCCTTCCTTCCCTCTCCACTTGTTGCTGCACGAGCGATCTGCAATAACAAACTTCCATTCTTTGCACAGCGCAATCTCCTCGCTCCTGTCCTTGTGCTCCTCGTCGTGCCTCCATGCTTGCTGCTCTCTATTAGAGACAAGAGTCATGTACGCTTAATGTTATGCGCCCCTCCCGAAGACCCCTTGCACCCAGATGACTGATGCGCGCACGTGAAATCTCGGCTGGTGTGAACCTTTTAAAAACACAACCGATCTGCGGAGGGTGCCCCTCATGTTTCAAGCTAGCACCACTCCCACTCAGTCAACCATTAACTTGACAAAAATCTCCGCAGTCATGTTCGACGCAGAAACGCGATGAGCATTCTGTACCACACTTTGAAATACGCCTCAGTGTGGCTTTAACAGATCTCACCATGTGTAATCACCGCGGTCTCAGACTCTAGCCCATTTGGGCTGAAGGAACCTGACTCTGTTTTATTTCAGTCTCACGGTTAGCCGGCAACGACCAGCCATGAACCCTGGGCTGCTGAGACAGGTGCTGTAGCACTCCGAGACCTGAGTCAACCACGCCTCTCCCGACGTCTCATCCATCAAAGTCGCCGAGCATGACGCGAATAGACTTTGCGCAATCAAACCCAAGGGTCATCGTCATCATCTGGCTCTACTGGCCAGCCAACCTGTGGTCAAGCTGCCCATTTCCCCATTTTGGCTCTTCCAGTCGACGTGGAGTTGCGCGAGGACTGTCCTGCCGTTCTTCTCTTCCAGCTGCTCGCCCTGTACTTGTTGCAGAGTAAAGGCAACTTGCATAACATCTTGAGGATTTAAGATCGGTCGATCGTCAGCCTCGTTCCAGTTCAGGCTCCTGCCTGTCAGGCCCTGAGCCGTGCTAATGGAGACCCTCTCCAAAACAACCGATTTCTCGGTCAGATTTTCAAGTTGGGCTTCTAATACAAATCTGCGCGCGTCTTGTGTATCCTTCTTGGCTGCGAGGTCTCCTACCTTCGTTCTAACGCCAAGTGCAGGCTGCGCGACAAATTGATACAGTTTTCTGAATGTTCGCTTATTCGTCATGTCATCTCGAGTTTCCTGGTATGTGACAGTGACGGCCAGAACGTGAGGACCGTCTTCTCGTAATTCATGTTTTACAATGCGCTGCAAAGTCTGGGCCGGTTGCATGTCTTGTTCCGTTGGTGCATCAGGACCTTCCAAAGCCAACGCAATGCTGCCACTCGGCACTTGGAGTTCGGCACTTAGTTGGACATCTTGCACGACGATAGGAGATGAGGGCGGCAATTCGTTGTTCGCGCATAACGTGCAAGAGAAGACGGTGCCAACATATGCAGCGCCAAACGCAGGAGGCAGTGCCAGTAGCGGCGTAAGCGGGAATGAATCTGGCGTCGCGGTTGGATAGGGTAGTGATGCTTTTGCAATGGAATCGGTTCCGGGAAGCGTATGAGCGGGTGATAGCGACGGATGTGATAGCCTGTGCAAGTCGAAGAGACCTTCTTGTCAGCAGGTAGGTCAAGCAACACAGTACCAGAGCCAGGCGGTTGTTCGATTACCTCAATACTTTCAGACTGATGCTGTGCGGAGATGCGCCAGCACCAGCGATACTCCCAGCACGCACTTGAGCCATGGCCTTTTTATGAGAGCTACAGAGCGTATCCCAAAGCTAGCGAGGCGGAACAGCCAGAGTCACAGAGGGCTGCGATTGAAACTGCTGTATCCTCACCTGCGATCGTCTGTCCAAGAATCATACGCAGCCCACGCGACGACTGTCCGTCGACGATGAGCCGGCATCCGAACGAGTGGCCCAAGCTCAAGCTCTCTCCTTGCTCTGCTCGCCGACCCCCTGCATCCCGCGTTGCTTGGGTGAATCTTCTGTGTTTACCCCTAGCTATGACAGGATAGCCTCTGATCCCCATCTCACCAGCACCCTGATCTCCTGCACGCCGTGTGTGATGTACGCCATGGATCAATGTCAGCGCCTCGAGCCAAATGAAATTTGCTCCTTCAAGATCAACGACCCTGACCATCATGCGACCATCCTTTTGACTTTGAGATCATCTTTGCATCCTCCACAGCTATTGTCTCAGATAGAAGAGCAATAGCAGAGCGCACTCTCGCTTTCCCATGCCCCACCAATCGATAATGTTGCATCTCCGTTGATCCAATTTCGATGATTCCAACGCTATAGGCGATCTATCCATAACACTTGAACGCCATTCTTAATTACCATCACTACTATCACTTTCGCTTCACCATCGGACTCTTTGCCCATTCGAGGCCCACCCCTTTGTAGACAGCTGCATAAACGTTGCAAGCAAGATATACCGGCGAACATTTTACAGTCCCCCGTTTTCTTGAGACTACATAGATCGTCCCACCGCTCGTTCGATTGCCAGCTTCTAACCGTGAAATTGTGTGGCTTGTACAGATAGATGTACCCCCTTTCTCATGCACAAAGTGCGTTTTTACTGTTGCCTAAACTCAGCCTCTCTGGCTGTTATCCTCAGTGCTTGCTTTGCCCATTCTAGGTTCATGCATGTTCAGACGGTAGAATTGTTTTATTCGCAGCTGCGTTCCTTGTAGGCCTCCCGTTTCTTGTAGCTTCTATACGTCAAACGAGTACGCCAAACGAGAGGGGGACTGGAAGAGATACAAAGATACCTCTCAAATAGACTTGTGTTCTATTATTGGTGCTCGTGTGTACTTGTCTTTGAATACTATTGGATGCAAGCTTGACTATCTGCTTTTTCGGACATGTCTTACACAAATAGAGGCGATGGTCCTTGACTTTCAAGTATTTGTCTCAATCATGACTCGCACTACAGTAGTATATTCAATAGCGCTGAGACAAGCGAAGACCCCACTGATACCCCCCAGAATCGACTGACTTGGTTGTCGCAGATATAGCAGTCAACCACCGGACAGATAGGATGATCATGTATAAGCAGATGGGTCTAGTTTCGGCCAGATACTTATCCGTGTAAGCAAGTGAAGTACACTATCCGAAGACCTTGACTCTTGTGGTAACGCAGGACAATATATCAGCTGTGAAAGTGCAGAGCGATTTTGAGATTAGATCATGTGTTCAGAGAGCCGACAGGAAAGGGATTTCAGGGGTGCAAGATCTATGTGAGACTGCAGAATGGCTTCTGGTGTTATAATATCTCACAAGAGAGTGCATAAGATGGAGAGCTTTCTATGGAGGTCACTTCAGATCTTAAAGTACTCTGCATTCCTACAGCGATATATAACACACTTGCATCTTCGTCGAGATAAATATAGTCCAATTTACTCCCCGTTTGATGAACTCGGTACTGAAATCATGCCGCTCGCTAACGTAAACACGTCGATATATCTGCTGACCCAGCTGACTTTCTCAAATACTTCTTCTGACAGTAAGAGGTGTGTTCGGATCATCAAGCTGAACGTCGCTATGAATCGGCGACACTGATCGAGTTGTCCCTTGTTCACTTGCTTCTCCGAAACTATGTGGATCAACCAGAGTGATGATCGAACCATGGGTTTGGGGTGTGGTTGGGACCTGCAGGTTTCTCATCTCATGCTCTTCCTCATCTTTCGCTGGTGTTGTGGGTCGAGAGATACGGGCAATAGGGCCATCAGCAGTAGTAAGAGCAAACCCTTCATGTAACAATTCGAGCTTAGCCAGTGTTTCGCCAGCCGCACCTAACGAGTGATTATGATTCCTGTTGCGTAAATCCCGATAAAGCAATTCATCTGGTCCATGTAACATGGTAGCTGTGTTGTTAGCTTTCCAGCTCGGTACGCCAGATCTATGCGCATCCAGTATCGAGAGCGCGAAGAAGATGCTGCCGACTGCCAGAGTCCAATCAGTACGAATTCACATGATTTGGTTGAATTTCTATGACTTACTTGTGAATAGTGACAACGGCAACGCCAAAAAAAAGCCCAACGAACGTGATAGTATCGGACCCATTGCTGTGCTGTGCACGGGACCGACTCGTTGCCGATGTGACGAATTGCGTTGCTCATGCTTCTCGCTATGGCATCGAATGTCGCATTTGTGTTTGTTTGGTTAAATAGAGGTTGGAGAACAGCACTGCCATAAGTGTATAGCTTAGATTGGTCTCGTTGTAGTACTGCTTTCACTGTCCAGTTGTCATTGTCTTGTCGTATCAAGGATGTCAAGAACCCAAGTGTACTGACTAAGCCTTTTTGAGTCACCGTGAAGTTTTCCTTTACATCTGTCTGTAAGGCAGCAGGGTCGAGCCTATAGTCGTCGCGATACCGGAACATCTGGTGATATATTGGATTCCACTCCGGCGTTCCTCGATCGAACGAAAGATTGTACGGGTCAACACCGCTTTGATCGACGTTTAGCCTCAGAAGCCAGGACGCGGGTACTTTGTCAGAAGCGCTCAACACAATATTCTCCACCAAGACGTTATTCCTGACCGAAGAGTTGTAGACATTGAGCACCAACTCCAATCCACACTCCATAGCTGATGCACGTGCCACATCCCAGGCCGGAGTGCCTAGACTTTCCGTGTTATTGGTTCTGATAGTGGTGAAGGCAGCAAGTAATGCCTGCGAAGCTGCGAAGTTGATGGTTTTGCGCGGATCGGCGACCACTTCTGCTTGGAGAACAGCGAAGGTTTGAGATTTACGCCACGATGAATTGGTGGTGTTCGAGAGTCAAACCGAGATACTCCAGTGTCCAATCCGTTCACGTTGCTGAAGATTGTGGCTGTGGTTGCGACGACTGGACACTAGAAACTGCTCTCCTGTCCAGTCCCTCTGTTGCTTGAGTCGCAATGGACTGAACGGATGCCACATCAGAATTGACAGTCGAGACGTCAGAGAAAGCCGTTATTTCGGTTACAAGAGATGCAGCGGAGTATCCTGGTGCCTCGGTTTGAGGATTGTTGCTTGGAGCAATCGCATCTGAATTCAAGGTCGACAAATCGCTGGAAATTGGCTCAGTTGAGGATGGCACCTCGTATGTCTCTGGCTGCATCCAACTCGATGAGACGTCTGTGGAGGTAGCTGCGTATTCTAACTTCGTTTTAGATGAGCTTCCAGCCGAAGAGGTAGTTGAATCGACCATATCTTCTAGAGTCGTTCTTTTCAAGAGACTTGAAAGGTCGAAGCATGTGCTACGCACAGCTAACGATGTGTACTTGGTCCATGTGCACAACAACACAGTCGACTTCCTGTTTCCTGAGCACTATCGCGATGTTCACGTAGAAATGCACAATACTTTCCAAAAGAACGTTGTTGCCATGGAGAATATCTCATCCTAGACTATCTCCATGGCCAGACTCATGTCCAAAAGATGACTGTGCATGTTCATAGCTCATAGCACACCTATAGTTGAGGATGAGAGAGGGGTTGGTCATGAGTTTGTCAGTCTTTAGCACATGGGAGACGTACTGGCGTGGACGCCCATAGCCCCGATTTTCTAGGCAGCCGATGGCGTCAATGTACATATCGAAGCGCCTCTCTCAGCGAGCCTTGTCTACGACTCTTTTCTCATTTGCCTACGAGTTCTGATGCGTGTTGGTGGTGGCCGTCAGTGTTGGACGCAAATGGTTCGTCGAGGAAGGTCCAACAGAAGTCACCAACAAGCGCCAAGCACTTGTTTCCCACGCGACAGTCATCATTTCAACGTACCACCAGGTTAATTGAGCATTTATATAGGTCGAGCAAAACATCGCAAATTTCTGTGCATCAAGTATCTCTTGTCAACTTTTTATACGATTCTTTATAGAGCATACACTTTGGTGTCGACCATTACAAACTGCGCGGAAGCTTCGGCAGTCGAAGTATTGACGTAACATCAAGGACACCAAAACAGGAAACCACGTATAGGAATCATATGTCAAGGTTCTTTCACCAATTGCGTTGTGGTATCATCGAACTTTCTGTTGTAGATCACAACGAAAGTACTTAACCTTGCAACCACAGTCAAACACGAGTGGTCTTGAGACTTATTACACATACATTACGAACTATGTCAGCAAAAAGTCCAGCCATCGAGGCTCATGACCAGCGGACCAGGCGGGTTGCTACTCAGGTCAAATCCTTCTACGACAGAAAAGAACCGTTCCGGATCTTCCATGGCAGTACAAGCAGCACAAGAAGCCAAGAGCAAGATCGCAACAAGATGATCTCAACCAGCGATTTCACCGAGATCCTGCGGATCGATCCTGAGAAAAGAGTTGCAATCGTCGAGCCCAATGTTTCCATGGAGAAATTGGTCGATGCCACGTTACCGTATGGGCTTGTTGCGCCTGTTATCATGGAGTTCAAGAATATCACTGTTGGTGGAGGGTTCAGCGGCACTTCCGGTGAGAGTTCCTCGTTCAGACATGGCGTTTTCGACAACATCGTGAACAGCATCGAGATCGTACTAGGAAATGGAGAGATCGTACGTGCTTCTCGCTCTGAGAACTCTGATCTGTATCACGGTACAGCAGGCTCATTTGGAACATTGGGTGTCGTCACCGAGCTCGAGGTCCAGCTGGTGGAAGCTGGTAACTTTATGGAGCTGGAGTACCACGCCATTTCAAGTGCTCCAGAAGCTGTCAGAGCGATCGAAACCTACACGGCTGACGGCAAGATTCAATACCTCGACGGCATCATGTTCACGAAGACCAGTGGCTTAATCATCGCAGGCCGTATGGCCAATACCCCAACGACAGGCTGTAAGATCTCGAAATACCTCTCAAGAGCCGACCCCTGGTTCTACATGCGTGCCCAAGCGATTCTAAACAACGAGATACCCTCTTCACAAAACAGTTCCTATACTGAATTTGTACCTATCAAAGACTACCTTTTCCGCTTCGACAGAGGGGCTTTCTGGGGAGGTTACTATGCCTTTAAGTACCACTTTGCACCTTTCAACAATCTGACTCGCTACCTCCTTGACGACTTGATCCACACGAAGACCATGTACACCGCTCTCCACAAGTCCGGGCTAGCAAACGAGTTCGTCGTCCAAGATATCGGATTCCCCTATTCCACGACACCAGATTTTATCGACTATCTCGATGAAAACTTCAACTTATATCCACTCTGGCTGTGTCCGTTGAAACTAAATGCTCCTTACCCACTTACACCAAAAGGCAAGCACTATTCCCAGGAGAGCCTGAGGGTAATCAATGTGGGTGTCTGGGGTCCAGGTCCACGTAACCGCACCGACTTCATTGCCGCCAACCGCGCCATAGAAGCAAAAACAAAACAACTTGATGGCTTAAAATGCCTGTACGCGCATGCTTACTACACAGCTCCGGAATTCTGGGATCTCTATGACAAAGACCACTATGATGCTCTACGAACCAAATACCATGCAAGCTTGTTGCCTTCTGTTTTCGACAAGGTTACTAACAACGGTCCCCCTTCTGCAAATACTCTCTTCGAACGATTGAAGAACACGAGACCGGTGAGAGGTATCTATGGCGCATTGTTTGTGTTTTGGGGTGGTGGGTTGCCGTATGCAAAGGTGCATCAGGCATTGAGCATTGTGTTGTCTCCTTTGCTGCTACTCATCTTCACGACTGCATGGATCGTATCATTTAGCAAGGATTTGTTTGGTATGAGACCAAGGGGAAAAGTGCATGTTGAGTAGAAAGCATACAGAAAGAAGAAGATACAAAGCTAGAAGGTGTCGATCCACAACGGCGTGGTGTGCTGATTAGCAAACAGCTCAACTTTGGCCGTTGCACGAGTGACCCTGAGTATACCTATCTTAGCCATGATATATATCTCAGTGATCTGTGTTATAGATATCACTATACTGCTTGAGCGCAGTTCGCTCGAGCTCATCAGCATCTCCTCCAGCAAACCTCGCAGGATCCAATTCCCTCCCAATCTCCTCATCATAAGCCTCTCCTAACATCATATCCTTAAGTAGTCGTGCACAGCCAGCGGCATGAGTCACCCATATGGCAACTGCCATCCACAACCCATCAATCCCAGCAACAGGACCAAGCAAAGGCAAGTTGTCAGGTGTGACTGAGAACACTCCCCCGATTCTTTCCGCGCCAAAAGGAGCTTCTTTGCTAAACCCTGCTTCGGGCGTAAATCTGCCAGAGATCGCTCGTGTCATGGCAGGGTTGAATATCTCGTTTGACCAAGGCACAGTGGCAGTGTCTCTTAAAGAAGAGACCTTTTGAGGTGGGTGGTCATAGGTTCCGACGCCATATCGTGACCCGTGGTCTCGCGAGTAGACGTGCGATTCAGGCCATCTCATGAACGGTGTGGGCGGTATATCGTACTGTCTGTCTTTTGCGTAGACGTAAGGATGACTAACAGGCACCACAGGCGCGAAAGGTATGGCAGACGATTTTTTAAGCAGTGAAGCTGTCCAAATACCGGTTGCTAAAACGAGCTTCTGGCATGCAAGAAATTCTCCACTTTCGAGGATGACTCCTGTGATGGTGTTGTCTTCTACTGAGATCTCAGAGACAGATGCTTCTTTGAAACTTACGCCATTCTTCGCTGCTATGTCGCGGTATGCCGAGCACAGCACTCTAGGCTCTGCAACACCATCATCAGGAAAGAACAACGCTTTTGTCTTTGTAAGTGCATCAGCTATCGGAAGACCAAAGGCTTTGATATCCTCTCCATCAAACAGTCGTGCCGGAAGCCCTGTTTTCTCGCATGCCTCCAATCTTGAATTCAACATTTTGATCCCTGCATCCGTAGATGCTAATTCCAAGCCTCCGTTACGAGTAAATCCAGTGGCGAGCTTCGTATATTCTTTGACTGACTCGATGGCGAGTTTAGTCAATGATGACTTTTGATTGTATTGACCGATGAAGCCTGGAGCATAGCCAGTTGAGCCAGCGATGGTGCTGAGAGAACGATCGAGGACGAGGATATTGGTTTGAGGAGTCGATTCAGAAAGAAAACAGGCTAGCGATGATCCGACTATGCCTGCACCAATGATGATGGTCAAGTTTTGGTCGACACTGTTGGTCATGCTTTTGGTTGGTTGTGGGCGTTTGGCGACCGGGAACGATAAGCAGGAATGGAAACTATGATTCGAATGGTATCTGCCAGCAAATATATGTAGCCGAGAGGAATTGCAGTCGCTCTTGTCGTTCCTTCTACATGTGTCAAATAAAGGGCGTGCGTCAAGAAACGCCGAGAAACAACGCCCTGTCGTTGACTCTGCCTCGCTGATGCGCAAAACCATCCGATTTGCTGTGACCTAGTATGAAGCTAAGTGGGTTGGTCTTAGAAGTGGTTTTGTTCAATAATTGGAACTGAATTTGTTGTTACCTGACCACCTATCTCTGGCGCTATCCAGACCTTCCCCACGTCCCAGAGTGTTGCGTTTTATAATTGGCACCTCTCCATTGCGACGTACAAGGATAAGACAGGCTGCAAAAATGCACAGAGTTTTCTACAGGGGGCAGAATCCATGGGGAGCTACCATCCTAAGGCATCTCCCTGGCCGCACGCCTGGTCTCAAAAGCGACCCTGCCTTTTTGTAGCTACAACATGACGATGTTTAGCCCAGGAGGAGCTAAAGAGATATGTACCGACTTACGTTCTTGTACATCAAGTCGATGTGACCAACCAAAAAGTTACGACGGCAATGTGAGTACTTGTTGACTGTGACACACCAGCCAGCCCACAAAGCGACCTACTGGAATTCGGCCAGCTATTTGAGATATTCAAGCTTAGACTGATCGTATTAAGTGAATCAAGGCTCATCTGACGCGAGTATCGAGTGACAATCTCTCAGGCATCTTCATGTCAACAGAGCCTCTCATCAAATCCCTGAACGCACCAAGCTCGTCGGAAGCGGTCGAGACCAAGTTTGGTTTTGCACGATCATCGATACGAACGCATGCTTCAAGAACAAATGCGCCGCTAACGTCCAGTGGTTTGAGTGAGTCTAGAGTGGGGAGTGCAGTCAAAGGTGTTTGTTGGGGTACATCGTTTGCTCTCAAGACACGGAACAATGTAAGCACCAGGTTCTTGTGCACAAATCTGTGACCTTCAATGAAGAACTCGCTCACGAATCTATCCAAGTTAGATCTGAAAACAATACAATGCTTCAGGACAGTAGGCTTACTCATTGTTGGTAGGATCGAGAAACTTGCGTAGTTGGTCCTTGTCAATGGCGGTGTCTGTTGCTTGCCTTAGAACAAGAGTCTTGGTCTCCGGTTCCGGTGTTTCTTGTGTCTGGATTCTCCAAGCATATGGTGATTGGCTAGCGCTTTCATTGTTCTCGGACTCAAGCAGAACAGGAGAATCAGTGCCAAACTCTGACTGGTCAAGTTGACGGACAAGGTGTTGGAAAGTGAGAGTCTGAGGTTTGACGGGTTTGTTTGGGAACTTTTTGTTGGGTTTGTTGTCTTGGGCTGAGCGCATGGGTCTGTATATCAGATGTCTCTCAAAAAGAGCTTGCGGTTGCATTGCAGCGACGCCAGCTAGGATCTTGAGGACTTGATCATGGCGCTCGAGAGGCACCTGGCCGTAGAGCAAAAGCTCATGCATTGCACGTGAGATGGAGTGATTGCTGGCACAGAAGATTGATAGTCTAGCCGAGAGCCGCTGGTTTGGGGCAAAAGCAGAACAAAAAAAATTGCCTTCCTTCACTCGGCTAGGCAGAGCTCCACTGGACTACCGTATGTTTTTTCGTAAACAGGGTCACTCTATGGTGCTGAAGTGGAAAGACGGCTGGAATTCCGGCAATCAGATGTCTCTTGGATTGGAGGCAGACTGGGAAGGGCGGAAATAGTGATCCGCTCAAAACCGCAATAGGCACGCCGGATGAAGTGCCTTGAGCTCGCTCGGCTTACCCCGTGGAGGAAGAGTCGGAGCTGGTGGAGTAGGAGTCGGCCGAAGAGAAGACCGAGGAGAAGATCAGCTGGGTGATGGCGGGGGACAGCGACCGAAAGCCCGGAGATAGCAGAGACTGGCAGAGAGATAAGGCACAGCAGTTGGCGCTTTGTCAGAGCGGCGTGTCAGAAGAAGGAAGCTTCAGGCAGAAAGCGCAGGGCATGTGTGGGCAAACGAGTGGTTGAAAGTCAGCCCGGCGGACATCGGGTATTCAGAGCGCCGATGTCGTCTTCGCGCTGCAGCATCCGGCGTGATATCCAAGCCATCTCACACCACGCGTTGCACCTTCCACGAGAGCCGCCGATACATCATCAGGTTGGACTGCCCCGCTCGCACTAGCATTTGTTCAAATTTCTTCTCTCCCGCACGAGTCTCCCCCTCTGTTCATCTCCTGCTCACCTCTCGTCAACTTTTTCAACTCCAACAACAAGCTCAAACACCACCAAATCCCGACTCGTCAGTCTCGGCACGCCCAGCTCCGCAGCTTCCAGCTTCTCTCCAGCACTCGACCACTTTCACTTCCGACTCCACGCGAAATACCCAACTTCTACACACGCATACCCCTTCAACCCACAACCACTACCACCACTTTCAAAATGAACGCTACACGCATCCTCCTCCACCGCCAGCCCATGATCCGCTTCCTTGGAAAGAGATCAATCCCCACCAGTATGTACCTCCTCGTCAAAGCTTCGACTGCTCCGTCTGACATGCATGCAGAGATTGACCACACTCCTCACGCCCACCCTGCCGCTCCCACTTCTGAGCTCCCCGAGTCTTTCGCTTCCTACAGACAGAAGGCCCAGCAGCACGGTCCCCTGCACCGCCGTACCGCAGCCAGCCAATACGGCGGCTTCGTTGGCGGCAAGCCCGGATCCGCCCTCGGCCCCGTCGAGCCCGCATCCGGCGAGTTCTTTGACCGCAGCGAGCTGCCCGCCCGTTTCGCCAGAACTTCGTGGTCCGCAGCTGAGATCGAGGCCATCGAGTCCGGCGGTGCCAGCTTGTTCGCATAAACGACCACACTTCTCCTTTCGATGATGAACCAAAAGTCTTTTTAGCAATGTGCAAATGGGATACGCGAGCGTCTGCAGGCAAGCGCTGGATACTTCCCTTACCACCCCGATCTACATAGGTTTACGATGATTGATCTCCACGGATACGACACGATTTCGGCCGAATACCCCAAAAGCTTGACACAGATGCACATGAGCAGATATGCCCCGACGTGCTAGATAAGCTCGCGCCGATTGCTTGCGTGTGGCCTGCTGGCGAAGACCAGCGCCACGAGAGGTGCTGAACAGCCAAGAGATGGACATCTCGAGTCCTTGACCCTTCAGCTACGTAGATAGGCTACCCTTTGCAAGCTGCATGGCCAACACCAAGAAATCGAACAGCGTCCATTGTATAATCTGACCTCATCCTTGACATCCATGAACACGTGAACATGCATGTGAAAGCCGCGCTGCTCCGGAGCGGGTCAATCAGTAGTAAAACAGATGGTTCCCAAAGCAGCCAACATTGATCGGTCACGTGAAACCAAAACCGACGCGACACAAACACGTCTTCCCGATGACTTGCCTGTAACAATTTCATGAACTCATCAATGTAATGCTCCTTGCGCGGATGCGAATTGGCAGATCCCGAACGTTACCTCGCAAGTTCTGCTCTACATACACAAAGATGTCGCCAACTCTCAAGCGTCTAGCTACTGAGGATGGAAGCGTCTCGCCCCCACCATTAAAGCGCACAACGCCCTCGGCCAGTACAACCACAAGTAAAACTATCAACAGTGCCAAACAAGCTGGAATCATGACCTAACAAATCACCCAGATGCAGCTGTAGCCAACTTCTTCAAACCAGCCTCCCAGAAGGACCCCGAAAAAGTGACATGGAAAGTCATTGACAACACATTACTGTATTGCAGGTACGACAAGGCCGATAGCTTTGCTGCAGACAGGCCACGTAAAATTGCTGCCTTCGACTTCGTAAGTTTATGTATCCGAGTTACAACCAAGCTGAATCTGATTTTCCAGGATTCAACTCTGGTCGATGCTAAGTCCGGCAACCGCTTCGCAAGGGACGGTGATGACTGGAAATGGTGGCATAGACAAGTTCCCTCAAAGCTGAAACAACTAGCTGAAGAAGGGTAAGGCCGTGTGCATCGCTGATAGAAGCTATGTGGCTGATCGTTACAGATACTTGATAGCAATTCTCAGCAACCAAGGCGGTATTAGCATGAACAGTGCTTCAAAGACAATCAATTCAGACAAGAAAAGACTGGCCGACTTCAAGCAGAGAGTCAAAAATGTCCTCATTCAATTAGACCTACCCATCGTCCTCTATGCCGCTACCGACAAAGACAAGTTCCGCAAGCCACGCGCAGGAATGTGGCATAAGCTGCTAGAGGCACAAGGCTTGACTGGTGAAGGCGATGTTGACCTTGAATCTTGCTACTTTGTCGGCGATGCAGGAGGTCGAACAGCCAGCGCTAGAGGTATCAAGGCAGACTTTTCTTGCTCAGACAGGTCAGCCTTCCAACACTGGCACTACGGACGGCCTACTAATATCATGGCAGAGATCTGGCTAGCAACGTCGGCATCACGTTCAAGACCCCAGAAGAGTTCTTCCTCGGAGAAGACCCCAGGCCTTTCACACGCCCATTCGACCCAACCACACATGTGTCACCAGTCCTGACCGGTAAGACAGACGCGAGTATGTTCATAGCACATTGACTTTGTATAGACTCTTGTTGACCCCTCGCAGACCCAATAGCTTTTGCCAAAAAGAACGATCTCGAGCTTGTCATCTTCTGCGGAAGTCCCGGAGCAGGCAAATCTACTTGGTTCCAACAGCATTTGAAGCCACTTGGTTATGAACGCGTAAACCAGGATTTGCTCAAGTCGGTGCGTCAACTCTTCTCGCATGTGGTCCCACTGTTTGTAGACTGACAACAGCCAAAGAGAGACAGATGCCTTAAGGTCGCCAGAGAATTTCTGGAAGACGGAAAGTCGGTAGCAGTTGGTATGTCCTCTTCTTATGGCCAGACTTGAAAGTTCCAGACTGACCGTGACATTCCAGATAACACCAATGCCGACGTCAAAGCTCGCGAGTACTGGACCAAGCTGGCGGAGTCACTCGAGATACCCATTCGATGCGTGCACTTCACAGCCCCGTCCAAATTGTGTGAACACAACGATGCAGTTCGCTCCATCGGAGGTCAACAACTTGGGGTAACTCCAAGATGCCGTAACGATTGTGAAGCGCTTGCTGACGTTTCGATTTCACAATCAGATGAACCCAGAGTCGAGGATCATGCTGCCGAAGCAGGCATTTACTGGATTCGCAGCCAGATACAGCCCGCCAACTCTGGATGAGGGCTTCACGGATATAACCAAAGTGGATTTCGAGGTAAGTCGTATACTCTTCGCTTCCTGCAAGTCAAATTCTGCCACGCAAGCAGCTGTTAGATTCCATGGTTCGAAAGGTTTTGAACTCAATTCAGTCGCATCACGACTGTTTGAGCTCTTCTCTCAACTCATCGTTAATTTGGATACAATCATGCATTTCTGCAGCTACATGTTAAAGATGTTCGCACACACAGAATACAAAGAATCACTTGCTAATCACCTGATTGAATAGTTCTCTGGCACCGAGGAGCAGAAGACCGCATGGTCGAAGTTCTGGGTTTGAGACATCGCGGAGAAGTGTCCGGCCAGAACGTTCCGCTCGAATGACGAACACGACACATCGCTGAGGTTAACCTCGTGCGATATCGATAGCACAAAGTCTAGAAAGGAAGGTCCGTCGAAGCCATCGCTTGGAGAAACCATTTCTCGTACGGACGTACGATTTGCATTCTTCCGTAGCCCTTATCACTATTTGCAAGGTCTACCCAAGTTTGCTATCGTCAACGTCGTTCGATGGCGGAATCGCAGGCGCCTGAGGCAGCCAGCGCTATTCTAGATCAGTCTTGAAGACGGACATGGCGTTGATCCTGTAAATGCACAACAGAGTTTCCCCTCCACGAGTGACACGGCAGGCAATTGGACCCTCAAAAACAGTAATAGATTTGCAAGTCGCAGACAGGACCGACAAGGGCAGGGCAGAGAATACCAAGGGCAAGGCGTGAAGGTTCGTCTGTTGGGGATGCGGCTTATGATTGTCTTCCCGTGCTGTTCCACAAACAGCTGTAGAACTGCGCAGCTGTTTTCGAGTTGAAGATGATGCTTCGGAAATGCCAAAGTTTCAGTAGTCTTTTGAGTGTTGCTTTTGTTTCCACAATTTTTGTGCTGTCTTTAGATCACGCATGTTTGGTAGCTTTGGAGGAAGGGAAGGAGATGCCAGATCTGCCCTAGCACAGGCGGACAGAGGTAGGTTCACAACTGGGGTGGAGAGCGGCTACGGAATTTGTGTTATCCAGCGCTCTGGAACCGAGGGTCGATTAGATCTTTCGCTATCATGGTTCCATCTTTGATCCGGAACTCTGTCTGCTTGTACGAAGATACAATTGTCCCTTGCCTATTCGAGTCTCAATCGAAAGCAGAGAGTGAAAGAGTGAACCTCAGGGACCTGCATCAGTTCGTGTTATCGCGCCCCGACAAGGATGAAAGACAGGGTTACCCCTTGCAATACTCGGGAAGCAAGAGCGGGGAGTTGTTGAGTTTATGCATTCATCCGCGTTTAACAATTCCGAACAATAGCTGCATTTCTCTATTACAAGGATTTATTTCATTAGCATAAGCAAGCCTACGACCCCTCGACGACCAAGACTTTTGTCCCGACTCTGTGCCGTGCTGGATAGGACAGAAGCGAAAAAGAAAAGGCCGCCTCAGCTGCTGCGCCCGGTCTGCTTCGCTTGCTTAGCCCGAGATCTTTTGTTTAACCGGGTTCGACGAGGAAGTTTGCCCGTGGGATGGTGCGATCCTCTGGGCGTTTCTTCTACGCCTCATTGCTCTGGCACCTTCTGGATTTGAACAAGAGTCCGAACTTACAAAGCAATAGTTGACTGTCCAGCAATGATGTGAGAGCATTTCAGAGACGGGAGGATTGCAAATGGCGTGTGCAGTACCATGGACAAGCAATTGTGTTAGGACACACAAGAAGTCCAGCGAGTATGCACTCCAAAGCACCGAGGACCGAAGCCTCAAGAGTTGACCACAAAGAGACAAATGCTCCCCAGCCGCGCAATTCACCAGGAGGTAACTCGCACGAATGTGCTGCAACCTCTGACTTGGCTTTTTCTTCACATCGGCTGTGTGCACCTTCTCTGTGCTGCTGCACTTGTTCTTTGCTTTGTGGTTTGCGAATTCAACAAACAGTTTTCAGCAATCTTTTTGCTCATCACCGTTCTCCCGATGGCTAGTTACGTGAGTGGATGTTCGATTTGAGTTGGTTCTCTGCTGTCACTGTGCATACACTTTTTGTACGTCTACACGCTTGTACCTGATGTACATTGTCATTCACAAATCCGTGCGATCGGTTCCCGATGCCCTTGTGTAAAAGAGTTTTCTAGTCCTCAACAAATCGTGCGGGTTGCGTGGTCATGGTTCACGCCGGCGAAGAACCGACAGTTTAATCGCGTGGAAATGGACTGGATGTTTTTTTCTGACCTTTCCGTTTTTTGTTCGTTCTTCCTGTGGGCAGCGGAAGAAATCCCGTCACCGCTGGCAGGCTTTCTCGCGAATGCCGGTCCATAAACATGCATCGTTAGCGCCTGGTGACACCAATGTTGCTGGCTGTCAAAAAGGACGCTTCGGCTGCGGACGTGCGGCTTGTCCACCTTTTCCGTCAGTCGTTTTTCTCGTACATGCCTTTCATGACTCGACGGAGGAATAACGACGAGTATGCTTGCCAAGCACCCGAGGCTTCTCTTCTCGTCACGTTGAGATGTCTGCTGGTCAGGGTTTCAGGCTGTTCTGTCACTTCTGCATGTCTACATGGATCGATACAGAAGTCTGCATGCATCGTCAGCAACTCACTGCGTCTATCGGTGTTTCATCAATATGGCTGGAAGAGGTGTTGGGCATCTCTCCCAGGTCGCTGGGTCTTTGTCATGACAGTTCCTCGGTTCCCGTATCTGATCGAATCAAACGCACTATTGTCTTTGGTTCCAGTGGAGAGCCCGCAGATGGCGGCCCGCCGAAGTTTGAACAATACAAAAAAAGCCCACGCGACCATACTTACGAGTTGCTTCACATGAAGAACAAAGACTTGACCTCTAACAATTCAAGCGTTTAAAACGTGAAACAGGAGGGCAAAACGAAGACTTCCATTCACCAGAACGACGTTGAGGTATAATGCAGCTTGAGCCGCTGCAAACAATCAAGAGCTGGAGTGGGTATGACAAACCAGCAGACGACAAGGGCAGGAAAGGCGGGAGAAGGCGCGCTTGCAGCTTCCCGCTGCACCAACCTGCGTTAAAGCAAGGTTGGGTTTGCTTGGTGTGTCCACGGTGAAGAAGTCTTTTTGGACACTTTACCCACTGCCGAAAAAGCTGCTTCCGGTGCGACGTGACTGGTTAAAAATTTATGAATTTTGGACCCGACTTTTCGCCAAAGGGTTTGGCGCCCTTTTGCTTCTGCTCTTTTGACTGCTCCACCGCGGCTGCCCGGTGAATTGTAACGCCGTACTGTACCCTTGACACACGAGGCCGGAGCGTGCAAGTTTTCGTCATTCGTGGTCCCGGCGTCCAGGTGGCCGTCGGTGTGGCCGTTTGTTCCTGCGCTCGCTCAGATTGTAGTCGACGAGCGAGTGACGAAATGCTTCGGGTGGATATTTACTCGTTGATGAGACTAGGGCAGGCGAAGCAAAGCAGAGCAGAGCGAGACAAATACGAAGAAGCAAAGACCAGACCCTGCACCGAAAACTGTAGACAGAATACAGGGACAGGCCGCAAGGTCCCTGAATGGTCAGGAACCATGACAGAAAGGACGACATGCTGGCAGCACCTGATCCCAAGCATTTGTGCGTGACTACTGGTGGCCACAATTCCAAAGCGGCAGTTGTGGAAGGTCGTTGAATGATGGGGCGCACAACGAGCACTCCAATGTTCCGAAGGATTTGACGGTTCTGGAGCGTCGAGGTTGTACGTGTGGCCGTTACATGACAGGCAGAGGGCACACACAAACACTCGAGACGAGGGACCTTGGTCGTGTATCTCTAGCACCAGGATGGGCAGGTGAGAGTTTCTGCCATAGTATGCAAGCGAGTGTCAAGTGGACTCGACAGGTGCCAGCATCGGCTAGGACTGCAGGTGGCTTGAGCAGCTTGCAACCAGGGTGGTTGTCTTGCCGCTAGGCGCTGGTCTGGTGGAGGATGAGGAGGGGCCACATGTCTGCTCCGCGCTCCAGGGCCTGAGCTCTACGGTGGTGACTGCATCGAAGGTTCAAGCATCAAAAATGCCATGGGACCCGCACGCTAGGCCCCAATCTCTATTTTGCACCTCCGACTGATCTTGATCGTCTGCAGCGCTCCAGCCTGCGCTTGTTGCCGTTTTGCTTTGAGACATCTTCTTCACAACCACTCTTCGCAACCTCTCTTCTCTCCTCCCCTCCCTCTGTTCCAACGAATCTCAAGCAGGTAGATCAAAGGGATCAGGCACGACTCGCAGCCAACAAACGCCCGGCTATCCCTCTGCATACACCATCCAAAAACGTGCCTGCTTGACTCTGCCACCACTCTCTGGTTTTCCTATTCGGCTCGCATTTCAAACGTCTCACTCATCTCTCACGCTACACCATTATGCCATTTGCATCCGGTTTATAGTCAGGACGCCGACGTCCAAGTTTTCTGGTTGATCATCATGCAACGCGCAAACATGCGACCATCTATGCTGCCAAAATTGATCGTCGCGCAGACGCCTACAGCCGCAACGATCGGCGAAATGGCCGACTCGCCCTACTCAATGCACTCTCGCAACTCATCAGGCACATCCGACAACTACTCACCCTTAACACAAACCTTCTCGTTTCATGAACACACACGCCATCCAAGCTCCAGCTCATCATCTGTTGCCTCAACCCCTCCAAAGTACGAACCCAGTCTCGAATCTCTCAATAACCGCATCTCAAGGACAACTCTGCATGATCTTGTCGAAGACCCTCATGAGAGGGAAGATGATTTCGATCTCTGTGACAGTGCATTCGAGCTCAATTGCCAATGTGCGCTCGAGAAACCCCATTCTAACCATGATATGTATCATCTGAGTGAAGCCGAAGTGGATCCTCGTCTCTGTCAATCTGCATCTGCTCTTGAACGGCCTAGTCTGGACTACTCCCTCGCCGATGGACCCAGCGACTTCAACAGCGACAATGAAATTCCTCTCAATGTGCCCAAGTCTAGGTCAAGGGCAAATTCTGGCGAATCTACCGTTACTGGTCTGGCTTCTCGTGTGGGTAGCCGGTTATCGTCATTCTCGAAACGCCGTGACAGAACACCTACCTCGCCTCCGACTGTGGCTGTTCATCGACTTAGCACTAAGAGCGCTCCTGTCTCCCGTGTGCCGTCACGTGCCGCATCTTTCCGCATGTCTTCTGTAGCAAAGCCTGTTGTATCTCCTATCGATGTTGAGGCCGAGTCGACACCAACACCTAGCCCGGCTAACGTCGCTGTCGAGCCTTCTAATCCTCTGGACATCAAGATTCCTCATGCAGATGAGCCAATTGACCGCAAGGCCCTGGCATCCACCCCTCTTCTGCCCAAGACGATTCAGGATCCAGAACAAATTGCTGAGGATGTCATCCAATCTCCACTGCAGTCCCCCACTGTCGTCGACAACGCTCAAATAAGTCGTTTGTCAATGATTGGCCCATCACTATCCAGTCCAATTCTGCCCGAGATGTCGATGGTGTCGCCTGCCCTTTCGGCGCATACCTCCACCACTTCTCTCGGCGTCATGCAAGCTAGCCAAGTCATGTCCTCACCCGACATCTCGTCAATGCACATTGTCAGCCCTCAAGACAAGTGGGCAAACAAGCTTGGACACGCCAACTTCAGCGTTTTTCCGGAGCCCTATCTGCCAGAAACTTACAACATCCACGCATGCAGAAAGCTTCTAGAGGACTGGGAGTCGGCTCGCAGACAATTCATGAATCAAGCAGCACGCACCAGTGAACATTACGGTCCGACTTCGCAAGTGTACAAGTACACGGAGAAGAAGTGGGCAGAGATTGATGCGGAATGGAAGAGAAACCATGAGTTGGTTGTCGCCAAAACAGCAGCAAATGGCGAGACGCCTGTTTTCCAGCCTCTGGCAGAGCCGGCTCCTATCACCGATCTGCCCGCTCTGGATGATCCATTGAAATTCCCCAAACTTGATGGGTCCGACATTGTCGGACCCATGGTCAAGTACGCAAAGATTAAGCAAAAGTCGTCTTCGAAGAAATCGGCTTTCCTTAAATTCTTCAACAATGTGCGAACACCGAGCAACACACTCGGCCGCACCTCGACCGGACTTGGTCTGTGATAATGAACAACACAACATTACACGGCAAGCCTACATGTAACATATTCATCATACGTTTTGTCATGACCTTACGACGCAACACGACGCCATTTGTGCTGCTTTTCATCGCGTTTTTCTGGCGCCATGCCATTCCTTCCTTCAAGAAGGCACGACGATTTTCATTTGTCACCCAGTGTGAAACATTTCACAGCAAGCAAAAAGTTTTTAGCAAGGCGCAAAAAGAATCGGGAGTTGGTGGAAAGCCTACAGCGGTGGACTTAGAGGAAGTGTAGAGGAAGTAGGCGATTCTTGGAGTTGTTGATGCTGGCCAGCCTCTTGCCGTGGCTTGTACAGCTATGCTATCATGGCTGTTGTCTGGTTGATCTTTTTTCTTATGTCAGTCATCTCGGTGACAAACCGACGGCTATACCCTATGTATCTTTGAGATTCTCGGATATAGGGATAAGCGCAGTCATTCTTGGAGGCAGTTTAGAAGCCCTTTCATAGCTTTCGCCAACGAGGATTTGAAATAACATTTTATGTGTCTTGCATTTTGGGTAAAGATAAAATGTTGCAATGTTTGCGATATGTAAAATGGTTGTGAAAGGAGGTGCGAGATTGGGTCAAGAAGTGCAGAGAAAGTGTTGGAACAAAGACGGCAAGTGATTACGCAGCCGAAAGCAAGAAGGCAAGTGGGATGGTGAGAAAGATGCAATTGCCCAAACCCACATGACTGCTCTCCTGAAACATGATTTCCATCGTTCTTGCATGCATCGCTACAATCTCACGAGTCCCGGGAGGAGGTCTATTGATTGATCACATGCTGAGGCTCAGCGGTTTCGAAAAACGTCATCTTGGGTTGGACGTCGTTTTGGGAAGAGTTAGCGGCCGCTTGAGGTCCCTAATCGCCATCTAATCGCTGCCAGACCCGAGCGAGTCCGCTCACCACCTCGGCGCCCGTCTATTCGACGTCCACGAGGAACGACTTCGTGCCTCGATAAGGCGTGCCGTCGCTTTGAGACGACAGCAGCACCCGAACCCTTTGTCTTCGCCGCATGCAACCAGGCGACCCCACTACGACTATCCGCAGACGACTTGACAATGAGCCTGGTGGACAATATGTCGCTCGACTCAGCCGACCTCGCCGTAGAGAACGTGTCCGACGACGACGACCAGATCACCAGCGACCTGCCTGATTTCACCGACCAGAACACCATTGACGAAGAAGACGATTTCGAATCCACCTCGATGGTCATCATGTCCGATGATGCCGGTCAAGTCTATGCTCCACCCGCTCGCATCGCCGCTCGCTTCTACCGCGATTCCAAGTCTCGTCCATACAAGTCCTCAGCAGCTTCGTCCCGTCGCAACTCGCTCTCTTCAATTCAATCACATACCTCAACCCGTTCGCTACGTCGCTCTTCGTCATGTCAAAGCAACTACATCGCACAACACCTACGCAGAGCATCCATCATGGAAGCCCGCAAAGCACGCCTTGCCGACCGCGCCGCCCACGTCGAAAAGGTCCGTTCAAGAGCCGCTATGGCCAAAGCCGCTCCCAGAGGAGATGCCAGTGCTAGTGAGGAGCGCGCTCTTGCTGCTCAAATCGCTCGTGAGAACCATCTCGCAAAAGTTGCTGCAGCATGCGCCGAGGAGGTTCAGAGAGCAAAGCAAAAAGCACAAGAGATCAAGCTCAGGAAACTAGAGGAAGAGAAACAGGCTCGCTTGGACATGGAGGAGAGGATGGCTGATGCAGACAGGAGAAGAGCCGAGTACAAGCGTAATTTGGTCTCACGCAGGACACGGCGAGCTAGCGAACAGGAGAAGAAGCTGGACGATGTTACCGAAGCAGACGACGACACAACTTCCAAAGTGTCCGAAGAAACTGCCGCCGTAAGGATACAACGAGCATGGCGTATGCGACAACGAAGCTTGGTTGTAAAAGCATATGCAGACTTTCATCTCAGTCTGAAAGGTATTCGAGAACGATCCTTCGAGGATGTTGGTACCTTGCTTTCAGGCACACCTATCATTCAGGCCACAACTCGAGTCCTTCGCCTCCTTGCCCTCCAAGAAAATGACAACACGCCATCACCTCAAGCTACACGGACTTTCCTCAGTGCTTATCTTGTTATCGTACATCCAGCTTCCGTCTTCAGCAAAAATGGTACTCAGGAGCAGCATCTCATTGCTAAAGCTCGCGAATTGATCGAGTCATTCGAGTCTATTCTGTCCATGATTTCCCGCTCAAACCGCCTCGAGGTACCAAACGACAGGCTTCAAGATCTGTCACAACTGTATACGACTTATATCAGTGCATTCGATGCATGGAGAGCTCAAGATTCATCTGCTCTGGTCGAGACTATGGTCGCATCATTTGTTGAGCTTGACGCCATCTGGCAGACTGTCAAAGACGACACACAAGGCTCAGTCGCTGAAGATTATCGTCAAGGAATTCGTGACAACCAGGTCATGCTTCTCAGCAAGATTCGAAAATTGGCTGGGCCTGACCGTGCCGATTTTCTCATCAAAAAGTCCATCCGCGAAAGCCGAAGAAGACGTGTTAAGAGAAGGTCTCCTGCCGAAGTCCGTCCTCGTGCTGCTACCGACATCGAAGATGGCGAAGCGGAGTCCTCAGGATCACTACCCATCGCCACCGAGACTCTATCGCAAGGCGCAGCTTCAAGTGGTATCGAATCACAGGATGACGTTCGCTTTAACCTCGCTCGCTTGTTCTCGCCTATACCTAGCAATCGCGTACTGACTCACGAGCTTGCCATTGATAAGGACTTCCGCATCTCCTCTAGTGCTCATTCAGACATCCGCGATGCCATCAACCGCGAGCTTTGCGATGGTATGCGAGCCGGAGTTGAGCATGGCATGGGTACTCCATGGACAGTCGCCATGGCTCAGGAGATCAGGGCCAAGCTTGTGCATATCGTGAAGCCTGGCAACTCGATGCACAATCTGATTGTCGAGGCTTTGGACACTGATCTCATCTACCGACAATGCGAGCAGGGCATCTTTTCTTACGCCAACTTTTTCTCATTCATGGCCAACATCCTGCCAAAGCTATGTGCACCTTTCCGTGATGCGCAAGTGAAGATCTTGGCCGAAGATCTTGAGTCAAACAATGGCGAGGACATGGGCGCTATGATTGAGAAGCTTTTCCGCCTGTTGCACTTCATTGATTTGCTCTCGCTCGATTACTCCAACTTCCTGTTGATGAACGCGGCACCTGTACTCATCAGAGAGTCAGCTGGATACGAATCGCGAATGTTTGCAGCAGACCTTACCTCGGGGAAAATAACATTGGCTGCAACCAGCCGCTGGTGGCGCAATGCGAGCGTAAATATGCTGACTGAGGCCGATCGCCGGGATCCAGAGCAGGTCCGCAACCCTGCAGACAGGCCTTCAGTTCATCACATCTACACTCGTGGACTGGTTGATACCACGTTCGGACAGGGTCCGATCAGTACTAATGATGTGCCTGAGACCCTTGCTCTGGATGTTGAGCGCCTGAGCACTATCAAACAAAGAGCTTTGCATGTGACCACGATTGGTGCTATCCTTCTGGTGGCCAAAAACATGCTGAAGCGCGACGTGCGCAGTTCCTGGAAGGCCGAAGCTTCTCGTCTTTGGGATCTTCTCAGTAAAGAGTCACCTTCCGAGGCCACATCAGAAGACGCTTTGGCAAGCGTTTCATCTCGCGTTTTTGGTGTGCTCGAAAACTCACACAACCTGCCACCAACGACCAAGACCGCATTGCAATGTGCGACTACTCGCATCATCACTCAAGCCTCCTCGCAACGCTTCACGGACCCTGTAGCCAAGGTCCTGTGCTCTAGACTTCGAAGTCACGTCTACTCGCGTGTTGTGGCCAAGACGTCGAGCGAGAGAGTCAGAGCCGCTAGTGGTGCATCAGAAGCGTTGGCGAGTGCCGGGTTGCCAGAGTTCGTGACGCAAGTCGGTGAGATGGTGGAACTCTTGAGGAAGGTGGCTGAGGTTGACTGGGCATCTCACGGTGTTTGGTACGAGCAGGTCGCAAGCGAAGCCAATGGCGCTGGCGATGCCTAGAGCATCATTACTTTTCCTCTTTTGGACTTGTTCACATTTTTGTCTGGCTTTCCTCGTGTTTTGCCTTCGTTGTATGGTTTATAGGGTTGGAAGGTCAATAACATAGCCTTCCTGGATGGCTTTCGTTTGGAATCGGGAGTGCTTAAGGATACTACTACTGCCGTTCTGGGTTGTCTGATTGACCTTTTACGAAGATTGATACCACATTTTTCATATTTTTTCTATTTCTGTCTCTCTCTCACTCCTTCTTGCAAACCGAGTTTATCATTTATGGCATTCATCAATATGGACTGTGTCGATCTTATAAGCCTTCTAGAGCCTTTTGCGTATGCCACGTTTTGCTGACCATGGGCCATCGTTTGTGTGTTTGTTGGGACAGCTGCGTTTACCTGACCTGGTAGTTGTCCTCTTCTACTTTAGTGGAATGTTTCTTTCCTTTTCCATTGTCGCTCCTTGCTCCTTCGTGGTTTCGCTCTTCCTTTTTTTTGCCCCCCATAATCAGCCACTCTTTCCCTCTGAATAGTCGTCCCTACCTTCTTCATAGTTGCTCCTTCCCTCTTTGTAGTTGCTCCTTCCTTCTCCATGCAAAGTAGAAGGATAGAAGGAACGTTAAAGGCAATTGCAGAACTAGAAAGATCGATCAAAGTGAGAACAGAATCGGAAAGGAGCGATCAAGTCGATACCTAATCAGACGGAGCAATGGAGGTGAAGGAAAGAGCCATCCAGACGAGACATTCGCAGAAGGAGCGAAGTATCCATTTCCCATGGGAAAGGAACCGTACAGTCAAGATAGAAGGAGAAGGAACGCGGGAGTCAAGGAAAAACTGGAAGAAAAGATGGAGCTGAAACGAAAATGGAAGAAATGGCAAAGTAAGAACAGAACTTATCTATGTATGAGGAAGGTACGATATATCTATGTATGAAGAAGGCACGATACAGTCAGGTTAGAAATAGAAGGAACGCTGAAATCTGAACAGATATGGAAAGTGTGATACGGTCGAGCAATGTCAGGAAGGAGAGATGCACTCGAGAAATCATGAGGAAAGAACAATAGTGTTAGAAGGAAATTAGAAAGGAGAGACGTAGAGTGTAATCTACTCAGGTAGATCTGATGATTCAGATTTTGGAAACAGCGTTCCAATGGTTATCATCTAGAATTCATATCAAAGGTTTTTCCCCCTTAACCCATCGAAACTTTTCTGTCCTCATGCTGGATCGTAACATATAGGCCGTGACTCTATGATACAAAAATGTTCCCCAAGAACGCCATACAGAAAATGCTCATGCAATGCGAAACAATACGAAACGATGATGCACTGATACATCTATGAGTTGTCCTCACAGGAGAAAGCGCTGGCACTGCCAGAGTTGTTTGAGATGTCAACAACACTGCCCCAAACACCCAAGCCGCAAAGGGCAAGACCGATAAGGGCAATGGCGATGTTGAGAATGGTAAGCGTGATCTTCTTCCAGTTTGCAGTAAGTTGTCTCTTGTTCATCATGAGCCACCAAGCAGCGGGCAAGATCATGGAGAACCAAGTGCAGAAGAGAGAGCCGAGAAGACCGAGAAGCTGACTGAAAACGGGGATGGCGTTTGCGATGACCCAGGCAATGACCCAGAGCAAGATGGTGAGTCCATACCAGCTGCCGAGCGAGCGGAAGCTCTTCTCGTTCATGACGTTGGTCTTGCGCCAGATGCGAACGTAGACGTTCTTGGTAGCGACGTGAGCGTAGATGACCCCGGCGACGACGATGGTGGGAATGGCGATTCCGTAGGCGACCTTGCGAACGATGGGGCTAGCAGAGCCAATGGCGGGAGACTTCACGTCTGTACCCGCGAAGCGGTAGATGACAACAGCGACGACGAGGTAAAGAGAGCAAGTGCAAGTCTGCAGCATGCCCAACGCCTTGGGGAAATCTCTGGGGTTTTTCATTTCAGAAATGAAACCGAAGTAGGCGATGTTGGAGCAGAACGAAACCAGGATGTTGGCGACGGCCACAACACCAGTGCGGAAAGAAGTCATGCTCGAAGGAGTGACGGCGTAAGCGTGGGCGCCAGCAGGAGGATCGACACCGATGCCAATCATAGCAATGAAAATGGCAGTCGCGATGGACAAGCAAGAGGCAATAGACATGAGAGCGACGTTCTTCATGGTTCTCGGAATGCAGAGGATCATGGACACAACCATGCCAATAACAGTGAAAACAATGGTGCAAGTTCCGTGGTTGGTAAGGACGTTCAACATGATGGAGAAGGTCAAGATGTGAGCGGACATGATGAAGACCAGGAGGATGATCTGGGCGGCTTCAGAAACCTCTTTGAACCATCTTCCAAAGAAGAAGAGACCAGCGTCCGCAAAATTGTGAATTCCGGGGAAAGCGATCTTGACTTGGTAGGTGACATATCCAGTGTAAGTGGTGAGGAGACCGAAGAAGACAATGAGGATGCAACCAGGGACAAAGCCCATGCTGGCAACGACAGCAGGTAGAGAGAGAATACCCAAAGAGATTGTCTCAGCGACAAGGAGGAAGCCGGCATTGAGCCATGTTAATGTCCTGTACTCGGTCTCGCCGTTGGCATCGTTCTCGAAAGGATTTACCATCAAACCCTCTCTCTTGCTGTCCAAAGTCATGGTCTCATCTCCCTCGGGAATCGTATCCTTCTCTTCAGGAAGTCGTGGCGGCGGCGCCTGTTCCAGATCTGTGTTTGATGCTGAGCTGACACTGCCAGCGGTGTAACCAGCTCTTTTCTCTTCGTCTAATGCCATCTTGGCGATCAATGAGAATCGAGGTCTGGTAGTTGCGACGTAGATTGATCGTGTCAAGACGATGTGTTGGGAGGTCCTGAAAGACGCAGCGAGGTAGCGAGAATAATAAAAGGCGAGAAAAGTAAGGAAACAGGAAAGATGGTTAGAAGGCGGATGACGAAAGTATAAAAGCTAGGTCAGCAGAAATATGAGTTCGAATGAGCGAGACGTTCAACAGCGATCTCGGAACACATGGTAGATGTGTTTGTAAAAAGTCTCGTGCTCTGGACTCAAAGCACCGAAACAAAGCAGTTTCTATTACTTGAATATTATCAAAAAATTGCGGGTTAGTCAGGCGTTTGATGGGGATAGTGGTCCAAGCTCCGATGCGATGCCAGATGGACCACCAAAATGTCGAGGTTGAAAGCAACATAAGGGGCTGCAAGGAGATGAGAGACAAAGGCGCGAGAAAAGGGTCTGTGTAGCAGATGGAAAGAATAAGAGAGACCTAGCTTGTATGCTTTACCTTTGGTAGTTGCGAAGGTTCAGAGGGACGACTTCTGAGATCAGCGTCGCAAGGTGGACCTGAACTTTGGCAAGCGAGTGGCAAGAGCGAACATCAGAAAAGCAGCAACTTGTCGGCAAAACATTGCGAGCATGATGCCATAGCTTGCCGCCTTTCGTTTGTAACCATGCTTCCTCCCAATTGCGATGGGCAGTTGCAGCGTACCTATAGAAATGCACAATACTTTTGTCAACAACGTAGTCTCCGTAGAGAGAACCCTATCAAGAGCTATCTCAATGGACAGACTCGGATTTGTATCGCAATTGTGCATTTCAATAGCTTAAAACAACCCTTATGCCTCGAGTTGGAGAAGGGATCAACTTGATCTCTGTTGAAGGGACCAGGCATCCCGATCCGAGTCATGAAAGGTCTTCCATAGCGAAGGCATTTGTAGCCAAGACGTCAAAGTAAAAGTCGACTCCGATCTCGTCGCAGCGGTCGGTTCTCGAAGGACCAAGAAGAAACACCGGAGATTATTCCATCGCATCAAGTTGCACGGCTGTTGGAAAATCGGCGGTCGGCGGCGGTCGGAGTGTTCGGAGTGAGTTGGTAGAAAAGCTTGGCTGGTAGGGAAGCCGCTGCTTCCAGGTCAATTGTGCCGAGGGCGGGGTTGATCGCGAAGCTGGCGCGTAAACTGCTCGAGAGCTCCTTCGAGCTTCCCTCGAGCTTCTTGCTGACAATTGCCTGTTCGACAACTCTGCTAGCACTCTGTAATCAGCATCAACAACGTGTGAAATCACCTTTGATCTTTGGTATTCAACGCAAAAGCTTCGCTCGTCTTCTCGTCCAGTTGCTTCCCGCCATCATGGTTGAACTACGCAAGCGCAAGACTCCCCCTCCGGCTCCTGCCCCAGCACCAAAGAAGGAGCGCAAGGCGAAGGCCACCAAAGCAAATGGAAAGTCCGAGACTGCTGCCGAATCTGCTGCTAGACCTGCTGCGCCGGAACCGAGTGCTGCTCCTGCCGCTGCGCCAGAGCCAGAATCCAAGGCTACCTCTGGTCCTCCCAAGCCGGGAGACAAGATCGACTTCGATGGCTTCGGTGGTGAGATTGAGACCAACGATGGTCGCAAGGTTACGCTCAAAGCGCTGGTCGACGAGAGCAAAGAAGGCCTTGTATTGTTCACATATCCTAAGGCATCAACCCCAGGCTGTGAGTATCTCCGTTCCAACTATCAGAGAAGACCTGTTTCTTCTCTGGCTAGCTCTTTTGACTCATAGTGCTGGGTGCTGATATGATGATTTCAAAGGCACGACTCAGGTTTGCCTTTTCAGAGACTCGTACGAACCTTTGACTGCAGCTGGACTCAGCATCTACGGTCTGAGCACCGATTCGCCAAAGGCAAACACGACATTCAAGGACAAGCAAAAGCTCCCATACCCTCTGCTATGTGACCCCTCAGCTTCACTCATCGGAGCAATTGGTCTCAAGAAGGCACCCAAGGGAACCACGCGAGGAGTTTTTGTTGTCAAAAAGGACGGCGAGGTTCTAGCAGCTGAACCTGGAGGTCCAGCAGCAACCCTCGAAGTAGTCAAAGGTGTTGTCGCGAAGATGGGCGGCTCCGGTGTCGGCGAGAAGGCTGAAGCCAGAGCCGCCGAAGCCGAGAAAGAGGAAACAAAGGGTGCTGGCGAGACGACAGCAAAGTTGTAGATAATGATGGGATATGATATATGTTGTTGATGAATACAAAGGTTGATAGGTTTGATCAAAAATCTGGATGGAATTGAAGAGTTGTCATTCAGAAGGCGTGCTTTAGGGCGCGATGGGTCCAGTAATAATATTCTTGAGCACGGCATAGCAGCCGGGCACGACGGATGGCTTCCGTGTGTCCAGACTTTTGCATTTGGTAATGACAATTGGTTCAACCCTGATGGACATCACAAATCATCGATGACATGCAATTTCACAGCTCGTTTTAGCAGAGTTGCCAGGAGCAGAGGTTGGAGGTTATCTGGCAAGGCATCCTAGCATACAAGTACAGAGATAAGAAGCGGCCGAGGTTAAACCCCTTGCTTCTGCTGCCGTCGAACAGATTTGGGTCTCAGCATCGCTCATGATGGCCTGAACAGCGGACAAGAGGATGCAAAACGTAGTCTTATAGCAGGCCATTGCTTGTTATATGGGAGTCGATGACTTGTGAATCATGTTGGCTGACGAGAGATGGGTCATGTCGCAAGTCGGTTCGGGAGATGTTGGTTTAACTGTCGACCCCACTGCGGGTTGCATGGAGACCCTGAGTTTGATTGTTGACGAGCCGCAAACAAAGAAAAGTGAAGTCTCTCCTGTCACAAGAAGAAGAAACGAAAAAACAGGTCCGGCGCTACCAGTCGTGTGTTGTAACCTGGCTATCTCCTGACGAGCTAGAGTAATGCCAGTGCCATTTTTGAATTGATAACAATAAGCCAGGACCTTGTCGACTCGCAGGGAGCGAGACGCTACGACTCAGTGCTTGCATACGTAACCTGCACCTGTGTCTATCGCTCGACGTCCAAGTGTGCTTACTTCGTCGCGACTTGTACAACTATCCCGTCTGGATCGCAAGTCACAAGTCCTCTGGTGCACTAATACAAGGCGGACCGTCTGTTTCAGCATGAAGGCCTTTGCGCGAGGAGCGACTCGACTTCGCAGCACCTCGCTCAGTGCTGTCCCTCCACCTCGAGCTTCTTCAGAATATCTCGACGAATACGCCGACATTGCTGCCTCCATCCTCTATCGCTCGCCCTTGCCATCCGAGTCCGGTCTACCCGTCTACATCCTCAACGCCGCAGCCTTTCCTGATGCCTTTGAAGTCGACTACGATGCGCTTCTGCCCTACGTCCTCGCCAGACTGCCAGGAGAGGAAGAGTTGATTGCAGGTGAAGAATATGAGATTGTCTTTTTTGCTGGTGGACAACCTGAAAGCGCTACTTCCGAGAAGAAGACTGGGCCGGGTATGGGTTGGTACCTGCAGGCGTACCACGTGCTGAGCAGAGCGGTGCGAAAGAGGTTGCAGAAGCTCTATGTTGTCCACGAACGCAGCTGGGTGCGTGTGCTCATCGAGGTCTTTGGCACCATGGTCTCTCCCAAGTTCCGCAAAAAGATTGTCCACGTCTCGACTCTCTCGTCTCTCGCCCTACATATCCCCATCGAGAAGCTGCTCATCCCACCGAGCGTGTATCTCCACGATCGTCGCCTCTCACCCGACATTCATTCACCCTATGTCAGTGGCCGTAGAGCTTTCAGCGCCAACGATCCTATGCCTCGCAGTCTATATGGACAGAGACGTCTGCCTCGTGTGCTGAGAGAAACAACAACTTTCCTGTGTCAAAGCGAAAACATAAAGACAGAAGGCATATTCCGCATTCCGCCTCAGTCGATCCTGGTTGGCATTCTGAGGGAGGCCTACGATCGTGGTCAACAATTTATTGTCTGGAAAGAAGGCGGAATCACTTACACTCAACCTGACATGGATCACCAAACCCTCAGACACATTCACCAGTCAGATGCATATGGCGTACATCTGGCAGCTGGTCTCATCAAGCTCTGGTACCGAGAACTGAAGACTCCTATATTTCACGAAACTTGCTATGACGAATTGAGATACAAATTTGGAAGCCCCGATACCCATGTTGAACTGGATGACCTGGTCGAAATGCTATCGCCAACGTCAACCACCTCGTGTCTCTCTCAGACAGCAAGACTGGTACTTATACTCCACCTTATTCCACTACTTTCGCTCGTCACGAGCTACTCAGCAACCAACAAGATGACGCCTGACAATCTAGCAATCTGCTTCTCCCCAGCCCTCGTGTGCGGTTCCGATCAATTGGCTGACGCGAAGATGACCTCCATAATCCGTCGAATACTCGAGGCTGCGGTTGAACACTGGCCGCATGACCTGCGAGACGCTTGTCAGACCGCCCCCGACTCGTTTGTCGCTGCTCTCAGGCCTCCGCCTGCTGCTCAGGACTATGAGGACCCTTTGTCAGAGAACCACAGAGATACATCACACGACTCCGAAGAGCAATCACACAGAATTCATCTCCAAGATGATGAGTCTGAGAAGCCAGTCCTACCTCCTCGTCCATCCTTACAAACGAGGCAGCCTGAGGACTCCAATTCGACGTTTCCTGCGAGAACTGACAGTCTGGCTTCTCCCATCAAACGCAAGCCTGCGCCAATAGGTGGTGCTCCTCCGTCTTACGCAAACTTCCCCAGCCGCTCCGCCTCGCAGTCACATGCAAGTCAGTCAAGTGCATTGAGCGACTTCACGGATATCAGGAATACTCTGCCGTACACCGAATCTCCCCCGAATGTGCCGTCCAAGCCAAACCCTCCTAAATCAGCTGCTTCAGCACAGAACGATTTCATGAACGAATTGAAAAACTCACTCGCTGCCGATGTGGTGAAGAGAAAGCCAGTATCATCCACGACATCGCCAGGCTCGCCGTCAAGCAACGATGTACCGTCTGTCCAATCCCAACGCTCGGTATCCGCTCGAGTTCCCTCGCCACCGAAAAGAGACGACAACATGTTCATCAAACCCACATGGGCAGCTTCCTCACGTACAACCTCCCGCGCACCTTCCCTTTCGAATCCACCCACCACCACCTTTTCCGCACCCACCTTTGCCAGAACCCCATCACCAGGTCTGCTCAAACGCATGGCCTCCATCGAGACAATGCAGAACACTTCCAATGCTGCCCAACAACTGGATCCAAATAGGATTGCACCAGTTGTTGAGAAGATTGGCTTGAGGAAGAGCTCGGTAGATGACCTTAAGAGGGTCTATGAAGAACGGGCTGGCATTGCTAGGGCAGCTAGTGTGAGTAGTAACAGTAGCAGTCGGAGGACTTCTAATGTTGGGTTAAGTAGGAGGACGTCGAATGCTGCTGTTTGAAGTGTTGGCGTGAGGTTTTAGCAAGTATCACAGAGGGAGAGGTGTGGCTTTACTCTCAGGCGTCAAGGGCTCTGACGTTCGCTTCCTGCTTTTCTCCCCTTTGGGGTTGCATCTACTAGAGGAGTTTTTTTTTTCCCCCTTACCATCCACAGTATCAGATACCCAGTTCTTTTCTGCAGGCTCTTCACACCCGCGTTCCCTGTACTCTTCCACGTTTGTGTTGATGCCCCTTATGCTGATGACAGGGTCATACCTTCGACATTGTCTCTACAAACAATTGTAAGACATATTCGTGCTTCATGGCTTTCTTTATATCACGTGATTGTGATGTCTTAGTCGCAGTGGTTTAGTGGTAAAATTCGTGCTTGCCATGCACGAGCCCCGTGTTCGATTCACGGCTGCGACAATCTTTTGTTTTGTTGTTCTTTTGTCATATCCCACGTGTTAGTGGTCTCTCCTTCGTGTCAAGGACCCTTCCTACACTTTTGCCCGGAAGAGAAGCTATATCAAGGCACACCACGTCTTGACAAACGTCTAGAGCCCTTTCTACGATGTATTAGAAGGTTACGGAAATTGGAAAGTGGTTACATGTATCTATTTGTGCGAGAAGAGTTCTCAAGCATGTGCTTTAGACTGCATATCAATATTCACTTCCTCATCTACCTCTCGGTAATCGATCGTTGATAGATCCACTGCAGTATCCTTGAGATTTCGTTTAAAGCATCTACCAGGATGGAAGATATTGAGCAGCACTGCAGCTACAGAAATCATACTGTTTGCCCCAGATAAAGTTAGCATTGCTCTGAACAAGACAGATGGGAGGATGTGAAACTTACACAGAATCCAGCACAATGAATTCGTCCTCCCTTCTCATGATAGGACTACCCCATCCATCTTTGAGTTCGGCAATTCGATACGCGCATCTGATGAAGATGAGTGTGAAAGCCAGGATTGCAGAACCAATGAACAAGCGAAAGTTGGTCGCTTGCCACAGGTGACCGGCGGCGGGTGATAATCTCTCCTTAGCTCCAGACATCCTGAGGAAGAATATACCTGCTAGGACCGCAAAGATGGCTAGCGTGACTACTTGGCTACTGAGCCCTGCAATCATGACATCAACGCCTAGATCCAGTAGCCTCTTGTTCGTACCATTGGCTGCGGCAGCTGAGAGGGCTCCGCCTGCGCCTTGCAGGATGATGGCTAATAGATCGCATGACACGAAGATTGGTGTATAGAGAGAAGGCTTCAGTGGTGAAAGGCATGGTTGAAGAGATAGTGTTAGCTGTTTGAGAAGAAGGTATATTCCGGCAGTCAGAAAAGCCGGGGCGAAGGTCAAAAGGACGATGTTCAGTTTGAAGCCAGTGGGAGAAAAGGGGTCGTTGGAGAGGATCAGGCGGGATCCGTAGCCTGTGTATGTCAGTTGTGCTGGCAAGCCATACGCTACACAAGTAAAGAACATACCAACACTTTCTAACGCTGTGCCTAGGATCATGGCAATCGAGAAGCCAAGCCATTTGCGATATAACCGGGCTTGATAGCAGAAGACCAGACAGCTAATGGCGAAAAGAGCGACGAAGAAAGCATTGGCGCCGAGATTGGGTGCATAGCCGTAGACAGAGTAAGATGCCGGACATGTATCTTTGGTGCATTGAGATGGTCGAGTAGCAGCTGCTCGAATGAATATATCCAGTGACGATGGCATTGAAGCAATTGAAGCCTCTATATGGCCTTTGTAAAGAGATTCGATGAGAGAGATCAATGATAACCGGTGATGGACTCTGCAAGAGAAGATTGGTCTGGCGAAGAAAAGAGGTGGACAGAGAATAGAAGGCAAGCTCAATAGCACATCGCACCTACTCAATGTGCTTGGGTGTTGTTCCTTCTCACCTTCGGTGCAGCTTCCGACCGCCAAAACCTCCAGGGATCACAGAAAGAGCAATGGCGAGGGCTGCGCAGTATCTATATTACCGGCACTTTGTTCGTGATATACAAACGTTAGGTAGCAGAAATAGTTCATGCCGCTGCGGCCGCACAGTCGGAACGATATACGAGAAGCGCCTTTTCTATATTCCGTGTAGGTTGGATCTTTTTCTATTCCCTGCATTTACCGCAGCTCATGACTGCTGATCATGGGCCGAGAACAAAACGGTTCAGGAGACATGACACAGGTGACAGCGCTTGCGACAGCGTATCTGGCGTGAACGAGATGAGCGAGACCCGCGGACTGAGCGCTAGCAGATATAAAGTCATTATAGGGCTGAAACTGGAGGCTGAGATTTCTGCCAAGATGAGATCGAAATGCCGAACCTAACGTGTTTCGGCTTCTGTAGCGACCACTCAGCTCTAGACATAGTTTTGTGGTCGATATATGATCGGTAGATGCAAGAGGGCGAACGTAAGAGGCAGAAGCGCGGGATTGGGATATATTGAGGTTATACAAGAAAACAATCAAAACAACATGAGCCCTCCTTTTTGCCCTGGCACCAGCATTTTTTCTATATCCTTGTTACGCCGTACACCACATTTTTGCAGCAAATGTCATGCCTAGTCCTTGGACTCGACGTTGATGGTTTGTTGCTCTTCTCTGGCTGCCTCGTCGGCACGCTGAGCGGCTTGCACTGAGATGACGTTAGGAAGAGGAGGTAGCAGGGAACGTGTGGCCTGGCGAGCATTCTGGGCCATGAGAGCATCCATGATGACGAGAGCAGCCATGGCCTCGACGATGGGAATGGCACGGGGAACGACACAGGGGTCGTGGCGGCCCTTGGCCTCGAGAACTCCCTCGGTTTCGTTGTAGGTAGCGGTTGCTTGCGACTGGCCGATGGTAGCCGCCGGCTTGAAGCCAACAGTGAAGTAGATGTGGGCACCATTGGTGATACCACCCTGAATGCCACCAGAGTTGTTGGTCTTTGTGGTCAGGCGAGGGCGAGGGATACCGGCTCTTGCGGCACCCGAAGCAGCGGCCGAGCCCTTAGGGGCAGGGGCGACGATGAAGGGGTCGTTGTGAATGCTACCAGGGACTCTTGTACCACCGAAACCAGAACCAATCTCGAAACCCTTTGTGGCAGGGATGCTCAGCATGGCGTGGGCCAGCTTTGCCTCCATCTTGTCGAAGCAGGGCTCACCCAAACCAGAGGGGACGTTACGGATAACGCAAGTGACATTACCACCAATGCTGTCCTCCTTTTGCTTGTACTTTGCGATCAAATCGGCCATGCGGTCGTTGGCTTGCTCGTCGGGGCAACGGACGGGGAGGAACTCGTCGACCTTCTCGCGGGTGATTTCGTCGATCAGCTTGAGGAACTCGGGGTTGGTTGAGGGGGTAGGGTGGTCTGCAGTGGCAGGGTAGAGCTGCTCGTGGCCGACGGAAGAGGTGAAAGCGACAATCTCAATACCGTGGGCGAGCTTGAGGTACTTTTCGGCGATGGCACCGGCCGCAACACGGCCTGTGGTATGTCAGTGGGCGAGTAGGAGTAGAAAAACAGGTATGGACTGACCGATAGTCTCGCGAGCGCTGCTTCTGCCACCTCCACTGCTGGCCTTGACGCCGTACTTTTCCAGGTAGGTCCAGTCGGCATGACTGGGACGAGGGTAGAGGTCCATGGTGCTGTTGCCGTAGTCCTTTGGTCTCTGGTTCTCGTTCATGACGCGCATGCCAATGGGGGTGCCCAGAGTGACACCGAATTCAGTGCCCGACTGGATCTCGACCTTGTCTTTCTCGTTACGTGGTGTTGTGATGGCGCTCTGTCCCGGTCTGCGTCTTGTCATTTGAGGCTGGATGTCGGCTTCGGTGAGCTCCATGCCCGGAGGGACTCCGTCGACGATGCATCCGACACTGAGACAGTGCGACTCGCCATAGCTATTGAGAGGATCGTTAGTCGGAAAGGTTGAGGTGGGTAGAACGAAGGGCGGGCGCGCACGTTGTTACTCTGAAATGCGTTCCGAATGTCGACATGATGTGTGTTGATGTATAAAGACTGGCAGTAATGAATAAAACAAAGCGACAAAACGAGGGCAACTGGTCAATGATGGTCAATGGTTGTTACTCACCTTCGAAAAAGTCCAGCCCGCGATCGGCGTCCGTCTGCCATGCGACTCCCAAATCGCCCGCCCTGAACCCGCTTCCCCTCCGACGTCACTCAGTTAATCCAACATCATCGAGCATCAACCACCACCAGAGACTTCAAGATGCCGTTCGCTCTTTCGCTTGTAGAAGTATGACTTTCTATGTTTGAGATTGTCCCCAATTGAACCCTCACGATATTAGTGACATCGCGAAAACCTTTGTGCTATAATATCTTCAGCTTGTCATCTATCACGATAGAAATTCTCAGATATGGCCCTCTCACGAGAGCAGATCCATCTTGGCTCTTTGGACCTTCCCTCTCCAACTCGCCAATTCTGCTTCTTCTCTACGGGCTGTCTTGCAGGCTTCGCCAGTTTGCCCATGGCATTTCTACCCAAGGTTCCTTCGTTATCAGCAGCCACTCCTCCCGTACTTCGTGCTGGTATCCGATTCTGGACCTTCGATCACACCCGCCATATACTCGCCCCCTTCCACTTGCCAGTATGGTTGACAGGTGGGCTTGGCGGTGCAGCAGGAGGCTTTAATGAAGTTCTCATGCACTCGCTGGTCCAGTCAAGAAGCTTACCCACTGCCACTGCTCTAGGTGCTCAGACTCTGCGACTCTTCTTTTGCTTTGGTACATATACTTTTTTGAGCACTACCTTCAGTGACACTCTGCCCCCGAAACCCTTTTGGAAATGCTGGATGATGGGTGCTACTGCTGGTGCCACTGGAAGTGCTGTTGTCGCCGCTCTAGAGGGCGCAAGGGGCAAGGCTCTGTGGGGCCATGCAGTTCCCAGGGGCGCAGCGACCATTGGCACTGTCATCGCTGTACATGTTACCACATGCGCCAAGCTGCTCGACACTGTGGATGCTGGAGATTGAAACGTCCATATACCTAATGGCATTCAACAGCAAGAGATTGCTAGTGCTGCCAAACAGAAGGACCTGATACTGTCAACCGGGCTTTGAGCGCTTCCCGTAGAGCTATCACTCTAACAAGGCCTCGACATCTCTTTCGTCGCTCGCCGGATACAAGAGATTGTATAGAGAAATCGACTTGTGGTCGTCTGTCTCAGCCGTAGGCTCCGAAGTCTCCCGCGCTTCTGCGACGCCGCTCAGGAACTCCCTCATTCGAGCTCCTTTCCCAGTCCCGTGATTGTACGAGCTCGCTGCCATCCCACAGAACGTCAAGCTTTATATTCGAAGTTTGAAAGCCTCCAATAAGCGAGAAAAGCCGTGGTGGTATAGTGATATCGCACCTGATTCTTGGACGTTCATTTGATACAGTCCTTCGATTAGTCATTGGTTTCTCTAGTCGTTCTTTCGGATCTGGAGGTCGAAGGTTGGAATCCTGCTCACGGTGTTCTTTTTAGGTCGCTTATTCTGCATTCCTTTTTGCTTGTTGCGATACTTCGTCTGGATGCCTTCTACCTAATGGCTGCATCGTCTCTGTCTCTCCACAACTTTTCTCTGGACCTTTCTCCCGACCAAGAACGGCTCTGTAGCTGTCGACCATCAGTAACGAGCGCCGAGCCACTGTTCAAGGACAACAAAAGAGGTTCTGCGATGGCCAATTGCTGTAAGGCCAGAGCACTTGGGTTCATTAATATGGAGATCAGTCTCAATGATGGAATGCGCGTCAAGGTGTTGGTATCGCCTTAAAGCGTTTCTCCAAGGCGAAAGCTGTCGCTCAAAACTTCTTCAAGGGCAACAACAAAACTGCCTAAAGTGCGCGAAGGATGGTCATGATCTGGCAGCTGTAAGATGTAGAGACAGGTTGTCTCAGAAAACAGAGTTGCTGCAGACACGCTCGACGCTGCGAGATTAGGCAGCAACACGCAGAGAGGTGTGCCTACAAACATCCAGCGCGTCACATGCATGTCTTTGTTGTCGACGGAGTGGAACTAAATCAGTCAGGGGTGAAGTGTCGAGCCTTCACTTTAGTCATCCATCACTATCACAACAACGGCAACACCAAGCTATATAGACCATGCCGTCGCCTCTCCTCTCACCAACCAAGTCGGTGCCGCCGGACGCGGTGGCCCACTTGGTTGGCGCCAGTCCGGCAAACATCATCATCGCTCACCACCAAAGGTCTTGGGTTCAACTCCCATAAAGGCCAGAAAAAAAAGATAAAAGGGGCAAACAGGGAAAAAAGAGCACAAAAAAAAAAAGAAAAAAAAAAAAAAAAACACAAAGCCACCCCAAAAGAAAGAAGAAAAAACAACCACAAGTAAACTGCCTTCGAAATGCAAGTTTCTTCCGCCGGGAATCCGGTGTTTCTTTTGCTACTTGTGGTGCACAAGATTCGTTACTGGCTGTGAGTCGGAAAGATTCTGCATCCGCATCTTACAGTGGGAGAGGCTGGTATGTAGCTTACCGCTTCAGCACTACCTGACATACCAAAATGACTAGAGCAATTGTTCCTACTTAGAAACACACGAATCCACACCAGCAAAGTCCCGATGGCATACAGCAGTCATGATCCGGGATGCTAGGTCTCTCTTCCCAGCTATAAAGCTCGCATGCTTGTCTGCCTGATCAGCTGCAGCTATTGGGAATGCTATAGAGGGAACCTTTCTGTATACAGAGACACAAACAGTATAATCTGCCTCGACTCCTAACGCACAACGACTAGGTCGAGTTCTCACATAAAAATGTATCGTAAAGGCCTTGATCGACTCGAGCAATGGTCTTTATTTGTCAAAGGGAGTAGTTGTGCGAGTATGGCAAGGAGTTTATGAAAACAAGTCACATCTGTTTGGTACAAGCTTGCATCAATTATATACATGCGAATGGAAAAAAAAGTGGTATCGTGTGTTGCTGCCGTCTCTTTATCTAATCAACGGCATCGATGCTCTGCTCATGTTCGTTACCAAAAACGCCGGCAAAAACGAAACTACTACTATACATTGTTCAAATTTGTACAACTCTTTACATCTTTATGCAAAACAAGATTGAGCAATCAACCTTGACCATTCGAAGACAGGAAAAAGTCCAAGTCGCTAGGTCCTCCATGGCCAGTTTGTTCGTTCTCAGCCAATTGTTCAAGCAAACTCATAAACGGATCTTTGTCTCCTTCAGTATTCACGCTACCATTAGCAGACATTCCTCCAGGGGTCTGTTGGTCGAAGATCGCATTTGTCTGCGTATTCTGCCCGGGTATACTGAACAAGTTGTCAAACTGTGCTGGATTTAGGTTCGGGTCCATCGAAAGAGAAAGATTGGATTGCCAGGGCGAGAATGAGAAGGATGGTGAAAGAGCGTTCTGAGTGAAGGTTTGATTTTCATCTACCGCTGTTGTATGAGGCGGATAGGAGGGAGCAGTAGCGGTCGGTGAGGCCAAGGGGTTGGCAAAGTCTGGTGATAAGGGATTTAGAGCTGCATCGTGAATCACTGCAGGGAAATCTGGAGGGCTCGTGGCGTCGTTTGTGCGGCGGCGCTTGCGACTTTCTGTAGATACATGATAATCGTTATTGAGTTTTGCAGAAGACTTGACTGTCGCCGTGGCAGAAGAGGAAGTAGAAAGTGGATTTTGGAGCTGTGAAGTCCACTGATTGTTGTTGTTGAAGCCATTGTAAGCTGGTAGGCTTTCGTGTAGAGCTTCAACGGTAATGTCAGAGAAGGTGACGTGAGCTCCATCTATGAAATGCCCAGGATAGCGATCGAAAAAGTCTTCCATTTGGAAGACGGGCGAGAATCGCATGGGATTGGTAGCTAGCGATTTCACAAGCTGAGAATGGCAGCCGTAAACAGTCTGCAGCGTCTCTCGTTGGTGTTGTACGCCAGCCCAAACGACGCGCATCTCAGATAGTTGAGACATCTCTTTCGACAAAAACTCGGCGCTTCTGGTGAAAACGTCTCCCTCTCGGCTCGGGTAATGGGCGCCATGAACGTGGACTGTACCGGCAGTACAAAGACAGTATCCAACATAGGCTGGCCAATCAGTTATTGACGAATGTTTGCCTATCTCAGTCAGTTCTGAGATGGCGTTTGCATGCAGGAAACATAGATTTGTCGCTTCTATTTGCCAGGATTGATGTTGGCCAGAACCAGAGAGCTCACTCAAATCGATGGGTAAGAATGGTCGATATATCAAACAGTGAATAAGGTGGTAAACCAACTTGCTCAGGACCAGTGTTTGACTTTCGGGCTGGCCGAACAGTGTTTCAATCGACAAAAATGCATCCTGTGCGCCCGCAGCCCATGTATCAAGATCTTGTCGGATCTTGGACAAATTGGAGTGAGCATGCCAGGGAAAGTGCGAATCGCCTTTGACACCGCCAGCGGCAAGATAACGATTCGTGATGCCTAGTATTCTTGAAATCTCGATCAGCATGGATCCACCGCTCTGATGTAGTCTTCCCGGTGCCGCAGACATAGGTAGGTTCGTCCCGTTGGAGAAGAAGTTGCCTTCGTAGGGTATCGAGGTGGAGTCATCTTGCCATCCGGGTAGTCGTAAGAAGATGGCTTCGTCCGAGATGAGAGAAGGTCGCTTGGATCCAGAAGCCAGGAAGCGATCCATGATATAGCAAGTCCAGAAGAGTTTGCGACGTCCTTCTCGTTCGTTGGGCGAGATGCGGAGAGCGGCAGGAAGTTCGCGGTGCAAGCTCAGCGCATACGCCATGCTTATAGCGCTGGCTTGGGTGATGGTCAGCAAGTCTTGATCCATTGCATGTACAGCGATACTGACTAAGAAGCATATATGACTTTTTGCCTTTGCCTGCTTGGAAGAAGGCATTCGATAGCAATAAAAGGACTTGTACGTTCTCGATGGTCGGGTCATCGATATCCGTTAGATTCCGTGCTCGCACTGCACATTCTTCGCTATGACGAACTGCGGCATTGTGTCCACCGAAATGTTGAGGGGCAAATCTATATAATGTCAGATGAAGCATTGCCGCGAAACTCGTCAGGGATCGATACGCACCGAGCAGTGACAGCATGGATGGCATTGATGACGCTCGGCGGCAACTGTCCAGTTTGCCATCTCTGGCGGGTAGCAGCTTCATCAAGAATGTAATATGGTTTGCTGTGTATCCGCGCAAAATATGCATCAAGCAAAGTGTTGTTCTGAAGAGCAGATGGCACTTGTGGGCTGTTTCAGGCTCTCAGCGTGTCTTCACAAGAAAAAGGCGGTCACAATAGGGGCTTACCGCACAAACTGGTCTGGGAAGCCGATGCTCGGATGGCGCTGTGGGGGTTGCGGTCGTTGTTGCTGGATCTGCTGTGCTTCGACGGCTACGGGTACCACAGCATTTGGCGGAGTAGGAGCCTTCTTGGATGATTTCTTTTCCACTGCATCCCTCGCGCTTTCTGCGACTGCCGTTTCCGATGTGTCTTCATCCGGATCTTTTCCTTCATCTTTCAACCTCTTTTCCAGTCCATTTACACGTTTCAACAAGGCTTCGAGTACGTCGGTTTTGGGTCCTCTTTTCTTGGGTACTGCATCTACATACCATATCGAGTCAGTCCATTGAATATTTGCGCATGTGAATGCAGGCTTCATACCATAAATGCAGTCGCAGTTGAAGACTTCGCAGGCTTCACAAGATGGTCGCAGCCGGTTGCACTTGATCTTCGCAGAATCTGAGTTTCTCGTGCATACGACACTTTGATCATGTCAGACACACACCTTTCTTTTGCGACAGCTCTTGCAGTTCATGGCTTCCTTTGGTTCATTGCTGGACCGCCGTACTGGTAAGCGATCTATACCGATCTGTGGCCGAGACATTGTAGCAATCCAAAGATACAATGACGACCGGCTCAGCTCCAACGAGACGTAAACCGAGTGTGCCTCATGCCAGCGCCCTTTCGAGCAGGAATAAGCTTTTGTATGATAAAGTTCGGTCGAAAAGGTAAGAGGTGGAAGCCAGCACTGTGGTCTCGCGCCTGGGGAATGCTGATGATCACGAATGTTGGAAAGGTAGGTAGAAGAACGACTCGATATGGGATCAGGAAGCTTAACGAGCGCTGTGACTCCCGGATCTCGAGCGTCAACTTTCTAGCCCCAAGGGTCACGCCCCGTGGTCGCGGAGACCGTCTTCAAGAGCGGGGAATGATGCATGAAGGGCGCCGTCACCATATCGGTACACAATTTATCGGTATGATCACCACGAGGACAGCCGCTTATAGTTTACTGCTTCTACCTCAAACACATGGCTGTCCGTCACCCTTATGCATACTCCCTCCCCTCATTCATTCTATCCAGCTCGCGTTTATGATGCAAACAGATCCCCAGACTCGGCCCAAATCTTGTTCAAGGTGAATCGGTCTTCAACCAGCCGAGATGACCGTCTCCGCACGCGAGCTTCGGGCCCACTTGTTCCATCAATACCTAGCCCTAACTTAACGTCTCGGTTAATTTGTTGCTTTGGGACCAGCGTCTCAATCCCAGCCTTTTCTATCTCACATGATTACACAACTTATTGCAAAGATGACATGAAAGGGCGATGCAGTTAGATAGTGGCAATCAGATGGAACATCATGGAAACTGTGGCCGTGGTTTTAGATCATTCGTTAGGGTTATGCCCACATATCAACATGCTGCAACACCTCTTCCGCGACGGCTATCACCGGTTGTAGAGACATAAACAAGGGTACAGTAGGGTGTCTCGAACGGACCTAGTGGTCAACAGAGCGAGACAGCAAGGGAGTCAAGAAATAGTAAGTCCAGGTCGTAGACCTTGCACCAGAACGCCTAGCAAATATGCACTCATCAAATCCTAATAGATACTGCGTCCAGCCGCAAGCCGCACGAAGTCATAGGGCACATTTTGTCCTACCAAAAGCCTCAGTGTTTCGACTGTCGTCCATGCATTGACGTCGGCGATGCCGTATGCGGTCCAGCCCTGTGTTTCGGCAAGCGCGACTGGATCGCCTTTTCGAGGTCCATTGCTCAGGTCAAGGAAGACCCTTGCAGCACTTCGCAGCTCTTGTTTGGTGCTTCCGTAGTGCTTTAGCAGAGGCGTGACCAAGAGTGATTTGTCTGCCCGAAGAGCTGAGATGATTACCGAAGGCTGCTCGACCTTTTTGACATCCTCTAGTCCTCTAAAAGGGGTGACGAACCCAGACAAGGGTCCCTGAACCTTGAAGCCGATGGTGTAGATCGGACCAATGTTTAGACTGCGTAGAGCAAATATTGCAGCCGCAGCTTGAGACTCTTGACTAGCGAGCAGCAACGCAGCTTGTCCGCTATATGCTGAGGGGACAAAGTCACGGCAAAGGGTTGCTCGAATTCCCTTCCAAGTCGCATTCTCGCCTACGAGACTTGTCTTGTCACCATCGGAACGAGCGACCACAGTGTCGATCTGGCCAATGGAAGCTGCTGCGTCTGATATCGATGGAAGACAGGGTGCCGATGCGGCAATTGGAGGATTGATGTAGGCGCCTCCAAAGTGTGGCACCTTGACTACAGCGGCCAGACCATCTTGGGAGCTTTGTTCAACACAAACAAGCTGGTGTGGTAAACTTAACTCGTTGATACATTTTTCGAAGAACATGGCTTGCCCTGTGGCGCGCATGCTACCGAAGCAATACATGTCGAGCTTTGGCATTTGACCCATGGAGTGGAGGGCAGAGTTGATCTCGGCAGCGCTGAGCTGTCCTGGTGCAGCAATCAGAGGCAACAACGGATGCGTTATCGGCGTGAAAATCTTGTTGAGAGCTCTAGAAAGTTGGCCCATTGGACCCATATTCAGTCCAGAGAATGGCGGGTAGGGATAGGTACTCTGAATTATGGACCGGAAGTACTCCAACTCGTAATTCTCTTGCATGGTGCTGACGAGAGCGATCATCTTCACGACGTCTCCGTAAACAGCTCCTTGTTCGAACAACCGCTGCGCGTCGGGCGAGGTCCACTTGAAGTTACCAGAGAAGTCGTGGAAGGCGGAGATGATTTTGCTGTTTCCTTTTTGAGAAGCGAGCTTACGTCTTAGTTCCTCAGGAAGCCAGAGCTCAACGTCGATATACTCACAGCCCCATTGGACAGCTCGGTACAAGTAGTCATAGAATAACTTAGGATCTTCCATAGGGAAACGGCCATTCTCTTTCGTGCAGCGAGTAGTGAATATGATGGGCAGCTCTGTTCGTTGGCGTAGAGTCATGAGTTGCTCACCGACATACTGCAAGCTAGGGACTTCGTTGAAGGAGCCGTCAGACTTGGTCTCTTTCAGAAGGTCAACACGAAGCTCTATGGCGTCGGCACCAACTGAGAGAATGTCGAGATTCGGCAAAGCAGCATGAACATCAGGAAAGGTTGTGGAGATCAAAGTTGTTTTTGCCTTCTTCGCAAGGTCCTTGTGTGGGTTGATCTGGCCTAGAATGAAAGAAAGGAACCTGGCCAAATCTCGCCTAAAGAACGGCTTGGTTGTGTACAAATACTCATAGTCGCAGATAGAGGATCTAGAACCGACTGCCGGATTGGGTGCGTCTAGACAGTGAGTTGCCAGGACAGTACTGGAACCACGCCATCTCTGAACTCGTGATAGGTCGTAAGCGTCAGATATACCGATGACAGTACCATCGACTGGCGAAGCATTCTTGTCTTCAGCACCAACAAGACACCACTGTTGGCCTAGCACACCGGCTATCTCTGCAACGATGTGTTCTTGATCTCGTTCGTATAGGACCAGAATGCTTGGTTCCTCATGGCCTCGAATCTCTTCGACGGCCACGACGGGCCGGGGTTTCGTGATAGACATGGTCGGCGTCTCGACCTGGACTCTGGTAGCCATGGTCGGCTTTGTTGTTCAGGCCCGTGTCTCGATATACAGCTGGTGGAAGATGAGGGTAGGATGGACGAGTGGCGGCGAGATCAGGCTCGAGAGAAGAAGCAAAGGTGATTGTGCGATGACGGTGAGGGAAGGAGCAGGTTGCTTCCCATGTCTTCGCGCGGCCAAGTCAGGTTGGAAGCACTCGAGAGGACGGAAGATTAACGGAGAGAATCGCGAGGGTTGGTCGACACGGCCAGACAAGGATGATAGGCGTCCGTCATGCACGGCAAGTCTGACCTAAAGCTGTCGTTACAGAAGATCTTTCCGTCGAACATGACCGTGAAGCCGTGCCAGACCTTCATCCCGCATTGTAACTTTACCCCTCCGCCCATACGACTCTCGAAAAACGTTCCCCAGATCCTGGCGGATAAAATCCCCCCAGTTTTTGCGCCAATCATACGCGATCTTGCATTTACGCGGTTACCACTGAACTCGTGCACCTGTCATTCCCTTTATCCGTGGTGTATCATGGACATACCGTCTCCTGGCTCTTTGCGTACTGCTGTTGTTCATACCGCCCGCTCTGCATATCCTGACGGGCGAATCCGGCCGAAAAACGAAGCTATGCACATTTTTGTTATGTCTGCTTTGCGAATCTGCACGACCGCTTTCTATTTAGCCAATGGCCGGCAACGAGTCGTGTTGATGCCGAGAAAGATCAAGGTGCGGAGCATGCACGGAGTTCGAAACATCCGTCTTTTCTGCCTGTTGCTTCCAAGATCTCGAAAACTCCTCCATCTAGAGGGTGTCGATCATCGAGTCCTCAAGATGGAGAACCAGTGAACGTGGTCGCCAAAAGCTCATGGTTGTTTCTCGCCAAGCCAAGTTCGCGGTCAGCATGTCACCGCCAGCGATGTCAGCCTCGTCGCACTGGGACACTACATCAAACGCATAGTTGCGAACAATTCATGCGTCTCATCGAATACGCATGCAGAACACTGTCTCAAATCGTGCTCCTGCGCAATAACAATCCTCCACGAATGATTTGTCCTTATCGTTGCATGACGACGAACATTGACAAGGATAGGTGTTTCTGTTGCCTCTTTGTCTAAGTCCGTGTAAGTTATACCAATTGCAAGCTCATTGGAGCTCAATGATCGAGCCACACATGATGGTGACGATTTGAGGTCAATTCTGGTCAATGGTCCTAACATGACCTAATCTGTTATCGCCTGAGACTAGATCGCAACATATTGAGCCCAGCATGGCGAATCACAACAAACAGACAAAGGGTTGTCTCTATCCAGCTCGGGTCTGGTCCGCTGGCTCAAGAACTGTAAATCACGCACTTCTCACGGCGTCATCAGTGTCACTGGTAGAAGCTGTTGTCTGGTTAGAAGTTTGGGCTGCCTGGTAATGTTGGCCCAGAGACTCGCCAACAAAAGCTCCCATGCTGTCAGTAGGGCTTCCGTGTTCATTCTCGGCTTGGAAGAGCCGTAGCTTGGCTTTTACGAGGCAGTCTTTCATGACTTTGTTTCATGTTGTCTGGTCCTTCAGGCCACCAGCTCCCACGTGTGAATATTTTCCGAAGCGTCTGTCAAAATGTAGCTCCTTCTCGAAATACAAGCGATCGTGAATATTTGCACCATTACGTGTTTACCAGGGTCTTCAAGGACTTACAATAATTTTGGGAGAAGTTTCAAAGGTGTTGAGATGGCCAGACGCCCGGGCGAGACGGTGAGTACGTTTTCCTAGACTTCTTTATATTGAACAAGATGAACTGGCCCCTGGCGCCATAATATCAATAGGATCTGATCCAGGATCTGGCGTCTCTAGCACTTGTCCCCATGGCGAAGATCCAAGGACCTCATTTCAAGGAAGATCGAGCATGGTTTATGCGTGACACAGTCAGCCTTCTCTATCGGAATTGTGCCAAATCTTGCGGAGTAGTGATAAATGGGTATCATTAAGCGAAACAAGGACAGGTCAACATAGGCCGAAGTTCTTGGAGGGAATGGCAGACTGTGGTCCGTCTGGGATCGAGCAGTCTGACAGCTCACGTTGCCGCGAGGCTCTGTTGGTGGTCCGCGAGCTTTGGTCTCGGCATTGCTGAGCGTTCTACGTACAGATTTAGTCGCATAGCCGTTGGATTCTTGTCCATGATGCAGAAGACGACAGACATAACGCAACACGATAGCTTGGTGCATGTCGCGACGCCCCGTACCAGTAGGGTCGAGATCTTTGTTCGTAATCGCAATCAGACCCGGGCAACGGACCACCACAGCGACTCATGCAAGAATTGCGACAGATAATTGGCCTACTTTGTAGATAGTGGATCAGGATTCATGTGCCACGCACACACCGGGACCAGACAGCCGAAATCACCGGATCGACGCAGAAAGGCCGACGAGAGATTTTATTGTTGGTCGAGGACAAGCTAGCCAAGGAGCGCCAAAGGAAATGAGATGCACCACTCGGCAGTCAACAACAAGCGGAGAGAAAAAAGACCGCAACAGACGGGACGTCGCTATATTTTGACCATGACGGTTACACAGTGGTCCAACAGTACAAAAATAGGGGCGGCGACGATTCACCACTCTTGATATACACTGTTCGAAACACAACGGCGGTCGCAGTGTATCGCAAATAAGCCGGGCAAAAGGGTCTGCAGAAGATTGACCAAGCTGCACGCTGTCAGGTACCCGTTCAGGAACAAGCGATAGGGGGAAAGCGCTAGCCGGAGATCGCCACGCTAAGTGGTCCGCGCGACAACGGCCTGATTCGATGAAACGCGCACCTTGACCGCAGACTGCATCCTGCACTTCACCAGTAGATTGAATGTCATTATGCTTTCTGCAGGCTAGTATAGATTGTAGGTCAAGCAATCATGGTTCACCGGCCTGTGTGCCACACGGGGCAGCATCTTGAATCGCCTTTTCTTACGCTGCTTCCCCATCACTTCTCCCTCTCTCTCCTTCCTCACCTACAAGACTACCAAGCGTTTCTCGTCCGGTCCTCACGTCTCTTCAGACACCACACTCATTTTCAGTACCAGTCACTCTTTGATTGTTTGCCTTGAGCGCGGAATTGATTTCTTGCCTCCACATTCTCTCCAACACAGCACATACAGCATACCCACGAGTTCTCACGACTTCGACGTTGTAATCGCATCCTAAACGGTACTACTTGCTCCGAGACATATCATCATCATCATCATGCACTTCACCTCTTCCCTCATGGCCGCTGCCTTGGCAGTCGGCGCAAATGCCAACCAGTTCAAGCGTCAGGACTATGGCAACTTCAACCAGACCTCGACCGCTGCTGCTGCCATCAACTACGCTCCTCTGTCCAGCTCTAGCTCTTCGGTCGTCGCTCCCATCAACACTGCCGTTTCTGTTGAGGCCTCCTCGGTTGCCATCCCCCTCTCCACTGGTGCATACGAGAGCTCTGCCGCTGCTGTCGAGACCAGCGCTGCTGCTTCCAGCTCGGTTGTCGCTCCCCTGAGCACTGGTGTCTCTGCTTACCCTAGCATCGAGACCAACGCTGCCTTCGGTACCGGTGCTTACGGCTCTGGAGTTACCTCCGCTCCCGCCGCTGGTGCCACTGGTTCCGAGACCGTCACTGCCTACACCACCTTCACCACCGATGTGACTCTCACCTACACCATCGGCTCTGGCTCGACCAAGTCGGTTGTCACCACCACCATCCACAAGACTTCGACTGCCTACATGACCAACACTGTGTACGCCACTCCTGCTGCCTCCTCAGGTGCTGCCGCTTCGGCCTCGGCCGCTGCTTCTGGCTACGGCATGGAGTCTGACTCGACCTCGACCACCACTCTCTCGACCACCAGCACCACTACTAACACCGTCTATGTTTCGCCCACTTCCACCGGTTCTTACTTGAGCTTCTGGGGCGAGAAGGCCGCTGTTACTGGATACGGCTCGAGCTACGGAGCTCCTGGAACTGGCGCCAGCGCTACTGATGCTGGCTGTGCTCCCGCTTCCACTGTTACCGTCACTGCCAACGAGACCGTCTACGTCACTGTTGACTCTGCCATGAGCACTATTGCTCAGAGCACTGCCACTGGCGCTAGCGTTGTCCCCAAGCAGAGCAGCGCTGCTCCCTACTACCCCATGAGCTCTGGTTCTTCCAGCTCTTCTAGCTGCGCTTCCACTGGTTTCATCACCATCCACAGGCCCTCGGGCGCCTCGGGTGCCGCCTACCCTACCGCTTACTAGATGTCTCTAGCGAGTGCTTGCTCTTTTGAGCTGTAACGACCCCAATCCGGCATTGATGATCCCCTTTCCAACCCCAAAAATCTCACACAAGTGTACCTGTGCACCATCCTCCTAGATTTCGGCTTGAGGCGTGTTCATCTCACCGCCTTCATCTATCAGGATATCTATTGTTTATTCGTCGCGCTTGGCTTTACAATTTCGTCCCCACCCTGAGGGTTTAGCATTGCGATCTAGAAAGGGCTGGGCTCTTTTACTGTTGTCCTTTTTCTTGTTTATACCCTTCCATCGTCTTGAGGCGCAACTTACCGCTGATGCGGTCTGAGGTCTTGACACGAACAATGTTTGTTATCTTCATCTGTTGATATCGATTGATATGTGGTTTTGCAATTTCCTTTGTATACCGAGTTTCATTTGTTCAGCAAACAGAAGAGGAGGGAAATGTTAAGGAGCGATAGCGCTGATCTTATGTTTTCTTTGCAAATCTCTTCCTCGTCATGTTTCTTGGAGCAACATGGACATTTGTGTACAGCTAGGATAAACAAAATCTTTACTCTTGTTATCAGCAATGCCTTTTCAAGATTCCCATCACACCTCGGACTTGGTCCTACTCACAAATGCCTTGCAGAAGGTCTACGGTAGGGCAGAGCAAGTCTAGTTGTTTCATCTACCTAGCAGCAAGTCCTCCATTCATCTCCAGAAGATCACAATCTCTGCCCTACAAAAGTCTATCCAGTTTTATCCCACTCTCGAAGTTTCAAGTTTATCAAACTTATCGATCAGGGCGATACAATCATACAGATCGATTGGCACAACTTGCCGAGTCCCGACTTCGTCCAGATTGTTGTTTCGATGCATCCCTGTTGTTTTGATCGTTGTTGTCGCAATCTTTCTGATATCGGTCATCGGCTTTAACGGCTATGGGGCTCTCCCTTCCTCTCTCTCCACTTTCCCCTGTACCACGTTGGAGCTTGTGACTGATGACGAGTCTGCTCACGCGAGCTGTTTTGTATAATTTTGTGACTGCCCCTTTATGACGAATACACGGGTTTCGAATGCCGAAGACCCATTTGTATAAGGGATGTGGTTTTTCAAATTCGAAGAGAGATGATTTTGATGGAGAAAGAAAAAGGGAAAAAAAGGAGAGAAAAAAAGATGAGGCGGTGGTCACCCTGTCGCAATTTTATTGTTCCTTCTTTTCGTCAACACTTGTATCAATGCCCCTTCTTGATTGAAAGTGCGATTATGCCGGGCTTTATAGTTCATTTGAGAGTATTAGAGATTGGGCCGAACGATCGAGACATAATGGGAAGATAGTGGAAGGTTGTGTGCTCTTTTGATTGAACAAGCGGCAGACAGATTTGCATACGAGAGGCAACATCCACATTGGAGCACTTAGGCCTGTGCCGTCTTCTGACTAGGCAAGCTGATTTGCTGAACAACGACTTGCTTCCATCTTTCTTGCCCTTCCTTGATATCTGCTTTCCTTGGCTCATCTCTTTTGGCCCAGCTCACGATGTCTTTCGCATGCTGCAGCTTTCCTGCCCAGGTCAAGCAACTCCACTTTGATTCTTCCTCCCATACTGGAAGTACATTTCCATGCTCGTTCATAGTCAGATGGCCTCTGGTACCACATGTCGTACACCCAATCGCATTCTTGCCGTGCTCAGGCAGAAGCTCTATTTTAACCAAATGGCAATGTGGACATGCACCGCCTTCTTCGTCGCCCAAGTATCTCGTATCGTCATAAGACTTGCCAAGCTGGCTGGCAAGATTCTTGCCCATTCGTTGTGCTCGAGCAATCAGATCTGCATGCAAACAGACGGCACCCGAACTTCCTAGATCCTGACCGATGAACTGATCAACCACTTTGGCATGTAGAGCATAAAACAAGAGATGCAATGTCGGTAACACCATAGTGAATTGATCTGGTGTCGAAGAGCCTCCTACAGCTATAAAACCCAATACTCTAGGTTTTGCAAGCCGTGGATCGAGTTTGTCGGGGTTGAATGTCTTGCCAAAAGTGACATCTAGAGAAGGCCCTCCAATCCTGTCCATGAGCAATTTTAATGTGCCTAGAGGTTGATGGCTGTATGTTGGTGTAGAAACGATTATGGCATCGGCATCCAGGATAGCTTCTCGAACAGCAGCTCGGTCGTCAGGTGCATTGTTGGAAGCAACGTTAAGCTTTGAAGCTAGATCAAAGCCGACAGGACTATCCAAAGGTGCCGGGTTCGTTGGAATAGATATAGAAGGAACGTGTATCCATGATGTTGTGATGGAGGAGTCGGACTCAGTAGCCGCTGTCAGTGCGGCCTTGAGTAGAATCTCAGAATTTCCAGAAGGTGTGCCGTTTGCTAGACCGAGGATATGCATTTCGTGATGTGCTCTCCGCATTTAGTGTAACCGCAGAACTATTGTCCTGAGCTCGAAATATATATAATAATGCTCGAAGAGGGGTTGCTGGTTTAGTTCGGATGTGCGGACGAGCCCTATCGTAGGGCATCGGGATGTGGAGGAAGCGGCAATGGATACCGGTAGAGAACCTGACCCTGTCCTGATGTTCACGTAGCGAACACTTCTTGCAGACGTTGCCAACAGAGTGAAAGACAACACCGCTGTGCGTCACTGTGGCTTAGCCATCATATAACCTACATCTGCGATGGCACATACTATGGACCTGAATTATGGTGAAAACCCTCCCATAGCAGACCTCGAGTATGCACACATCATAGGCGATAAGGCGTCATGTGCTTGAAGCACTACTCATGAGACCTGAATTTTGAGAGTCAGTAACATGCATTACGACCCAACAGCACGCCCAATTCCAACGTGATTGCTTTCAGCTCCCGAATGGCTAGTTATTTCAAATCTTTTGTCGAGGCGAGGATGCTGTTCGTCCGGTATTGAAGGCTTGCATGTATGCATGGTCGTTGACAAGATCAGGCTCACCCGAAACATTATCTTACAGTATCGGGCATTTTGTCGTGCCTCCTGAATCATGCGATGCTGTGAGGCCGCAAGGATTGTGGATTTCCTCAGCACTTGAGTCGTCAATGGCTGATATTGTCGGTGCTGAGTATGATCGGAAGGGAAGAAGGTTGGTCCAGACAACGCCATACTGCACGGCTGCTGTGAATGTCGAATTCCCGAGGTTTTGCCACGAACTTGATGCCGTCCCTTGCTCGCGTTCGCCGTCCATCAACATTCAGGTCCAACCTTGATTATTGTGTAGATGACCATTTTTGGCTGTCCTCTGCGATTTCCCAACGGTTAATTGGGCGTGTATGCACAAGGTCGAGTATGCTTGGCGTAGCGGAAGGAGGTGGTTGTTCGTACTCTCCTGCTCGAGCTATCCCTGCCAATCCTCATGCCATACGCAACGTTTTGGCTTGGCCACCTCGACAACGCAAGAAGATCTTCCTAAGTTACATTGAAGTATGAGAACCGCCTCTCAGTGTTGTCCAACATCTTTGAAAAGTGTTCGAGATACTGCTCGATCGGATAGCGATGGCGCACGGTATCTCAAAATCTCGGCCGCTCTTTCCATCTTGGCCATCATCGGCTGCTCCGGACAACATGTATGGGTAAAACGTTCGTGCTTCTAGCATTCCATTCTTTTCAGTCTCCTACATGCAGCTTTCGTTCAGCAGCAACTAATATGGAGTTTTCATTCCATTTTTGGCAATCACACTTCAGCAGTGGCGTCCCAAATAGTTATTTGAGGAGAGCTATGCTGTTGAGAAGGATTGTAAGGGTGAAAGACCTGGATATAAAACCTTTGATGTCGTCCAGCAATGATTGTGTCAAGCAGCCAACGGCCAACATTCATCATGAAGACTTCCATCCTTCTTTCTGCGGTCTTCTCTGCCTTGGCGCAGTCCGCCGCGACCTCAGGTTGTGGAAATCCTCTGTCATCTCAACTCACTCAAGGAGGCGCTAGTCAAACCAACAGCCTGAATTTCACAACTTCGGGCGGAGTTGTTCGCAGCTATCTACTCCATATCCCTTCCTCCTACAACATCAATACACCAGCCCCCATTGCCTTCTCCTACCATGGCAGGACCGAAACTCCTCAGGACCAAGAAAGTATCTCGGGAATGTCAAATGAGACTATGAACCCCAACTACCTCATTGTTTACCCTCAAGGTATCAACTTGCAATGGCAAGGTGATCCAGCCGCCGTCGGGTACGATGATATTGGTTTCACGATGGAACTTCTTGCCAATCTGTCGAGCACTTTCTGCATCGACTCATCGAGAGTGTATGCTGCGGGAAAGTCCAACGGTGGCGGATTCGCTGCAAATGTCCTAGCTTGTGATCCACAAGCCTCCCGCGCTTTCGCAGGATTCGCTGGTGCTTCGGGCGCATACTACCAGGGTACAACAGATGCAAACTGTAACGATGCCACGGTGCAAATCGTGTGCAACCCTGGTCGTTATCCTGTGCCGATCTTTACGACCCATGGTGATTCTGACCCTACAATTCCATACACAGGAGGAGGCCGTCGTGGTCGCTGTTTGCCATCTGTCCCGCTTTTCATGACAAGCTGGGCGGTGCGCAACAATTTGGGATCTACAAACACGTCAGTGTCACTCTACAACAACAATGTGGTCCGCTATGACTATGGAAACGACAGTTTCCCGCAATTGAGTGCTCATTACTATGTGCATGGCCTTGCACACACTTGGCCTTCTCTCGCAGCGGGGTCGCCGTTCGACGCAACACCTCTGCTGCTTTCCTTCTGGAACAAATGGACGCTGGACAGTACACCGTACAACTTCGTTAACGCCACAACGAGTACGACTGCCACTACTGCACCCACTTCTACGTCCACTAGCACACCCTCGACAGCTACACCAACTTCTAGCATCCCGTCATCAAGTCTGTGTCCATCTGCCAACGGCCAGTCAGTGACCGACTCGAACAGCAACATTTATCTTGTCACCTGTTCAGCAGACAACAGTGTGGGATCGTACGCCAATACTCAAGCCTCCGCATCATACCTTGACTGTATGAATGCTTGTGATGCTGCGATCTCGAATGGTTGCGTAGGCTTCACATATGTTGGAGGCACAAACGGTGTCGGCTCAGGTATTCATTAGTATGCACTTCTAGTGAACCCCAATACTAACTTTAGTTCCAGGCACATGTTGGTTGAAAAAGAGCATGGGTTCTTATCCAGCTTCTGGTAGCAACACCATATCTGCAGTCAGGGTATCAGGTGGATCGCCTGGCAATAGTGTCTCATCCTCTGCCTCGAGCACATCATCAACATCTAGCTCGTCTGTCTCATTCTCTGCTGCTCCAACCACGTCAGCTCTATCCTGCCCTGCTTCCAACAACCAGGTATACACCTACGCAGCCAATGGAGCTCAGTTCGTGATCGAATGTGGCATCGACCATTCAGGTGGTGATATGGCTAGCACATCCGTCAAGAACTTCGAAGGCTGTATCGCGGCTTGCGCAACTACAAGCGGATGTGTTGATGTATCGTTGTCCGGCTCAGCTTGCTATCTCAAGAAGATGCTCGGTGCAGCGGTGACCAACGGTGGTATATTGGGCGCCAGATACATAGGAGTTGCTTCGTCCTCATCGGCATCTTCCTCATCTGCCTCTTCCACATCATCCTCGGCACTCTCCTCCCTTGCCTCTTCCGTACCATCCTCATCATTCTCATCATCCTCATCATCCTTCTCCTCGTCCTCATCATCATCGCGATCATCATCGTCGTCCTCATCGACTACGTCGACGACTTCCCTTTCTTCGATCAGCAGCACTTCCGTCGCTTCATCATCGTCATCATCGAGTGTGTTGCCTTCTGTCGGTGCTGACGGATATACGACGACAAGCTATTCACCCACTTGCACTGCGATCAACACCAACATCTACGCGGTGACAGACACCAATGGCAAGCCTTATCTATACATGTGTGGTGGAGGTTCGGCTGGAGGAACAGTTTCAACAGTCACGAACGTGGCCAACTGGACCGCTTGTTTCCAAGCTTGCGATAGCTACAATGGGTGTACTGGATTCAGTTACAACCAAGGTGCTGCTCTTGGTAACGGAGTAGGTCAGTGTTTGATCAAGACTGACAGTCCTCAATCTTTTGCCAGTACAGCCAATCTGCTAAGCACAAGAATCGCTGGATATATTCGTCCTATCACCACTACCTCGAGCTCAGTGGCAACCAGTTCAAGTGCGACTACCACCGCCAGCACAAGCACCGTCTCAATGTCGGTCTCAGGTAGCTCGAGCGCTTCCAGCTCCAGCACAACACCGTCCATGACTTCCTTTAGCACATCAACGATTCCCTCAAGTTCTGCTGGAACCTCCTCTTCAAGCGTATCGAGCTCCAGCTCGTCTGTAGCGTCGAGTTCCGTTGAATCGACTTCCAGCTCCTCAGTGGTTTCTAGTTCCAGCACCTCGTCAACAGTAGTCGCTCCTTCCTCTACACCAATCGCCGCGCCTTCTTGCCCTGCATCCAATGGCACGGTTTACACTGATGCTGGCGGTCTTCAATACACCATTCTCTGCACTTACGATACTTCGGTCAACACGATCAGCGCATCCTCGAGTATCAACAGCTTCGGAGGTTGTGCTACGCTTTGCGATAGTACATCTGGATGCACTGGTTTGACCTGGAATGGCACTGTATGCTCGCTCAAGCAGTCATTCGGTCAATATATTCTCGGTGCTGCTAGAATCTGAGCAGTGGCTGGTTCGGGACTTGAAGTTGAGATTCGGCTTCGAAGAACACACAGGGAAGGAGTTAAGGTGTCAACGAGAGTAGTTAGGCAAGGATTATGCAGTATCTAGAGAGCATCATACAGGTGACCATTGTTCAAGTGTCAATTTAGGAACATCAGACCTCCGTGAAGTTCTTCCTCTACTTCGACTTGGCAGCACGACCGAGTGCAAGTTCTTCCAATGTCAAAGTTTGTCCGTTCTTGTCGCGTGAGCGAGGAATCCAGTATACCGTTAAGACAAGCCCAATGAGCATGAACGCCGAGAAGCTATGGATACAAGAATAAGTCTAGGCGGAATGAAGTTCGTTAGACAGACACTTACACAAGTAGATATGTCTTGTCAGTATGTATACTGCCGTGGAGCCACCCGAGGATGCATTGAGATAACACAGCTCCTAGCTTGCCGAAAGCGGCACTGATGCCGTGAGCCGTCGCTCGGTAGCGAGTGGGAAACACTTCAGCTGGAATGATGTACGTAGTAGTATTTGGTCCTGTTCCTATTATCAGCCTTCTTGACTACACCTACGAGATCTGACACAATCTCACCAAAGTTGAAGAAAATCTGTGTTAGGATGTACAGTACGACAATCACAGGTGATCTGTAGGTTTTCATCAACGTACGGTAGCTTGTACCAATCACAAGAAATAGGACGAATAACCAGAAGAAGCCATTGATTTGAATGACTCTCCGTCCTAGGCGATTGATCGACACGAATGTGATAAGGTTTCCGAGTATGGCTCCAAGCGATACGATTAGCAAGCTCTGCCAGGCGTTTCCTAGTAAAGATTGATATAACGATGTTTCTGGAGGGCTGCCATCGTTGTTTGCCCATATTATCTCAAGAGTGGTATAATCATTCTGTGATCGAGTCAGTAGATGCGTGATTTTGAGATGGCAGGCATACCATGCCAAGTCCGTAGAACGCAAGATCGAGTGATAGCCATGTCAGTGATGTCGCGACCAATGTGCGGTAGTTCCCCTGGTGCCAAAAATAGTCTTTAACATCTATCCAAGAGGCTTGAGGCGGTTGGTGCACTTCTTCGGTATCCATAACCGAAAGAGGAAAAATCGGATTATTGACTTCTTCTGAATTTATCTCATCTTCGTGATCTTGCTGGAAGGAAACACGGCTTCGAGTCGAGAAGTGGTCACCCGAATAGAAGTAACGGTTGACATCGACGGCTGCTTGATGGTCGTCTCTTACGATGTCAACGGTATATCTTGGACTGGTTTTGACTTCATTAGCACGTATGCAAGCTGTATATGAGTTCTCATATGTCGCACCTCTCGATAATAGTTAGACGGAACCAGAGGGAAGCAGCGGCAGGTACCGCTCCAAGCCCAAGAACCAGACGCCATATGACATCCAGGGTCTTCAGGCATTCTCCTTCACACACTTGTGAGTCGTGGGGTATCGAATTACGAGCGGCGTATACGGCGATCAAAGGGACCAATGTAGCAAGAAGCTGACCGAGTGGCTGACACATGAAGACAGCGGTCAACATTCTGCCGCGAAGCCTGGTCGGCGCCATCCTGAGAGCATAAGTTCGTGTTCATAAGAGCCAGGTATAGGTGGGTACTTACTCAGAGCACAGGACGGCACTCAGTGGGTAGTCAGCTCCGATGCCAATGCCCATAATCAGGCGCCAGAATATGAGCCACCCAATCAGTGACATGGATCCGTTGATGCCGTTCGAGGCCATGGCCGATCCCAGGGCAGCAGCAACTGTGATCATCAGCTCAAGGCCATAAGCCTTTCTTCGACCTGGGTTCTATCAGCCAGACCGACGTTACATCTGAGTGGTCGCCTTACCCAACCAGTCTCCAACAAGCCCGAAGCCTAACTGGCCTAGTATGCTTCCTCCTAAAGTTGCAATATTTATAGCAACTGCATATTCTTTGGGCACCACACCGCGCACAGGTGTCGAGGTTGGAGAGTAAACCCGCTCCGAGCTTGGATAGTAGATATGCCCTATCAAAGGCATGACAAGGTTGATGGCGAAGATCTGTAAGAAGTGAGAGGAAGAGCTGGGATCTCAGACAAGTCATCCTACATTGTAGGCGTCTGTCAAGAAGCCAACCCCAGCCACAACGACAACCCACAACCATTCCCTTCGTCTTGAATGTTCAAGGGAATCGAGGATATATTGGCGTCTGTCCGCGGCCTAGCGCTTCATCAGTGCCTGCAGGGTCGCATTATGAAGACGGATCATGTTACCGAGACATCTTCGAATTTTGACACATTGGACCACGGATTGAGGTGCAATCTGATCCAAGTCAGACCCGCCATGGCGGACTAGATGACTTCACAATCGAGGATGAGGGTCACGGAAGATAGTGTTGTTGAATGTAATTGAGATGGAAATCACAACATGCACCGCTGATCCACGAATATATCTTCTCTCAGCGAGGCGCAAGAACGTCTCGTGGAAGCCGCGACGCGCAGATGTACATGGTGGTGTCTGCCTTGGTGCCTGCTGCGCCCATTGGGCGTCGGCTTCAGCTCCTATCACTCGGATTGCTTGAGCAGATGCAAAATCCTTTGGTCCAAAACCACCATGCCATCGAGTTATGCGCACAGCTACGGGCCAAGGATAGCATCCCATTGCTTGTTACCTAGCTTGCTGATAAAGCGATTTATGGGTATCATCTGACAAAATGCTTTCATGCAAGCTGCGACTCATATCACCATTCAATTGATGCATAGAGAAAGAGGCTAGAAGGAAAGAGCAAGGGGAGCGAGGGGAGGCTGTCAAAAGCAGCGGGCTTGGCAGGGTCCATGAGTTGCATCTCCGACCACGTTTCGCAAGTTGCACTTTCCATTCGCTCGCTGCTATATTGCTCATGCAGCTACATAGTAATCCTCCGTGACTTGCCATCTGTCTGCGTCGAAGAGACGGCTGCCTGCCAGTCTTGTCATCACTTGATAATATGCGACCAGATTGACACGCGCTGGCGGGCCTTTTCAACAAAGTCCAGTCCAGCAGCTGCAGTCAGCCAAAATGTCTGTCGCTCGCCATTGCAAACATATACAGCTTTTGCATCATGAGCTTTGGCTGGTCTATCGGTGATGTTATCTTGCTCGCACAGTATAGTTGGAAGGTCTACGAAAGCTTTGCCGACGGCAGTCTCAATGCCGCTAACGAGTATGATCGCTTCAAACGAGAATACCGCCAAGTGATCACTTGTTTAGAAAGGCTTGCTGATGTCAGTCCCGATCTCGCATCTCTTACAGGTTTCGATGAGACGCTCGGAGACACTATCAAATTCGTCGACAAGCATCGCGCTCTTACCGCGAAAGTGACACGTCCTTTGATCACAACATCACCACGAACCAGCAATAGGCTTAGAGACTTCCTGGAACAGCTTGAGCGTAGCTATCAGACGGCAACATGGCCGATCTATCGCGAGGAGGCAGAGAAGCTTCATGGTCAGCTCGATCGGGTTGTTGCCATCGCAACTCTGCACGCAACAACGACCACACTTAAGAACACCCAAGGTATCGAGAGGCAGTCGAACGACATCATGCGTGCGGTCAAGTACGGCATTCCTCGCACCCTGTCGGGATTTGGCTGACATGATCTAGATCTCTGAGTGACAAAGTCAACTTCGTCCTGAAAAGAATCGCTCCAACATCCTTCACAAGTACATCTGATGTCGATTTGGACTACCTCATGACATTATCTCATACTAGTTTCAATCAGCCGGATCCTCTCCTTCAGGTCATTGGAGATCTGGATCGAAGTAAGTCGCCAGAAGATATGCTGCGGCTCCTACACCAATTCTCGCAAAAGATGGGGTATTTGATCATGAGAGACTCTAGAGGAGTGCGCCCAGTGCCCAGGTCACAGGCTCTGAACAGCCAAGGTTCTATCACAATTGAGCGAATTGTACCTGTTCTGCAGCTTCTGGACAGTGCTCGCACCGTTGCAGATACCGCGCTTGGTCTCCCTCGCACACAAAGCCGTGTTCAAAGACATTCAGCGAGTGCCAGTCTTGAAGCTCGAGCCGACGACTGGGACGTCTTCGGTCAATGGCTCAAATGGCACATGCTGCATGATATCTCGCCCGAGCCGATTCAAACGAATCGTTCTGCGCAGCCTGCGGTTATTGCGTCAATGAGCCAATCTCCGCCAACAAGTCCAGGGGCTTCTGAAGTACCACAGCAATATCTGACTGGACAGCCTCGAGACATATCTCCATCTATAATAGGCAGTCCTCTTCCAGAACCAGTGTGGACTCCTAGCACCGAAGCATTTTCGACACCTGGTACTATCTTTACTTCTGCTAGCAGCCAAAGAAGATTTTCATCCATTGATCTCGGATCGTCCTACATTGAAGACTCCACGCATTTGGCCTCAGCTACGTGGCCGGTTTCTATGTGAGTTTATAGCTCGACTCCAGCTGACCTTTCTGACAGAGAATAGTGTCCTCGAGAACAAGCGAACATTCGACGCCCTGTTGGAGATCCTCGTCTCTCCAAGTGGCACAGTGGAGAAGCTTCGAAGCAAGACTAGAGATCACAAGTTCACCCTGTATCATGTCCCGTCTGGTGGCACAAATCGTAACAATACTTTCATTCCATGGATCGATAACAGCCGTGTACACAAATCAAGCATGAATGAGGCTAGGCTACAATTCAAGGGATCGCATCAGGTTATCGTCAAGGATGAAAAGACACATAGAAGCACGATATACAACACCCGCCCGGTATACCGCTTCGATGAGGTTGAAGGTATCATTTGAACCAACAGTGGTTAGATGTGTTATGAATAACTGACGAGTTGTGCAGATTTGCTGTATGTACAGGAGAAATTGATTGGGAAGAGTGTAGTCGCGACTTTCGACGTTGTCCGGATAGCTACTCGTGCTGGCGAAGACTACTGCGCGTCTGAGACACTACGTGTTTTGGAAGATGCCGAGAGGCAAAGATCATTTCTGTACTATGCTCACAAGATGCCATCAAAATCAGTGACTACGAATCCTGGCTTCGTTGAGTGGTCATGTAAGCAGATCATTTCATATGGTTTGGGGCTTTACTGATTCAATTTCTCAGTGAACGACTTTGAGGAGATCAAGAAGGAAGGCAAGAAGAAAGTCAGATTGACATTCAATCGACGAGATAGCTTGCCACGTAGATCAACATACGGTAGCATCGACTCTGTCCTCTCATACGACTCGACATCTAGCGAAGGCCCACAGACTAAAATCAAGCATCGTATCAAAGCAATAGATTGCGAGTTCTATGACCAAGAAGGTACTATTACGATGTGAATGATTTTCGCAAATGACTGATTCAGTGGGTAGATCGTGAAGCCTTCGAAGAGCTGTGTAAGCCATCGTCAGCACCTGTGTTCCGCATGCCCTTTAGACCACGGGATCTAGGCATTGGATCTCCACTCACGGACCTTAGTCTTGGTCCACCACTTGCCGAGCTGGAATAATCCTTTTAGCTCGCCGATGTAGAGCTGGATCCTTGCGATAATACTCGAAGTATTCTGGACGAATGAGTCTAGACATGTGTGAGAAGGGAACGGATAATGACAACGAAGCGTGGCGTTGGGGAGTCATATATCATACTTTAAGTTCTATCTATAGCGGCTGATGAACAAAATCATGCGTGCCCGTGGTCTTCGCCCCGCCATCAACATTCCAGTGCATTGAAGCGCCTAAATAATGTTCCATGCGAGGCGCGTAAATAGGCGCCGAACGAATGCCTTGGCACTTAGACCTAGCCAAAACATCTTGGGCGCCTGTCAGTGATTCTCTTTCCTCGATTGTGTTGAGCACAAAAACTTGGAAGGAGAGCTCGTCTTCAAATCAGGCCCCACCTCTGGACTCTGTGTCATGGATGAAGACAACATCAGCAACAGACTTCACAGACTGGCTACCCACGAGTGGGCGAAGCAATTCCTCGAACACTACGACAACACTGGTGTCGAAAGATTGGCATCAAGCTATCGCAGTGATCAGACATGCACATGGCAGCTGAAACGCAATGGGTCATTCAACTCTGTTCACAAGGTTCTATTCGAGGATGGAACAGCATGGGCAGTCCGATTTCCCATTCCAGGTCGTGTCATGCATCCATATGAGAAGATTTGTCGGGAAGTGGCCATTATGAAATTCGTCAAGGAGAACACCACGATACCTGTTCCGGCGGTCATCGCTTTTGGTACCGCTGCAGAAAATCATGATCCTGCCATAGGTCCGTTTCTAGTAACGGAATGGGTGGAAGGCAAACCAGTCACAGCATTCCTTGAGAAACTTCCACGGCCAAGCTGGGGTCCTGTATTACGAGATGACATCGAGGAGCAACAACTTCGTACAATCTACAGCCAGATGGCTAGCATTCTTGTAGAGCTTGCGAAACACGACTTCGACAAGATTGGCGCGCTGTGTGCGGACCAGAGTGCAGAAACGTCTTCCTGGTCCGTCAAGTCAAGACCAATGACCCTGAGGGTAAACGACATTCAAGCAGGCGGTAATGTTGTCACAGACAGTAAGGCTCTTTGTCATCACGTCTGCTCTTACTCTGCTCACGCCGTCAGATCACAATCTACCTGCCTTCGAGACCACCACAGAATACATGCAAAACCTCGTTCAACAGAACACAATCCACCTATACGAACAGAGAAACTCCATCGATGATGGTGTCGATGCTCGACGCAAGTTCATTTTGCGCTGCCGCTTGAGGGAACTGGTGCCATATTTCGTCTCTGCAGATTACAATACCGCTCCATTCAAACTATTCTGTGATGATTTTCGCTTCGGCAACGTGTTGATGGACGAGACGACTCTCAAGTTCACTGGCGTCATCGACTGGGAATGGGCATATACTGCTCCATACCAATTCTTATTCTGCCCTCCCTCGTGGCTGATGTTGTTGCGGCCAACCTTGTGGACTGAAAGCGACGAACAAGACTATGCAAAGAAACTAGAGATGTTCCTAGAGTGCCTAGAGGAGGAGGAAGAGAAAAGGCCCAGCGAAACATTCCCTGAGCTTTCAAAAGACCACCGCATGTCGAGCTTGATGCGCAAGTCTTTCGAAGATGGGACGTTTTGGTTCGTGCAACTTCTTTCAGAGGCCTTTGCCTTTGACGAGGAGGTCTTATGGCTGAACCCCGAAAAAGTCCTTAGCAAAAGAGGATTGTTAGAAGTGGGCGTACCCAGCGAAAGATACATTCAGGAATTTGTGGATAAGAAAGTGAAAGACTTGGAACGATACCATCAAGATCTGCAACACTTGATAGATTGAGGTATGAATCGAGAGAAATAGCAAGAGCAGACTGAGAGTTGATCACGCCCGACACAAGCTGTGAAACAGCAGAGTGGTCCTCGATAAAGTAGTTAGCCTAGGAAGCTGCGACTCATTTCGATGGCGAACTTCGCTCTTTCTGCCTGTTTCCAAAAACCGCTCTTGCTCAACGCATGCGAAGCATTCCTGTCCAGCCGCTTTGGACAAGCATCAAAAACCGCTTATTGCTGATCGTTGTTGCCGGCGCTGTAAAACTCAGCTACACATTGTCACATAGCTTCTGTAACTCAAAGATGAACACATTGAAGGAAGGCGTTCTTCATGATCACAGCTGCATCTGTCAGTCCGTCCCAACAAGAAAGAGCAAGAGAAAAACTTGATTGAAAGCATTTGTATCTACGCATTGACTCGATGACAACCCGGCCCTACACGATGCCTGAAAAACGCAAAAGCGAAGAATTACATGATGTGATCACTCGACGACTCGTCATCCAACTGGATATCAAAGTCAATCTCCTCCGTAGCCTTCGGCAGCGGATAAACAGGCTTGCCCTTCGCATCAGTGAGATCCTGAGGATCCGTGGCCCACCAATTTGCTTCGTCCGTATACATGACTTCAAGCTCCTCAGGTGGGAACACATCAAGGAAAAGAAATTCGGCTGCTCGTGATGGGCCCCAGGCGCGTAAATATGGTCTGGCTTTTGTGAATCGCCTGTGTTTTTCCTCTTCAGCAGCTCGCGCAGTGATATCTTCGTGGAGATCCTTAGGCTTCGGTTTTGGACCTGCTGCAGTACGCTTCTGCTGTTGGTCTTGGAACCATGCATCGCTGCCAAACGTATCCATGCCTTGGAAAAGCGGGTGTCCGGGATTGTCAATGTAGCTCAAGAAGTTTTGAGGCGACGGCCGTTTGTGAGGGGCAAATTGCAAGCACCTATTGACCATCCTCCTGAGATTCATAGAGTAGTTTTGACCAGGAAGCTCGCCTTGCCATCCGATTATTTGTGGAATCATGTCTACTTCCTTCCGCCCAGGTTGATAGTCTATGTTTGGGAAACCACCGCGCAACTTCATCATCTGCTCGAGTACTCTTCCAATCTGCCAGACATTGGTGCATGTACCGCGTAACACACTGTTTGGCAGCAGTGCTTGGCTACCGGCACTAGGCTTTACCATCTCCGGAGCCATATAGCCAGGAGTGTAAGCGAAATGCTGTGAATGGATCTTGTTCTCAAAATCGTCTTTATTGGTGAGGTTTCCGCCTCCAAGATCCGCGAGGTGAGGTCGAGGGTAAATAGGAAATGATTTCGTGGTGTCAGGTGGGGCGAGAAGAATGTTTCCTGGTTTCATGTCGAACACGACGATTACATCCGAGTCCGTATTGTTCGGACGCGACCGAGCCCGTTCTTCCAATTGAACAGCAGCCTTCATCAAGCAAATAAAAGTATGCCAGATGAATGGTTCTGGTATGGCCTTCTTCGCAAAGTAATGAGACTTGATGAGGTTGTCTAGATCCCCATAATCGTGAAGAGGCATGTACAAACGCCAGTGATTATGCGCCGATGAGTAAGGATTGCCTAATAGCCTTCGTGCATAACCCCAGAGCGGGTTACAGTATATTTCCTCGCTTGATTCGGGAACTGTCATCAAGCCTTGCAGATATGCCTCCTTGAGAAATCGATGCTCGGGAGCTGCATGGCCGATGTTGTGAGTAGGATCTGCACCAAAATCCATGCCCTTGTCCTTGAGTTGTCGGTAGATCCCTTTGTAGAGGCCTGTCTCTTTGGTCGACTCGGACGCTCTTTCGAAGGAGTCTTTGATGACAACGTGATGGATGGCTCTATGGGTGGACTTGTCTATCAACACCCACATAGTCGCAACGCCATTGCCTCCGACACCAACTTTGTATCCACCGATCCATTGTGTGTCTGGTGGTGCATTCGGCGGCTTCTGAATCCTCTCGAGATTGGAACTGTCTCTGTGTATCGCAGCTATCTGGCTGGAGCTCACGATTTTCGCCATGTTGTTTCAATCTGTCGAATGTCTACTGCTGGGTCAGGAAGAAAAAATTTGCCAGCACGAGCTGATCAAGAAAACGAGTCAACCGCCTTTGTCTGCATTCGGCGAATCGTGACTCTTTGGACTTGATGCGGACTTGAGAAGAGATCTGACAATGAAGATCAACATTGTGAAAAACGTAGATAGACAAAGAAAATCATCCTCTTGTGATCAGCTGAGACGCTGGCTGACCACAATCGGTTTTCGTGAATGACCGTTGTGATGGGCGCAGTAGTAGAGGTAAAAAACAGATTTCGCTAATGGAAGCCATGCTATGCTAGGTGTCATGGAGAGGTTGAAGCAACATGATTCGAAACTGTAAGCCTGGCAGAGGGAGTGTAATGTCAGGCTTTGTGGTCGACGACATGCAAACCAAAAGACAAAAAGAGTCTACATAGTAGACCGAGCAAAACGAAATGATCACGCCAGGGGTCGAACCTGGAATCTCTTGATTCGTAGTCAAGCGCCTTGCCATTGGGCCACGCAACCATTGATGTGTTGTGAAAATCCTTTTTCAAATATGTTTCTTTGTCTAAGTTGAGGGTGCAGCCGCGATAAGAGCGGGGCTTGGCAAAGGGTCGCCGCAAAAGATGAAGCCGCAGGAAAAATGTCTCTGACCAAGCCAGACTCATAAACTCGACAGCCAAGCATGGCAGCAACTCTTGTCAAATCGCTCACTGCAGAGCCGTATGCCTTCTTACAGCCGCCAACAAAATTACATACATCGTCCCTCGATTTCCTCAAGCAAACGCTTGACCCCATCGCCCAATCCATCGCCGAGACACAGCAGCAGCGCTTGCAAGAAGCTCGCAAGAAGAGGAAGCGCGGGCAGAACGACGAGGATGAGGAGATTCTGCGTTTGAAAAAAGTCCATGTCGAGGGATTTGCTGTCGAGCAAGTCTGGGAACAAGCGAGGCGCATTATCGATGCTGCTAGGAAAGAGGCCCAGCGCAATTTCGACGAGCTCGCCGAGAAGTACGCTATCGATGACTCTGAGGATGAGAGTGAGGGTCAGGATGGCGAGGTCTTGTCAGGAGAGGATGAGAGTGATATTGGTGAGGAGGGAGTCGACTACGAAGTCGAGGGCGAGGACATCGATGGCGAAGAAGAGGATGATGACGAGGAGATGGATGTTGACGGCGAGGTTGACGACTACGAAGAGTCAGATATTGAGGCCGGCGAGGATGTTGAAATGGGCAGTGAAGGCGAGTCTGAGGCAGAAAGTGAGGAAGCGGCCGAATACATCCCCGACCCGCACGGCCTGAACGACGGCTTCTTCTCCATCGACGACTTCAACAAACAATCAGAGTTCCTCGAGCAAGCAGACGCTCGTGGAGACAATGACTTCGACGACGATGACGAGGAGGGCATCGACTGGGGTGCCAACCCTCTGGCAGCCAGCGCCACAATCTCAAAAGCAGCACAAGACGACGACGATGACGAATCAGACGATGAGGATGGTCCGACATTTGGCAACGTCGATCTGAACGCTCCCGAGGGTTTCAGTGACAACGAGGAAGAAGTTGAGGAAGGTGAGATGGACGGCATGGGCTCGCTCTCGAACACGAACGAAATCAAATACGCCGACTTCTTCGCTCCACCAGCTAAAAAGGCACGCAAGAACAAGAAGGGACGTCCGAACCCCCACAACTTCCCTGCCAAACAAGCCTCTCCGAGCGGTGCCGACGAGCCTGCAGAAGATGACGAGGAGATGGAGCGCACCATGGAGAAGGTTCACCGCGACCTGTTCGATGATGTAACAGACGACGAAGAGGATGAGGAAAACCTCGACCCAGCGGACCCTCGCTCTCGCCGCTCAGCACACGAGCGTCGTCAAGCTGCTCTTACCGAAGAAATTCGTCGTCTGGAAGCTGCGAACGTCGCAAAGAGAGATTGGACTTTGTCTGGTGAAGCCCGTGCCGCTGATCGTCCTGTTAACTCTTTGCTCGAAGAAGACCTCGAATTCGAACGCGTTGGCAAGCCCGTACCAGTCATCACAGCAGAGATCAGTGAAAGTTTGGAAGAGCTCATCAAGCGTCGCATTCTGGCAGAGGACTTCCAAGACATCATCCGCCGCCGTCCTGATGATCTAGCCACTGGTAGCTCAAGTAGACGCGGGCGTCTCGACTTCGAGCTCGACGACAGCAAGAGCAAGAAGTCTCTCGCCGAGATGTACGAGGAGGAGCACCTCAAGGCAACGGACCCTAACTATGTTGACGCAAAGGACGAGAAGACTCAGAAGGAACAAAGAGAGATCGATGCCCTCTGGCGCGACATCAGCAACAAACTCGACAGTCTCAGCTCCTGGCACTTCAAGCCCAAGGGCCCTGCTACACAACTCGACATCCGTGTCGATGCACCTGTCGTTCGTCTCGAAGATGCCCGCCCTACTGCTGGCGCGGAAGCCGCCGCTGCTTCTCAACTCGCACCACAGGAGATCTACAAGGCTGGCGAGGCAGCCGAGAAGGCAGAGGCCGAGATTGCCACTCGTGGCGGCCTGGTCGTCAACCGCGAGGAGATGAGCAGAGAAGAGCGCAAGCGTCGCCGCAGACGCGACAAGGAGCGCGAGAAGAAGTCATTGGCCAACATCGATCCTTCCAAGAAGGAGAGCAAGAAGACAAAGGAAAGGAAGGGCATCATCAGCGACCTCAAGAAGGGTGGTGTCAAAGTTATCGGCAACAAGGGACAGATTACAGATGTTTCGGGTGCTGCTATCAAGGATGGCAAAGCACCCTCTGCTGGTGGCTCTTACAAGCTGTAAGATGCATTTGTTGTATAATCCCGATCCTTGTTTCTACTTGTCATGCTCAATACCACATTTTCCATTTCCTGCCTCAACAAATGACTACTTCCCGTACCACTTTCACTGTCTCCGCGTTCATGAGTCAAGTTGCTTCAGCGATCTGAAGGCCAAAGATGATTCGATCTGTCATTGTTGCCTCAGGTATTCTTGTTGTCTAACATCTGCTCAAGATGCCTATTCAGAGCATCATAACACCGCAGCCGCTTGTTAGAAAGTTTTTGTTCCAGTTCTCTGTCCATCTCCACGTAAGCTGCGAGAATTTGGTGGCGGAACATATGTATCTTGTGATCGTATTGCTGCCGCAAGTCCTCCAGAGCTTGCCTATACTGACTACACATTCGCTCGAGCTGTCGATTCCGATTCATAAGAACATCTCTCTCGGCCCTCGTGTCTCGATGAGAAAGGTCTTGACGAAGTACTGCGTGGGTGTGAGATTCTCTTTCTCGCACTATTTCGGCCTGCAATTCTTTGACCAGAGAGTCCTCCGTGACCAGGTATTTTCTGTCATTGATCCGGTTGGACAGGCTGTCGGCTATCTTCCTTTGCTGTTCGAGTTCTTTGCGGTCTGCCGCTTTTTCGGATGGAATTCGTGTCTCTAGACCTCTACCCTGATCCATCGGCCAATTCACCGGTCTGAGAGATGCTTGTCTTTCAGTTTTTCTGATGTACTCGGAAAGATGGCAATTCTCCCAATTTCCATCAATTCGAGTACTCGTCAATAACACTGACAGGCTTGACAAACTTCCCAAGGGGCTTGTACTCGATATCTGTCAGTCCGAATGCCGCAGGTCCTCCAATCTCGATGCCTCGAGGAGTTGAGGTCCACTTGTCGCTAGCAGTAATACCAATGACAGTGACCAACAGGCCATAACGATACTCAGGCGTACCAATAGCTTCGCCGGATTGTGCATCGATCACAGATATCAAATCCGGTACCACAGCTAGCACTTCTTCGGTACCATCATCCTTGATCTTGAATGCAGCGATGTTCTCATTCTTGAATGGGATCTTGATGCGGCCTTCAAAGCCAGCTACCTGTGGCGAGGATGAGGTCTCACTGGCCTCGATGATAACTTCGCCGTAGACGTGACCATTGCGCAATGTTCGGTCTACGCCAATAATTTTTCCCTTGAAGATTACCTTTGCAGCTTCCGGACCACCGACTTCATCGATGATGCTTTCGGCTACTGTGTCGATACGGCTATTTTGGCGGGCTGCTGCAACTGCTCGTCCAATACGCCAGGCTAGCGAGATCGTGTGTTCTACAGCCCAGCGTTTGGCTTCGGCTCCTGTGACTGGACCTTCTGCGCAACCAACATGCGAGCCTGCAGATTGTCAACATGAGCTCAGAGTATGGATTTGAGACTAGATAGAGCTTGCCCATTTGTGAGAGAGCAGCCCTGATGATGCGCTCCACGGCTAAATCAGATACGGCAGTCGGCATGTACAGCAAGTTACCATTACCATCTGCTGCGGTAATTGGGCAGAAGACGCAAGGGCGTTCGTTAAAGACAACGGGTGTTGTTTGCCATTTCGTTGGATATGCTCTGCCCATCCAATCGCCATCTGTACTGCTGTGTCAGTCAAGACAACCTGGTGACATTTCGAAATCAACTCACCGACGGTGGGTAGATTCATATTGGAGCTTGCTCCCAAAATCATGCCTTGCAGTCCATTGCCACCACCAATTTCAAGGGCAATCATTGCAGTGGCTTTTCTGTCGCACATCTCATATAGACTTCGTTGAGCATCCATCATCCTGTCTACGGTCAGTCGTGCCTGTCAGTGTTGAACAGCTTGTGAACTCACTCATCGCCAGGAAGTTTCTCAATGCCCACTGTAGGCGAGCCAGATCCTCCACCACAGCCGACTTGGTCGTCGTCTTTTAGGTCGTGAGGATTGATCACTCTAATGGTTCCTCCATCCCGTAATATATCTCGCATACGAAGCATGTGGGAATAAGGGCTACCGCCGCCGCCAGTACCCAGGATGTAGCAACCAATCGACATCCAGTCAAGGTCCGTTTCGGAGACATACCAGACGCGGTCTATGACTTTGGGTCTGTACGTCACTATGTCAACAGGTTTAGGCGTAGCATGGTTCTTGGTCCCATTGGTGTGGTTTTGCTTTTTGTTGCCATTCTTCTCGTAGGCGTCCATGTCATTTTCATCTGCGAGTTGTTCTTCTGTGGCTGCTTTCATCTCATCAGCGCGGTTGTAATCAAACTCTCCCGCTGACCTGATGATGAATCTGCTCTTGTTTGAAATATACTGCATCATCTTGTCAATCCTTGATCTCACTCAGCCTCGGACAAAACTTACTGGTAACGGTAGTGTTTCAACCTCGACAATCTTGACGGAGTCTCGTGCTGCTCCGGACTCGACAGCTTTCTGTATGGCTTCTTTCGAGATCTGTTCCACTAGATCGGCAATACTTTTTGTGTCAGTGGACTTGACTGTGTCAATTACAGCGCTGACTCTTGCAATCGCGGCACCGATCGCATTGGCTACTCCAGAGTATTCTGGTTTGATGACACAACTTGCGCCGAGCAACTCATCAGGTGCTATAACGGCTCCGCCACCCACCAACAACACAGGCAGATCTTCTGGTGATGTCTTCATGGTGTCGATAACCTTTTCTAGCATTGTCTTTACTTTGGCTTTGAATGAAGAGATACCATTCGGCGACAAGTGTTGCACCTTGCTGCGATCGCCAATGTTGATACTCTCGTCTCCTGCGACAGTGTAGTCAGTGGTCGTAGCAACAGTGCCATTGAACACAAGAGCCTCCGTTTGAATTTTGGAACCCACGCTGTCAGGGCCGACTGTAATTTCTCCATCATGCTCTCGCACGATCGATCCGCCTCCAAGACCGATGCTTCTAACATCCGGACACGAAAAGTTCATGCGAACGCCAGCAAACTCCGAGTATGCTGCTGCTTGCCTGGGAAAGCCATTCGCAAGTAGTAAGCCAACGTCAGTAGTGGTTCCGCCTATATTCTTGTGAGCATCTTTAAACACAAATCTGTGTATGGTGCTCACCGATATCGACCACCATCATGGCTTCTTTATCTTGGCCTTGAGCCAGATAAGCAGCACCTCTCATACTGTTCGTGGGTCCACTGGAGAAAGTTCTGATGGGTAATCGGGAGGCCATCTCGCCACTCAAGATTGTTCCATCGTTCTGACTGAGAAATACGGGGCAGGTCAGACCCAGTCGTTTGATGGGCTCCTGAAAAGAGCGGATCGTCTTCTTCGCGAAAGGTAGGATCGAAGCGTTCAAGATTGCAGCATTCTCACGCTCCAAAAATCCAAGATTTGCAACCTCCTTCGAGAGTACGACATTGCATCCAGGTAACACTTCGTTGATGATCTGCGCGGCTCTCTCTTCTTGACGATGGGTTGAATCAATCGGACTGAAGACTCCGATGACCACAATGCTTGTGATGCCTTTCTGTCTGATGATGTTGCATTGTTCTCTGATCTCCTTGGGACTGATTTCGCCAATCAAGTTGCCATCCACTGATATTTGTCAGATGAGCAGTCTAGTCATTGCGGAAAATGGCCTACCTTCAAGACCTCCCTTGACTAAGGCATAGTGTCCTAGAATCAGATCTTCCATATCGGCTGGCCAATCTATACAAGGTAAGGCATGTTTGCCGAAAGGTCCACAAAGACGAATCACTGCGACTCGAGCAAGTCTCGCAGCATCCCTTTCTACCACTGCGTTGACAAAGTGCTGAGTTCTTATTAGCAGCTATTCGTCCAAGACACGGATTTGACATACTGTAGTTCCAATTGTCACAGAGGCGACATCCGACGGGTTGATCTTGGCTTGCGCAAACATAGAAGTCAGGGCATTGCTGATTCCTAAGCTTGGATTTGTGGTCGTAGGTGCTTTGTGCCTTCGGCGAACATAAGCTCAAAAGAATTTAGGCACTGTGAATTGGTATTGCACTTTACCATGCGACAACGCCCTTGCCAGGCTCTGATGCTTTGGTAGGATCTAGAATGACTCCATCGGTGTTGGTACTGAGAAGTGGTTGCTTAGCCGAAATCAAGGTGTTGCGTTCGTGTGACATACCCGCCGACATCAACACCAATTCGGAGAACCTTGTGCATCCTGAGATTTTGGTCTGCTTGATCAATACAATTTCGATGCACTTATCAGTAGAAACTTAGAAGTTGATGGTTGCGCTGGGTGACACAGGTCACAGATGACTGCTTGAGAGATTGGGCGATGGCGGCTATCTTAGCTTGGCAGCAGCGAGCGGCCAACACTCCCTTTTGGAGAACGGAGGGTAACCAGTCGCAGCTGTCATTATCAGTTCGTTGTTTTGAGTGTTTTTGGATCTCGAAGGCAGTCGCACTTTCCCTTTGGCCCCAGGTGCGTTATCTGATCTACCACTGACCCCACATCCTTTGGTGATAGGCCTTTCGGGCAGACTCGTGAACTGATATCACATGCGAGTTGGCCTATCTCGACTGAACTTATTGATGCGGCAAGATACTACAGTACATGCAATGATTAGAATGCTGGCATAACTTACATTTGTATATCTCGTGGCATACCTGCAACATGCAACACTTCCTTTGCTGTCTCACAATCCTCAACAACCTACAATGGGAGAAGTGCGATTTCGGGTGCTGAAGGAAAAGATCCAGCTCCATGGCGATGAGGATGAGCACGAGCGGGTTGACTCATGGTCAAACCGTGACCTCATTCCTCTACCACCATCAAGGCGAACTTGGGGATGGTTTCACTACTTTGGGTATTGGACGCTCAATTCTCTGAATATCTCGAATTGGCAGACTCCAAATACTTTCTTGTGTAAGAACTATCAAGCTGTTGAGATTCAAACTCGCTTATTTGAAGATCAGCTTATGGTCTCTCGGCTGGTCAGAGTATGATGGTGATTGTGGTCGGAAAGCTGCTAGTCACCATCTTCTCGACCCTCATTGCCTGGTGTGGACTTCGCTGGCACATCGGGTTCACGGTGCAGAACCGGTTCACTTGGGGTCTTCACGGAAGCTATATCCCCTTGCTGCAAAGAGTCCTTTTGAACTTCATCTGGTGTGCTATACAATGTGAGTAAGCCGCTTCGACTGCAAAACAGACGCTAGTTGACACAACAGTAGGCTGGAATGGAGGCAGATTGGTGGCTGTCTGCATTACAGCAATCTGGCCGTCCTTTGCCAAGATGCACAACACACTTCCGTCATCCATGCCTACCACGACCTATCAATTTGTAGGCTTCGTTCTTTTCTGGATCTTCTCGGTTCCATTCTTGTTTGTCCGGCCTGAGAAATTTCGTGTGCCTTTCTTGGTCACGTCCATATACTGTGGTGTTGGCATGCTCTGTATGATGATCTGGTCATTGTCCGTGGCGAAAGGCGTGGGCCCACTCTGGACAACGGGACAGAACATTCCCGAGACATCGTCCTGGACTCTTCACTGGCTTGAGATGAAGGGCATCAATCAGATCATCGGTGGCATCGCTGCTGGTATAACCAATGGCTCGGACTTCTCCAGATATGCTCGGTCGCCCAAGAACTATGTGATAGGTACTGTTCTCTCTGCATGGATTACTGGCGTCCTTGTCAGTTTGATCGGACTTGTGGTGACGGCCGCGTGCCAGAAAATCTATGGCGAGATTTATTGGAATCCTCCAGACCTCCTTATGCGCATGATGGACAGCGGAGAGGGTTCTTCGAAAGCCAGAGCAGGTGTCTTCTTTCTTGCTGCTGGTTTTGCTCTGACTGGCATGTTCGAAAACGTTTGTGGCAATGCAGTCGCAGGAGGCATCGACCTCGCAGGCCTTTTCCCTCGCTATCTCGATATTCGAAGGGGTTCCATCCTGACCTTCGTGGCTATCTGGATCTGCCAACCATGGCAGCTTGTCAACAAAGCAGCTACTTTCGTCAGCGTACTAAGCTCTTTTTCTGTCTTCTTGTCACCGATCATGGGAATCATGGTAGTTGACTTCTACCTTCTGCGCAAAGGACGGGTCCAGCTTAGCCATCTGTACAGGGTTAAAGATACTTCATACTGGTACACCAGAGGCATAAACTGGCGTGCTATACCAGCATGGATTTGTGGATGGGCGCCCACGATTGGTGGACTCGTCGTCACTGTAGGAGGAGTGTCGAACCCTCCTCGAGCTTTAGTCCAACTGTACTACATAGCATTCCTGGTTGGTTTCTTCGTGAGCGGTTCGGTCTTTTATTTGCTCAATCTCGTCTTCCCATGCCCAGGAATGGGTAAGTATGATGAGGTGGACGTGTATCAGACCTTCACGCCTCACGAAGCTGCCAAGCTCGGCGTGGTGCAGGTGGTTGAGCCGCAGGTTTTGGATGGTGTCGCGATCAGGTCTGATGACAAGAAGACGGAGGCGGAGGTGATTGTCGAGAGATCTTTGTGAGACCTTGAGATACAACGTTGAAGGTAGCAACTGATTGGAATTGACCAATGCACAATGACATGACCAAGAAGCTTTTAGATGTTGAGTGGATAATCCGGGACGTTGGCCCAAAACTGCGTCAATGCAGTACTAGTCAGCTACTTGCCGAAATTTCCAATGGTTGGTAACATGCAACCTATTGACGACGAGGTTACATCGAACACGAGGCCATTCACCAAACATCTACCTTTTTGAAGAAGAGAGAAGCCAGCGATTCGGTGATATTAGCCATAACGGCTTGTGGAGACTAGAATTGTGATCAGAAGTCTATGATCAAGCTCGCGGTTGATGACCGACAGCAAATCAGCCTGCAGAACACCGTTCGTGACATGAGCTTCAGTCTCGGATTGTGCAAGCCGTCCATAGCGGCTAGAAGAATAGAGAAGTCAAATTCTTCCAGAAGCAACCACGTTGTATGCACCAGAGACACGGAAGAGGTTGTCTCAAGCACACACATGGATTTGCAGGGCTACCCTGCCGCCCGTCGGCAGAGTTACTCTACGGGCGTAAAAGGAAGTGGCCGCCACTATTGGCTTCTGGAAGCGCCATCGAGAAAGTGTCACAGCTCGGCAAAGAGAAATTTCTTTTGACGGAATGCAAAGTGACCTGGCGTCTTGCAAGTGTATTGCGCAGCTGAGAGAGGCCCAAGACATGATGTCAGATTCTCTAGGCGTAGCAGGTAGCTGTCGATAGGGTAACACGTGTCTATACAAAACAGCTAGAAGAAGGAAAGAATTTGCAGCAATAAGTTCTTTATTTGGTCAAGCGATATATGAATGCAGCACGGACGTGATGTGACATGGATTAGTACAGGTAGAGACAAGAGGGTGAAATTGCGTGAGGTGTAAAGGGAAAATGGACAAGAGATTGGCGGAGGATGTTTTTGGCTAGGGCGATTCTAGAGGCATGGCAGTTGGGGTGGGCGGTTGTCCCGCCAGGCGGAGAGAGCCCGAGAGACGCCTTGAAAGTGTGTTTCGTTTGCTCGACTCAAGGTATACAGATTTTCTTGATGAGCACGACAAGGTCATGTAGAAAGGTGACAGCCGAGATTTGAGAGAGGATCGAGCGAGCATTGGGCGTGCAAAGCAAAGGGATTGATTGCCATGGCCGTCGGGTCAAGACTTTCTCAGGTCAGGAGAGCGTGCGGGCTATTTGTTGACAACAATCAAATAACGATGGGCATTCTGTCGGTCGCAGCCAATCAGAAGCGGCATGGAGAGCCAAAGGGAGAGCAGAAGTCACAGCACTCGCCTTTCTCCAGGTTTTTATTGACCTTGGACTTGACTCGATTGCAAGCCAACCATTGATTGCAAGTGAACTGTGCACCGTCCATCGTCGTCAAAGGCCCGCCCACGCTCGATCCGAATTGCGGCTTTGACTCCTGCAGTCCGAGCCCCCGTTGTCTCCCTCTCGTCTATCTCTTAACCCTGCTGCTGCTTGTTCACCGTGCTTGACGCTGCTTCCTGCTTGTCTTTGTCTTGGCCGTCGTCCTGCAACTGTCCCTTCCCAGAGACACGCACCTTTCTACATTCTGCAAGTCGGCATTCACCCTACGTGCATCGACCGTTGAAGCCTGCCGCTGCCCGTTTTCCCTTCTGCCCTCATCCACTGTTGCCCTGTACAAGCAGCGGTCTTAGATTCCTAGCCTCACAACCCAATCCAGCCAGACCAGCCTTCTCCGCAGCCGACGTCGAAACATCACTGCTCTCTTTCACTCACTCGACCACAACCCCATCCAATCGTCTCTCGACGCTCACACTCAATCGCATTAACCGCCTTCCCGGTCCTTCTCTTTCCTCGCCGCAATGGCTTCAAAGGTTCGTCGCCGCCCTGCGCTCCAGTCGTCGCGACTGCCCGTGCTCACTTTCGTCGCCAGTTCCTTCGCGAGTACAAGCTCGTAGTAGTCGGTGGTGGTGGTGTCGGAAAGTCGTGTTTGACCATTCAACTCATCCAAAGCCACTTCGTCGATGAATACGACCCAACAATCGAAGGTTCGTCCCTAGCGCCGCTATCCGCGCCCACGCTCTCTGTTCTGACCACGCCTTTTCCGCACAGATTCATACCGCAAGCAGTGCGTCATTGACGATGAGGTCGCCCTACTCGATGTGCTCGACACAGCAGGACAGGAGGAATACTCAGCAATGAGAGAACAGTACATGCGCACCGGCGAAGGCTTCCTGCTCGTCTACTCCATCACCTCGCAACAATCCTTCGAAGAGATCAAGACGTTCCAACAACAAATATTGCGCGTCAAGGACAAGGACTACTTCCCTATGATTGTTGTCGGAAACAAGTGCGATCTGGACGGAGAGAGAGAAGTGTCGGTCGAAGGTGCGCTCACCCCTCTCTTGTGTTTGTTTGTTCTGACCGTTTGACTGACACTCTTGATAGAGGGCAAGGAGCTCGCTCGCAGCTTCGGATGCAAATTCATCGAGACATCGGCCAAATCCCGCATCAACGTTGAGAATGCCTTTTACGACATTGTCCGCGAGATCCGCAAGTACAACCGCGACATCACTGGCGGCGCACCAGGCGCAAGAGCGAATGGCGGTCCTGCCGAGAAGATGAACATGGACGAGGGCGACTCAGATGCCGGCTGCTGCAAGTGCACCGTCATGTAACAGCATCACACATCCGCACCACAGGCCCACTCGCACTCACGCCCGCCCGCCCTTTGCTATACCTCTTTTTGTGCCTGGAGCTTCTAATCTTCCCTTCTTGATCTGACTTTTAGAGCCTTGGGTTGTCTGTTTTCCTTTTCTTTCTTCTGTTTAACTCGTTCGATTCCCCCAGCACTCTCCCCAATGTCTCTTTCTTTTATCTTTTCTTTTATACCACTTTATCAACCTCGGAGCGGCGACAGAAGTCGGTGCTCCCTCCAACACGCACTCACTGGCTCGTTGAAGGAACAAGGCCGTGAAAAGGTCTACAAGAGGCGGCAACGATGATGACAGCAAAGGTGGAGGGCAAAGAAAAATCACAACAATAAATGAATGGACGACAGCACGCCGTCTGCTTTTTTGACTCAGTTTTCAGTGTTCCTGCATTTCTGCTGGCCTTCTAGAAAGCACATGGTGGTTGGACGGTCTTCACGGGACAGACATATCACTGGCCGTCGTGTTTTTATTTCGTTGCTTGCCTCTGTTGCAACATTACACATTTGTTCTGGTCTCCGCTCTTCCAGTAGCTCGAGCATCTGCAGTTGACAAATGTATTCGCACTGTGGGACAAGAGATGGGCGTTTCATAGGCGACCAAGCGAGACTTCTAAATGTAATCTCAAATGTCTTTATACCAATCATTTTTTGAATTGTTTATCTTGGGTTGAACTTTGTCTGGTACATGTAGACGATGTACATGTGAAGGATCTAAAGTTTGGCTGATCTGCCAACGGTATTACTCCATCAAGGTGTATGATCGTCATTTTGCAGACTTCTCTCGCCGCGGACATGCAAGATGGCGCATTGTCGTGTCAGAAACCATGACGAATCTACTCCTCTCCTCTCAGCTGGTCTTCGATCTCTTCTAGGTCTTCGGCGCTATCGATCTCGATGATGCGACCAACTTCTGCTTGGTTGCGCATCAACTCTTTTGCTCCTGCGTAGAGCATCTTGAGCTCGCTGTTGCAGGTGACGGGCAGGTAGTATAGCATGACGTAGGGAACAGATAGACGACCGGATGCCTGTGGGACGTCCTCAAGGTCAGCACAAATTTCGAGGCTGTGGATGGCAGAAGGTAGACAAGGGGAAGAGAAAGACAGCATACCATTGTCAAGGGGTAGCTTAGCAAGATGAACCTGGGCGAGTGGTCGGGCAGCTCCTCGCCCAGTATGCTCAGGTCGGTGTAGACTTCATCGTCTGCCTTGGAGATTTCTAGTGTCTTTTTGTCGATTTGGTCTGTTCCTTGAGAAAGTAGTTTTAGCCATTCTGCGCTCTTAGATTTGTATAGCGCCGTATCCTCTTTGGTCTCGTTGAGTCTTCCTCTTGCGGTGTAATCCTCTGTGCCTTCCGGGCTCTTTCTGTGCCTTCCGGGCTCTTTCTGTGCCTCTTTCCAGGGGTGTTCAGGAACCTGATGGCTTCGGGCTTCGGGCTTCAAGGTGTTTGCTGCTTACAGATTACGGCTTGCGGGTCCTTTGCCCTCGAGGTTCCTAGACGGAACTTGCGCAATGCGGTCTTGGTTTCGGGCGAGAAGGTATAGAGACGTGCTTCGGATGCCTGGAGAACAAGTGTTAGCTCTGACTGCAGTGTGTCGGACTCGCAGCCGAGATGTATACCATGTTGGATTAAGTATGCTGGCTGTGAGATAGAAACAATGAGTAGGTGGACTGGGACAACTTTAGGAGCTTGGAAGTTCGAGATGCCCCGCAGTCGACTGACGTCGGTCTTGTTTGTTGCCATGCCCCGATAACGTTGCTCAAGACCACGAGATTGAGGACACAGGCGTTCTTGATTCGGGTTGAATATGATAGAGTTGTTATTCCATACGAGTGTATCACTTTTCTCGATTAAGGAGTTGCCTTCTGACACCAAGAAGGTCAAGTCTTCTGTGGTCCAAAGTGCTTCATCTTCGCTAGGATCCAATCCAGTCTTTGTTTCATCTGATATCATACGTCCAAGGCTACATCCCACAAAACTGCTGCTTCTTATAGGAGTCTTCTAAGAGATATATAGTGATACCCAACTAACATTCACATGGTCGAGAGTTCATCACGTATCGAAGACAAGATCGTCCGGTAGTCAAGAGCAGGGTCGCACTACAAGCCAAGTTTCAACGGCTCTCGATCGATGCAACACTACCCGACGGCTGGCAATCGCTGCCCCGCAACCGACAATGACATCTTGAGTGCACCTTCCGCCAACACAACCAGACGTGTACTTTCCCTTCTTTTGTTACTATTCATTATCACTTGAAGGTCTGACCAAAGCTTGCACATGTTCTCCCGCATCAATCAAGTGGCACGTCATCTCAGTCGTCCTTTACCAAACTACTTGCATCGTTCCGCAGCAGCTGCAACTACCAGACTTACCAGCAGTCCCGCCATCATGGCAGATACAAACAACAAGCGCACTATCAACACCGCAGCATGTCTGATTATTGGTGATGAAGTTTTGGGTGGAAAGGTGTGTTGATACATTTTCTTTCTTTCCTCCATTCTTCCAAGGAATATCGATACCAGTCAAGACACATGGCCATGGATATATTGAAACGAGATCATCAATGTTGAGAGCCTTGAACACGATGAACACACATCGAGAACAAGGAACGAATAACATAACGGCTTACACTACTCCAGACCGTCGACACCAACAGCGCCTACCTCGCCAAATTTTGCTTTAGCCTAGGCATAAACCTCAAACGCATTGAAGTCATCGGCGACGAAGAATCAGAAATCGTAGAGGCAGTCCGCCGCATGTCTTCAAACTACGACTTTGTCGTGACTTCTGGCGGCATCGGTCCCACTCACGACGACATCACTTACCAGAGTATTGCCAATGCTTTCGGACTACCCTTGGTCCTTCACGACGAGACCTTCTCACGTATGAAGCGTCTGAGCAAGCCTCATCCTAATCAGCCTAACTTTGACTGGGACACGCCATCGCCTGCGCTCGAGGCCAAGAAACGTATGGTGATTCTGCCGTATGATGAGAAATTGTCTAGGGAGGAGCAAGTCATCTTTACCGCTCCAGACCTCTGGGTTCCCGTTGCTTGCGTCAATGGAAACGTTCATATCTTACCTGGTGTACCAAGATTGTTTGAGCGCATGCTCACGGGCTTGAAGCCAACTCTGCTGCCTAGATTGACCGACCCTGAAGGCAAAGGTGTTTACCGAATTATCATTTCGACTCCGCTGCCCGAGAGTGGTGTTGCTTCTTACTTGACTGAGTTGGCCAAGAAGGTTGAGCCTGAGGGTATCAAGGTTGGAAGGTGAGCGAACCAGATTCTAGTCGTCCAAAGGGTAGAGATGCTGATCGAATACACAGTTACCCGAGATGGGGCAAGGCCAGGAACACCGTCACGCTTGTCGGCAGAAACAAGGAGTACATGGACAGTCTTGTCCCCGAGGTCGAAAAGGGTGTTCAAGGCAAGCGTGTCACTGTAGAAGGCGAAGATGATGTCGAGGGCGAGTCTGACAAGGACACTTGAGATATGCTCCGCAATCTGCTTCGTGTATGTAAACATGTAAATACACATTTTGCTGACACTGACCTCCTGCCATTACCCATGTCTTGCATGCCTTGCAAGAAAGTCCAACACAGATCTTCGATACCAGATAGCTCTCTTGCTGAAGAGCCACACAGTATCCACTTCATTCCACCGAGTGATCGTTGATACGTCTTTTCCCAACCAACCTCTATTTTATGACCCCTCAAACTTCTTTGCACCAACTCAAGCCGAACACCGCTCTTTCGATAATGGATTAAGACCGCTTTTTCTGTGCACTAAAGACTATCACAATCTGACGATCATCCACTTCTCCAGCGCAGCCCAAAGGGTCATCATGCGCTATCGAAATTCACAGTTGCGACAAAAACGTGACTCTGGCCATTGAAATAGCCTTTATTGGAGTTTTTCTGTGAAGACCATATTCTCTGGCAAAAGCATTGTGCATCTCTCCAGCTACGCTGTGACGGTATTTGGCACACTGGCAGGGTATATCATGTGGCCTGAAATTTGCGTTTTTGCATTTTCGGTCTTCATCTGAGACTTCTGATTCGTCTGATTTGCCATAGAGGAGTGATTCTTGATTTGTATAGTCTCGTGTATTTGAATGGAACGAGTTCTCCTCAGCAATCGATCAAGAACCCCTTCTCAGAACTAGCATTCCTCTCCTTTGTTGTGAACGTGATAATAGCACTTCATTTTCTTGTACTCCGGCATCTTCGAGCACTTGACCTCGTCTGAAGTTTTCAATGACAGCGTGAACGCAAGATCGACCAGAGCCTCCACGGGCCATGATTCCACAACCTCTTCACGCGGTCTTCGACCTATGTGTGTTTCAAAAGCCGTCATGTCTATCATGATCCTGCGCAGTGGAGCGCCATGTAGAGTGTTGTCGTAAATCTTGCGTATCTGCGTTTTCCACGGTATGCACTTCTCCGTATCGGACTTTTGCTGGAAGCTGTCTATGGCAAGGTTCTGGAGCAAGGGGACAACGAACTGATCCCCAAAGATCCACAAGTCGACAAGCGTTTTGAAACTCAGACTAGGTCCTACAAGCCCCTTTGCATCCTGGAGTTTGCGGTTATACAAGAATGCATTGAAGATGTCAAAGATGGCAGGATTCTCTTTCTTAAGCCAGATCTTGCCATCGACTGATTCTTTGAAAGAGCCCTCGAAAGCGCCACGGAAATAGTCGGAGTAATAGCAGAGGAGATCTTTGTGTATCGAGAAGGCTTGTTTTCGAGGGCCCACCTCCACGGTCACGATACCACGGAAGCAGTTGCTGTTATTGAGTTAGTTGTCTGACATGTGCTCGGAGCTATAACAAGAAATTACTTGGGAGGTGTCTTAGCTTCAACAGACATGGCTTTCACGTTTGAGCGCGAGGAACCCGCTGCATGTTGAGTTGAGGCAGACGCTGGGTCCGACTGCGTAGTCGACATGGTGGCAATGTTGCGAGGTATCTCGGTGGCGTAGAGTGTATTGTGGTGCTGTTTATGAATCGAGACAAGGTCGTTGAGAGCGGGATACCGAAGACGAAAGCAGAAGGCGTATGGCGAGGCAGATCTAAACGACGATGTTTTGAAGAGAAGAGGAGCAAAGCGGGTAGACGTGAAGGTACTGAGAGAGTGTAAAGCTTGAGAACACGATGGTGTGAAAGTGAGAGTGTTGGCAGTGTTGTGAGACACTCCGCTGCGCAAATGACTGGTGAGGACAGTGTCTCAGCTCTGATAGTTTGAACAAAGCGCTTTTGACGAGATGCACGATTGAGAATGGCAGACGATATGCTTCGGAGAAAGCTTGATGCTGTTTGATGACAGCAATTGAAGTTGATGGAAGAACGAAGGAGAAGAGGTTGGGTGTTGCGATGAAGAAGTGAAAAGTTGGAACACAATGCGTTGAGTGAGTTCAAGTCTCGCATGCAATTGGAGCGTGAGAAAGCGCGATGCTGTGGTTGCCGTCACTCAAACAGCTGAATATCAAGCATCAGCCGGGAACGTCATGGAAAGTAGTAGATGATAGGTAGTAGTTCTCACAAGAGATGTGAGGGCGAGATACAAGCAGTGATATGGATTTATTTTTGTAAATTAAGGATCAGTCCTGATCGACTGGATGCACAAGCCAGGTCCCAGTGTTATCTGCCTCATTCTCTCTTTGTTTCTATACTCTTCGCCCTGGCATCCATCATACCTTCTTCTCGGCATGGTCTTTCTTGCAATCTTAGGCGGATGTGTGGTTGTTCTGTAGGCATGTCTCTATGGATGTGAATATGCATGTCCAGACTTGAGAATCAGTCAGTACTTACAGCCTGATTAGCAACGCTCGCCGGCGGTATGAATGTGATAATGACACTTGTCTCTCGTGGGTAGAGTCCGCCAGGGCAACTTGTGCTGCCAAGCATCACTCATGCAGCGGGCAAAGTCGACAAGGGCCTCTACACTCCAGTTTGGGTAATCGGGATCTTTGAATATGGTCCTTTCGCCTGGTTGATGACCCATTCTGAACACACAGAGGTCTATAGCGAATCTGCGAAGAGGAGAACCCTGCATGGTGCTCTGGTAAGCAATGTGCACGATGGCAACGTCGGCCTGGTTTTCCTCTTCGAGCTTCCCAAGCAGAGCATCGATGGAATCGTTTTGAAGGAGTGAGATTTCGTATTTGTCGCCAAAGACCCAAAGTTGAGCCAAAGTCCGGCACGGAAGGAGTTGCGGACGTTTAGACGAGTCTTTGTTATTGTCGCCATCGCGTAGTGAGTGCGAGTAGAGCCAGACTTGGAATGCCTCGAAAAAGTCGGGATTTACATCAGGTAGCTCAATCTTGCCCTCAGCTGCCTCCTTGAAAGGTCCTTTGAAGGCACCACGAAAGAAACCAGAATAGAAGCACAACAAGTCCTTGTGTGGGTTGTACTTTTCTTTGTTGGGACCGACAAGGATTGAGACTGTTTCTTTAAAGAGCTTTCTGAGGTCAAGTTAGCACACAATTGACGGGAAAGACAAGGATGACATACCTGGATGGCCATCTGTTGGGCATCGAGACCGCTCGGCCAGTCGAGCCACCTGTCTGCGATGGAGCCGATGAAGTCGACATGACGGTGAATTGGAGATGGACCGAGCTGATGCTGTCAGTGCGAGCCGATTGGTTGTCTTGCGCGAAGCAGATAGATGCAGTTTGGAGTGAGGAGTGAGATAAGCGCCGCTTGTGCAGCCGAGACGGCGCAACTTGACAGCTCCGATGTGGTCGACTGGATCAATCAAGAAAAAGTGAGAAGGAGCCGTGCAATCATTCGCTCACGGACGGACTGCTCGCTCCTTCCCAAAGCTATGAGGATCAAAGACACAATTCAGGCCAGCAACATCTCCATTTCCTGACATAAGACAAGGGGTATCCTCCATGCTTTTATAGCAAAACAAAACAATGCCACCAGCAAACCACCACTCCATTCTGACAAACGAGAAACTGCATAAAAAAGAGAACAATTGCATGCTTCTATTCCACACCTTAGACAGAGGGCAAAAAGAAAGGAAAATGGTATTTCATGATATTCATCCATACAACGGTCCCACCGCTATGCATCGCGAAGGAACGACGATAGGGGTAGTGAATAAAAGACATTACTTTCCAACTCGGGCAAGACGTTCGTCAACAGCTTCGACTAGTCTGGGATCCGGCCGTGATTTGTGCGACTTGTGGGATGGTAGATCGCGGCAATCAGAACAGCGCGCGTGTGCACATTTGCCGCAAATTCTGTTGTGACTTTGGAAGGGTGTAGAGCATTCGTGACATGTGTAGCGAACACGTTGGCGAGGTTTGCGGTACACGCGCTGCACACCTGAGGGAGCTCTCAAGATTGGATCTCTAATGGTGGCAATGGGGTAGGGTACTGATGGTCTTGTTAGATGATTGCCTTCCTGTACGGGCGCAGAAGCATTACCGTGACGAGATGAACGAGGTGATATAGAAATATCTGCCTTGTCTTTGCCATGACGGAAGTCGTATGCGATACGGAATGGAGCGCTGTCAGGAACATCATCGTCAACCTCCAATGGTGGTAGATAGCTGTTGCCGGCCAAGATAGGTTCTAGAGATGTTGAAGGTTTTGAGACTTGTTTGCTAGTAGATGGTATGGTGTTGAAGACGTCGAGATGATCTGAGACAATGGCAGGTGCTTCTGTCATGGGGAGGTCTGGACTCGTCGACGATTCTTCAGCAACAACGTGGAAGGGGAACTCCCTCGCTTGCGCCATAGCTTCCTTGATACCTCTTCCTGGGGTACGGGGACATTCTCCGCACAGCCTGTGATGACAAGCTCGACAATGGATACCATGGCCAAAGTCGACACCACATTCATGACAGCTACGGTGGACACGCATCCTTGCAGACTTCTGAACACGACGAGCAGTAGCAGGAAAGGTAGAGCGGTCACTACCAGCAATATTCATCCCATATCTGTCGCGCAATTTCTGGACCCTCTCCTGGTAGACAGAAGCACGATCAACGTGGAATGTTTCAATTGTGACCGGTGGGGTAGGTCGAGATTGCTCCTCGGGATCCTCACGTGTTGTTGGCAGCTGGTCTGCATCGATTGTGTTTGTGAACAATGTATCATCATGGGAATGTTCCTGGGCGTCATTTGTCTCAACACTGGATTGAGGAATGTTATTTTCCGCGTCGGAATCCTTGCTTCCTCTTCGGATTGTGGTGGTGAATTTCTGGAGATATCTGCGGATTTGACCTCGGCGGCCGTGCTCAAAGGTCGAGCTTGGAGGTGGTGATAACGGCATACTGGCTGGTGGGCTATTATTCCTGAAGGTATTCCAGTAAAGTCCAATTAGGTGCAACGGTAGCGACGTAGAGGGATCCGTCGCAGCGACGGTGAGATCGTGGCGGTAGCCAAGCAAAGACAATAGACCAAGCTAGGACAACGACACAATCCCGAAGAACAGGGTGGCCTAAGTGAGTCGGGCAGTAATTGGCTTTCCAGATCTAACGCGAACCCAAGTGGTCGGAGCCCGAGTAAATGGACGATAGTGAAAGTCAATGGTTATAGAAGTCTCCAGCGACGACAACAAGCAAGGTATCCTGCACGGTAACAAGAGACAGACGTCTGGGCGAGATATGGGCAAGTGTGACCAAGGTGAGATTGGGATCAAGAAAGGCTGCCAAGGGACCAGAGATTTCAATTCGCGAAAAAGGCGGCCATTGCTATCGTATAATAAACAGGGAAGAAAGGGAAGAACGAACAGGCCACGAACACCACAGAAAGATTGTTTCGCTAAACAGGAGACAATCAGTAGTGCAGCACGCAAAGTAGGTCACTCGTTAGGATTGGGTCCCCCGAATCAAAAAAAGCGGAGCAAGGCGGTTGGACGACGGCGCGAAATCACCAGGCCAGGCTTTTGAATAAAAGCGGTCTAGTCTGTGCTCGCTTGCTGTTCTCGCAGCACGCCGACGGCCTTTTCTCTTTTGCTGGTTCGTCCTTTGCTCGCGTAGAAGGTATGACCGGTAGATAAGAGAATAGCGTGTACCGCCGCGTGGAGTCTCTTCCTTATACAGACGGGAAAGGGGTGAGGACGTGCTCGGTTTGAAGCAAACGAAACCAGAAGCACGACAGACGGATATTGTGGCTGATTGGTAGCGGGAAGTGCAAAGAAAGTTGCGAGGATGCGTTGCCTGATCGCCTGCTTGCGTAAAGCTCTTGTCAGAAGATTCCCATGCACCAGGGACCGTTTCCGTGTGCCAGAGAGTTGGGTGGTTTTGGATGAAGAAAGTTGGGGATGGAGAAGGAGCCGCGCTGAACGAGTCAGACTAGGCCCCGAGAATCATGGCCGCCCTTGTCTAGAACTGCTTCCCTCTTTCTCACTATTTTCTCACCACACAACTCACCTCATCAATGCAGCAAGGCCAAGCTTTGGCTATGCGTTGGCTGAAGGAGTTTTGGTACCACCTTTGCCGCAGCAAATCAGCATGATGGACGAGCACCAACCCAGACCTGTGGCCATCCACTCGCCTCGGAAAGAAGCGGCTAATCCTTCCGCAATACCCTACCTACCCCACCCCGCGAAACGGACGGCGCCGGTCCATGTCCGAGTTTCCTGAGTGGTGGGAGAAAGAGCCATGCAAGAAGAGCCAAAAAGTCCACTCTGATCAGCCAAAAGATGCCCATGTGAGAATCAGGGCTTTTCCGTTCTTTGTTCCGAGCACTTTTTGGCTTTTCTCGCTTGCTTGCCGACGACATAGGCTTGCCCTGCACGACCGTTTGATATCCACTCCCGCAACTCGTGGATCGAGCGTCTAAAAGTGGTACATGAGTTTCGTGGGTGGACGTAAAAAAAAGGCTAGGTGATATGAAAACACCTGCGATATGTTATGGCGATCACAATGAATGAAAATAGTAGAACAACCTCAGCCTCAGTAACTTAGATATTCTGCACCGTTACCATCGAGACTGATCAGCTAATTGGGTCATGCACGCCTCGGCCTCTTGTGCAACTCGTGATTGTCACGTCAAACCTTCGATCAAACAGACTCTCCGCCTGCTGCCGGCGAAGAAATACCTAGGATTTTGCTACACGTACCTCGGAAGGTGTTCTCTTCCGACAATCATCCTTGTGACGGGTCTGCAAGCATCCGTGTTCGTGTACCGTATAGCAGCCCCCTTTGCCCTTATGCCTTTTGGGGAAACACGCCATCATTCGATAGCCTCATGCATGTGCTTATAGGGAAAGCCAGGGTCTCGAATCTCGTACATCGTTTATCGCGTGCAAGCGCGTATATTGCGAGTACATAGATGTATTGCTACATTTGACGTGTGGCTCAGAGCGAGACGAATCGAAAAAGCAGGCGCGTTTTGTGCAATGGCGAAAAGGAGAATATGCAGATAGTAGCTAGAACCATCAAACTACCTGCACCGCTATGATTGATGCATGCCAGGATTATGCGAAAACAGTATTGGGAAAGAAAGGAAACGCCCATGCCGATAGGATATGCTCAACACCACTCGCAGAAAGGAAAATGCCATGCGCCTGTTCAAAGACTCCCCACAGCAAAGCCGAGAAAACGCCACGTTCGATCAGGTACGATCGAGATCAAGTCCGGAAAGAATGAGGAGAAAAGATGCAAAGATTAGACGTAAGATTGGTCGAAGCCACCCATCATATCGGCGCCACCAAGACCCTCCAAATCCATGAACTCTTCAAAGCCTGTTGCTGGATTGTCTGGCATCTGCTGAGCTGAAGGTGCGACTGAAGCGGATGTTGACGCATTGTCACTTGCAGATGCAACACTCGCGTGGTTCTGATGTCCGTTGGGAATCTGGTAGCTGGGTGCAACACCGCTCCCGCTGACAACGCGTGATTGTTGCTGCTGCTGTGCTGGACCAGGCTGCTGAGTCGCAACAGGTCGATTGGAGCTATCTTGGATGATAGTGCGAGCTGGTACAGCCTTCCCCCAGGCCTGTTCACGTGTGGCTGCTCGTACGTCTGGAAGCAATCGTCTGTGATCATTGGGATCCTTGTTGCAGTCGCCGTGGCCATTCATCAGAACCAAGACTTCGGGAATTACGCCTTCTCTGACACGTTCTTCGTACTCCTCTGCCTGGCGTGATAGGAGGATCGGAAGGAACAAGGTAGACTCATACCATCTGCCCTTGACTTCCTTCAAGTCCACAACTTTGTTGCGTTCAAGAAGTTTCCACTGGTAGGCCTTGCCCTTTGCTTGGATGGTGGCGATGTTGCGGCGACGTATGTCTTCTAGCAAACGCAGAGGGACGTTGGTGGTATCCGAGCCAGAAACGATGCCGCCGGGAGCGCGGTTCATGGTGATAGGCTCCATTGGTGCTGGCAACATGACGTAGACATCTCCTATGAAGGAGACTGAAGAATAAGCTTGCTGTGAAGATTTTTGGGAACGTTCGACGATTGCTCTGACGACTAGGACGCGAGGTGCCTCTTGGCCGGCAGGAGTGGCCAAGCGAACAGGCTCGTTGACCCAGATCTTCTCGGCTCCCAGGTAGATGGCATCCCAGCGGATTTCCGTGTATGATTGAGTTTCGGAGCGCGATGAAGGACAGAAGGGAGTATATGTGGCGTCGATAGCCTTTGCAGCCATGATACTAGCATCGATCTCGGTAGTGCCCGGGCCATACTTTCCTTGAGCCAGGGCATTGAAGTCGAAACTGTTGTAGTGCAGAGGATGTGTCACTTGGTTCAAAGCCTGATGGGTGTAGGGAGGAACCGACCATGCCAGCCATGGGCGAAGGTCGCGGTCTCTTGTGATGGTGACTGATTGGGTAGGGTGATCGGGGAACGAGAGAGGCTGCACTCTGTAGTTGGAGTTGTTGCCGACCTTGGTTCGCTCGATGATGACGCCCAGCCCCCATGCGCCTTGACGGTCGAACCAGACCATCTCACCTTGTCGAAACAGAAAGATGCCATATTGGCGATCAATTTCATAGTCCTCGGGCTTGGGTGGTACGCGCGGAGCTGCTTGTGCAGGAGCGACGGAACGAGAAGAAGCAGCGACCGGCTGGGGAGCGATCGGGGTCGATGTCGATGTCGCATCGACGCGAGCGGTAACGTTTGCAGGAGTTGAAGTCTGAGCAGTAGCAGGAGTGGGGACGTTGGCAGGTTTCGCCTGGTTGGAGGGACGACGAGCGAGAACGGGGGTTGTGTTTGTGTCCTTCTCTTTCGCGGCATCTAGCTCTTCAGGACAGCAGATCTTGCAGGCGCAGTTGTCCGTGTCACCTTCGGGATCCGTGGCCAACCAGAGAAGGTGCGGATAAAAGTCACCGGGACTTCTGAAGCGCTTCTTGCGACCGAGAGGATGGCCGGACAGGTAGGCATCTTGACGCTCGTTGCCGCCTCCGGCATGTGTCTTTGTCTTGGGCTCTCCTTCTCCTGCCTTTCTCGGTGGCGCTGTCTTGACGTGCTCGAAGAGGCGGTAGTTCTCGGGGAAGTGGGCGAGGATGTAGCCTTTCTCTGTCAAAGTCGTTAGCGATTGTTCAGGCCAGGTCTGTGTCGCGTCGCGCAAACACACCCATGTCGAGGTTCAAGTCGCGAGCAAGCATGGCAGCAAGCTTTCGTCTCCAGTCCATGTGCTTGGACTCGTCGATGGCGACTTCACGATAGTAATCCTTGACTCCATTGGTCTTGGGTTTGTCGTCCAGCTGCTTAGGCGTGGGCTTGTTGGCCTCTTTGACGATGCGGGCGCCGGTCTTTGTGGCCGTCTCGAGCATGCCATCCGAGCGACGGATGTAGACGGGATGGAAGCGGCCCATGTTGGGCTTTGCTGTGCTTGTAGGATCTGGTAGGCTTCAATTCGAGGATGTGACAGTCTCGAGCACGGTCTTCGAGACGGATCTATCCGCGATCAGATCAGCAGTAGTCTTGGCTGACGTAGGAACTCAAAGCGGAGATCAACTCCGTTTGCCTCGTTTGTTTCGTCTTGTTTCGACTGCCTTCACTTTCTCTTCTCACTCTCAAAACCACTTGATATCCTGAGAAGCTCTGTACACATCGCCTCTATCTGCAACACCAACCACTACACGAAAACAAAACCACAACCATGTCCAGCCACTCGAGCTCCTTCACTTCCACCTCCTACTCCTACAGCTCGTCGAGCAGCTCCTCCAATGGCCAAACCACCGGCGTAACCCACTCCACCCAATCTCACACAAACCCTGACGGTACAACCGTTCGCACCACACAACAAAACCTGGGTGGTCCTACTGTCGAGGAAACCAGATATTATGACAATCAAGGTCGCGAGCAGCTGGGCCTGCCCTCCTCGAACACCAGCAACCAGCGTCGTTTGCAAGACTTGGAAGTCGAGGATGTGACCGATGAGTCAGAGGCCGACAAGAAGTATCGAGAAGCTATGGAGGATGAGTATGCTAAGCGTGAGGGTGGTGCTTGAGCATATCACAAACTGCTATTGTATTTCTACCAAGCTGCTTTACGACCTTGAAATGATCAACAAGACCTGCATGAATACCAACATCGAGAAGGATGGAGTGCATCGGATATATCATCATGCAGATTCACAGACACTCTTTCGAATGAATTGAACTTTTATCACTGAGCATGACTAAATCATTTTTGAAAAGTGATTGAAGGTTATGCTCATCCGTGACTCAATGTCTGTCAATTTTCTCAAGCAGCAGCAAACAAAGTGTCAAACTGCTCCTCAGCATCCTTCCAACAGTCATGTCCGTAAATCATCTTTTGCACATCAGCATCCGCCCATCTGTCCGGCACCTTAGCGCCCTGCTTGCCCTCTCTGATAGCCTTGAAAGCTGCATCTCTAGCCTCCTTGGCCGCTCCATCACCAAGATGCATCTCTCTACCATTCGCCGCAGCCAACGCGACGAGAGCCTCTGCTCTCGTCTTTCTCAACTCTTGGTACACCTTGAGTGCCTTGTTGATGCTTTCTGAACTCGTGTCTGGCAGCTTACTCAACACAACTCCCAGCACAGCTCCATCTTCTATGGCTTGCGCGGCTCCCTGAGCCAAGTGAGGCAGTGTGGGATGACAGGCATCACCAACCAGCGCCATGTTTCCATGCACCCAAGTAGGAAGTGGCGCATGTACTCTCAACTTCCACTCGCAGACCTCGCCTTCAGGGACCATGTTCAGCATCTTCTGAATCTTAGGACAGAAATCGGAATACACATCCAACATCTCCTTCTTACTGCCTTTGGTAGTGTAGGTAGCTGAAGGCGCAGCTGCAAAGTTGACGTCTGGCTGTGCGGTACTGAGGTTGTAGATGGTGTTGTTCGAGACTGGGTATGCGATGATATGGCGTCTTTCTCCGATCCACCTTGTTGCTCTTTCTGCATCGATGAGTTCGAGGAGTTCAGGGTCGTGTTCCATTTCCTCGCGCTTGAGCATGATGCGGTAGGCTGCTTGGCCTGAATCCACGACTTTGGCGTCAATGTTGAGGAGGTCGAGCATTTGATCGCGGATGTTGGACTTTACACCGTCGGCGCCGAGAAGCACATCGCACTCGACGTCGAAGGCTTCGCCCTCTCTAGGCTGAACCTGGAATTTGACCTTGGGGCTCCACTGGTGGACCTTTTGCACCGAGTGCGAAAAGTAGAACTTTATGCTTGCAGCCTCCTCTTTACAGCCCTTGTACATTTCTCCAGCCAGACTCGAGCGATGGCCCACCATATGAGGGTACCCATAAGTCTCCCTCACATATCCAAGCTTGACATTCGCTAACTCGGCATCAGTCGAGCCTTGTCTAATACTGGTATCCTTGAGATCCACAGCTTCTTTTTGGATGGGTTCCCACACGTTCAAACGGTCGAGAATGCGTGCCATGTTGGGAGCCAGTTGGATGCCTGCACCCACGAAACCAAGATTGGAGGCGTATTCGTAGATGGAGATTTTGGTGAAGCCTTGACGGGCGAGGGAGAGGGCACATGCTAGGCCGCCCATGCCTGTTCACTTTGTTAGCTTCCAGAGAGGTTGATAGAGGGAAGGGGAGGTTACTTACCTGAGCCGGCGATGCAGATGTGCATATCCTTGACGTTGTTTGACATGTTGAAGCTACTACAAAAGCCCTTCAAACTATAAGGTCAAGATATACCAGCTATCCAACGAGAAGAGAAGAGTGTGGTATCAACCTATAAAGACCAGTAAAGCAACGTGGTGTAGAAGAGAGGGAAAGAAGTCAAGAACCACGATTGTGGCTGATCGAAATCACTTTTGTACCTTCGAGAAATTCAAGAGCCGCGCCTCATATCCGTACACACAGACACTTACGGTTGTAAGCGACGGCATGTCCGCGCGGTATGAACTACTAGTAACCAGCCAGACCGAGGGGCATTGTTTCGTCACGGCAAAGTGGGACTTGGCTGAGTTGTGGTGGGGAAAGAATCGATTTCTCCACATCTCCAGGCTGCTTGCTTGACGTTTCGGCTGACATGTCCGAAGTCGGGCTCGGCTTGTTGGTCGGGAGTGAGAATGGTATGAAACAAAAAGATTATTGATACCTGGTAAGGTGAGATGTGGATATAATGCTATGTGAGAAGAAACAAAGTCATGAGAGTCGTCAAAGTCATAGAACAAGGAAGCGAAAACACCATCTCTCAAACCGCTTCCAAAGCCTTAGCACATCGCAGCCAGAGCACTGCCCACTCACCACGGTTCCCTCGTCGAGCCAATTCCTCAGCTCGAGGCTCAGCAACGTGTAGACAACGCAAGATGGCAGCTGCTACCTGGCTTCCAAGTCCGACGGCTGGCTGTTCGCGCAACATTTCTGGTACATATTGTCGCAAAGCATTCATAGCATCTTTCGGACTGTTCCTTTGGGCGACTGCTTCGAACATAGTCACGTACATGTTAATTGAGCGTGGCGACATGCGACAAGGAAAGGAGCGCCATGTATCCCAGAAATCAGACCAAGAAGCATTTTGAGCGGCAGTGCGGAGGGCATAGACGGAAAGAGCAGTTGTGAACTGATGTAGTGTAGGTGGTTCTTGATTTGTTGGTATAGTTTTGTCATCTAGATTGAGTTGAGATTCTTCGACCATCGTGGTTCTGGTAAATGTCGCTTGACACAAGATCCGGCAGACTGAATCGCTTACTGGATTGTAGCCGTCTTCAAACATGCGGTCCAAGACAGAAAGCGCTTTTCGCAATGTCGTTTGGTCAATGTGGACTTGAGCAGCTGTAGTTTGGCTTAAGCCCGGCAGTATGATAGCTCCCAGCACAGCTAAATAGCTTCGTTCGTCTGGGACGACACAAGCCATGCGCATGCTCTCTAAATCTTGGATCAAACAAGCAGGAGAGTAGCCGCAATGACCTAGGCGGACGGCGTGGCAATGGAGCAAGATGTGTACATGCCAATGCATCGTCTCTGGGAATCTAGGCATTGCACTGTAGAAGGCCTGGAGAAAAGGGGTAGACTCCTGGTCGCTGCTGTTATTGCCAAGTGCCCTCAAGGCTTCGTTGGAGCTCATAGTTTTGAGATGATCAACCAAATGGTTCAGGATGACGGCACTTTGAATAGATCTGTCAGATTGAGGGTTGATTTGGGAAGTTGTTGATATTTGCGCACCTTGTTGAGTTGTGAAATTGGCAGAAGAGTGGTATGCTCGAGCCTGCTGCCCACTAGGATAGTCAGCAGCATGGGGACGGTAGCGGTAAGCACCGGGCGTTTCGGTCGACTCCTCAAGTAGCATGCCACTACGCACTCGCTTTTCAGCATCATCGACTTCTTGGTCTTTGTCAGTCTTGGCCTTGATGGATCTCTTAAGGATGCCGCTCCACAGAGTCTCAAGATCGATCTGGCCTCTCTTTTCATCGGTCATCATCTGTACGACAATTCTGGAGCCAGAAGATTGACTGCCGAAACCGACAATGTTCTCCATCTCTTCAGCAGGCTTCTGTAGAGCACCGCCTTCGACTCTCCCAACATTGACACAAACCCAGCCTGTCCTGATGCCATCGTCAAGGTCTTGACTCGCAGTCTCTTTTGCACCAACGGAGCTGAGAAGGCGAGATCTCTTAGCCTTGCGCCTCAGCTTAAGTTTGAGCTCATTGCGACCAAGTAGACCATCGGCGTAAGGAGTGAGATGATGTTGGGTACGCAGCCAGCGGCACAAGCGATCAGCAGACACATGCAGATGCTTTTCCGAACGAGCAGTTCCAATGATCATGAGAAGGTTGGCACCGAGGGCTGGTGGCGGATCGAGTTCGCGAAGGTCGATGAGGGAGAGGTGGTCCAAGCCAAGCTCGACCGAGACGTGTTCGAGAATGGGCTGCAGGAGAGCGGGAGGGGATTCGGGCAGGTCGGGAAGCTTTTGACGTTCGGCGAAAGGGTGCTCTTGCTGTGGCGTAGGAGTGTCGACTTGCAAATACCATGGGACTGCCTCGAGCTCTGTCGAGGAAGGAGGCGTAGCATCTTCAGATGATTCGAGCGGCTGAGCTACAGCATCAGAGGTCTCTTGCGCATCGTGTTCAGGCTTGTCTTGTTGCTCTTGGGCGAATTTTGTGGATAGTGAGAAGGGACGGTAGGCCAATGCAGCTGGTCGAACAATCGCAACTGAAGATGGACGAACGAATGGTTGTAGACCACGGCCCGCGATAGAGCGGCGTATACAGCTGCTCAGAGACATGATTGTTGTTGGCTGTTGCGAGGCAAAAGGTCGACGACAGCGTCAGCAAACAAAAGTCTCGACTTGACCACGAACAAGGTTTCGAGAGCCGCCGCCAAGGATAATTAAGTCCGCGATCGATCGGCGTTAAATGCTAGACCTCGGCCCGTTCTCTCCGCATTAACGATTGCATGACATGTGCGACTAATCGCTCTATCATCCTATCAATCCATCCATCTTCCTGTATCTAAGTATCCATACAACCAGGAGGTCTTCTTCCTACTAGACCAACTTGCTGGTCCACACTCATGACCTCTCCCAAGATGACTACCATTTCTATCATCCCGCTGGCAGAGGGATCCGTTCTTCTGCCAGGCCTTACTCTCCGCATTCCGCTTCAGGGTCGTGGCGATATTGCCGCCATCCTCGCAAACATCTACAGCAAAGCTGCTACTCCAACTCCTGATCATACCTCTATCACTGTTGGATGCCTTCCTGTCAACTCTCCCTACCTCAGCTCTGATGGCCAGAAACTCCTGGACGATGGCAACAACTCGAACAGACGTCCCATTGCCGCTATCAATCCTGCCCAGGCTACCAAGGATCAGTTGTTCTCCGTAGGAACACTTGCTAAGGTTTCCGGCGTCCAGGGAAAGAGAAGGGGCGAACTGACTCTTGTCGTCGAGGGTGTGAGCCGCTTCCAAGTCAATTCTTTCGTCAAAGACAGCCCCTACTTTGAAGCCGAGGTCTCTATCCATACCGATGAACACGTCGATGAATCAGACAAGGAGGTCCAGGCTCTCTTCGCCGAACTCAAGCAACTTTCCCGCGAACTGCTCGCCCTCATCAGACTCTCCTCTTTGCTACCACGTGCCCCTGCCACCACCTTATCGCCACTCCTCGCCCGTCGCCTTGAACTCTTCATCGTTAGAAAAGACCTACAAGAAGCTGGCGTTCTAGCAGACTTCATGACAAACATCATAGAGTGTTCCCACGAGGACAAATTGCGCATCATTTCCGCCCTCCCACTCAAGCTTCGCCTCGAGCGCGCTGTCGACCTGCTACAACGAAATGTCTCGAGTATTCAGGGCAACAATCGTATCATGTCCATCAGGTCTGTCGAACCAGATGCTGACGCTGACTCGGACCAAGCAACACGCATGCGACGACAACAGTTGCTGAAGAGACTTGGTGGCAATATGCCTGGGGGTGGTCGTCCTGGCTCGGCAATGGGCCTCGGCAAACCCGATGATGAAGATGAGCCTAACGAAATCGATGAGTTGAAGAAGCGTATCGACGATGCTAAACTGTCTCCCGAGGCCGCCAAAGTCGCCGAGCGAGAGCTAAAGAGACTCTCCAAGATGAACCCTGCCCAAGCCGATTATCAGGTCTGCAGAACTTACCTTGAGAACCTCGCCGAGATTCCTTGGACCAAGTTTACCGAAGACAAGCTCGACCCTGCAACGTTGACGCGGGCACGCAAGCAATTAGACGACGATCACTACGGTCTCGACAAGATTAAGAAGAGATTGCTCGAATACCTGGCTGTACTCAAACTCAAGCAACAGGTCAACGCCAACCTTCAATCTCAAATTGACAAGATCAATGAGGAAGCCAACGCTGCGAACAAGTCTGAGAATCCCGAAGAGTCTGACAAGAAACCTGAACAGACACCCGAAGAAGTCAAGATTTTGAGCAAGAAGCGTATGGTTGACAAGTCACCTATTTTGCTTCTTGCGGGCCCACCAGGTGTCGGCAAGACTAGTTTGGCCAAGTCAGTTGCCACCGCACTAGGACGAAAGTTCCACAGAATCTCTCTTGGTGGTGTACGAGACGAAGCCGAAATTCGCGGACATCGTCGAACATACGTCGCAGCAATGCCTGGTTTGATCGTCAGTGGCCTTAAGAAGGTCGGAGTCTCGAACCCTGTTTTCTTGCTGGACGAGATCGACAAGATTGGCACATCCAGCCACCATGGCGACCCTTCAGCGGCCATGCTCGAAGTTCTGGATCCCGAGCAGAACAACACCTTCACTGACCACTATGTCAATATTCCCATCGACCTCAGCAAGGTATTGTTCATCGCCACAGCCAACTCTCTCGATACTATCCCAGCACCTTTACTAGACAGGATGGAAACCATTCAATTACCTGGTTACACGACTGTCGAGAAGCGACACATTGCCACTCGTCATCTGATCCCGAAGCAGATCATCACTAACGGTCTCAATAATGATCAGGTCTCGATTGCTGAAGATGTCCTTGACAAAATCATCACTTCTTACACACGGGAAGCCGGCGTACGCAACCTTGAGCGCGAGATTGGCTCTGTCTGCCGCAGCAAGGCTGTAGCGTATGCGGAAGCTTCTGATGCAAGCTCTACTTCCTCTTACAGCCCAACGGTTCGAATGGAGGATCTGGAAGAAATTCTTGGTATTGAACGCTTCGAAGAGGAGATTGCTGCTACCACATCACGTCCAGGTGTAGTCACAGGGCTTGTTGCTTACAGCTCAGGTAGTCAGGGCAGTATCTTGTTCATCGAAGTGGCTGATATGCCAGGCTCTGGACGTGTGCAACTCACTGGCAAGCTTGGTGATGTGCTCAAGGAATCTGTCGAGGTTGCTCTGACGTGGGTGAAAGCTCATGCATATGAGCTCGCCTTGACACATGATCCTGCCGAGGACATCATGAAGAATCGCAGCATCCATGTACACTGTCCAAGTGGTGCCATTCCCAAGGATGGACCGTCTGCAGGCTTAGCACATACAATTGCGCTGGTCAGCTTGTTCAGTGGCAAGCCTGTTCCGCCTACTGTCGCAATGACTGGTGAATTCAGTCTACGTGGCAAAGTGCTACCTGTGGGCGGCATCAAAGAGAAATTGATTGGTGCACTTCGCGCTGGCGTCAAGAAGGTCCTGCTGCCAAACGCCAACAAGAAAGATGTCAAAGATCTGCCTGAAGAAGTCCTCTCAGGCCTTGAAATTTGCCACGTTGGTCACATTTGGGAAGCGATGCGTCAAGTATGGCCTGATGACCACTGGCCTGGCGAGAGACAATGGGATGGCCTTGAGAGCCGCTTGTAGGGCTGCCTACCTTTTCCGTATTCTTAATGATAGGCGTCAGTTGTAGATGATATGTACAGGATGATGTTCTTGTTGGTTTAGCATTGCATGATTTCTTTTGCCTATCTTGTACATTCTACTCCTATACTTCTTCTATCGAATCTATCGTAACCATTTTTCTCGAGACATCTGCAGCCGGATACGTTATTTCCATGTCTTTTCCGTGTACACGATTTGCCGTCTACTGCCGCGATCGATAGAAGGAAATGCAGTGCCGATCCTCATCAGGTGGTAACATGGTTTCCTTCTTTTCCAAGCTTCCAAGAAAGCCGTCAAAACAAGATTCTCTTTGCAGCAAACTGTAGCCGCTTGCAAGGAAGAAAAAATCAAGGCACAGGGCGTCGTTAGGCCCCCTGCGATGTCGACACGAGCCTCATTATGTGGGACCAAGTTGCATGGCAAGTATAGCCGAGGATCGGAAGCAGGCAGTTCAAGCGAGTCAGAGTGAACCTGGATGTCAAGCAGGCGGCTCTGCACGTTTTCTGTCTAAACACTGTTCGTTTCGATCTTCACGGGAAAATAGCTATTTGTTCTCTCAATCGGGCATTGGCAAGACGTAATTATTTTCAGGCCGTCGTTCTACTGACGCGAGAGCCCTGACGGTTTCGCAAAGGCGGACCTCGTCCCGTGTGACCGGTGGAGCCTCAAGACCTAATTATTATTGGTGATGTATCGTCGATTGCCGACACATTATTGCGTCTACCGTGTACGTACACCGCACCTTACCTGAAGGAGCATGTGAAGATTGAGATGCGGCAATCGCCAGTGGCTAACAGTTTCCCTGGCCAGGGTCTGACCACGTTGACAGCTTGATAAGCGCATTAGGTTTGGCACACGCAAGAGCCATCAACAATGCGCTTGCCATCACAGACAGCTTGGCGGATGCACCGGGTTCTTTCTTTCTATGATTCTTGAATCGCCTTCTATTCATACCGGTCCAAGAACCTATGGGGAAGCCATCCGGACTTGAACAGCCATGTCTGCCACTGTCGACGTCGAGGCTTTGAGTCCTCAAGATCGAGCCCGTTACGAGAGGAAACGCGAGCATGAGTTTTACAGGTTCGACAGAAGCCAAATCCCCGAGGTCCCGCTCGACGTCAATGTTAAGTACTTTCTAGCTACTACGAACCACTACGGATACTCGCTGGACCCGACATCAAGTGGACCGATCCCAACTCTCCCGAATCCATTGCTGAGCACAATCCGACATCTTCGACAGACAAAGCTTTGACTGCCTTCTGCCAACTTGCTGCTCTTCGTCTCAAAGCCAGACGGGCTATAATCTTCTGCTTTGACAGCCAGCATGCATATATTCTCGGCGAAGCCACACAGACTCTATCGTTCGAAGACGATAACATACACGACAACGGAGACAATCTCTGGCTGGGTATGACCAAGCTCCCTCGCGGCTTCACTGTATGCGAACAAGGTACTCTGAATTTACCGGCAAGTCGTGGTAGCAACGTCAACGACGAGAATGATTCGAGGATACATATAGTCAATGATCTTCGTAAGGACTCGAGATTCTGCAACCAATCATATGTCGCGGGAGGCATCAAAGCTCGCTTTTATGCTGGTGTACCCATCACCACTGCTAAAGGCTTTAATATTGGTGCTTTCGTAAGTCACCCTACTCAGCAGGCACTTTATCTTTTGCTGACCTGGCCTAGTGGTAAGCGTTGCTAGAAATCGACACAGCTCGTCCGAGGAGAACAGTGAAGCTAACAATACTCGTGTTAGCATATTGGATGACCAACCTCGAGATGGGCTTGAGAACAAAGATGTCCGATTCATACAAGAGATGAGCTCTTTGGTCATGGAACATCTCGAGATGCTGAAGGCGCGTGCAGAACAGCGTAGAGGAACTTTAATGGTGAAAGCTCTCAACTCATTCATGGAGAACGAGCCAGGTGCTCACGAGCCTACCAAATCGCCTCCTCCTCCTGCCACTACGAAGACACTGGAAGCTATTGCTCACGCCACAGAGATGGCTAATCCAGAGGGTGCCCAATCCTCGGAACACGTTGTTGAACAATTGACTCTACAGCATAAACTGGAGGACGAGAATGCACTGTTGACGACAGGTCGAACTCTGAACTCTATTGTCGCAGAGACCACCAGCAACAAGGCACCAATGACCTCTGAGCTTGTGCGACCCGCGATGCCACGCAGAGACAGCACCAAATCGAATACGGGCTTGGTCACTAAAAAGGAGGAGGATCCACTCAAACTTCGAGACCAAGTCGCGAGTAATGCAATGCAGTCTGCTGCAGATTACATTCGAACGGCGGTCGGTGCAGACGGTGTCCTGTTTCTGGATGCCTCCATGTCAAACTTTGGCGAGTTAGCAGATGAGGAGGCCATGGACAATCCAAAACCAGGACGCGAATCTGAACCTCTGACCAGCGACACAGAAGGAACCGGCAGTGCCACGGATACAGTTGACAGGCCCAACCATCAGGAAGATGTTTCAAAACCTTGTTCAGTCTTTGGAGCATCTTATGGACTGGTACCAGCTAATTTTACACCACCTCATGCTGCGATTCCAAAGAAGCTCTTACAATCTTTATTGAGATGTCACAAGCACGGCAAAGTCTTCTTGTACGGCGCTGAGGGCGATTACACTTCGGATACTCATACATCAGACGGCTCGGGCCTTGTGGATATTCAATCTACTTCTTTGACATTCAGCAGTGGCCGCGGCTCGAAAGATTCCTCCTTCCAGAGACGCAAGCGATCAACAAGGTCCGCACTTGGTAAGAAACTAGGAGCCTTGTTCCCTCAAGCAAGAAGTCTGATGTTACTTGGCCTCTGGAACATGTCTCGAGATCGATGGGACGCTGGTTGTATCGTGTATTCGAACTCTCCAATTCGTGTCTTTTCTCTCGAGTCCGAGATGTGCTACCTTAAGGCGTTCTGCGATGTAATTACTGCCAAGATTGGACGACTGGATATGGAAATGTCGCACAAAGTCAAATCAGACTTCATGTCGTCGATCAGTCATGAGCTGCGCAGCCCACTGCATGGTATTCTCGGAACCGCTGAATTCGTCCATGATCAGATTCATGATGATGAAACTTCAGAGATGATCTCGCAGATACAGATCTGTGGCCAAACACTGCTCGATGTAGTGGACCATCTACTTGATTTCTCGAAGGTCAACTCTGTCTCCAAGCACAACAGAAAACAGCTGCAAACTGGGGTCGATCAGAGAAACCGTAATCGCTCTAGCGGTTTGAGCAAAACTGAAACGCTTGGAGGCATGGTTGTTGAGAAGACGAATGTTCTGCTCGACGAATTAACAGAAGAAGTGATCGACACCGCAGTCTACTCGTTCTGCTGCTCAAAAGACAGGAGCACGCTCGATCAGCGCAAAGTCACGGTCATCACTGACATCGATCCCAGCGCTTTATCTTTGAACTGCGTCATTGCTGTTGGAGCTTGGAAAAGACTGTGCATCAATCTTATTAACAACGCGCTGAAATATACGGAGCGAGGCTACATAGTCACGTCCCTCAAGCTAATGCCTCCGAGCGACAAGCAAAAGCGTTCTCGAGTGCGACTGACAATCACGGACAGTGGTAAAGGTATCTCCAAGGAGTTCATGACTAGTCAACTGTTCCGTGCATTCGCTCAGGAAGACGACTTGTCGGAGGGTACAGGTCTGGGCATGAGCATGGTTGCTAAAATTGTGAAGAACCTTGGCGGACACATTGACGTTCAAAGCAAAAAGGACGTTGGCACAACAGTTTCCGTCACCATGCCGCTGGACGTCAAGGGTAGTGGAGACGCACAGCGCATCCACGACCGTACCTTGTCATCTGGACCAACAATGGTTTCGATGCACTGTCTAGGCTTCGCACCTATCGAACCACATCGGGAAAAGACTATCATGGCTGGTCGCGACTTCCAGATCGAGACACTCCGTAAATCGTGTCGACAGCTCAACATTATGGTGTCTCCCTCCAGTTGGTCGGCTCCTAACAGTTTCGATTTAGCAATGATCACCGAAGAAGATGTACCAGAACTTCTAAGGCTTTTGCAGCCGACTTTAATAGAGACACCTCACGCTGGTCCCGACACGATACGTGCCATACGAACAAAACCCCTTCTGGTCGTCTGTAGGAACTACCGTTCACGACGGGAGTTGAAGGAGTCCGCAATCAACCAGCTGGTCCACGGTCATATCGAATATGTATCACAGCCATGTGGTCCACGCAAGCTCGCGGCCGCCATCAGAAGGTGTCTTAGTGACACGCCTAACTCCGACTCTTGGTCAGAAAACTCACCAACACCTCAAGGAAATTCATTGCAAAGGCCTTCTGATCCTGGTTTTCCTTTCCCAGCAAGACGACCATCGGAAGATTCCAACAAGCAAACACCAAGACCGCCATTACCAGAATCTTTCAGGCAGAAAAGCCATGAGGGCAAACCTTCGTCGCTTCCTAAGGACTCACCTCTGGATGGCTTCGAGCAAAGCAAGATTGTCACTGCCTCGACAAAGACCACACCGTCAAAACTAGCGGCGGAAGGTGACCCCTCGAAGCCGACCCTACTGCTTGTTGATGACAACGTAAGTTAGCCGCAGCCCGATTATCGCAGAACTAGACTAATGTCCATACAGGCAGTGAACCTTCGTCTAATTACCGCATACGCGAAAAAGCACGGCCACCCTAAACTCACAGCGACCAACGGTCTTGAGGCATTCGAAGCATACAAAGCCGCCGCTCTCAGTACCACCAACTCCACCACACCCAAACCCGAAGTCATTCTCATGGACATTTCCATGCCGGTCATGGATGGCTTTGAAGCCACTCGTCAGATACGAGCATTCGAACGTAGTAATGATCTCACGCCGGCCACTATCATTGCTTTAACAGGCCTGGGGTCTGCGGAAGCCCAAGAAGAGGCTTTTGTTTCTGGCATTGATCTGTTTTTGACTAAGCCTATCAAGCTGGATAAACTTACGAAGAGCTTGAATGAGATTAGGGATGGGACGGTAGAACAACAAATAGCATAGGGTTTTTGGTCTAGGTTGTCGACCAGAGCTGGATGTGTTGGGTTAGATGAGGATATGTTCTTGTGCTTTGGAGCGGGATCTTTGAAGCAGATTTTGACAATGATTTAACCTGAATCATATTCGTTTGCCAGTACGCAGTCTGAATGTCTGAGCTGTCGACTGGAGAAGGTGACATCCACAATCTACTACTTCCTATCTGTTCAAAATAGTGTTTCGACTCGGCTTGCTCCCACTCGTAAGATGAGCAATTCCATTCAGGGATCTCACTTCCCTTGCTTGAATCAGTTTGTTTGAGTACTCATGAGACATGTCACTGTTTCGCCGGATTGATGACCCTGCTCTCACTCTCTTTTTTTTTTTTTTTTTTTTTTTGAATCATACTCCATTTAACCCTACGGGTCTTGCCGGGAAAACTATCTAGCTACTATGTTATTCACATAGCTATATGCCTTCCTACTGCCCTATACACTCCTACTTTCGCTCTTTGCTTTTTATACTATTTCGTTATATGTCCGTCTCTCTTCTATATGCTATATCTATAAGCTTATGCTTAGTTATCTTATATCTATCTCTCTCTTAGGTTTAGATAGAATCCACTTTGCTACCCTACTAAATTAAACTAGTAGGCTAAGTGTTAGTAGTTATCTTACTATAGTTATTATTTTTTCTATATTAGAGAGTATTTCCTTAAGACTATTTAGTAGGTAGTTCCCTTAGTACTTTTATTTACTCTCCTAGTAGGAAAGGTAGTTAAGTAGTATATAGTAAAGTATTTCCCTTTACTTAGCATATCCTTAGTACCTATCTATAGGTATATTAAGAGGCTTTATCTTATATAAGTAGGAGTTTAGCTTAATTTTCCTTATCTTTATCTATATTATTACTATAGAGAGGGCTTTCCTCCTTCGTCTATAGCTAACTAGGTATTACTTATAAGGCCTTATAGCATATAGATAGTACTTATAGCCATGCTTGCCGTTCTCCTATCTTATTATCTATTCCTTATTAGCCTTATCTTATTCTACTCTCTTCTTTATAGACTAGAGGGTATATGTTTAATAGCTATAGGCCCTATAGAATTTATATACTTTATTTAGGCTCTTACACTATCTAGCTACTTATTTAGCTATTTTATCTACCTCTTTATTACTACGGATTCTAATATAGGAAAGAATCTATTATAAAATAATGTTAATCCTCTTCCTTCTTACCTATTCTAATTTAGCGATTACTTACTAGGTAATGTATTACCCTAATATTATCTTTAGGTTCGTAACTACTTATATTATAGCTTAGTTATCTATAAAGATTGTCATCCTATTACACTATTTAAGCTCTTATCTAATCTAAAGAGCAAGTTCTATCCCTACTAGTTCGGCTAAGTATATAGTAGATTTAGTATTATTACCTATATATCTTATCCTTACCCTTCTTATATCTAGGCACTAGGTAGTAGCACCTACTTATTCCTAAATCTCGCTTTCGTCGGTATATATAATAGCATAGCGGTAGTTCTACTTTACCTACCTTACTATGCTTTAATATAGCTAGATAGCTCTCTCTTTTAAGCTTATAATATAGCTCTCTAGAGGCGTCTACTATAGGCTAGCTATATTAGTTATAATTAGTTTAATTGTTTCTAGTTCTTGCCTTATAATCCTATTTCTCTCTATATACTACTATTTAAGGGCTTATAGAGGCATTATCCCTTTCTAGTTATAGGTTCTTAGCCCCCTTACTTATAAGATTACTTAGTACATATCGCTACCCCTAATTCTATATAGAGTGTTCGTATTCCGTTATCGAATATAGAGCGTAATCGGTATAATGTTTATCTCGACTTCTAGAGTAGCTAGGGCTATAGTACGCTATACTTTTATCGCCTATCTAAAGGCTACTTTCTAGGCTAACTTTAGAATCCTAGTAATGTCGGCTATACTTATTTTGTTTCTATATCCTAGATCTAATCTATACTATACTATGCTTATATATATAAGCTTTAGAAGTAAGACTACTTTATATAGTTATACGCCTTACTATATTATTATCTTCTAGGTAGATCCTAATATCGCTTAGAATTTCTTTATAGATGTTATCGCACTCTTATAGAGGTATTATATATAGTATAAGCTAGTAAGTTACTTATTAAGTACTACTCCTAGTAGCTTTATAGTTTAGCTTAGTTATATAGTTACCTTAGAAAGGATAAGTAGGGCTTCTACTTCTATATCTACCTTATTTTTTGTAAAATGTATTAGGACATATTTTTAGGGTATAAATACTAACCTAGTCCTCTCTACCTATTTTATCGCTCTCTTATATATAGTAGCTAGAGTAGAGGCATTATTAGCCTTTATATTCCTTATTACTAGTATGCTTATGTCGTTAATATACCCTATAACTATGTTCTCTAGATCTCTAATATTAAGTAGGTCTACATTATAGAATAGGTATAATATTAGGGATAGCGGCGATCCTTATAGTATCTCTATACTTATAAGGATTAGGCTAGAGGTGCCTTCCTTTAGTCTAATCTCTATTATTCTTCTGTCTAGGTAACTTTCTAACTACCCTACTAGCTATAGGTAGATATATCGCTTTTATAGGTTATAGAGTAGCCTCTAGTGCAATACGTTATTAAAGGCACCTATAATATTAAGTATAAGGAGTAAGGCGACCTTACTATTTTCCTATATAGTATAGACTTTCTTAACTAGGAGATAAAGTGCGTATTTATATAAGGTAGCTTTCTTACCTTCTATATAGTATCTTAGTAGTAGCTAGTATTTCTTAGCGTAGTATTATAGTTAGTTTGTAACTACTAAGTCTAGTATCTTTCTAATTATATTTATAAGAGTAATTAGTCTATATAACTTAGTCTCCCTATATATAGCCTTCTCTAGTTTTAGGATTACTACTATAGTTAAATACTTAAAGTACTAAGGGTAATGCTATATATAGATATAAGTGTTAAAGAGCTTTTATAGAGGCTCTATAAGTATATCTACTATATTTTTTAATACCCTATTTAGGATCCGATCTAGGCTAAAGGCCTTCTCTACTATAGATTCTTAGATTGCTCTCTAGACTTCTTCTTCTATTACTTCTAGGTAGGGTACTAGTAAGGAGTATATATACCTTAGGATATCGCTTAAGTCTGCTAGTAGTAGGGCTAAAAAGAAGGTACTTATAAAGGCTATAGCCTTCTACTCCTACTCCTTTAGTCTTACTCCTTAGTATAGGATCTTTAGTATAAACGCTATCTTTAGGTTATCCTTATTTTTTACTTACTTAGCAAGTTTCTATAGAGCCTTTAGCAAGTCTACTTATAATACCCTTTCCTTATAGTCTCTCTAGTTTACTTAGAGGATAGCATTCTATTTCTCTCTTCTTACTTTTTTATATTCCTTTTAGCTATTACTATCTATCTATCTCTACTATCGTTATCTAGCCCTTTTCTTTACCTAGATCTTCTCTTAGACTTCCTTATAGAACTCTAGCTCAGTATATATCTAATATACCTACACCTTTAGCATAGAGTGTTCTATCGCTTTATTAATTGTTTATGTAATTTCGGCCGCCTTATAATCTACCTACTCTCTTATCTAAAGAGGTGCCTCTTAGCTAAGATTATTTTATAGGTAGTCCTAGAGCTTATCTATATCTATTACCTTATAGTTTCGCTAGGCTTTAACTAGTGCTTCTAGAGTCTATATTCGGATAACCGTTTCTATAGGTCTATAGTTAGATCCTACATTAAGTCTTAGCTATATTTAGCACTCTTACATCCTCTACTAGAGGTCTTCTATAGCCTAGACTAGGTTAATTGTTAAGTCTCTATTCCCTATCTAGTCTCTTAGTCTAGTTACTATGCTAACTAAGAGGCACTAGTCTATACCTACTCTAGTAAGGACTCTAATAAAGCTAGAGGTCTAGTTAGCTAGGCTTAGGTAGTCCGTTAGCCCTAACTATCGTTTGTAGTAGAGGTTAAAGTCCCCTACTACTATCTATTTGTGCGTTACTATAGCCTAAACTACCTAGTCTAATATTAGGAGGACGCTATTTCTTAGGATCCTATTATATTCTAGGTTCGGTTCCCTCTCTCTTATATGTAGGTTATATATATTATAAATAGCAATTAGTATTTTGCTACTAATTATAATCGAAACTATGTCTTTACTATTATATAAGTATACTCTTAGTTTTCCTATATCTATTCCTCGGTAGATATATAGGCATACTCTAGGTCTTTCTTTACTTAGTAAAAGTACTATATAGAAGAGCCCTCTATTTAGGTTATACATTATCCTAATATCTAGTCTTATATAAGGCTCTTAGATAGTAATAATGTCATATAACCCTATATCTAGGTGCCTAAGTAGTTAGGACATTATAGCGAGTTTTCTACCTATATTATACTATATAATTTTAATCTATATAGTGTCCCTATTTATTAGAGGCACTATTATTCTATATCCTTATACTACCTTACTATAAGTAGCATCTTACTACCTTCTAGAAGCCCTCCTATTACGCTAATAGTAAAGTAACTTCCCTATACTAGCTATCGTCTATAGCTTTAATAGCATCTAATCCTAGTTTATACTATCTATCCTAGATAATAGCTACTATTTAGCTTGCTATAGCTCTCTTTGCCTAGTTTAGGGTTATTATAGGTTTTAGCATAGTAGTTTTATATACTCCCTATAGGCGTAAGGCCGACGCTATTTCCTAGTTTCTTAGTATACTTATCTAGCTTCTAATCCTTTCTACTATAGATCTTAAGCTTATTTTAGATACTGCTACTACCTCGGCTAGGGTTAGGTCTATAGCTAGTCCTTTCCCTATCTAGACCTCGTAACCCGGAATATTAAATAAGACTACTAAGCCTTTCTTAGATAGTCCTAGGCTAATTACTAGGTCCTCTAGATAGTAGGGCTAGAGCTTAACCTTTTCTTTCTCCCTCTTTACTCTCTCTATATCCTGTTTATAGTAGATGTATCTCTAGTCCTACGTAGGGTAGGTACCCTTATATAGAGTACACGTTTATAGCTTACTTAGTACTAGGTAGTCTTAGGTAAGGTGTTCCTTTATATAGTGTCTATATACTTCTTTATTACGACATTAGTATATTATATGTCTATATTTATAGTACTTAAAGCATTATAGTACTCTATATGCCTTATCGTACCTAATAGTACGCTTTACCTAGCTCTCCTAGGTAAGGATCTCTATAGCTATTACTATATTTGCTCTTACCTTTATTATAAAGCTAATAACTATCATCCCTATTACTTTGCCTTATCTTAGTCTTACTATCTAGTCTATATAGTTAATCTTATAGTTAGCTAGTAGTTAGTAATTCGACCTAATAAGGGTATACTTTATCTATTTCTATTCTTATAGATTAAATATCGATATTAGAATGTTTATTACTATAACTATATATACTAGTATAACTACCTCTACGCTTTTATTAAGGTATATTACCTATTATAGTCCGTTTATTATTAGTCTCTTAGCTATAGCTATGTCCTTCGTAATAAGGAGATAGTCTTCTAATACTTAGACCGTCGCTATCTTAATTACCCTATTTCTGCCTAGGCTAATAAGTAGTCCTACTCTTTTAATACCTTTGTTTGCTATCTTAACTACCTAGGTAGAGGTTTTACTATGTCCTAGTCTAGCTCTATTGTTATTATTAAAGTTTATCTTAACTCTAATTTTCCTAAGCTTATAAGAAGAGATTAGGGCCGCGGACGTTAAAGTTATTCTACTTAGTACTAATTAAGGGTAAGACTATAGTAGGCTATTAGTAGTAAGTGCCTTGATGAATAACTTAGTCCTACTTGCTATAAGGGAAACCCTAGGCTAGAGGGACATAGCTTTAAGAATCTTAGTAGTAAGTGCGTCTAGGTCGCCCTTAGTAGTCGCCTCTAGGTGTATTGCCTTTGCTGGCCCCCCTAGGACCTTCCTAATAAATTTAAGCATAGACTTAAAGAGAGCATTAGTCTTTACCTAGGGGTAGGCCTTTACCTTGCCTTTCTTAGTCATGCGGCTAGCGCATTCTATTATTATAGAGATTTTATTCTAGATTTTGCGACCGTAGGCGCTTAGATTTGGGTCCTTTTGCCCGACCTCCGGCCATGGTGACTCGGCGGCGACCTAAGTGCTCATTCTATCGATAGAGCTTAGGTCGGCGAGTAATTTGGCGTCGGTCCGGGGTTTATTCAGTATAATTTGATCGAGTTATTCCAAAAATCAGATTTCGCGCGATTGTGATGTTTTTCCCTGCTCTCACTCTCATCAAGGCTTGGTTACGTTGTGATTTCATTTTCTGGTCTTCACATCGAACCGATAGGATCGAGATTCGTTGTGTCCTCGATATGATGATGTTGGATATGAACAAAAAGTGATGATACGTTGGAAGATGTTGTACATTGGTGTTTGGTTTATTCTCATGACCTAGAAAAGATCGAAGCGATGCTGCTTTATCCAGGACCTTGCTAGATCTCCAGGCGCCGTCAAGCGATGGCTAGCTCGGAGGGTTGCATGTAGTGTTCGGATGAGGCGATCTGTTGCAGTGGGTCTTTATGTCATGATAACGCACGCTTGCTTGCGTTTGCTATATAAGGCGGCTTACAACATGAAAGCGGCAAACGTAATTGAAAGCAACAGAGCACTAGCCAGAGACGCTCCGACAGTGACATCGGCCGTTTGAACGGCAGCTCCGCCGCTCAAAACCGTAGGTTCGGGACCAGAAGTCTGTCCCACTGCGCTGGTTGCAGTGGCGAGAGATGGGCTGACTGAGGCAGTAGCATTGCCGTCGACAGATACGGTTTGATGGGCACCGAGTGCACTTGGCTGCTTCGCTGCGTCCATGACTCCGTGGGGTCCAGCCTCGACAGCAACGACATTGGAAGTGGTGGACGAGAGACGAGCTTGCGCTATGGAGATCTGTCCGTTATCCATGTCGAAAATCCAGTATCCAGCGCGCATGATAGGAGTGCCTAAGAGTATATATTTGGTCTCTGAACTGATCGGTGAGACCATCAGGCGACACGCATCTTCTCCTCCGAGTTGTGCAACCTTACCGGTATCTAGTACTGCCGGAGTGAAGAATGAGGCAAGAGGGACTTCCAGCTGGACATGATTAGTCCCATTGCCAGAGAAAGAGAAGGCAAAAGATGTCTTGTTTGCAATCTTGCTGCAAGGTATCAATCCAACATTGTCTTCCAGTGTGGAGCCAGTCATGTTGATGACCTTGCTATAGACCTCAGAAGTGACAAGCCAGTCTGAAGTGCCAGAATCTGGCCACACAGGCATGGTCTGTTCGCCAGGTGCGATGACTGCCTCCTGCTGGCCATCCTCGTGCGTCATGGATACTTCGTCCAAATGCAAGAAGTAAGTGATAGTCATTAGCTCACCGTTGTCCACTTTATTTGGCAGAATGTTCAGGGTTGTGAGGTTGCCGGTGTATTTCTCGGTATCGAGACCACCAAAGAGGATAGAGCCGTAACTGCTCACTTCGTTGAGGTAGATACTGAAGAGACGCGAAGCAATGGCGCCGGCGTCAACAAGCGACTGGACGAAAGTGGGGTACTTTGGTTGACCTTCCTTGACAGCCTCTATATAGGGATAGGCAAGGCCCATGATGCCAGCGTAGTCGCCATTGGGTAGCAGGTTGCCACTGCTTTGGTGTGCTGCGCCGAAGTGAGCACCGCCAATGTTGAGATCACCGATTTGGATCACATCAGTCACAAGGTCTGCAGCAAGAGCACCATTGTTGTCGGAGGACGTGGTGACTCCGCCATAAGTTGCATTGATGCCGTTGGGGGAGAGCATTTTGAAGGTGGATGAAGCCGATGTATTGTATGTCCCACCGGGGCATTTGGAAGCAGTTTTCTTTGATGTGCAAAACGATTCAGCAGCGAGAAATATCGTGTCACTACTTCCAGTGTCGATCAATACGCTCTGAGGCTGAGGAGGGGTGCCCAGGGTGAGATTGATCATGTATCTATCTCCGATAGAATTGGCATAATTGGTCGTCAATGCAGATTCCGAAGTACCTCCTACATCGCGTTCATTGAGAACTGGGAAGTGTGAAAGTTGTTTGCTCCTGAGGGAGAATTCGAGTGTGCCTGCAGCCCGAGCCGTGGAAGCAGAAAGGAGAGCGAAGGAAATCGTCGCTGAAGTCAACTTCATGGCAACGAACAAGAAAGTGACGATAAGATGTAGCCAAGGATAATGTGCTATGAACAATGGATGACAATGAAGAGATGGTTTAAAGATGGATGCAAATATGCTTTATATACTGGCAATGGCTGTGAGCCAGTAGTGTGAATCCTTTAAAGAAGCATCATAGTCATGATTTGCACGAGGACCTGTTGCTAGATCCGGTATGCAGGGCGCCTGAGGCCATGAGCTGCAGTTGGTGGTTCCAACAGTGCTAGATTCATGTAGATTGCATGCTGTTGCTGAATCCTTCAGCGTTGGTTTGGTTGGTTCACAGCATCCTACAACTTAGCGCCGTGTCTCGGTCCCTTCCGCATAACGTGCATAATCTCCACGTTATACGTCACATGCTTGCATATCTCGACATGAAACAGTTGTTAACCTTGTGGCAGAGAAAACAGAAAAGATGCGCAGCCTCCGCAGCGAATCTATAGAGGATGAGATGCGCGGGTTGGATACTTGCTAAGGCATGGCGTTCTGTTGCTCATACAATCCCACGCAGATCATGATCCTGCAGACCATTTGTAGTTTTTGGATGCAACAGTCTATCGTCCTGTTGATCGGCGCGCTCTGCTGGTCTGATTCAGCCTATTCCTGGTACAGCGCGTATCAGCGCATCCAGGGGGAGCTGCATGACTCGGTGCTTGCAACACTCAGATCTGCACATGGCGCAAGGCTCGTCTATGCATACCAAACAAAAGTCAAATCCTTCAAAGCAGTCGCCGACCACTCTATACCAGACCACTCACTCGGGAAAGTACTGTAGGTTTTCGCCGTCTTTTGGGGACTATCGAAAAGCATGTTTCAAGGTGATGTAACATTATGCTTGTGCAGCATACTGGCTTCCACTTTTGGGGCTGAGCAACACGGACATCCAAGGGGGAAGGAGCGATCCGGGGCTTTTCATACTGCCGCACGGCAACAAAAGACTGAAGCACGAACAAGCATGCGCAGCCACCACCAAGCCTTGTGGCGAGGAACATGCGCCGTAAACAAGCTCTTCTCTGCAACACAAAGCTTGATATTCTCAACAGTCTATTCTTGGCTATGCTAGAATGCTCTTACTATGCCTGCGAGCACTCTACACATGGTCATGCCACTTGTTGTCCATTCCAACACCTCCAGTATGGCATGTTGGCATCCACTTGTTGGAGGCTCATTGACTAACGCTAACTTGATTTACTACTATTCTGGCATTTTCACGCATGCCATCCACGAGCGTCGCCAAGCCGACCCTCTCGACTCCATCCCTCAATACAACTTCGACATGTGCCATGAATCTCTCAACGGCGCTAAACTCACCTTCACTCCTGCTGGACCTGGCAGCTTTCAGGTTGCTGGTGTTCCTTCTACTTGCATGGTCCTTGCTACTGCTTTGACTGGCAGTTTCAATGCTGGAAATCCTACTTCTCTTGGTGCCGACTCTCTCAAGTTCACCGGTCTTACCGATGATGAGATGAACCAGCTTCAGTCTTACTTCCACTAGATGGCTTCTTGAAGACATCGCCTTTCGGTAAACAATCTGATAGCTATTTTGGGATCGGCTGAGATGGTCAGAGTGATGGATGCAGATGATAGAATTTCCTTAGTCACGTTTTGTATATAGGTTTTTGTTTTTGATCATGTTTCGTATTTCATTAGCTCGCTTGTTCTTCTTGTCATTTTAGAATGCAGTATATCAGCTACCATGGTTTGCATCAATATCTTGGTCCATTGTGCCTAATGAACTTTGACTCTTGCCAATCTGGCCGACCATCATTACCTGCAAACAAGTACAGAAGTTTGAAGAATGCATACCATCTAGGGATGTCAGGAAGATAACAATAAGCATATACACTTGGCACGGTCTTAGGAAAAGCTTGACTTGCACTTGATTGTAGGTCGAAATAAGCTATGTCAGATACGAAGTCAAGCTTACTGCCAAGAACTGTATAGCTTAGCTCGATGTACACTACCTCTGTGCCCATAAAGTGTGATTGAGAATCTGACAACCTTGTTCCTGACAGTTCACACATAAGTACTTATGACAGGTACAGTACAAACAACCTTAATCTCCAAAGTAAAGATGTAGGTTTTGGGATCCAATCGGCAAAAATGCTAAGTACAGTAAATGTCGCTAATTCATGCCAAGTAGACTAGAAATCATCTGAAGCCCTTGTGCTCTATTGCGTCTTTCAACTTCTTTCAGCAGCTCCTCGTGTACCTCATGGTAAGCCCACTTTGGCGCTGCCCAGAACCAAAATGTGAACACCCAGACAAAGCCCACAGCTTTCCAACACAAGCGAGGCAAGAATCGTCGCAGCGGCGAAGCTGCACCGATGACCATTCCTTCTATCGCAATGACGAGGAAGTTCATACAGTAAAAAGCAACATCATCCACAGCTTCTACGAGATTCCCTTCTTGCAGAGAAATGATGGCGTGAGCCACGCCTGAAATCAAGAAGATCATGAACGCCAGGAAGCACTTCTCGAATCTGAGACCAAGGTAGTTGTAGTGCAGCTTGTCCGCGACAACTCTTGCAAGGCCAAGGTAAGGTCTGTAAACCAAGTGGTGCCAGAACCTGCCCCAGTACCGACGAAGACTGTAAGCTTCGAGAGGGCTTCCAAACAAAGGCGGCCACTCTTCAATGGCATTTTCGATTTAGGATCAGAGTGTTGGTGATTTGGTGTTGGTTGGCAAGGCCTGGTGCCTAAAGCTGTTGGTCCTGTTAATGGCACAATTCACGGCTAGCACATCACAAATTGATAGTGTCTCCGTTTCTACCAATGCTCTCTACATGGACAAGTGTGTTGTCGATTCATAACAGAGTGAAGTCGTGGTGGGTGTTGAGCAAATGATGGCAACCAACACAGCCGCTCCTCCGCCGGCTCACGGCTCGGCTTCGGTACCCTTGGATAAATAGCATTCCCTAACTTTGCGGTCACACCGGCTTCTAGAAGAAAACGTTGATGCAGTCTTGACTTGCAGTGACCGCACATTAACTTCGTGGCATAATCCAGGTACGCGAGGTCGCTCACGCGACACTGTCCGTGCAAAGCATACGCAAGAGCGGGTGAGCCGATTGCGGGACAGAGCGACTGGCAGGTTTGACGAATACCCGGCTAAACCTCCTCCTTCTAAATTCTCCATTCTCGGATCGAGAGCATAAGTTTGTTCAATTAGCCAGACCGCGCACTCTCATTCTCTATCTCGTGGTCATACGATCAACTTCCGGAACAGACATAGATACAGCTATTGCATTTCGAAGGACAAAAGCTAGGAGTATTTACTAAAGAACTTGTCTAATTAAAAGAAGACACTATATGTACAGCAGCGTAGCACCAAGTACTCGAGCTTGGAGTGGTACCAGTTTACAAAAAAAGTAGATGTCGATCTGGCTAGTGAGCATCAAAGGGATTCGACTTTTTTTTTTAGGAGAAAGAAAGATGGTGCCCTGCCACATGCTATCCAACATGCAGCGACCAATCCCTCTTATGTCGAGATGTCAGCTCACACTTAGATGAAAGCACCCAAGAATTCCTTGACACTTTGCGTAAAGGTTCTCTTCTCTTGAGCTTCCGGAACACCAGCCATCGCTTCGCGGGCAACCTCACTCATACCGCTGTAAATGTCGATGTCCTTTGTTCTGATGAAGAGCGGACGGTCTGCAGGCTGGACGAACCAACTGTAAACCTTCCAGACAAGGTAGAGGAAGACAAGCAAGGGGCCAGCAAGATAGTCTTGGAACCAGTCGGTAGCGTTCAGGTTGGGGCCACCCACGGGGTAGAGGGCGACATAGAATTGGGCCAGGAGAGCGATGACGGAAATGAAAATGACGAAGTACGAACCCCAAAGGCCAGCAGAAGCTTTGTAGGGCAGCTCATCGAGGCTGTGACCATTGTGCTTCCTATTGATGGTTAGTCGTGTTACTACACGAGACTAGAACATAACATACCAGGCTGAGCGGAATCTGATATGGGCAATACCAATACCGCCATAGATGAACAGAATTGAAAGACCCGACAACGAAAGGAGCCAGTTGAAGATGTTACCGCCGCTTGGCGCCAAGTTGATGAACGCAAGACATCCGAAAAGAAGCTGGAGGATGACGACGTTGAGAGGACGACCCTTCTTGTCAACATAGGCCATAAACTTAGGAGCCATACCTGATATAGAGGTCAGTCTTTGTAGCTGGCAAGCATCTGAATTTTGTACTTACCATTGGCAGCCAGAGCCTGGATTGTACGAGTAGAGCCAAAAGTACAGGAGTTTGCGACACTCAAGACTGAGATCAGAATGACGGCGTTGAAGATGGAAGGGAGAACCTTGATACCAGCAAGCTGGATTGCGATGACGAAGGGTGAGTGGCGAGACGAAGAACCGGGGTCACTGTACGCAGGGCTGTTTGCTGGCACGATCAACCCGACAAGGAGAAGGTTGACACAGTAGAAGAGGATGATACGGAAGATAACCTGCTTCGAGGCCTTGGGGATCTCTTTCTTGGGGTTGATGGTCTCAGCTGCGGCCAATCCAGTCAATTCGGTTCCAGTGTAAGCGAAGGCTGCCGTGACGAAGACACTGCAGAAGCCATGGAAGCCGTTGAGGAATGCACCTGGCGAACCGGTCCTAATCACGCATAGTCAGTGTCTGTTATGCCATGCCAAGTCCACGAAAGACGAACCAGTATCTTCCACCAATGTAGCCTCTAGGGTCGGTAGGAACGCCACCACAGTCAATGATGATACCAAGAATCATGAAGCCGACACAAGCAATGATCTTGATCGCGCTGAGAGCGTATTCAACCTGTTGATATCAGTTCACACGTCTTTTACTCGTCTTCATGCCAGACCACTTACCTCAGCGTAACCTTTTACGCCAAAAATTTGGATGACAACGAGCGCGACCAGCACAGGGACGATGTAAGCAGCTGCGTTGGTGTTTTCAGAGCCTTTCCAGTAATGAATAGTGTTGACAGCGACGGAGATTTCGTAGGGAAGGACGGTCAGCCAACTGATGGCGTATTCCCAAGCGCAAGCGAAACCGAACGATGGATCGACGAAACGGCAGATGTACATTGCAAAAGCACCATTGATGGGGTATACAACGGACAATTCTGCGAGAGCTTGCATCATGAAGTAACTGGATATTATGTCAGTCAGGAAAGTGGAGACCTTTGGGTCCAAAGACATACACTTGAACACCTAAAGACAGTTAGCAAGCGCAGAGTGCTCATTGCGGACAACTACTCACCAACAACGAAGAAGCCAATGAACACAGAGGCGGGACCACCAGTCTGGAAGGCACCTCCTGAACCAACGAACAAACCACCACCGATTGCACCGCCACTATAGATCTTGATCAGTATGGTTATAGACTCGAGACATGTTAGCAAGCTTACATAGCAATCATCTGCATGTGTCTGCCCTTGAGGGCCCTGTGGAGATCATTCTGGTCGCCAACCACCAGATCATGAACCTCCGGCTCGGTGCCTAGCTGGTGACCATGGAAATGTTCGCCGAGAGTGCCACGGTGAGGGCCCTTCTCGCCTTTGTCGCCGTATGACTTGATTTCTTCGTCACTCATTTTTGCGACACGATTGATGAAAAAATGTTGACCAGAAATGCGACTGCGACAACCCTTGTTTTGAGTCCTTTCGGGAACTGCGGGAAATAAAAGACGGCGACGGAATGCAAGGATGCGCCAACCGCAACGTTCCAATGATAAGCGCTCCTCGTCTGGTCAGAAATACGCCACCCACGGCCTTGATAGGCACTTGTTTTTGATAAGCCTCGGTCAAGAAAGCAAAATATCAGCGAGTGGTGTCATTTGATCGGGCAATAGAAATCCTACAAATCCTACGTCCCTTACAAGATACAAATGATTCGAGGGTCATCTGTGTGATACGTGATACTGCACCTCGACCTTCCTCTTCTGGATCAATCGTGTTGCCTACCTCATGCACAAATACGATGCTGACTGTGAACGAGTCTTGAGCTTCTTCACCCGGTCAAATCCTTCATCTCAAAAGACGCCTCAGTCGTTAGTCGGCGAAATTGGCCTGCTCGTCTGGACGTCAGGCGCGCATTGTCTTTGTACAGAAAGAGGTGACGCGCTCAAGATTGCTTAACAGGTCTTGATTGGCTCGGCGTCAAGCCTACAACGTGCAAGGTTGTGAGGAGAATGAGGGGAGATAAGACTAACCTTATTCTCTTAGCCAATGAACATCAAGTCTAGATCCTGGCCTTTATCTCTGCAACTTGAAGATCATCGCTTTCCTGCTCTTTCCCCAGACGTCATCAGGGACCGATTATCAAAAAACAAATCGTGCACCGCGTGGTTGAAGATGAAAAATAAAGGTGCTTGACTGCTCCATGTGTGGTAGCGTTGACGAAATGCACAATTCCAGACCATGAGCGGCTCCGTACGAATCCGTTTTGCGGTCAACTCGCGACTTCCCCACAATGGTCTCTCGGCTGCCATCGTTTCCGGGGACTCGCTGTCAATCACTCAGCTACCTATCTCTTGCTCATTACACATATCAACCAAGAACGGTCTTGCAAGCCTGGTCGCTAGCTTCTACCGTGACTCGTCCATTGTCCTCGTAAACATGCTCAATGAAAGAAGCGCTCGGTCTGCGATAAGATGAAGAATCACATGAAAACGTCAAAATTTTCTAGAAAACTCGCACTTCGGCTTCGATGTTCTGGAACAATGCAATCAAAAACAGGAGCTTACGAATGGGTTGCGCCATGAAAAGTCAATGATCTTTTATGGTTGTGCAACAGAAGACAAATCGCGAAACGCAGAACGAAGAACACAAAATAGGGCGGTCGAAGGTAGTCTGATCGAGATTCGGGACCGAGGCATCATAAAGATGGCTACGGATGGCAACAAAAGCTAAGTTCACGGTTGCTCTGTTCACTCCTTCCGGTAGGGCATATAGCACTACCGGCTTCCATGAACGACTTGCAACACTCTAAGAAGACATCCACCGCGGCGTTATGAACAACACAAATCATGTCGATGTTCCCACCTTGAAGTTTTCTTGTCTCTCTTGTCGATGATGGATGGCTTGTGTAGCTTTCTCATCCAGGCTTATCAGAGTTGCTAGACACTGTACAGCATGAGGGCCACTCGGCCCACAAGGAACTTCTGAATATTCGCGTGTCAAGACCTCAGCATACTTCTCAACAAGGTATCTTCAAAATACAACACATGTGCGTTTGGGCAAGTTTATCACGTGCAAGTTTCTAGTCATCCACCTGGACGTGACAATCTCGTTTTGACCATTGCGAGAAAAACTGCCTCCAAGGCTCTAGTACTTATTCTTTACGTATGCCTATCGTCGGCATTCCTCTTGCAGGCTCGGTCTCGCACTGTCGTCTTGACTGACGCTGCAGAGGCATGGCAGATCATGTCCGTCAGCAGCTAATAAACCGGACCTGACTCTGGAAGACGCCCAAGGAACAAAGATATAAAACAATACGGTCCCGAATATCATGGAGCTGCCACACTTGTTACCTCGAATTATGCCAATAGGACGACAGAGATTTACATTGAAGACAGCAGCCGCGGTCTCGTTCGTCTTGTGCAAGCCCCAATTGTCTCTCCATCGCCTCCAGGTGACAGCATCGATGTCTGCTCACTAGCGAGATCCCAAACCAGGATGGACTCTACGGTGATGATGCCAGTCCAATTCACAAGCCAGACTGTGATCTCTGGTAGCAATGGGTGAACAGCATCACAACCAAAGTTTTGTACATGGTGCTTCCAACTTCTGGTATAGCTTTATATGCGACGATGCTTGCTCGCTCCATCAGCCTCGACGCGGAGCTGATATTCCAGAAGTATGACTTTATGGATCTTTGTTGTCTTACTGTCCTCATTATACTTCTAAATCCAAACAGCATCATCCCAAGGTCATCCAGGAAGCCTATAAGTCGTTCTGACTCGCATACAGCGTCGACTGTCTACATCGAAGTTGCTTTGAAGTCTTGCAACGTGTAGCCTTATCGAGATGCGCCATGAGCTATTTAAAGCGAACGCGCTGAACATACATGGAGCGTTCTTTGGTCATCTCCTCATAGACCTTGAGAGTCTGCTGTGCAGATCACATAGAACATAGCATGAACGATAGGCTTCACAACGAAGAGTAACAATTTAAAAGCAAAAGATGTAAGCTGCAAGCGAACCCGCCATTCTGTGGATATCAGAATGACAAGATTATTGAGCAGCGCTTATGTTGCATTCCTGTCGGCCTCTCGAGAATATAAATTTTCTACGGAAAAGGAGAGAAAATCTAAGGGTATGGAGGTACTTTATCAACTTGTTGAGAGGAAGAGGAGTGCGAGGAAGCAAAAGGTTTTATTCTGCTTCGTGGTTGGTCTGTGCAGGCAGCGGGATGTACCGCGTCGCTGACGGGGAACCAACGACGACGTCTGCTGCTTCAGGTGCTGAATAACAGCCAAAACTATCTGAAGTGAAGCCTTAGCCACTGAAACGTCGACCGCGAGGATTGTACGTTTGCAGCTTGCCAAGTGGTAGTCGAGGCTTTCTCGCATCGCTACATTGATAACCATGTTCGGATCTTGCCTCGCAGCTTGTCTTGGAAACGCATGATCATTGCTTGGCCGCTATAGCGACTTCCGAAACGCGTTCTCGATGGATCACGACTTGTGAAAGTTGTGCTCAGGCTTCAATGTAGCAAGATACAGTGAGTTTTGAAAGGTGTTGGCGTATCACATCGAAGCCTTGAGGCTTCGAAGGTGCCTATAGGCTTGGACCCATGGTGCCTGCCGTGTTCGAATTCTTTCCTGTCATGCTTTTCTGCCACTACTTGAGAAACATTTCTCCACACGAACGCTTTCTTTGTTCCTGACAGTCGCTCTTGTCTTTGGTCAAAGAGATGGTTGATATTTCGCTGTATCAGGTCCTCAATAAGATGTAGCATTGATTGCTTCTTTGTCAATTCAGATCCAGACGGACCTCCATTTTGGTTGATAAATAGATGCCGACACCCGTCCATCAAATCGATTTCCTTCTTCCAGAAACACACGCTTTCTTCTCCAGTTCCATATTACAAATATTCTTACTTCAGTCGTCTGCAGCACGACTGAATACCTATCAAAATTTTCTCTACAAACAGGACAACAGAAACAACAATGGTCCGTTTCACCGGCCTCACAATGCTCCTCGCAGCCTTGTGCACCTTCCTCTTTGTCATACCCACCCTCGCCTACTCCGAGATCGACTACCAAGTCATGCACTTCAGCTGCATCAAGAAGGACTGGCGCATCGCCAACGCCATCGACCAGATCTGCGCCAAGAACCTTCATATGCCCGGCTGGGACGCCTCCATGGGCGTAACCTTTGATGGCCACAACAAGGTTGCTGTCCTCGTTAACCCTCCCTGCTGGGGGGATGGCCGTATCAACTCCAACAGCAATGTTTGGATCCCTCAATACTGGTGTCAGAGACAGTTCTGGCAGGTCTGTGCACAGGGTAGTCCCCAAGGTAGGGGTGTGCAAGTTTTCGGTGCCAGAAAGTGTCAGAGTTTCTGGATCACGGATAACAAGTACTAGATACTTGTTTATGGAGTTATGGTTGTTGTTTTCAGTTCTTGCTTTTTTTCTTTGGTTAGCTGTATCCTACCCTTTGTCTCTCTTTGATGTGTCTATTTCCTGATTCAGTTTCTGCATTCTTATAGCCATGGTTTGTTGATTGCACCTTTGTTAGAGATGCACACAAGCTGTATCCTCAAATACACCGTCGTCTCTCCTCGGGCTGTCCCTGTCAACGTACATTTTCCCAGCTAGAAATACTCTACGATGTTGCGGTCGAGCAAACACATTCTTCTCAGGTCTCACGCTCACGTCCTTCACGGGACACAAGAACGAGACAATAAATTCCATCAATCTCAAGTCTCATTACTTTTGTTTTGCTAAAACTACTGTGATTGTTCTCCGGTGCCCTGGACAGCTGGAGCAGCGGCATGACTGCTTTCAAGGCATACAAGTGATAGTTGAGACCTGGCTCTGGCGCGGGATCGACAGTGAGCTGATTGATTATACTGATCACAAACTCGGGACTGGAGTATTCTGATAGGATAGTCGAAAGAGTACATCGAATAGCTCGGATCCAGTCTCAAACGGGCGGCAAAAACTTCGTGCAGCCAGAATGACGTTGTTAATGACAAACCAGCAGACAAGCAGATAAAAGACACAGGTAAGAACGTGCTCTCATGTTTGAGGAAACATAAACAAGGAAGGCGCGAAGGAGAAGGATGGTTGCTTTTTGTCCCGCGATTTGGTCCAGCTTTTGCGCTAACGACATGCAAAAGTTCTCGACACTCGGCATCAGCTCTTCCCGGCACTCGAATCTCATTTGAATCAGCCGTCGAAGTAGGCGACAACAGATAGCAGATGTCAGCCTCAGGTACCTGATCAACATGCTACTCCCACATGGACGCGAAAATTGAGCGAAAGGACTCTGAACTTGGTTGATGCTACCGGATGCCAGTTCAACCACGCCCCATCAGCAACCTCATCGCGATGTGATTCAGTGAGTTTGATTCAGACAGTAAGGAACCAAATGAGATGTGAAGATCTCAAACATCTAGTTGAGCGACAGAGCAGCCTTCTCTGTGATGTGATCGAACCATAGCTGTCAGAATGTGGTCAGCTTCAATATTGCTTGTTAAGCAATCTCTATCACTTGATGCGCTTCTGTTTACTCAAGACATGATGCCTTGCGATGACCGTGGTTTACGGTAGTCAGCTCTGGGCAGGCTCTTGTGACAGAGCGTAAGAACTTTGGACACTGTGCATCTTATAGTACAAAGACTAACGCTTTTGTTCATGATGATGTTCCGAACCACTACTCCTTCTTCTGAAACTTTTTCCCCTCACCGCCATTGCTTTCTGTGCGTTCTTGATGACGACTTTTGTATAGTGGAAATTCAGGCGATCTGAATATGTCATAGAGGCACCCTTCATATGTTTCTGGCACTACGCGTGGCCAGCCATTAGCAAAACAGTGATTGCACATGTAGCGATCAGGATTCGACTGTCCTGAACATTCTGATGCCTCTGGTTTTTCTTGCCACCATCTTCTCAAGAGGCGATTGCGATTACAGCTGGTACAGCAGTGAACAACTCGTTCGGTGGACTGGGTTGGCGCGTGTGTCTTCCACGTATAGCGCTCCACTGCTCCTTTCGAAAGCAATTTGCTTAGAGTCATTGCGCGTCTGATATCGAGATTGTTTGCCCAGGCAAGTGAATTAATCTCGGCATATTTCTCGCTGTGCCGCTTGTTTTTTGCGCGCCAAGATGCTTTCCTCTTGATTACAATCTCGGGTTTCTATGAGCGTTCCTTGAAGCATCGAGTGTTTTCTGACGGAACACAGGATCATTTAGGTAGCGCTCCCGGCGGCGAGCCAGACGTTCTACTTCTTCGGCACTCCGGATTGGCGCTTGTCTTAGACGATTGAGACATGAGAGTGAGCGTGTTGCTAGTTGCCAGGTAGAAAGTCAATCAGGGTAAGATGTAATCGAGGTAAGAACAAGCATCGCACTGATAGGTGCTGGTGGTGCTGGTCGGAGACATCGCGTCGCTGCCGAACCGATCGACCGACAGAGTGCAAGCGTGAAGTTGGACACTACAGGAGTCAATGAGATGCCTCTCCTGGTAAGTGAGGTCGTCAGCTCAGGCTATGATAGCATCGATACCACGTGTTGCTCACATATATGATGGTCACTGCATTGTATGCCAGACGCTGGCAGCCAACGGCTCCAGCTTATGCTAACCCAAAATGGTCAGCGTCTGCATAAAAGTGCTCATCGACAGCACAAGTCACCAGACGGTGCGCCATATATCGCAAAACCACATACTGCATCTAATCAATCAGTCAGAGATGACATGAGTCTAGGCCCTGTCCAAGCCAGGGTATTTCAACCTCACCTCCTTCTGAATCTTTGACCTGGCCTTACAAAAAACTGTACGAACATCAGCAACTGAAGGCATGCATCGACTAGAGCTCAAGACCATCCGGAAAAAGAGCTTGTGACTGTTACAGTCATAGTGAAACCGACAAAAAGAACATGCGTCACGCCAGCGGCGAAGGCGAGTAGAGATGCCAAATCGCAAGATAATGCCAAAAAGATGTGATGAGGAAGAATGATAAGGTAGAACGATGGCAGAAGCTCAGGCTAATGTATAGTAGATAGTATGCGCTTTGCAGAGCAGCACTTGCCGTAGGACTAAAGTGGTCGAACGACGACGCTCTTTCTAGTAGGTCTTTTATGTTCTCCAGGTAGGAGTCAAAGTTTTGTTTAATATGCTGGCTCTCTTGGTTGTTCCTCTTTTGAGATCTAGAGTCTGCTTGAGAGCGCGGTCCACTGTTGCAGTGTATTGCGTCTCCTGACCAGTTCTGGTTGCTGTTGTCGGGTATCGCTTTCGGGTCGCTCTGTCGTCGGCTCGCATGTTTTTTTTCCTGTATGACTTTCCTCATTCTTGAGTCGCTCGTTCGAGACGGTCGAGTCTGTTGGCAGGTGTCAAGCGCCTGCGTGGTCGTTGGGTGGGCAGTCGTTCTTGTCGCGTTTGGACAAATGACAAAAGCCCTCGTCACGATTCCAGCCGAGTGCCTCATTCCGCTCTGAGTTGCTGTTCCTGTGTCTATGTTCAATACTGCTCTTACTTCTTATACACTATTATTTACTCGCTGTCGCCACCGAGAACACCTGGTCGCAGCTGCAACTCAGCATTACATGGTTGCTTGTGCTCCATCATGTCGTCGCTGGGCATCACAATCACATTGATCCGTCAGCTGGCCCCAGGCTCTCACTCGGCTCCCAGCCCCCGTCTCATTGGCCCCATTAATGCCGTCACCCCGAGACCACCATCGTGCTGCTATTGGGCACCCCCGTTTCAGTTGCTAGAATCTCGAAGAGATTCGCGCACGCTTGCAAGAACGAGTTTTCTCTTGGGGTCCGTGTAACCTGCTCACTGATGCCTAGCGGTCTCTCACCTTGATATCGATCAATCCACTCCCCTGCGCGCCCCGATGGCCGTATGACCACCGTCTCAATGCACAATAGATACAGGAAACATGATCTTTCCACAGAGACTGGGCTCGTTCAGATCCATCAGGGGCTCTCTAAGATGCACCAGGGGCTCATGGACGAGGTCCTTGCAAGCTCGAAGAGAAGGTTTACAAACTACTCATGAGGGAGTTCACAAACAAACTCTGGAGCAAAGGCTGCAGCGAAACAACGTGGTCAAGCAGTATATCAGAGACCTGACTTTCGCTTCCCTCCCTCTTTTCTTTCCCCCATCGCTTCGTCGACCAAGGTCAGAATCAAGACACCACTCTGCTTTACAGCAACTTCATTCTGACAAAAACACATCATGGATTCAGCTTCATCTGTTTCCACTTCTTCTTCGGAGCCCCGTTCTCCTATCACCACTCCCAGCACCACCCCACCAGCTTCTCCTGCTGCTGCTGCTGCTGCTCCTGAGCCTGCTGCCGCTCCTCTGCCCCTGTGCCAGGAGCGTCCAGCACCAGGCACCTTCATGTTCCTGCCAACAGGGGCGCCTTGGATGAACGAATCACCCGACGTTGAAGGCGGCGATCCAACAGGTCATCCTGTCCTGATTCTCCCAGCCACAAACGATGATCCCGAGATGGCCCGGTTCCTTTTTACCACCACGAAGGACATCATGGAAAATTGCAAGGCCAGGAGCTGGGGGGAGAACTACCTTCCCCTTGGGAACCAGGAGCACCCCTGGCGCGAGCCTGTCGCTCTATGCGGCTCGTTTCCCAGGCCGACAAGCCTGAACATCACCAGTAAGTACAAAGTACCCTGGAGATGCCTCGAGAGCCTCGCGGTCAACAGTCCTGGTATGCCCGCACCATGCCTGTCGCCACAAGGCCTCGAGAAGGTCAACGAGTTTGTCAACTGTTCTCACGTTGACAAAGATATTCCTTGGATCAGAAACCGGGCTGTCAAGAACACTCGCACTCGTTGGATCAACCAGGCTCCTGTCACTCCAGCCAAGCGTGACGACTCGGTCTCGTTCACGTTTGGTCCCGCTACCCCTGGATACATGCGTCGCCCGTATTCATATCCGGCACATATCAATCAACCATGGAGACTAAACTTATAAGTTTCTCGCGTGCTCGATCTTCCGCCCCTTCACACAGGTACGCTGACCTGTCTCCCCCAATATGCTAACGAGCCCACTCAGGTACTCTGACCTACCTCCCAAAACAGAACTTCTCTTCCGCCCCTTTACAGGTACTCTGACCTTTAACAGTATGATGGTGTCGCTCGTGACGACACGAGATAGTCTTACCGAGGCTAGTGCAGAGTTGAAATATAGATTCTAGCACAAAGAGGAGGGTGCATGCACAGTTCAACTTTTTCATCTCTTCTTGTAACTCTTTTTCCCTGCTGTTCGTCAATTGGCAGAAAGGTTTTTAACGAGGCAAGAGACTGTTGCGAGGATTTGGTTTATTATTTACAGCGAAGATACCCAGGTCCATACGTGGTCCATCAGCAAAGATACCCAGGCTCATACGTGGGCCAGCGCAAAATTCCATCAATTACTTCTTCTCATCTCTATATGACATTTTTCGTGATGTGGCTGTGGAAATGCATAATATTTTGATACACTGATATGTCTCCTGAGAATTAGGGGAATAGCCGTCGCTGCCGCATTGTTCAGAGATCTCGTGTAAGATGAAAATATTCTGCATTTCTGCAGGCTGTTCAGCATGTGGAATGTACGTTGGGAGAGCGTTTCTCGCTGCCCGAGCCCGGCTGTCTCGCTCCTGCCCTATACCATCATCCAGCACGACCCTCAGCACTTCAACCTATTGTACAATCCCATCACGATATGAGAAACATCGACAGAGAAACAGAGACATTGTCCATCTCCCTGGAAACATCTCGGAAACAAATTATTTTCTGCATTTTTTACAGCACTATCAACTATCTACACCTGTTCTTGGGAGACGCAATATCGCAAAAACGACCAAGTCCTGTTCGCCAGTGACCCTGACGCGTTGCCAAAAAGCAAGAGCGCTGCTTATCGGGGGCATAGCTTGATACCCATTTTTGCAGTCTGCGCTCGGTCGGCGCTTTGCATATATATCTTACTAAGCAAAGTAGGCAGCTATGCCGCCAAAGGACATGAGGGAGTTTGAGAGACAGGGTTGCTAGGAATAGTCATAGTCTTGAAAAGGTGTGTTTGGGTGGGCCCGCGTAAACGCTTGAACGCATCGGCGAGTTCTGATATCGGAGGGCGCCGACGAGTTTGCACCCATCGGCGGCCGAGACGAAGGCGATGGCTGCAACGATAGCATTTTTCCCTTCTGAGAGATCGACTATGACATGTAGAGAAAAAGATGACCTTGAAGAGCAGGCTGGGCGATGGTGATATTGAGAAGAAGCAATGTTCTGTGTTGTCATGATGTGGAGATATATACATACAATGCAGGCATCGCTCTGGATACCTTAGATACGAGCGATTACTGGAATGCACCGCCTGCATTGCGCACCAGGCGTAGCACATCGCCGACGAGATACAGGCTCCCAGCAATGACAAGAAGAGCATTCATCTCCTCGGCTAGTCGAGATGCCCTCTCGAGAGCGAGGCCGACGTCCTTCTCTACAATCACACTATCTTCGGAGAGTATGTTGACAGCAGCTATTTTGACGTCCTCCGCTTGTGTCGCCGTGATCCAGGGCATGCCGTCCACAGCTCCGAATTCTGTGGCCACGACACGATCTTCAGGTCTTCCTGCTAGCAACAACTCGAACATGGACGTCAAATCTTTTCCTCTCGAGGCGGCGAGGATCCAGACCACCGGACGGTCACCAGCGCGAGTGCGTACCGTGTTCGCAAGTACAGTCGCTGATTCGACGTTGTGCGCGCCGTCAAGAAGAGCTGTGGACTCGTAGTTGGTTAGGGGTGCCAAATCAATATCTTGTAAACGGCCAGGCCAGACGACTCTCTGTGGCACGGCACGTAGTGTGCTTGCAAGTGCTGAAAGGCTTGATGTGCGAATCTCGTTGCGCAAAGTGGAGGAGCCGCAGGCGGCTTGGGTTGTAGGTGGAGCAGGCAGGCGGTTCAATTGCTTGAGTGCTAGCCAGGTTATTGTGAAGGCCATTGCGCCGTTTTGTTGGCGAGCGTGCTCTGCATCTGTCGTGCTGGACGCGCCTGTCACGTCGAAGCCTGCCGCATCTTTCGAGTGCAAGATCTGTGTTACACCTGCTTCAGACGCAAGCTGAAGAATATGCTCTGTCACTGCTTCGTCGTTCATTGCCAGAATAAGCGGTACCCCTGGCTTCATGATGCCGGCTTTTTGCGTCGCGATCTCGACCAATGTGTTCCCGAGGAATCCTTGGTGGTCTAACGCGATGGTCGATATGGCTGTCACCAATGGCTTTGGCCTGTACTGTTGATTCTGCTCCAGCTCGTCAAATTCGGAAGTCTGGCCTAAGATGTTTGTGGAGTCAAGTCGACCACCCATACCGACTTCAATGACACCGATATCCACATTCTCCAGGGTGAATATCTCGAAAGCAGTCGCGGTAAGCAGTTCAAATTCTGTTGCTTGGATGTTCTCAGATATGTTGCGCGCCAGGACCTTTGCTTCGACTTGCCTGAAGATTGCTTCAGATATTGTTTTTTCGTCAATAGTAATGCAATCCCAGCGATCAATTAGATGCGGTGAGGTGAAGCGTCCATGCTTGATTGGTGGTTTGCCAGATTCAATCCGTAGTTGGGAGGCATTGTACGCTGCGAGCATGGCGGATATGTAGGCGCATATTGAACCTTTTCCATTTGTTCCCGCGACGTGTAGTGCTCGCCATGGTAAAGGAGTGCGTGCCAAAAGGCGGAATACTCGAGCCAAACCAAGCTCTATCATTATGAGTCAATGCGCAAGAATAAGCACTGTTCGAGATGTCGTCCGAATATCATCAATTTTTGAGCGTCGAGACCATCACGACTCCGGATATTCAATCAAGCATGCATCTCATGATTCCTGATCATGTTCGAGTGCTGCTGTGAGTCGTGTCAGAAGCCTCGAAGCAGATCATAATTCCTGAGACGAGCGCCAAGGAGCAGCTGGGCCCCTGCTTTGCGAGCCGGGTAGAGATGCCCATGGCTGGCTTAAGCGCTTTCATGTTGTACTTCAAAGAGCACTGCATGCTGCCGTTCTGAAAAGCCTGCTCTCCGTTTGGATGAAGGCCTGATTGCCTTGGCTGACATGCAGTGATTTCTCAGGTTGTTACACGACATGTTCAAGGACTGTGACTTGCGACAAGCAAACAGGCGCCGGTGAAACTCTGGGGGGATGTTTAGCCAGATTTTGTACGTGCCTCAAGAATGTGGAGAGCATGCCCCTAACCTCTTTGACCACTCCCGAACTGCAAGGCACGACCCCTGAGCAGCCGGGACCGCCTTCTGAAACGCCCTTCATCCATATACGAGTGATGGCGAGTGGTCGATAGGGACCGGACGCCGCGGTAGGTTTAGATTGAAGGTATCAAGAAGGTTGGGCACACCACTTTCTCTTTCTTTTCTCCTTTCTCCCTCCAACTTTGCGTGTCGACAATAATCTTTTCTTTTCTTTCCTTCCACATTCCCTTGCTTGAGACCATTCGCCCAGCAGCCACTCATTTAACCAGACGTGCAATACAAGCACGCGTCCATTCATTCGACCTGATCATTCAAAGACAAGCACCGACTACAACGTCTCAGCTCTACTACACATCTCCAAGACCTTCTCAGCCCTAAGAACACACACAATGTCAGCCTTCATCAAGACAGCAGCAGTCGTGCTGGCCGCGACTACTGTCTCCATGGTCTCAGCTCAGACCTTCTCCGAGTGCAACCCTCTATTCAACACGAGTTGCACACCCAACACCGCCCTCGGCACATGGCACGACTGGAACTTCACAGACTCGGTTATCCCCGACAACAAAATCTGGAACACAACTAGTGGTCGTCAACCCGACTACGCTGATGTCGGCACTCAATTCACGGTATGCACAGTCTTTCCACAACAGCCTAGAGCTTGTCACTAACCTCACGCAGATTGGCGGTAAAGGCGACGCCCCGACTCTCGAATCCAACTTCTATATCTTCTTCGGTCAGGTCAGCGTTATGATGAAGGCCGCTCCAGGCGTCGGTATCGTCTCCTCGGTTGTTCTCGAATCCGATGACCTCGATGAGATTGACTGGGAATGGCTGGGTGGAAACAATACCAGTGTAGAAACGAATTACTTCGGCAAGGGCAACACAACTTCGTACGACCGAGCGATCTACTACGACGTTGACGACGTCACTGGCACCATCCACAACTACACCCTTGTCTGGACAAAAGAGCAGTTGCAATGGATCGTCGACGACAAGGTGCTGCGCACTCTCAAATATGCAGATGCTCTCAACGGTCAAAACTACCCGCAAACTCCTATGAAACTCAAGATTGGTATCTGGGCTGGAGGTGATCCAGACTCAAACTCAAAGGGAACAGTCGAGTGGGCTGGCGGTGTTGTCGATTACCACCAGACTCCCTTCACTATGCTCATGGAACGCGTCTACGTCGCCGATTACAGCTCTGGCAGCACTTACACCTACGGCGACAACACTGGCTCTTGGGAGTCTATCAAGATTGCCGAGGGCAACAGCACCATCGCAGAACGCCTTGCTAGACCTCATGGTGCAGAGGCACACTACAAAGCTCTTCCCAAGTGGGCACAGGCTGCGATTGCCGCTGGATCGATTGCCGTGTTCGCTATTGCTTTGGTCGCTTTCGTCTTCTGCTGCATCAAGTCACGACGCGCTGGTCGCCGTGAGCGTGCGGCAGCTGATGCCCAGTGGGAGAAGGATTTGGCAGAGTTGGCTGAATACAAGCGCAACTCGCCTCATGGTCCTTATGGTGCTGGCAAGGAACATTACTAGAAGGTCTTTCGAGCTGTTTGGAATAGATCCGTTTTATGCAATACCATCATTTTGTGTTTTTGTTCTTATCATCAACTCGCATTTTCGACCACTAGACTAAGTTGTATCACACGTGTTGTAGAAGCGGGGCAAGTTCTTGACATCTTCTCCAGTTACTGAGGATGCAGGAAATTGTTCATTACAGAAACGTGAACTTTTGCTACAATGCATATGGAAAGAGCGAGCTCTACTTTCGAGACTCCTTTCACTTGACAAACGCCAAACTGCAATAGCATCCGGCGAAATCCCGTGCAAGCATCGGGCCTGTGTCCTCCTTCCTCATTACGCTCTTCACTTTTTCAAATCACTACATCTCTGACTGCTGCTCACAATGCGTCTTCGTTCATCAAAAGAGACTTTTCCTACATCAGAAACAACTGTTTCCAACATGTCGGACGCATCGCCAGACCAGCCATTTCGATTCCTTGACCTTCCCAAAGAACTCCGGTTCATGATCTACGAGGAGCTCATGGACAACAGGAAGAACAACATTCAATTCACACAGCCTAAAGGATTCGAGGTCGAGGATGTGTACCTCGACAACATGTATCACCCGAATCTGCTCAAAGTCAACAAACAGATCCGTGAGGAGTACTGGCCTCTATGTCTCCGTAAATCCGTCCTATGGATCAACTACGGTTGTGAAGAACGTTTCGGTGCGGAAGAGGAGGCAGATGACAGCGATGAAGAAGAGAAAGCGCTGCCCTTACTTTCTCAGTGGCTGCACCTGCCGAACACAGTTTTGGCTAAGATGACCGACGTCGTCTACAAATTCCAAACACATTGGAGGCTTCCGGATATCAGTAAGTCATATCTATCACTCTCCAACTTTGCTTGCCTGACCGATCTCTAATCATCTTTAGATCCATTCAATGGTATTGCCGACTCTATCGCCGAATTGCCAAACCTGAAGTTCATCGGTATATGGTCTGAACTGGAGATGTCTGTTATCGAACATGGTCGTGATGAGGCAGAGGCAGATGAAAGATTCCAAGACTTTGTCGAGTTCCTCTTCCTCGAGGAAGCTGCTCTGATTGAGCTTGATGATGACGAAGATCGCAACCTCAACATTCGCGTCGATTGCAGCCTGTACACGCCACTGTTCGAGATGAACAAGAACTACATCTGGCCCCGTCGCAGACATCTTGAGCAAGGTGTGGCGCCCGCGGCTGGTCTTCCAGAGTGGGGTTACTCAATGTTCCGAGTGATTGCTCCTTGGGAACGCCCGCGTAACGACTCATTCACGTACCACGGCGAAGAGCTGATCTTCATGCGCCTCGAGTACGAACTGCCTGTGCTTCCTAGGTCCGAGACGGAATGCGACAGTCCCAGCGAGTGGGATTACGAGTATGGCGAGTCCGGATTTGCTACAGGAAACATGCCAGACTGGAGCTCGGGTGCAAGACCATACTGGATGGATTTCGAATGAATGACGATTAGCGAAACACAGCTTTGCTTTGGCTCGGCGTAGGACTTTATCACAATACAGAAGCGTTGCTCTCTTCTTAGCTTAGACCTCATGATCGGGTATTACCGCGATCGAGACTTTTCAGATAGCTTTAGCGACAGTAGCAGCGAAAAGGATCATCAGAATGTAATGCACGGCACATGGTTGAACGTAGATATCAACTGCAGAAAGGAGCGGGCTTCGAAGTGGTCAAGGACCAAGTTTGCGGAGAAAGCTCGGTGGACAAATGGCAGCTTCCCGAGACTCACCATCATTGTACATTTTATAGCAGCAAGACAATCGACCTTTCCGACTCAGTACCTAGGTCTTTCGTAACTGGATTTCTGTGCGCTGGACGCTGGATAAAGATCAATCAAGACAGGAAGACGCGACAGGCCCAGCGAAAGAAGCACGCGACCGCAACCATGATATCCTGGAGCACGTACGTCGCATCGGTGACAACAGACGGCATACGGCAAGACTGCTAACTCGAATGCAGTATCCGATCGGCCCTCATCTTCTTTGGGCCTATGCTCCTCCCTCGAATCATAGCCTTCTACCGCAGTCTTCGAGCGCCGAACAATGCACAACGAATTCCCGTGTCGCCAGAGGCATCCCGTGCCCTCAACCTCATTTTCGCCAGTGCCGTCGTCTCGTTAATCCTCACTCTCCCATACTATACTCCTGCCAACATCTTCACTAAGACTGGCTCACGATTGCAAACACCTACTCCTGTCCTGTTCAACAGACTATCCACTACAACTCCTCAGGACGACACATTGCGCCAAATATTTACCGCAGGAGGACTGGAAGCAAGATTACAATACCTCAGATTCGGTCCTGATGTCTTGTGCAACTGCCCTCTGGTCGATGACCCCAAGGCTCAAGATGTGGGCACCAGCTACCTGATCTGCGCCCTGCCCTCGCTGCTAAAAACACACCTGATGCATCTGCTCTTTCTGGGTCTCGCTACCTCTAGCCTCATCGGCGGCACGACTGCCGCTCGCTGGAGAACTGCTGCCGTCATCTCAGGCATTGTAGTCATGATTGCAGATGTTGCTTCTGTCGCTACATACGAGCATCAACGCAATGCTCGCGCTACAACCTACTCTGCAGTCGAGAACTTCTTCTGGACGAGATACCTGGCCTCGCACCTGGCAGTCTGCCTTACAGACGCCATTATAGGTCTCTTGATCTGGGCCTCCGCTACCAACCGCGCTTTCGTGCTTCCACCTTCACCAGCTCTCGTCATCGAATCCCAAACCAGAGTCCTCGAGAAGTCACTCGCAAAGTTCAGATCTTTGGGTGCAGTGAGAAATGTCGTCATGAGAGAAGCTGGCTTCAGAGCCAAGGTCGGCGAGTACTGGAGAAAAGAGGGAGAAGTTATGCATGAGGTGCTTGAGGAGAGAGACGTTGTCCAAGCTGTCAACGAGGCGTTGGCCAAGATGGATGTGGACGGTGTCACAAGGGGAGCAGATGAGTTTGTAGAACAGGTCTTGGGCCCAGCGGTCTGAGATACTGTTGCCATATGCCGAATATCTTTCAATCGGCATCTTGTCCCGTTCATTGAATCCCTTTCAACGTGTTGGGTGTACATGGAATGGGAAGGTCTTTGCATCTTCTGACTACCTATACAAAGCTCTCTGGGGTGACGAAAAATAAGTACTATGCACTGGTCATTACTGCCAGAATAGTCCTCGTGTTCTTGGCATGCGACCTATCTCCTCTAAGTCTTCGTTCCTCCCTTCTTCTTGTTCATCTTTGCTTTGTTTACACACGTCCTAGCTCGAGAACAAGAAGCGAACAGAACAATCGGCTCGAGACATATCACAAACGGTGACCGACCTGTTTGTTCTTGCTTTTGGGTACGTGCATTGCATGCTCGGGATCTTGCATGGATTCTTTTTGACACGTCGTTTTCGACATCTTCCGGTCGATACATATTGCTGATGTTCTAGCAGCTTGTCTTCTCTATCACAATCTACGCGATAGCAGCGATCAACCACTCAATCGCTCCCTCAAGGATTGTTCGATTCGCCTTTGAGCCCTACTGCTCACACCTTCCCTCTTCGCTTGCCAATTACGACTCCCTAGGCCTACATTCATTCGGACTCATCATTCATACATCAGATCTTCGAGCTAGCAACTCGGATTAACCTTTGTTATCTTTCATGCAGCAATTCTAGATTTCTGGTTGGACTACACAAGCCTAAGTCAATCATGGGCAGCCAGACGGTGATTGTTATCGATGATGATGATGATGATGGACTCGACGATCAAGACATGCGCAGCCGACCCTTCAACTCTTCGGTGTCATTCACAGACCAGCAAGACGAGAACGAGAACCCGACTGTTTATCACATGCATAACCCATACGATGCTCAGAGATTGATACGCTGGTTGAGCAACTTCGACGACATCCCGGGAAAACAAGAGACTATTTTCCCATTCTCTTCGCTACCAAAATTACCTGATCACACTAGAATCACGCATAGACCAGAAGAGTTCCACGAAATTATCTTGTCTGACAAAAGTCTTCTTACTCTGCCATCAATCGCGGAGAGAATAGAAGCAGGCATCGACGCGGACAATATGGCAGAATGGCTTCCACAATGGGCCACGGAACTCCAGAGACTAAAGAAGCAACAACATCACTCCAATCTCCAGGAGCAAGGTGTCAAGCCAACCAGACAACCTCAAGCTCGACCAGCAACTTATCGTACCAAGCAGGCCAAAGACTTCAGATCTCTCGTGTCAAACGAGTTACTTTCTGGACACAGCATCGAAGCTTTCATGAAGTTACCCGTGATGCAAAGGTTGGCAACATACCGTGACAAGCTGGAGGCTCCTGGTATGATCGAGATGTGCGATCCATCTACTATTAGCACTGACCTAGCAACGCATTGTATCGGTTCGATCCCCAATCAGCACGCGCGTTCATTTTTGGCTGCCTCTGCTCTCAGTCTTCTACCACCGAGAGCTCAAGAAGCTTGGCGAGAGGCACAACGCCACTTCTGGAGGAACAACGTCTTCGTCGTCAACGCGTCGCATATCATAGCTGTGCTCAATAGTTTAAACGCTCGTATTAAGAGCTACATAGGCATGATTCACGTCGATCTAGAAGCTCTAGACGACATGGATGAGCTAGCCTGTTACGACTCCTCGCATCTCAACGGTAACAACAGCCAGACTCTCGAAGCTATCCGCCAGCAAAACCAAGATCTACGGCGCCTCATGGAAGAGTGTTACGACCTGGCTTGGGCAAGGATTCATGTCCACAGTGACTGGCTAAAGGGCGATATTCATGATCTGGTCAAGGCACACCGCGGCTGCCAAGCTCCTGAGGATCAGCACAAATCGTGCCGACATATTCTTCAATACAACAAGCTCTGTATGAACGCTCAACGACGTGTGGAGCATCTTACGTGGTTGTTCTGCGAGTCTCTGAGATGTAAAGAAGGGACTGTCTTTGTCGATGTTGAGCATCTTGGCCTCGACGGCACCACGAGGATTCTTGAGGTCCATTTCGACCACGCGAAGCTCGATGAGGTTGACAAGAAGATTCGAGCGGCTCCAGAGCAGAAAATACAGAAGAAGGAGCGCCCAGAAAAATCGCGAGCATCGAAAAAGCCAGCTTTCAACGGGTTCAAGAGAGGGGAAGTGATCGACTTGACTTGAAGGGATATGGTTATAGTTGTGACCCTGTGCGCGAGCATCAAACTCGCGCAAGAGTCTGAAGTTAAACGCATTGGCAAGATCGACAGAGAGGCTGTGTCAAGGAATCAGGGTATCCCCAAGGGCGAAGTCGGAGAATGTTGAGACTCAGATCTGGAGAGGTAGAAGTGGGCGGTTTCCAATTCTTGAAGTCCTAGATGTTGTAGTGGCGTTCTCCGATACAGTCGTTGATAAAAGGCAAAGTGCCCACCCTTGTTGTGCCACGTCGTTGTTGTTATTGTCGCTTTGTTCGTCCACGAGTTCTGAAGGAAGCAGCAATCCATGTTGGCCAGAATTTGCTCTTCCCGCCACTTTCGATAGGGGCGGAGTAACTCAATCAATCGTCCCATCCACGGGATCTGCTCAACAACGTATACCTCGCCAAGAAAGCTTCCTGATCAAACCTCTCAGGCCATCCACAATCAAAATACAACTGCTTCAAGGCATCGTACCTTCCCGTCTCTTCCAGTTCATCCTCATGTTTCTGTAACCATATTCCAGTTTCAGGATCAGGTACCCAGTCAAGTTTCTTTGTCTTTTCGATCCAGCTTTTCAGGACTGAGAGTGCAGGTTTGTGAGGAAGATGTTTAAAGTGGTGTTTTGGTGCGTTTTCTGGAGGTGCTTGTGTAGGTTCTTCCTGGAGGTCTTTGTCTCTGATCTCGTAGATGTTGTCTTTTGGATTCAATATCAATACCTCATATAGCCTGAGGGAAGGAGGGCGTTTAGGGAGGGAAAAAAAGAAAGAAATACATACTAGTATCAAGATCCAGCAACAATAACCAACCATCCCTTCCAATACAACTGGTCAATGGGATGGCATTCCCCAGATACCCTTCTGTTTTCTCTTTTCCCTCTTCGCTTAGACAGAAAGGATCTTTCCATACATCCAATGCCTCGCTCTCGGCGTTTAGGTAGTCTAATGCTCGTGTATCTGGCGCTATTTCTCTGGACCCCTCCCCGGAGAGATAGGGTAATTGCTTTAGAGTCTCGATGACGAGATCACTCATTCCAGCGTTTTGCCATTGGGATGTAATAGAGGGTGATGGTGTGTGAGGGGGTTGAGATATTTGTGCTGTAGAGTGTGAGGGAAGGAGAAGTTGGAGGGTATAGTATTGGGTTAGCAGGGCGGCTAGGGCTTCTATGGTGTCTTCGTGTGTGAGACTTGAGCGATTGGAGGATGTGAGAGGCATGTTATGATTTTCAATTAGGCGATGATATCGGATGCAGAAGGTGGAAGTGAATCGTTGGTACGGTTGACATGGATGTACGTCGATCATGCCGGTGTTTTGCCGGTGTCTTCTAACGTGTTTTGAGTCTGAACCTCACTCATCATCTTCAAGAAACCCTCTTTGCTGCTAGGCATGTAGCAAGTGGGCTTACACGATTAGCCAAAAGCTGTTTGGGGTTGTTTCGAGAATGTGAGATCCGGATTGCAGACTTCGGTCGTTGATTCTTCTATTCTACAGAGCTAGGCTGGGATTACTTCCACGATCATGGTAACCTTCTATGGACCGTCGGTGAATGACCAGTTGACATCTCTCATAACTTCAAGTTCAAGACATGGTCTGTCTCATTACAAGGCCATGATGAGACCAGCAGCAGCCATAGCTCCCATGACCCATCCATTCTTCTCGACGTGCTTAGCAGCGCCAGTGGACATTGGGGCTGACGACGTTGAGACTCCTGACGACTCGGCAGACTGTGTAATGGTGGCAGTGTCGGTTGCTGTGAGGATGCCGGTAGCAGTGGTAGCACCGCTGTTGGTGGGCTCAGCAGTTGACTCAGTACTCGAGACCGAAGAGGGAACAGAGGCCTGAGAAGCGGTCACGGTTGAGGTGGAGTCAGACTTGGCCTCGCTGGTAGTCGCAGTGGCGGAGTCGGTAGAGGTGCTGATGGCGCTTGAGCTGACAGGAGTGCTGACGGGAGTAGCAGGCGAGGAAGCGGCATTCCAAGTGGCTGTTCCAAATATGAGCTTATAACATCAGAATTGTGCGCAGATCCAACATACAGATGGTGACACCAGCGCCAGAGCAGATGCTGGAGAAAGCGCTCATGGCAGCGTCGAAGTTGTTGCCACAGTCACTAACGAGGCTCTGTTCGACATTGCTGCCACCAGTGCAGATGTCCTTGACATCACTGGGAGACTTTCCAGCCTGGCTGTTTGCGCATAGTTAGACCTTTGCTGAAGTTCTGACGATTGTCATACCTACTTGACAGCCTGAAGAACACAGGCAGGAGTGTTGGAGACTACAACCTGAATCAACAGCGCAAAGATTGCGAAGACAATGGACATCTTGAAGAACATGTTGATGAGCCTTGGTTGGTATTTCGAGGAAGAGGTCTGCTGCAGCTGATTTGAAGACGGGCTCAAAGGAATGTTGGTCTTGAAGAAGTGTGCGGTTGGACGAGTTCGAGTTTGTGAGGTGTGGGCGAGCTTGACAAACGAAAGAGAAACGGAATAAAGTGACGCTTAGCTGGATCTTTGGATTTTTGAGACAAAAGAAATGCGAAACCAGAGATTTGGAACACGGCGCAACACGCGATGGATAGCTGCAGTTCGCCTCAGTGTCTGACTGCGTGACATTCCGTCAAGCAAAGCCAATGTTTGTGCCTTGCTTTGTGTAACAGGACTATTCACCAATCTAGAAACTTACACAGTCCCAAAGGACTAAATTTTACGTGCACATTGTTCAGAGCAACAAATTGATGGTAATGAAGAAGATCGTGATGTTCAATGGACATATTGAGGTCGAAACGGGAGAGACATGCATACAGCACGTCGCAGTTTGGTAGGTATTCGCAACCACTGAACGATTTCAGCTGGCCGAGCAAAAACAGGATATACTCCATCTCTTCATTAGTGATATGAACAATACTCGTATGACAGGATGAACGTGAGATTTGCTAGTATTCCATTGTGGTATAGAGCCCCTGACTCATTGCAGGGAAGCTCGGACCAGGGCTTGAGACTTCACATGCGCGTCAGGCGTCGCTTGTTCGCATCTCGATCACTTCGAAGCCAACACGGTCTATACCACTCCCTCACTCTTGCTGACACGACCTCTGCACTTGACTGTCGCTAGAGTCGCCCGCCAACAGAGCCATTTCCCCAAGCCACAACCTCACGACCGACACGATACGCGACATCCATCATGGCAGACATTGACATGGACGTCGACATGGACATCGACCTCGGCTTGGATCCCGAAATCGCCCAACTCGAGGCTGAGGCCATGAAGATTGTACGCCGACCGATCGCGCACTCGCACAACACACGCTGAACTTGTCAAGGAAGCCCGCTCCGCCCAGATCGATGCTCAAGAAGTCTCCACAACGGCCCCTGCCGACAACCTCGATGAACTGGCCCCGACCAAGGTTCACATTCGCGGCCTGGACAACCTCACCACCGACAATATCAGACAGTTTGCTGGCGAGTACTATTCGCTAGACAACTTCCAACGCGTCGAGTGGATCGACGACACGTCCGCCAACCTCATTTATGAATCAGAGCAAGCCGCACAAGAGGCCCTCATTGCTCTATCCGACCTTCAAGATGGCAATGTCGCTCCTCTACAACTGCGCAGAGCAAAGGCGCTACCTTCAAATCCCGATACCGAACTCTTCGTCCGTCAAGCTACCCTCGCCGACAAGAAAGCTCCTCGTGCACACGAGAGAAGTCGCTTTTATCTCATGAACCCAGACCACGACCCTAGAGAACGCAAAGGAGATTACGATAACAGAAGGAGAGGACCACGGAGAGACAACAGGCAAAGGAACGATGCTCCCAAGCCTTTCGACGTTAACATGTACGACGATGCAGAAGAGGAATCCCCAGCACTAAGCTACGACGACGAAGACGACCGCAGGCATGACCGACGTAGAGACGATCGTCCAAGAAGGCCGCGTGGAGGCGATCTGTTTGCCGGAAAGGAAACAGGCAGACTACGCGACCGTAGCGCCTCTCCTGTAAGAGATGGTGATGGAAGATATGGCTTCAGCCAGGAACAACCCGAACGCAGAACTGCTCGTCGCAGGAGTGTATCGCCTCCTCCTCGCAAGAGGGATCTCATCCCTGCAGCCCGCGCCAACAACGGTCCGATAGAACTTTTGCCCACGAAGAGCACCTCCAAGACCTTTGGCCTTGATGCCCCTGGGACCTCAACAAGTCCTCCCAAACGCAACAGAGAGCTCTTCCCCAACAAATCTGCTCGTAGCAATCACCGCCGATCAGACGCCCTCGATGCTGATGAGACTGCAAGCATCAGACGTACGTTGTGTTTGTGTATTTGACAATATAAATCTGAGCTAATCTTGCATACAGGCAGCCTGGCTGACCGCATAACTGGTGGTCCAGAGACAAGCGGCTTCAGCATCAGAGGCAGTGCGCAAGCAGATGTACCAGGCTTTTCAATCCGTGGCGCTTCGCGAGAAGTCAATCCCAAGGTCAAGGAGTTGTTCCCTTCAAAGTTCAGCAATGGAGCAGAGCCAAACGACCTGTTTGCCGACAAGATGAGAGACCGCAATACCCAACGCAGACGTGCCGAGGACATGATGTAGTACACTTCCTCAATCACCGCTCTGTTACGGAAAATCATCGACCCTGATTGATGGCACACCATCAAAGACCGGATTGTGCTCGAAGAGTGGAGGTCATGAATCCATTCCAAGGATAGCTGAGCGGAAGTTATCGTTACATACACAGTCTGCAGTTACCAGCTCGATCGCTTGAAGAGCGTGCATGCCACATTCGAAGCACACCAGGCATCAACTATCTATGAACTCCCAGCTCACTCACATGCGGCTATTCAGATGCCGATACAAGTTCAGAAGACATGACGGGACGAGGAAAAAAAGCAGTATTGCAAATTCAGTAGGTAGTCACAAAAACACCTTCACTCCACTCAAAAAGAAATTCAAGATCTGGCCACTCGTGAACCTGAAGATGAGATGTGCAGGGCTGCGTGTACGACACCGACGTAGGAAAGAGCAGTTGCCAGAGAAAATAAGGTGCCTTGCGACTGCACTTTACATCCGATCGTTGTGAACCAACCACAACTGAAGGAAAGCTCGTGAGCGAGTGGTTGCTTCCTTGTCTGAACCACTCTCACAATTATGCCTTTCCCAAATCTGCGCTTCAATTTGACATTCTCTCTTCCACACCTCTCTTACATCCATCAACTACGCGTCTGACCACAGAGTGGTTTGTCTTTTCATAATCTCCTCTACCAACAGCACCATTTGCCAACTCACACACCTGACGAGACCTCGAATCGCCTTCACATCAATCTGCAGTCTACCTCGCTGCTCAGCAGTCATCAACTCGCACAGCTTCGAAAGCGTGAGTCCTTCCATTTTGCATCCATTTACCTTCACTGACAAGACTGTGCGCATCAGCTCCCAATGTGTACCTGAGCTGCAAACAATCCCACAGCCCATCATGCTGTTCGCCTTCGCTTTTTCAAGCATCGCCATACCTGCGCTGCCTGAGGTGCAACCTTTCCGATTCTTCGATCTGCCCATTGAGATCCGATACATAGTCTTCGAGCAGCTCATGGACAGAAAAGTTCGCGTCAAAATTCCGCATCTGTCGTACCCAGATTGTCTGCTAGACCGCCCTGCTGAAGTCATAGATTGTTTCTACCCAGCGATAATGCGTGTGAACAAACGTTTCAAGGATGAATATTCTACTGTCGTCATGCCACAAATGATGTTGTGTGCCGAGTGGCGCTCCTTTGGACTGCACCAACCGCTTGAACGTGTGCAGGCCGAAGAATCAACACGCCCGGACTTGCCGGAGATCGTTCTGGCACAACTAAGATACCTTGATTTGTTCATCATCTTGGGATATCCAAGACCTCACTGTGGTAAGCAATGACCAGGAACATTCAGTAGAAACGCATGCTGATAATCATCTGGCAGACCTCCATTCTACATTCCAGGCATTGACAAGTAGAATGTCTCAGTTGACCTGGGTCTATTTTACCACAGGTTTTGGACTCGAGAAGTTCTACGAGTTAGCGTATTCCAGCGAGATCAAGAATCATCTTTCGTGGAAACACGAAATGGTACACTTCCTACAAGGAGTTGTTAACAACAAACCATCGTGGACAGTGATGGCCACGTTTAACATCTTCTGCGACCTCTTTTGCCCATGCCTCACCATTGCTGATGCACGTTGCTATGACTGGGCGAACGCCGATATACCCGTTGTGAGCTTCGCCATCTGTAGCCATCCAGACGAAGATACTTTCAAGCTCGAAGGATCGGACTTGAAGTTCATGGGGTTTGGCGGCCAATACGCAGATGAGGACAGCAACACACAACTCACTTTGACCGCCAGATAGATGCTTGATGGATGCGATCAACAAATCAATGAGAGAATGATACAACATAGCTCAGAAGCAATGCTACAACCCCTTAGCTACTCTGGTCTTGCTCTACTTTGTCAAATCCTGTCCCTGCAAGTTCCACCTAACCCTCGAGATGCCTCCCTGACCCATCAACCAGAATTCTGTGAGATTCTCACCCACCCAAGCAAAATTCTGCACCACATAATCCGTCTGCACTCTTAAGACCAAACTTCCGGTCAAGTCCAAGACATCAACACCCTTGCCAGCTCCAGTGACAACAAAGCCATTAGCAGCAACTTTCAACCCATCAGGCACCCACTCCTGCGAATAATAAAACGGACGCTTGTTAATAAGCTGAGGAGCCGTGTCCGCATCCAAAACATCATACTTGTAAATCGTATGCGCGGCCGTCTGATTCCAAGCCGAGCCATGGATATTCGGATAAGCCGAGGAGATGACACCATTGACAGAGGCAGTATCACTGATGTAGATGTTTTTGCCGTCGGGAGAGATGGCGATGCCGTTGGGTTGCCCCAGTGTATCGTCTATGACCCAGACTTGGCCTGTAGAAGGACGGAATCGGTAGCTTTGGGCGCGGAGTTGAGGGGGTGTGTCGGTCAGGGCGTTGAACCATGAGTAATCTGCGTAGGAGTGGTGTTAGTGCTTGCAATGAAGGTGGAGGGAAGGGAAGAGGAAAAGATAGTACCGGGATCAGTAAACCAGACATCACCGTGAGAGTCCACGAACAGATCGTCGACAGTGTTGAAGTACCAGCCGAAGTAGTTATTCAACAATGTTGTCGTTTTGTTGGTGTAGGGATCCAATGTCCTGATACCTGCTCTCTGCTCTGTACCTCCAATGGAATCGTTACCTCCCGAAGCACCTATTCTCACACATTAGTACCCTGAAGCCAAATCATATGTCAAGCAAACTTACCCCAATAGATCAACCCTTCATGAAAAGTACCCCCATTAGGAGCATAAACCGGCGGATCACTCAAAAACTCACTCAACGTCGGAGGCTCTTGATTCAAATCCACAACCAACTGAGGCAAGAATCCCGCCGGAGGAGCCAACTGACTCAAAAACAATTTATTCAAGCCAGGGACATAGACCGGGGCCTCATGAACCGCATCACTGACATTAAAGACCTTCTCATACGTGGGAGAGTCTCCGAGGATAGCTAAACCTTGAGTTCGATCATAAACGACAAAGGTAGAAGTGTTGAGCAGACCAAAAGAAGTATCGTTGGGAACAGAGGTGGCAGAGAAAGAGATGGAAGTGCCGTTGAAGGAGTCGGGTCGGAAGAAGTGGTAGGGAAGGACTGCGGCAAAGTGGTTTACGCAGACGACGTTGGAGGGGCCGCAGGGTTGGACGACTGGTTTAGTTACGCCGGTCTGGGCAAAGACCAATGTGGTCAAAGAGGAAAGCGTGACCAGCGAGAGATGCATCTTTCGAGGATGTTTGTTCGAATGAGGATGAGGAAAGGGATTGGAAGAGGAAAGAGCCATTGACCTACCTTCCCACCACTCTTATATACCTAGACTCGAGAAGAGGGGCATACCATCATCCCACCTCAAGCACACTGACGTGTTGACATGCAGTTCAAATCAAGCATCCTGTCACCGGCTATGTCTACCTCGCTCGTGGCTTACATACAAAGCAGCGGGGTATATTGGTTATGATGTGGAGAAGACAAGGAAGAAGGTGCAACATTGAGGAAGATCATCATGTTTCCATGCGCCTTGGCATGAGGGGTTGACCTGGGGAAAGAAGGAAACAAGCAATTTTTTTAATTGCCGATGCATATTGGCTATACCATGCGGCGAGAAGGCCGAGGGGACGGGAGATTGAATGAGACAAAAGTGCATTGGTGGTCGAAGAAGATGCCGTTCTAAGCGGGATACTTGTCTTGCACTTGTTTGTGTATTGGGTCGACAGCCGAAGCAAAGCTACTCGAGACTGACACCCTGTGAGCTATATAATCTGGAATTAAAGAGCAATGTGTATCAGAGCGAACATTCTCTCTTCCTTCTTCTTTGAACATGAACAGCAATGTGTCATCCTCTGGGAGACTGATATAGCCGTCCCCTGCTTCCGTTTTCTTCTTCACCTCCCAGTAATAAGCCCTTTGAACGCCGTGCGCCGCGCTTCATGCTCAAATGTGTTGTTGTTACACAAGCAATTCCTTGTGTACCTCCCACCCCAGCATTGGTCGTGAAAAAAGCAAAGATATCTCCGGCTCCCTTTTTGTTGAGACAGAGCGCACCGAAACATCACATTCATCGCTTCTTGGCGTTGGGTCGAGGCTTGCACTCATCAGCACCAATGCCGTGCAGCATGACCTTGTTAGGGTAATTGGGGGTGTTGGCGGCGTAGCCCTGGTGCCAATCGTATGAAACGGCGTAGGCAAAGATGTTACCGTCGTGGCTGAAGTCGGTGCAGCTGATGCTTCCGCCAACCTCAGGGTAACCCTTCAGACGGTGCTTGGCGTCCTTGTCCCAGAAGTGGAAGGTGCCGTCACTACCGGCGGTGCTGAAAGTACCATGGACAGGGTGGAAGGAAATAGAGTTGACCGAGTAGACGTTGGACTGATCGCGGGTGTTGGGTGCGTTTTGACGATGGCACTTGAAGGAGAAGTTGGAGCTGCATGGCGTGTTAGCAATTGATACGAGAGTGTAAGAAATTGAACAAACTCACCTCGAATCCTTGTCCTCGACGTACTGGATGGCACATCTACCTTCAATAGAGCCAATGGCGAAACCAGTAGCATCGGCGAAACAGCTGACAGTTCTAGTCTGCCACTTGAGAGGACTCTGAATCTGCTTGTAGGCAGCGCCAGGCGAGTTGAGGTTGAAGATCTCGACCCAGCGATCGGCAGTAGCGACAACAAGAAGCTGATCGCGAGTGTCCATGGCGTAGACGCGCTCCTTGGTCTGGACCGAAGCAGCAGGGTTTTGTTGGCGGCAATCCCAGTATTTGATTGTCTTGTCCCAGGAACCAGTGACGATCATGGGTGAGCCGTTGACAGTAATGCTCTCAACGCACTTAATAGGTTGATCGTGAGCGGCAACAGTCTGGGGAGTGGTAGCACCAGCTCCAAGATCGAGCATCATGCACTGGTTGTTGGCGCCTGCGCCAAAGACTTGTCTTCCATCCTGCGCTCAGGTCAGTTACTGCTTGTTTGCGCCGAGGTCAGATGGAGCGTACCTTGGACCAGCAAGTGCTCAGAGCGGGGGCTTTGAGGTCGAAGGAAGCCTTTCCCTCGTTGGAACCGTTGCCCTGAACCTCGTAGATGTAGACCTTGTTATCCCATGAAGCGACAGAGAGATGACCAGAGACGGGCGAGAAGGCCAAGTCTTGAATGCTGTCCTCGGGGCCTTTGTTTAGAGCGACATCGTTGGCAATGCTGCCTTGAGTGGCAGTGGCCGAAGTGGAAGCAGCAGTTGTGGCACTGCCGAAAATGCCAGCCATGTCGAGGTTCGAGGGGTAAAGGTCGTCTGAATCGTGGAGTGGAAACGAGAGGGCCGAGTGGGCCTGTTCGAAGCGTAGTCTTTGAAGCTGAATGTGGGGTTCGTCGCGCTCGGTTAGGTTGAGAGTGATGCCGGGGTGGACGATGGGGGTGCGAAGTGGGCGAGGTGGGTCTATTGGCTCGTCAATTAGACCAGTTTCAATGAAACGAGAGACGCGTCCTATGCGAGGATGGACAGGAGTGGGTGCGGGTAGAGGTGACGAAGGAGAAGCAGAAGCAGTAGAAGGAGGAGTTGGAGGGTCTTCTTCGGAATCTGCATCGTAGGCGCAATCGTTGATGGGCTCCATGTTTCGCGCCAGCATGTGCGACTGGCGCAGAGAGAGATGGAGGCCGTGTGGGCGCTGAGCACAGGGCGCGAGGATTCATAACGTACCGTAATATTCGACGACTCAGCAAGTAACCAATCGAGCGAGCTGACCAAAACCAAGCCCGTCGTGAATGAAGATGCGACAGCAGGACTATTCTATGTAGCTACTCAAAGTTGTAAAGCTCACGACGCCGAACGAGCGCTGCCAGACGCTAGCTACACCGCCCGGCACTGTCAGATGCCGACATTCCGCCGTGTCACTGCGCAAAGCGTACAAAAAGCCTTGCTGCAAAACTTTCTTCTCTTCCTCTCCTTCAACTCCTCGCTCAAACAATCGCAATCAAAGCTTCCACACCGAAAGGGGGTTCGCTCTCTTTCTGCCTTCACACACAGCTTTGGGAGAAAGTCCCCGGACACGCCATGGGTTTTCTCGTGGTATGCGGAAACGCGCCGCCATAGATGCAAGCACACCTGCGGCTTACTTGCCTGCCCTTCCTTTTCACTCCTCGAAGATTGTCCCCATCGCCGTCTGCACTCTGCATGTGCGCTGTTGGTTCTCTGTTGCCGGTCCTTCGCTCGGTCGCCTCGCCTGCAAAGGGGATGAGGATATGAGTCCGTGGCCGGGCAATGGAGGCCTGGCTTCGGGGTCCTTCTGGCGTCGTGAGGAGGAGGCAATGGGTTCGTCTTGGTAATCTTGCGGTCTTCGAGTTGTGAGAGTTACAGGTTGGGCATCTGGCATCTTCTTCGTCGAGGTCGAAAGATATGCGATTGCCTCTCCTCGAAAGAAGGGAGGTAACTCGATGGGGCTTATTCTTGATGCGAGGGGTTCACCATTCATTTTCTGGATCTGCTTGGGTGGCTTTGTCGCTGTTCACTGCGCTCTGCTCACGCCTCTGCTCGGTCAAACGTGCCAGATTCCTTTACACAAACCAAACACACAAATCGTTCTACATGATGATGAAAAGGTAATAGAGTCAAGCACTGAGATTTCCACTTCGGTACCCTTCATTGGGGCTGAGGCTGGTCCATTGATGCTACATTTCCTACGACGGTATCTGAAAGAACGATTTGATGTACTCTTTTTTATACATAGCAAGACGAGAAAGAAAAAATGAAAATACAATTCTTGCACAATCACTCGTTCACCCTTGGGCTTTTTCACATTTCATGTGCTGTGATCTTGAAATTACTTTTTGACTACGACACTGTTCTATCTACCATGTTGATCATGAGAGGATGGCTTACCATCATCATCGTCGTCGCTGTCCCCACCAACATGGAATCGTTCTCTCTCAGGGTCGTGCGGACTGGTCAGCTCATCCAACTCTGCCTCATCGAAATCAGCTGCTTCCAAGTCCCGCCTTGCCTGTTTCCTTCGCTCAGAGTTCAAACCCATGCCATCCATGTCTGGGTTGAGCGAGAGTCCACGATAACCAGCTGCACTTCTTCTCTGGCGCCAGATGAAGTAGCCCCAAGCTGCTACAGCAATAACAACCACAACAAGCGCAACCTCGCCAGACTTGTAGTATGCCTTCCACGTTGCTTGTTGCAAAGCCTCCTTCTCGGCTTCTTCAGCTGCAGTACTGTTGGGGTGTCCACCAACACTGGTAAGTGGCCCCTTTTCACCGTCAATTCGACTGTCGGTGGGTGTGCCTCCGACGCTGTCAATGTCCACCTTCATAAAGCGGTCCAGCATGTCTCTGCTGCGGCGAGGATAGTCAAAGGGGACCATGTGAGAAGCGTTGTAGAAGACGACGTATGTAAGGTTGCGAGCTTCTTGCCAGATACCAGCAGGTTCATCTTCGAAAGTCCAGTCACGACGAGGTGCCCAGACACCGGGTGATGTTTCGAAACCCTTGCCACCATTCCACTCCATTCTGTTAATGAGTTCCTCAGTACCGATGTGATTACAGATCAGATCCTTGTCGCCAGAGAAGAGCAGTACAGGAACCTGTTCGAGCAGGGCAGGAAGAATCTCGTAAGAGGGTTTGGAATTGCGAGCCCTGAAAGCCTGACCGACCTGTCCATTACACTCGGTCCAGCCACTGGTCTTTCCAGGGTTGATATGCAAAGCATCGGTGACATCCTTGCGACGGAGGTAGGGCTTGACCGAAGTGAGATCCGGAGGCCAGTTCATGCCACAGCTGGGGTAAACATCGTCCAAGCGTACGTCGTACATGTTGACACATTTGCCCTTCTCTTCATTGCTGACGCGCAGAATCTCTTGCAGAATGTTCTCGCAGGACGGCACGTCGACGTGGTCCTTTCCACCCTTGTCGAGGTCTTCGATACATTTCGACTGTTGTTGTTCTATTCTCTTGGAATTTTCAGTGCCATCTTTGATCAGACCGGCCTTCTTTGCGTATGGAAGATAGGAAAGAGATTGGTCGACTGTCGAGATCCATCCGTTGCCGATAAGCAACCCGGCGAGGTTCCACTTCTTGCTCTTGTTCTCGGCGTTGCGTTTAAGGATGGCTTCGGCCAGGTAAGGAATGTACTGTCCAGCATAGGATTCGCCTGCAATGTATAGCTAGCAGATATGTTAGTGGTGATAAACGGTAGGCAAAGATGTACTCACATCGTCTTTGCTGTACTCGGGGAATATGGTGTAGAACTTTTCCAGGAACTGGATCATCTGGTTGGAAGCATCATCTAGCTCGTGCAGGTAACTATCCGTATCGACGTAACTGAAACCAGTTCCGACAGGCTGGTCGACAAAGAGCAAGTTCGCGAATTCGGCCCAGGAGCCGTTGTTGTATGTCAAGGTACCATCCGACTTGACTCTGTAAGGACCAATCTCCATCATAGCACCATCCATGGAACTACAGCCAGGACCTCCGTTGAGCCATAATACTGTGCGCTGCTTGTTTGCGATGTGTCGGTTCTGGTAGTGCCAGAAGAAGAGGTTACCGTGGTGTTCGGGTGTGATTTCGACATGACTGCGATACAAGGTTAGCATTGGGCCTGTGTGATCTTGGGACGAGTTACATACCCAGCATGCATCTTGAGTAGGGGCTCAGGAGCTCCAGGCAGTGACGAGACAAAATAGTCAGCTGCTGTCTTGTCGGCGACAACGCCGGCCACCCATGTTGAACAGTATAGTAGTCCATATGCCAGAGATCCCGTACAAGTGGGTTGACTCCTCCGACGAGGAGAGTTTGGGAAGAGGTGCATCATGCGCTTCTGCTACTTCATGCCAATTGAAAGATAATCGTTGTTGTCGATGGATAATGATGCCAAGGGTGAGGCTTGCTGCGTGAGAAGTGTCCTCTTCAACAAAGAATGGTCGTGTGCAACTCTTTGCCGTTACAAGAAGCTTTGGGTGCCTCTTCAAGATAGTCGGGAAGCTACAACAAGAAGGTTCAAAGTGACAGAGTTGTAAAAGGAGTCCAGCCGTCCTCGTCACTGCCCCCGTTGACAAAGCGAACACGCGGCTTCCCCAGACTTTCTCAACTGCATGCGCTTGCCAAAAAGTCGCGACCCGACCCTGATCTGCAGGCAATCCCGCGACGGGATTAGCACAAAGACATTCATCTTTCGATTTTGGTCATCAATAAGATTGCATTGACGATGATGTGTATCTGTCTGGGCTATGACTAAGCTTTCTCCTTGTTCTCATCTCGATTTCGCATCTTTTATACATCTGTGTCATGCCCTGTCTGTTCCAAGCAGTCTTCTTTCTTCAGTCTTGTCATTCTTCGCGGTAGCCATTGATTGCTCGTAGGTGTTGATTGTGATCAGGAACAGGCTTGAGTTTGGTTCTCTTGACAGCCACGGCATTGTGGAAGAATTCCTTGACGAAAGGTCTTGGGCATTCTTCTTCAGCTTCCTTTCTGCCAAAAGTGGTAAGCGTGGAGTCCCAAGGACGCATCCATTTTCTGTACAAGGCTCTAAGGTGGGCCTGCAATTTTCCTTGATCACAACCTGCAGGTGCTTTAATACCCATAGCATTGCAGATGCTGCCCCAGCCGCTGACTGTGGCAGTTGAGAAGCCTTTAGACTTCACTTGCTCGTGGAGCTTTGCCATGTCCACTGGCTGCTTCTGCACTGTTGCAGTGAGCCACCATTCCATGTCGTCTTCAGTGAGCTTCAAAAGGCCAGCAATGAAGTCTCCAGGGAGACACTCATACTCGCTGCCTGAGCGCTTAGGCAAGTTGCATCTGTTAGCGTCACGCTCGATGGCCAAAAGATAACGACAGAGTCCAGATGTCTCGGGGCATTGCTTCCAAGCTAGGTTGATGATTTCAACGTCAAGGCGGACAGGCACTCCTTCGGGTCTGATATGCTTGTCGAACTTGTGAAGAATCTGGTCACCCAGGACTGGCACGCCTCTGCGGTCGGCGAAGGAGCAGATCTCGACAAAAGCGCGTGAGACATCTTCAGCGGAGTCGAGCCAGAGATTGGGTGGCAGAAAGTCTAGGTTGATCTTCTCGAGCCAATAGTAAAAGATGCGGAACAGGTCAATGCGTTCTTCCAGCAAGAACTTGTTCGTCTTCGCCTCCAACCATTGACCGTTAAGAGCAGCCTTGAAGTAAGTCGATTGACGACAAAGCACATCCTTGTTGATGGTGAACGACTCTCCTGTGCCCTTGATCTCAACCTTGATGATGTCCTTTCGGACCAGTTGGCTAGCACATTGTTAGCAATTTAATCCATGCTTGTTGTATGACATGCTTACGGAACTGGAATCCATGGCTCATCCAGACCGTCTTCTGAGACGCTCTGGATCCATGATTCACACTGTGAATTGCCGTCGTCAGAATCGAGCAGATCAACCGCGGCAGGGGATTTGTCCATAACCGCCATTGCGCAGATGTTGGTGATGAGTCTTGAAAGTCGACTCGAACTGTGCTTGAATGCTTGTTTGTGGTTGATGGTGGGAGCCGTACGCGAGGCGAGGCTGTGAGATCTTCTGGCGTAGTCAGAGGAAGATTCCTGGTTGACTGGAGTCCAAAACCTTCGCTGGACAGGCGCAACGCACAAAAGCAATCTGCGAATTAAGTGCGGTGTTGAGGACGAGTGGTGATGAAAGGGAGTGTGTGGAAGGAGAAAGGATGGTTTGTGTCCACGGTGGAAGAAGATAAATACGGAAAATGAGTGAGACCGAACTGAGGGCCCGGAAAATGTGAAAGTTGAAGACAGGCTCCGCTTCACAACAACGAACGCGCTCTTCTGAGGCTCTCGGTCCAGACCTCTGCAGCACCTCTCAGAGACGTACGATGCTAACGAGCTTGGGTGAAGAACTGAGAACGATTGGGGTTATGCATGTGTAGGAAGGGTGACGAAGGAGGACACTGTTCGGAGAAGAACAGGAGTGATAGCTGGTGAAAAACAGCTGTGAGTCGAGTCCAACGAGCTCACTTTTACTGTGGTTCTCTACGCAGCTGATGTGAAAATGGATGAATGATGCTGAGGATGATTCGATGATAGTATAAGAGAGTGGCCAGGAGTATTATCGCCTCTCATCTCACCTTTACAGTACCTACCGAAGCCTTCATCTTGGAGTCATTCACCTCAAACACTCGACTCACAATGACCCTGGTCCATTCTTGAGAGCCGAAGACTCGTCTCCAGCTTTGGTCCCTCCAGTCCGGTATCAGTGCCGCTTGGGATCGTCCAAGCAAGCCGGATAAGATCTTCAAGAAGAGTATCTGGCTGGCAAAGATGGTCAATCTGATCATATGGCATGCAATGGTACGGGAGAAGCAGCCTCCTACGAACGAGTTTGTCCATGGAGCTTGGGTTTTGGCCCGATGATATGCCGTTTTTGCTGAAGTCAAATTCCGCGAGCGTGTCACCCTGATCTAGAATTACAATCACCACAAAAGGCTTGATATGGCCCAAACTCTTTCAACTATGCAGTATACAGACGAGAGATGAATAACTATCGATTCTTACGAAGAGAGATTGCATTGATTGATGTGGAAAGGAGCGCATGGCGATCGTTGTGCGATGTAGCTTGCTGAATTGAATCCAAGCTCGAATCACATCCATCGCCGGCTGCTGTTTCCTTGACAATCACTCCACGAGGACGTGTACGACATCACAGAACCTCAGTGTAGCAACCCAGTACTGTTTCTTGCCAATGAGAGACGAGACAAAAGCAATACCAGTGTCATTGCAGAGGATATGGCATCAGAGACAAAAAATGCAAAAGTACTGTCTGAGTCAGCTAGATCACGATCAGCCATGGAGTAAGAGCGATGGCCTACTCCGCATTATGAGCAACGAATGATGCGTGTCCATTGAGGAAATTGCACCAGAGTCACTGCCAAACATTCCGAAAACTTCCAGGGTCCAAAAAAACTTCATCTACCGACAAATGGATGTTCAACATGGTACATCGACAAAAGATATGTGTCACTGCCCCCTGACGGAGTCGAACCGGCGACCTCGGCATTACTAGTGCCGCGCTCTACCAACTGAGCTAAAGGGGCTTGATGTACAGTTGTTAGAAATAGATGTATATGTACTACATAAAAAGAGAGATTGGGTGGTGAGTGCACGGACGGCGAAGCCTCGCGCGGACACAACGCGCTCAAAGCGGTGTTCGAGGGTCCGAAGCGCTGCTAATGGATGATGGCAGACACTTGACACAACACCGAAAAGAAATATATTATCCATCGACTCGTAGCTGGAAGATAGATCAAGAAGTACGAGAACCGAGAGTTCCATTTTTCCAGCAATGATAATAAGCTATCACACGACAGAGCAAAAGACAGAAACTCCAACAAGGCAGAATCCATAGAACTATGAGAAGGGACAACCGCAATACTTCTTCTGTCAATGAAAGCGCCGTTTCGTCAAGACAAATGTGTTCAGTCCAGGCCTTGTTGAATAGTATTTCCTTCTATGAGGTTTAAAACAGATGAGGTTCTTTCATGCCGAACAACAAATTCCAAAAATCTTCCTGACATCTCTCATGCAAAAGCACATCTAGCTAGTTTGCAGAGCAGCCTGCTTGACACCCTCAGTGACCTCCTCAACAGCATCACCAGCCTTGGGGTCCTCAGCACCATCCTTCTCAGCAGACTCGACAGACTTGCCGGCCTCCTTCTCCAACTTGGCCTTAGCTCTCTCGGCCTCCTTCTTTGCCTTCTTCTTCTCCTTGTCGGCCTTCTTAGCAGCGGCCTTTGCTTCCTTCTCTGCCTTGGCCTTCTTGGCTTCCTCACCACCGAACATCTCGCGCCACTCCTTCTCCTTCTCGGGCTTGATTTGTTGGAACAAGTGGGCTGAGGCGCCGAGCTTGTGGCCAGGGGCGATGCTGTCACCCTGCCAGTCATCAGGGATGATCAGAAGAGATGTGTTGAGCTGTTCGAGGATGGAGTTGGTGGTAGTAGGCATGTAAGGAGCGATGATAGAGGCGAGAAGGTGCACGTGGTTCAAAGCAAGACCAGCAACGGCAGCACAGCGCTCAGGCTCTTCCTTTGCGAGTGCATTGTCCAGCTTGTTGTCTTGCAGGAACTTGTTTCCGAGATAGGAGATGTGCATGCCGGCTTGGAGACCTTGACGGATCTTGACGGCGTCCATGGTAGCAAGGTATTCCTTGAGCGCTTCGTTGACTTCCTTCTTGTGGGCAGCGATAACACCTTCAGGGTCGTTGTACTTGGTGTAGTCGGGTACGACACCCTCGAAGACGGGAGAGTTGACGTACTTGACGATGCGGTTGACGAAGTTACCGAGGTTCTTGAGAAGCTCGTTGTTGTTGGAGTTGATGAAACCAGTCCACTCGAATTCAGTGTCACCAGTCTCGGGACGTCTTGACAGGAGGTAGTAACGCCAGACATCTGAGGGAATACCAGTCTCCTTTGCGTTGTTTCCAAAGACACCAATACCTCTGCTCTTACTGAACTTGCCCTGCTCGTAGTTGAGGTACTCGGTGGTAGAAAGGTGGTTCAACATGGTCCACTTCTCACCAGTACCGAGTTGCGACGAAGGGAAAACGACAGTGTGGAAGGGAACGTTGTCCTTGCCCATGAACTGGTACAGGCTGACGTTCTCGGGGTTGTGCCACCATTTCTGCCACTGGTCTGTGTAGTTTGCAGTGATCGAAACGTAACCGATGCAGGCATCGAACCAGACGTACAGCACCTTCTCATCGTAGCCATCCAGAGGAACCTTGGTGCCCCACTTTAGGTCACGAGTGATACCTCTGGGCTTGAGACCCTCCTGCAACCAAGAATTTGTGATGTGAATACCGTTTGACGACCAAGCACCCTCCTTGCTTGACTTTGCTGACCATTCCTCAACCTTGGACTGCAGCTTGTCCAACAGCAGGTAGATGTGTTTCGTTTTTCTTGCGACAGGAGTTGCGCCATCGAGCTTGCAGCGAGGCTTCTTCAATTCGAAAGGATCAAGCAAGTGACCACACTTATCGCACTGGTCTCCTCTTGCATCCTCGTAAGCGCACAACGGGCACTCTCCCTCGACGAAGCGGTCGGCCAAAAAGGAGTTGTGTGTTTCGCAGTAGGGCTGGGTTGTTTCCTGCTCTTCCAAGAAACCATTCTTGTAGAGTTTTGTGAAGATGTCCTGAGCGATCTCGGTTTGTTGGGTGGTGGGAGTGCGGCCGAAAATGTCGAAGCCAATGTTGAACCATTCGTAGACCTCTGCGTGCAGCTTGTGGTACTTGTTGCAGAGCTCTTCCGGTGTGCACTTCTCCTCGATAGCCTTGGTCTCGGTGGCAGTTCCGTACTCGTCGGTTCCGCAGACGAAAAGAGTGGGCAGGCCGCGTGCCTTGCAGTATCTGCGACCAGAACGTCAGCCATGTTTGCGCAAACGTCGCTAGACCGAGACTGACCTGGAGAAAACATCGGCAGACAAGACACTACCAATGATGTTGCCCAAGTGAGGGACGTTGTTGACGTAGGGGAGGGCAGAGGTAATGAGGATATTCCTCTTGCCCTCCTCGGGAAGAATCTCTTTGCGCTCGCTCATAATAAGGTGTCGCTGTGTCGGTTCTGTATGCGATTCGATTGATGGGTAGCTGAACAGAACAGGCGCTGCTGTTCAGTGGTTCAAGAGAAATATGGACGTGACAATCGTGTGCTGCTCGTCGGTCTAGTCTCAGCTTTGGAGGGGTCCAAACTGCTGCTGCTGCTGAAAGTGACTCAACTGCTCGGCTGCACCCGCCATCCCACCTCCGCCATCGCCGCACAGCCCTATATCCATACCAGAACTTTTTGAACGAAACATCAAGCTGAATTTATATTTGCATCACGAAAACTCATCTCACAACCCAATCTAATCACCTATAGCACAACGAGGTCACCAAACATGGCAAACCCACCACCCGATGACTTCGACTCCCTCTTCAACCTCGAAGAAGAATACTACGCCGAAGGTTATAATCTCGGCGTAGCAGATGGTTCTCGTGCTGGTCGCATCGAAGGCCGTCTTTTCGGCCTCGAAAAGGGCTTTGAGAAGTTTGCAGCCATGGGAACTCTGGCTGGTAGAAACGCTGTCTGGGAAGCAAGAATTTCTGATCAAGATTCTGCTACCGCTGAACAAAGCGAGTTCAAGTTGCCCAAATTGTCTGGAGGTGCCAGATTGCAGAAGCATTTGCAGACTCTTTTTGCTCTGACAGAAGCCGAGAGTCTGTCGACTGAGAACAACGAGGATTCGGTTTCTGATTTTGATGATCGACTCAAGCGTGCTGAGGGCAAGGTCAAAGTTATTGAGAAACTGGTCTCCGAAGGTCCTCTAGTCCTCGAGACTGCTCAGCCTGTTGCTTCAGGAAGTGGCAACGCACCAGAACGACGTCAAATCAAGATCAAAAGAACAGATGCTGGTGGTGAAAGCAGCATGGAAGATTTCAATATTCGCCATGCTCGCTCCTAAAGCTTCTTTTTTTCTATGCTTCGAAAAGATGCTCCTCCCTATTGCTACCAACCCAAGGATATCATCATTGTCCCATGCCAGCAAACTCCAGAAACCCGAAACCTATAATACTCCACAAAATGCGCCCAAAAGTCTGCTCTCATGCCAGAACACTCCCAAACTGAACAAACGCCTCGATCCATGCTCTGCGCTACTCAGCTTGGTCAAGCCACAGCTTGCGTCTCTCCACTGGCTTGTTGTGGCTCTGACACAACATCAAGCTTCGGCTTCTTGGAATCACTAGCCCCATCGGTTTGCTGAACATTACTCATGTCGGCGAGTGGTGGTCTGCTAGCAGCATTTTCTGCTGGTAATGGCCTCTTCATTGCAGGAGGCTTGTAGGCACTTCTATTTGCCAAGGGACTCTGCTGCATTCCGCCTGGCATGCCAATACGTCGACTGGCATCCATTGCAGGATTGACGAAGTTTGATCTGTTAGCAGGGGCTGCTCCATTCATCATGGGTTTCGGATTTGGTATTGGTACAGTGGGAGCGCCAACTTCAGAGCGCTTGATCGGTGCCGACTTGCGGGGATCAATTCCTTGTGTACGTCTGATCGAGGGACTTTCGTGATGCGGATCGAACAGTTTGATTGGAGGCACAGCACCTGCCTCGGGAGGTTGGACCAGAGCAGAAGCTGCAGCCCCTGAGACAAAGCCAGATGGTACATGTGCTGGCACTTGCGAAGGTGTGACTACTGACTCGGGAGGTGTGCTCTGTCTACCGTTGGTAGTCGTTGACTCTGACGCTGAGGATGGATTTGAGCGAAAGCCATTCTGGTTGTTGCCGTTGGCTTGTTGAGGAGGAGGCATCATGCGAGTCGGCGGTTGATTGTTCGTGTTCTTAAAGGTCTGTGATGTTGGCTGAGGTCGTGCTTGCTGGCCATTCTGTTGGCCGTTCTGAGGAGCAGCAGAGAACTGGCGGACGTTGGGCATGGATGCTACCCTGTTCGGTTGCTGGCGATTCATGGCTTGTGCTGAAACAGAGTTGGCAGGGGGTCGGATTGGTGTCTCAACAGAGACTTCTGTAACAGAGTTGTCCAAATGTACCTCATCAGGATGGCTGAAGTCCACCTCATCAAACAAATTTCCTCCAAACTCATCCTCGAATTCTGAAGTGTTTGATTGAGCACTAGGCATGCGTGCTGGCGGCGCTACAGCGACGGTTGTGGAGGTCGATGGGGCTGCGAGGGCTTCTTTCTTGATGGGAGCGTAATCTGGGTGACGATGTAGATTGTCGGCATCCCATTTAGACGGCGCAACTCTAACCTTCGTCACTCTCTGAAGATAGTCCTTGTCGTATAAGCAATTGCCCAGGACGTTTCCAAAGTTGCGTAATGATCGTTTCAATGCGTCGGTCACGGCTTCCTTCTTTGCTTTCTCGAAGGCAGCTGCTTTGCCTTTGCAGTTCTCGATGTGACCATAACCAATATCCTACCCCGTGTCAGATTAAGTAAGAGACTCGTACGGCGAATATATAGCGTACCTCATGGAATGTGCCGTCCTTCAAAGAAACGCGCACGATGGTAGAAAGGCCCAAGTTGATCTTTCCCGTTGTCGGACTCTCGTCGCACTGTGAAGGTCAGCATCGCAGCAGATCGGCAAGGTGTCAACCAGACTCACAAAGTCGATTTGGACGTCCCTGATAGCACTGCTCCATCCGTTGAAGCCAAAGACCTCGTTGGCGAGGTTGATGACCTTCTCAGCAGCGAGGTAGTGTACCTTGCCTCCTCCATTTCCGGGACGTGTTGAGATATATTCTGGGCCGAGTTGCTTGTCCAGTCGACTCTGCAAGGTGGCTATCTCCTGGGCCGTGTATTCATTGACATGTTGCTTTTGCTCTTCGTACGGGTTGGTGAACTTATTGTCCTTCCACTGGTCACCGGGTCTGGCGAAATTGTTAGCAGCTTCAGTCAGCTATCACAAAGACACAACTTACGCAGGCATGTTCGAGCATCTGTGTCTGCGACCAAAGTGGCAACACGGACTTGTTTTATGCACGAATACAACTGCGCTTGCCTTGGGAGGCGACGCGATTGCTCCGCGACAATGACGCGCTCACGTGCCAAGCCGACCAACCCTTCTTTGCCTGATCGAACGCAACTGCCTAATGTATTTTGAAGAACATGATTCAATTTTCTGCTGACTGCCTAGATGACAATTCCGAACTCGCGGGTAATCAGATTCATGATCGCGAGATGAGATCGATAGCAGCCTACTCAGCATCGCCTCGAGCCTTGACGTACTGATACATCACTCTCGAGTCTAGGTCGTAGAACCTCGAGTCCCCGCTTGCATCTTTCCACGCCTCAAGACCTGCTTTACCAAGCACAGGTTTAGATCCCAGACTCTCGGCCATGCTAGCCGCAAGGCCGTAGTCTTTGAGCATCAACTGAATCTTGAAACCACCCTTGTAACCTTTGGAAGAAGGTGCTTCAGGAACAATACCAGGCACAGGACACCATTTGTCAGATATCGTATTTTGGCCTGTGCCCGCGCTGAACACTTTGTAAAGGACTTGTGGGTCGACACCGGCGCGTATACCCATGTCAAAAGCCTCGGAACAAGCTATTGTGATTGTGCCTGAAAGATAGTTGTTACAGAGCTTCGACACTATGCCCAACGAAGGACCTCCACATGGGATAATCTCTTTGCCCATGGTTCCTAGTATTGCCTTCAATGTCGGAAGGTTTGGATCATCTTCATGGCAGCCCAGAAAGAAGGCAATCGTGGCCTTGATCGCTCCCAAGGTTCCTCCGCTAACAGGTGCATCATAGAAACTTGTTTGAGGAAAGTGCTGCCCCAGATGGTCCTTGACTGACAAAGTTGTCGCGGCATCAATGGTGGAGCAGTCTACCAGTGTCTTGCCGTCTAATTGTGCCGAACAGATGTTCTGAGGTCCATCGATGTACACAATTTTGACATGCTTACCTTCAGGAAGCATAGTGATGATAAAGTCCTGGGTCTCGTAAGCCTTCGAATATAACGTGCAAGTCAGACAAGCAAGCTCACTGCTTTATTTGCGACATCCTGTGCTGACTGACAAGGCGACACACGGTCTGGCGCAGACTCGCACACTTCAGACACAGCGGATTCGACTAGATCATACACGAACAAATGTTGGTCGGCTTCAAGCTTTGAGGCGAGGTTGATGGACATTGGCTTGCCCATCAGACCAAGTCCGATAAACCCGAAGGTCTTAATATCCTTGCTCGAATCTGTTGCCATGCTGATTCTAATGGTGAGGTAAAGAATATGAACGAGTTTTCAGCAAGTTACAAGATCGTTCATGTCGAATCGAACTTGTCTGCCGTTCGTGAGGTCATTTGATTGTCAAATGGCTTCCAGTTTGCCGAACAGCAAACTACCCCTCATCTTCCCCTCTTGATCAACAACCCCACTAATCATCAACCACACTTCGAATTTATATCAACACTTCGGATTCGGTACATAAAGATGGCCTTGCGTCGTTACAGAAGTAATGATCAGAGCTGTCCGTCGATTTTGTTGAGAGTTCTGCTAGAAAGTCATCACTAGTCGCTTCTCAAGCTCTATCAAGCAACGAGATATGGAAGCCACAGTTACACTGCACGCACTATCTGCAGGTCATTTCACTTTGCCTGAACATCAGTTTGTGTCTCCAGTAGCCGAGACTGCGCGCAAGACTGTTCCATCACTCGCGTTCTTAATCCAGCATCGCGATCTGGCAACAGGACATCTGACTCGAATAATCTTTGACTTGGGACTGAGAAGAGACACTACAAGATATCCTGCACCTCTTCAGAAACATATTACAACAAGAGAGCCTCTAGCGACCGAACCCGATGTCGTCAGCAGTCTGGCAAAAGGAGGATTATCACCAAATGATATTGATTATATCATCTACTCACATGTGAGCACTTGTAGACTTATATGTGCATGTAAGGAGCTATGCTGAAAAGCTTTGAGGTTCATTGGGATCATGTCGGAGAACCACGCGACTTTCCAACCTCAACATTTTTAGTCGGAAACGGTGTATTCGCTCTCCTGAACGGTACAACAGCAAAGTCTCGTGGCGGTCATTCGTTCTTCGAGCATGACCTGCTGCCGGAACGTCGAAGTGTTGAGCTTCCCGATCCAGCTGGTAACCGACGGGACTGGCGGAAGCAACAGTCAACAAGCACGAGAGGGCTTGACATAACGCAAGATTGGCAGCCTTATAAGAATATGCCGAAGACATACGATCTATTCGGTGATGGAAGCTTGCTCATAGTAGAGGACATCTGCCGGGTCACATCAACTTGTTGGCCAGAACAAAGGACAAATTTGTATATCTCGCTGGGGATGCCTTTCATGATCGCAGACTTTTGACCGGAGAGAAGGACATTGGAATGTGGCACGATGCCGAAGGACATGTCTGCTGTATTCATACTAACAGAGAAGCGGCAATCGCAACTATTAAGCGAATCAGAGAGCTCGAGGCCCAAGGCGTGGAAGTGATCGCCGCTCACGATCCGGACTGGGAGAAAACGAATGGTCATCGATTTTTTGGTGCCGAATGCTAGAAGGTATAAGCTGATGTCAAAGCGCACATAACTCTGTTTCGCTATGGAATTCCGAAAGCCAATTCTTGTTGTTTATCGACAAGATTCTTTTCACAATGCTTGGATATCGATCAGCTCGGCGTAATATCAACACAGAGCTTAAAACTTGATATTCGCTTGGCTTGCTATAAACGACAGACCGTCCATTTCCATTTTACGTCGATACTCGACCTTCGCGCTTCAGTCATACCTTAGGTGCATTGGTCTCGATGCCAGTGTAAGCCTTTGATTCAGGCAGCTTCACCCAAGGCGCAAAGACATTAGTCTTCTTCGGTATGACTTCAGCCAGTTCTGGGAAGTGTCTGGCCAGCACATCCTTCATGCCAGTGTTTTGAACCCAATTGAAGCCCTCCTTGGTATACATATCAGCGTTCCACTGACCAGCTATGAACCGATCACTCTTGAGTCTTCGGCTGGCCATGAGGATAAAGATGCGGAACGCAGTCTCGCTGAAGCCAAAACCTTTGATCACCGGCTCGCTGTGTGAGCCAACGAGTGCGTCAACAGTCTCAATGTCGCCATTGTAGACCTCGCTAAGTCTTGCTGCGAGCTCTTTGTCACCACCAGTCAGCTCCTCGAATGTCTTGGGAACGGACATGCGGAGAAGTCTTCGGAATTGGCAGTAACGTGGTACGCCTCGTTCACGGTCGCGGAGAATGTCGACTGTGGCCAAATCACGGACCTGGCCATCTGGAGTCGGAAGGTTTCTCATCAGATTGGCATAGTTGTTATTGGTTATGGCGCCAGGATAGTTGATGCAGAACGAGTAGAATGCGTCGCCGAAAGATACTTCGCCGGATTTCAGAGGCTTTACAGCATCCTTGAAAGTGATATCGGCTGTTGGGATCGTGGCTTTATGCTTGCCATCGTTGACATTGAAGAACGCGATATTATCTATAGTACCATTAGTAGGTGATTCATTCCGAATCACAAGACTGAAATCACCTGGTATGAGAGAGTGCATCCTATACACCGAGACAAACTCCTCCGTGAGGGAGTATGGAACACCTTGATGGTCGACTGTCGAGCCTGGAATACCACTGATGGCTTCGCTGGTCTTCGAGATTCGACCAACAATCTTGTTCAAGGTCTCTCCTGCAATACCCCACCTTGAAGTGCATCAGCAACGTATTCGAAAAAGTCATGGATACACTTACCAGTTTGCATTCATACCAATCTCCAATGCTGGATGTGCCAGGATAGCAGGCGTCCACTCACTTTAGTCACATGGGTCAGCTGAACGTGCGATTTTGTGGGCACCAGCTACTTACACCGTGTGGATCTTGGCCATAAGAGCGCAGTTGACGAGGCGAGCCTTGTCAAAAATCTTATCACTAGGTCGAGTCAGCACTAGTTACAGTGGTCACGAGCAAGAAAAGATGTTACCCTGTCCAATCAGGATGCGCTGCCCGGATCTTGTCGCAGATGGCGTTGTGCTCTAAGGCAAAAAGAGTATGCAACAACTCCATACCAGTCCACCAATTATCAGAAAAACCGGTCTTGGGGTTTCCTTCGGTGTCGCGAGGAAGGAAGGTTTCTTCATTGCCTCTGGTCTCGAGGAGCAATTTGCCATCTTCGTGTTGGTCTCTTAACTCGTTCGTCTTAGCTTCGCTTGAGCCATAGATCTGGGAGCCATCCCACCTGTGCAGCTAGGTTAGGACAGTCGATGATGAGAAGGGTCATGCTTACCAGGCGGTTGAAGTATTCTTGTAGCCAGGACACTTGATGTCAGATGCATCGAGTACTTCATCAGGCTTGGTGCGGTAGAGCTTCATCTGGCCATGCCAGGTATCGTTTGGGAGAAGGGGCACATCGTATGTCTCATCGCTCTAGAACCAACCATCAGCATTCATCCTACCAGGAAGCAGAGGCTTTGCGCATACGTTTTCATGAAAGACCCAGTCGTGGACCTGGAATTGAATCCAAGCAGCCGCAAGCAAGTTCAACGTAGTCGCCGGTTTGAACTCTCCTGGCTTCCTGGACATAAAAGCTTCGCTGACCAGTCTTGGATTGGGCGTCCATAGCTCCTGCTCAGTCGGCTTCTTGCAATACTTTCGAGGGAAGTTACGACCAAAGCGCATTCCAGAACAGCCCATCTTCGGCATGGTGAGCGAATTGTCCTTGCCATCGGAGTTTCTGGCACCAAGGAAGCGTTTGTCGTCGAGAGGCGTATTGTCTGTGTTTCCTTGGGCTGTAGCAGATGCGTATCCATCATGAAGATTATATTGACGCAACTCGACACGCAAAGCATCAAGATTGATCGCACCAATGATGCCAGGGAGTTTGTGCCATGGGATAAATAGATTTACAAAATGGAACAGAGCAACAAGAAGTCTGTCAAATAAACCTGGTTGAAAGTTAGGTGGATCCATGATGGAAAATCGATATGGATCTCAAGAGCTGATGATTGAGAAGTTGAAGGCTCTTAGACTATTTCTGCGAAGTGGAGAGGTGCCTGGGCGGTCAGTAGTGGGCTGTGCTGGTATACGACCTCTATCCATTTTGGTAAGAGATGCATATACCATTTTCACATGCATTCCTGATCCTACGAGAGGGTCGGCTTATACTCAAAGTCAGCTTCTTTACGAGCGTCGCAAGCGATCTGCACAAATTCTCCAACGTATCTCAGGCCACCTATTGTCAGCCGGAAATTGTGCCGTTGTACAACCTCTCAGATGTCATCGTCGCTGAGAGTATTCCTGCAGTTCTCAGCTGGCATCTGGTGAGCTGGGAATACCTCATGTTGAGGTTGCGTTGTTGAAATTTGCTGTATGTATGCAATTAATCTGCATGTCAGCACTAGCATTTTCTTGTCAAAGTCAATCTTACAGGCTTTGTGATCACATGCAGGGACGCGCAAGGCTGTGTTTCAATGAGAATAGTCGAGCTGGGATGAGACTGAGGTTCGATGCATCATGGTACCACCAAGGTATCATGAAAGAAAAGGTGAGCGGAATTTATGCCCGACGTAAGTATGTTATTCTACTCGAGTGTTCGCGTTGAGCGCAAAGCATCCTCTTCGTTCTCAAGGTCGTTTCTTGTTTAAAGCTCAGAAAAATGTATCTTGGACTCACAGATCTCGCCAAAGGCCTTCTTGGTGGTAGTGTCTCGGCAGGAAACACCAATGGACTCACCAACTCGAAAGGTGGTGACCATTACTACACAAGAGGCGACATCACCGAACGTGGCCCTTGTCCAGGCTTGAATGCCCTAGCGAACCAAGGTTATCTGTTCGTCAGCCGAAAGCCTTGCCTGCGATCAACACTGACACATCTAGTCCGCGTAATGGCAGAAACATTACTCTGCCTCAAGTCGAAGAAGCTCTGATGGCAGCCCTGCACATGGACAAGGCTCTGGCAACAGCCATAACGAACCCTCTTCGACAGCTCCTTCGCAAAGACGGGACCTTTGACTTGGTCTTTATGCGCCAGCATAATGCCATCGAACACGATGCCTCCTTCACCCGCTTGGACTTCCGCGACGGCGACAACTACAACTTCCAACCGATGCTCTTCCGCAAAATGCTCGATGATGCTAATGGCGGTCCCGTCACCGTCAGCAGTCTTGCCCGCACATATGTGAGAAGGAACAAAGAGAGCAGAGATGCAGGTGCCCCTGCTTTACCTTGGAGCCTCTGGTTTGTGAATCTCTTGCAGAGTGTGAGTCTGATGAACACAGCAAAGATGAATGGAGAGTTGAGCAGAGAAGTGATGACGACGTTCTACGAGGAGGAGAGGTTTCCAGAGGAGATTTTGGAAAATGGGGAGACCAGGACTTTAGTCGGGTTGCTAGGATACGCGATGTCTTTGCTGTTTTGTATCGTGTTCAGGATCTGAGTGCAGCATGTTTTGTTATAGCATCAGACAATATGACTGGGACATGAACATGCTTCGAGTTGATCTCAGCGACTTTACCTGGGAGCTTATCATACAGATTCCTTGACGCTTTCATTTTCGAGAGGTGCGCGAGCTCAGTCGCGTCAATGGAGAGACGGTCGTGGTTCGAAACTTCTTGCCTGTGAAGCGACTCATCGACCATTATTTCGCTGTGTATCCGAAATAATTGATCGCTGGACGACCGCGTAGCTCAGGCAGAGCACAAGTGGTTGTGTATGTGCAACATGGATAAAGACAGAGGCGCTGGTAATTTACATGCGGATGAGATCTGAGTGGCTGAATTATATTGTTGTCTTTTGGCAAAACAGTCAATAAGGCTGCTGTAGCTCAGTGGTAGAGCGTGGGATTGCAGTTTCTGCAGTTATCCTAAGGTCCGTTGTTCGACCCAGCGTAGCAGCTTTGCTTTTGCAATTCTTGCAGACTACATTTTTGTGGGGGCCGCCTGACTTCGTGTTCGACTTCCTTCTGCAAGCGTCGACGTTTCACAAACACAGCCCTCGCAAGTAAAAGCGAATTGACCTATTTGTTCGCTGTTCACGAGGATTTTCACATGCTCATGCACGAGCTCCTATTTTGCTCAGCTCGAGCTCAAGAGCATGCTGACAGCAGTCGTGTGCGACGTGCTTGTCTCGCAGCTACGAAGGTCATGCAGTGAGCTCGTAAGTACTCTAGACCAGGGCTCAACCTCATTCAACTACCCTGCCATTGTTCCAAATAAGGCAGTATGTCTACGTCCATCGACAAAGAATCAATCGCAGCTGAAGAGACAATGCATGTACGAACATAACATGTAAGCAGTACATGATGCAATCAGAAACGGAGCATGTTTCAGCCATCTCAACGATATCAGTCAACAACATGTCGAGAACCATATCTGACAATGCATTGCATGTGATGGAGTTGCATGGCGCATATGACAGCGTATTCATTGTAGACGCCGAGCTGGACCTCATTCGCAAAGTTGACCATCACATTGGACCATCGAGCACAGCCCTTTGAGCTCAGATTGTCAATACGACGGACAGTTGCAGGAGTCCATTCGCCACGCAAGCATCATTCACCATGTTAGGACAAAGCAGATTCTCGTAGGCAGAAAGCCTTGTACGAAAATTACAACTCGGCGGAGCAGCAGCTCGAATGATGGTTGCAGGTAAGCGACAAGACTGACCAACAGCTCTTTTCGATCAAACACAATCAGCGGTAAAGCAAGCGCCCAAGTAACGGGTCCAGGGTTCTGAAAGTTTCAGGTACTTAAGCAACCATGTTTCCTCGAGACTATTACTCAAATCACACAACAACAGCATCACTTTTCATTGCTCATCTGACAAATCACAAACTTTCTGCTTCAGAAACATACCCTGAACATCAGCCATGCCTATCCTTTCCAACTGGAACGAGGAGATCAAATTCTTGGTCCCAGACGACAAGTTCAAGACCCCGTCTTCCATCTCAGAAGTCCAGACCATCATCAAAGATGCCGCACAGCATAACGAGAAGGTCAGGGTCATCGGTGCCATGCACTCAACCACTCAATGCATGGTCGGCAATGGCATCACCATCTCCATGAAGAACATGGCCGAGATCTTGCACGTTGACGAGGAGAACATGACTGCCACTGTCCAGGCTGGCGTGACCATCCATCAGTTGTGCGAGTATCTCAAGCCGCGTGGTTATCAACCTCCTGTCATTCTGGAGTATGGTAACTTCCAAATTGGTGCTATCAGCGGTACTCAAGCGAATGACAGCTCTCTGTCCGACAGTGTCCAATTCGCTTCATTCGTTGTTGGCGTCAAGCTTATCAAGGCCGACGGAGAAGTGATGGAGATCTCGGAGACACGGAATGCAGAACATCTTCATGCCATTCGCTCTCACTACGGTCTCTTTGGCGTGGTCTGCGAAGTCACCGTCCGCATCTGGAAAACCAGACACTTGGAGTTCAGCTACGAGATGACCTCCCTCGAAGCCTTTTCCAAAGACGTGATCGGCAACGTAGACAAACTGCGCAACTCCTACGACCAAGCCTTCGGTCTCCTGTTCCAAGCCGACGGAAAGTTCATGATCCAGAAGAGAAGATTCGTTGACAATGATACCAAAAGTCCTCACCCACTCACCAACAACCTGGAAGCCAAAGCCATAAATCTCTACGCTGATCTCGTACTGCCTCTTGCCAAAGCAAACGGCCAACTCAAACTCCCCGCCCATCAGCAGGAATGGTTGAGTACGGCTCTAGTAGACCTCCCTCTACGCGCCCTTAGCCACAGCAACTACATCATAAACCCCAACGACCGCGCCGTCCCCTACCGCGAAGACCAACCCCATTTCGACTTCTTCGACTGGGTGTTTCCAGAAGAAAATTGGTCATCCATGGCCCACGCCTGGATCTCCCTCTGCAACAAATTCGAAGCAGAGAGAAACTTCGTCTTGACACTGCCTTGCTTGGTCTACTTCCTCAAACAAGACGACAATATGTTGCTGTCAAGGTCCAGAGGTGGCAATATGATGGCGATAGATCCTGAATATGAGGATCCTACTGATCCAAAGTGGTTGGAGTTTCGACTTGCGTTTTCGGAGGTTGCGAGACAGCATGGAGGTATTCCTCATATCAATAAGACTAGGGATGGTGCGATTAGGTGGTTTGCGGAGGCTTGTGATCAGGATGCGTTGGAGAAGTATTTGGAGCAGAGGAAGGAGTTTGATCCTGAGGGTATGTTTGTGAATGAGTTTTTCTCGACCATGTTTGAGGGTCGTCTGTAAAGAAGGGATTGTTTGGAAAGCCAGATGCAATTTTCATGGATCGAGTTCAATGGGATATAACTGTGACTGGAAGAGAGAAGGAAGTAGATGCATATATCTCTAGAAGAAATGCAATGAAACCGCTGTTGGAAACAAAAAAAGAGTATATGAACAACAAGAAGCTTCTTCTCCCCATGCATAGGAAAGGTCACCCATTAGTCTAATTAGGTAGGTTTGGGACTAGCGAGGCCCAGTCCTCCAGCAGAAGCAGGCCTCTCCTGTGTCGGAGACATCATGGCGAAACTGCCGCTACGGCTACTCTTCATGCCACCCTCTTGCGCTTCTCTCTCCAAGAAGTCGGACCAGAGTTCGGCGAGTGATTCTTTGCTGCCTCCTTGATGATTGTCGAAGGTAGAGTCTGATAACGATGGTGTCGAGGGAGTGCGGCGGAAAGGTGATAGGGGAATCTTGAGCATGGAGTTAGAAGCACCTGGTCGTGCCAGTCCTGCTTGCTCTCTTTGTTCTGTTGGCACGTCAGTGTTAATAATCACAGTGATGAGATTGCAGGAAGAATAGCTTACCCTCGGTCCAACCAAGTAGTGCAGCAATAAGTTGTAGGACTTGGAACTTCTTTGGATCACTACGATCAAGAGTCAAGAAGTGCAAGAAATGGTTGGTCACAATATGACGATCCACATTGTCCTCTGGCTTGCCACGCTTTAGGAATCGCAGGGCCTTTGTGAGATGATCGTTGAGGATAACGGCTTCGTGTCGCAGTTTCCCGATCAGCAAGTTCTTCTCCTTGACCTCTTTCTCAAAAGGAAGGGCACGCTCGAGCTCTTTCCGCACTTTTTCGAGCTCTTCTGCTGACGACGCAGCCGAGGCTTTTGCTTCTTCGGTCTGGGCGCGCAAAGCGTCTAGTTGAGCTTGTGAGTTTTCGACCATCTCGCGCAGCTCCTTCTTGCGTGCATCTTGAATATCTTGTAACGCCCGTTGAAGCGAGTCGACTGTCGAGTTTTGTGTGTCTCTTTCGCTTGCAGCGCGGTCGTAGGCTTCTCTCTGAGCGTTAAGTTGCTCTTCAATCTCTGTCACACGCTCATTGAGCGCTTCGCGTAACGATCTCTCTTCCATTGCCAGAACTTCCCAGTCTTGCATAGCTTGTCGGGCGTTCTCAAACTCTTCACGAGCATAGGCTTCTCTGCTGATCAACTCATCGCGCTCCTTGACCCAGTTCGACTGGCTGACATTAGTACGGCTTCGAAGGGATTCAATCTCGCTTTCGTGCTCCTTGCGTTGAGTCTCGAGTTGACGGATGGTGGCTTGAAGCTCTTCTTTGCTTTCGCGAGCAGATCTGCTCTCTTCTTGGAGATCTTCAATCTCAGCGCGAGCTTTGGAGAGTTCCTCGGCATCTGCTTTCAGACGTTCTCCCAACTGCGACTTGATGGTGTTGACCTTGCCCAGAAGTGTGCGGTAGGCGCTTTCGGCGTTTTCCTTGCCCTTCTGAGTTTCTTCAAGTTGTGCCTTCAGTTGTTCTACCTCTTCACTGCCTGAACTCTGCTTTCCAGATTGTGCTTCTTGGGCTTGTTTTTTCAGATCTTCAACTTCTTTCTGATGTTCTTCCCGTAGAAGTTCCAGTGACTTGCGTAGCTCTGCGATCTCAGTATTCTCCTTGGTCGCTTGTGTTTCCTGGGACTCCTTGTTGAGGCGTTCAAGTTCCTTATCATGTTCTGCTTTCAAGGCCTCCAGTGATTGACGCAGGTTGGCGATTTCGAAATTGTCCTTGTTTGTCTGAGCGTCCGCTGCCTGCTTCTTGAGGTCTTCGATCTCGGTTGTGTGCTTCTCTTGAATAGATGTAAGCGACTGGCGCAGCTCAGCCACTTCTGCATTGTCTCTGGTAGATTGTGCGTGTTGTGCTTGATCCTTGAGGTCTTGTATCTCCTGTAAGTGACTCTGTTGCATGGACTCGATCGAGGCGCGCAGTTCGGAAACTTGAGCGTTGTCTCTAGAAGACTGGGCTTCTTCGGCTTGCTTCTTGAGTTGGTCAAGCTCCTGCTTGTGCTTGTCTTGTGCAGATTGTAACGACTTGCGCAATTCGTCGATTTCGGCATTGTCTCTAGTTGTCTTGTCGTTCTGAGCCTGTGTCTTGAGTTCTTCCGTCTCTTGATGGTGCTTCTCTTGGATGGAGTCGAGGGACTTGCGCAGGTCGGCCAATTCTTGACGCAGGTCATCTCGCTCCTTGACCATGGCATCCATGCGGGCAGCAGTTTCTGCGTGAGCGTCATGGTCTGGTCGAGTGACAGGTGCAGATGTCTCGTTGGAATCATTGAGTGGCAGAGGTTGTGGAGTGGTGGAATCGTCGAGACCGGCTACCGACTGCTTGCGGCTTGCGACTTCATCATCGTCGCCATCATCGTCTTGATCATCGTTTGCGCCGTTAACGTCTGTCGTGTCTGTGTTTGATTTTGTCTTGTCGTTGGCCTTCTTCTTGTTCTTTCTCTTCTTCTTGGAAGCTGCAACGTGGCCGCGTCAGCTCTCTGTGGTCAAAGGTGAGCAAGAGGACGAACATACCCGATTTAGACGCTGCATCGGCATTGGACACAGCAGACATGATCGGAACACAGCGCTTATAGTGCTATAGCTAATCGAGTGTCCGCAATGTCGAGATTGGGAAAGGCAGCATCGACTCAAGCAGGGGCTCCGTCCTTCCCCACACTTTCCCACGCCGCGACCCACTCACAGCCGCAACCAACCACCGAGACATCATCTACTCTAGACATTCATCCACTCTTTTAACCTTAGAATAATATCTTCTTGTGCCTTTGTCAATCATTCGATGCCAGTGACCAGGTTTTCCTACTATTCTGACTCCTCACTCAAAAACCGCTTGCAGATCAGTCTTGGTGTCACATCCTGCAGCTATCCCTCAAGCCACCATCACTAATCCCGCCTTTCCGTATGGCCGGATATATCTCGTCGATCAGAGAACCCCTCCAAAACAGCCATCAATCGCGGGGAAACACCCAGCTATCTCAAATACTGCTCTCCATTGCCCGCATGGCTGAGAGTCTATCTTCTTCCCCGCCTACTGATCTGTACAATCATGTCTAGAAGGAGCTCACCCCGCACTTGGTCTAGACCCCTCCACCTATTCTATATAGATCTTGATTCAGGCTGGTAGGTCTCTGCTAGATCCTGGTTCCCATTGTCAATTGTACTGCAGGAAACAGAGTTATCATGTCTTCCACTGTAATTGTTGATCGTACTTCTAACTTGACCGTCCACGAAGCTCCAAATAAGAACGCCAACGATGTTAACCAGGAAGACCTCTCAGGTCGAAACTACATTCGCTGGGATGCTGAAGGTGTAGAGAAGATCCCGGACGACGAAGAGGAGGACATCAATGCCGTTGCTGAGCAGATCAACCAAATTCAGAAAGCCCAATGGAACATCCACCGCCATTGCTACAGTGGTACCCATGCTCGCACCCATGGGATCGTCAAGGGCACATTCATCGTTGATGACAACCTCCCCAAGCATCTCAAGCAGGGTGAACTCTTCTCACACGGTGGCGAATACAAAATCGCTGCAAGATACAGCACTGAACCAGGCGACCCGGGCTTGGACGTATGTTTCCATATCACCTCTCCCATTCCTGCCCGCTAACACCCTTCCAGGACCGCATTCCTGTTCCTCGAGGCTTTGCCATGAAGCTCTTTGGTGTCAAGGGTGACATGTACGAGAACTACCCTACACACGATATTGAGTTCAACAGCACACCAGCTCTCGACCTTGCCACTGCCAAAGTCACCCGTGAGATCATTGACCTTCGCATCAAGTACGGTCACGATCAGGAAGAACTACGCAAACATCTCGAGAAGCGCAATGACACAGAGCTACAGACTGCACGAGACAAAGTTCGTAACACACATCTGGAGAGCACTCGCCAGTACTCACAGACTGCCTACCGCTTCGGAGATTATGTTATGAAGTACTGCCTGGTGCCTTCGGGCGAGACACAGCGCAAGCTCTACGACGAGACCGTACGCCCCGAGCACGGCTCAGACATCCTGCACCGCTGGCTTCAAAACTTCCATGCCACCCACGATGCGGAGTACCTCTTCCAAGTCCAACTGTGCGAGAATCTGGAAGACCAACCTGTCGAGTATGCTGGTAAGATCTGGGACCCTGAAAAGTATCCCTGGCAGACCGTGGCTACCGTCAAGATTCCCAAGCAAGAGAGTTTTGACTTTGAGAGAAAGACTTTCTGGGAGGATCATATGAGAGTTGACCCATGGCACGGACTCAAGGCATACCAACCTCTTGGTGGGCCCAACAGATTGAGAAAGGTCGTGTATCCCGCCTCGAGTGCACTGCGCCGTAAAATGAATGGCAGGAAGGAGGTTCACGTCACTAGTGTGGACGATGTCCCCAATTGAGATTGGAGCTGATGCTCTCAATGGAACGACTCTGTATTACGAATGTATGTTGCCTTTCCATAGCTGTATGTAATCAACGTTATGTTCATGAGACAAACACAGTTGCTTCCCCTGTTGCACTGTGACACAAAACAATTTCCTTGACATGCTCCTGGAGTTCTTCGCCTGCTCACTAGCCCCTTCACTCCATCTCCCTCACTGTTCGATTAGCTAAGCGGCATCGTGCTCTCACATCTTCAAATTCACTCTGGACCATAGCACGTGACTCTATCCCTCAACGCAACCAAGATCACTTTTCGTGAGTTTCTACAATGAACAAGCCTAGCCAATAGTAGACAAGGAGACACTAACATCTATAAACGCACAGGTCCCCGCTCCTTCTACCACAATGTTCACCACCATCAAGAACTTCCTACGCAGCTGCTTCTCCTGCTTCAGCCACAACGAGCATACTGAAGAACAGCAAGAATCGCTTCCTCGCGTTGTCATCAATATAAGAGCACTAAGAACTTCTGAAGTCATCGGGAACCCGAGACTGATAAAACCAGGGCTTGCCATCAGACTTGCAAGGAGCATCTTTCGTTGTGGAGGGCGGCCACATTCGTTCGGGCTTTATTTTTACTTCTTGAAAATAATCATGGTGGTTTTTCGTAGAATTAAGAACGGGAATTGAGATTGTAGGGGTGGTTTCATGTTTTCTGTGCCTTGCGACCGACGTGATCGTGAACTTGACCGGATCGTGTGTCCCCGTCACCGACATCAAAAGGGGGTTATAGCTACAAAAATGCAGGAAGTAGCTCGAGAACAGCAGAGCACCAAAGAGAATTTTGCATATCTCTCTATCGATTCTGTCAGCGGACAAATCCTCTTGACATGATCAGAGAGGTCAACAACGGCATTGCCGCTTTTCAGGGCGTGAGCTAGACAGTCTCCGAGTAGGGCGACGTATTATGATATGTTATAAAGGATCGTCTGTCGTCGGTCCACTGTCTCCCGACGCAGCAGACTATAGCTCAGGATTCAATATTATGCCTTCTTCCCATCGGTATCAGAAGCGTGGTCCAATATCTGTAAGAGTATTTTTGGTATGCATTAATCTATACTTAAGAAGCCGGAGACATCGACATGCTGACAGGCGAGAATTCAATTTCTCAATGAGACAAAATTCGCGATGTCAAGTAAAATAATTAATTCAAAGGTTAAGAGACTCGAAGGAGTGTAGTTGTCGATGCCAAGCCAGAAGGATGCTCTCAGATTCACATGCCAACAAAGCGATACGTCATGGGGAAATACGATCACGAATAGGTGGGCGTGATATCACCAGGCTGAAATATGGGTTGCTCGCTCCTTTGAGAAAACAAAGCAGGGCGGCATCTCGGCCGGACGATGAGGGGGACAGCTGACCTGATGCCGCTGTTCTGGGAGCAATTAGATAGATCAGTCGATCAGGGTCGTGTCCAGAATAATTAGCTCTTTGTTTTCTGTTCACAACACCAGTCACATCTTTCTCTCCAAATCCCTGAGATATTTCCTACGACTGCAACTATGGATGAACAAGTGGACAGACTGGTCAAGAAGACATGGGCCAAATTTCAGGAATTGCCCAGGTCCAAAAGACTGATGATTGCTGTATCTGGCATCCCAGGTTCAGGTCAGATAAGCACCTCTACCATGTCCTGTTGCACAAACTAACATCTCGTCAGGCAAAACTACTCTCGCATCCGTTGTCGCAAGTCGCTTGAATGAACTTCATCACGAGCAATCTCCTGGGCTGGCGCAAAACGATGAACCCGCTGCTTTTGTCCCAATGGACGGCTACCATTTGTCGCGAGCCCAGCTAGACGCCATGCCCGACCCTACCACTGCTCACGCAAGAAGAGGCGCCGCATTCACGTTTGATGCGCCTTCCTTCTTGGAGTTGGTCAAGAAGCTTCGCCAGCCCATTTCGCCCGAGACGAAGACATTATACGCACCATCTTTTGATCACGCCCAGAAAGATCCCGTCAACGACGATATTCCTATCCACCCAGAAGCTCGTATTCTGATCTTTGAGGGCAACTACTTGAGTCTGGGCACTGGTGCGCCCGAGTGGAAAGAGGCAGCGGAGCTCATGGATGAGCTTTGGTTCGTCGAGGTCGAGGAAGATGTAGCAAGAGAGCGATTGGTGAAGCGTCACATCAAGGCCGGCATTGCCAAAAACGAGGAGGAAGCGCGTAAGAGAGCCGACGAAAATGACCTTGTCAATGGTCGCGAGATTGTGCAAAACAGGCTGAGCGTACACGAAGTCATCAAGTCAAAGCACGATGGCAGCTGGAAGCCGGAGAAGCAAGGTATGGAGGCTGCCGATGCGAGCAGAGAGGCATAGACCAGTCTTGTAAGACTGATGGTATGATGCATTCATGATCTAGACGGGCTTAGAATACCAAGTTAGATGAGCGACATGCTGTGGCTTAACGCTTCTTTCACTTTCTGGATTGGTTTTCCATGTTTTTGCGACGTTTCTGAAGCATCACGATCTCGCAAGAGCTGTGGGTAATGACGCCCTGCTGTGGAGAAAGCTTGCGAAACGCATATCGAGCTCGGCTCAAGGGATTCACTCGCGTGCTGCCTGTCTACATCTGGAAAACCTTGTACCTTGTTGATGCAGGCTCTTATGTTGCATTAGTCAACTCGATCGTACTCGGTTGATCTAGCAACTTGCTGCAAAGGTGTTTGTGTGGGAGTCTGGTACCGCAGGGCATCAACAACACGTTCGTGGAGAAGCGGGACGAAGTTGGCCATAGCTTCCTATTCTAGCCAAACCAGCCACAAACACAATGACGCGCGAATCGGGGGTACGTCACAGTTTTGGCATGAGCGAGGCGTAGCACCACTTCCATTTAACCTCGTCTCCTGCGCTCTTTCCATCCATTCTTCTCATATTCATCTACAAATCCATCAACTTTTCCACCTCTACCACACAAACCACACACAACCATCACAATGGCCACTCTCTCCTGTAAGTCGCTACTGAGTGTCTTTTCCTGCAGCTATCCGCACTCTCTGGAGCTCATTTGAGCTATGCGTGTGTGCAGTTCAGGGGAAGATTGACAAACATCACACTTCAGTCGCTGACTCTTCACTTCTACAGACCTCCCTCCCGTTAAGCCTTCGGCCATCGCTGTCGGCACTGCCTTCAACCACCTCGCCTCCCTCGCCATCCTCGGCCCCGTCTTCGGTGACACCTACCGTCAGGCCCAGGCTGCCAACTCCAAGGAGGAGTTCTTCAAGTCCAAGGAGACTGCCTCGGCTGCCGCTGCCTGGGGTACTTCCCTCGCCGGCTCTGCCCTCCAGTCCTACGGTGTTGGTGCTCTCCTCAACGCCACTGGCACCCTCTCCTACAAGGGCGCTGCCTACCTCGGTGGCCTGATCTTCGCTGCCTCTTCCGCTCCTTCCGTAAGTTCACCTGTTTGGCACCTCCAGACACGAGCACACGCTAACATATCACTAGTTCATTGCCCAGATCTTCACCGAGAAGCGCCCTCTTGACACCGTCGCCGTCGGTGCTCTTGCCCGCGTCTTCGAGACTGTCGGTCTCTCCATGTTCCTCACCTACTGGGGCACCCGCACCAACCCCTTCTCATAAGTCAATCGCTTAGAGAGAGGTTGAGTGTTATTTGTTTCATGCCATGACGATTAAGAAGGATGACTTTTAATCAATTGAACTCTCATGGGCGTTTTACCAGAGAACAATTGCCCTGATGTACCATTAGCATAGTTCGAAATCAGAACTCTACTACAACACATTTTTATGTTTTCGTCGTATCATCGTGATCGCGTGCTGTTGCTTGACTATGTTGGGGCTCCATATCACTCGGCAGACAGTTCTGAAGATACCGAGGTAATTTTTTGAGATGCTCGAAGGATGATGGACGCAAAAGAAGACTTCATCCTTGAAGCATTGCCTGCTTGAAGCACTGAAATAGCTGATGCAATGACTGAGTTAAGACTGGTGGATATTCCATCTTCCCTTTGTGCCAAAGCTTGTAACTATTAATTGCATTCATCGTCCTCCAACTGCGTAGATAGTAGAGTATACGCTATAAAAAGGCACAATGTCTTCTGGAAACATAGGCATGTCCATAGAGAGTCTATACCTCCTCACTTCTCAGTGGACATCATTCTAATTCTTGTCAGTATCGTGTATTTTGACAGCACACGCATTATATACTTTAGCATACGGGGAGGATGTGATCGCTGGGTACATTGATGGATCATCTCTCAGCTTGAAGCCCCGCGCGGCATTTTTCTTTTAATATTTCTTTTTTCTTTTCTAACCACCGACATTTTTTTTTCTCAATCCCTCTCGACACCACTGACACCACCTTACCCGCCAACCATGTCCGCCGAAACAGATCCCTTCCTCGCCCTCGACGTTTCCAGCGACGACTATGCAACCACAGCCGCGCACGACCAACAAGCAGGCGCCGACGCAACAGTCGCAGCCGTAGAAGCAGAAGACGACAGCGATGCCGAAAGAGAAAAGGCAGGAGCTGCGCGTGCAGCCAGGACAAGATATACCGAGGACGACTTCCTAGCTCAGAAAGCGAGTTATACAGCTAGGATTGATGAAGGGAGTGTAAGTGTTGAGTCTACAAGAGCTGAAAGACAAGGGATTGGTGACTGATGGTGCTGGGGCATAGATCTGGAAACAACTTCTTACGTTTGAGCCGCCGTTTTGTCCGTCTCAGGAGTTTCTTGCTGCTGTCAACGCTGGATCTGTGGATACAACTATTTCTGGTCTGGAGTCGCAAGCAACTTCTGCAGAGAAGACACAACTGGACAAGAAACACCATCAAACCATCCAAGCTGCTGTTTCCGAACTCTACTTTTTGGAAAAGTATGCCGCGGTCAAGGAGATCATTATTTGGGCTAAAGAGCACTTTGAGAAAGACAAGAAGTGGGATGTGCAGGTCAAGAAATGGGAGGATAAGGTTGAGGCTAGGATGCAAGCAGTGTGAAGAGTGAAGGATGGAGGAGATGGGATATACATATGGTTACGAGGACGGCCAGATTTGGCTTGACGGTGAGCAGGACATGGGTTCGATGATTGTCTTCGAACAGATTGTCAGCATGTTTAGGCCCTGGTCAGATCCCGATCATAGCCTTTGGTCTACAACGACGTCTGATGGACTCTCGTGCGGCTTACGGCCTCAGAGTCAAGCCTCAGATTGGGACTCACGGCTCTGGATCTGCGCGGCCTTTGGCATCGAGTTCAGGCACCCGCTCAGACCATTTTGCAAGACTCTACTCGAAGGCGCGTTCGCATACTCCGCTCTGAGCGGATCGTCGACATGTTTGCAGCACTCTCGCTTCGCTAAAACCGCCGCATACCCATTGATGCACGACAGTGGCCGTCCAAACGCTTTGGGATGCAATGGTGGAGCAACAAAACAGTGAAAGTTCACAGGCGTATTTATATATACACATTGGTTCTGATGGGTTACATATACACGTTGGTTCTGATGGGCTTTATAGTATGGTGAGCTCAAAGAAGCTTTACAGTCTTGCTTGTTTGGCGATGTGTGAGAAGTTGGAAATCCAGTGAGAACAGAACTATAGGACGCATGGAAGTGGGATTGATCTAGTCTGGTTTCAATACACTGTCCCATGGTCCAAGAGCTAGACTAGGTACATAGCATTAGATGCACATTGCGCAGGAAGCATCAAAGACATTTTATGACTTTTTGGCATTTTCATATTATCTACCTGCCATTCTATATCTACGTTATGACTATCGTCTACAAACGAGCCTTTGAGTCGAGTCACCACAAGCCCTCAACAAGCTTCTTGACCATGTCATACACCGGTCCACTCTCAGCTCTAGTAGCAGTCTTTGCGACGGTATGGGCCTCGCTCTTGTCAACCTTGTACTCTGTCAAGGTGCTCTTCAAGCCCAATTCCTCGACAAGTTTGTTGATTGCATCTCCGACAGCTTGAGCATCTTTTTTGTCGTCTCCAGTCTTGGTCACTCCGACGAAGGGACACAGGCGGGTAAGCTGAGAAGCTGCAGAGGCATCGGTAGCCGCCTTGAGTTTTACTACCTCTCCCAAAGTCATGCAGGAGGTTATGCCGTGAGGAATGCTGTAGGGAGACCCAAGGGCGTATCCAAGAACATGGCTGAGTCCAAGAGGACCACTAGCGTTCAAGCCCATGAAGCCAAGAGAGGCGAAACTCGCAAGTTGAAGTCTAGTGATGACATCCTCGTCCTTGGGGTTGGCCTTGTACTTTGGAAGGTAGGTGAAGAGATCGTGGGCAGCCATCAGGGCCATCTGGCGACAAGGAACTTCTGTGCTTGTGGGGTGGTACATCAATTCTACTGCGTGGTCCATGGCTCGCAGTCCAGTGCTCATCCACAGTTTCTCGGGTGTCTCCAGGCCGAACTTGGAGTCGTAAAGGATAGCGTGAGGAGCACATTCGGGATGGGCAACACCCACCTTCTGACCATTCGGTTGGGTGTAGCCAGCGTTGAAGGTGCATTCCGCTGCTGACAAGGTGGTGGGGATAGCGATGTGATGCAGGAAACGACCGGACTTCTCGTTGAGGCGGTAGGAGATTGCTTTTGCGCTGTCGATGGGAGAGCCACCTCCAATACTGATGATGGTGTCAATGCTGTTGTCTTCTTGGACAGCATCTGTTGCTTTGTCTAGGTCGGCTACTGGAGCGTGTTGCTTGATGTTGGAGAAAGTGCCGGCGTGTCTGGATCCCAATTGCGATTCAACGGACTTGATAAGAGACGTCTTGTTTGCGAGAGAGGAACCAGTGATGATGAAAGCTTTGGACTTCTCGTTCGGAAGGCATTCGAGCAAATGCTTGGATACGCAATCGGAGCCGTAGAAGAGGTTTTGGAGATGGGTCGGCTTCCAGAGACCGGAGAGCGGGGACTGGCTTGACTCAGTCATTTTGGACTTGTGTCTGACTTGCTGCAAGGTGTTGATACGTGTGGAAGCAAAGTGTCTAGGAGGTAGCGATGAAGATGTGGTGGTTATTTCTCTCGTCAAGGATGCTGTCGGCAATGGGCCCCGCCACGACGCATGACGCAACGCTCGGTGCCGAGAGCATCCTCGGATGACATGTGAAGAGATGGTGCTTCGTGATAACGAAGACATGATGGTTCTGCAGACGTACTAGACCTTGATCGCAACTGTTACCTTTTCAGACAAAAGTTCAATGCATTGGAGATTGATGCTTGGTCGGATAATCACCTTGGTCCTCGGCGGGGTATTGCCGTCACTGGTGGGACGGTCCATCCCGAGAGAAGGCTGCTAGATGTGACACGACATGCATCTTTATCAGGCACTCCAGCCATCTTGATCTCTCGTGTCAGCGTAGTACTTTTTCCAAATCTTTTGTCGTCGACATGGCAAGCCCGATGCTACCACGGCCTGGGTACGAATTGTGCACACCACCTTCCCTCGCTCGGCACTGTCTTGTGCATACTTGCCATGCCGGCTTCAACGGAACGACATGGAGCGAGTAACGAAATTCAAGACATGCTCATGACCTGTGACCGCTGCCGGCTATCGTTAAGAAAAGTGACGTTTCTGCCGCGACCCGTCAACGTTCCTTGCGGAGACAGATGAGACAAGAGGCGTCCTGGAGCAACCGTCGTTGTGAACCCGTCGAGAACAGCGATCTGTATTTCGCAGACCGCCAATCTCACCGTCGCATTGCCCCAGTGCCATCCGAACAGAGGACAAGCGGATTGAGAAAGAAAAACAGCACAAAAGCCATGCTGCTGCTCCCCGTGCTTGGTGGCACAAGACTATCGAATTGTAGTAGTATTTTTAGTCAGTGTCGCGCGTAGAGTGAAAAAAAGTTAAGGCCCACCTCACGCGTAGAACTGCACAAGATGCAAGCACGCGACTATCACGGACCATCTTGCCCTTACGACGCGAGAAACAGTTCGACGTCCATCCATGGTCCTGACAAGCCCGTTGAGTAAAGCCAATTGAAGGATTGTTTCAAAGTCATGATAAACTGGTTGTACAGGGCGATGATGGAAAAACAGGCAAGTGGCTATGTTGATCAGCGCAAAGGAAAGAAGGCAGGCGTGGGAATAACGAGCAGCCAAACAGATGGATAAGATGGGCGCGGATATGCATGCAGGTCGCGTAGGAATCAGGATGAGAGCAGGGTCCCGAGTTGCGGCATTGGTGGAGACTCAGCCCCTGTTTTGTGCATCCGATTCCATCTTGCAAAGAGCGTGCGCTGCATGGCAAGCGGCAACTTTTACCTCCAGTTGCTACCGAGAATAGCAATGACGTGCAGCCATGCCGTCCGACGTGTGCAAATCTATTCTGTATTTAAGAACATGGCCTTGCCCACTTTATGACTTTTTTTGTTCCATCAATCGCGACTTTGTCAACTCACGCCAACACTATCTGAGCATCGATCAATTCAATCATATATCGACTTGCTACTACCGGATCACATACCATCAACGACAACTTTCACTCTCCATCAAAACCAACTACACGCGCTGAAAACTGAACACGTTCAAAATGCTCTTCTCCACCATCTTCACCGCCGTCGCTCTGCCTCTCCTCGCAGCAGCCTCGCCAATTGAGCTCGAACGACGCGCCGGAGGACCTGCCATCGTCCCTCTTGCTGAAAACTGCACACTCATCAACCCTCTTCCCCACGCCTCTCTCCACCCAGGCAACGCCACCATCTCCGGCTACCTTCCCTCGTCCAACTTCACCGATTCATACCACCTTTACTCCTGGTACATCCCTCAACCCGACTTTGAGTCTCAAAATGCCCGCTGGTCAAACTGCATCCAGCAGTGCAATGGCTTCCCCGGTTGCGTGTCTGCATTCATGGCCTACAGCGCTCCTCTCCCTAAGGGTTGGCTAGGCCTGGCTGGTGGAGAGTTGGAGATTGGCTGCTTCATGTACAACCAGACTCTGACACCGCTGGACTTTGTCGTTGCTGAGAAGGGTCAGTACGTCAACGCTACTGCTGGCAACATCTACTGCCCCAAGGCTGCTCCTGCAACTGCAAACGCGAGTGTAAAGTCTTCCGCTTCCAAGAAGAAGCCTGTCAAGGTTGTTGCCTAAGTGCACTCAATCTTGGCTGCCTGCGAGACGCAGCACTTCCTTTTGACCTCTTTCTCTGTTGATTGAGCGATCTTTTCATCATTTCCTAGCGTCATCTTTCCACGAAGCATTCTGATCTTTTGTTTGCATCTGAAACTTGGATTGAGCACGGGTTTGGTAATGGGCAAAGGGACAAAACAACTTTACGACGCATAATGATTAATGGTCCTTGGGTTATGACTCGGCGTTTTCTCTTTGAATCTCAAATAGATCAAGGCATGTCTAACAATGCATTTCGTATCTCTTCATCTTATCTTATCTATCTTGCCGCGTTCGTCCTCTGTCTTGTGGTGAATCATGGTTACTACGAGGTATACGGGATGATCGCATCACTCTGATCATGAGTATGATCATAAACATCATCAGCAATCTTATTTTTGTTTGGAGGAACATAGTCCACCAATTTGAAGAACTCAGCCATGGCAGGGTGTTTAGCCGCATCATTGATGTTGAAAGGCAGACTTCCTTGGTAGATCGCTCGAGTTAGCAGATTATCCAACTTCTCCTTCCTTCGTTGAGCGGCTCGATGTGCGAATGCAACTGCTCGTTCTGGCACAGATTCGGGATGAGAATTGCGAGCTTGAGGTCGCGGTCGTGGTTGTGGTGCTGTTGCTGTTGCTGGTGCAGTGGTGTGTTCAGAAGTTGTGGCGTCGTTCATGGGTGTATCTGTCTCGAGCCCGTTGTTCCAATCGCGTACGTCGTCTAGTGGTGTAGACAGCGCCTCATGTCTTCCACTTCCAAGGCCGTCCAGCAGTGTAGGCAACGACATATCGAATTGTCTCCTGATGGGTGTTTGCTGTTGCACATAGCTTCCTCCATTTCCCTCACCTGCTCCTCCATAGCTGGCAGTTCTCCTTTGGGGTCCGTTCAGGAGTTCCTCGGGCACATCGTTCAACTCATCGTTATTAGAGGCAGCTAATTCGGCTACGTAACGATGGAACTCGGGACATTGTTGCAGGTGCTTTACTTTTCGACTTGCGACACTGCGGGCAAGGCGTTTGTTCTTGCAGTGGCGGCATTCTACCATTGTTTGTTTTCCTGTGCTTTCGACTTGGTCGAATTGCATGGATGCATAGCCTTCTGGTCGTGGCATTTTGCTGGAGCGCGCTGTTGGCTACCGAAGGTGGATGAGCAGTCGACGTTACAGTATCTACATTGAGCAACGTGAGCAAGAGTTCACTGTTATGCACTTGGCAGAGAATCATGTTTCTATATTCGCAGAGCGGAGCACTGATGACCGCTAGCGACTTGACGACTGCTAGCGACGACGCAGACAGCACCTGCAGTCAAGTGTGTCGTCCATCGAGACTCTGCAACAAATGTCGGAAAGATAATGAGGAACGAACGGAACTTACGAGTTATGAAGCCTCTGGTAGGCGACCGACGATATCGACGAAGACGGATGGCAGCAAGGCACGTCCGCGACGGTGGGTGAGATGTGTCGTCGTTATCGACGGATTTTCGACAAGCAATGCGTTGGGAATGACTCGCCTGGTCTGTGCTCGAATCAATGTATGGGGGATGACCCTGCTCTCACTGAACATCTTTCTAGCACTATTTCAAACGAATTGGTCTGAATTTCATAATTTGTTGTGTTTCACAAGTAGCAGGAGTGACTGGATTAGCTTTTTGATGGATATTCAGGTTCTATTGAGCCTTGTAAGGACGTACGCTGCTTGAATCTTCAAGCAGGACAGGCTTGTGCACAAGTTTGAGGTAACTATCACCACGTTGCAGACCGAGGCATCCAAACGACAAAGACATTACGAAAAAAAAATGGGGATTGTCCTGAATCACCAGGCAAGAGGAGAAAAGTCAGAACATATGGGTGTCGCAATCATTCCATTGATGAGCTGATTACAGGGGTATCTCAATTTATCCTCCAATGCTCAAATGATTACGCTTCTCAAGGTCATATCGTAGTCGGTCGTAAGAGGTCATGTAGTGCTCAGTCCAAGGCATCGAAACATTTGTCGTTGGTGCTCAGTGCCTGGAAAACGTGTCGTGAATTCAAAGGCGTTTGGCTCATTGCTTAGCGGAAGCAGCTGAATTTGCCGAGAGAGAAGCGGAAAGGAGCGCGACGAGGTCCGTTCTTGTCGACAACAACAACACCACCACCTTTGAGGAACAGTCAGTAATGCTCGAAAAGCATCTCGAGAGACATAATATAACTTACCGGCGTGCTTGCCGCCCCAGCCCTTAGTCCACATGAGACCCATGTTGATATGTGAAAATTAAGGTTTCTGATGGTCTGCTTTGATATCGCAGTATTGATAGTCGAATCGTCAGATTGATTCGGTTGTCGTTTGAGGCAAAGATAGAGGATTGATGGAGTTGCTGAGGTTGTTTCGAGACAAAAGTAGGTGAATATATTCAAGGTCGGGTCACCAGTCTTTATCTATTTGAACAAGGACCTTGCTTTCCTATGTTGATCATCGTGAGGCTTTGCATGCAGGAGTGGGTTGTCAAACCAGGGATGTCTGTGGCTGTGCGCTTGCTTGGCAGCGTCATTGGATCGGCAAACGTCAGAGGCTTTGATTGTCAACATCGACCATTTTGGTGTTTTTTTTTGTGACTTGGCGAGTTTTGGGATTATCTTCTTTCTGACATCGATCTTGCGTTTGGGCTGGATGCATATGTCTAGAGCTGCAGCTGGTACACTGTCACATCAAGCGACAGCGTCACTGCATGTTTGTGCTGAGCCAATGATCCGTCGCATGGCCTACCTAGGGATATTCACCGATGGTCGTTGAGCAGAATATCCAGCAGGACATCAACATCAACGTTCAGAATGATGATATTCTTGCATCTGTCCTAACTACGTGGACATGAGATGAGGCACTCGAACACATTCGCACACACGTGCAGTGTGCATCGGTATTCATCGTGATCAAGACTCGCCCAGAGAAGAAGCTGTTTGCGAATTTGGCCAAACTACGTGGGCTTGAGGTGGGGTACTCGAATACATATTTGAAAATGTGCAGTATGCATTGGTATTGATCCTACTCAAAACATTCACTGAGACGGACTGTTTGAGGATTCGGCTTAATTACATGGGCTTGTGACGGAGCACCTAATTACCTCCGTTGGTACACTGGCTCTGCATCAGGACTGATTCTATTCGAGATCTTCTCGAGACTGACTGGTCTTGAAATTCGGCCTAACTACATGGACTCGCGATAGAGCACCTGTAGACATTTGTTTGTATATCAGCTCTGCACCCGCATTGGTCGTATTTAACTCTTGCACCAAACGGACTGCTCATTGGCTCTCCATTAGTGAGTGTTCATCCTAGACCATTAAGTACCTAGCACTGAGTTTTTGATATGACCTCTACAAACAGTCATTACTCTTTACTCCTTCACATCGTTCCTTCCCCTTCTTTACTTCTTACGTTTCTACTTCTTCTAGTTTGGATCACTGTCTGATCATTGCATAGAAACTCCTTCACGCTTTTCGATCGCCTTCCCATTCACGCCGAACCCTTGCACATTGCTCGCCTTTCCATCATCTCTTCGTTCACGCTCCTCCTTCCCTGTACACGCCGCCCTTCACTTGCAACATGGACAACAGAGCGCGCAGACATCAGAAGACTCAACGTGACCACCGCGCCGCCGAGGTACAGGAATCACTGCGAGCGTAAGTCCTTCACTTTCCACATCGACTTCTCTGCTCATACCCAACAGAGCACGCGCCGCTCGCACCGCACAAGATGCCTCCTCGTCGTCCACACTCGCTTTGAGGCCCGCCGATACTTCTGCTGCCCACGCCGGTGCTTCTGGGAGTTCAGTCAATCCATCTGCTGTTCACGTGGATCTTTCTGCCACCCAAGCCGGCTCTTCTGCTACCCAAGCTGGTTCTTCTGCGGTTACTGCCAATATCCCTGCACAATGAGCCTTCTCTACCGGGCCATCAGTCAGCATAGTGCCTACTTACGCAAGTGCTACTCCCATCCAAGCCTCTCACAATGCTGCTTCTGCTAGTGCCACTCCCAACCCAGCCTCTCACACTGCTGCTACTGCTAGTGCCACTCCTATCCACACTGGTGGTACCGCTAGTGCTACTCTTCCGTATCCTTCTGGCCCTATCCCCTTTCCCAACATATCTCCGTCTGATCCTTTGTACCCCATTACTCGACTAATGAGTATGTTAATAGAGCCCTCCGGAGATATAGCCATAACCAAGTTGTTAGATTAAGGGTCACCATGCAAACCGACGCTACAGAACTTGTCGCATTTCGAAAGGAAATCAAACACAATGCCGCCCACATGCATAAACAGAATTTCCGACTTGCTCCGCACTCTACCCCATATAAGAGCGGCACCACAGCAAGATCGTTCCAAGTTGCCTAGAGCCCTAGACAACACACGACTCGCACACAAACTCGACGTAGAGCTATAACCATTAGTCAAAAAGGCACTACCTTAACTTAGCATGATGCTATCTCGCCAACTATAAAGCTATAGCTTCTACCAAGGTCAAAAGTAGCAGTTAATGCGGGTTTGGATGCGCTAGCTCTAAAGGGTAAGGTTTACGTGTGTCCTAAGCCAATATGTCCATAGCATTTCCACTAGAGCACTACTAAAGGCGCCGTTCTAGAGCATCTCCTGCTATGCTCACACAGACTTCTCATACTATAAAATCGAGAATGTGTGTCCGTTCTAGTGCTAAAAGGGGTTTCACGACCTTGACTTTTGAAATAATACTTACGTGAATAATAGTGTGTTTTCGCTAAGGAGTTTAACGACCTCGCTTCCGATCTCGAAAAGCATATTAGAGCACGGAATAAAGATAAGCCCTTAGACACCTCTAGCTTCGCATATTACCCTTATAACTAGGGCTTTAAAACCTTGCAAGAGCTATTTCTTTATATAGTTAGCGGCATGTGTTCCTTTCTAGAGGATTAGTCCATTAACACTATGATTCCTAGCAAGGACGATGATCTAAGCCTACTAGCATTAAATAGGCCTGCCGAAAAGAGAAGAGCTATCTTTATATATAGGCATAGCTTAAAACCAAATTTTAAGACTTACATAGCAATATCTAACTCTAACCCCTACGTAGAAGAGACTATCGATATTGCGGAAGATCTCTTTCCGAAAGGAATACTCGATCGAGACGTAGAGCTTATTATAGTCTACGGCTACGATGTAAAAAGCTAGAGGATACTAACCTTCTACGATAACGTTAATCTTAAAACCTTCTTTACATAGTACGATTAGTTCTTTAAGGCCGATCGCATTAACGGCGACGCGTAAAGCGACCGCGCCAAGACTTTTTATCGATAGAAAGATATTCCTTCGCTATGTTAAACGAAATTAGGGACGCTATCGTTAGCGCACGTAAACCGATTGTAATTCTTATTAGTCTCGACGCATGGTTAGTTAACTAGGAGAGACTCGATCACTTCCTTAGGACATATTAGATATTTTATGGTCCTTTACACATGATTATTAAGGAGATAAAGACAAGTGGTACCTATCTAGCAAGAGCCGAGATATATAAGGAAGAAGGCGGTCTTCGTGAAAGCGAGCATATTTACGCCAACTTCTATAGCCTTAGGTACATCGGATATAACATGCAAGTCTATTCGGATTCTGTTATAAGGCCTTGGCGTACGTAAATGTTGGGCAAGCGGGTTAAGTTAGGCGGCAGATCGAGCTATGGTTAATAGCATGGAGCAAAGAGACGGCGTAGAAGTAGCGGAAGGAGAAATTAGGACAGTGATGGTGACGAAGACTACGAGGACGGGGATGATAAGTATGATGAGGAGGTGGACGGAGAGTAGTAGGTAAGAACAAGGCCTTATTTGCTTGTATTTCTAGATTAATGCTTAACGACGACGGCGATCAGCTGAATGAAAAGACCTTACGAGTTTTTGCTTGAAAACCATGATTGATGAATTATCCTCTGGGACAAAGATCTTAATGCTGAGTTGGCAGTTGATACATTTTTTCCATTTCTTTGTATTGCCGAGTCGATGCTTAACGACGACGGCGAGTAGTCCAATGAAAGGACCTTGCGACCTTTTGCTTGAAATCCATGATCGATGAATTATCTCCTTGGACAAAAGCCTTGACACTAATTTAGCAGTTGTGATGCCAAACTGCATGTAACAGAAGCCTTGGTGACGAACGACCTTCGGCGACTTCAACTTCAACGACTTTTTCTTCTTTAAGTTCTCAGTATGCTTCGGCGTGCGCGCAAAAGGTCAACAAATATGGAACATGCCTTAACGACAGAGGATGTTTCTCACAGGGGAGTCTCTCTAAGGTAAGTCCTTCGAGATGGAGCATGCGGCATTGCGACTCTGGTGGAGGAAAGGAGGTAAAGTGTATAGCAGACTCTACGGTCAACATATGAAACCATCATCCCATGCTACCCATTCCGAATTCCCGCGTCCATCCCGATCCTCGGACTGGCTAACATCAGAAGGAGATGGTATGCACACCTACGGTCAACATATAGTCTTGAGACTTTCTAAGTTTGACGAGCGAAGAGAGCTGAATACATCTCTTCAATTATCGGAGTTTCGGTCACAGTCACTGCACATCCCTCCGACTTTACCAATTTCTTTCTTGATATCTCTTCTCTTTGAACTACCTCGACAACAACAACATCAGCACCACACCTTACACATCTCACCGGTCTTTAGAAATACTCAGAGAGTCTGCGCACGCCATCGGTGAAGGCAGCTCGCTTCCACAGGAAATGTAAGTGAGCGAGGCTAAGATTTTAATCTTACGAACTCTGCTCTCCTTCGTTCCTCTCGTAGTCACTCCACATGACAAGCTTCACACGATCAGCATGTGATCTTCTCATCTATTAAAACCTTTCCCCACGACCTCGACCACTCCCTTTGAACTCCCCAACCACAATCTTTCGACATGAGCACGCCTGCTCTATCAGCCGAGAACAGCGGCGCAGCGCTTGTTGGATCGTCGAGCAATAAAACGGGTCGATAATCTCAGCTGCTTATCTAGACTCTCCGTGAGCATGCTTCTACTTGCCGAAACAACTGTGCCTTTTTATAGTCTACATCTCGTTCTTCGCTGTGTTCGGAATCCGGCGAAAAGTCACAGAAATAACTACCTGGGGCAACCTCCTCCCAAGTCGCCTTGATGATATCAGCTGCCTATGTCAAAAGTCAGTAAGATTTTCGATTTCTGACTCCTGGTCGGGAGAGTGACTCACCTTCTCCGCAACAGCATAGACACTACTACTGCTATGCCCAGCGACAACCATAGGAAAGATACCCGCATCAACTATCCTCAAGCCTTTTGTACCATATACTCTCAACTGAGCATCTACAACACCACCCCATTCTCTTTTCATCATCGCCGTTGTAGATGAAGGATGCTGCCACGAACTCGCCGCTGCGTTTCTAATTGCTTCTTCGATCTGCGCATCAGTCGAGACATTCCTACCTGGAAAAGTCTCTACAGTTCCCAAAGCTTGCATGGGTGGCGAAGAAGTCCACTTGCGTATCTTTTTGACTGAAGCAACTGCCACGGCCATATCCATGGGATGTGAGAATGTGTTGAAATTGACCACAGGGGCTGCCAAAGGGTCTGTGGTGTTGATATATATGGCGCCTCGACTGTATGGGCGAATCATGGCGAGTGGGATGGTGTCACCGCCTTCCCAGGCTATCTCTGCTACTGCGGCGTGAGTGGATGAGTAGAGTGCATCCAGGATCTTGGTCTGAGCGGTGTAGCCAGAAATGATGGTATAGTCAGTGGATAGAAGCGTGGATGAAAGATTTGTTGACGACGTGGAGTTGATGAGGGAACGGTACTGGGATGTGACGTTTTGGAAGGGGAGAAAGGCGACGGTGCTGCCGCCCAGATAAGGTATTGTCATTGGACCTGCAAGTCTCTGTCAGTTACCATGAGGGCAAGCAGATTGATTGAGCCCACCTGTGCGATTCTTGTAATAGATTTCCAGTTGCTCAGCAGCCCAACTCGCATTCGAGAAAACCCAGTCAGGGGTTGGAAAAGTATAGTTGCCATCTGCTTTGTGTCAGTACCACCTCATCACTGGCCAACACGAGAATACTGACAGCTGAATTCCATATACAGCGTTGGCTGATCTTGGAAATTGCTACCCACTCCTGGTAGATCCACAATAGTCTCGATGCCCAAGCTCGACAACAGCGGCCCGGGTCCGATACCCGAAAGCTGCAGAATCTGAGGGGTGCGAGCGGCACCTGCTGCCATGATGACTTCGCGTCCTGCTTTGACCGTGCTAGTCTCGTTCGTAGCCCTGGACATGAACTAGCCAAGCATAATCAGCACACGATGGCAAACAAGCGAGTATCACTCACATCAACAGAAACAGCTCTCAACTCTTGATTGAAGTTAATTTTCGTAACCAAATATCCAGTAACCAAATGCAAATTCTTCCTCACATTGGCGATAGGACGGTAGTAAGCATTTGAAGCATGTGATCTGGACTGATTCTTCGCATATGCAGAGATTGTGCTGTAGAAGGCACCAGTAGCTTCTCCATTGTTTGGTTGGGGATTCAAGGCAACACCAATGCTGTTCCAACCAGCGAAGAAGTTTTCTGAGTGAGAAGAAGGAGAAACTCAGCTTGTTTTCGATTCGATGAGATAAGGGGAAGTGTCTTACTGATGACTGGATATTGATAGTTCGAGAAACTGGATCCTACGGGACCGTCAATACCATGAGGCTCGAGGTCAGTCGAGATGAGTCCAGGGAACATCTCCTGCACCTCTTCAATTGGTGGTGTAAATGTTTCGCTCTGAACTTGGTATTAGCTCTCAATTCGCCACCCCACTCACGATATAAACAGACCTTCTTGAAATATGGCAACAGTCCATTCCATCCCCAACCAGGGTTGCCTAGCTGCTCCCAAGCATCATAGTCGGCTCTGGCTCCACGAGCAAAGAACATGCCATTCACCACTGTTCCACCACCAACCACATCACCAGTATAGAGAGGAGCTGTGCGATTGTTGAGACCGGGTTGAGGGATGCTCGTATCTGTATTGAGGTACTTGTTGGGTACAGCCAGACCTGGTACTGTGGTGCCGTTGTCTTGACCATCACTGTTTAAAAGTCAGTTCCCCTGATCAAGGAAGCAACAAAACGCAAACTGACAGGTAGCCACGTTCAATCACCAGAACAGTTATGTGTGGGTTCTCGGTAAGGCGATTTGCGGTGACAAGACCACTTGTACCACCGCCCACGATGATATAATCATAGCAATTCTCTATTTGCTCGGTGTGGTTCAGCACCACGGCATGAGGAGCGGAATGACCGAGAGGCGAGCCATTGCTTTCTGCGATCCGAATCAGCAATGCAAAGATTTGCGTGAATTTCCACATGATCAAGTGGTCAATTCAAGAGTAAGTGTCCCAAAGGTACTCGAGTACGAGAAAGGCGACAGTGGTGATACTTGAACATCGGTGGTAGTTTTGACCGGTCAAGCAAGGCTTCGTGCATGCTGACTGCATGCATGGAAATGCAAGAGGTAGATCCATCGTAATCCATACGAACTTGTGTGAGTATCTGGTTGGTGGAACTCCCAGGAACCTGTTTCCACCTGCTGGCTTGGTTATCAAGGTTCATGCTGTTATCTTTAGAATCATTGACCGAGGCTGTGTCTGGATGTTGATCTTCACTCGAAAACAAGACAAAACAAGCATCACTCACCAAGACTTAACAAGCAACTCCACTATCCAACTCCAGCAAACCAAAAACGAAAAAACAGTGTCTGCAGCAGGTAGGAATCGAACCTACATCTCCTCAAATCCATCCAAGTACCCAATACCAGTCAGGCGACTGGATTTACACCTGAAAGCCAACCCCTTGTGTTTGCAAGTTTGGGCATTTCTGTCACGCCTGACACTAGTCAGTGCGTATGGGTACTTGGCGACAAACGCTTGTGTTTGCAAGTCGTTTGATGGTGAGGCGCCCTAGCCATTGGGCCACCGCTGCTTGCTGGCGGAATATTCGGTTCTGTGAGATTATAAGGGACAGTGTTGGGTTCGCGTGTTCGATTTTGGATGAAGAGTGTTATCTTTTTGCCTTTGTGTGAAGGTTTGTGACAGCGATGGGGCGCAAGGTGGAAGACGAGGAAGTCTACGTGATACACAAAGGGCAAGAACGATTGAGGAAAACACAACTTCCATGCGAGCGACCATTGAGACGACCAGAGGCAGGAATTCCAGACAGAAAGATAAGCCAAAAAGAGAAGAAGAGATTTATTTATACACAATGCATCAAAGAACAAGAAGTTATTCGCTGGCAAAAATCGCACACAAAACACCTGGGCCCAGGTTATACACCAGCCGGTCCCCACCTTCTATACACAGAAACAAGTAACCAAGAATCTAGTCAGAGTCGTACTCTTTATCCTTGTCTTCCTTATCTTTCTTGTCCTTCTTATCCTTTTTCAGTTGCTGCTTCCAGATGTTGTTTGCAGCTTTAGCATCGACACCGGGGAAAACGAGGTCAAAGACTTCGTTGTACCATGCTACTGGTCTGCCCTCGATACCTTCCTTGATGTTCTGTTGACACAAGTTAGCAAATGATTATTTCTTGGAAAGGGTATGTGGGTATGTGGGTAATGCTTACCTCAGGCAACTCAATCCAGTCACTCAGATTGTCCTTGGGGAAGATGACCATCTTAGCTCCGGCTCGTTTCGCTGCTACCGTCTTTTCTCTGAGACCACCGATTCTAAGAACCTTGCCAGTGACAGTAAGTTCACCAGTCATGGCGACGGTCTGCTCCAGAGGTCTTCCAAGAGCAAGTGAAATAAGCGAGCAAGCCATGGTGATACCGGCACTAGGACCATCCTTCTGCACAGCACCCTCAGGACAGTGCATGTGTACTCTGGCGTGCTCGAAGAACTTGTTTTCAGGGAAGCGTTGAGCCAAGAAGCCCTTTGCGAATGAGTAGGCAATGGAAGTTGACTCCTTCATTACTGCCTTGAGATTACCGGTGCGTTCAAGAGAGGGGCGGGATTGTGCTGATAATGCGGATTCGAGGATGGTTTCGACATAGAGCGCTGCACCACCCATAGATGTCCAGGCGAGACCCATGGCGACACCGGGAGGAGTGGTTTCGTAGAGGCGATCGGCAGTGAAGACTGGAGGACCGACGTAGTCCTTCAGGTTGTCCTTTGTGACGCGAACGTTTACGTTTGATGGCACGGAAAGAGCGACGCGTGGTGTCTCAGCGGTCTCTTTTTCCATGTCTTGAGGTGTGTCTTTGACGTCTGAAGTGTCCTTTGCTGCTGCTTCTTGTGCTTCCTTGCCTTCTGGTGTGAGTGCCTTCTCTTCAGCAAAGGCATCTTCACCGAGGTCTTGGATAATCTTAAGTGCAGACTTGCGGTAAACCTTTTCGATCTGCTTCTTCAAATTACGTACACCAGATTCACGGCAGTACTTGTTAATAAGTTCGGCAATGGCTTCCTTCTCGATCTCGACATCCACGTCCTTGAGACCAGAAAGCTCTTTGGCGGCTGGCGAAAGGTAGCGCTCTGCGATTGCCATCTTCTCGTCTGCGACATATCCAGAAAGTTCAATCATTTCCATACGATCCAAAAGAGGGCGAGGAATTGTGTCAGTCATGTTTGCTGTGCAGACGAAGAGGACCTTGCTAAGATCGACAGGGACGTCCATGTAGTGATCGAGGAAAGAGCTGTTTTGTTCGGGGTCGAGGAGTTCGAGAAGCGCTGATGAAGGGTCACCTTGGTGGCCACGACCAATCTTGTCAACTTCATCAATAAGAATAAGAGGGTTCTCGGTCTGGCACTTCTTGAGAGCTTGAATGATGCGACCAGGCAGGGCACCGACGTAAGTTCTACGGTGACCCTTGATTTCGGCGACATCAGTCAAACCACCAACACTGAAGCGGTAGTACTGTCTGTTCAAAGCGCGAGCGATAGACTTTCCGATACTGGTCTTTCCGACACCAGGGGGGCCGACCATACACAAAATTTTACCCTCGACAGTACCACGTAGCTTGCCGACAGCGATGAACTCAAGAATGCGATCCTTAACATCCTTCAGACCGTGGTGGTCCTCATCAAGTACCTTCATGGCGTTCTTGATGCCAAATGTCTCGGCACTGCGCTTACCCCAAGGGATCTGAGTCAGCCAGTCAAGATAGTTTCTTGTGACGTTGAACTCCGAAGCAGCAGGCTCAAGATGCGCAAGCTTGTTGATCTCCTCGTCAAAGACCTTCTTCACAGGCTCAGGCATAGCCAACTTGGTAGCCTTCTCCTTGAAGCCTTCAAGTAGCTTATCCTTGCCATCGCTTTCGAGACCAAGCTCGCGCTTGATACCCTTCATTTGCTCCATGAGCCAGTACTCGCGCTGACGCTTCTGGATCTTGCTCTCAACATCCTTGCTAATCTTGCTGCTAAGCTGAGCGTTCATGTATTCCTTCTTAATGATCTCAAGAGCCTTGCTGAGTCTCTGCTCGATGTTCAGGCTGGTAAGGACTTCTTGTGCTTCCTCCATCTCGCCACCAGAAACGGCAGCGGCGAAATCAGCGAGTTTGGCGGGTTCGTCGGCGATGTTCGCGGCGGACTGCGACATGGCAAAGGCGGAAACGTGATCGCGGAAGAGCTGGTTGACACTGCCAATCTCCTTGCAAGTGTTGACAATCTCGGAAATCAGAGCGCGAATGGTTGGAGCACGCTTATCGAAGGGCTCGTCGGCAAGGTTGTCGACCTTGACCAAGCTGACTTGCCATGTTTTGAGGAAATCGGTAGGCTCGTACTGAGCGACCTGCTTCTTCTCGCCAGGAGTCTCGACATGCGACTCCTCAAAGCTAGCAGTCACGTCACCCTTGGACTCGACATCGGCCTCAGGCTTCTCGGCGGCTTCGATGGTAGCGGTGGCAACTGAAGGTGCTTCTTCAGTGGTGGTCTCGCCCTTCTTGGGGGGCATCAACTCGGTGAGCTTGATTCTGCGATGAGGATAGAGGACGGCCTGGAGAGCCTTTTCGTCACCATGACCGGCGGGGAAGGCTCCGGTGATTTGACAGAAGGTACCAACGTCGTAGACTTCGCTAGGATCGTTGATGACATCTGTGTTAGATTCGGGATCCTTCAGCAAGAATGCACCGACGTAGCTCTGGCCACGCTTGAGCAGCTCTTGCACAGCGGCAATGACATTGGGGTCGCGGATGGTGATAGCCTTGTAGAAGCCAGGGAACAGCGGCCGTTGTGCGATTGGGATGGCGAGGACTTGTGGGTAGACATCAGGCACGGTAGGCTTGACGAGACCCTTCTCGCCGCCCTTGCGCTTGCGTCCGCTGCCACCGCTTCCGCTGTCACCGCCCGCTGGTGCTCCGTCGCCTCCTGCTGAAGAGGCACCTCGGCCGTCGGGGATGGGTGTGGGTTCCTTTGCACGCGACTCTTCCTTGATAGGTTCTAACGAGTCCTTGCGATCCTTGGTGTCCTTATTCTCTTGGTCTTGTGCCTCCTCTTCTGGGTCGAGTTTCTTGGATGAATCATCTTTCCTGCGGGCAGGAGTGGTATGAAGCGAACGCGATGCGGCGAGGGACGAGTGGCGAAGAGACAGCGGTGTCAAAGGAATGCGACAGGGAGCGGTCGAGTAGTTGCAAGAAGCGGCAAGATGGTATCGCGAAGTGGCGTACAGACGCTGCGAGGACTGCAGGGCTGCTCTGCACTGCCGGTTCAACATGATGTGCGTGTGCGGGGTGGTTGGAAACAGAAAGGACAGACTGGCAAGTCAGCCAGAGTTCACTTCTTAGAAGTCAGAAACGCCTCTCTCGTGTGATCAATGCTCGGTCGTGTATTACAGCTTCAACTACTCAATCGCCGCATCTCTTCCATGACGTTCTGAAGCTTGTCTAAGCACCTAGACATGCACTAGCCCGATACCGCAGTTGTCCCGCTCAAATCCGTCTAAACTCCGTCCTCTTTCCTTCCTTCTTGTTAAGACTGTCGAATGGCAGGTGGCGTGCTTGTACAAGAATGAATTTACCATGATCTACATCAGCCAAAATTAGGATATGACAATCAAATGCGAGATCCAGGATCTCAGTGATATAGGTTCAATCGTCCTGATGTTAAGTTTGAATTCGGGTCAGGCAAAATGACGGATTGGTGCTCGTGATACCTTTCTGATACTCATCTGCAGTACTGCTAACCAATCAGATACCAATGATTGGTCTTTCGCAGCCTCTAGGTAGGTCCATGAAACCAGTCTCCTGTGCTTTCAATAGCCTCTCTGCCTTATCCATCAAGCAGTCCTCAGAACGATCCTCAAGAAGTCTCCCCATCCATATCGGTCTCTGCTTTGAGTTTCGCAATGACTTCTTTGTCCAGGTTCCAAACACGACAATCCTCACAATGAGGCTTCTGTAGCGACTCAAGACCCGTCTGTAATGCATTTATGCCCCACTGACCTACGTCCACAAGAGCAACGGTTTTCAAGCGAGGAGCCAGCTTCAGGATAGTCTTCAATTGTGTCAGTCCTTCCTGCATCCACTCGTCATCCAAGTTATCTTCTGGCGACCTATACAAGCATCAGTCCGATGTCAAAAATGTCATTTGACTAGGAATTTTCTTACGCAAAACCGTGGAGCTCTTCAAACTCGTCATCGATAATGTGGACGCCGAGCCTCTTCAACTTGGGAAACAAGACCGATGCATCACTCACGAGAGTCGTCCAAGTGCTGAGGTCTTGTGCCCAACCTAGTGTACATCGTTCAAGATTTGGGCATGATCGACCGATAGCAGCCACGGCAGATGTACCAGAGGAAGCTGAAGTCTCACATAGCAGCTCCAGTTCACGTAGCTCTGAAAAGTGCGAAATCCATGCGTCGAAGTCGTGACTAGTCCAGCTCGATCCCGGCAGATCTTCTGACCAGTAAGAAGTGATCTTGAATACTTGGAGGTGATTCATCTTTGTCAGAGCTGTCAAGTCATTGGGATGTAATACTTGTTCTGGCCACATGCACAGGGTGAGCTCTGTCAGATTGGTGAAGCGTAGAATGTCCTCGCATAGGTTACGGTCACAATCTTTATAGCCTCCCGGAACAGTAATCTCCAAAGTCCGAAGCGAAATGGCAGTGTTCACAAGCAAAAGGTTCAGTGCAGCATAGTGTCCACCAATGCTTAGAGAAGTCAGATCCTTATTTCCTGGAAGAGTATTGTCGAGCAAGTTCGAGATCTCCCGGGCATCACTCTCGGACAGGTGTTTCCCAAGCTTAAGATGTGTAAGACGCCCATGTTTGAGTAGACGTGTAACAACTTTGTCGGTGTGTATATGCTCTTGACGATGTATTTTTGCACTTGTGAAGATATCTCCGCCTAGCTCAATTGAGTTTAGGCAAGGAAGCTTCATGATAACATTCATGAAAGATTCCAGGTCTAATATTCCTACACCTTCTTCGGCCACAAGCTGTTTCAGTCGAGTACAGAGGCCCAAGGTCTCGAGTGCGGACGCGCTGAGTTCAAGCGGGAGCTTGACCGACAGCAGCGAAGGTCGCAGTAACGGACACAAGAACTCATCGGGGACTACGTCGTGGCTGTCGATCTGGAGATGCTCAAGGTATGGCATCTCGCATGTTGACAATATGTCTTTCCAGTGTACTGGTGAGCCATTTTGGAAACCAGCAAGCGAGTTTTCCAGAGAGAGCGTGCGTATTTTGTCAGCATAGAATTGACGTCGACGACCACGCTTAGCCGGACAAAGTAGAGCACCAAACCCTGGCTCACGCCATAGTAATCCAGTTAGTCGATGAAACCATTCTTTGTTGACACGAATTGCATTAAATAGAGTCGCTCTGTCATCCTTGAGGAAGCTGTGGATGTGGACGCGGAGTTCCGGAGGCAGCTTGTCGAATGCGAACTTTGAATGTGATCGAAGACGCATCGTTGAGCAATAAGGTAATAGCAGATCTAGAGTGGGATAACTCGAATGGTTTTGCAAGAGTATGCTGTACGAGCTAAACGAATACAAAGTGCAGGAGCGGGAGTAATGTGAGAGGTCAGGTAGGAGCGGCTTCAGAACCTGACCAATTGCGACTTCCTTTTCGGGACCAATGAGCTCCTCACACCAACACCTTGATTGTCTTTTGTAGAATCCTACAAGGCGATACTGAGCCTAAGTAGATGTCTAGTAAATTCTTGGGAGAATCATGCTGTCCTATCGCTATCTACGATGAAGTCCATCAAGAGGGACATGAATAATCATACCCGATCTTCTATGAACCAGCAATAAGCAAAAGAGAAAGCGACACCAGCAGCATTAAAACCATCACATAGTCGCCTCATCCTTGCCTTGCTTTCTATCTCATGAGTCTGTCGCTCTAAACATGATTCATTCGCATCATAACGTTTATACCGGGGATCCCAATCGTCTATGCGAATCTTGCTCAAATTCGGCATCACTGAGCGATTCTCAACCAGGCAAAGTAAGGACTCGAAAGAGGGAAGCAAGGAGGCGATGCATCCCTTTAAGTGGAGCTCCTCCAAGCCAGAAGGAAGTAGCTCATCAATTCTCGGGTCCGGTGAGAATTTGAGTAGCATATACCCACTGACCGTCAAATCCCTGAGTGCAGTGTATTTGGTAAGAAATCCAAAGGATTTAGCATAACTGTCATCAGTTGCCCCATATTCTAAACGGCCATCGGTTTGAACATCATAAAGCGCCCAGCTGAAGAAATCCAACTTGATAGTTCTGAGACTGGCCCGGTGAAGGTACATAGCCTTGCTGAGCTCATGTATTGGCCAATCCGATTCTGGCATGTCACAGACAAAACTTTCCAACCCAGTCCATCGACTCATCACATCCTGCAAGACATGGGGATGAACGGCGCAGTATGAGAGCTCGAGTTTCTTCAAGCAAGAAGAGAAGGACTCAGTGGGTGTGAGCTCTTCCAGAATGTCAAGCTCGAATGCATGTGTAATGTCTGCCTTTCGGAGCGAAGGTAGAGCAAGGAATGGAAGGAGAAAAGACAACGGAAATCCTTGATAACGTTCGAGATCGTAATCATCCAGCTCATAAAAACCCTCGCCTGTGTGATTTGGTTGCACACATATTGAAGTCAAATTACGTAGGAACAGGTTGGTTCCGATGATGTGTGTAAAATGCGGCAGCGAGTTGGGACGTTCGAAGTACTCCCAGTTTGGCATGATCAACTTTAGATGGTCGAGATTGGTTGTTAGCGAGAGTAATAGCGTAATCTCTGCATCCTCTTGGCCAACTTCCAGCGCACGATACCATAGTCCTCGCTCTTGATCTTTGATATCGAGCCTCTCCAGGTGCTCTCGATAGAGACCGAGGAGTTGTGGAGTTGCTTGACTATCATGGCTAGGTTCGGTACTGAGGAATGCTACGAATGTACCATCATCTAGAAAAGGTTCTCTTGGAAACCTGTCCAAATCCATTTCTCGCCAGAATTCAGGAACATGGTCGGTAAGTAAATGTTCCAAAGTACCAGGCTGAAACCATGCCTTGATACACACGTTCCGGACGTGTCTTGCAAGGTCTGGGCGTTGTAGCAAAGTCTTCAGGTAACCATGGATGTTCTTCAACTGAAGAGGGACCTCTATTGTGTTGGGTTTGATGTAAGTCTGGTAGAGTAGAGGCTCTGCTATGGAGCGCAATCTCCGGGATGTTTCGCATAGGCTGACCAGGCTCGAGCAAGATTGGCGGAATTCTTCATCCTCAGGAACTTTGGAGTGGAAGCGCTGCAACCAACTTGTTTCAATCGCGAGCTCCTGGAAGATTGACGAGATTATCTCTGTGGGGAGTTGTTGGAGCATGTCCTTATACAAGTCTTGCCTCGGAATCAAAAATGAACCAAGAGGTCCGGATAGAATGCAAAGAAGGATCTAGAAGACGATCAAGAAAGACGTAGGGTGGGGGATTGCTGTGAATTGTGATTTTCACGTAGGAAGTGGCAGTTTGTTCATCTATGTATACTCTTCATTGACAAGGCCTACTAGTTGTTAGTCACGAATCCTGAGAAGTTGCTTGCTCTTTCTCTGTGCTTCCAAAGCCCACTCCTGATTGTTCTTCGTGACTCAACCCTTGAATGCCTCAATATCGGCGGCTCGTTTCCGGTAGATTGGATCTCTGACGGTGAAGGCATGCCTGATTATATAGAAGTATCTCGAAGAATTGGAGCATCAAACTCTGCGCAGTGCATCATGATGAATGATCAGTCTTGTGTCAATATCGCTAGCGTATAGTGTAGCTTGAGGTATGAAGGCTAGGTCATGTCACATTGTAACCCATCTCACAAATGAACCTGCCAAATTGATTGGGCTTGGCGATTCGTAACTCCTACTTCCTTGTTTTCCCCTTTCCACAGATCAATGCACGACGAGACTTTTTGCGTTACAAATGGCTAGCGGAAGTGAATGGAATAATCATCGTACAGTCAGGGTGTTGAGACACCAAAAGAACTATGATTGAGAAGAATGAAGACGCTGGCAGCCACACAAAAATAACGGTAGGTCCCTCCTCTTTGTTGCACCATGATCATGAAGAGAAATAAAACACCTTCTTCAGACAAAACTCCTTCGTTATATTACAAGATCTTTTTGTTTCAAGCTGGTGGTATTACTGAATCTTGGCTTCCCATCGGTGGCGCTGTTGCATCCATTGCCTGCTCCGATGCTGGAGAGTCGGTGACGGCGACTCCATTCAAGATGCTCTCTTTGTCTTTGGCTGATACACTATCTGTCAGACTGGCAGCAGGAGAGATGTCTCTTGGCTGGTGCACTTTGTTGCGTTTGGTGTAGTCGCTCAAACTCAACTTTTTCCTAGCAGGACTAGGATTGACTGCCGCAGAGACGGATGGCGAGAAGAGGGGTATATTGGACAGACCAGGCGTTGTGGTTGCGGACGACTGCGTACCCAGTGAGGGTGAAGTTGCAGAATTCAACGACGGAGGCATGGTTATATGCATCTCGGGGTGGGCAGGTTTGAACTCTGGAGAGGCAGGATGCACCTCACCAATACTGGGTGCTTCTTTTTGTGGCCATGGTGGTGGTGGTGGATCCATGGGCGGATGTGAGGGAACGCCTGGTTTTATTGTGGAAGGACTTGCTGAGCTGTATGACGATCCAGGCTCTTGGTCGTTGGGAGGTGTAGCACGATTAGGCTCATGATCAATGTCCTGCATATCGGCGTCCACTGGACCAAAGGCGGGTGACAATGAAGCAGGGCGTGCTTGTGTAGCCTCGGTCATATCAACGTCGGCGTGTTTGATGGACACAGGCGACAGTGGAGTGGCTTCTGAAGCGGCACCAACACTTTTCGGGCTTTGTTCGGCATGGTCGAGGTCCATGTTTTCGTCCGGATGAACTCCGTTGGTGCGTACATCTTCAGGTGTCTCGCTCTCGGCCTTTCGCTTGAGGTTGTTCGAGGCACACCTTCGAAGCAGGCGTTGCGTCACTGACAAATACTGCTTCTTCTTTGGTGGCGTCGGCATTGGCGGTCCAGGGGGATCATCGTTGTCCATGTCGCATTGAACCGAGGAATCGACATAGACCGGCTTGGGAATGTCGGAAGACTGCTTGCCTGACTTCACAGGTTTTGATGGCCGCTTGGAAATAGTACCGCGACGTGAAGAAGAAGGTTCTGAAGATTGCTGTTTTGAAGAACTGCTCTGTGGTAGCAAAGGGGTGGCACCACTGTGACGTTTCTTTTTCTGTCGACCACTTTCCTCCTCTTGTCGTCGAAACATTTCTTCCTCGCGCATAAGCTTCTTCTTTTCACGTTCGGACATCTCGGGTACAACAGCTGAGTAATGTGTGCCAGGAGTGATGTCTCGACTGGCTGAGCCTCGGAGAGAACCAGACACAGATCGAGTATCTGTCATATCATCATCGACTTCGACTTTTCGAGCCTCACTTCCAGAGCGACTGTGGCTGTTGCGGTTGGGATCAGCAGGCGAGAGGTTGTTGGTCGTCTTCTTGCGACGAGCTTTGGGAACTTTGACGGGGGCAGTAGCTGTCTCGGCGGGCTCGATAGGCTGAGGTTGACCACGTCGATCGAATCTTGCCATCAAACAACCTTCGCCGTTACATGCGCAAGGACCACAATTGGCGAGTACATTAGACACCCACATGGCGATAGCATATTTGATGTCTGCAGGTACGTCGCCGTGCACAACACCTCTTTCGGCATACATTGCCTTGATGGTGTCGTCTGTCTGCCAAGCGACGGTAATCTCCTCGCCAGACTGAAGATCCTGTGTGGCCATGAAACAGAAATGGTAGTTGGTACCGTCGGTGATGATAGTCTGGATCTCCGTATTTGGTCGACAGCTGCGGCGAACGTAGCGGAACATGGTGCCCTCTTGACGGGCGTCGATGTAAATGGGAAGTTGAGGATGGAAGAAGACGAAAGGTTCGGCATGGCGCAGCGATGACCAACGACTTTCAGGGTCGTTCATGTATTCCTCCTTGTACCCGATGTGTCCACGAAGCTCGCCAATGAAGGTGCGCTTCGATATGTCCTGTTCAACCGTCAAGCAGGGCCATTTTGGAGGCTCAGCCTGATCGGTGAAATTTGAATCTGCCTCCCAATGCAAGGCAACCTCGGGTCGACCTGGCATATCTTCGAACGGTCCATCCCATCGGAGAAAGATGTCATTCTGACTGAGTCCGTTTGTGTCTTTCTCGACAACGACCGGATTCTTCAACCACTCAGATAATGAGTTTGTAACGGCAATGTTGTTCATGAGATTTGTTTCTGTCTCGACATGTGAAGAGACTTGAGAGTACAGTCGGAGGAATTCTTCTGAGTACCATGGTATGATGGGTCTTGACGAATCCGGTGACGGACTGCGGGCTGCGGTTATCGTACCGTTTCGCTTTCGACCAGTGGGGGCGTGGTTGGCAGCTGCAGAGGGGCGATGACCTGTCTTTGGGCGTTTGGCAGGAGGTGGTTGGTCGCGTGGACTGGCACTCTTGCGATCGCGACCTTGTAGCAGGGAGCCGTTGACGGCGGCTGGCGACTCCTTCTGCTTTTTACGATGTTTTGGACCGGGTCGTCGCGAGTCGAGAGCTTGTCGCTGTATTTGTTTTTTCTGTCTCTCCTTGGCTTGGTCTGCATCAAGCCAACGCGGTTGACAGTCGAAACAGTAGTGCTTTTGGTGCTCGCCAGGACGATCTGCTTCAGTAGGATAGTAACAAATCATGTGTTGCCAGTTATTGCATGTTTCGCATTGCACCGAGAAGCCGTCGTCGTGGCGCATACCACAAATACAGATAATCTCTCCATCGTCCTCTTCAACGCCGTCATCGATGGGCGGTTGTGTTTGTCGTCGCGAAACTGTGGGAGGTACAGAAAAAGGCTGAGTCGACAGAGGGTGGTGATGATTGTGCTGCTGACGAGCAGCAGCAACTAGTGCATTCAAGGGCGGCGGGACGTCTGTCATAATCCAGCTACCCGTTGTCGTCATGCACAGATGGTGTTGGTAGGGTGTTCTATGTCGTGCGCGGTGTCGGATCACGCATGTCGCTGAGGTCCAGGAATGTCGAGGCTGTGGACAGGGATGGTTAATTCACAGAAAGGCCTGGCGCGATGCTGCGCTGGCTTTGAGAGGACTAGTGAAGTCGACCACCACTGACGGAAGCCTGTTGACTACAAAGGGAAGAGGGAAGGAGAAGGAGGACGGTGTGGCAGGCGGCGTTGCTGGTCGAGGGTGGGTCAGGACAGAGACGGGAGGGTGAGAGATCGAAGCCGAATTTGGCGAAAATAGCTGGCAGAAGGTATGCGACAGCGACGACGAGAAGCGCAACGGCAGAGAGGAAATCAGGCGACGGTCAGAAGCATTGGCGACGAGGTCGAGAGAGAGAATGGAGAAGAGAGCGGGAGTCAGAAATGGAAACTGCCCAGTCCACTGACAACGCGCCTTCCTAACTACTGGGCTTTCGCACCTTCCCTCAAAGCACGTGATTGACCCTTGCATTATTTCTTCTTTTTTTCTCTCCAAACTGTCAGAGAAAAATATCGTCGTTGTTTGCCCTAGTCTTCGCCGCTGCTTTGGGCATGCCTGGACTGTTGAAGGCCTTTGGCTGAAGAGAGCTGTGACATGAGAAAGGCTTTGTCTTGGTGGACGTCCTCGCGCTCGATGGCGGCAGACAGCACCACTGCGAGCAGCAGTAACAAGCAAAGCAGGGCATAGCAAGCAGCAACAAAGTCTACGCAGCCTTAGAGATAACACGGGAAAAGCTTTGAGATTTGTCGCACTAACCAAACATGTATTGGCTGTTGCTCTTTTTATTGGCTGTTGTGCATAGCCCCTCCGCGCTAGTCGCGCCAAGCCACTCAGGTTGCTCCTGAAATCGCCCCCTCTTTTGCTTTCCATCGGCTCACGCACTCTCATCTCCTGAGGCATGTTTTTGCAGCTGAGCCTCAAAACACCTGCGACGTGGATCCATTTCATTTGCAAACGCCTCCCCTATATGCCCGAGACACAATCACAGTGATGACTACCGGCGCTCCATTCGAGCCGTGCTAGGTGAGCACGCTGGTGCAGATTGAGACTCGAGGGTGACGACACTGTGACAGGGCACTCCCAGCACCCATGTTTCGAGTCCGTCCGAGTCGTCCGCGGCCGGTAGCGTGCAGCTTCTCCGCTCTTGTCTCGTGTCCCGGCGCCTTCGACTTCGTGTGTCCACTGTCTCGTTGCCGGAGGAGGTTTGTTGATGCTGACAAGACTTGCATGTGCATATGTTCTCCATTTTGGTCATCGTAAACATCTGGTCATGTTGGCCATGTTAAGTTGTGTATTGTCTGGGTCTGGTGTCGCCGTAACGACGTAGAAGCAGGATGGCAACACTGTTCTCCGAATCCCTGCTTACCACTGCACTTAGAGAGTCAGCAGCTACATGCTTCCGACAAATACATCTCCATTGTATCGTTGCTGCCGCGTGGGATTTGGAACTCGCGGGTTGGTGAGACAATGTCATTCTTCGCTTGAATTTGGTACATCGATGGTCAACAAATCTCCTCGAGCCTGTGCTTGCAGATGGCTCTTCGAATAATTGCGTTGTGGATGAAGAATATATACAGTGTATGGTTGCAGATGAGACATAGCTGACACTGAAAGCTGTCGTCTTGACGAACCTTCTAGTGGTGAGCAAAGGTATCAACACGAGGAGACTTGGGTCCCTCTGCTTCGAGTGTTTGCTGAATCCTATGCGACGGCAACCATCTTTCCGCAGGAATAACGAAGTACGACACGATGGCGAAGATTGTGACAATCGCCATGATCACTGGGGCATAGTTCAGGTTGCCAGCCGTGACAGGAAAAGCATACGGCGAGAACAAGATAGCGACAACCCAGCCGTTCCAGAAGATGGCGATGAACTGGAAAGGCTTGCTGAACTTTCCAAGGCTCCATCTAGGCTTGGGGAATGTTTTCGGTGTGAGCACGAGTCTCGCAAGACAGATCAGACCGTATGCAGCGGCGGAAGGAACACCAGCTGCTGAAACCAGACTGGTGAATGCAGTGCTGGATGGAAGGATTGTGCAGGTGATGATGGCTGAAACAACCCAGACGACAATCACGGCATTCTTGGGCTGGCCATTCGCGACCTGAGAGACCCATCCAGAGAAGGGAAGAACACCATCTCTTGCGACAGCAAATACTAATCTTGATGCGGCGAGGACAGCGATTGCAGTATTAAACCAGAGGGCTACGATACAGACAACGTTCATGACGACATGTCCGCCCTGACCGAGGACCACAGCATAAAGTGGTACGAATGGCTGCTCAGAACCAAACTGGAAGAAGGTATCTGCATCAGGCTGGACAATCATCAGCGAAGTAACAGTGCATCAGAGGCAGCATAGCTTACCACACAGAATAAGAACAGAATAACCACGACAAAACCACCAACACCACTAACCACAGTGCTCCAAAAAATACCTCTAGCTGCACTCACACTGGCGTTCTTCGTTTCCTCTGCGACATGACCAGAAGCATCAAATCCGATCAGAATGCCAGCGGTAGCCAGATAAGACAAACACCAGTTCCAGCCAGCAGGTGCTCCAGTACCGTTGTAAGTAGTCAAGAAGGCCTCATGAGCAGTACGGAAGCCATAAGTCTGGGCCACTCCAATTGGCAGCCAAACCATGTTGAGCACAAAGTCCAGCAATACCATCCCGGAAGATGCATAGAAGATCCAGCGGAAGTACTTGGGACGGAGCAGGTTGACGATGCAAGCGACTGCCAACATGAACTCGGTAACGGCCCATTGAACAGCGCGGTATTTGATGTGATCCGAATCAGATGGGTAGTCAACATTGAAGACCACGATTTCAGCCAGAAGGTAATTGACAGCTCCCTGAGTGTTACTGGCGCAGAAAGTTGTCCAGGCAGTGGTAGACCACCAAGCCACGATGAAGCCGAAGAAGCGTCCGAATCTAGGCCCTCCTGCCTCGGCAGCCCAGAGGTATATGGATCCAGCGAGAGGCAGCGAGGAGCATATCTCTGCGATGACAGCCGCTGTGATGAATGTGAAGACGCAGGTCACAATGTAGGAAGTCCAATACGCGAGATTGCCGCCTGCGCTGATTCCGGTAGAAAATGTCACACGAACGCCTCCCACGAAATACAGCGCCGCTGTTAAGGTGATCAGAAGAGGTTTCTTGATACAGGCTTTCCAAGACTCACCAAATGTTGTTGAAAAGTTGTGGAACAGCGTATAGGAACGATGCCTTGTAGATCATGAGATGTAGCCAAATGCAAATGTACGAGCAACTTACAATACTGGCTTGTAGCCTAGATTTTCCTACGGAAATTTCACTGTCAGATTCATCGCCTATCTATACATGATGCGGTTCTGCATGAAAATATGTTGAACGCACCAAAAGCTCAGCATCAGAATCAGACTCGCTCGCTCGTAAGCGAGCAAGCTCCTCTGCATATGCCTGGCTCGACGGGTCCTGCTGCATTCCGATACAAGCAAGCAGAGGCTGTTAGAGCAGTCGTCGATAAAAGTCGTGTTCGATTGAACGTGAGAAAATGGTCAAGAAAAAAAAAAATGAATATGCGAGTTCAAACAGGCAGGTGGCACGGCAGGGCCTGGCGTCGGGGCGAATTGAATCCACCGACACGCTGCCTTTCACCTCTTCACTCAACAACTTCGTCGTCCACCACTCTGGGGTCTACTCTAGGCCTTTCTTCCGGTAGTTCTGCTGTCTCTCTATTGTTGTATCTTCGTTTGTCAGAGCTACCTGTCGCCGCAGTCCGAGAGTCGAGTCAGGACGCTTACGGTATCATGTCGCCATTTAGCCGTTGCCTCTGGCATCCCCAACACGCGATAACTTGGTGACCACACACGAATCGTTGCCCTGGATGTCACTTGGCAATGAACCCAGACCTAGCCAAGTCAGACCAAGACCTGTGAATAGGGCTCTGGCGATATCAGAGACCCATAGGCGCAAGAGCGTGGGCATGGCGTCGCGCGACCCTCGCTATCCTTCCTGAGTTGCTGAGCCAAGGCTAAATGATGCCACTGGATCAAGTATGCGAGTCGTCAGGTAGGTGCTTGTCGAAAACAACGAGTTATTGGTTTTCCAGCGACTCAAGGCTTCAAACCACAATATATTCGTAACAACTACAGGTACGATGAATCACTCCATTCTCTGCACCTGCTCACGCAGCACAAGCTGCTGGACCATACGGCCGTGCTGTCGTGCGTTCTGCATGACTTCATGTTGACAGGTTTTACACACTTGCCATCAATCACATGGTTCTGTGGTGTAGTTGGTTATCACTTCTGTCTAACACACAGGCGGTCCCCGGTTCGAACCCGGGCGGAATCATCTCTTTTGCTGCTCTCGCGACCTCTGGGAGGTCTGGTATAGGTGTGGTGAAGGTCAGAGAATTTTTTGGGAAAATTTTGGGAAGGTGCGTCGTGACTTCCGCTTTCATTTTCAACAAGCTTCGCAGGGTCCCTAGCTACTTCCCGACGATCGTCGCGTGATCTCACGTTCTCCCTTTCCAAGTATCTTACTCTCAAGTAGCGCCTTAATAAATAGGGAGAACTGCATACCTCCTGTAGCTGAAAGTGTGCACGGTACACGACAAATAAAGTGGTATCAGTTCATATCTATGCCAAGATTCTATAACCATAAACTCCGAATCTAATGCCCAACCTTTAGTTCAACCCAATTTCGATCATTATGTCAGCATGAAGGTCGATATACGAGCCCAGCTCGTAACATCTAAACAGTCTCCTTCTGGACAGCAAAGTCAGAGCTCTTCTTGTCGGCTTCGTTCTCGATGTGCTCAGTGATAGAGCCCTTGCGGACAGCAGTCTCGACTCGTTCGTCGAAGCGGCTCTTGACTTGGTTGCTCTTCCATGGAGGGATATGAGACTCGAAGATCATGTCGATCTCCTCCAGAGTTTTTCCGTGGGATTCTGGATAGGTGAAGAAGATGTGGAAGGTCATGGCGAAGCAAAAAACGCCGAAGATGATGTAAGTTCTCCACTGGATGTTAGTGAAGGCAGGAGCAACAAAGTATGCCTATGAAATGTTAGCTGTATTCAGGCAGAACGGTGCAGCAGAGACTTACAAGAGCAAAGTTGAAGATCCAGTTGGTGGCAGCAGAAAGACCGACTCCCTGAGCACGATACTTGAGAGGGAAGACCTCGGAGCTGTAGATCCAGCCACAGGGAGCCCAAGTGAATCCATAGAAGCCAACGAAGATGTAACTGACGGCGATGATACCCTTGGCTGCAGTGTTGTTGTCAACCTTCCACTTGAGGATATCGTTACCATCGATAGATTCCACATGGTGCCCGTAGCTAGCCATAAGTCCAGCAATGGTGAAGTGGCAGATACAGCAGACGATGGATCCGGTCAAGAGAAGCAGACGACGAGGAATTCTGTCAATGTAGGGCAAGATGACACCAGTGGTGACAAGGAAAATGACGCTAAGCATATCATTAGTGTCCGCTTATCGTAAGAGATGAATTGGCGCAGAACTTACTATTGAATGATAGACGAGGTGAGGGTTTGATCGCCGAGGCCAGCCATTTCGAAGACGTAGACGATGTAGTACATGGCGACGTTGCCTCCGAGCAGCTGTTGCCACATCTGAACTGTGGTGCCACACATGGTTCTTCTCCACATGTTCTTGCTGAACAATCCGAAGAAGGTAACTCCCTCAGTGTTTTGAGATGCAGCGACGGCTTCGCGAATCTCCATCAGTTCAGCCTGCACAGCTGGGTCGTCAAGGTTGCCTTTGGCGTGGAGGAGGGCGAGAGTGTTCTCAACTTCTTGCCAACGTCCCTTAGATCCAAGCCATCTGGGCGATTCAGGGAAAAAGAACAGAGATCCGAGAAGAATGAATGCAGGGATACCTTGAATGCCCCAAGCGATACGGAAGGCTGACGGACCACTGACTCCCTTGGCGCAGCCGTAGGCGATCAAGAACATGATGAGGATACCCTACGGCAGGTTAGTAATCGTGCAAAAAAATCGACATGCCAAATGGTATCTTCTTACCCATTCGATAGCCCATTGCTGAATTCCTACGATGCGTCCACGAATGCGGGCAGGTGCAAGTTCAGCGAGATATACACAGCTAGAGTCTTGTTAGCGCCCGTCGGCTGGAGGTTGCACTGAAGATGATCAAAAGACCCTCCGCCGAACAATTGGACTCCAGGTCCCACATTTGAAGCGGCATGTCGAACGTCCTGGGTAGGCAAGTGCATTACTTACACTTGAGAAGATGTGATACCAACAGCAAGACCACTGACGAGACGACCCACAATCAATTGGGCGACGTTCTGAGAGCTGCACTGAATGGCCGCTCCGATAATCCAGATCACAGATGCCAGCATCAAAGATCTGCGACGACCGATAGCATCACAAATGGCCCCAGCAGCAAGAGCACCCAGGAAAGAACCACCAGACATGGAAGCAGTGATCTGTGCTTTGGTCAACAAAAATGGCCTTGTAACATGATATATGCAAGATAGAAACTCACGCCTCCCTGCAAGTTCGAGTCAGGGTGATTGAAGTAGTCGAGGTACTGGTCCTGGCCAATCCATGCACTCATGGAAGAAACATCGAAGCCGAAGAGAGCACCGCCAATCGTGCCAAAGGCAGCGAGGACGTAAATATTTGAGATGGTATACATGGTAGTAGATGTCCAGCCTCGTCCCTGGAGCCTCGTTTCGTCTAGGAGTATTCACATAGCTCTGACTGAGGCTCCACTGCCTTTATATTCTAACCCCAGCCCACACACTATTGCGGGACACGAGTTTGGGGCCCCAAGGAGTGGAAGTCCCCACCGTCGGGGATATAGACAATGACATCATTTCAGGACGTCTCTTCGAATTTATCCACCATTGTCGGATGAAGAAGTTGGAGGCAACGTTCAATTCATGGGCAAGCGTTCAGCTTCGCCGCCGGAAGAGTTCGCAATTCTGCCGATTCTCTGAGGGTTGCGCACGCAAATGCTGCGCGTGTATCCACATTTGTTTGTCAATCTTTTCGATATCAGGTTTAGAGTGCGAAGCGATGGTCTGTGGGACTGCCGCACTCCGGTGGTTAAAATTTCTATGGAAACGGGATCTCCAACAGCACGCAGCATACGCCAAGCTGCTGCAGGACCACAATGAATGCAGATAAGTACGTACCCAGCCGGCACTTCCAGCGGCACTGCTGAACAACGGTTCATGGAAGAGCACATATAAACTTGCTCTTTTGCTCGTGTATACAACCTGTAGCTGTTTGGAGACAGGTCGCCATGGGAAGACGATCTTGTTCACGGCTATTATTTCGAATGAAGCGGCAAGGGCGCAGAAGGGTCTTGGCTGAACTCTGTCTCGCTCTAACATCCAGTCGGCAGGTTATAAAGGGCCGCCGCTGACGAGATAGGCACGCTTCAAGCCATGTATTTATTGGGAAATCCTGTCTGTCGCGTCATATTCGAGATGAGATCTTCACCAGGTATCTCGCTATCTCAAAGACTACAGCAGGTCTTGCTTGTTGTAAACTTGACTTGCTATGATTTGCATCAAGCAGGATTGACAAAGCAGCCGCTTCTGCCATTGTCAGGCCATATGATTCGATTTTCGCATGAGGCACGCTCGCAGGGCGCACAAAGCTGTCAGCACTTTTGTGGTGAAAAGTCAATTCTCGAACGTCTACATGTGTCTCGAAGTGGTTCGGCGCAGCGAAGACATACACTCGATTATTGTCAAATCTACAAACAAGCACGGAATCTAGTTCCGTGCCGGAAGGCTTTCCGGATTGAACTGTGATATAGGCCAAAAGAAAAATATAAATATAACTAGGTCACAGGCAAAACTTTGTGCTACCTGTAGCATGCTTGACAGCAGGCACTATAGGCTGCTACAACACATGGAGATTGGAGTACCCAAGGCCAACAGCGCAAAAGCTGCATGAGATGTTGGTATTCTGGATCATCTTAAAGAAGATGGAGAGGCTCGCGGTCAGACACAGTGTCCATACGTCCAACCTCTCTCTATCAGTCGTCTATTGTTGCCAGGCCTTGAGATAGACGTGGTTTCACATGCAATGGACCGATCGCACGGTACGCCGATACGAGGATACGTTTTGTTGAAATTCGAGTTGTGAAGAAGCAGCTTTCGTTGTGGGCACGTTCGCAATCGGGGTCCTGTCCGCGAGTCATTAGATTTCGCCGAGAGTTAATACCGTGTCATGATATATTGGCAGTAGGCATCGTTTGAACAACTTAATTCACAATCATGTCGTCTTGCTGCTGAAGCAAAGGGGCAAGGCTTGCGAAGACGCTGTACGTTGATATAAGCAGTAGGGACCTATGATGTTAGGGACTAGCAGACAGTACCAAGTTCTAGTGTACCATGTACGAGTGGTGACGATAGAAGGGACTTGCGCTCCTTCCTTATTAGAAGCAAGAGACAGGACAGAAATTGTTCCGGTGGAGACGGTGATTCGTCAGCGAAGCCACCCAATATATCATGCTGCGGGTTCAATTCAGCCTTCTACGTTTGTGCATTGCAGAGCAACAATTCGATAGTGATTCACATGATGAAGGGCAAATCAATGAATTGCTGTGACACCATACTTCGATTCGTCTTGAGAGATGTCTGCACGCTGTCACGATGCTTCTGATGTGATGCGAATATGCCTTGGGCACATCAGGGTCTCAGGGTCAAGCCAATACATGTCTAGACGGACCTTGGTCCAAGAACATCACATGCAAAACTATACAAGCTCGAAAAATAATAGTGGAGCATCTGCAAGCTGCCATCGAAGGAATCCATGATATGTCAGCTACAACATGCTAGGTGGTACGGGCGTATCGTCTTTGACTGTCCTACTTTGCTTCCACCCCTTCCCCACGCCGCCTCGGCAAATCTTGTGTCGCGTGGAAGGCGCGAGCCACTTACAAATTAATCGCGCCCTCATCCTTGCGCCGGTCCCATCTAGCCCTGCCTTAGCTACATACGGAGCTTAACTAGAACACTCGGAGCAGCTGTGATAATTACATGAAGGCGGGGCGGCACAATCAAAGCATACTCCATCAGCGCTGTGCACACGGAGCCGGCATATCTGCGGATCCTTCGAGGACGGATGGAAGTAAAGCCCGTTTTCACGCCGTTGAAACCGTTGACAGATAGACGCAGAGCACTTGGCCATTTCGGATCTCTCCTCCTGGAGCACACCTCTTGTCTTGTGTTCAGCTTTCCTGCTCAAGTACAAACGTCTATCGACAGCACACTCATTTCGCGCTTGGTGCTTGCAATCTTTATCAGAGTCTCCTGACATCTCGGGCCCTCGGTGGCACGTTCCAGCTTCAGCATACAGCAACAAGTGGCCAGTGCCTCCCCACCAAATCACTTGTGTAATTGGTGTATGCGCGGACGGGCGTCCTTATTTGCACCTCACGTCTTTGCGAAGGTCTACTATGCGTGATTTCCCATCTGGAATTCCAGATAGTCCTGGGCAATCAACCTAACACTGCTACACGATGTGCGCTTTAAAACAGGAAAACAGCGGCGCGTCCGAGGGTCGCGAAGCGGGCAGCGCGCAGGCGGGCAGCTCTGATGCGGCGAGGTCAGCCCGCAAGAGGACAAAGACTGGATGTCTCACCTGTCGGAAACGCAGAATCAAGTGTGATGAAGGCAAGCCAGTATGCAAGAATTGCATGAAATCAAAGCGGCAATGTGAAGGCTACAACCAGCGAGTTGTCTTCAAGCCCGCCGATTTCCAATATCTACCACATGGTGGTGCAACCATAACCTTCGATGCTGGACTTACTGGTATTCCTAACGAGCACAGCCATCACGGAGTGTATCCTCCTCAACATCCTGGTTCCCAACCACGTTCGCTTTCTGTTGCATCACAAATGTCACAACAGTATGGGCCGATTGGGGATGCCATGGATCACCAAAGACCACCACCAATAAATCAACACCCAGGCTTCGACCCGATTCTACATGGCATGCCGCAACAACAAACACGATTCGAACAATCTCCTGATATGCAACCATTCATGGATGGAAGTTCGTCATTCCCTCACGGTGTGCCAGTTGACAACAGTCCACCAAATCCAGCTCTGTACCAATCTATCCCGGAGAATTCACCCTATATTGAACAATATCCTATTACTGGTTGGCAGCAGGATGTTCAAGGCCATTTCACGCCAGTGCTCTGGTCCAATGCATATGTCACAGATGATCAACAGCCGATAGGTGTTCCACAACAGTGGCACGGAGAAGGCTTGACCAGTCCAAATATCTCGGAACTAGCCCCAACACCACCAGGTGGGGTACCGTATGGTTACGAGGCGACAACAGAGCGAGCACATCCAACCCAGCATTCAGTACCTCTACAAAGCATCCCGGTCGTGGCTAACAATGCTCCACTACAAACACAGCTTGGTCGCGATGGAATTCTGAATGAAGCAGCCATTGAAGTTCATGACGAGGACTACTATGATGTTGACACCGAGGACGAAATGTTGGATATGGATACCGAGTTTGAGGCACAAAACATCAACGGAGGAAAGGCACGCCTTCACCGCTATTCCAAGTATGGACTCGATGCAGCAAAACTGGATGCCCGACAATTCGATACATTCGTGTTCAGTGGCGCCATGGACAGCTACCGACCCGAACATGTTGCAAATCCATTAAAGAATCCAGCCACGGCTAGGGTGTTTGCTCACTTCATATCCGAAACTTCGGCAATATTGACCACATCGGCAAGACAGATCTGGCGGCTCAATCCCTCTTCTTCTGACAGTAAGGCCAAGCCAATGGTAAGGAAGTGTATTTGGACACACACTTTGCCTATGGCAGCATTGCATCACCAAGGCCTTTTGCAGTCGATGCTTGCGATATCGAGTTTGCAAATAGCAAAGATACAAGGTGCCTCCGAGACGCCCTCACTCAAGCACTATGCATACGCCCTCAAGAGGATTCACAATTGCGTTGGTAACCCGAAGAAAAGACTTTCGGTACCCGTCCTTGCGGCATCGTTGTTGCTTGGTTACTACGAATGTATGGCTGCCAACCACGCAAACTGGCAAAGCCATATCAATGGCGCTCGACAACTAGTGGTGGAAATAGATTTTGCCGGAATGACCAAAACTTTCAAGCAATTGAAGACTGTCAATAGGGCGCGGCAAGACCAACAAATGCCGCGGTTTTCGGCTACTGGCATCCCCCAGATGTCTCCAGACAAATCGCCGCAGGACATTCTGCTGGATCAGATGGACGAAGTCGACGAGAACATTGTTGGAGCAATCTGTGGCACTGGAGTCAGTTACGACAGATACGGTCATATTGGCGAGGCGATGCCGTCTCCACAACCGTTCAATCTGGAGACTTACGACACTCTGAGAGACTTGTACTGGTGGTATTGCAAGAATGATGCTTTTCACAGTTTGATCAGCACCGACCCGTTAATGTATGTAAAGCATTTCCTATCTCTTAAATTTTTGCGCTGACAATTTGCAGGATGGACTATAGCCGATGGACTGATTGTCCACCCCGTGCACCACTGGGTAAACCTGAAGCTCCTTATGGTTCACTCGATCACGTTATGCTTCTTCTCGCTCGAGTCGCAGATTTTGCTTCTCGAGATAGGAAGAGAAAGCTCAAAGTCGAGAAATCAAGCATGGGGTCGCCGCTTGATAATTCGAGACGTGCATCAAGCGCATCTAACAATGCATCAGCCACACCACCGAACATGTTCTCCTCACGAGGAGTTTCGAATTCACCATCAAGCACAACCTCCCACACATATGACAGCATAGATCTGAACCTTGCAACGGCGACCGCTCTTCAAGAATGGAACAACATCAAAGCGGCTTTGGATTTTGTGGCATCCAGTTTGGGTCCTTATTTCCAACCCTTGGATGGTGAATACGGGCCTCCACTCAATACGCCATTTGGTCCAGCTCTTGTCTACCGCTCATACGACATCAGCGCTTTCTGGGCAACCTACAATATGGCCATGATAGCAGCTCTCCGCAATCACCCTAACATGCCTCCAGCCGCCCATGTCGCTGCTGCCGCAGCGGCGGAGCAAACGAAACCCTACGCCTATGCTATTGGCCGGATCTCAGCGGGTATGCAAACTCCACCCGAAGACCATCCGCTTGATCCCAGGATGGCCGCTGCCATGATCGACATGGTCATTCCTCAATTCTTTGCTGGTATTCAATACACCGATGCCTCTCACCGTGCCTTCCTCGTCGAACGCTATTTCGAAACCGATCGACGTATCGGCTGGGCTACTGCCAGTATCATCGCCGAAGGATGTCAGAGTGGCTGGATTCGCGCGGCGGACGCAGGTCGAGGACCACCTCACGTACGCGTGAGCAAAGCCACATTCTCCGACTTCAGAATCGGACGATACGGCAACTACGCACAAGCCCAAGCCAGTAAACCACGACTTTCTGAATGGGACGCCGAAAACGACAGAAAGTTTGTCAAGACAAAGACTAGCGCGCGCGTGCATTGGGCTATCGGATTGATGGGCACTGAAGAAGATGTCCCCGAGGAATCTGATTGAATGATGTTCTGGCAATTTGGGTGGATGGAAAAGGGGAATCATGATGATGAAGGAGGGGGACAAAAATATTTGCATTCACACCACATTTTCAACATATCTTAGCAAGCTGCACACTCTAACTTGGTGAGCTTCAAATTACATGGTTTTGGCTACTATGGCCAGGTTTCCCCACTCAAAAAGGATTGGTGCTTTTGCCGTACTTTCCAATGTGAAATCTAACGTGAGACGAATAAAGACGATATGCACGGGCAATGCGAGTGAGAAAGGCAGTGAACAAACAGCGAGAACAAACAAGTCTATAATTTCGAAACGCCATAAGACAACGCAGCCACCATTTCTTGCATTGGACAATCACGCCTTCTGTTGAGCCTCCATATCATGAGCCTGAGGACTGACCTGACTCCACGCCTTGCCCAAGTGCTCTTTAGTAGCTTCTCCTTTTCCAACTTTCTGTCCTTCGAATCCAGTCTCGCCCAAATACTCGCACTCGAACACGCCAGTCAACTTTACGCCATCATCCTCGAATTTGATGAATTGAGTGGCGTTTTCGGCCTCGACTGAGATTTCAGAGTCTGAAGTCTCACGACCTCGCCATTTGTATTGGAAAGTGCGGTTTTCAGCAGAGGGGAGTTGAGTAGACAGAAGATCGAAGGATGTGCGAGGAGTAGGATTGGATCTGACAGTGTCAGGGGACATGAAGCGGATGATGCCTTGATAGAGACCCAGGTTGAAAGTAGCCCAGAGCTGGTAGGTCCCCAGACGTGCTTTTTGGGCTTCTGTGAGTTCAGAGTCGGGGATGTTGTCGTCGGTAGTTGATGCAGGGTTCTCGTCGTCAGTGTCGTTGTCATTTTGGGGTCGGGTTGGTTCGAGGTGGATTGTAAGTGTCAAGTCTGGAGATGTCGAACCGAGTTGTTCGGCGATTGCTGCGCAGGAGATCTTCCAGAGTCCTGTTGGGTCGACTATGTCTTTTTCTGTTTGGGCTGATTGGGCTTGTTGTGATACCCAGCTTGCGATGCGATCATTCTCGGTGGTTTCCTCAGTAGCGGGTTGCTCTGTGCTTGTCTCTTGAGGCAGAGCACCTGACATGACTGGAGTAGTCTCCACGTCACCGGGATCTTTTCGGAAGACTGGTCTTGCGGGTACAGCTGAGCTTTTGAGGCTCCTGAGTTGCTTTGCAGCCTCGATATCCTCATTTGGAAGTGCTGTCTGCGCAGACTCATTGTTGCTGCCGGTCGTCTTTGATGTATGATCGATAGAAGGCAATTGCTCGCGAGCGTCCTCGGCTTGCTGGGCACCCGGCAGCATCATCTGAGCCACAGGGGCTCTTTGTTCGCGAAGAGAAGGATCAATCAAGTCAGCAGGATTCTTAGGCTCGTCAGCTCCAGCATCAGCTTCGCCATCGTTCTCATCCTCGGCCTCTTGAAGCTGTCTCTTGGCCTGGCGCTGGATGTCTCTGACTTTACCAGCGACAGCCATTCGCGAAGCAACTCGACCAAGCACAATCCAGCTCTCCACTGGTCCATCTTTTCGTGCTTGCGTATCGAACATCTCAACATGCAAACCCATGGCATCAGCCTTGGCCCACATGTCACGTCTCGTGGCTGGGCCGACTTTCAGAGCCAGAACATCTTCTCCATTTCCCAGAAACTCCTTCAACAGTCTGGTAGAATTGATCCAGGCTTTTGCTTCAGGAGTTTTTGCTGCATTCCATCTGACATCTTCGGCTTTGAGCTTGAGCCTTTCTCTGTCTGCAGCAGTGGTAACGACGCGCTTTTTCTTGGGGGCTCCATTTGCTCCGGCTGAACCAGCAGCGGCCTTATCCTGAGGGGCCATGCTATGTGTGCAAGGTCCAGGACTTGTGACGCGAAAAACCAAAACTCCTGATAAGATGCTTGGGTGTTGAAAATGTTGGTGTGCAAGTACGCGTTGTTGGTTCGGTGACCTTGGAGGTTCGTAGATGTTTGCCGTTTTTGCCAAGACAAGCTCGGCGTACTCGTATGATCTTCCGAGACCGACGACGATATCATCCGAGCCTGAATGCTCGTGAGAATACCTGTTCAGAGTGATGCGTGGCAAGCATGGTGTGTCGGAGTATCGCGATGGAGCAAGATCTCCATTGTGTTTCGCGATGCTCAATGAGGTGATTTTCTACAGAATATTAGGTAGCACCACATAGGGAGGTATGCACGTATGCACATTGTATTTTCCAGAACGACAACTCGAGCATTTAGCACCACCAAGACTCAAAAACACACCAAAATTGACAAAAAGGCACCCCGAACACATTCAAGATTACCATGCAACCACATACACATAAGAAAAGATAGCAATCCAGTGTTGAACACCTTGATTAACAGCGGCCAGGGTGATCAGGACAGCATCTGTAAACTCGAAAAAGAAGCTGCAAGCACAGTCACGTAGGCAACACACGGTGGCTTTGCTGACCAACCTGCATGTATATTGGCAGGATCAGATCCTATGTATCAGCACATTATTGGTTTCTGTACAGATGGCTGATTTAGGATGATGATGGGCGGTGTGGATGTATGAGGAGGCTTCAAAGGGATGATAGGCTAACGAACGGTGAAACAGTCACCGATTATTCTTGATACGACTCATACGTATGGGCACCACCGACCCGATGGTCTTTGAGACTTGTTGGACGCCTTTCAGAGACATTTTGCGAGTCTTATACCGACAAACGCAAAGATAATAATGGTTGAAATAGGTGTTTACTTTTGTCAACAAAGATTGTGTTTGTACCGAAGCGGGGAAAACAGTCAGCGTCATCAAGCAGTGGGTTGATCTCGGATGCGGATGCACAAGGGTGATTTTCGCAGGTACTCTTCAGACAACGAATGTTCAGCGGAGGTGATAGAAACGGATGCAACGTTGACCCTTTTACTGCCCCTATTCTCGATCAAGCTGTTAAAGACTTGGACTCGACTCTGCAGTATTTCGAGTGATTCAAGAGAGAGCTACAGGACAAAGCGATTGTCGGAGAACCTTTGTTGATCAAGCGCGTCAGTCAACAAAACAGCACGTCCATCGCTGACAGCGTCTCGAGGCCTGTTTGATCCAGACCCAACGAATCCACCCACCCCGAGCACTTTTGAGCAATAAACGTTACCAGCATCGACAGCACTCTCTCGAAAGAGACAGAGACTCAACGATCAAGCAGAAAACCATTGATATTAGCTGAGGTCGACGGGATCAGGCCTGCTCTCATCCCCACGCAAATTTGCGGAGGCAAACTCTTGGCCCGCTCTTGAGACGCGATCGCTTCCATCCACCAACTGCTTGCTTTTTCCCGTCACTCCGACATCACAGACGCGACCCAGCGACGTCTTTGTCAACACAACCTTACTTCTATTTCTGCAGCACGCATCACACAACACATCACCATGCCGCCGTCAAATCGGCGCACAAGACCTGCGCGCAAGGCCGCAGAAGTGGCCGCGGCAGCCACGGCTACCGCAGCCGACGTGTCTGACGCCGACACTCCCGAATCCATCGCTACACCCTCGCGCACCTCTCGCAAGAGAGCGCGTGCCAACGACGCCCCTACCTCTAATGGCCGCGCAGCTACGCGCAGAAAGGTCACGACCGCCCGCGCCAACGAACGCGAAGATACCGAAGGCACCGAAGCAAATGAACAATCCGACGCCGAAACAGAACCCTCGACCCCCTCCGAGGTCGATGTGATCTCCAAGCTCAAGGTCTCGGACAAGCAAGTGAACGCGACACACGACTTCTCCAACGACCTACTCGAGGGTAGAGAGCACGTGCCTGGCTATGGTAAAATCGCCGGTCGCAACTGGACATACATCATTCAAGGTGTCGAGATCAACATTGGTCGTCCCGAGTCACACGAGAAGGCCGAGACTCTCAACTCGCCTATCATCCAGTCAAACGACCCTTCGGCCAAGTCGAGAATCTCCATCGACCTTGGTCCTGATCGACAGGTGTCGCGTCTGCACGCAGTCATCTCATACGACAGTGAGCAGGAGAAGTGGTTTATCACTGTCAACGGCCGTAATGGCCTCAGAGTCGACACACAGCTCCTCAAGCGTGGCAACCGCGCTGCTTTGCGCTCCGGCTGTGTTATTGACATCAGTGGCACTCAGATGGCCTTCATCACCACCGCTCGCCATGAGGACGACGGCCCCGTTTTCGCCGATGCAATTGTCCGCCAGACCTACACATCCGAAGAAGAGGATCATGAAGCCGACGGCCGCAACGGCAATCCTCCGCCGAACCCATCTTCTCACATGCCCGGTCCTTCTTCATCAGTACGCCGCCCTGCCCACCCTTCGTCTAGCTTCCCCGATGGCAGCACGGGACACCGTGTACACCCTCACTCGTACGCAGGTCTGCAGTCACAGTCTTTCCCCATTCCGGGTACACCTATTCGCAACCACGGCATGAACATTCCTACATCGCAGCGTACTCGTCCATCTCCTCTTTCGACCGGAGGCTACTCTCGCGGTGTCATGCTCGAGTCGACCGAATCTATCGACTACTCTGCAGACAGCGCCAAAGATCTGAAGCCTCCTCACTCTTATGCTCAGCTGATTGGTATGGCTATTCTGTCCACTGGCGAACAGCAGATGACGCTTAACAATATCTACAAATGGATCATGGCCAACTACGCCTTCTACCGTTATAGCACTAGCGGCTGGCAGAACTCGATTCGCCACAACCTCAGTCTCAACAAGGCCTTCGAGAAGATCGCCCGTCGTACCGATGAGCCTGGCAAGGGTATGAAGTGGATGATTTCGCCTAAGGAACGTGACACCTTCCTCAGCCAGGGCATGAAGGGCTGCCGCAGACCCAACCCTCTGCCTTCTGGCATGATCGACCCGTCCAGCCCAGCACAACTGCAGCCGCCTTCTTCCGCCCACCAAAAGCTCAATGGCGCTGTTCACGCTGTTCCTAGTAAGACCGAGAAGAGCGACAGCCCTCCCATGCACACCTATCCATCCTCGTACCCGACCGCAACCGAGGCCTACACCCCTGATCGTGGCTCCCGACGCCCCGTTAAGTTCGATGAAAATGACCCAGAGCTTGTTTACCCTCCTTCGGCCAAGAGTACGCTTAATCACCTGACTGCTGTTGCCAATGCTGCCGGTTCTCCGCCCTCGCTTTACATAAACGATGATGGTCGCATTGGACCCCTTGACACACCCTTTCCAGTGCGCAGCAGCCAGAAGCTGGCGCCTCCTTCAACCCTTCAACGTCCTTCAGCATTCATGGAGTTCTCGTCGCCTGCACCATTCTGGAAGTTCGGCTCAACACCCTTGCGCCCACTTGCAGATATCAGTCCCTTGAAGGCAACACCGTTCTCGTCTTTCAAGCCTCTAGGAATGGGAGCTAACGTGAAGGTTCTGGACGAGGACGACAAGAGTGCCGTTGACAAGAAGAGCATCCTAGACGAGAAGGATGACGATATGCCTGCTATTCAATCTAGCTCACCTCCTCGGGCATCGGGTGTTCCCGATCGTATTGATGGCAGCCCAACTCGCAGCATTCCAAGGCCCGCAACAAGCCACAGTCGTTCAGCCAAGCTCGAATTCGACTCGGAGGAGCATATTGGCACTAGCATGCCTCCTGAGAGCAACGAGAGAACCTCCTTCGAGCGCGAATCTTCGCAGAAGAAAGAACAAAGCATCATGACAAATCCGTCATTCAATGCTCCTCAGCTGCAGCCTCCTCAGCAGCAACAGCCCGAATCCGAGCAGCAGCAAGAAGTTCAGCCAGGCCAGCAAGAGCAAGTGCAGACGCAACAGCAACGCGAGCAGTCAAATATGCCTGCACTCAACTCTATGCGTCCTCCAATGCAGGCTTTGGGTAATGGCACTAACCAGCAGCAAGCACCAGCTGCTCCAAACACTAGCAATATTCTCAACAGTCACGCTTATGCAACGAACAACATGAATGGAATGCAACAGAACATGGGCTCTCTGCGTTATGGAGCAGATACCGACGATGAAGCGGGTATTGATCTTGCCAAGTAAGAATTATCTCGACCAGAATCAGTGGCAACGAACTAACAGGTCTACAGGGGCTTCCAACCTATTGGCACCTTCCACAAGATTGGAGCAGCTAGGTTCGGCATGGGCATGGCAGGTCGTTAGATGCGACCCGAGCTACATGGCTGGCAGCAGGATCCAATGTACCCTACGGCCAGCAGTGGAAAACGTGTCGTGAAGAAAAAGCACACGCAGCTTTGAAGAAGTGATGAGATGGCAACGATGAGATGGAGGTACATAAGTAAAGGATAACGTGTGTCCAGGAGTTTACGGGAGGTTGGGTGATTCGAGTTTTGTTTTGTCGAAAGCACAAGATGGCGTTTTGGTAAGTCAAGGATCAGGGTTCTGTTCTGTTGGAGAACAGAAATATAGAAGGAGTAGCTCTGGAGCCATGATGTACGAAACTATGTTTTCCCTCGAGATACAGGCCTTTGGTGTTGGCTTGACTGACGGATGCTCTGGAAAATGACGCGGCAGAGGGTCCGACCGGTTCGCGCATCTTGCCAAGGAACAAACGGCCCAGCCACTTTAGGATTGGGACGGACGTGATTACGATATACGAAAGCGACATTGGGGAGTATCGTTTCCAGTCTTGTCGTTGATTGCATCTCGCGACGTGTCGTGTCCCATACGGCGTTGGGCAGCAATTTCTCTCGACAGTCTTCGTCTTCGAGAGCGCAGAGTGATCAGTTGAAGCACGCGGCGTTCTACACCGCACCGCAGGCTTCCACAGATCGACCCCAAGACTCACGCCATCTGTCAGCCAACATGAATGCGCTCCGCCAGAAATGCCGACCGAAACATCAGGTTTTGATCCTGAAGTGCTACCCAAAGTTACCCAAGAACCCGGCAGGCAGTGCGAGCGAGGCAAAGCCGAACGGCAGCGAACTCAGCTATCTTGTCTACTACGCGTCTAGTCGTAGGGCCAAACTCACAAAGGTTGGCAGTTTTCTGGAGAAGCGCACCGCCTCGGATGTCTACAAGGGCAGGATAGGAGCAGTCCACGTCACTTTGGGAATCTTGACCGCCTTCCTCAACTCGTCCAGCATCTCCTCAGTCGACACATTCCCCCTATTGGCCCCTCATGTCCTTACCATCCTGCAAGAAGTCCTGGGCCACTCCAACGATACCGGTCTGATTGAAGCATGTCTCCCTGTGTGGGACGCTTTCTGTCGTGATCAAGATTATGGCACGCTCGCCGCCGACGTTCAATACCGCCAGCAATTCGCCGATGTGGTCAAGAGATGGACAGCATACGCCGACAAGAAGACGAAGGAGGCCGGTGGTTCCAGCGATGCTCTCAAGCTACGCAAAGCTGGTCTCGAGGCATTGCGCAGTATCGCCAACGCCCAAGCTCTTGCTAGTGAGCCAGGTCGCCAGATCCCCGTCTTCCTGCCCGCCGTTCTACGCAACCTCTACTCGCAGGATGCCACATATCTCACCACACTCGACGAGCGATTGAATGAGCAAAAGCATGCTCAACAAGGATTGCGTCCCAGCATGCAGACAATCCGCAGTACAGCCACAAAAGAGGAAGGAGACCCGCGTGCTGCCGCAGGCACTGCCCAAGAAGCCGATCGCTATGCAGAGGAAGAGGCTGGTATACTGGCTATGCAATGCTTCAAGGCCTTGTTCGACGTCGACAATCGTGCCCAAGTCCGCATGGCAACCTCGAGTATGCTTGAATACATTTCACAACAAAACTCGGCTCACGCCTGGTCCGTTGCCCTGGTCAAGCTGGCATGCGAGTTCACTCCTGTCCAGGATCGCTTTGTTGTCTTGTTCACTGCTGTCGATGTTCTGATTCACAGCCCCATCATTGAGGATGCTCTACAGCAACAAATCGTCTTGGCTGTCATCATCGAGCAGATCCTTGGTTCTAACATCAACTTGATCGGATTGTCAGTCATGGACATCCTGCTTGGTTTGGTGCAGCACATCCTTTTGATTTTGCAGCTTGGCACCACTCTTCCCAACCTGAATGGTTCCAACGAAAAGCCAAAATCTCCTGTCATGGAAGTTGTCAAGACACCTTCTCCCATCAGAGTTGAGCTGCTTACTCACTTGCGTCAATGCATTGTCAATCTCGCAAAGCACGTCTACTACACGGATCAAATCTCAGACATGGTGTCGGCCCTTCTGCTCCGTTTGAAGCCTGCCTCTGCTGGCTCCAACATGCCTGCTGCTACCGCAAATGCTATCGAGGATCCCGCTGGTGCTTCCAACGACTCTGCCGCTAACAGTGGCTTGAAGGAAAGGCCTAACACCGACGGCTTCTTCTCATTTGACACTGCTCGAGAAGTTGCACTTGATTCTGTTAAGCGCATTCTCATTGTTGCCAACAGCAACGACCCCTCGGCCAACGAGTCGACCAAGAATCAGAATCCTGTTCCCATTGGAGTCTGGGAGGGGACTCAGTGGCTGCTGCGCGATTCGTACCGTCCAGTACGTGTGGCTTATGTAGACGCATTGTGCACATGGCTTGACCTTGAAACTCGTGCAACCGACTCGAAGATCGAGGAAAAGCCAACTTCCGAGAAGCAGAAACGGGACAATGTCAACGGTAACAACATGGCTCGCAGAGCTGTTTCTAATGCTTCAGCACGTGGGCGCGGCACAAGGAAGAGTCGTTCCTTCTTCCTGCAACTTCTCCATCTTGCCATCTACGAGGATGCTTTGCATCTTGCCGATCGCCCCGAGGCTGATCATGAGTTCCTGCTTTTGCACTACTTGCTTGCGTCCATGATTGCCAAACTCGGCGTCAATGCTGTTCGCTCTGGTCTTCCCATGATTTTCCGTTTGCAAGAAGACATTCAGGCTATTGAGAACCCCAAGGCCAAGGTTCGACTCGGCAGCTTGGTTCATGGTTATCTATGGGCAGTAGCTCACAAGTTCAACTTTGAGCACTCCGTTGTCGGCAACGAGGTTCAATCTGAAGTTGTTCGTAGACAGCAAGCTGGAATCTGGGTCCACGGTATTCAGGTTCCTGCTGTATCACTGGCGAGAATCGCAGAGGTGGCTGCATCCGCTCCTACACAGTTGACGGCGACTACTGTTGAGTCTCAAACTCTGAAGCCCTTCGACCACCGCGAACAATTCGTCGAGCGCATTTCCGATACCTACAGCGCAAGCGTTGCTTCACCTCCGGCTACACCAGGTAGCCCCGGACGCAGTTTCTCTTTGCCTACCTTGAACCTTGCTCCTAATGATTTCTTGGCCGCTCCCAACAGATCGAAGGCTGACCTTCCACAGTCCTGTGTTGATGAGCTCTCAGCAGTCTGGTCGAAGGAAGAGCTCCTCGCAACCGTCGCAGCTGCAGCACCCAAATCGACATCATTGAGTGGTTCACGTGCTGGCACTACGTCTGCACACCCATCAGGCACCAACCTTGTCGCCCTCGGTGATCATCGCCGTCTGCTTGGCGCTGCAAACACATTCCCATACCAGAGTCCTCGCAGCACTTCCGAGACTTTCGGCAATGGTGGAACCTCGAGATCTGGCCCCGCAAGAGCTGGTACCAGCCACTCGCAAGTCCGCAGTCGACTGGTTAGCCGAAGCCCTGCCGGCCGTCGTCCGAGTAATAGCACATCTGGCCATGGCGATGGTGCTAGCAGCGTCACTAACTCGGGAGCCATGCGTATTGAGGAGCTGAAGCGTGTCCTTGCTGGTCAGGCACCGCCTTCATCTGCTATGTCCATACGCCGTGCTGGCGCTGGCGACGACTCGAGTGAAAGCATGATGGACGTTGAAGATGGCGAAATCGAAGACGATGCTAGTGACTATAGTCCCCCACCTCATCGCCAGGCCACCCAAGATGCTGTTCAAGGCTCAAACAACACAATGCAACCACCGCCCGCACCTGCTCTCAGACTCAACAGTGGCGAGGTGGTTACCAACGGAACTCTCCCTTCAGCAGCGCCTACCTCTGAAAGAGGTCGCCAAGAAGCTCTAGTCAACAGACCAGCCAGCCGCAGAGTCGCCAGCAGAAGCTCTGCCCGAGGCTTTGGCGGTGCCGCCAGCACACACGGCAAGAAAGACCTCAGAGACTTGTTGTCTTCCATTGGTACCGAAGAAGAAGATGTTGCCGGTGGCGAGGGTGTCAGTAGAGCGCCATATTAGCATGTTGCTACTGGAGATTATATAATGGGAAGGAAAAAGGATAATGAAAGAAGTTGTTTTGGTTTTGGATACCCCCCCTACCGCACCGAGTGTGCCTTTTTTCTTGTAGCGAGATCTGGTCTTGAATAAGTATATAGTGTTTTTGTGTATTTTATGTTGATCAACTGTTTCTTGCTTTGTGCCGTGCTTTGCATCTTAATAAGGATGTTTGGCTCGCCGAATCATACCTCGTCCAGCCATTCTCCTCGGTATAACACGCCAGCCAGGGGATGAAAGTGTTCCATCCAGCCATCACCACACCTCATCTGGATATCCAAAGGCAGACATTGATCAACGACCAAGATTTGGGTCGTCAGACAATCAAGTTAATCTGGTCTAGTGGTTCAAAGACGCCTCAACTATATTATGATCACCGTTCGCACCGACTGGACAGGCTGCAGAGCACGTGGCTATCCGATTCAAGCCAGGGCATGGTAGAGTCATAACGTTGGCTTTAGGAGACGTGAGACTCGATTCTCACAGGCTACAGATTTTGTCTCTTGTGTATGTTTTGGTCTTGGTTAAATGGCCAGACGAGGGATAGTGAGATGTATATGCAGGTCGTGGTTCGTATCCCTTCGGTCATGTATGGCCCCGAAAGAGCCTTGGCTTTACGATGATCTGGCTGGCAAGGTACTTGGCTAAACATGTAGAGTTTCTTCTTCTGCACATGCTTTGCTAGAGGAATTGTGTTCACGATGGTGACGTTTGGACTATGCTCATGGCTAGAGATGATGGAATTAAAAAGTGTAGGGGAGAGATTTGTCTTTGTTCGTTCCTCTAAGCGACAGCGTTTAACAAGCAGATATGCAAACAGGCGTCGATGAGGGAAGCATGAATGAACACCTCACATACTGATATTGTATGGTTCGTCTATATAGGACACCCTGTTGGACTTGACTCAACGACCCCATATTCCAGCAGCTGACTATCCCTAGCCGCACCTCTCGAAGCCGCGAACAAGGGGTCGATTACATCCTGCTGTCTTCTAACATCGCACTTGTCTAGTCGGGGCCCGAAAACTTCCTCGAGTACTGAACGGAACGTAGTATCCTCCGTTGCTTCTCCAAAGAGAACAATATCCTGTACATGTTCGTGGCCCAAAACATTCTGAGGATACGGTGGTCTGGTGACGTCTTCCAAAGCGTGCTTCATCATGGCGTGTCTTTCTTCCTTGGAGAGCGGGCTGTCACTGCCGAGAGATCTGTTGTGGTAGGTCCGAAGATCGAACATCACATCACATACTTCTTCCATGAGAAAGGCTGAGAAGGCAGCACGATTGTAACTCAAAGCCACGAACAAGCGGTATGGAGTGTCATCTTCATTCAGGCCCTCAGGAAAGTCATATGACTCATCGCAATATCCTCTGACGTTGTATGTTCTAGCCGCAGCCTCTGCGGCCAGATAGTGGGAGCTGCTCATCTTCAAACCAAGGGCCGAAGATGCCGAGCTAATACTCGCTTTATAGATCTCTGATGTTCCAAGAAGCGCGGGATTGGTGATTTCGATGTGCCGAATTGGGGTCTCGAGGTAAGTTTCTGAGGATGCTTTTAGAGCTTTGAGCATCCAAAGGAGTGATTCGGCTTCTGGAGGCGGTGCGGGTGACTTCCTCGGCCACATTGAGGATACGTAATTGAGTGCTTTCTGTAGTCGAGTTGGCAAAACAAATGCGGGTGATTGATGGAGAGCATTCTTTGAGGGAGGAGCTTTGAAGTTGTTTTCGTGCTGCGACAATTCGTCGTTCAAATCTGATAATCGCCGCATGATCTCTTTGTAGGACGCTCCTCCTTCAATCTTGACAACGTCATGGACAGAGCCATTTGCGAAGTGTATACTAGCAGTACTATTTGCATGATACATCAGCCTCTGGTAGATTTCTGATTAGTGTGAGTTTTACCCGTAATCTAAATCGAGGTTGAATCCGACACCAGCTTCAAGACGGTACGCCGATATGGTCAGACCCAGGCAGAAGATGGCAAGTATGCACAAAGAACACCGCATTCTCGAGAATATTTCGGGATTGTGTACGTTTCCACTTGAGTGCTATATCTTGATTCGGCGCGAACAGTAATGATGAGCTATGATGATTATGGTGGTGGTAGTGATGAACGAGGAGAACGATGGATGCTGGAGCAAAAGTGTGCACAAAGTACGGAAGTTGCGTATTAATTATAGCGCAGTCCGTCCAAAGCAGGCACGTTAGTGCTCTTCTTGTGCAGGATGCCGCCTGGCAAGCGCTTCGACGGTGACACGCGCGCGCTTGAAGTGGAGCGAGGGAGGCGCCGCTGCCTTTGGAACGCCCCTCCTTGCCAACTTCATCCTTCACGACTTGTGCAATGTAGGGGCCAAGGAATTTCGCAGAAATCCTCATGATACGTACCGAGGATATTCGTTGATGAGTGTGAGGTAGTTGTCTTCTCCAACACAACAGATGCCGGAACCCTTGAGGACCAAGCGATGACTTTTTGACTGATTAAGTGACCGACAAATCGTCAACTTTGCAAGCAGAAAGGATATCATATCGCCTTGATTAGCTCCCAAAATCTTTGCTGCCGAATATCTGCGGACTACTCGCTACCACAGTCTCAATCAACGTCAAACAGTAGGCTGGCGTCTTGGCCCGCAAACGCATTCTAATGCTCTGCCTCTTTATCTGTTGGAGTCAGTTCGCCTGGGTGGACCTCTGAAGACACTTGGACCTATCAAGACACAGACTGGCATCCGATAGAAGGCTGGACCTTACAGATCTCCTTGGATGAGCCTCTAAATTAAGAACACTTGCGTCTTTTCATATCTGCAACCGCCTGTCCTAAGCGAGCTATTCGACGCCTTTCCAACTCTATAGGCCTGCATCCAACACCGCTTCCGACCAACGTTCCAAATTTAAATGGCAGCTATCAGATCCTCAATCCTTCGGCAGTTGTCTTTTCTTGTGTGTACAAGTGAGCGAGAATGACGCTCCGGCACATGGAGAGGCACTATCAAACTAGTTTGTTGTATCATGCAGCTGGTATGTTTCTGCCTCGTCGATGCCTTGGACGCACTGCATTTTAGACGCTTCGCACAACTGTTGGCGCTTAAATGTTTTCCAACCTCGGGGATTCGACTCAGGTAGGCATCCCGTGTGTCCATAGTGAATTGATATATCAGTTATAAGATGTAAGCACTTTCCTGTAATCATTAACAGCACCCCTCTCCAGAAATCGCTCTCTCTATCATGCGAAACATACTATCATCGCTCTGTCTATACTCGTTTGCAGTTGCATTTCCTCAGTCTTTTCTACCTCGAGACGACCTCCCAGATCCATGGGCTTCTGATCCCACGTCACCTCCGGCCAATATCTCCTTCCCCAGTGGCATTCCTTCGAACCCCTATCCTTCAGGTATCCCCGACCTTCCCGATCTATGTGATGGTAATAACCCAAATGACAACTGTTTCAATACACTGGCCAGCGGTTCAGGTGGATACCTATACTTCGACAAGAACTCTGGCTGCAGCGACAGTCAGAAGAGCATGATCCAGACCGCGGTTTGGGATGCCACTACACTTGCAAATTATGCATCCACATTTCCTGGGCCCAATATCCATGCTCAGCAATCCGGCCGCTTCTGGATGGGTGCTGGATACCAAGCACAAGCAAATAGAATATCTGGCAATTTCAAACGCGTAGCCGAGTTCAAGACCAGCAAGACCTCTAGTAGGGCTTACATTACTATGAGCTGTAAGGATCCCAAGAACAAGTGTTCTATGGATATGAGGGGCAAAACTATCGGAGGCTATGCTTGGTCGGTCAACGGGTGGTTCGGATGGTACAACTATATCGCATTTTGCCCTCCGTTCTTCACGCTGGACGACCTCGGCGAGAAGCTCAACTTAGTAGAACAGGGACTGGCAAGCGGCAATACCAAGTACGCGAGAGATATGAACTGGCTTGGAACTACCGGATCGTATTTCCTTCATGAGATGATGCACACTCGAATCGCAACTGGTGGTATCGAACCTGACATCCTTGACCAGCAATTGAAGACGGATCCCAAGGCTCACAGCAAACCGGTCTACGGCCCTGGACTAGTGGCTAGATTGGCTGCTAACGAGACTGATGCAAAGAGAGCCTCTTGCAATGCCGATAGCTACGCAATGCTCGCTAACAGCATGTGGTTAGTAATGCGCATTCTTTGACCAACAATTGAGAGATGATTTCTAATGCTAAAGGACCGTAGGTGGTGGGATACGACCGGATACTTTCCTGGGCTACCCAAGCCAAAGAAAGGAATAGACCAACCAGCGGATGATCCTGTTTCTGGAACCGAGGTCTCGGCAGACGATGATGATGACTTCCCAATCTCCCTTTGGGTCGACCTGGGAAATGTCACAACACCGCAAGATGCCAATTTCGACAGCTTATTCGCTGCTGAACTTCAAAGCTTCCAAGACACAGATGATGAGGACGCCGCCAATACCGATGCAGAGGCCTCAAGTGACCCAGTACCTGCGCCTACTACATCTGAGGCAGCTGCACCAGCAGAAGCAACCGCCCCTCCACCTCCGCCTCCACCTCCGCCGCCCCCAGCTGCCGACATCTGTGGTGATTGGTACAAGTTCCTCTTCGACCATTTTGAGATATACGGCCGCAACTTCGATGCAGACAAGTTTGGCACTGATGGCTCAGGTCTCAAGCATCAGATTAAAGGTCAGTAAAAATCACTTTCCTCTCCATGTAAACAAGTCTGCCAAAAGCGAATCACCGCGATACGCAATCTCCTCAAGAACGGAGTAGTGTCCACTGAAAGGCTGAAAACCTTCGCCTCGTCATGACACAATTCTGATTCGAGAGCACTCTGCATTTTCATGGCTGCATGAACCCCAGGTTGTGCATGCAGAAAGACGAGGAATTTCTCTCGTGTACCAAAACTCTTCCCTCTGCTCCTCAATTTTGCTGACTTTTTGTCCGATAGGCTGTGGAGATCTGACTTATTGGACATTCAAGACTCTTACAGACGATCCGCAAGGATATCAGTGGTATGCCAAGGGTGACTTGCCTGTTGGTACAAAGGCTTGTGTAGGTCGCGCCGTTGTGTCTGCCGGAGGTGCTTCACCTGATGGTTGTACGGGTGCTGGTTAATTTGCGCCTTTAATTCGAGAAACATCTTCTTGAGTCCGATAGCTTCGACGGGACTGTCCTGGAAAGATGGAAAGACGCTATGAGCCAGCAGACTTTGGTCGAAGTCGGTTTTCAAATCTTGATGCTCAAGCCGAACGCTGTCCCTTCGAACATGAGAGCAACAGCATTTCGACCAATACTTAAATAAATGCTTCAACGAATTCTGGTCTGGCTGAGCTTCTCAAGAATCGTCAATATCAATCAGTGGTAGTCGTACAGTCATATGTAGTTCCTACCTATCGGTCGGTAGTGATCGGCTGGAATACAGAATTGTGCTCGTGCTCTTTGGCAATTTCGTTATACGAGACAGCTCCACACGTGACTCATGGAAACAGAGCTCTCTCCAGATTTTGCGAAAGCTCCTTCCACCAAGAAAAGCCTCGGCCGTTTCCGACCTGCCAACTTGAGAAGAACACGCGACTTCCTTCAATCAGGCCGCCGCTGCAAAAATTCCATCTTCCCCAAGAGACAGATGAACAAGGCTTTTTCTTCTTTGTTCAGAGTCTTCGCAAAATCACCAATTCCTGGATCTTCGAATCTCGTTGCAAGCTCGAAGACGTTCGCAACAATGCACAAATCGCCCGCGGCCATGCTGAATCGTCCTATCGCGGACAATGTGGACATCTCAATTCATCAGCCCAGAGATCCCAACACATTGAGTAACTACAATGTCTGGAGAACCAAGCATGTGACAGCGGACCTGGAGCTGGAGTTCAACAAGAACAGATGTGTTGGTACCATCAAGCTGGAGTTGGAGAGACTAGAAAAGGGTCAGGGAAGTGGAAAGGTCGTTCTTGATACCAGCTTCCTTGATATTCAGGAAGTCAAGCTTGCTGGGAAGAAGGCCAAGTGGAATCTTGGAGAGAGATTCGAGCCTTATGGAAGCCCTCTTACCATCGAGATCCCTGACGACCACTCTGGAGACGCCGAAATTGAGGTCACCATGGCTACCACGGACAAGTGCACTGCTGTTCAGTGGATGACTCCTGAGCAAACTTCCAACAAGAAGCACCCTTACATGTTCTCTCAATGTCAGGCCATCCATGCTCGTTCGCTCTTGCCTTGCCAGGACACTCCTGATGTCAAGTCGACCTTCACCTTCAACATCCGCTCTCCTCTCCCTGTCCTTGCTAGCGGTCTGCCTACTGGAAACAAGGACTTCCGTCCTGGTGAGGGTGATGCTCCCGGTACTCTTCTGTACACTTTCGATCAAAAGATCCCCATGCCCGTCTACCTCTTCGCTCTTGCTAGTGGAGACCTTGCTTCTGCTGCTATTGGTCCTCGCAGTTGCGTTCACACTGGCCCTGAAGAGCTTTTGGCTTCACAGTGGGAGTTTGAGCCCACCGAGAAATTCATCCAGGCTGCTGAGAAGATTGTCTTCCCCTACGCTTGGACACAGTACAACGTGCTTGTCCTGCCTCCCAGTTTCCCATACGGTGGAATGGAGAATCCCATTTTCACCTTTGCGACACCAACTCTTGTCTCTGGCGACCGCGAGAATGTCGACGTCATTGCACATGAACTCGCCCATTCATGGTCTGGTAACTTAGTCACTAATTGCAGCTGGGAGCACTTCTGGCTAAATGAGGGCTGGACCGTTTACCTTGAGCGCAGAATCCAGGCCGCCATCCACGGTGAACCCCACAGAGACTTTAGCGCAATCATCGGATGGAAGGCCTTGACAGACAGTATTGAAGGCTATGGTGCTGAGCACGAATACACAAAACTGATTCCTGACCTCAAGGGCAAGGATCCCGATGATGCATTCTCCAGCATTCCTTACGAGAAGGGCTTCACTTTCCTCTACTACCTCGAGAAGTTAATCGGCAAAGAGAAGTGGGATAAGTTTATTCCCCACTACTTTGCCACCTTTGCTCAGAAGTCTCTTGACTCGTACGAGTTCAAGGCCACTCTGCTTGACTTCTTTGCGAAGGACGAGAAGGCGACTGACAAGTTGAACTCTGTTGAATGGGACACGTGGTTCTACAAGCCCGGTTACCCTCCCAAGCCTGACTTTGACACCAGCATGGTAGACGTCTGCTATGACCTCGCCGGCAAGTGGGAGGCTCTGAACAGCGGAAGCTCGGAGTTCCTGCCTTCAGCCTCGGATATCTCGTCATGGTCGGCCAACCAATCCGTCGTATTCCTCGAGAAGATTCAGACATGGAAGACACCTCTTTCACCAGCTCTGGTGGAGAAGATGGGTGAGGTGTACTCCTATGCTGCCTCAAAGAATGTCGAAGTGGTCAGTAGATACATGATTGTCGGTCTCAAGGCAAGATGCGAGAGTGTGTACATTCCCACCACCGAATTGCTTGGCAGAGTCGGTCGCATGAAGTTTGTCCGCCCGCTCTACAGAAACCTGAGAGAGTGTGATGAAAAGCTGGCTCAACAGACGTTCGAGAAGTACAAGGAGTTCTACCATCCTATTTGCAAGGACATGGCTAGCAAAGATGTTTACGGAAAGGGTCGCGGCGGTTAGAGGAAAGACGTGTAATCTCGATGTAATGATGTGATCAAAGACAGGGGCTGGAAGAACAAATTTTCTGTTTACGATTCGATCTACGTTGGCTCCGTGGATTTTCTCCGCGCGCCATGTCTCACGTAAACTTGGGCGTTCGTTGACATTCCAAATTTGGGATTGGTCCACGGATCTCCACAAACTTTGGTGAATGAACATGATCGATGTCGAATTGTCCGAAAAGCTTCAATCTTTTATGTAATACCACATGCGAGTCAGAGGTAAGCATGAACTTTGAGGAGCGAGACGGTGCGACTTTCGCGTATAACAGCCTAGGGATCTGCAACGTGTTGGTTCCCAAAGCAGGACAAGCCTTTCTGGCATGCGGAGAAATTGCTTGTCCAGGGCTTGGCGACGATCTGTTTCCAGTCCAGACCAACAGCGTCCCTCTGACAGTTTGACCTCAACTCCTCGCGAGGGCCAATCGTTTGTGCGAATGTTGGTGTTCACCTTCGGGTCAGCCTCACGTCTTAGAACGAAGAGGTTTATTCTCGTCGTACGTTTGCAGCTGACTCTGGTTAACCTTTGACGGGTTCCGCACCACTCCGCGACGTTGGCGCCGCATACGGACGCCCAAAGCCTATACCGTGCGTGAATACAGGAGAGCGCCGCGCGTTCTGTGTCTCTTGCAGCTTACAGGCCACGCGTATACGGAAGGCTGGCCTGGCCTGGTCTGTATTTTCTCATTATGTCTTTTAGATTGCACGTGTCGCGCTCACTCGTAAATGCCTCTTGCCGAGAATAGCTGAGAGTTTGTCTGGAAGTCACGCCTTCGATGATGGTGTCACTTGCCTCTGTGCTTCCATAACTTCCTTTGCGTCTCCTTTTGAATCGATTGTTTACTAACTTGACTTCTTGCAATTCGTTCCACGTCATTCGTTTGACCTGTTTTTTTTTCTTTGCAGGACCTGCTGTACAGGGGATTATAGTGGCGCTTTAGCGGGACCATTGCAAAGATGTCGTACCTAATGAAAAGTCTTCCTAGGAAGGCATCGAATATCGATTCACGAATCCTCATCGGAGATGCGCCCCTGGATGCTGAACCGATCGCACCGGCATCAGTGACGACCCTTCCACAACTATTTCAACACAAGGCAAGGATACAGCCCGAAAGCATTGCCTACTCCGTCCAGACCGACAATGGACTACATACCATCACATACGCCGAAGCAGACGCCAGGGCATCATCGCTAGCCACCCGCATTGCAGCTCTTTCTCAACGTGCCGATGACACAAAAGCACCAACAGTGGCCATTTGGTTAGAAAAGGGATTCGACCTGATTCTCGCTATCCTTGCTACAACATATTCCGGCGCCACATGGCTTCCGCTGGATCCAGATGTCCCCGCCGAGCGTGCTGCTATCTGCTGCGTCGACGCTTCAGTCTCTTTAATCATCAGTGACGCCGCTCACGCCGACCAAGTCCGGGAAGTACAAGAACGAGTCGCATCATCATCCAACACCAGTCTTCAATGTCGCACTATTTCTCAATTGACTACAGAGGCATCATCACATCAATCTGCAGCTCCTGGTCCTCGACCACAAGATGCTGCTTACCTCATCTACACTTCAGGCACTACCGGAATGCCCAAGGGCATTGCTATCCCACACTCTGCTGCTTTGATGTTTTCTCTCAGTGAGCGGGAAGTCCTGGAGACAAGTCCAAACGACATCGTTTGGAATGGCTTCAGCCCGGCTTTCGATATGTTTGTCGAAGAGATGTGGGTCACCATTGCTGGAGGTGGTCACCTCGCTATTGGTACCCGTGCAGAATGCAGAGATGTACCTGCTCTGCCCATGGTCTGGGCAAGGCGCGGTGTCACCGTTGTCAATGCAGTACCAACTCTCATTGGCATCATGAACATCGCACGATCCGATGATGGAGACTCTCTTCTGCCGTCGTCTGTCCGTCTCATCAACCTCGGCGGCGAAGCTTGCCCACCTGCACTGGTGAAAAGTCTCGCAAAGCCTGGCCTTCGCATCATCAACACATATGGTCCAACCGAAACCACTGTCACTGCCACTTGGGACGAACTACAACCTGATGTGCCCGTCACAATCGGCAAGCCGTTACCCGGATATCACGCCCTTCTGCTTCCCATCTCTGATGACGGTGCTTCGACTGCTCTCGAACCTCTCGAATGGCAGGAAGGTGCTGAAGGAGAGCTTGCCATTGGAGGCTCTTGTGTTGGTCTCGGTTATGTTGGACGCCCTGATTTGACATCACAGAAGTTCATCGCCCACCCTCTAAGAACTGCCGAGTCAGAGAGAATCTACCGCACTGGTGACCGTGTGCGACTTCAGGCCGATCGCAAGATCATCTTCCTTGGCCGTATCGATACCCAAGTCAAGCACCGTGGATTCCGTGTTGAGCTCGGCGAGATTGAATCACGACTTTACGACGTACCGGACGTGCAAGCCGCAGCTGTCATCTTGGCCAATGCTGGCACAGAAGCTGCTCGCCTTGAGGCTTTTGTGGTTCTCAAAGACGGAGCTCCCCGTGATACCGCCAAGATTCACTCGATTGCCTTTGACAGTCTACCAGCATACATGCGTCCGGAGGAAGTGTTCTTCATCGAAGCTAATGAGATGCCCCGACTGCCCAGCGGCAAGATCAACGGAAAAGCCCTGCAAGATGTTTCGAAGCGTATCAATGCCGAGAGGGCAGCTGCAAGATCAAACATTGATGACGATGCTATCTCATCATCATCTGCTTCTCTCGTCGAAATGGATGGTGTGCTGGGCTTGATGCTGGCTACCCTGTCGCCATTGTTCCCAGGAGCCCGCGTTCAGCCCACGAGCGACATATTTACCGACCTTGGTGGACACTCCCTGATAGCAGCAATCCTGATTTCGCGACTGCGACAGGCAAAACTCGATAAGGATGACACACGTCCTTTTGCTTCCATCGGACTTGCTGACATCTACGAGCTCCGTACACCGGCCAAAATTGCGACACGCTTTGAGGTTGTGGACAAGAGCAAGAAATTCTCAATTGACTTGCAAGAAGTCGACTCTCTCGACAGTGAATTTGAAGGTACTGGCTCATGGACCGGTGACTATTTGCCTGTATCGCAAACCAGATACGTCCTCTGCGGTATCGCCCAGATCCTGCCGCTGCTGTTCATCTTCTTCCTTCAATCCATCGAGATCCTGGTTCCGTATCTGTTGTTCGATTTCCACGCAATTGCTGGTCGCATCGGCTACGCCATCCTGACAGCTTATGGCGTCTTCGTGGTGATCCCGCCTGCTTTGAGCCTGGTAGCTATTGTAGGCAAGTGGTTGATCCTTGGCAAGTCACAACCCGGCGAGTATCCTCTTTACGGGTTCTACTACTTCCGTTGGTGGTTCGCGGATCGTCTGGTTTCACTGGCCAACCCAAAGCTGATGGCCGACTCTGGACTGTATCCGATCTTCCTTCGAGCTTGCGGTGCCAAGGTTGGACAGTTCTGTCATCTTGGGCCTCTTCAGGTCGGACCATGCGCTGATCTCGTTGAGATCGGAGACGATGTCGTGATTGGTGGCGATGTTGTTCTAGGTACCTGTGTGGTCGAGAGAGGACGCTTGATTCTCAGGCGTGTTGTCATCGAAAACGGTGCGACCATCGGATCGCGCTGTGTTGTTGAAGGTGGTGCCATCGTCAGTGAGGAAGCAGATGTTGCATCGCTCTCCCTGGTACCCTCTGGCATGATTGTGCCCAGTTTCCACAAATACCATGGATCACCCGCACGTCTCGACAAGGTGAAGAATGCTGAAGATTCTCCTCGGCCACAAGATACCAGACCTTCGAACGCTCGAGCGACAGCCATGCTTGTTGGCAACTCGATTATCGCGTTCCTGGTTCTCCCTCTGCTCTACTTCGTGCCTCAGATTCCAGGCTTGATGCTCTTTGATGTTCTCGACATTCGCGGTGTCAACGGTTGGGGACAAGTCGCCATCCTCTCTGTGCCAATTGCTTTCGCGTACCAAATCTTGGTCTTCCTGCAATTGCTATTGTACCGCTACATCTTCCTTGGACGCCTTGAAGAAGGTACCTACAGCACCTACAGTGTGTTCTACCTTCGCAAGTGGTTTAACGAGAGACTCATGGATCTTGCTTTGGATGTACTGCATCCTGTCTTCGCTACACTCTACATTGTTCCCTTCCTCAGAGCTCTCGGTACCAAGATCGGTAAACGCGCCGAAGTTTCGACAGCTCGCAGCGTCAACTTTGGTCTGCTCGAAATCGGTGAAGAGAGCTTCGTAGCTGACGCAGTGATCATGGGAGAAGGTGTCATCAGGAACAACCAACTGACCCTCAAGAAGACAAAACTCGAACCTCGTGCTTTCGCTGGCAATGCTTCAGTACTTCCTCAGGGCACTACTCTGGCTTCTGGTACTTTGCTTGGTGTTCTTTCTATTGCTCCACCGCCAGACACCCAAATGGCCAACAACAGCTCATGCTTCGGTTCTCCACCAGTACTGATGCCTAATCGTCAGCGTACCGAAGGTCACGAGGATAGTCTTCTCTTCCGACCATCGGCAGGTCGCATCGCTACAAGACTGCTTATCGAAGGTCTTCGCATCGTCGTACCACGTGCAGTCATCATTTTCGGCCTGGGCTTCGGATTGCAACTAGCTCACGATGGATACCACAAGATCGGCGCAGTCTACACATTGCTCATGCTGCCCTTGTTCTACGTTTCGCTATTCGCAGCACCAGCCTTGTTGTTCACAGCTCTTCTCAAGTGGCTCCTCGTTGGTCAATACAAGCCAGCCGAATGGCCACTTTGGAGTCTCAACGTCTGGCTCAGTGAAGCCGTGACCAGCACTTGGGAAACTCTGTGCGAGCCACTTCTCGCAGCACAATTGGTCGGTACTCCATACATCAACATGTGCTTCCGCCTCATGGGTGTCACCATTGGTTCAAGGGTCACCATGTTGTCCTCCGACATTACCGAGTACGACTGCGTCACAATCGGTGACGAGGCCAACATCAATAGGGCTTGCGGTGCTCAAACCCATTTGTTCGAAGATCGCGTCATGAAGGTCGGCAACGTGAAGCTTGGAAACAGAGCCTGTCTGAAGCCATTCTCCGTCTGTCTTCCTGGTAGTACCATTGAAGATGAAGGTCAGCTGGGCAGTTTGAGTTTGCTTATGAAGGGAGAGGTTTTGCCTAGAGGCACTGCATGGGAAGGTGCTCCTGTCGTCCCTCGCGCGAGGAGATAGAGAGAGTTTTAATGATTTGACTTGAATGGAGTTCGAGAAAGGGAAAAAGTAAAGGAATATTTTTTGGATGTTGTATCATTAGCGTAGCATTTGTTTCTATGTTTCGCTTCGGGCATTGCTTGGAAGAGTTCATGGTCTTCGTGTACATATATATCCAGCATTGATAGGTTGTTCAAAACATGATATTTGTTCTTCTCGACTTAGTTCTAGCATTCTCCTTGCCTAGTCTGCATTTTTGATGTATATACTTTTTGCTTTCTCTTTCCACAGGTTCCCGTCGAAGCTCTTAGAATCTCGTTCTTTCAATGACATGTCAATTAGAAGTATAGAAACAGCTTGATGTTCGGAGAGTGATGGAAAGGGTTCGACTTTAGAGAATTCGCCCAATAAACACTCTGGAAGCTGGAACAAGTCTCGACGTTTCCTGGATTGCATGCAGAGACCAAGTTCTGGGAATTCGTCATGGTCGCTCATGAGTGGGTATGGTATCCGTCACTGCAGAAAGAAAAAAGGAAATGATGCCATCTTTCTTTTGGTCCTCTTGGATCGTGGAATGTGGGATTGTTCGAAGAATCAGTTGGCACGGATGTATTTCTTGACTGGGGTCAGGTTGCCATTGTTTGGAATTTCACACAGTCATGACTGATAACACCATGATTCTTTGTCAAGGGGAAGCATAGAGCGAGCAACTTCATGTTGATTTTCCTTTTGCATGTTGGGATGAGAGAAAGATTCGGTATGAGATCGCATGAACGAGCTTTGTCAATGCTGTGCTGCCTCAACATAGCAAAGTTTTCGTGTCGGCCTTGTGGCCATACTCGGTTGACCAATTTTCATGCAATTGTTGTTTGTTCTTCCAGATCTGCTAGACGTGTCGATGCGTCAACAGACTTTGCGTGCTGCCTTGGTCATTTCGCCGAGCAGCTACACTCGGCGCCCCAAGATAGTCGAGCTCAATAGTATGTTCGTCAAATCCATAGACTTTATCCACGTGAGCCGTCTCTTCCTTGCCCTCAACTTTCTTCCTTGCCAAACACTCATCGCAAATATTTGCATCCGGATGCCGACTTTTGAGGAAGTAAGCGACGATGGAGTTGTATAATGACCACGCTGTGCGCAAGAAGACTAGATCGGCAACAAGGATAGAGACGAAAATGTTGAAAGGTGGTTTAAGTTGAGGTTGTCGACACATATAGGTAGTGCCGATTGTAGCCGCCGAAGATGCGTTTCCCGCAGGATCTGGCAGTGTGCCTAATTGGAGTTCTGTTCCTATTGGCAATTGTTGCTGGGCATCACAATCTGTTACTGTAACGATTGAATCCATGTATGAAATGTCAATGTCGATAGGGCTTTGCGCGACAATGGTAGAGAGATTGGTACTACAATAGCGTGAATTGTCGGCATTAGAGACCATACTGTCCTTGGGTGATTCGGGATTGGACAGTCCCAGATCTAGGTACACGGCTGAGATAGCAGCTTTGGCAAGTCGATCGACGGGAGCCCAGATGTTTGGCCATGTTGTGCTGTACACATAGCTATCGTTGGTTCGACGGTAATAGTCACCAATACTGCCTTGATGTTTCTCGTTCTTGGTTGCGTCAAAAAACACCCAAGATGCCATGTCGAAGTAATGGTCGTTCCGCATGTCTGCTGTGCCACTCGTTCTGTCCAATCGCACATATCCCTGGGATAAGGTGCGTTGCGGTGTCGAAGTTTCAGAGCCTTGGAATTTGTTGGTCTGATTCGTTATGGCGGTGATGGTTTCTTCCCAGAAAGACAGCATGAGCACCTGCGCCCAAGCTGAAGCATGACCTGCGTCAACATCTATCTGCCATGTCGGCCTCATGTGCATCTGGCCAGTCTGCAAGCTACTGATGGGGTCGATAGAGGTCTGCAGATTGAACCGTTTGGCAGTGACATCGCCGTGATGGTCGATATAGCAATTAAGATCGACTGTGACAATCAAGCCCCAAGCCGAGATGTTGATCTGACTAGCAGGCCTGTTATAAGTCGAAAAGTCAAGCATAACTCGATACGAATAGCACGAATCAATGACCTCGTTATGGTAAGTCATTGAAGGCGCTCCAATAGATCCCGAAGAGCTGAGTTGATGTTCGAACACCGACCGACTGGTACGGAATCGTGCTCCAACACCAAGAACAGCATCATCGCATTTGGGTTGAATTTTGCTCGCAAAGAAGTGCGCATACGACCCTCCATATCGGCCTGCTTCGATCTCTTGTGGTTGATTGGTTGTAACGGATACCATGTTATAGGCCGTGGAGAAGAAATTGATGGCTGAAAATAATGCTGTCAAGAACATGCCTCCGAGGATAGCTGCGGGTGTGAACCAGTTGTAAGGATAGTCTCTAGTGACATTATAGCTGAATTTGGGCAACGATGGCATCTTGCCGTGCATAGCCCACCAAACAACAGCTCTTCGAAACGCGTGGTCAAGAGACCAACAGGCGTGATCCCTCCTGTGGGCAGTGTCATATCTATAATCATTGCGATCCTGTCAATTTAGGAAGAGCGCTCAATATAGACGGCAACCTTGGCGATCGGCACGCGATGATTCCAATCCTGTTGGATCCTGCGAAATACATGCATTTGCATGTACAAGGCTTGCAGCAAAACGCAATTGTTTCTGAACTTGAAACACGTAGCTCTGCAAGCCACGCACTATCCAACAGATTTGAATTCGTCCGCACATATGTATCCGCTCTAATCAGGCTATATTATCGTGGAACCTTGGAATCCGAATGGCCTCTTTGGTCGACATGCTAATTAAAAGCCATGTACGCAAAAATGATGGGGATGATTGTGGTGCATGTTGACTCCCTGAAGGAACGATCCTGGTGAGACTGTGCGTATGCGTCGGCAATTGCGAATCGACTCACTCTCTAGACAATTACTCCTCTAGTAACGGAGGCAACTGATAGTGGATACACACGAATCGTGTACAGTCGTTTTTGGATGTGGTTGGCAGTGTTCTGATGCTAGGATCACTTCATGAAGAAAAGTGAAATGAATGATGACGGTCATGGTTGAGAACTTGACGAGATGTCGGCCGGCAACTACTGCGTACTAACTGCTCTTTCCAAAGTATCGACCTACACGTGTTCGGCATATAAGAGTATGACGCATAGCACCAACAACAGATAGTCGAAGATCAGTCTGAACGTGAAGAGTCGGGTATATTATGTGCTAATCATAATGAAAACAGAAAGAAGATAACAAAATCGCCCAGCTTGCTCGAGAGAGGAAACCCCTGCGCCTGCATCATTGGAAGTCGTAACGCGAAACCAAAAATTAAAAATACAAGCAACACATCCTGTCAACTCATCATGAGCTGTATGCTTGGTCAACCTCCTTCTTGTACTTCTCAAGAATGTTTTTGCGGTTGAGCTTTTGTGCTGAGGTGACGAGCTGGTTCTGGGGAGTCCACTCATCAGGGGCAAGGACAACACCCTCGATGATCTCAATACCTGCAAGACCACCCTTCTTTCCAGTAGCTTGCAAGTTCTTTAGGACAGCTTCGTTGAGCTTCTTGTCGTGGCACATTTCCTCAAGATCATCCGACTTGCAGCCATTGTCGGAAGCCAAAGACTTCAAAGCAGGCTCGGCGGGGACGATGATGGCGATAGGCTTGTTCTTACTCTGATCCGCGTACACGCAAATGTTGCCAACAACGTGATTGGCACGGTAAATGGACTCAAGCTTTTCGAGAGCGATGTACTCGCCGTTCAGGGTCTTGACCAAGTTCTTCTTACGATCGATGATTCTGAGGTTTCCGTTCTTGTCAAATTCACCAATATCACCACTCTTGAACCAGCCGTCCTCAAACGACTCCTGGTTCTCCTTCTCAAGATCGAGGTAGCCGTCGGTGACAGAATCACCACGGATCCAGATTTCACCTTGAGGAGGGTTGTTGGTTGAGTAGTAGCCAGCATCGGGGAAATCGACAAGCTTAACCTCGATTGAGGCAGGAAGACCACCAAGAGCCTCGTCGGTCCAGGCAAGAGGATCCATGATAACACCCATGGCAGCTGTCTCGGTCAAACCATAGCCACTGATCAGAGGAGCGATGGCCATTGAGATGAAGCGTTGGGTGTCTTTTGCAATTGGACCACCACCATTCATGCAAATTCTCAATCTACCTCCTGTGGCCTCCTTGATCTTGCTGAAAATAACAGAGTCCATAACACTGGTGCCGAGACCGGTGAAAGGCAGGCTGGAGTGGTGCATCATGGTGCTCTTTGCGGCCATACCAGCCCAGAAGAGCTGCTTGGCAATACCACCAGTCTTGTCGACCTTTGACACGATACCCTTCTTTACGGTCTCCCATACTGCAGGAACACCGATCAGGACTGAAGGCTTGAACTCGCGAATGTCACCGTTGCAGTTGCGGACCGAAGCGTCGGAGATGGTTCTTGGGTTTCCATAACCCATAGTACCACCCCAGTAGAAGCAGGCGCTCTCGAAGACGAATTCAAGGATGTGAGCAAGAGGGAGGTAGGCGAGAAGACCGTCACCAGGACCAAGGTAAGGACCAACGATGGCGTCAACACCAGCAACTGCGACGGGTTAGCTAAGTCAGCAATGGAGTAGAGGAGAGTACTCACTAGCAGCAATGACGTTCTTGTGCTTGAGGAGGACACCCTTGGGAGTTCCAGTAGAGCCGGAGGTGTACATGATACAGCAAAGGTCTTCGGGCTGGGGAGGAACTGGGTCAACCATGTTCTCCTCACCCTTCTTGGTGAGCTCATCGAAGCTGAGAATGGTCAGGTGGGGGTGAGCGTTCTTGAGCTTCTCAATATCGTCCTTCTTGACTTCCATGTGGCTGTTGTAAACGACATATTGAATATCCTTGGTCTCGTTGAGGGGGTTGATGAGCTTGGTGAGGAGATGAGGGTCGAGGAAGATGAGCTTGGCGTGAGTCTGCTTGAGAGAGTGCATGAGACCCTCCTCACCGAGTGTGTCGTAGGCGGTGACGATGGGCATGGATTGAGAGGAGGCGGCTTGGGAGTCATGTTAGAAGATGTACAATACAGCGGATAGGCAGGCGCTTACCGTAAGCAGTGGCCAGCCACCAAGGGCTGGTAGAGGCAAAGATGTGGATGCGGTCGCCCTTGTTCATGCCAAGAGCACGGTAACCAGAGGCAAGCTTGAAGCAGAGCTGCTCATACTCGACGAAGCTGAGGTATGTGTAGCCACTGAGCTCCGAGTACTGCCAGGTCTTGTCGACGGTGGTCTCCTTGCCATCAACAACCTTCTTGATCTGCTTGACCTCATCGTGGACCTTGATCAGGTTGCGGTAACCAAGAGCCTTTGCGTTTCCGAACTTCTTGGAGCTGCTGCGGAGAATGTCGTAGATGGTCTTGACGTCGGGAGCGGGAGTGCTGATGAGACCGTCCTTTGCTAACGGGTGTACGCGAGGAATTGTTTCGCCGTCCTTCTTCTCGTAACCCTTGGCCTCAACTGTGTAGGGGCCCTTCTTGTAAGGCTTGGGTTGGGGGGTCAACTTCTTGAGGTCGGATCGCTGCATGATGTCGCCCATGTTGTAGAGATTTGTGATGTTGGGCAAACTGTCAAAAGACATGAAAAGTAAAAGGGCAAGAACGGAGAGCCTCGTTTTGGCAGGGAAAGACGTTCTCGCAGGCAGGAGCGGACTTGTGATGACGGCGCGTTGAACCCTCAGAAACACAATTGGTTGGTTCCGCAGTCGCCCACGGCCAATGACGCACCGATCTCCTCGTGCTTGCGCCACAACAAGGTCAGAGCTCCGGATGCTGGGAGATTCACTTTCCAGTCTTTCCTCCACTGCCTCTTGTGCCGGCTCGTGCTGTCCATCTTCATCACACCCTCTTCACAAATTCATCTGCCTACTGTCTTTCGGAGCATGACTGTCGCAACCCGATCCTGTGCATAATTACTTGTCATCCATGTCTCTCGCCCCGTTCGTCACTCAGCTAGGTGCCGAGATTGAGGATGCCTCGAAAGGTGATTGCCTAGAGTCCCAGCCCCAGTCTTCCTCAGCATGGTAACGGTAGGTTTTGTACAGAAACCTTCTTGCTTTTCTCCCAAGACATCCCCTCTCAGAACCTTGGCATAATAGATTCACAAGCACCCCTCCTTGAGTTGACTATTGGGTCTCGTGACCTCTCCATCAAGCAATCTCCCACTGTCCTCAATTCCGCACGAGGAGGCGGTACTACAGGTGCCGTGGTATGGAAGGTCACTCCGAGGTTTGCAGAGTGGTTGGTATCACCCGGCAACATACTAGTACAATATGGTATTGTATCTGCAGAGTCAAGTGTGCTTGAGCTGGGATCGGGAATTGCTGGAATTGTACCTTTGACACTGGCTCCGCTGGTCCGGCAGTATGTCGCAACAGATCAGGCATATGCACTCAAACTTTTGAAAGAAAACATCGACGAAAACACTACATCGACACAAACTGGAGGCAAGAACAAGAAACCATCGAAAAAGGCAAGCGTCGTGCCAAGCTCGAATATAACAATCGAGCCTCTGGATTGGGAGACTGATGATGTTGACTCGTTTCTCAAGAGCAACAATGCGCCTGAAGGAGTTGATATGGTCATTGCTTGCGACTGCATCTACAACTATGCTCTAATAAAGCCGTTCGTCCAAACATGCGTGGATATTTGTCGATCAAGAAGCGGCGAACGACCAACAGTGTGTGTGGTAGCACAACAACTTCGACAGCCGGACGTGTTCGAGGAGTGGCTCGAAGAGTTCAAGACGCATTTTAAAACCTGGAGACTCCCAGATGATGTGTTGACAGACGATCTGAGGGAAGGTTCGGGATTCATGATTCACATGGGCATACTGCGTCAAGAAGAGTTGGGAGCGGTGTAAGACGGGTGAGATCTGGGTCAAGCATAGATGCGCATGTGGTCAGCACAGACTTGTGCTACGTCGCGTCAGATCACGACGCTTGATGGCTAGAACAGGAAGACATGGTGATAGCATGGCATCGGCAAGGGGTTCGCAGGCTTACGGCGCGGAATGCGGTTCCACACTTGGATTGATAGATTAAAGTCTCAAGGGGTTTGCCGTTTTATTCAGAACCTCATTTGGATCAGTGATATGTCGCAATGTGATGTTTGTTCAGATGATGGATCAACTTCGGTGAAGTTACACGAAACGGATACGGAGATATGGCGGGGCTGAGCTCCAGCGCATGGCAGCTGCGAGCCTGAGCCAGAGCAAGAGCAAGAGCAGGCGACCTTCTCCAAACAGCCTAGAAACCGACACCGACCGGTCACTCAATTCAACCTGGCGCTTACCAATTCAGTCAAGAAGCAGTTCAGCTACAGATCCCTCTTCCTCCTCTCACTCGCCCTCCTGCTGCTCACGGTGGCTTTCACACGCATCGCCTCCCGTCTCAGTCTTCTGACGACTCACTTCACCCCGCTAAAGCTGCCCTCTGGCCTTGCAAACACCCGAAACATTACCTCGATGAGCATGGCTTCAGCCAAATACCAGAAACCTCCTCAGGCCCCTCCTCTCTTCACCGCAACCACCGAATCCCTCGCCAAAGACACCAAGCGTCTGCTAGACCAGTCCCGCCGCATCCAAGACCAGATCGTCAAGGACATTACCCCCGAGTCGGCCAATTTCCACAATGTCGTCCTGCCAATGGCTCTCGACGACAACAAGATGGCTATCGAGTCACACATCATTGGCTTCTACTCTGCCGTTTCGACAGACTCCAAGCTGAGAGACGCCTCGATCGAAGCTGAGAAACAGATGGACGAGTTTGGCATTGAAGCCAGCATGCGCGAGGACATCTTCAAGCTTGTTGATGCTGCTCTCAAGAACTCGAAAGATTTGGACCCCGAGAGTCAGCGCTTGCTCGAGAAGGACCACAAGGGCTTCGTGCGCATGGGCTTGAACGTCCCTGCTGGTCCCAAGCGTGACCGCTTCAAGGACATCAAGAAGCGTCTGTCTGAGCTCAGCATCACCTTCCAGAAGAACTTGAACGAAGAGCAGGGCGGTCTGTGGTTCACTGAGCAAGAGTTGGAAGGCGTGCCAAAGGATGTACTTGATGGCCTTAAGAAGGGAGATGGCGACAACGCTGGCAAGCTCTGGCTTACCTTCAAATACCCCGACCTCTTCCCTACCTTGAAATACTGCAAGAACCCCGACGTTCGTCGTAAGGTCTTCACCTCGAATGAGAACAAGTGTAACGAGAACGTGCCACTCTTCAGAGAAGCCATCGTGCTGCGCGATGAGGCTGCCCGCATTCTGGGTTACCCTAACCACGCCACCTTCCGCATCGAGGACAAGATGGCCAAGACTCCTAAGACTGTTGATGATTTCTTGGGTGATCTTCGCACACGCCTTGCACCTGGTGGTGTCGAAGAGCTGAAGAAACTGAAGACTTTGAAGGAGAAAGACTTCAAGGATCGTGGCGTCGCAGAGAAGAACGACGGCAAGTACTATCTTTGGGACCACCGTTACTACGACACCCTGATGCTCGAACATGAATATCAGCTTGATCAAGAAGCCATCGCTGAGTACTTCCCTCTTGAGACCACCATTCGTGGCATGCTGCAAATCTTCGAGGAGCTGTTCGGTCTTCAATTTGTCCAAGTTACTGGCAAGGATCGCGACTCAATCAGCCCTACTGGCAAGGGTGACGATATAATCTGGCATCCCGATGTTCAAGTGTTCAGTGTCTGGGATGATGAGGGTGAAGGTAGTGGCTTCGTTGGATACCTCTACCTCGACTTGCATCCTCGAGATGGCAAATATGGTCATGCTGCCAACTTCAACCTACAGCCTGGCTACATTGACGAGAATGGCAAGAGAAGATATCCCGCAACCGCACTGGTCTGCAATTTCTCAAAGCCCACGCCAAAGAAGCCCTCCCTGCTCAAGCACGACGAGGTTGTAACCCTCTTCCACGAACTTGGTCACGGTATTCACGATCTCGTCTCTCGCACGACATACTCTCGCTTCCACGGCACATCCACTGCTCGCGACTTTGTCGAAGCTCCCTCTCAAATGCTCGAAAACTGGTGTTGGACCGCCTCTCAACTGCGCAGCCTGTCTCACCACTACAGCTACCTCTCCGACAGCTACAAAGCCGCATTCTCGGAATCCAACAAGTCGGACAAGCAACCCCCAGAGACTATGCCCGATAACCTGATTGACAGCATAATCCGCACACGCCACGTCAACGATGCCCTCTTCAACCTCCGCCAACTCCACTTTGGTATCTTTGACATGACCGTGCACGAAGGAACCTCCCACGACGAGATCAAAAGCCTTGAAGTCAGCAAGAAATACAACTCCCTCCGCAAGGAAATCTGCTCTCTCGATGGCCCTGAAGAACTCGGTCAAGGCTTTGACTGGGGACACGGTCAAGCCACTTTTGGCCACTTGATTGGTGGCTACGATGCTGGATACTACGGCTACCTGTCTTCGCAAGTCTACTCGGCGGATATGTTCTACACTGTCTTTAAGAAGGATCCAATGAACGGCAAGGAAGGAAGACGCTACAGACATACTGTGCTCGAACGAGGAGGTGCGCAGGATGAGATGCAGACGCTTGAGGACTTTTTGGGTAGGAAGCCTAGTACGGAGGCTTTCTATACTGAGTTGGGTTTGAGCTAGATGGACAGGGGATTATAGCTGTTGCATGCAATGAAATATGAGCATATGGTTTGAAACCAAAACTTTTGTGTTTACAGGGTAAAAAAGTTCCCTTGATGATTTGTGATTAAGTGTATTGCTTGGTATCATGCAGCCTTTTTCCTCCATTTCCTATAAGCACTCCCAAACCCTTCCTTTTCCTTTTGCTCTTCTCCCTTCCCATCAAACCCACCAAGACTCTCTTGCGTGTCGCTCTCACCATCGTCAAGATACACCAACGGAACCATACTATTCCTCCCATGCGCACACATGAACGGAAATGCACATGTTGCGACTTCCTCGATAAGTCTCTGACATTGCTGCAGAGTCAACACATCGTTGAACATGATTGCGCTTCTACAGGCGCGAGAGTTTAGAAGTCGAAGGAGGCCTTTGGGACAGGAACCTATGCGTTGCAACCATGTGTGATTCGTGTCTGCATTTGCAGGGTCGAGGGTGCGGGTGCGAGTGTTACTGCTCTCGACAAGTGTGTATATCTCGCCGCGGAGGAGTTCGATGAGTAGTCTTGGTTCGGTTCTGCAGCGTTCGGATATTCCTGGTGGTAAAGTCAAGATGTTTAGGCGCGGAGGTTGTGGTTTGTGTGAGATGATGTCGTAGAGGATGCCCCAGTTTGCAAAGTGTTTCGCATGAGTTCTGAACATAGCTTCTTCTTGTGTTGGTATTTGAAAGCTTAGTGGCTTGTTGACTGGATTTGTGATGATACTTGATGTGAAGCCAAGATTTGATTTGACTAGGGCGAGTTCTGGAGCCGGTCTGCACAGTTCTTTGAGCAGTGCTTCAAGGATACAACGTTCGGATGCCGCGTGTTGGTCCACCAATACCAGCAGTTGCCTGGCATGATTAAGCTCTTGTGACTTGGACTTTGCCAGACTCGGAATTTTCATCAAAATGAACTTGTTGTCAACTTGCGAGATGATTTGTGCATACGACAATGCGGATTTTGACAGTCTACTAACATCACTTGATCCAGCAAACGGAAATGAGTCAGCCACGGCATGCCGCCCATGGCAGTCATGCGATCGGACCCCTTCCTGTTCGAGCCCACCAAGACTGATCTTCGGTATTGGTTGTTCAGCTTGGGTCTCGAAGACTGGGTTCTTCCAAGTTTGCAAGAATCCTTCAAGCCAGGGAGAGGAGGTTGCGGCATTCGAAGCTGCATCAAGTGTGGACGGTAAACCGCTTTTTCTTCGCTCCAAGACAAGAGGTCTACCAAAGGATGACAAGCGTGCATTAGCAGCAGCAGCAGATCTACTTGTGGTTGCGTGGCTGGAAGTTGGTCGATACACTTCGTCTGGCATCACTATGCCCGTACGCGCATTGATGCGATGCTTCTGATTTGTTTTCGGATCGATCCAGTCGATGTAAGTCTCTCCAGATTGGTCTAAGTGAGGAGTATCCTCAACATGATCTGGTGTTTGCATCGCTGTCGTCTCATGCGAGTTGATATGTAGGAGTCCAAACTGATTGGTGTCAACAGCTTCAACGTTGATCCCAGCAGGCGTTTTTGACATTGGGCTTGTCGCCTGTTCGATCGAACCGCTTGAGGTGGGCCGCGTAGATGTTCGTGCCTTGCAATTCCATATGCTGTCGTACATTTGTGGTCGAGCACTCTTGATTCGGCTCCAGTCTGTAAAGGGCATCGTTGGTCTTGTAGCATTCGTTATGCTTGTGGATCGTAGCCTCTTAGAGCTCCGTAGATCTGTACTCGGGATGTCACTGGGACTCGCGGCGCGAGGTCTGCCACCGCTTGCAGGCTGCAGGGAAGCGGTTGTGGTCTGGCTATTGAGGATTGGCGATGGACCTTCGCAGGTCGTAAGACTTGCCAGGCCACTATCGTCTGTAGTCTGCTTTCGTTTGCGTCGTAGCTTCTTTGGCTGGAAGTTGTTGATTTCCAACCAATGTAAGGTCAAGCTTTTAAGAACATTGACGATGCTTCTGAGCCGCATTTCGCTGAGGTCATCCACATGTCGTGGACTCTCGTCGGATTTCAGATCTATACGAAAGTAGAACCTTGGCCAACGATCTACTCCCTTTCTGCCTCCTTGAAGTTGCTTGTTTGTGATACCATCGTTCTTGTATCGGCGGTCGTGCTGTCGACGTTTCATCTCTGCTTCATCAAGCTCAGAGCCTTCGTCTATGTGGCCAAAAATGGACTGACTAAAAAGTCGATTAATGGTCTCATAAAGCTCGTTATGCCTGGTTTCATCCAAGCAAGGGATGATACCGATGGACATGAATTGAGCGATCCTACTAGGTGCTGGCTCAAGTGAGATGAGACCTTTGACGGTAACAGAGGAAGTTGATGCAGATACGGGTATCCAGCTACCCTTGGAATCGGTCGATATGATACCCGATTGAGACAAAATACTCAAGACAGTACCTTGGTCAAAACCTGATACTTTTTTGTTCAAAGTGTTCAGATTTCTCTCACTAAGAGCATTTGGTATAAATTGTGCTCCATTATTGAGAGAAAAAGTCCTTGCCGGATTCTCTGAGTCTGTGACTTTGACGGCAACGCGATGGTTCCATGGTAGAAGCAAGCCCACTACTCCAATCTTTAGAGCTTGCCACTGTCTCTCTGCTTCAAGTCCTTCTTCTGCAACGATTGCTCGCTGCTTGACTCTCACAGGCATGTTGCCGAAAAGGTCTCTGACAGACACGCGCGTGCCATAGCCAGTGTTACTACGAATTTCGTGCTGAGGCAGTGTAGGAGTCAACCTGGATATGACTTTTGATCGATGCAAGATCAGGGTGTTATGAGAGTAGTGTTGGGCATGCCGGGATGTAATAGTGAGAAGCGAGAGGGCTCCGACCGAGGCCAGAAATGTTCCTTGACCTCCATGAATATTCGCTTGCGCTCTTTGTTTGGATGTGTGATACAAGCGACCGAGTCCACCGGTGGCGCGATATTCCGAGGGTAAGATACCAATGCCATTGTCTTCGACTGTACAACCGCCTCGACCATAGTCGATAACGATGTCGATTTTTGTGGCCTGTGCATCCAAGGAGTTTTCGAGTAAGCCAAGGACTACCTGATTAAGGCTGGTGATTGTAGTGGAAGATTTGATTTGCGCGACGACATTCTCAGGGAGTGGCAGAATAGCAGATGATGTAATTTGTATTTCCTGTCCAGACGTGTGTTCCATGTTGGTAGTCATGTTTGTTAGCGCCAAGCCAGGCGGGCGTATCGCTCAAGGTGGACGCCACTTGAGTTTCGGACAGTCCTTATTATCCAAAGAAGCGAACATTGATACTCCAATCGCCGAGTTGCCGATACGTGATGGCGCAGATGATCTTTTGTCCAGTGCAGCGAGAAAAGGCAGAGGTGGTTGTAAGAAGGTGCAAAAATGGCAGCAACGGCGACGTCACTAGAGTCTTGGCGTTCGAGTGCTTCTCCTTCCTCCGTGATCGTTGGCTCTTTCTTTTACAACACTGTACGAAGTGAATTGTCTTGAAAGTATCGACGGCTGCGCCCTCGATGTTACGGTCGAAGACGACGCTTAGGTTAAACCGCCACCGTGCATGAATCTTTGGCCAAGAGGCTATGCGTTTCCCAAGACTGGTGCCAGACTCATTTATGCTCTTCTGTTTTGAGTCTTCACACACAGCTTCTGCTTCGAACCCGAGGAAAAGTTCATCATATTTCTTCGTGAGGCACTGCTGCATTCGAGTTGTATGGCCTCTATGCCTGATAGAAAGAGAGACCGTTATCCCCGACGGCATATCGAGGGCAGATGAGATTCTCAATAGCAGGTAGGATGCCTATGACCAACAAGTCAACTCTATATTTGGTATTGAAATCCTTCAAATAACTAGCAACGACCGTCAGGTCAGTCGATGCGACTCCTGTGCTTGCAGACCCATATAAGGCGTGCCATGTCACAAGCTCTGTAACATTTCTTGCATCTCCATTTCCACCATCTACATCTCATCCTCACCACTTCATTGCAAGTCCCAAACACCGCGCGGCTACGATGAAGTCGATGTTCTGGCTACAGCACCACTGGTGTCTCTATATCTGCTGGCTCGTCCAACTGCCAGCCATGTGCTGCTTCGTCCCCTTAGCTTTGCTCGCCTGGGCATTTGGTCACGACTCACCCAAATACGGTGCTGAGTAAGTGATCCCTTCTATTCCAGCTTCATACCTCATGTTGACACCATTGCAACAGGGACCAACTCATCATCAGCCTTTGCTTCATCATGATCCTCGTGTACGTCTACCAAATCTTCTTCTACTTCCTCCATCGCTTGGCCGCCACACGCATGCTGTGCGTGCAGATTTACCAAAGCATTTTCGTCGCGATCTTCATATTCTACTTTCGCGCTGTGTTGTTCCCGTTTCACTCGCCTCCGGACGACTGGCTGCCTGTTGCTCGGGCAATTTGGATAGGCCTGCCGGTGACCTTGTAAGCACCTTCATCTTCCCTCAAACGTGGCTGCATAGAGATTGATATCGTGTGTACAGTGCTTCGTTCTACATTTTACTTGCCAGAAGTGTAGTCGTCTGGTACAGACTCCGCCAGAATAAGCGAATCTCACTCATAGGAGAAGATGGAGAAGAACTCGAGAATTTGTTGCAAGACGAAAACTACGTCTGAGTAGATTCCAAAGGCAGAGTGAAGCGAGAATGCAGACCCGATTCTTCCTATTCAGCCAACAAAGTCTTCGATCTATCGCAGACCCATTTCTACCTCTTCTTCGTCTTCCATTGCAAACCTTGGTCCGCTTGTTCTACCTTCTCGCTCCCTCCGCCAGATGATACGGATGAAGGAAGAAAAAGAGATATGAGAGATACCAGAAGGAAAGAAAGAAGACAAGGCGATTGAAATGTTCGCGCACTGTCAGACAAAGACTCTGAGATGCCTGAAACCAATACTTGAGTCATTCGAAGGATTCAAGCACGGATCCAAAGATTCAAAGCTTCCATTCTTTGCTCTAACGATGATTTAGGTTCTGATGTATCTTCTTGATACCACACGTGTTCTTCGCAGCAGTCAACGGTATACAGTCTGTTGCTCCTGCTTATGATTTGACTGTTAGACAATCATGCCTAGCTTTTCTCTCTCATCCGCCCTAGTCACTCCGTTCTGCCAGACTAGGTAGCTCCTCAGTGTCAAGACGTAGACACTCATCCTACATCTGATCAGCACACAATAAAACCCAAGAGTCAGGAAAAGGGCAAGACTTACGTAGTGCAAGCCATGACCCCAATGATCCAAACACCATCATCTCTTTTAGCGATAGGAGCGTTGAATCTCAGTATCGCAGCAGAGCAGACAACACTTTCGTATATGGTATTCGCCAACATGACCCAATTCTTAAACCAAGGCCTTGGAAACTTAGCAGCCTGAATACAGAAACTGCATCCCATGATCCACATTGCAAAGATGACTACAAAATCCCTATTTCCTCATATCTTAGCAATATGATCGTTATTCCTTGCTCGTCAAAGACAGCTAAGAGGCTCGAGAGTAAAATCAGAGTGAAGGAATCTTACAGATCTGTCCATTTAATTTCTGTCCCGAATGATAACAGCAAAAACATCATGAACGGGGTAAGTAGGATTGAAATGAATCCCATGGGTAATGCTTGGATGAGCCAACAGATTCTTAGGCATTTTTCCGATTCGATGGAGGACTTTATGCTGGCTATGCGTTCAGTAAAGAGGAACCTAGACATTTTTGAGCTTGAGTCTGAGTCGGTGTTCAGAAAAAGTGGTTTGGCAAAATGAAAGAGAGAGAGAGAGAGAGAGAGAAAAAAAAAAGAGGGGAAGATTGATGTTCATCTTCCTTCCATTTCTTTTGTCGTCTTTAAAGTCCAAAGGCATCGCGTGAGGTCCCTTGACAAGAAATCCCAAATCTATATTTACGAAGTCCTGACTCGCTATACAGGAAGCCTGAAAATTGGCAGATGTGACCGTGCTCCTTGCTTTGCATCTTTTCTAATATAATTAAGCGAGAGCGAACCTATCTGCTTCCAAGCAAGGCCATCTAGTTCTACGGGATTCTCAGTATGAAATCATAAGAGAAAAGAAGGCTTCGATGATTGTTTCTCGCACACACTAATCTACTGGCTTTATCGAACAAATTGTGGCAACAACGGGCATTCATTCATCCTCGGAGTATCTTGACCTCTCTCACAACGCCATCTTCAAGATCTCAATAACCTGCTCTTTCTCCTTGAGAGGAATAGGATTGGTTGCACAACAAAAATCACTAAGGCTGTTCTCCGCAAGCATATCGAATTTATCCTCTCCAACGTTCACATCCCTAAGACATCCCGGAAGACCAAGTTCCTTGACAATCGCTTTCAAACAATCGCCTAAATCCGCTGTTTGCTCTGATAGACCGTGGTTTTGGAGGACATTTTTGACGACATCGTCGGACCAGAACACGTTGCGGACTTTGGCTTGTTGATCGGGATTGGTGTTGGCATTGTATTTGCAAACCGAGGGGAGCATGATGCAGCTGGTTTCGCCGTGGCCGACGCCTAGAGGACCGAGTTGATGACCAATACCATGGCTTCCTCCCAGCGGCGCCTTTTCAAAGAAGACGGCGCCAATGGCATCGATGACGCCGAGTTGGCAATCGAGTCTAGCGTCTAGATCGTTTGCATTGGCTTTGCAACGTAGTAAGCCAGGGACTAATGCCTTGAGGCCTCTGGTGGCGCGCTCATCGGCACCAGGGTTGTCCTCCAAGGAGCACATGGCTTCAACACAGTGGTCGACGGAACGGATACCAGTGGATAGCCAGATAGAGTCAGGAGTTGTGGTTGTAAGCTGCGGGTCAAGGATAACGAGGAGCGGGCCTCGACTGGGGAAGAGCTGTTTGCGGTGGTTGCGGTCGTTGGTGGCACCGCCTGGTCGTGTGTATTCGCCACCAGAGAGGGAGGTTGGAACACTGATGATAGGGACGGTAGGAGCTTTCAGGTCCGAACGCTCTTCAGTAATGCCATTTACGTGCATCTTGATCAGATCATCTACTGTAGAGATATTGTTCGCCAGTGCCTGATGACATTGTTAGTCACAACTTCAATTCCTTGAGACTGGAATAAATAGTACAAGGGCGATAATTTTGGCTGCATCTGTCAAAGACCCAGCACCGCAGGTAATGATCAAATCTGCTTTAGCTTCACGAGTGTCGTGGATGATTTCGAGAACCTCAGAGCACAGAGTGTGAGGGGTCATGCCATGTCGGACACCCACGACTTTACTATCCAGAGCTTTTTCGAGCTTCTTGATATTGTTCGTCTGGCGAGATAGAGAACCAGACGCGATAATGTAGACACGCTTAGCGTCGAAGGTCTGATTCACGTGTTTGGCGCATGACTCGTCGAAGGGAATGCCGTAGCTGATGTGAGGAGGGGAATTTGGAAAGGCATAACGATAGGTTTCCTGGTTTGGCGACATAGTGGCGTTTAATTTGTGATATTAAAAGAGCCAAGTAGATAAGAAGCTGTAAATTGCAAGGTACAGTACACGTATCGTCAGTGGGGTGTCACCGTGTGAAGGATGCTAGATGATCGTCGTGCTAAACACCGAAATGTCCGTGTGGGGAACAACCCTGTCATATCAGATGGATGTTTCAGAAAAGAGCTTCTGTTCCTTTGTCAGTAAGATCGTTTCGACTCATCACATCCGAGTCAATCCGAGAAATCAAGTCAGTATTGGCTATCGATAAGCAACCAGAGGAGTCGCGCCGGTCTGCGGCCAAGAATGGGATGTGGTTATGATGTTGGGGGATTACTAGAGATTCGGATGTCGTTATGGGGGTGATACAATGATGACAGAGTACTATGAAGAGGCGTTTTTCCTGTACGAGACCTTCTCGACGGCCACATTCTCAACACCATTCTGGTCCTTGCGAAGCTGGTATACGTAGAGGACGAGGACGTCTCCTTGGACCTGCTCGGGATGATCAGAAAGGTCGATTAGGTTAGCCCACGATGCGTGACGACTCACATCCATAAGCACAAAGCCAGGCGTTGACACTGCTTCGCCTTCCGAGTCGAGTTCGGTATCTGATGACCAACTGACAGCACCGGTCGCACTGCCTGGGTTGACAAAGAACTTGCCCTCCATCTCGTAGGCCTCAAACTTGCAAGTACCACCCCAGCACAAGACGTCGACATCCATCTGTCTTGCAGCTATCAACAAGCTGTCTGGGTCGCCGGGTGGGACAATGGTGTGACCATGTGTGAAGCCAATGCGCAGACCGCCATGTGTGACAACTTTTGAGAGAGCAGTAGGAACGGGAATCTGGTCGGTAGGAGCAGCATATGGAGCGTTGGGGTTCGGAGGAGCAGGAGTTGATAGTGAGATGTCAAAGTCACCCTTGACGAGCTGAAGATCGGGCGCCAGGTTTCGGAGGAAAGTGTAGACGCTTGGTGATGTGAGGTTGCCTAGACAGAGAATCTGGCCAATCTTGCCCGGTGTGAGGAGTTTCTTGAACTGTTCGAATCGCATTAGACTCCAGATCGAGGGTGAACGAGCAGTCGAGCGGGAGTCATGGTACCTTTGCTGGAATGTCCTGTGGACTGATTAGCTAGGGGAGGTGGATTGGGAGAGGTGCCGACTTACATTGGCGCGGTCCGGGATGAATAGGTCGCCCAAGCATAAAACGAGTCTAGAAGTCATGATGTATTACGCGCTTCTTCTTGCGCCTGTGTCGTCTCCTGTATTGAGTTGTAAGTGCTGACTTGGTTGCTGTTTGTCGCAATGCGACACGCAACGACATCAGCGGGGCCCAGACAGGCGGAGGTGAGCTCGGGCCGCCAACTTGTCAACCTCCTCGCGACTTCCTTCTTCTCTTCCTTACATCTTCGACACAACCCTCATTCCAAGCGATAAGCCCTTCAATTTGGACAGTTATACGAGCATTCATAGAAGCTCGTCTCTATATTTTTTTTGGTGGATTTCGACATCTTACTGAAGAGTTTCGATACGTCACTGTTTTGATCGATAATTCTCTCAACCCTATCATGTTATGCGCTTCGAAGGGTGTTCATAGGCTAGTCCTTGATGTTTGACTCACTATAAGTGGATGCAATCCATAAGAAGGCAAGTACGACGATGATAATCTTTCAACCACGCAACAAACATATTCCATTACAAGAGTCAAGTCTTTGGAGCCACAGCTGTTCTACCAACGAAGCACAACTCGAGCAACATGTCAGCCTCCAAGCCGAGCATTAAAGCGCGCTATGCTGTATTTATAAAAAGAGTCGCAGAGACGAAGCGGCTGCGTGCACCTGATGTTGCGGCCATGAAGGCACGTTATTATGCCAGCCTTAGAGGACCAGCCTTGGTGAAGGTCTGCACTCCCCATTCCGACCCTACGAGACTAGTAGGTCCACAAAAACGTGAATCGGAGGCGGCACGTTCGAACTCTGCGTATCTCCATGATGACAAGCGCAGAAAGACGTCTCCTATGGCCTATGTCGGAATGTCCAAAGATGCAACCGACGTGGAGGATATGAAAACGGACGAAATTGCTGAAGCCTTCGCTGGCATGTCTGTAAAGCCTGAGACCAAGGGGCTTTTAAAAAGACTCGCATCATCTCAGCGACTTTCGACTTCCAGACGAGCGCATATAGCAAGATGACCAACGCTATCGCCAACATGTCTTCGATATCAGCTAACAAGGCAGAGTCTGGCGGCCATGGATTCACTCCCTCAGAGCCAGGCAGTTGTGTGAGTCTGACACTGTTTCCTCTTTACAATGTCTGGTATCAAGCATTGGAGATAGCCATGATAGTATTTCACTTGTAATCATATATATCTTTGTCCAAAGCTTAGTAATGGAGAGTTAGGGAGTGGCTGTCGGCGGTCTCGGAGACCCCAGGCCAAGAAATGTGGAGTCTAGCGGGCTGGCGATGGATGGCGGACAGCGGCCGAAATCGCCCAAATATTTCGCAGCGGTACAGTCATTTTGCCTTTGTGTTCTCTGGTTGATCTTCTTGTTATACACACTAGACACAATGGGGGCTCAGTTGTTGCGCACGAGCAGATTGCCTGCAGTCAGGGTGTGTATCTTGTTCGACAATTGGCGGCTATACAAGCCATGACTAACTCGTCGGCAGTCACTTGCCTCTTCTGTTGGACGTCCGTCAGTAGCGCGCCGTCATCTGGCTACACAAGCCGATGCCTCTACCACTCCCTCAGCATCAGACCTGGCCAGTCGCACCCCGCCATACCCTAAGCTGCTCAGAAAACTACACGAAGTCCGCCGTATCCTGCCTGACCGCCCCCTCACACTCGCCGAGAAGATCCTCTATTCACATCTCGAGTCCCCCGAGGAGTCCCTTCTGACCGGAACAAACAATGGCGCCGACATTCGTGGAAAGGCCAACCTCAAGCTCAAGCCTGACAGAGTTGCCATGCAAGATGCCTCTGCCCAGATGGCCCTGCTGCAGTTCATGTCGTGTGGTCTGCCCACCACTGCTGTCCCTGCCAGTATTCATTGCGACCACATGATTGTTGGAGAAAGAGGTGCAGATGTCGACTTGCCCCAGTCTATCAAGGGCAACAAGGAGGTCTTTGACTTCTTGGAGAGTGCGGCAAAGAAGTACGGTATCGAGTTCTGGCCTCCGGGTGCTGGTATCATCCACCAGAACGTCCTCGAGAACTACTCTGCTCCTGGTCTTATGATGCTCGGAACCGACTCTCACACTCCCAACGCTGGCGGTCTTGGTGCTATCGCTATTGGTGTTGGTGGTGCCGATGCTGTTGACGCTCTGGTCGATGCTCCCTGGGAACTCAAGGCTCCCAAGATTCTCGGTGTCAGACTCGTGGGACAGCTCAGCGGCTGGGCCTCTCCCAAGGACATCATCCTTAACCTTGCCGGTCAGCTCACTGTCCGTGGTGGTACTGGCTACATTGTCGAGTACTTCGGACCTGGTGTCGAGACTCTTGCCACCACCGGCATGAGCACAGTCTGCAACAGTAATTTCTACCCTTTGAACAACCTCGAAGTATACTGCTAACATATTCCTAGTGGGTGCTGAAATCGGCGCAACAACCTCCCTCTTCCCCTTCACCAAGGCACACGTCCCCTATCTCCACGCAACCCACCGTGGCCCCATCGCTCTCGCTGCCGAGACTATCGCCAGCTCTCCTGGTCCCCACAATCTCCTCCGTGCTGATGAGGGTGCTCATTACGACAAGGTCATTGAGATTGACCTCAGCACTCTCGAGCCCCATGTCAACGGCCCCATGACCCCCGATCTTTCCACTCCTCTGTCTTTGTTCCGCGAAACCGTCAAGGCCAACAACTGGCCCGAGACTCTTGGTGCCGGTCTGATCGGCTCATGCACGAATTCCTCCTACCAGGACATGACCCGTGCTGAGTCGCTGGTCAAGCAGGCCACCGCTGCTGGTCTTCAGCCCAAGGCTGACTTCTTCATCACTCCTGGCAGTGAACAAGTCCGTGCTACTCTCGAGCGTGACGAGACTCTCAACACTTTCAACGACGCTGGTGGTGTCATTCTTGCTAATGCTTGCGGGCCTTGCATAGGCCAATGGACCCGTACCGATGGTGTTGAGAAGGGAACTGAGAACGCCATCTTCACTTCCTACAACCGCAACTTCCGTGGTCGCAACGATGGAAACGTTAAGACCATGAACTTCCTCGCCAGTCCCGAGCTTGTCACTGCCATGGCTTATGGTGGCAGCACTACCTTCAACCCCATGACCGACTCTATCCCCCTTCCTAACGGTGGCGAGTTCCGTTTCAACCCTCCTCAAGGTCGTGACTTGCCCAGCACTGGCTTCGCTCAAGGCAACCCCGAGTTCCTCCCCACTCCTGGTAAGCCCGATGCCAGCGTCGCAGTCCAGGTCGACCCCAACTCCACCCGTCTCGCTCTCCTCGAGCCCTTCGCTCCCTTCCCTCAAACCGAGCTCGAGGGTCTCCGCGTTCTCGTCAAGGTCAAGGGCCAATGCACAACCGACACCATCTCCGCCGCCGGCCCCTGGCTCAAGTACAAGGGTCACTTGCCCAACATTGCCGAGAACACTCTGATCGGCGCCATCAACGCCGAAACCGGCGAGACCAACGTCGTCTACGACATCAACGACACTGAGTCCCGCAGCAACGGCATGGGCATCCCCGCCCTCGCCAAGAAGTGGAAGGAGCAAGGCAAAGAATGGCTCGTCGTTGCCGAACACAACTACGGCGAAGGCTCTGCCCGCGAACACGCCGCCCTGCAGCCCCGCTACCTCGGCGGTCGCATCATTCTTTCCAAATCTTTCGCCCGTATCCACGAGACCAACCTGAAGAAGCAAGGTGTTGTGCCGTTGACTTTTGCCAACGAAGCCGACTACGACAAGATGGCTGCTTGTGATGAAGTCCGCACTGAAGGTTTGCTTGATGTCCTGAACTCTGGCGGTCAGGGTGAGGTTACGCTTGTTGTTAAGACTAAGGGTGGCGAGGAGATTAGAGTGCCTACCAAGCACACTCTTTCCAAAGACCAGTGTGCGTTTGTGCTCGCTGGCTCGGCGCTGAACTTGCTGGCTGCTAAGGCTGGTAAGGGGGCTGCCGCATAAACGATGTGTAAAAAGAGTTCTTGAATTCCTTTTGAGTCTTTATAAAAAGCACAGATCGGAGTTTTTGGCATGTTGTTGAATCCTTTCACGCTTTCTTCTTTTCTTCTCTTTGTTGTATATATCCCAAGAAATGTCTGAAATGTTCTCAACTGTGTCCTATCTTCAAAAACTCTTGCATATGCGACGCTCCTTGAGATGCGAAGATGAAGAACGAATTTTTGAAGTGATTGTGCCTCAATAGAGCACCTGCCGAAACGTTCTCTTCAGACTTGAAGCTCTCAATTGCGCTCTGATCTTACAAGAAGGTGTGTATGTGCATATCGTACGACCAATTGTTGGAATTATTTTCTTCTCCCCTCATCTACGTAGGATGATCCTGGAATGATTGTCTATTGTCTTCGAACAAACCTTATCACGAATCAAGATCGAATATCTCAACACACCCCCAGGACGTCTTCGAGCCCTCGCAACGAGTGGACAGAAACTGCTGAACCGCACTTGCGTCTTATGCTTCTTCCTCAAATCCATTGATGTCTCCGATAACCTTGACTGCGTATCGGATGTTTTCTCCACTGCTTCCGCGACTGCTTTTCCAATCGCGTTCACGGCCTTTCTAAGGACTCATTGCCCGCCTTCGTCCTTGACCTCTCTTTGAACTCACTCCGCGTCTGCGTTCTAGAGTTCTTTGGAAGATCTCTGCCCGCTTTCGTCCCGGATCCCTCTGCAGACTCTTTGCAGGTCTGCGTTCTAGATATCTCTGCAAACTCTCTGCTCGCCTTCGTTCTAGCTTGCTCTGTGAAACTTTTCGCCGCCCTTTCCCTGGATCTCTCTGCAAACTCTTTGCCCGCCCTTGTTCAAAAATTCTCTGCGGTTTTCTTGCCCGTTTTTCTCCTGGTGCAAGATCGGCCAAAAGTTGAAGAACGGTCCACCCATATCCATCGACTTCATCTATATCAGAACCGGCGCGTACAAGCATCTTGAGAATGGCGAGATGTCCTTCATACGCAGCCCAGTGTAGAGCTGTCATCCCACGATGGTCTCGGACGCGAATGTCAACACCAAGGTCGAGGCACCTCTGCACGGTGGCTTCAGAACCATAAAGCGCCGCGTATTGCAATGTGTTTCTCCTCTTTCGGTCTTCTTGTGCGGCAAGCTCTAAAGTCAGGTAGGGCAGCATAACAAGTATGGTCTTCTCTATTCGTGTGGTTTCGTCTTCCCAGAGACTATACCTGCTTCCGGGGGCATCTGACTCATCCAATGTCTTTGTTCCCAGAGCTATAATCAGTGCGGTAAGTCCGTCTTCATCTTCAGCATTAACATCTGCGCCATGATCGAGGAGTAAATCCGCGATCGAGTAGTGGCCTCTTTTTGCAGCAGAACGCAGCGCGGCGCCATTTCGAGCATTTACATCTGCGCCTCTGTCTAGAAGTAGTTTTGCCATTGTGTTGCGACCCAAGTCTACAGCAGAGCGCAGCGCGATACCATCTTGAGCGTTCACATTTGCACCTCTGTCGAGCAAAAGTTTTGGAATTCCGACGTCTTCAAACTCACCCTCTGTTGCCTCTTGCAATGCAGCACCATCCCCAGCATTCACGTCCGCGCCTCTATCGAGAAGTAGTTCCACAATCGTATAGCAACCCTGTCTGATAGCAGAACATAGCGCGGCGTGATCTTGAGCGTGCAGATCTGCACCGCGGTCTAGTAAAAGCTGGACAGTTGTGTCGTAGCCCGAATGTGAAGCCCGAAACAGTGCAGTCTCTCCATCTTCATTTCTAGCGTCAATATCTGCACCGCGGTCCAGTAGAAGCTGTACAACCTCGTCGTTGCCCG